CCCCTGTGAACCTCTTCCGCATCCAAGAATGGATCGATCAAGGCCGCATCGACCCAACCCGCCCTATCACCGTCCGCGAACTCACCCAATCTCGCTGCATCCACAAGCACAAGGATGGCGTCAAGGTCCTCGGTGACGGTGCCGCAGCCCTCAAACAGCCCATCCATCTTGTCGTCTCACGCGCCAGTGCCTCCGCCATCGCCGCCGTCGAGGCTGCCGGTGGCTCGGTCGCGACCCGCTTCTACACCCGCAGCGCGATCAGACACATCATGGCCAACGAGACACACCCCTTCATCAGTATGGCGTGGAGTGCTGAGAGCGGATCCAAGGAGTTGCTTGCGGCCGAGTTTGCCAAGTTGAATCTTGGTGCTGAGGTCGAGACTGTTGAGGAGAAGAGTGTTATGGAGGCTAAGGGTCTTCGGTACAGATTGCCTGATCCTACGAGACGTCGTGATATTGAGTACTACCGTGATCCGGCACACCGGGGTTACTTGAGTCATCTGCTTAAGCCTTCTGAGGGTCCCAGTTTGTTCTTCCGTTCGCCTGAGGAGCGTAAGTCGGCGGCTGGTACTAAGAAGGAGAAGGTTCTGCCTGAGAACAGAGTTTGGTAGATTGGGAGATGATGTGTTTAGATTATGGTTTGTGTCTTTCAGCATCTGTACATGTATAAATATAGCCCCTTTTGAATATGCTTGGTCATACAAAATTAACATTGTTTATCTTAACAAGGTTACCCAGGATATCCTATTTTGCAATACTAAAACACAATATGAGTAGACTGTATAATCAGATAAGAGTCATGCCAATTAGTATCATCGCCGAGATTCCCATCAATTGAGTCCAATTACCCTCAGTCTCAGCCCAAGAAGCAGCAGAAGAAGCAATACCATCCCAACCATTGAGTAGTTCCAAATATGCTCAGGCCCATTAACAAAAGTAAAAATTAGATATGTTCCGCTCGCGTTTGACGCAATGAGGGTATGAACCCCTAAGGATCAACTTCAGGCGTCTGCACACTCGAGCTCTCACCACCGTTGACCCGACACCCATAATCATGAATCCCACCGTACCAGGAGAAGCATTCAACGATAATGAAGCCGGCACTGGCATTCGTGAAATTGACAGCTCATTTAATGATTTGGTATTCATGTTTTCGTCAATATCTAAATCTGCAAATACTAGCCCTAAATCTACTTATATCTCTCCCAGCCTTCAGATATGTAGAGATATAACCTTTGAAATACTCGATCACCATTCAAAAACAAGATTTTCAACACACTTAACCCTCGCTCTCAGTATAATTATCTGGCCGTTTTGCTACCTAACTTTATGAGATAGATCTCATGAGCACCTTCACCCGTGCACAAATATGATATTAAACTTAAAGGAGACGAGTAAATTGAAATCAAGTAATAAGCAGATCATATGAATGAAATTCTGTTCGCAGATATAGGGTACAGTCAGAAGCGGAGAAAGCAATTGAACAATTAAATGCCCATTAAAACGCCATGCTTTCAATCCGAATAGCAATCCGATCCTCATACCCTCCACCAAATGCATACCGAAGAAAACCCGAAGATCCCAGAATATAACATGCTGTTTCGCATGCCAACAAGCGAATGGGTATCAGCCAAAAAGCAAAAACAAGCACGAAAAAAAGAAAACCATCAGCGCTAGTAGAGAAAAAAGTATAAATAAGCATAAGATCATAACATCATTTTCAAGATCATGGCTAAGATGTTTTGGCCAGCAAAGCATCAGAGAATTGCCAAGAGTCAAGATGAAAGACAGAACCATTAAAGGCCCCACATAGCTTCAGGGGAGCTATCGTTGAATTGTGCGACCTCACGTAGCCAGGCGCAGTCGAGAACATCGCGGATAGTCCATCGCGTGTTGACGTCCATTTCGAGGCAGCCTTGGACCAGGTCAAGGGCGTCTTGACGGTCGTGGCGGGAGAGTTTGCTGGTGAGCTCACCGAGGAGAGCATCTCGGTTCCATTTACCACTCAGGATATTGGCTTGAATTCGAGGTGCAAACGAGTCCTGGAAAGGCCGTGACCCAACGACAATAGTATAGACAATAACGCCAAAGGCCCAGATATCGACCGAAGGGTGGATCACACCAGCAGATGACTGAATCAATTCGGGGGCAGCGTACTCGAGGCTACCGGCAACGCTGGTACTCGAGCCAGCTGGCCCGATTCTGTTAGGTGGGGGGCGATCTGCGACTTCGTCATAGGGATCCGGACTATCGCCTCCATTATCGGTAGCCATCCATTCGGCCATTCCAAAGTCACACAGCACTAGGTTTGAGGTATTAGAGCCGTCGACGGGGTCGAGAAGGCAGTTCTCCAGTTTAATATCTCGATGTACAACTCGAGCGTCTTGGTGCAAGTAGCGGATCGCACAAGCGAGTTGGTATGAATACTTCTTGGCCAGCTTTGAATCGAGGCCTTGTCGATTCTGACGGACCAGATCAAACAGTGTTCCACCAATCGCAAGTTTGGTGAAACAGAAGGTGGCATAATCTGTCTCGTACACCGAATCAAGAGTCAATATATGCGGGTTGCTGAGGTACCTCCAGACCCGCACTTCGTGGTCGAATTCTGCCTGGACGTCCTCATTTTCGCTTTCGGTGCGACCTGACACTAGCTTTTTCACAATCTTGACCGCGAGTCGTTTGGTGTTGCCTTGTCCTTCGACCTTGAATGCCTCTTTGACCGTGCTGAAGCCTCCAAAGCCAATCTGCTTTCCGAGGACATAGTCAGTTCCCACCAATTGACCTTCCTCATCAGGCGTCGAGGCCGGCTCTGGCTCGTCCGTCTGATTTTGACCGGACCACATGGATAAAAACATGCTTGCAGGAGACTTGCCGCTCGAGTTGGTAGAGCGCCGAGAACTATGGGTGTTCCGCAAACTGCTGCTGCGGTCTAGCGTCGAGCTGCGAGACTTGCTTCCGAATGAAGCCATCATCCCTCCAGACCAAGAATTGCGTTCCTCTGGGGATGCGTAGGGCTGAGTGGGCGACGTGATGCAGAGAGGTGATAAGAGATCATCTTTGGCACTTCCGGGAGGGGTACGCACTTCTTCTGGAACTGGAGATGCCGTGGACAGGGATGTGAGTGAAGTTGGATGATCAATTTCAGTGCCCGTGATTGACTCATCATCCGGGCGTAAGACCGGTTGGGCTCGGGAAGGACCCGCCGGACTGCTCTGCTGTTCCGGGGATTTATTCGAGTCCCATCTCCATGATTGAGGAGCCTGGCGTTGGTGATCATCGTCTTGAGAGAGAGCGTTCCGGAGTCCAGAGGTCCGGGACTCAAATCTCTGCGGGGGCCGATTATTCACATCGTCTTTGGTGAGTGGTTCGCCCAACGGCTCTTCACAGCCGGTGTCCAGGGACACTTTAGGATTGAATGTGATGGAGGTGCGACGTGACTGAAGGTAGTTGTCCAACGGAGAACCCTGGATATCGCTGGGCTTATGAGGAAATTCGTCACCACCTGCTGAGCGGCCATCGGGTCGAGGGACCGAGATGGGAGGCGTGGCTGAATGCAAATCACTTAACACACTGCGTTCTTCATCAGTATCGCGGCGGCGCGCGTTATAATCTTGAGATGTTTTGGTGCGGTCGCTCTCGATACCATCGCCATCTGTCGTCGACCTCCTCCTCTCATCCTGCCATCCTGTTCTCTGACCAAACGAGGTCTCAATCCGTAAACCAGCTACCCCGTTCCTCTCCGGGTACGCCATGCCGAATGTGTTGAAGACGTCGTGTGTTGAAAGCCGTAGGCTTGCAGTCAGGTTCACTTGAACCCTCTGCTTTCCCCAGATGATCGATTATTTTGGGGGGAGTAGAAAAGCGGGGCGATAAGGATTTCGAGCGGGGTCAGACAGTGTGAAATAACGAAAACACAGTGTGGAGAAAGATGGATGATTTTGTTATCTCGAATGTTGTTTGTAAAAAAATGTGATTGAGTTACTTATAAAGAAAAAAAAAAAAAGAGAGGTACCTTCCCCGGTGAGGTCAGTGAGGAATGTAAAAGGATTGGTCGCCAAGAAAGAAAATGGAGAAACTCGGGAAATGACGGAAGAACCTTACTTCACGTTAATCAGTCACTTTGCTTTCATTATAAACCTATCCCAATTAGGCCTAGTGGACGATCATATGATGGATGACATAGCGAGGCGTTCTTGACTCATTGACCATTGGAGCTTGCCCCATGGAGGCTTGGACTGGATCTGGATATCTTCTCTAATTGGGTAATTAGCTATGGATTTTGGGCCACCTAGGTGCTCGAGTAGATTGCCCTTTTATTCATGCAGCTGGAAGCTCCTTCAAGGCCCATGAAGAATGGAAAAGACTGTCATAGATTCATTCTCATGATCTGGAGATCAGATTAATAGAGCTAAAGCCATCACTGTAACAGTACGCAGACCCAGGGATAAGGTCAGGTTGCTGTCTAAACAGTGATACCCTAAGCCCTAGCTACCCCAAAGAGGAAACATGGTTTCAGGGGGAAATCACCTGATTTACCAACGGACATGTGCTTTGACTCTGATTAGCCGCGCGCAAGGGGCGCTTGTTTAGCAACACCTCCTTATTGGTTTCGTCCTGTGTCTCCGGGGATTTGACCCTGAACTTGATCCTGTCCTTTCTTCGTCGCTCTGGCAGTACTTTGTTTTCCTTTTTCCTGTTTCATTCGTGCCCTGTCCCAGTGCAGCGCGCCGGCCCACCCTTTTCCCCTCTCCACCTTTGTTCGTCGAGGCGCAGTCTTTCTTTTAGGGGTGACCCCCAAACTTTAAGACCTCCGTGGGGATCTGGCAATTGATTGAGTCGTATGATTCGGACCTTCAATCGCGATCCTCTTTTTGTTCTCTCTTCGCTTTACGTGTTGAACCTGCCCATGGTTTCCGCTTCCAAACAATCGCGCTTCTTATCCCCGAACGCCCCTGTGTGACCTTCTCACCGCCGAACCCAGCTTCCTTGAAACCTGCAACATGACGAGACCACAGATGATTCGAGCTGGTATGAGAAACATCCGGAATTATCTGACGGGAGAGCGAAACACTAATGATCAGGTCATCCAGATACCTTGGACCTTCAGGACCATGATGCGCCGTCCGCAAAGGATCACTCCAAACAGCCCGAACAACCAGCTCCACTGGGGGCCGGCCGGCCTGCCCCCCACCAAGAGATCTCCATTCGCCATGCCGAACAAGATACGAAGTCCGAGATTTCGAATGGCCCTGAGAATGGCCATGGCTATCAAGACGATGGCGTGTACGGGGAAAATGAGACCGAAGACGAGCTGGATCGAGATTACGAGCACGAGGATGGAGACTTAGCAGATGGGGAAAGTGACGATTTGATGGATGACGACCTACTGGACAAAATATCCAGCTCCCCTTCAATTGACGATGGTGCGTGAACATTGGGTGATTACCCGCCGGCTAAAGCTGACACTGGGCGATGCGCAGAGGATATCGATTTCGAATTCGTCTATGCACTCCACAACTTCGTGGCAACTGTCGATGGACAGGCAAACGCCGCTAAGGGTGATACTATGGTGCTGCTGGATGACAGCAACAGCTATTGGTGGCTTGTACGTGTAGTCAAGGATGGGAGTATTGGTACGTTTACTATACAATATGAAACCCATCTTCAATTTACTAACGACAAGAAGGATATCTGCCAGCCGAACATATCGAGACACCTACCGAACGACTAGCTCGATTAAACAAACACCGAAATGTTGACGTATGTGTTCCTAATGTTGTTTCAACAAATCCAGACTGACATGATAATAGCTCTCTGCTACAATGCTCGGCGACAACAATGAAAAATCCAAGAACCCTCTCAAGAAAGCCATGCGCCGACGGAACGCAAAAACCGTAAACTTCGCACCACCAACATACATCGAGGCATCAGATGTGGAATATTCTTCAGATGAGGACTCCGAACATGGCGATTTCTTCAACGACGACGAAACGGAGACGGTTGAATCTGAAGAGGGTGATAGCCAAGACCAGAGCGAAGATATTACGGTGGAACCTCTTAGGCCAAAGGGACAAAAAGAGAAGTCGGCAGAGCAGGCAGATATCAGAGGATCCACAGACAAGGAGGACTCCGAGCGGACAAGCTATGACCCCCGACGATCAAGTGAGGAATTCTTTGATCCAGAGGAACCTACCGTCAGTCGGTCCAGAAATGGCACTGTACGGAACACGGATTCTTTCTTCAAGGACGATACCGCCGAGCCAAAGAAGATATCTCTCACGCCCAACCTACTGCGCGACGAATCTAACAACAACGGCAACAGTAACAGTCTACTCCATGAATGGAAAGAGGGGCGCGGAAGTTTCGAGACTACCGACAAAGCGTCCAGTCCTCAGGATAAGGTCAAGGAGGATAAGAAACGCAAGGAGAAGAAGCCTGGAATGCTCAGTGGACTTTTCAAGCGCAAGGACAAGAAGACCAAATCGCCTGAAGACGACTTTGAAGAGACTCTCACATCCCCAACCGAGTCAACATTTAGTCAATCGAAGACATCTATGGAATCGTTTGACTCAAAGTCGTCCAGATCTCAAAGACAGACGGGCAACAAATTACAGAAATCACAACCGACAGCCATGTCTCCAACATCGACGGAATCAGCCACTGAAGCCAATCAGTCCATTCGACGAGTGGTGTCACAGGAGGCAACCAGCTTCGAAGATTCTCGAGGAGCCGTCATCTCCCCTACCAGCCAACAAAGTCCTTCGAAGGAAAGCTTTGTTACTCCAATGGAGTCTCAGGATCCCTTTGCATCTCCAGTGGAGCGACCATCCAGCGAAGCTCAATGGAGAGGCGCATACGGAAGCCCAAGCCAGACAGCACCATCGCAACCCTCCGTGGCGTCTCCGCCTCAACGTTTCGTTCCAACACTGGTGACGGCCCGCCCGGAACCAGAACCGGAACCAGAATCCCCCGTCAATGTTTCGCCGATGGAAGGACACATCCCAATTCTTGCCCCGGGGCTCACCGCAGATGCTGTGCGACGGGCGCACTCTATTTCACCTCTCTCCCCACCGTCTTCGCCTGAAGCCGACACTCACGACCTCAAAAGTAGCGAAGCTACCCCTGGCTCACTGGACACACTTTCAGTGGACACTCCAACCTGGAGTGATACCAGTCTACGATCATACCTGGACGAAGAAAATGACATTCGCGACCTTTTCATTATTGTCCATGACAAAACCAACATTCCCCCAGCCGGTGTTGACCACCCTGTCACTGGCCGCCTCTTCAAGGAAGAGAGCAAGAGATTGAAGGAGATGAACAATCAGCTCGATGATATGCTCGTCAAGTGGATGGCTCAGCGCAATCGAAAGTCTGGCTCGCTACGAAATGTGCAGGGCCCAGATGCATAGTATCTGTTGAGTGTATATGTTCATCTTTTTCAGCGTCTCTGTTGATATATGCATAGGCCTGCCGGTTCGCCTAAGACATCAGCCTGGCGGATCATACTTGTGCTGGGCACATCACCTTTGGCCTCTTCCATTCTTTCCCCGTTCCTTATATCCGTCGCACTCACGCTTACTCGACACATTTGAACTTCCGTTTGATCTTATTTTCTTTGTCAAGGGGGATTTTGATTTTGTACGATCAACAGCCAGCCGTCTCCTTTTATTGTCTTTTTTGTTTGTTTGCCGGAATACCCCGAGTCATCCGTCTCTATTTTTGCGATTTTTATCATTTTTTCAGCGTTGATCATCTTCGACAGATGACGTCCTGCAATACCAACTCTTCAGCCATGTGCTATGATCATAGTAGCATTCTTTCTTCCATCGCTTAAACTTGCAAGTGATTATGCCAAGAGCGACCCCACCTTTATAAACCTAAGCCGTATACCCTTGAAGTAAGCGCATCCAGGAGTTTATGCACAGTAGAGGGTCGTGCGCGCGGGTCAGCCGCACCATTGTATATGGCATCTGACGGCCATGTCATCCGACTAGCGCGCCCCTAGTATATAAGCCCCGGTCATCTCACTTGTACCATCAGCCGTAGAAAGTTTCCACCCTACAACAACGTTCACCACCGCACCATGGCAGATCCTTACAATCCTTATACTTCCTACTCCACCCCAGCTCCGGGTGGAGTTGGTTATTACCCACCGGATGAGCAGAACCAGCGACCTGAATACTCACACCAACAGTCATATGACAACTACGGTAATACAGAAGGACAGCAACCCCCAAACTACAACTACAACGCCCAGGCAAGCCCCTACCATCTCGCCCCAGACGCTTATCAAAATGGCGCCCAAGAGAGAAGCTACACACCAACAGGACAACCAGACCACCAGGGTCCGGTATCCCACGGAGGAAATGCTCCAGCGAACGCAGGATACTAGTATGTCTCAATTTTGAACAAAATGATATAACCTTACTCACATTCATCCCAGTGATGGCCACCCAGAGCAACAACCTCGCTATACGCCATCTTCAGGCCCAAGTCCAGCAGTGCATGTGTCAGGAGCTCCAGAATACCCACAGTATGACGAAGAAGGCCGTCCCATAGAATCCGAGGGAGGAGAAACCGATCGCGGCTTGGGAAGCACTATTGCCGGTGGTGCGGCAGGATACTACTTCGGTCACAAGAAGGAACATGGACTACTCGGTGCTCTTGGTGGGGCTATTGCTGCCAATTTCATCGAGAATAAAGTGAAGGATCATCGTGAAAGTTCTTCTGGTAGTCAACATGGAAGTGAGCATGGAAGTGAGCATGGTCACCATGGTCATCATGGTCACCACCATCACCATCATCATCATAGTCGGAGCCGGAGCCATTCACGACATCATGACGAGGATGATTATTGAGTGGGAGGATTTGATGACGCATTATGATAGCTATGGTGGTTTAACGTGAATTATGGCTTGCTTTACGGATCCTAGATAATTTTTTTCTGGGGGTTTGGGTCGTGTTTTAGTTGCATGTGCATGGGTCTGACCGTTACGGTATTACGCAATCAAGATTTATTATTGGCCTTCTTGATGACGTGCTCTAGTATATGTTTTTGCCTTTGACACGTTTCTATGATCTGTTGTTCTCTTTTCTAGTTTCTCCTTACTCAGTTGTTCATACCACCAAGTCCCGCAATTTACTTCCAAGTTGTCGGCCAGGGCTCCGGCACTTTGTCAGGAACAGCCCTAAGCTATTCTGAAAAAAAGCAAAGGTCTAATAAATTATGACCCACGGTGAATTTCCTGCAATGATGATGCTCATGGAGCAAGCCTCGCAGACGACCAAATCTCAACACGCAGGAGACCGCCACGTCCAAATCTGTACCTGATAAATCCTAAGCTTTGTGGACCGAGCTGTATCGACCATAGTAGACTGACTCAGTCTGGCTTTAAGCCCCAACTCAAATTATAGTAGCCTAGAAGCTGGACTGAATTGTATGTGTCTATGCATCCCAGTCATTGTTGCAGCATTTGGTCTGACAAGCAAGCAGGGATTATAACACGACCTGGCCTCTACAACGGCCTATGGAGAAATACTCCGTACATGCCAGAAGTCACCAATATGCTGGAGACCACTGATACCTTTGACATGCCAGATGTCACCTCTCCACCGAGCATGCCGACTTGTTTGCTCGAAGTGCCTCCGCAGTACATTGAGTTGGTACTTGAGACTATCACCCCACCCTCGCGATACTACAGCAGATAGCCAATCCCTCTGCAGCCTTATCGATTATCAACTTGTTTGAGAATGGTAACTTTCCTACTCGGTACATCTCCTAGAGGGTGAAGTCGTGGCTCACTGAACATTATGCGACCAGCGCTCTGACGATTTCCACGGGAATCTTTGACTCGAGCGCAGGAGGAAATAGCGCTACTCCTCTATCTAACCATACTGATTGGTGCAGTGTGTATTCTGGCTGTGACTGTGATGCTGTAAATGTCACGTGGGGCTGCAGAACCCCTAATTCGGATCATATTTGCTTTTCCTTTAACGAAAATCCGTCGGAGTGTTTTTTTCTTGTCGTCACCTTTTGGAGACAGGGATGAATGACAGACAGATCTGTTACATGATATTAATTCAAGCAAGTTAATCATGGGGTTAGTAATGAGAATGTATTCCCCCGGACCAAATCGGTCGCAACGTGATAGGCTAAGGTTTTAGCTTATTTAGCTTATCTCATGAGTCACGATAAGCCCCGATTTGGAGATGATCGCTTGAGCATTCAGCTGATGAGCGACCGGTGACCTGTCCTCGCGCTCTCCCCGCATAACTTAGATCCCTCTTCTCTTCCTGGTCATCTTCTTCACCTTCATACACTCTCTGTCACCTTCATTTCGTGGTTGCTGGCTCTATATCGCCGCCGCATTCCTTATCGCTAGTCCCCGGATCGGCCGTCTCCGACAGTGTCATTGACGTTACCACCAAGCTCCCCCGCCTTCAGACGCGCTCCCCGAGCTGAGAGGATATCTCACACATCATGTTTCCGCCGTTGTTACGAGATCTGGCAGCTGGATCACTCCCTGCTCACTGTGAACCCACGTCACCCTTCTTGACCGCTATCTCCTCACATCTCCACATCTGTCTCCCCACACCACTCGCGTTGGTGTCGATCGTTCTCGGAAACCTGAGTTTCGTGTCATGGCTCTTCGCCCAACTACCACAAATCTTCAAGAACTACCAGCTGCAGTCAACATCAGGACTGTCTATTTTCTTCCTTATCATCTGGTGCGCAGGAGATATCAGCAATCTCATAGGTGCACTGTTTACCCGCCAGGCAGGATGGCAGGTCATGGTTGCTTGTTACTACGTTTTCGTTGACGTTACCTTGGTCATCCAGTTCTTCTGGTATACCCACTATAAATCCCGGCGTTATGAGGAATATGATGATTTACAATCCTCTCATCACCACCACCAAGAGTCCGACGCACGGGGTGAATTCTTGCAAGGCAACAATGCGACCCACCAGCCCCATGGCCCGGTTGACATGACAGTGAAGACAACAAACGTCCATGACATGGGCGTTCAAACTGGCTCGACCCTCAACTCTACAATCGCGCGGAGCGCGTCTTACACGAATGAGAAACAATCCTCACGTCGACCCGTGCGGATGGGTAGCAGCGCCACCAGCCCGCCTTTTGCACTGCCCCGCACAATGCTAATCGCCTCCTTGTTATGCGCTGTCCTGGCAAACGCCGCACCAACTGAGCCTAAACCCTCACCTCATCCACCCATCACCCACGCACCGAACGAGGCCATCCTTGAGATCGTAGGCCGCATCTTCTCCTGGGCGTCTACGCTCCTCTACCTCGGCTCGCGCCCACCACAGCTGTACAAGAACTACTGCCGCAAGAGCACAGAAGGACTTTCACCTTTGATGTTCTTTGCAGCTTTCTGTGGAAACTTCTTCTACTCGGCTTCGTTATTGACGAATCCCAACGCCTGGTCTGATATGGCACCATATGGCGGCGGTGGCTGGGCCGATAGCCACGGCAATGACCGCTGGGAATGGGTCGGGAGGGCGATGCCTTTCTTCCTGGGTGCATTTGGAGTCCTAGGATTGGATGGTTTCATGGGCGTGCAGTTTCTCATGTACGGATCTCCCGACGAGGATGATGTGAGTTTCATCGGCTCAGAAGACGGAGATGGAAAGCGTGGACGGGGCCGGTGGAGACGCGTGCAGGGATGGATGCGTGGCTGGATTCCTTCTGCTTCGCCCCCTCCCGGTGACCGCTCACGCTCACGCACCGCTAGATCACAGGAAGGGCAAGCTCTTCTTGGTGCCGAGCAAGGGCGGTATGGTACTGTTTAGATGGGCTACATTGATACCCTTTATACACCCGAGATCTGTTTTTCTCTTCCCATTTCTCCTTTATAAAGTGAAATGGGGTATGATACATTATGACTTGATGACGGCCGATTGGACTGGGCCGATTTTGATTTTCCAGCGCATTGACCACACTTTCTTTCACTGTTTTGCATGACTGCATCTTGGTTGCTTCGGCACCATTTCATATATTCCGGGGTTTCTTGAGTTGATTATACATGCTTTTTTGGAGTTCATTCTGCTGGAGGACAGGATCAATAGACGAGGTGTCTATACACTGACCTCATCGTATCCTGTCGGGGTTGTTCTGAGAACTGTGCATGGGTTGGCATATGGAATGTGTATCAAGGACTTGCATGACTATCATTACCATGGTAACTTTCAATCATAAGATGAACCTACAGTTTCCAGAATGTAGTGTTACACAGAGACTAAACTGATAATATCAAGTCAGGCTGAGGTGTATCCCAAGGCACGCTCACGCAAAGACCAAATTCAGCCACAATTTTAGCCAACAAATTAGACAAGAAGTGTTCAAGAAGACCATTCAAACCAAGTGCCTGAGGTCCACCTCTAAACCCAACCATCTGAACAGCCCCTTCAAGATGACGCTTGAACATCACCGTATCCCGAACAAATAACTAGCAACCATCAGCACTGAACCCTTATGACTGAATTGAAAGGGTATCCCTACCTCGTCAAAGGCCAACATGATAGCCTGTGCCACAGTTGAATCACTAAAAACCGGTGTCTCGATCGAGATAGCACGTTGCAGTGATTGAAGACACTTAAGCTTATACTGGAAGCCCATTTGAGTAAAATACTTTTGTTGTCGTTCATGCGGAGAACTTATCGCTAAATGTCGACATGATAACAGAAACATGATGTCCAGTAGACATGTTTCACTAAGTGCATGGGGTACCCATGTTCCTGTCATACGTTCGAAGAACGAGGGGGGTGGTTCGTCACACCGCATTAGAGGTATGATACCCGTCACATCTATGGTAAGCGCAAGGATAAGCTTATCAGCTGTGGCGACTAGCGGGCTTGTAGAACTAAGACGATTTCAGCATACGTACAGTGATCGAATAGAGCCTCTTCGATTGGTTGCAACTTTCTTGCATAGCTCATGAATGGATCTCTTCTACTAGCTGACAGCAGAGTGGTAGCCTTGGGCGTAGTTGAATGAAATGCAATTTGTGGTTCGGAATCCGACCCATCTTGTGTGATTTTAATCTCTTCTTCGCGTCTTTTCTGCGCTTGATATTGTAGTGTTCGCTGGCGTCTTTCCTTAGCATGTGCTGCTCGAGCGGCGTGTGAACGGGCGGTTTTTCGTTGTGCTGAGCTTGATTCTGGGCCCGTGGAATGGGCCGGGTTAATGATGTATTGTAGCTTTTGAGGCGCCATGACGGCTTGGATGTATAGCGTATCTACTCTGATTGACAGGGTAGGTAACAGGGATACACATATGTGTAGGAGCTGAGATTGGTATCTATGAGCAGATCGTGAATGTGAACAGTAATCTGGGTCTTGTCCTAACCGAAACGGGTTAGCAGGCTGCTTAATGATCATGATTTGACTTTGCCAAGGCTTGCACCTCCCAGAATAGGAATGGTTTTAGATATTAATTATACCAGGATAGCGTCCTCTGGTATTAACAAGCTGTCTATTAAAATGATCCAAGTCTAGTCTGACCCCAGAGTCTATCGTAAATTTAGTCTATCGTAAATTTCGATCTACGTCACTGTGTAAACGATGGATCGGCAGCTTCGAAAAACCGCATAACCGCCATAGTAACGACTGGATATCCCATAACAACATCATGCAAGCCAGTCTTCAATATTTCCTCTCGAATAACTCCATAGTCCGTTTTCCACTGCATCATAGACCCAGCAGCCCCCAAATCCGCCTTCGCATCTATTTTCTTATCCTCAAGCTCTTCATAGCTAATCCCCGCTGGTATCGACGCATTAACCGCATGCCAAAAAACCAGTTGAGAATGGTGCCATGGAATATCGTAGTCATCCTCTGCATGAATAATCGCGATTCGATACTTTTCGCCATTATGCTCGTTCGCGCGAACATACTGCGCGATGGAGTCCCTGCTCAACCATTTATTCCGAATAAATCGCCGTAGGGTCTTGAATAAGATCGAAAACGGTGCGATCGGTGACAATATGGGGATTGTACCTGCTATTCGGTATGTCGAGACTAGTGTCGCGACATCGACGAATGGTGCAATGAGGACGGTACCGAGAGAGGCAGATGGAATGCAACCCGCATCATGCACTGCGTAAAAAACCAGGAAACCTGGAGTACAGCCAAGAGTTTCGCAGCGCCGTCGGACTTGCTCTTATCACAGATATCATCGATCGAAAGCCCCAATTCGCGTGGTCTTCCCAGCTGATAAGACGCTGCTCTAGTAACCAAGTGTATTGATTCGGCCAGATGACGCGGTCGCCTTTGGGAGTTCGATAGCGCAAAGCAAGCATGCTAATGTAAAATGCGTGTATGAGCTTGAATTCGCCTCCGGTGAAGTCTGCGCATTCTTGTGTCATCCGTTGGCACTGGGCCCATTCTTGTAGTCCCTCCACAGCAATAAATTCCGGCGCGAGTATAGTCTTGAAGAAGAGAGCGACTTTGTGGAGGGTGGCTCGGGATTCGCGTTTGTAGACTCGAGGATGTATCACTATCCAGGTGCAGAGAAAGACCGTACCTAAACAGGATGTTATGAGGCTGATCGTTCCACGACCGGAACCATCCCAGACCCACCCTACCATCTTTCCAGGTGGCGTGGACTCAGTACTGCGCCGCGAAAGAGGTATAACAGCCATCGAGGCGGGATCAATAGAAAGAAATCGCGCGCTGGCTATCCGTAAAATTTGAGACAAGTAATATTTTCAAAGTATGTAGGGTTAATGTGATTTGGTTATGCGATGAGTGAACCAATATACCCCAAGCATGTTAATCTTTATCTAAAGAGCCGAGCAGGTATGGACAAATATAGTACGGGCAACGTGTTCGTGTTACAGATCTGCCGGGGTAGGGCTGACGCTGAACTCGCTTGAACATCAGATCGATTTTATTGCTTATCAGATACGATAGAACTCCTGAGACTTGTAAGTGGCCATCTTGACCCAGTTGACTGGGATTAAAGGACAGCCGAGCTTGAAGTAGTTCGTGGTTTCCAATAAGACACGAATAGGATCATTCATGGAGCCGCCCCTAATTGGGAGCGCGTCACCTCGCATAGACCTAATCTACTTTTGGCCAGACACATCTCCTATTGATAAACAATTGTATTTGTTCTATACCATTTTTAACTGTTTCATGAGAGTCTAGATTTCTCGAATGTAGTAAAAGGTTTTGCAGGCTCGTGCTCAAAATCGAGTTCGAGATCGGTCTGGATTGCCCAGATCCAATAAGGCTTTACTCTGTTGTAGCTTTTGAATATCGCCATAAGCGTTGATCAAAATACATGTATCATTCCCTAACCTTTCTTTGTTTTCCTCTGTTATTTAGGGGTGAGTGAGAACCCATGTTCTGAGCCATCATTTCGGTTTTCCTTGGCCTTGCCTCTCTTCGAAGGAGATCACTAGTCGAGTGCACAGATCCCCACACATATATGAGTATTTGGAGCCCAAATCGAGCAACTAATCACTGGTCTCTAGAATACACATACATTCCTTAAATGATTCCCATGACCGGAACGAGATGTGGATATCCGGTGCCGGCCAAAGATAGGACTCGGGCCGAGTAACCCACTTCCCCGCACACAAGAATTTCCCTATTTGAAATTCAGTATCTCGCGTTGAATGATAACATTCAATTGAGAAACTCATAAATCTTGGAGTCATATACTCTTCTGTGTCAAAGGCATACAGAAATGGCTCAGAAGTCTCGAATCTTGTTGGTTGGCTGTGGAGGAGTCGGCACCATCGCTGCCCTGAACCTTGAGCATGGAAACAAGGCTGAGGTTTCCTGTGTCTTGAGGTCGAATTTTGAGATTGTGAACAAGCAGGGTTTCACGATACGGTCGTGTGAACATGGTGACCTTACAGAGTGGCGACCAAGTCACGGTCAGAAACCCTTTTCATCCGGCACCTTACCCATTTTACTGATCAACATGTCAAGTAGTTCTGGATAGAGTTCCAGACGTATCCAATTCAGACATTCAGCCCTTCGACTACATTGTGTGCTGCACGAAAAACACACCAGACATCAAACCTATTGGCCAAATTATTGCGCCTGCAATTTCGCCCAACCACACGGTCATTGTTCTGATTCAGAATGGGCTTAACATTGAAAAGCCTTTGATGGCTCAGTTTCCTCAAAATATGGTTCTGTCGGGAGTCAGTCGCATTGACGCTCATGAAATTAGCAAAGGCGTGATCGAGCAAAAGCAACGAGATCTTCTCTATATCGGACCCTTTCCTTCCCAGCCCCATGACGCAGAATCACTCAGCAAATCTGCCCTGCATTTTATCGATATATATGGCGCTGCGGGTAAAACCACTTGTCTCTACAGGCCTGATGTTGGGTATGACCGCTGGGCTAAATTGGTTTACAACGCGACGCTCAATCCCGTTTCCGCTCTAGTGGATTTAAACACGGGGGAGCTTCAGATGACTAGTGTCGTTGACACCCTGGTCATTCCAGCTATGAAAGAAGTTATGAAAGTCGCAGGAGCCGCGGGTCATAAGCTTCCAGATGGGATCATTGAAGAAACCATCCGCAGTAATCCCATTGAGAAGATGATTACGCCTAGTATGCAGGTTGACACTCAGGCGGTAAGTCAATCACAATACCCTTCGTTGAACGGAGTTCTAAGAAAACATTAAGGGATCGTTTATTGAGCATGAGAATTTGCTTGGAGAGGTATGCCGTGAGGCTCAAAGACTCGGCGTAAATGCTCCGATCCTCTCTACATTGTATTCTTTATGTGTTGCTGTTCAATGGCGGACCAAGAAGAATAAAGGCTTAATAGACATGAATGGCTCTTAGACATCATTCACTAATTATCCACTGATCTATTTATTGGACAGTACTCAATATTTGTTCTCTTCCCTTTCCCTTGCGGTTGAAGAAACATGCATAGCAAGGCTTATGCGAAGACCGGCTTTAGTCACTCAAAAGTAATTTGCAATGATCTTTCCATTCCCCTTACCATAAGTATGATATCGAGTCATGTGACTTCAAACCAGGCAAGAGAAAACATCAGTTGCTCCGAATTACACTTCCTTTCCTTATACTTACCATGATGGCAAGTATAGACGACTTCAGCCCTGAAATCATTGCTCTCATAGTAGAGCACCTTGAAATTGACGATCTCTTCAACTTTCGTCTTGCTGCTCGGTATCTTGCTGCGTGTTCCCGCCCAATTTTCACCCAGCGCTATTTTCACAAACGATTTCACCTTTTAACCCACGGTAGCCTGATAACTTTACTGGAAATTTCGCGCAATCCAAATTTTGGGCCTTATATCAAAGAAATCCATATCATCACCAAACAATATATTCCAAGACGATCGCTCCCAATTTCTGCTGCCAGCGTATCGCAACTTTCGTGGCTCTCCTCTCCTCAGGGAGTCATCACAGAAATCGGGCAAAAAAATTACTTGTTCGAGCAAGAATGGTTCCAAATATCAGGTTTGGATACTACCTATCTGACCCAAATTCTGCAAAATGCGAGTAACTGCCATACTATTGTCCTCGACGGGAAGCAGAGACCTTGGGGGGCTGGAATCCCCGAGGGGAAGGCCGGCTCCTTTCCCAGAATAAGCAGGGCCCTTGCCAAACGAGCAATCCATGTCTTGATTGCGGCTGTTGCTGCCAGCAAGGCCCAGATTACTACTTTGGCGCTTAATGGTAATTTCGATGCACCGCACATAGAGACAAGCATGTTAAGACTCCCCGGTTTCTGCCTGGACAACGATATACCATGGATCACTTCGCTGAACAAACTGAGCCTTGCCGTTGGTCCTCATACAGGTGGAAATCCTATTACTTGGGCCGAGCCTCTGTGTAATTTTATCACACAGTTTCCAAGACTCGAGACTTTACGTCTAGAATTCCCTTTCAGCGTGGAACAAGAAGACTTCGCTGCACTGAATCGAATGTTGACGCTGCCTAAAATTCGAACTCTCGAGCTCTGGAGTGTTTATTGCCTTTCAGACGATCTGTTGAATCTCCTCTATAAACACCATAGCACCCTCCAAGCAGTGGCCCTGGAGATGGTTACGATTGATACACGAAATGGAGGCTCATGGCAATCAGTGTTGGCTGCAATCCGCGACAATTTCCATCTCGTATCGTTTAGAATGGCATGGTGTCACACGGACTCTGATATGATGTGGTTTGGAGAAGATGATCGTGATATATCAAATGATGTATTGGTAAAAGGCGGGCACTCATGTTTATTCGACTCCCTCATCAATGGTCTGAGGAGAAGAAGTGACAAAGAGTATATTATTAAGCCAGGAACCCATATAATTACTTGACTGAGACATGTATTACCAGATATATGCCTTGTTAAGGAAATTGAGTAGCCAATATGGGCCTCCTTACTCAGTGTTATACACATAATTACGATGCCAGGAATGGATGTTCCGTGTCATATTGAAATATGGCAGGATGATTGCTGGCGCTTGGTAGTGATCCTGGGTCCCAAACCACACCAATAATAACACGATGGGTTGCTATTTTAAAAATAGCTTATACAAATAGTGTAAGTCGCGCTATACTATACTGTATGCACTTGCTTGGTATCATACCGCAAGATCTTGTCACATCAATATGCACTGCGCGTTTTATGTGATTAGGATTTAGAAGAGTATCAGACATGGTTGGCAACGGTCGCAGTAATAGAGTAGATTTGTCAACCAAGTCCAAGTCTATCGCTAATCACTATTGTGAGAGCTTCAAAGTGAGATGGGATCATTTTGCCAAGACCTGTGCTTTCCAAATCCAGAAAAGCTGCGGAGATAGGTGATAACCCCAGTCAAACCCATAGCAAAACAATACATTGCCAAATTTTAGAAAAGCCCTTACTCGTTTATTTAAATATCTAGTCTCAATCCCACTAAAATATGTTTTTCAGACTCTTCTTCTTTCACAATCTTCAGTCACCTTCCAGAATGAACGGAACGGTCCTTGTAACCGGGGCCAACGGCTCCCTAGCCCTCGGCTTCACCAAGTCGTTCCTATCACTCTACCCAAATCATACACTCATAGCGACAGTCCGGAACCCATCACCAGAAAAGGATCCCAACACCGCCAAACTCGTCCAACTTATTTCCAAGTACCCGAAGGCGAACGTCCTCATCGAAGGCCTGGATCTCAGCAACCTAGCAAACGTCCGTTCCTTCGCAGAGAAACTCTCAACTCGCATCCGTGCTGGAGAGCTTCCCAGACTTACCGCGGTAATATGCAACGCTGCTTCAATTTCCCTGGGCGGAGGCCAGAAGTTCACTTCCGATGGCTTCGAGTCTACGTTTCAAATCAGCCACCTATCGCATTACCTACTGGTCTTGAAGTTGCTTGACAGCATGGATGTTCGCTCAGGACGGATTGTCATGCTGGGATCTATCACTCATTATACTGACAAGCCAAACCCGTTTTACTCGTTGAAGACGTACGCTCCTGTTGATATCGAGGAACTTGTGAAGCCAGATCCTGATCCCCCGTCTTTGGTTTATGATCGGGGATTCCAGAGATATGGGATGGCTAAGCTTGCGAACGTAACGTTTGCCAATGATCTTAACAGAAGACTGAAGAAGGTGAATAGATACTTGCACAGAGTTTGCTGGAATAGAAGCCGGTCGCTAATTCCTTCTCAATACAGGATCCCAAACTATCGAATGTGTTTGCAATGTCTATGGACCCGGGTGGGCTCCCTTCATCAAGAGGTCAAGTGGAGCAAAAACGCGTTCTTAGACTCATCTTCGGGGTTATCAACTTCATGATGCCGGTCCTCAAGCATTTGACTACTGAGTTTCGCACAACGGACGATTCGGGTCGGGATCTTGTTGCGGTTAGTGTTGATCCGGTGTTTCATGGAAAGAGTGGGTACTTTGTGGGACAGATACAAGGGAGTTTTACTCCTGCTAGTGACGATTTGGAATGGCAGAAGAGGCTTTGGAATGCTTGTTGGAAGTGGGCTGGGCTTAGTGAAGGAGAAACGATACTTCAGGATTGTTCATAGGCTTTTAGTAACTAGTCACTCCCAAATCGTATATGTGAGAATCCTAATGATTTGTGAATATACAGAGAATCCAGGCTGTCGTTGGTTTCAAACTCTCAGTGTGCCCGGTAGAGGATGACATCTATCGACGGAAGGCAGCTCAGTCAAAGGCCTGATCTACGTAGAACGCATATCTTCAACAGTCTTGAAAAACTATATTTGACCAAGTCTAAAGCAAAACAGCAAATCCCATACCTAGTGCTCACAAAGATTGAAATCACCCTTCTCAAAAGCCTCGTTTTGTTCCAGAGACTTTGCACTCCTCTCATCCATAAGCTCCAATCGCAACTCCTTCGCCTCATCCATGCTCATCAACTGCTGTAGCACACCCTCATCGCAAACCATATTTCTCAACTCAGCAGGAAGGTTCTCTGAAAGCACCTTTTGAGCCAGATCATATTTCTCCCTTCCCCAATCTTCCTGCTGTGGAGGAATGTTTGCAGTCGAAATGATTCGTAAATGTGGATCAACAAGGAATAAAGCCAGGATCTTCCGGTGGCCGGGCTTTGACCGGTCAGCCAGCGAAAATGGAGTCACGCAGTGCTGAACGACGTTGGGGAAAGTAAGAAGACGGCCTTGCCGGCAGACAACGCCTCCTAGGTCTTGCGTCATCTGGGCGTTGACGGAATAGCCGTCAATATCGGGTCCGAATCCGAAAATTTCTTGGAGGAACTCGTGTTGTCCTTGTTCGTAATTTATATCTTCGGCTTTCTCTTCGTCTGCACGTTGGCGGAATGCGAGAGTGCTCTCTGTAATATTTTCGCTGTCATAGTAGTAGATAGCCGTCGCACAGATGCGTTCATTCTATAGGTCCAATAGTGAGTAAAATGAAAGACAGAAGTGATTTGCACCGAGGTTAACTTACCAGTTGACCTTCAATATGCCAGGATCCTCCTTCGTACTCAGGATTTTCAGGAGACAGCTCAATGTTGGCCAACTTCACGATAACCTGCAACCCAGTATCGCCAAACAGCTTTTGAATATCCATTGATTTTTCAGACTTGTATTCGGTGAATTCTCTCGGCTCCGGCTGTTTGATTGTCCCAGCACTGTTCCATCTCATCCAACGGTGCCAGTGAGCACGATCAGTCTCGTCGGGTCCTTGCACCGGTTCTGGCTCCAGGCGATCAAGGTCAACGAAGGAATATTCAATCCGATGACTTTTCTTTATCTCGCCAGTCAAAGTTCTGTTCCACAAAGGTATGGCGCGTGCGAGGACTTTCTCGATGACCTTGTACAAGGTAAGATGCCGCCCGGGATGCAAATTGTTGATGTAGGAGGTGATGCGGCACTCGGGCTCCGCTTCTGTGGAGCTCAGCTTCACGTCACAAGGAAGCCATTGGAACTTGCGACTCCAGCGACCACCCGCATCTTTGGGGACTGTCAGTATTTCTCCTTGTCCTGTGGTATCGAGACAGTCTTCAAGACCAATCGACTTATCGCGCAAGATACGGCTGCGTCCGTATACGAGCGGAAAAAGTGATGGATGGACAAGATCAAGGACCTTTTGGTCTGTTCCAGGATGGTAATCTTTCTGGTCGTCCGGTATGTTTTCCAAAGGAGCCACTTCATCCACCAGGGCTTTCCGCAATTCTTCTGGGATTGCGGTGTCTGATTTGACCACGCCAATGTCAAAGATAGTGATGAAACCGTCGGAATTGAGGAGATTGGCTTTCCATTGCAATTCCTTAACGATATAGTCCATCATTGCCGGGGAGATATCCTCGCCACTGCTAGAGATCTCTTCGCGCCATTTGGTAGTTATTTCCTCATTGAAAATCTGATATGAATGTTAGGGCTTGTAGCTCTTGGTGGGAACGCGTGGCCTACCTTCTGGTTCCACTCTGGCTTGTCAGTAATGGCGTTCATCACGCGCATCATTACTATTTCTCGATGAACCTTGAGGGATCTAATAAGGATAAGTATTGCATATTCTAGCCCATATGTGGATGACTTTCCTACGTTGAGGTGAACTGTAATGCATGGGGACAAAGCGGGAGAGGTGTTTCCTGTACATGTTAGTGCTTTCCGGCGGGATTTTATAGAGCAAAGATCTTACTTTAGGGAGATAGTCAAGAGGCAATGTGAAGCCAGGCAAACCGGACTGTTCCGGGGCGGGCTTATGTGGTACTACCGACATTTTTGCGGTCTGATTTCCATAATCAGAGATGGGGATGCTGGCTATTATATAGCCTGGCCGATGGATAAGCCAAGACTAAGGGTTCACGCTAAAGCTTGGCGCCAGAGGCTGCCAGGGTGACTGCCTAGTACCTGCCTGACTATTGTCTGGGATCCATGGATCCATATATTGATTCTAAGCTTCTTTAGGTAAGTGCAACGAAGTATTCTACAAGTCTCAAATCCATCTAATTATAAATTGATCTAAACAGACGACATGGACCTACCATAATCAGAAGCGAGCTTCTCAAATGGAAAGGCAAAAAGCATAACCCAAAAGTCACTCACAGCCAAAACTGCAGGAGCAGCAACATGATACAATACAGTGTAGCTAGAGCGCCGATGGAAGAAGAGAAAGCCAGCCTGTGCTCTGGGTAAGAATAACAATAGACAAAGCATTATTAGGCAATGTTCTAGACAGGATAAAAATAACAGAGAAGAGAAAAATACAGAGAGCTGGATTAAAAGGGGGTTTGTATGCAAGGAAAAATGGGGGACATCTTCATCAGAACCAGGGAAGTATTATATGAGAAACAGGGGCATATTCATTCGTTGCTTGTTCGAATAATTCATGACCGGAAGATGTTTTTTTCTTGGCTTCGGATTCCTTTGAGGCCCCTTCTCTTTCATTCCCGGAACCAGTGACATTTCCTGCTTCAGTCGTGATGCGACATTTCATCAAAAGCCGAACCAACGCCGAAAGCAAGAAGACCGAGCAAAAACAGACAGGAAAGGGGAGGTACGCGGGATTAATAGACCGTTACACGGCGTGACCAGCACCAACCGGGCTCCGGGGGGACTCGGGCAGAAAGGCAGAAGCTTAAGAATGCAGCATGTTCCAAGGCAGCATCGCAGAACAGGAAGGGTCAAACTAATACAAGGGTGACTTGACATCCTGAACTCCACGTCGGACAACGTCCTCGACCCGCCATCGGGGAGGAGAAATGTGAGGACTGCGCTTACGCTGCCACTCCTTCTCCATCTCGGGCGGAGGAGCCATTTCTTCGGCAGGGGGTAGCGCACCACCAGCAATACCAGTAGAGAACTTCAATTGCAGGACATTGCCGATTTCGTCACAAGCAACCAGAACTCTGTCGAGATCATCCTTGGTGTGAGCAGCCGACACACAGAAACGAGCACGGGACGAAACCAAAGGAGTAGCGGGGTATCCGACAACCACAACGGAGATCTTGCGCTTGAGCATCTCGTGGGAGAAGGCGGGCATCTTTGCGGGATTAAAGAGCAGAACAGGGATGATTGGCGAATCATCGTGGCCGTATACTATAAAGCCAAGACGCTTTAGGCCCAGGCGGAGGTAGCGTGAGTTGAAAGCCAATCGTTGCAATCGCTCCTCGCCTTGTCCAGGAACGAGATCGCCCCTAATGATGCGAAGAGCGGAAGAAATTTGGGTGAGCACCGCCGGTGCGGGGGCCTCTCCGTAGAAGATACCCGAGCTGGTGGCCCGGAGCTTGTCAATCATCGCCTTGTCGGCTGCAATGTATCCACCGTTGGCACCAAACGATTTTGTGAGCGTTCCCATCAAGATGTCGACCTCCGAAGTAGGAATGCTGAAAAAGTCACACACACCCTTGCCCAGAGGACCAATAGCTCCGATAGAGTGAGCCTCATCAACGAACAGGTGGAACTTGTATCGGTGCTTCAATTCAACAAGACCAGGCAGGTTGCACATAGACCCTTCCATCGAATATAGACCCTCGACAACAACCAAAATCTTCTTCCAGGGGCGGTGGGTGCGGGGTTGGCCTTGAGAAATGGCTTCGCGGAGCTTGACTTCAAGATCCCGCATGTCATTGTGCTTGAACATGGCAATCGAAGCCCCGGAAAGACGAGCACCGAAGCGAATAGAAGCGTGGTTCAATTCGTCGGAAATGAGAAGACAACCCTTGGAAACGAGAGCAGGGAAGATACTGGCGTTGGTGCCGAATCCCATGGAGTAAACCATGGATGCCTCCTTGCCGACAAAGTTCGCTATGAGTTCCTCCACCTCGACGTGAAGATCCTGGGTGCCAGTCTCCGCGCGAGTACTAGGCGTGCAGATACCATATTTCCGGACCGAATCTTCCGACATATCGGCACAGGGACCTTCCGACTGGGCGAATCCCAGGTAGTTGTACGAGCTCAGATTCAACGTATCCGTGGTGGTACCTGTCAGGTAGAAGTGGTGGTTGTAGTCGTCCGTGGCACGATCGATCAAAGTGATGGTGCGGCCAGGAACACCAGTGACGGGACGCTCAAAGCAATCGTTGATACGCAACTTGAGGCGACGCACATAGAAGTTGTCAAAATCGCTGTTCAGGGCACCGTAGCCGTTGCGGGCCTTGAGATGACGATAGTTTTCCTCGCGGAAGCGCTTTCCAAAGAAGTCACGAACGTGACCGAAAGCAATTAGAATTAGGTAGCTGATGTACGTCGTAAGCAGATAATAATACGGCGGTTCGTCCATCACCGGTTCCGGGAAAACACCACCAGGGTGCCGACTGGAGTAGCGGTGACTCGCATGACCGATGGGACCGAATTGAGCATGTTGCTTGGCCAGCCGGCGGGCCTCCTCAGGAGTTGGCGGCTGGAAGAGGGTGGTCGGCGATTCTTCCATGTTCGGATTATCAGCGGTAGCGGTGGACAAAGAAATTGTCGGTAAGGACAGTGATGCCGAGCTGATCGGCGGATTAGGATTCCCACTGGCCGACTGAGGGGTCGACTGAGGAGGCTGAGAATCGGTCTTGGATTTGGGCGAGACCGAGAAGAATTGGGACAGGCGATGAGACTTGACCGAGGGCGCCTTGGTGGCGATGCTGCCCTTTCCCGTGGAGGGTGAGAAGGAGGGAGAATTAGAAGGGGTGTCGATGGAGGAGGTGTTGCTGAACCGACGAGGCATCGCAGAGGGAAGTAGCGACTCGGGGGTTGACAAGATTGACAGCAATATTTTACTGTCGGTAATAGGGGGCGCGTGGGTTCCTTCACGCGTCCAAGTCAACAATTTGAGGCAGGGACTACCCGATAAAGTGCAACAAAGCGATCTTCACGAGATTATGTGTCTGCCAGTGTGTCTCCGTGTTTTTTGATGAATCCGACAGCAACCGGGGTAAACTGGGAGGGGGAAAGCGGCGCCAGGTTAGTCGATGGGTTCTCAAGGAGCGAGTGGGTCAAGCGAGATTCGGGTGGAGATGGTGGAATTGTGCGCGTTGTGAAAACAGAGGAATCGAATGGCGAGATGAAGTCACTCTGAGGTTTCCACGATTGTACGTACTGTGGGCTGAAATTGGTCGCGGGAGGCAGATCCGACAACCTCCGGGGCGAGGCTTAGAAAATTGTGGCTTCACACGTGGAATGGGGGGTAAAGAACACAAGAACAAAGGGGCCAGTGCCCACAGTTCCGAGAAATTGAAACTGATAAGAGTCTCCCAAGAATACACGGATGGAAGGGAGAATCGGGCTAAGGAAAAGGAGGAAAGGAGAGAGATGAGGTGGTGAATCCGTTGTGTACCTGCTGCGTCTCATAATCATCATGCAAAGCAGGATATGCTGCCTCCTGGTATTTAATGATAAACGTGGCGGGTACGGGTGAAAGGTGAACTTGATTGGCTTAAACTCAAAGTTACGGGTAATATACAGCCCCATTACAATGGGGCTTTTTTTTCTTTTTACTTTTTTCTTTTTCCGTTAGTGCCGGCAGCCAAGTGGTCCCTCAATCTAAGCAAATCAGGTACCAGCTACCTTCCATTGGGCTCTAGACAAATGGCTGCTCAAGTCACATCTACCTGCAAAGCCCGAAACCCTTAGGCCCCCAAGTTTACTGGTCATCATAGCAATCTATAATTTTCTGTCTCCAAGTCTATAGGTGCAATAATAACAAGGGGCCCTTTGAAAAGCTAGGCTGCAGCACTCCTTACTGTGGATACATTGCCCCTGGAAAACCTAGCATGACAGCCTTACACATTTGAAAACCACCAACTTTAATTCTAACCTATGGATTGATAGAAATTCTTTGTCAAATTTGTAGCTCCGGGGCTTGGTGAAGTAGCACTAATCTATGAACTTACCCAAAAGCCTATCCAAGTACCTCCCAGGGTTACAGTCTCGATCCCTGGCACCAATTCTACGATGAACCAAATTTCTTAGTCTGGTACTACCTCACTTGTCAGGCCTATTCTTACCAGAATCTAACAATCAATATCAAAAAAAAAAAAACGGCGACTGAAGGAATCATGGTTGAGTCATGCCATGATGACCATAGATATACACCTAGTATGAGTGTATACATTAGATTAACATATGAGCACAGACAATGTTCACTGTAGTTCCGATGACAGGGCAGTATGATGGATCTTTCCACTAGACCAGATACTACCTAGGGAACGATCCATCGAAAATTTGCATGAAAACGGTCGAGACCGTGGAAATTTGATATTGCCGCCTGAGGCATGAAGCGTCACTCCCGCATTCCGCTTTGGTTCCGCAGGGGGGTATTCCAAGATAGTCTGATGATACTTTATAAGAGTGTGTGGGACCATAGATGAACTGCGAAGATTGGAACATTTTTGTCTCTTATTGAATTTCCAGACTCACATCCAATTGTGGTCGTTCCATAATCTACAGTGCAGTCTTAGGCCTTTTATAGTACCGCCTTATACCCGCAGCCGCGGCAACTAAATACCCGACTGAAGCCGCCTCGTGCTCCCTTGTTGGGAAAATTGCATGGTGTGACTTGCCTTTTCCGTCTTCAGGTTGAGTTGAACCCCTGCAAGGTCAATCCCAAGGATTTTTTAGCGCGCTTTTAAGAAAGCACGCCTATAGCATATACACCCCAGAACTTTCTCACCAGGGACTATTCTACGGAACAATTGAACAGATCTCTTAGCACCCGCCCCTGTCAGAACGAGGTTGCATAGGTGCAACACTTTCGATTTCCGGTTCAATTGTCATTGTACCCACGATGCCGCACATCGATGAGGATATCAATCTGGAGGCGAAGGAGCTCTGGCGACCTTCGTCCCCTGAGAAAACGCAGATTTACGATTTTATGACCAAAGTGAGCACTAAACATGGGATATCCATGTATGATTACAATGCTCTTTGGCAATGGAGTATCTCAGAACCCGCCAAGTTCTGGGAAGAAATTTGGCACTACACAGGAATCAAAGCCCATGAACCATATCAACAGGTTAGTATAGTAATACTCCCCTTGCGATCAATATACTGACGCCATTTCAGGTTCTCGAGTCTGACAAAGTGCTTTTCCCTCGGCCAGCATTCTTCGAGGGCAGTACTCTGAACTTCGCCGAGAATCTCCTGTACCCGGCAAGCTTGCCGGATGAGAATTCGATCGCTGTGATCGGCGCCACCGAAGCTGACCGAGAATTCATCTCTTGGAGAGAGCTTCGAGAACGAGTTCGAAAATGCGCCAATGCACTCAAGGAAGCAGGGTTGCAAACCGGCGACCGCGTAGCCGGTTTTGTCGGCAACCATGCCAACACTGTCGTGGCCATGCTGGCTGCAGCCTCGATTGGTGCTTTCTGGACAGGAGTTTCCCCAGATACAGGCGTGCATGCTGTTCTCGAACGCCTCAAACAGGTTGAGCCAAAGGTTCTCTTTGCCGACAATTCGTCATTGTATAACGGCAAAGTGCATGGGTCTCATGCCAAAGTGCGTGAGATTGTGTCTGAATTACCTGATTTGGAGGTTTTGGTGGTATTTGAGACTGCCAAGTCCCTCGATTTCAGCCTCGACCAACTTCGCCCGGAGAATGGCAAGGCCGTGACTTATAATGACTTCGAAGCTGCCGTTCGGGACCAATCAGCACCGTTGGAGTTCGCAAGCTTGAGACCCGATCATCCAGTGTATATTTTGTACTCTTCAGGCACCACAGGAGCACCGAAACCTATCGTGCATGGGTCTTTGGGCACATTGTTGCAGCACAAGAAGGAGCACCTTCTTCATTGCGATATTCGACCTGGTGATCGGCTGTTCTACTTCACAACAACGACTTGGATGATGTGGCACTGGCTAGTGTCTGGCTTGGCAAGTGGTGCTACTATTGTCCTGTATGATGGGTCCCCCTTCCGGCCTTTCGATGTCGAGGGAGGCAATGGAGAAATGGCCATGCCCCGTCTCATCGATGAGCTACAAATCACCCACTTTGGTACCTCAGCCAAGTACCTCTCAATGCTAGAACAAGCGGCGTTAAACCCCCGCAAACATGCCCACCGACCAGTCTCCCTCAGCACTCTGAGGGCAATTTTCAGCACTGGGTCTCCGTTGGCCCCATCGACATTCGAGTATATTTACTCGTCTATCCATTCGGATGTCATGTTAGGGTCAATTACGGGTGGTACAGACATTATTTCTTTGTTCTGCTCGGGTTGCCCAATTCTTCCCGTCTACAAAGGCGAAATCCAGTGCCGCTCCCTTGGCATGGCGATCTCCGTGTTTGACTATGCCGGGAATGATATAAGTGCCTCGGGCGAGCCTGGTGACCTTGTTTGCACTGTGCCTTTCCCTGCACAACCTGTCATGTTCTGGCCTCCGGGCCCCAAAGGTCACGAGAAATACCGCAAGAGTTACTTCGACGTCTTCGGTCCTTCAATCTGGCACCACGGAGATTTTGTACGTGTGAACCCACAGACTGGAGGTGTGGTAATGCTCGGCCGCAGTGATGGTGTCCTTAAGCCCTCTGGTGTCCGTTTCGGGAGCGCTGAAATCTACAATGTACTTCTGAAGCACTTTGCCGATGAGATTGAAGATTCTCTTTGTATTGGCCGGAGGCGTGAGGGTATTGACTCTGACGAGACAGTGGTCCTCTTTATGAAGCTCGCCCCCGGCTGCCCCTCTAGTGTGCCGGAACTAGCGGCTCGTATTCAGGCCATCATTCGCAAGGAGCTGAGTCCCCGCCATGTGCCAGGTATTATTGATGCTTGTCCCGAGATCCCGGTGACCTCCAATGGCAAGAAGGTTGAGAATGCGGTTAAGCAGATCTTGTGTGGACTCAACATTAAGATCGGCGCAAGCGTTGCCAATGCTACTTGTCTTGATTGGTACCGTGACTGGGCTTCGGCAAATTCCTAAACGCCTCCATGGATACATTGCAAGGTCAAACAATTGAAGATAATAATATGCAAAAATAGATTGCTGTTGATACACAAACATGTCGTCATAGTAAAAGATTCTAGACTGCAACCCTTGGTAAGCATTACATCCCGACAATAGATACTTCCATCAAATGTTCGAAATAAAAGACCAATGAGTTAGGGATTTAATAATCGTTCCAGAATTCTGATTAGTAAATTGAACCTGTAAGAACCATGTCTAGCCTCGAGGTCGAGATCATGTAACGGCTTAGGTAATCATGTCGGTGCTGCGCTCCGGAATTGATTCTTCGCCGACACACGTTTCCCGACTCCCCCGGATTCACTGCAAAGAAGGCGTGCAAAACACTCCTTCTTATACAAACTGCCACGCGTGTCCCAATGAAAGGAAATATGCGTCGCACTGCTTTGCGGGCGGTCGAGTCCGCAAAGCCTTTGACTCGAACGGGTCGTTCAGCGAGAAGCTTTGCTACTCAGAGTGACACCGCTAGGGTATGTCGCCTGATCGTCTCTACTGCAAACAAATCTAACTTGCAATTTTTCTGATAGGACCCCGCTGAGCTCGATCAAATCACCACACTTCCAAATGGAGTTCGCGTCGCCACAGAATCATTACCGGGTCCCTTCGCAGGTGTCGGAGTTTACGTCGATGCCGGTTCTCGTTACGAAGATGCAAGCTTGCGTGGAGTCAGCCATATCATGGACCGACTGGCCTTCAAGTCAACCAAGGCACGATCGGCTGATCAGATGCTAGAGGTGCTTGAGTCGTTGGGCGGTAACATCCAATGCGCGTCATCGCGAGAGTCGTTAATGTACCAGTCTGCTAGTTTCAACTCGGCGGTTCCTACAACTCTTGGCCTCCTGGCTGAGACTATCCGGGATCCTCTGATTACTGATGAAGAGGTACTCGAACAACTGGCCACAGCAGAGTATGAGATTGGCGAGATTTGGGCGAAGCCGGAACTCATCTTGCCGGAGCTTGTTCACATGACCGCATTCAAGGATAACACACTTGGTAACCCTCTGTTGTGCCCCGAAGAGAGATTAGGGGAAATCAATAAAGCTGTAGTGGAGCGCTACCGTGAGGTCTTCTTTAACCCGGATCGGATGGTTGTTGCCTTTGCTGGCGTGCCTCACGCCGAGGCCGTCAAGCTTACCGAGCAATACTTTGGAGACATGAAGAGCCGTGACATTGCCCACGGCAAGGGGCCTGCTCTGTCGGGTTCCGGAATCGATACTACACTCTCCGATTCTCATGACGCCGCCAAAGAGGGACAGATCCCAACTGTTCCTCAATTCACAGCTTCTTCCACCGTGAGCAGCTCGGCCGCTTCACAAACCACCAATTCCTCGTTCCTGTCGAAGCTTCCCTTCCTTAAGAAATTCTCCCCACAAAACCATACCTCGGTCGAACCACTCCACCCTTCTTTGATCGAGCCCTCTGCGTTGGATCTTCGCCGCCCTGCTCACTACACTGGTGGCTTCATCGCCCTTCCCCCGATCCCGCCGCCAGCCAACCCTATGCTGCCTCGTTTGAGTCACATCCACCTTGCCTTCGAGGCCCTTCCTATCTCCTCTCCCGATATCTACGCCCTTGCTACCCTTCAGACACTTTTGGGTGGTGGTGGCTCTTTCTCTGCCGGTGGTCCCGGTAAGGGCATGTACTCTCGACTTTACACCAACGTTCTGAACCAGCACGGATGGGTCGAAAGCTGCATGGCCTTCAATCACAGCTACACTGATAGCGGTATCTTCGGTATTACCGCCTCATGTAGCCCCGTCCGGACAACAGAGATGCTTGAGGTCATGTGCCGCGAGCTGCAGTCTCTCACCCTGGATACTGGTTACAGCGCTCTGCAGACCCAGGAGGTCAACCGAGCCAAGAACCAGCTTCGTTCGTCCTTGCTCATGAACCTTGAGTCTCGCATGGTTGAGCTCGAGGATCTTGGACGCCAGGTCCAGGTGCATGGTCGTAAGGTCAGTGTGAAGGAGATGTGTGATCAAATTGAATCTTTGACCGTCGAGGATCTCCGTCGTGTGGCTCGTCAAGTCTTTGGTGGCCAAGTGCAGAACAAGGGCCAGGGAACTGGCAAACCCACCGTTGTGCTGCAGGAGGGCGAGGTTGAGGGATTCAAACTGCGATCTTTCCCCTGGGAGGAGATCCAAGAGCGCATTGCGCGATGGAAGCTTGGTCGCCTGTAAATATAGATCTCAATGCTCTGATATGAAGCGCCCTGACTCCATAATGTCGGGTGTCTCCGTGATAGTCCAAACTTACCATTGACATTAATGGAGGTCAAGGGGAAATAACTGGGATAAGATGTGTATTCTAGATAGACATTTGAACAACACAACTCTGTAAATTATTCAATCAATCATTCAATCATTAATCCGTTGAGCTGTTTGCTGTTCTGTCGTCATATTGTTCGTGTTCCGAGCGGGTCCAAAGTCCCAAGCTCGCTCGCCGCTTTTGCCCGGCAAAAAAGTCGGAGCGTCCAAACTCGCGCTTCCTCCATCATCCATCACCCTCTAACTACACTCATTCAACTCCCCCATCCCAACCCACCAACACCGCCAAAATGGTCAAGCTCACCGAGGTCGAGGACGAGGCTTTCACCGACAAGCCCACCCCCAGCAAGAACGATGCCCTGCTGGTCTCCGATGACGAGGAGGATTACACCGACACCGGTAAGTACTCGACACTTCCCTCCGCCCGATAGTCACGCGAGTCGCATCGCGCGGCCATCACGGCTTTATACTGTGATGGACTTCCATCGATGGAAACGTTTTCGCCCGGATTCAATCCACAATCGACACATCATCCGAACTCCGGGGCGCGAGCCCATCAACCCCCGAGAATCAAGAATGAAAACACCCATCAATTCATCGGAACATTATCTGACATCGCCTTTCTATCATCAACAGACTCGGAAATCTCGGATGCTTCAGATGATGAGCTCGAGGAGGAGACCCTCGCCGACCGTCTCGCGGCCTTGAAAGACATTGTTCCCCCCTCCGCTCGCCGCCACGTCTCCAGCACTGTCTCTTCTATCACATCTTTCGGCAAGTCCAGCCTGGCTTTCAGCGGAAAGGCCCTTTGGATTATCAGCACCAGCGCTTTCCTGATCGGTGTCCCCTGGGCGCTCGCGTACGCCGAGGAGGAGCAGTACATTCAGATGGAGCGGGAGCAGGGTATGATTAAGGGTGCTAACGAGGTATGTTTTTTGTCCTTGTTTCCTTACTTCCTGCTTTCTTTTTATGGCTCTGTCACCACGTGCACTGTTCAGCTTGCATTGGGTCTTCTGGAACTTCGTGAATATTCTGCTTCGCGAGACCGGAATCCCCCTCTTGCTGATGGCATTGCGGCTGAAAATCGTCTCAACTAAATATGAACTCACAAGTAATTATATTGATCCAATCACTGACGATTCATCACCATAGATGCTCACCCCTGGCTCTGAAGCCGAGAAGAAGGAGTCTCAACCAATTCTGTAAATTAATACCGCTTCGAATACCAGCGCAAGCTAGGACTGGAACTGAGCGAATCGACTGCCGATCGCATCGCTATGAAGGAATCCCATTCCATAATGACGTGATCCGACTGGCGAAAGAAAAGGGGTCGGCATCTACCCATCCTCGATCTATCTATTGGATCCCCAAGTGCCATCTCGGCCAATATAAAGTCTTAAGCATCAAACAAATGCTTTTGGCATGGCGGATATGGTTTTCTAACGCGCTCGGTATCTTGGCCAGCCTACTGGTTTTGTTTTTTCTTGCTTCCTTGATGTCTTCTTCCAGAATCTTGGCTCTGGCAGCTCATGCATGCATGTATTTGTACAACAATCACCATTTTCTTTCCTCCATGTCCTCTATATACTCTTCTGCCCTTGTTTTCTTGTTATGTCATTGTTATTTGTGATTGAATTTAGGTGATAAAAATGGATGTTGGAAATAAGCATGCGATTTATTTACTGGGTATAAAGTAGGTCTCTAGGATTTCGACTCATACTATCATGAATACCTCCTTATCTACGAGTTTAAATCTTGAATAAGATATTGCTATTCTGTAGAAGATCGATGCATACGATGGTGCGTGTATGCCATGGAAATGACATCTTAATACGTTGCAATCCATTGAGCGGAAGAAGCTATATACAGCGGCGCAGCCGACATAACTCACGGGGGTATAATGCAAGAATAGAAAAAAAACAGCCAATGCATAACTTGTGAGAGTATTTAATGCAAGTTCAGCGTCGAGTTCATCATAGTAAAGACTAGAAATTCAAGATTAGTTGCAAGTTCTTCATTTCGGATAAAAAAACATGACATACTGTTTCCCGGGCAGCCTTCAGATTCGTATGGAAGTCCCGCCAAAGCTTCTCAACTTCACCGGTCGTGACCATCCCATCAAGTACTGCGATCGCATTCCGAGTTTTTCGCTTCTGACTCAGACCATTCCGACGCAGGACCTCGGAGTCGGCCATTTGGCCCATCCGGTCGAGGTAATCAACGACCCATTCGTTAAGGTGGAAGCGCCAATGGGTGAGGGTGTGTGCTAGGCGCGATCTCATTGCGCATTGTCTGCTTGAATTAGATTTAGTCGAAGATGAGTCTCGTCATCAAACTCACCGGCCTAAAAGGAACCTCGAATTTTCATTTGGCAATGTATGTCCTTGTCGATCACGATCAACGTCGGATGATTTACTCTCTTCTTCATCTGAGTCGCTAGCTTCACTGTCGTTGATCGGTTCAAGAGTTTCGAGAGAGTACGGCTTTCCATATAGTTTCATATCCGTTGATGCTGGATGGCCAGATCGATTGCAAGCATCACACGAGTGGTTATCAAATGTGGGATAAGATGTAATCTCGATATGCGGACGGGCTAGGAGCGAATACCGGAATTTTGGGTTCCAGACTGAAGAGATTAATTGGGAGCCTGCGCGTCCTTTGACTTCGTCCTCTAGCTTCATGAATGCCATCTCGTACATTGCATCGGAGCGCGGGAATGCTGGGTCGAGACGATTGAGGACCATCCAGCCAACCACGTCGCGGAAGTAGTCCTTGGGTTTCTTGTAGGCGTGTCGGGTAAATTCGAGAGGGATTTCTTCGGTTGGAACGCCCAGTAGCACGCTATCGTCGTCGAGGACAAAGTCATCTTCATAGCGGTCGAGATCTTCATTGCTGGGTGCTGGTTCAACGTCGCTGTTGTTCTCTTCGTCTTCATCGGAGCCCTGTCCGCTCGGATCCTCATTTCCTTCTTCGTTAGAGATCATTTCAGGCTCATCTTCGCTTTCTGGTTTCAGTCCCAACCGCTTGCGGCGGATAGCTTCAAGAGCCTTGAATCTCTTGTCTCGTGCCGACTCAGGTATTCGGCCTCGGTCTCGGGTTCGAGTCTTCTTGACCACTATAGGAAAGTCAGTTGATCATACAAGTTCAAACTCTGCTGTGAATATGTACCTGAATCTTGAAGATCCCTCACGTCCTCCTCAATGTCCAACTGGTCCTGGTCACTACTGTCACGGGGCGTCTCAGGCGTCTTCGGTCCGGCTATCAATCTCTTTCGCTTGACGGGTGAGGACATGACAGGTTCTTCTGAATCATCCGAATCGAGGTTTATGACTGGCGAGCTCTCTGCCTTTCGTTTCAGCTTGCGACGTGGGCGAGGTGTTTCCATTGGCTCGTCATCGACGATAGGTGAAAGCGCACGACGCTGAGATTTCCTCTTGTCCTTGGAGCTGACGGCCTTGGAGGGACTTGTGGCGTCATTGATTTGAAGCTCAGCCGGGGCATTTCTTTTTCTTTTCTGAGCGCTGGGAATAATTATTTCGTCATCGGAGGAATCGTCCAGGATCTGTAATGGCGGTTGTGCTTTCATAGTAGTCAGTCTCGGAAACAGCTTGAACAATGTTTGCAATGCCCAACAAATGGTCTTGTCACGTACAACTCCCTTGACTCGGGCTTTTTGGAGCTTCCTCCTCGGTTTTTTTGTTTAATTTTTGGCGCTTGTCTCGTTTGGGTGGTTTGGAAGAGCTCTCTTTCGAAGATTCTGGCTTGCTTTTGCGCGAGCTTTCTGGCCGGACAGACGCTAGACTTGGATGTCCATAGGAGAGAGTTCGAAAGCGTTCCCCGTCATCATCGTTACCGTCCCCAGATGGTGCGGCGGGTGCGGTAGCAAAGGCAAGTCGCGTTTGCTTCTTTTGAGCCTTTCTAGGCATGGTAGGTGGAGACAATCTGGATTGAGAAAAGGCAGTGGAATGATGCTAAATATAAGTCATGTCAGAGATATAGAACTCTTCTGGTCTCTAAAGAGGCAAGGCAGTGTGAGAGATGGATCAACTTTTTTTGATGTCGCGCGGGACCGCGTGGAGGGGCGCGAGAGCACGTGATGCACCGGGCAGTATAGCTGTATCACTTAAGGCTCAAAGCTTACTTCTTTCTTTTCTTTGCAATTTACGTGCGTCAAAACTTGAATTGTGATTTAGTGTTGCTGTGAGCAGCATTGAAGTCATGTCTCATAGTGCCTAGCTCTTCACAAGTATGAACTACATTCTGGATGAAAGGAGCCATGCAAATGTGTGATCCATTGTCCTTGTACATATACAAGTTTGTCGGGAATTTGCCATGGACCTCGGGAACAAGAAATATACATTTGGCTGAACATGAAGTTCCAATGTCAGAGATGACGGTATAAATTAACCATATTGGACATAAGGATGAGAGCCCCCAAGTAATGGCGAAATAGACCTATCACTAAGATGAAGAGGAAACATACATTCCATTTGGATTATTCTCAATTCTCGACCATGATACTAGAGGCGGTGTGAAGTAGGACACTCCTTCTGTTTTGTCCTCTCATCCCTCATGCTTCACAAGAACACGAGACACACATGGCAGAGGGATCCGCTTCCCCGGATTTAAAAGCTTAATAAAGTAGATCTCAAAACTTGGAAGCTCGCTTTGCTTCACCCAATATTTTCTATTCTCCACCATTATCTGGGGTTCCTTTATTCCAATTCCAATTTGCGATTGGTGGAGTCAACTTTCTCCCAGACCCCGGTCCACGCGGCCTCTGATTCGTGGAACTCAAAACTATAGCGTATCCGGGGACAAAATATCCTCGAACCCCAGATCATGATTACCCCAGGTCCGCTCGATGGGCTCTAGAGAGCTCGACACCAATAAGCAGCCAACTTGGCGCATGATGCTTTGATCCATGTGTGGTTGACTTCCGAATACCCCACCACTCAGCGATCCCGGTTTGACTGCGCTCCCGTTATCAAAGATGCAAGCCGTGCTTAGCGTCGTCCGGGGGCTTGTTCTGGGGCATGGAGTGATTGGAGCCGTGACTTTTTCTGCTTAGGGTGCCAAGAGAGCTGTCTTTTCCCCAGGATTATTATATATCTGGGGAACTCCGCATGTTTCTTTCTCTTCCCCGGATATCTCGAAGCTGTCTGCAGATCCTTTCTTACTTATTGACAAGGCTGTGAGGCTGATCCGAGCCACAAAGCTTCACGACTGCAGCGATAGTGCTTGCGACTTCTCTTACCTCTAGTCACTTCAGACTAATCTCAGGCCACTGTCGCCAAGATGGTTGCCCTTATGACCTCCAAGCGGGCCTACAACTGGTATGTGTCTCGTCAATACAAGCATTGTCAATATACTGATATTGCCCCTTAGGTTCGTTTCGCTCGTTGCAGCATCTTGCATGGTGTTGTACGGTTACGATGCGTCTGTATTCAACTCCGTCCAGGGATCAGCTAATTGGGTGGCCTATTTCAACAACCCAGGAGATAATACGCTTGGTTCAATCAATACTGCATACACAGTTGGTGCCATCGTTGGCGGTTTCTTCATTGGAGGACCTACGGCCGATTATCTTGGTCGTAAGGTCGGCATGGGCATCGGTTGTGCCTTTGTCATCGTTGCTACATTCATGCAGACCTTTTCTCCACGTGGTAACATTGGTTGTTTCATCGGTGGCCGTGCCCTGATCGGTATTGGACAGGGTATTGCTTTGAGTAAGTCCAGATCCAAAATTTCACCCATTTAAGTACTGACAGGTTTCTCTAGCTGCCGGTCCAATTTATATTGGCGAGCTAGCTCCTGCAGAGATCAGAGGAAAGATTATGACCTTCTGGCAGATGTTCTACTCTGTCGGCTCGTTCATCTGCTTCTGGATCGCTTATGCATGCACCCGAGCCCCTCAGCTGGGAGAATGGGACTGGAAAATGATCATTATCTTCCAGCTTTTCTTTCCTATTCTTATCCTTTGCCTTCTTCCCATTATTCCCGGAAGTCCTCGTTGGTGAGTCATTCATTCCGATGGGTGCCCAATTTGAAATTGTTCTAACGCCGAGGATTTGCAGGTATATCAAGCGCAACAACGACATCGAGAAAGCACGATCCGCCCTCCGCCGGGTCCGAGACACAGAAGAAGAGGTCGAAGATGAGATCTTGCAGATTCGCGAAGCTCTCGAATACGAGAAGGAAGCCATCTCTGGCGGTTACAGCGCTTTGTGGAAGGATAAGTCTCTTCGCAAGCGCATGTACCTTGCTCTAGTGATCAACGCCGGTCAACAACTTACCGGACAGGGCTCCCTGAACACTTACTCTACCAAGATCTATCAGAAAGTCTTCACCCATGAGAGCCAGATCTCTCTGATCAACGCCCTCAACGCCACTTTTGGTATTCTCTTCACCCTGAACACTATTTGGTTTATTGACAGATTTGGCCGAAAGGCTCTTCTGATCGGCGGTTCCATTGGTATGGGTCTTTGCATGATCATTGTTTCCGCTGTCGAAACAGAGACACCGAACATGGCAAATGGAGCCAAGTCTGAGTCTGTTGGCATCTCGATCGTTTTCCTCTTCTTCTTGTTCATTTTATTCTGTAAGTTACACTCAAATCCAGCCAGAAGATTATCAAGTTTGCTCACAATTTCACAGACAAGCCTTCTTGGGGTGCAACAGTATGGATTTGGACAGCCGAAGTTTTCTCCATGAACGTTCGCGCGCAGGCAGTTGGCATGGCCTCGCAGACACAAAACGTTGCCAACACCATCTTCCAGCAATTCTTCCCTATCTTCCTGAATAATGACGGCTTCTATGCTTTCTATCTGTTCGCTGGAATCAATTTCTTGCTGGGTCTCTTTGTTTGGTTCTTTGTTCCGGAGACCAAGCAGGTTCCCCTTGAAGAGATTGATGCCTTGTTTGGTGGAGCCAACCATGTTACTCAGGGAGAGGAAGTTCTCGCAAACCAGAAGGCTGCTAATGCTCGTGAGGTTCAGGAGGTTCATGAAGCTCATGAGAAGCCCGGAACTGTTAACGTTGAGAATGTGGAATCTCGTTGATTGAAGCGATATCTGGGAATACATAAAGCAGCGGATTCGACTGGGTCTGGATATCAAAAATTACCAAATTACTAGTATGGTCATTCCATAAAATTGTTAGTTAATGTAGGCGAACTCGCCAGATTTATGGGAAATCGGTTTTGCATGCCCGTTTCCTAATTCGATCTCATGGAAACAGTGTCTGCACATAAGCAACGAGTTGAAGTCAGCATACTGCGTATCAATAGGCGGTAAACTATATATTAAGCGGTCTCAAAGGCTGGTTTCACTCTCATGGACCACCACTATAATGCACTTACAAGGAAGTTGGAGCGTTGAACTTCATAAACATCACAGATTAATGTAATATTACCACGGGATACAGAAAGCATCATGTGACTAGTGTATCGGTGAATCCTTCTTCCGCTCGGCTGAACCGAAAGTGGGTCATAATAAGAATGTAGTCCAACCACCCACATTCTCGCTTCCAGGACGGAAGAAAAACAAAAAGAAAGGAACGGCCGTGGATCGAACACGGGACCTATAGATGATCGCTAGGTAATTGCAATCTATCGCTCTACCACTGAGCTACCGCTCCTAATGTTGAAAAAGACATCCCAAGAAAGTAATATCAACTCTTTGATGCTTGTTAAATCTAGTCACGGCATGTTTTCAAGACAAGCATTATACAGAAAACCCACAGGTTGATAGCTGGGCAATGGACCAGATTAGAGAAAGAAGCACCGGTTCCTTTTTATTGAATCAATTGATTGTGAGGATTTGGCCCAAATGCCAATAGGTAGCAAAGATTGTACATGTGTCTCTTGATTTTGGGGCGTCAAATGCAACGTGTGCACTTGCATATCACAGGGCTACGTCTCATGAATTATCCACGATACTCAAACATTTCAACTCATTATCCATGAATCTCCCCATTGACCGATTCTCACCATATTCTGGATATTTTGTTGGGCTCCTCAACTGGAGAAAGAAAATCCACTCCAAGGTAAATTTTAAAGTTGCGGGAACATATATTGGAGACCACAGTTAGCTGGTACAGTACATATTCTAGATGTCAATGATTGAGAATATTGTATTAACACCCGTTAATGGATGAATCCCCGATGTCTCTATATGCAAATATAACAAGTGAGTTCCATTCAAGTCACAAGTCTATTTTCGTCCTAATTGATGGACTGTCATCACCAAAAGACAGGAGAGTTGAAAAGGGCCGTGACGTGGGCGCTTTTCCACGTAGGTTGAATCTTTTATTTTTGAAGTACATCGCACAAATGCAAAGTCACCATAATATAATACCTATTAGGCACTTTCAATAGGTAGTCAGGATTGATGATACCGGGCCAGCATATCACCCGGATGACTAGGTAGACACGTACAACTTGCTAATGAACACCCGACGCGCCATCCGCATTACCCCACTCGGGCGTCGCGTCTATCTAGCCTGTGGACCACTTTCTCCGCAAACCTACCGCTCGGACGACTGCCAATCCGGTCATTTCCAGATCGTCTTGAAACCTCGTTAACCAAATCTAAATTCAACTTCCCTGCCCAATAATGGGATACAGCCTATCTTGTGACTACAAGCATGGAGATTCACGGAATATTGAAAACACCCGTCGAGATTCGCAGCGCTATCCTGCGTCAATTACCGAGAGTTGAAGACATTTTCTCTGCCATCCAAAGCAATAGGTCACTATACGAGGCACTTGGAGAAGACAAAACCACCGTTTCTCATGTACTCCACAAGCAAATAGATGCCAAACTCCTGCCGTACGCTGCAGCCTTTCTTGAGCTCGACAAAACCTTTCGCATTACGCGTCATCATAAAGATGTGATCATCGAGAATTACTTTTCTCTCACCTCCTCACAAGCTAGTAAAAAGCTAGAACAGATAAATCTTCGTGAGGCCCGGCATGTCATGGATCTTCACAAGACAGTTCAAAGGCTCGCGACGGAATATTCGGCTCAGGCACAGGCTCTACTCCAGAATGAGAAGCTTTTCAAGACTTCAATGCTCTCATTCACCCCTTCGGAGATCTATCGTATAGAGCGTAGCTTCTATACCCTTGAACTTTATGGTTCACTATTTGGACAATCGCGCTCTCGGTTGTCGCGTGATGATCAGATCAATCTGTTTTTCAAACGATTTGCGCCTTGGGAGAATGAACAACTTGCCTGTGTTCATGATTTTCTTCTTGATGAATTGAAGCCCGGTATGACCTCTCCCACGTGGAATTTTGCAAATCCTAACATTGTTATCCAGCCTTCAATGAAGTAGCCGCTCATGACATTAAATTTGGTGAGCTTTCTATTCCGTGGGTCAAGTATGAGAGCTCCTGGATACAAGGCTACGTAAGTTTGATAAAACAAACAATCACGTTCTTCTATTCAACGCTAATACTGCCGAAGCTCTCACTAGGGGTCAAATACCTCGGAAAAGTGATAACAGCTTCCACCTACGAAGAGCGACATCGTCTACTAGACGAAAAGCTTCTACTTGCTGACAACACACCGGTCCTGGACGAGTGCCTCCTCGACTCGAATGATCTCTATTTTGGAGGAGAAACGGATGAACTCGATGATCACGCTATGCGAAAATTACGTCAATTACCAAGCCCATATACCGCATGCGACCCTGACACCGGCCCAGCAGACATATGGTTCCAAGCCCACGAGGGAGATGACAGCACCCAATACGTGTCGGCTGAGCCTCATCGGGCTAGTCGGAAAATTGGGTACGTGATGATGGATCTTTCGCGTAAACAGGATATGGCTAGCTTTGACGGTCCTCAGAAGTCTATTGAGTGGGATAAATATGATGATGAGAACTATCATGAGGAATATGCACGACAGCTGAAATCATTTGAGATAAGATCAGATATCTATCTTAGAGGTGGAAGAGGCTGGTGGAGCGAGGGTGATACTACTAGGATTCAATGGCATGACCCATCAAGCCTCTAGGCACTCAAGAGAGCCCCGAGTGATTTCAAGAAGCTTCGTAGCTTCAGTTTACACTCCAATACTACTCACTAAGATCAATTGTACAGAAACGTCAATTAATTGAGACCCGGAATATGTGAGCCCGCTTCATAAGCCTCTATATCCCGGGAAAGATTCCTGAATTTGGTAATCATCACTGAAGCGATCTGTCAAGGTTTAGAATCACGCATTATTTACCTACGGTAGGTTGATAGCCCGCCAACCCCTAAGCATCTCGCCAAGAAGGGTCGTTCTTGGCTCACTATAACTATGGTCTAGCGCCAGGATCGCATTGTAATGTAGAAAATATTATCATTGGGCACGACTGTCCCTATGGACCCTTTGAGAATGTGACTACTGAAGTCTGTACGTGGCCGTATCATCCGAGTTCTGCTATATGGAGTGGATATATCAGCGAAATCATTTGGACTGTGGCTGCCACTGGCGTTATTTTAGTTATTAGAAGGGCTTAAAGTATCAAATGGTCACATTGAGGCTTCAAGAAACAGACTCAATGGCAGTAAGCAAAGACAATTGTGCCATAGCATAGATTTCTATCATTTCAAATAATTCAAAAACACTTCAAGCTACCAAGAGAGAAATAAATAAAGCCAAGAAATCTATAGTGCAACGCTATCATCAAAAAGAATGTCAATGTCCATATCTACCGGTTAACGCAGGTGCCGCTGTTCCATTGGGTGTAGCCAACACATTGGAAGTTGTCGCAGCAAGTATCGCTAGGAGTGCAAGCGTGATATTCTAGTGAGAGAATAATGTTAGCTAGAGTACTTTGAAATCCTCATATACGAGGACTGAACCCACTGGCAATGCAAGTTCCATCAGAGTTGTCAGAGTCGTCGGAGCTGGTAGGACTAGAATGATGGCTGGAGATCGTGCTGGAGCTACTCCAGCTGCTGGAAGCATGGGTTCTGAAGGTGCTGCGGGTAATGTAATCCGTAGAGGTCACGGTCACAGTCTTGGTCACGGTGACAGTGTCATCATCATCATCGTCGTGATCGTGTGGACTGGCAAAGACGGCGGCACTGAGCGCAGTAAGAAGGAGGATAGAGCTTGTGAACTTCATGTTGAAGATAATGTTGAGAAATTTAAAATATTGGGATATTGCTTAGACTGATCGTGATTCTGTATCAGTGCTTATGGCCGAGTGATGAGATCGAATAGCTAGAGGGCATCTCCGCATATATAGCTTCGAGTCAACACTAAGCACAGCGCTTCCACGTTTGGTAACAGACAGTTTCATCGCATTTGAGGCACAAGTAATTGTAAATTCCCATTCCAGAGTTCCCCTCGGTCAATTGCTGGTCTTTGCCTTTCGAGGCGTTGGCCCCATTCGGCCCATACATACTACCCAAAGACCCCACTTACCACATGAAGACGGCCATTCGAGATACTTACTATCCTGTTCAACAAGAATAGAACAAATTGATGAATGTGAATATCAAAATCATGTATATCCTGAGTTGGTGAATGTGAATGAGCATCAAACTTTTAGTAACAAGAAATGAAGCCGAGAATTTATTTATTTATTTCTTTTTCAATTGGTATGCGTCCATGGGTACCTGGCGGGTACACTATGATGCAGGGTCAGTAAATTGATCATCGATATTACCCACAATTGAGACTCTAACAATAGTAATTGCAATGAGCCAACAAATCATAGAGAACGAAGATGAACGAGTGGCAAGTGCTAAGAATAGAGAGAGTTGGCTTTCTAGATCTAGAAATATCACCTAAATAGGCAGCCCCACTGAGCGCGTCGATCTGCGACGTCAGGGGCCAATTGTTGACCTCCCGTTTTTTTCAAAGCAATCCAAGGAAACATCTCATCAATAATTCAGTGAGCTTCACCGTAGAATTCTTGATGAGTTTGAATGACCGGTAGTATTCTGCTAAGTTCGTTAAGTCGTTTGCATTTTGTGTTAATTGGAATCCAGTGATTTTTGAATAGCTTCAGCGTCAAGCAAGACTTGATTCAGCTCATTTCGTGCTCTTTCAGTATGAGCATATGACTCAGACTCAATGTCCACATTTACAGATGCTTGTATGTATATGGGGAATGTCCCTTCCAGAGCTTTTTGAAGAGGAGTGATCCCCTTCTTATCTTTCTTGGTGGCATCGGCACCTCGTTGAATGAGATAACGAGCAGCGTCAATTTGACTCAAGTTCCTCACTAGATAGTGTAGGACAGTGCAGCCGTCAGCATCAGTCTCATTGACATTGACATACTTAAGAAGATCCAGTGCGTCAGTCGAGATAGGTTGTGTCCAGCGAGGCATGTAGAGTTTATGGAGGATATTGCGTCCCTTGTTGTCGCATGAGTGTGCATCTGCCCCATTCTCCAAGAGACTCATAATCAGGTCTATTGTCCGCTCCAGTGTGATTGCTGTCTGGTGGGCGTTGGAGGATCTGGATGCTTCGGAGGCTCTCAGCCTTAGAGCTTGGTACCGGTACCCACTAATAATCGAGCTCTATGCCCCACCCTTTAGGGCCGAGTTCCTGACAGCCCTCCCATTCGATCCACCTGGGCATATGTAACTGCTATACTAGTTGAGTTACTTATACATCTTTAAACCGTATCCGCAACCTTGGACTTGGCTGCCTATCACTACTGCTTGGATCTATATTTTCGCCGACCCGGACCCACAGCGAACCTCTACCTTCGCTTAGTTTCACGCCCCGGTCGCAGTGGTTCCAAGCTCCTCCTATACTTCGACCCATCTGCTATCGCGTGGTTCCTACTAGGAAATCAGTTCTGAGCCATTGAGGCAGACAGTAGTTCTACCATGTTGACGTCTCTTCCATTGGAACTGCTTTCAACTATCTGCAGCAATTTGCAGTTGTCAGATTGGAAAGCTCTCAGGCTATCAAATCACGCATTGTACGAAATAACGCTCGACAAGTTCGCCAACAGGTATTTCAAGAAGATTCAATTTATTGCCACAAGCGAGAGTCTTCGCGAACTGGAAGGTCTCGCTGAATCGGATGCTATTTGTGAACGAGTTCGAGAGCTATGGATGATCCCACAATTATTTGAAGGACTGGGCATTCGAAGAGAAGAACGCCGAGGTCACCTTGCCATGTCCTCAAGATCCCCTGAACCGATTAAAGGCGAAGAGTTAAAGGCCCGTTATGCTATTTACAAAAGCATGGTCACCGACAGCTCCGATCTACTGGAATCAGAATCTTTCAGTATCAGACTTAGCAAATGCCTGGAACGATTTGTCAACGTTGATACAATTGGACTTGCATACTACCCGACAACGTACTTGCTCGATCCACGTCAGCAAAAAGTTCGCTTTCTCGGTTGGCGCCATATGATAAATCAAATCGACTTCCAATTCCATCACGATAGACTAAGCATGCTTCACCGTGATGAGATAAACGGTATCAATTCCCTAGCGTTATCGAGGCTCCTCGGAGCACTCATTTCGTCTACTCGAACAGGAAAGATCCGGAAGCTGCATACACATAATGCTGATTTCTTTGGCCGCTTGAGCCCCAAAATCACCCTCGGAGCAGCGCAGTACAATACCCTTCTTTCTTCTGTTCTAGATGAACTGGAGGATCTTCATATCTGCTTTGCTTTTGCAAGAAGCATCGGCCCGTTTGCGCCTAATCCACCTGATATTTTTCTAGAAGGCCAAACCTGGCTAAATTTGCTGATCAAAGTTGGCCCTCGTCTTCAAATACTAAGTTACTCGCAGGACTGCGATTATGGCCAGAGGTTGTTACCGGATTACTTTTGGTTGCTTACTTTAAGAATGCAACTTACTCGGCTCAAGGAGCTTCATCTTCATCAGGTATATGTCACCTCTGAACTTCTGAAGGGCCTAATTACCGGAGTCAAAGAAACCCTCACTGTTTTCACTCTTTTCGAAGTCAGGGTAGTTGACGATGATGAGCGTACTGGTGATTATTTAGAGCCTAGAGGAGTACTGGGCGCTGCAGAAAGTCTAAACACGCAGGGTAATATGGAAGCTCAGACTCCGGATACTCAACAGAATATGGGCCCCCAGGACACCCTAGATGCCCAAGAGAGTAGAAACCAGGATTCACCACCTAATAAACATATAAAAGACTCACCAAACCATCCCTCTGCTTCACCGACATCGCCCACCGCCCAATTGACGACTGGAAAAAAATCGCCCATAATTTATATTTCCAGCCCGATAAGGCGTGAGGCTTCATCTCTATACATGCTGCCAGCACAATCTCTGTAAACTACGTTTCCTGGAGAATCCAGCTACTCACCTGGCAGCATCGATTCCTCAATGCAAGCAGACGCTATCTGGAAGCGCCTTTGGGATTTTTTTGGAGACAATCTATCGTTGCAGAGGTATTCTATGACGCACCTCCTTTATAGCTGCGACGAAATAAGAATCGAATACATCGATGGCTTGACCGAATCAAGTGAGCACGCTGCTTTCGATGCTGGGAGAGATGATTGTTCATTCAAGCACTGGATCGGCCGATTGAACCCCGTCCCATCACTAGCCATGCCCGAGTCTTATCGGGCATATGAGAAGCGAGGTGATTATCCTGCCGATGTGTCCAATGAATCCGTTAGATAAACCTGCTAACAGAATATAGAGCCATGGCTTGAAAGAATGTTTCCGCCAAACAGTGACTCGACACATTGTGCTACGGATTAAGGACGTTTCCATCAAGGGTCGTGAAGTCAGATACACTCGAAGAACGTCTACAGGCCACAGGGAAAAGGAAATAACATGCACGGAGCAAGGGGGAAGAAGAAATACGAATGGAGAGAGCGAGCTGCACGGGTTCTTCGATAGTACTGTGTACTAGCAGCAACACAACTGTATCCAGGAAACAAGCCTCAAGTAAGGCCTTAAAAAGAATTACATTGGAAATTCGCCTTGAAAGTCGACAAGGGCTTCCTTAGATACTTGGGCTTCCTTAGATACTTGGTGCAGCTGTCGCTCTTTTGATATTCACTCTCTTGTTTTTGAAATGATCGATTACAATCAATATTCTACCACCCAGGGCATTTAGCCGGCTGAAGAGCAGGCGTCTGGATATTTGAAGTCCCTCGTCCCCCGTGGAATGAGTGAACAACACTTAGACATGGTTATGCTCTCGCTCTTTACAACGATATGTCAGAAATGGCTACGAGATAGACAAAGAATGAGCAGTAGACTACTGTATATTCGGCGAGGGAACAAATGACTTGAAGGAGATGAAAGATCCGAAAATATCACCAGTTTCTGATCTCCATTAAAATATCCTTGCTACTGATTTCGGGAGACTGAGGGGAAGGGGAAGATAACGAACTCAGTTATCCAATGATTGTTCGTCTTTTTGTCGCTTCATTTTCCTGGTTCATTTGAAATCAAGAATCTACAGTAGATACACCCACCCCATAAGCCTGGCGACAGCTTGCTAAGCATCAATAATAACCCTGTAGCACTTGTATATGCCCCGGCTCGGTTACTTACAGATTACTCCAAATCAGTTCGGGAACAGCACACGTAAGATACCCAGACTCCGTCGGTCCTGGTGCCCCCTCAGCATCCCGACGAGCGACCTGCGTGAGCTTTTGCTGCGCTTTTTCTGCGCTATTGATGTTCGGTTATAGGGCGAGCTACGTTTTTGTTGCTCAGTTTCCGCCGCTCCGAAGGTTAAGTATTACGTATTTAAGGCCAATGCTCAGCGTCCATATCGACCATGCGAGGGAAACAATACAAAAGCCTTGGAAGAATGATAACAGTATGCTGAACGCTAGTCACGATGGGTATGAAGATCCGCCTGGCTCTTGTTAAGGTGATTTTGCAGGGGTTTGGTCTACAGGTGCGTATGTACATGATCCGAAAACGAGCCAGTCGAGTGGGCAATCACAACTAAGCAACATGACCATTTCTCAACTTCTAGTGTTCCGAGATAAACCCAATCGCTTATGAAGAAAACTGTTCATTTTATTATAATAACGTCATTTACAAGATCCAGCTCTCGAAGCCAGCGACAGAAATCTCTTTTTGGGTGCACCACCTCACACCGCCAAGCCTCCCTCGACAGGTGCATCTACATTAGTACTCCGTCTTAGCAACCCTCAGGCAATGGGATTGAATCAAAATCGGGTACAAAATGAGGTGGCCGCTATGAGTATTGCACGCGCCGGATTACGCACCTATCAGTCTGGCCTTGAAGTTCTCGTTCCGGCCATTTATGCTTGGAAGGCAACTTCGTCAAGTGAAGGTACTCCTGGGCTTGTCTGGATTCTAATGGAATACAAGAGCGGCGTGTCTCTAGATGAGCATTTTCCTAGCCTATGTACCACCAAGAAAAAGGGTGTTCTCGAGCAGATTGCAGATGTCATCGTGGGGATTGAGCGCTCCCAGTTACCGTTAGAGGTCAATCAATTTGGAGGATTGACGATAGACAATAAAGGCTCTATCATTAGCGGAGAGATGACGATCGTTAAGGGGGGGGGACCATGGAAGACCTATGAAGCTTGGTGGCAGGATAGACTGCAAGATCAGCTGAAAGGTGCAGATAAAAGTCCGGTTATAGAAGGGTGGCGGCCGGATGGCGATCTTCGCCAGCACCTTGAGGAGTTTATCGCCCATGGACTAAGTTCTGTGCTTACTAGAGCGGGATTTGATTCCAGCAAGCGAGTGCTTATACATGGGGATTTCAGTAAGTTTCTCTTAGGTTGGATATATTGTCGTCTGTATGCTCTCGATTGAGCAATTGACCTTTGTCAGCAATGAACAACATGCTTGTTGACCCAGATACCGATCAACTCACGGCAGTGCTCGACTTTGACTTCTCCTACATTGCCCCCCCCCCAGCGCATCTGTTTTTCACTTCTCTGCAAAGCCTAGGCACCGGCACTGACCCAACTGGTGGTAAACTTACCAAGACATTGCTGACAGGTACATTTGAAGATATCAGTGACATGTCAGAGAAAGGAAATAGTATATGGTGGCAGGCGTGAGACATAGATAGGGCAATGGCGAGCAGGGGAAGTGTGCGCCCGAGTGAGATTCAAGGACTTGAAACACTGTACCAACTGACGGAACTAGAACATCTCATATGTCCTTTTCGACTAGCTTTACCAATGTTTGTAGAGAAGAAGACAGAAGAGGAACTCGCGCATGCTAGATCCCTAGCAGAACGGGCCTTAACAAACCAATTGGGGCTCTGGGGTCATTGAATGAAGTTCCAAGGTTGATCAAGTTCTCTATACACTAATAATCTTCTGTCTCATTCGCATTTACTATATCTATATTAGGTTGTAATCACGCCTTCCACCAATCCATCTAACATCCTCTGACTAACAGTGTCTTGTCACTGGACCTACGGCGCCTGTATATCTATTTTCTTCCCTAAAGATCCACGACCTGATAGGAAAATGACTGGATGGAATCGCTGGTGAGTAACCTTCTATCCCAAGGCCGCACCAGATCTTACAAAGAAGTTGAAGGAGCTCCTCGCCCTATAGACTACTGCCGATGTTACGTCTAATTTCGATAGAAAATGTCGTGATTTTCGTTGTGTCTCTGATGGAGTTTTCTTCATATACGAGGCTCGTAATGTTGTGGTTCGAGTAGGGTCGCATGGTCTCTGAGTGATAGAGCTACCCCATATAATAAGATGATTACGTCGGACCCACTCAGAGTTTGCCGGGCGGTAGTATAAGACTATCGTTATTCAATCTATTTTCTGGACTATATAAGCGATTGTAGGAAAAGGAAGTTAATGAAAAGAAGATGTTACCAATCTTGAAAATAGACAAACAGGGCAGAATGATAGTGCTTCAAGATATTGACTTAGTACGAATCAATTAGAAGGGTGATTTATTGGAATGTGTTAGTTATTCCATAAGGCTTTCCGCACATTACCGGTGGGAAAATGATGCCTGTTGTTGTTGGCCATAGGGGATATTTGGATACTTTAGAACGGCCTAGGTAGCCATGCAGGCGTTATTTCTTTCGTTGCTTATATGACCAGATAATATACTATAGAGCGCGTGAGCATATGCAATTCCAATGATTTACCTCTTCCCGTTCTTCAAAATTGACTAGTTTTTCTTAAATGAATTTAGTAACACTGATAGACAATGATTTGGCAGATTGAGTGGAAGGGGAGTACCGCACACTATCTTACAATAACACGCAGGGATGAAGGTAGAGGAGCATCCGAAAAGCTTCTGGATAAAAAGACCTATTAGGCATAATCAACATGCACAATGCGCCCTGAAAGGAATGTTGAATTACTATTTTGGGTCAATCAACCGAGATTTACCCAGAACTTGTTTTGCCGACGCCTTAGCTCATAAGAGCCCATTGGTTCTTTATATTGTATCGCTAAATGAAGAGCCCCACAAGTGATTGGTTGTTGCAGGAGGCGTAAAAGTACCAGACAGGAAAGCGGGAGATCCACGTGGCCGAGACTTCCTTGGTTTGACCAGCAAGGCCTCAACAGGGAGCAGAAACCCCGCCTCGATCGTTAGAAAAATCGGGCGGATCATGCTTGAGGTGAGATTATCTGTTTCTCGGCTCCATCTTGCATTACATCGTAGTCTTTTGTGTCTGAGGGAATCGACGTCACCGTCATGACAGGAAAGGGTGCCATTGAATGGGGCCATCCGCCCCACTAAGCCGGAGTTCAGCAGGATTGGCCCCCACGCCCCACTCGCGTCAGAAGAAGTGTAAGCCAAGTCCGCAGCGGTATTGTCCCAGCCCGTATCTGGGATCTAGTATCGGTCTATCTGGTCGTAGACTGCAAATATTTCGGCCTATGAATACGCTGGCAAGGCATCCTGGATGAGGCGCCTCCTTAGACCTCAGATCCAGAATAACCTTATCTCACCTTCCCACCCTCTTCCTCCGCTTTTCTCAACAAGAGAAGACCACAAGACCCTGACTCTCCCCAAAAATGTCATCCTCTACGAATGGCTACTCGCTACACCGGAACTACCACTCCTCAGCTCGGTACAGAAAAATCCCATGCTCGTCTAGGCCCCGGGAGAGTGAAAGGGATTATGCTGACACGCCTCATCTAGATTAAATGCCCAAAATCACCTATGGAAGGATGCCCTGGGCTACAGCTTGCATCCGTGCATCGGAATATCCCCGGACCAGGCCCCGCGCATTGCAGATATTGGCACGGGCACGGGCATCTGGATGATGGATGTGAAGCGGGAATACCCTGCAGCGCAGATCGATGGGTTCGATGTCTCGCTCGCCCAATGCCCGCCGCCGGGGTGGCTACCGGATGGGGTTCGTCTGCGCGAGCTCGATCTGTATGAGCCGCTGCCCGCCGAACTGGAGGGGATATACGATGTCGTGCATCTGCGGCTGTTCTTTGTGGTCATTCGGAATGATGACCCGAGTCCGGTTTTGCAGAATTTGTTGCGCATGTTGAGTGAGTTCTATTTGTTTATCTTTTTGTTTGATTCCCATTTCACTGTATTCTTTGAGCCTAACGGACCTACAGAGCCGGGTGGCTGGCTGCAATGGTCGGAACACAACTACGAGTCGTGGTCGGTGCAGTCCGTTGGCGGCAGAGAAACAACCCCAGCCTTGGACGAGATGATGAAGATGATGAAACAAACAGGCCTGGGACAGTAAGTGACCCGATGCGAGTTATTGCCATGGACGGACAGACCCTAATTGAGCGATTAGATGGGTGCCCGGCTTACCTGATACCTTTGCACGACATGGCATGGTTGACGTGCGCAAGGAACTGCATCCGTGTAGCCCGCACAGCCGAGTCTACTGGAGCCAGCTGCAGTTCAACTCCAATGAGGAATACAGCTACCTGGCAATGGATAACAGTTCGTCAGATGCGGCTGGTCCGCGTCTGCGCGATCTCATCTGCCAAGCCGCCGACGAGTGTCGCCAGGGAGCGGGATTCGACTTTACGATAGAGGTGGCGCTGGGCCGAAAGCCGATGAATGACTCGTAGTCGGGCCGAAAGCTGATGAATGACTCGTAGTCAATACAAATACAGTACCAATACCACTAGTATAAAGTCAGCACTAGTCCTTAGTAGGGTAAAATAAGCACTAATAGTATAAAGTGAGCACTAGTCCTCTTATAGCCTGCATGAATTAGCACATTTAGGGCCGGGATAAGCTCCTCAAACTTGGAAAACGCCGGTGGGGGCCAATATCGATACACCCCAGGACGATCCAGGTCGAGTCCGGTCCTCAAGGAAGTCATAGCGGCATAAGAAGAAGAGTGCATATCATTAGGACAATGTTGATAAGGCCGGCGTGTCCCCTCCCCTCCCCCTCGGCCTTCTCGCAAGGACCATCAACTTCAAGTTTTCTCAGGTGCCTGACGACAGACACACCATCATGACCGACGAGACCCCCAGTCCGATGCTGGCCCTGGCCCGTCAATTGGAGGCCGCGACGAACAACCCCGGCCAGCTACCCCCCGCTAGCGATGCACTGCACTCCCGAATCCTCTCCGCGGCGCGTAAGCTCCTAACCGACCTGGAGACTCCCGAGAGTCAATTGATGCACCTAGCCAAAGCAGTATGTATGCCGCTGCTCTTTCATTTCCGGGGCTATGACTAAATCTGCCAGCCCGTGGCACACGGGGTGTTGCGCGCCGCTCTGCGCATCCGACTGTTCGAGCGCTTCGATGAGGGGCCCACTACCACCACGGACCTGGCGCGACGCTGCGGCGTTGATGTCGCACTCCTCGGTACGTGATGGCGTGCGGATGAATGTAATGTGATGCATGTTCCTAGGACTAATTGGGCGAGACAGTCCGTCTTATGCGAACGCTGGCAGCCATTGGCATCTTCACTGAGCCCAGCCCGGGCCTTTACGCTCATACTATACAATCGGAAACTTTGCGCCAGGCTGAACATCGTGCCGTTATCCAGGGCATGTGCGTGATTCCATCCATGCCTGACAGGCTTTTCAATGGCTGCTTGCATCGCTAATCGGTCGATCACAGGGCCGAGACTGCCACGCTCATGACGGCGCTTCCAGACTTCCTCCAGGCCCACCAATGGCAGGACCCAGTCGATGTTCAGCCCACTCTTTTTGGCTTCGCCCATCAGACCGACCAGACCATGTTCGAGTGGTTTGAGTCGCAACCAGAGCAGCGCGCCATCTTCGCCGCCTTCCAATCCAGCACAGCTGCCCTCGCCGTTTGCCAGCTGCAACCCTTCCTCCGCAGTCTTCTAACCGCCCCCTCCCCCTCTTCCTCTGATGATTTGTCTGATAGGCCCAGAGAAGTCACACTAGTCGATGTTGGAGGCGGACGAGGTGCTGTGCTCCGCCAGGTTTGCCACGAGCTCGATCCCGCGCCTCGCGGTCGGATCGTACTTCAAGACCTCCCAAAGGTCCTGGAGGGTGTGGAGGGCGGCGAGAGAGTTGAAGTAATGCCTTACAGCTTTCTCGATCCCCAACCCGTTCACGGTATTTCCTTCCCACTCCAATTGAAATATGCGCCCCTTGCTCATGAATGAAATCTTTCCAGGAGCTCATACCTACCTCTTCCGCCACATCTTCCACAATTGGAGCGACGGCGTTGTCGCGAAAATTTTACAAAATACGGTGGCCGCCATGGGGCCGACCTCACGGCTGGTCATTGTCGACCTGGTGCTGCCGGATGGGGGTGGCGCATCGCCCTATGCTGCATTCCTGGATGTAAGCATGATGGCGTTTGGCGGGATGGAACGCACCGAGGCCCAGTGGCGGAGGATCTTAGAAATTGCGGGGCTGCAGGTGCGCAGGATTGAGCCATTGGATGCGCTGACGCCGGGGTCGGATCAAGTCATTGAGGCGGGGTTACTTTAATCGCTTATCTATCCGACTTGAACTATCAGAAAATAAATTTGTATTCATTAATGTAGGACAGACTAGCAGTATGGGATTTATTCTTGGTATGGGATTTATTCAATACAATTCATTATATCGATGCTTTCACTGGACCGGGACTCACGCCAGGCTCCGCTGCACAAAAGCAGCCACAGGCGCGGGATCGACCAGCCATGGCGAATGGCCCGTGGCAATGGTCTCCGTGGTCATTTCCGCGCCCTTTCCGCGCGCTTTCTCCACCATCATCTGCTGGACAAAGAGAGGGATGGCACGGTCATTTTCGCATTGGAGATAAGTGCTGGGAATGCGGGTGTAGGCGGTGCTGGTGGCGGGCGAGTTCTTGGTCGCCCAGGCGTGCGGACGAAGGGTTTGGGCCCATTGTTCACCGTCGGGGACGTCGTGGAAGAAGAGACTGTAGGGGTCGACGGCGCTGACGGTGCCGTTGGATTCCTGCAATCGGGATGAGCTGAGGATCTCGAGAGGGAAGATAGAAGATAAATGAATGACTTACATCGCGGTCATACCAGTCAGGAGGAACCCCACCAAAGGCCCCGATCAAGCTCTCGCCGATGTCGGGGATGAAGGCCGAGATAAATACCAATTTGGCTACCCCGCCGGTCTCGCCAGCAGCTTGTCGCTCGCTCTTACTGAGGCCATCCAAGGCGCTATTCACGGGCAGTCCAGACCAGCTGTGCGAGATGATGACGACGTCCTTGCCAGCGCTGGCTTCCTGCTCAACTAGGGTCCGGAGTGCGTTGATATCGGGCTGCAGGTCTTGGACGCTGGTGGCCTGTTGAATTGAGGGGAAGGCGACGGTATGGGTGGTGTGATCGGGGAAGTGGGCAGCCAGGGGCTCAAAGGCTGTGGGCGGGTACCAGGCCCCAGGGCAGAAGATTAGGGTGGGATTGGAGGAGGTCATTTAGGGCAGTAAGGGTAGGGCGGATAAAGATCGCGATGGAAGACGGCTGGTAGGCGGCATTAAGTATGGTTATTCCTCGGCCGCTGCTAAGCACGTTAACTACAGTATCTGGCCACCTAACTCAGGAGTTTCTCAATAACACGCTAAAATTTATCAATACAGTAACCGTAATTTACGGTATAAATTCTAATAACCTAGATTGTGGTTGGCCATGAGGGGTAATTGATTATGTCAAAACGGCCTGACTAGCCATGCTTGAATTCGTAAATTAGGTGGCTAGATACTATAACTCGTCGCACCTATAGAAGTGCGCCTTGGCCTATTTGGGGGCCGAGCCGTACCGATTGAGGATCCGCCGGACCCACTGTAAGCATGGCTAGTCTATTTCGGGCCGTGAATGGGACCCACAGTTGATCCTTTGATTGGGGCCAAAGCTAGAACCCCCCTTCTAATCTATCATCCGATGCAACAACAAGATCTCTGCAGGTTGTACTTGGGGGCCGGGAAAAAAGCCTGTATTTGGGGCGGGTGGCCATAATTAATCATTTGATTGGGGCCAGAGTCAGAGCCCTTCTCGTAGTTGCCGTCCGACGGAACAATAAGACCCTTGCACGCTCCCCACGCCCCCTCCGTTGTGCTTTGTAGTCGTCTCAATTTTTGGTCACCTCGGTCACCATGACCACCGAGTTCCTCTCCCAGAGCCAACAGGGCCAGACCCTAGGCGCCATTATCCCCTTTGCCATCCTGTCGATCATCGCCGTAGTTCTCCGTTTGCTGGCCAAATCCATGATCCACCTGCGATATGGCGTCGATGACTATTTAATCATCCTAGGCCTATGTTGCTCGCTAGGATGCTTCAGTATTTCCACTATCAGTTGGTTGCCTTCCTCTCTTGCACCCAGATGAGCCCAGTCACTGATAAGCGGGAGTTCAGTGGTACGACTGGGGTCAGGCCTCCACCTGGAAGTCGTGCCCACGGCCAACATCCCCAAATATCTCAAAGTTCGTTTCTCCTCTCTCTCTATAGCCCGACAAAATGACTCATTTAGAGCATTCGCGTGTAGTGCATGTATGCGTACCAGCTCATTTACACCGCCACCATTCTCTTCGTCAAAATGTCAATCCTCACCTACTACGTCCGCATTTTCCAAATTCGACCGTTTCGCATAGCCGTATATGCCGTCGGTAGCCTGGTCCTTGTATGGGCCATTACCGTTTGGTTTATCTCCATTTTCTCCTGTCGACCCATCAACGGCTTCTGGGACACATCCGTGACGTCCAGCTGCGTCAGCAGCAAGGAATTCTACGTTGGCAACGCGGTCCCTAACATTTGCACCGACGTGATGATCTTGATCCTGCCCTTGCGCATGGTCTGGGCGCTCCAAACCACGCGCATGCAAAAGGTCACCCTATCGGGCATCTTTCTACTGGGTGGCTTGTCCGTTCCCCCTCCCCTCTATTGCCAGTTGATCTGGAGGCTAACGAATCGCCGGCCAGTGTGGTGGTATGCAGTTGTGTTCGACTAGGGACGCAGTTCAGAGTCGATGATCCAGATTTTACCTGTAAGTCTCTGCAGATGGTATTTCAAGGAAACAATTGCTCACGCACCACAGGGGCCATGAATGGCACCGTGATTTGGACCTCACTCGAGGTTTCTTTCGGCGTCATCTCCGCCTGCCTGCCCACAATGCGTCCCGTGGTCCGCTGGGCTATGCGGAAGTTCAACATCTCGACGAATGACACGAGCAAATCCTCACAGCGCTGCTTTACCTCGAGTCACGCCAGCACACGCGGGTTCGAGACTCTGTCGGGCTCTGGGGGCGACCACCATGCGCACCGATTGCAGACCACGGCGACACGCAGTAACAGTCGTACGGAGAGCAATCGCGAAGAGCTGTTGCTAGGCCAGATTCAAATAAAGAATGAAGTCCGATTGGAGGCAGAGTCGGTTTAGAGCTGGCCTCTTCGAAACTGTATCTCTGTATATATATTTTACGTAATCAAAGGGCACTCTTTTAAGCTTCCATCTGCGGCCCCGTAGGCTATTCACTCATAAACAGGAACCTGTATGTAGCCCCAAGGCTTTTCTTTCGGCCCCTCCGGCGCTACTGTAGGCCATATCACAGTATATGTTTTAGCGACCCCATTCGCTAACGACCCCATTCGCTAACGCCCCCATTCCCTGGCGTCATCGGAGTAGATAAGACGGAGTTGGTTAGTTTTTGGGTCCTCTGGTGAAAGCCCCGCCCTCTGGCGTGGGCCAACGGCCTATAAATTGAAGATTCCTCCCCCTCAAGTCGTCCTTAGCCCCCAATGATGCCTCTTTCTCCCTTTAATCTTTTAGTATTCTGAGCCAGGCTGTTTTATTCCATGTCGCTTCCCGTGTCCCACTACTTCCTCCAGCGGTGGGGGACCACCCCGCTGCCTCGCCTGATTGATGAACTCGCCGAATTATGTCCGAATCAGCCCATGGTCTCCCTGCCACGCCACAATGGCCGGCCAGCTGAGGGATACCGCGACTATAGCATCAATGAGTTTGCCTGTGCGGTGAATCGGGCAGCGTGGTGGATTGAGCAGCAATTGGGACGCGCTCCAACCCGCTGGGCCACCCTACATTATGTAGCGCCCCAGGATTTGTCGTACTTCATCATTACGCTGGCAGCAGTCAAGACGGGATATAAAGTGAGGGCGCAGCCGCTTCTTCCAGTCATCAGCACATCGCTAACCCTGGCCTGCAGACCCTGACCTGTCACCCGAGCGCAGACGTGGACACACATCTGTCACTCATGGAGCACACCGATTGCCATCGGTTGCTGTACCCCCCAGGCTCCAACACCTCCGTGATGCACAAGGTCAACGCCATCCGATCCTTCAAAGAGGGGTTGACGGCCCTCGTCACCCCGACGCTGGCGGACTGGCTGGCCCCCGAAGGGCCGCCGACCCCCGTCTATGCCTTCTTACCAGCATTGGCCGACGTGCTGCACGATCCCTTCACCGTCGTCCATAGCTCTGCCTCTACGGGCCCTGCCAAACCCATTGTCTTCACGCACGCCACTATATATCTGCAACCATTGGGCTTCCAAAAGCTACGAGACCCAACTCCAGTCAACTACGAGCAGTGGCGCGGTCAGCGCGTCGGTGTGCTGACGCCACTCTCTATCGCCGCCGGCCTATTTCCCTTCCTGGGCATGAGCTTCTGCTTCGACATAACCCTGGTTCTGCCCGCCGTGACGGGAGGTCCCATGAGTGCGACGTTGATGGACCAGCTTTTGCAGCACGGCGATGTCTTTGCCTGCATCCTCGGGCCCAAGACCTTGCCCGAGACATGCGCCAACCCGGCCTATACGGCAAACCTGCGCCGCGTGCGCCATCTTGCCATTGTTGGCGCCCCTTGTCAGCCCTACCTGGCGTCCCAAATAACCCGCTATACTCAGATCACCCACATCTATGGTTCTTCCGAGTCCGGCACACTTCCCGCCGAGGTGCTGCCCGACCCGGCCGACTGGGCTTACCTGAAGCTCAGTCCAGATGTGCCGCATGAATTTCGCCCTGTGTGCGAGCCATACCACGAGCTGGTGCTGCTGCGCCGTCCACGCGCCCCCGCCCAGCCCGTCTTCGCCATGTTCCGCAGCTGTGACGAATATCCCATGGGCGATCTCTTTGCACCCCACCCATCCCAGCCGAACTGTTGGCGGTACTGCGGCCGCCGCGCCGACCTCATCGGTGCCCCGCCGCGTCACTTCCTCCCCCGCGACATGGAATGGGTGCTGGAAGCCCATCCCGCCGTCCGCTGGGCCCTAATTGCTGAGGAGCGCCATGGTGGCCTTGCCCTCCTTCTGGACCTGCACCCCGACGTGGACATTCATTCGGCCACCCCCATCTGGGATGCGCTCCTGCCGCTGCTTGACCAAGCCAACGCCATGTGTCCCATTCCCGCTGCCATCCGCCGCGACCTCGTTGTATTCACAGACCCGTCCAGGCCCCTGCCGCTCAGCGTCAAGGGAAACCCGCAACGCGCCCGCTCGATCGAGCTCTACCGTGCGGACATTGAGGCGGTGTTTGGATCGGATGATAGCATATAGTTCTATCTAACCAATTCCCAAGACCTGTCCCGTATATAGAACCACAGTAAATGGGCCACACTTTCTGGAGTGATTCTTCAAAGTATATGTCCTTGAAAACTGTTCCGCTCAGTCTGTTATCATGACAGAGGACTTTCCTTACCCGAAATGCTTCGAAGAACTTGTGGAGTTCTCTATACCATCATCGAGTTTCCAAATTTGAAGAGCCGACTGAGAACGCTGATTGGTAAGATCAGAATTGATTTGAATATCGTATGAAGCGACTGCGATGCTGATCCTTGGTAATAGACCGAATTTTTAATGCATGGCCATCATCAACTTGCATATTGCCCGGTAACTGAAATCATTCCGTCCGCTTAACGCGATAGGACCTTTACCAACACCGACTTTATGCCATAGCTTATTTGGCTGCTACCATTTCTAAGAGGCAACCTACCACTACCCTCTGGCGAAATGTCGAGGTTCTTGATATGCTCCTCCTTCTACGTCTTTAAACGCACTACATACACTTAGCATGTATACATTTTTATAAGTAGGGACTGATTGACACCGGCGATGGTATTGATTGTAGAGACACATTATGACAAATTTCGATATCACTCTAATCTTACCTTTCATCATCTGGATTTTCCATTAGACACGCTTCAGATTTCTCTGGATCTACCCCTTTATCCACAATCCTACCATTTGGAATATAAGGGTTAACGCCTTCACAAGCCTCTAGTCCTAGTATCTTTCTCACGCGCTGTTTGCTTAATTCGAACACTGAAAAATATATTAGATTCGCCATCTTGGTAGGGGTAATATATGGGCTGTCCGTGCCCGTAAATCCGAAGAGACTTACGAGTAGATGAAGTGGGATCGATAAAATGAAAGGATTACTTTGAACTGCATCTTACTATCTCCTATACCTCGAGCTAGATAGCATAGCGCATAGGCTCCAATACTGAGAGATTCATGAGCTTTGGAAAGTCTTTGAATGAGACGCGCACAGTGTGATTCTGGGGCGGCTAGCTTCCGCAGCTCGTCTGCCCATCATTCCTCATAGTTCTTTCAGTCCTTTTCGATCATGCTATTCTCTGAGACGAGTTGATATTTCTCATTATACAATCCCTGCCAAGGTTTCTGGCTCTCTACATCGAGATTCAATCCTTCATTTCGGATGTTTGCCGGCAAGAAAAACAGGATATTCGCGTCATAATCGCTAAACTATATTCACTTCTTCATCACAGCTGGCCAGCTCCTCAAGCGGCAAAGCTTTTGCAGCTTCTAAACTTTGCATATAAGCATCCGCCTCGGCAGCATACCGACAATTCTTTCGGATCCGTGAGCCGAACTTGTAGAACAAGAAAGGCATCGGTGTGCACGCAAGTGCAAGGAAAGCTGGAACACATGATGCCCAGTGGATTCCGAGGTTTTGGTACATATATGAGGTAAAAAGCGGGAATATGCATCCAAATAATGACCTTAGAAGGCAATTCCCAGCCACAACCGAGGCATAATAAATGGTATAGGTGTCCATCAGATAGGTAAGGATCGGCATATACACTGTCACCATCCCAAAGCCAAACGGCACGCCAGCAGCGATCGATGCCATCCAGTGAATAGAAGGATAGTTTGTCCAAGCAAACCAGAACAGGCCGATAGGAAGAAGAATACTGCCCAAGAATGTAGGTGGTAGACGTGCTTCTGGGGCTAAGCGTGTCTTCGACTCGAGGGTTCTCTTCCTATACCTATAGTAGACGGGAATATTATAGGTGACAGAGCAGAGAATTCCCACTAATACTCCTATGAATGCTAGGCCACCAATCCCAGGGCTCCAGCCGCGGACATCCTGGAAGACGATAGGATATGCGTCGAAAAGCATATATAATGTCCCATAGATGATAGCAATATAGATGCTTAGTAGGAGCACAATAGGCTCGCAAAAAAGCAAGATAAATGGTCGGAAAATAATGGTTTTGATCTTAGTTCTTGTTGATATCTCGGCTTGCTCAATATCGCGTTGAAAGCAATACACTTTGCCAGATATATTTGACAGCCTCTTTGCCCGCTCTCGTAATAAGAAAGGAGCATATGTTTCAGGCAAGAACATCATGACCGTTAACCACATAAAGCCACCAAAAGCCGCCTGTAATCCCTGGCACCACCGCCAGCCTGCAGCATCAGCGAGAAATCCACCCACGATAGGCCCGATAGATGGTCCCAAAAATGCTGTCGCTGCGTACAGACTGCTATGAAGGCCGCGATCTATAGCATGGAAAGTATCGGAGATAGTACCACCGGAGACTGCCATTGGAGCGGATCCGAGGCTTCCCGCAAAAAATCGCAGAATAAGCAGAGTCTCAATGTTCTGTGCGCCGGCTGTTCCAGCCGTGAATGCAGTGAAGAACATCAAGCTCAGTATCAGCACCACGCGACGTCCATAGACTTCACTTAAGGGTGCCCATAACAAGGGACCAACAGCGAAACCGAGAACGAAGAGCGAGACGCCCAAGATTCCCACTTCGCGACTGCACTGGAAATGGCTTATGATGTCACTCAATCCTCCCGAGTATGTGGATGAGCCCAAAGAGACCGCGAGACTGGAGCTGGAAGCAAGGAATGTGATGAACCATTTTGAGCTTTTTTTAAACCCTACCGGGTTCCTGGGGTCGTCCGGAAGCCAGGTGACAATATAAGGCTCCTGGTTCGTTCCCTTGCCTTCATATGGCGCATCGATGATTTTTTGCGACACGGCGCCTTGGTCGAATATCATACGACGAAATGATATCTCGGATGGCATGCCTCCATCCTCCTTGGCTTTTGACGCTCGCATCTTAACATTGACCATGGATGTGGCAACGGAGGTTGGTGAATGAGAGTAGGAAATTTAATAGGGACGCGAATACTATACTTAGCGGGCATTGTCACTTATAAAAAATCTCGCTTTGTGGGTCGTGTAGTTGCCGGTAATGATATCAAATGCTAAGAATTACGGTAGACGAATCTACCCATTGCAAGCAGCTCACTGTCTATGGGATTACCTAAGGAAGAGTTTTTTTCCACGGATACTTTTCCGACCGGAAAAATATCCAACCAGGATCTGGAGAATTTCCGTGCGTCAAAGGCAGAAGGCGATGTTGTGGGCCCGAAATGTGGGTCAGAAATCGGCAAGGTCGGCACAATGGGCGGGCCGAAGATATGAAAAAATGCATAAAATTCAAGGTAAAGAAAGCGCCGACAACGCTGGCTGTTTGAAAATGACAACTCCGAATCCACACATTCACCGTGTTCAAGATGCAGGTGATCCTCACATAAATACTCTCTTAACTTATATGCGATCTATCACCTGAGAAGGAGAGCGCGGCCGCATGGAGAAGGCGAATGGCTGAACTTAAGAAGTAGGTAAGTACTAAGTAACGGTAAGACTACAACAGCGGTGACCCATGATCTTGTGTATAGACTGATTGAGAATACCAGTATTAAACGGGATATCCAGTTTATATCCGTGAAATTTGCTTACATATCGTTGCTAACAGAAACAGCTTGCTAAAAGAACGTTGCATATGCATGACTTGATTTTCGTACAACATTGAAGTGTCCGTTTATCTAATACTTACTCACACCAGGCATGATACAGACGTATCAAACGAAATACGAGAAGTAATTTTCGCGGATACTAACTCCTGCTGTTTTCTAGTAAAGTCAAGGATGAGATATCCAAAAATGTAGAGTATGTGGAGAATTCCACAAAATGATCTAGAGAGCTGTACATAAGGTCAATGGTCTTTTTGCAACCCGTGAAGGCTCCATACCTGAGTTCAGAGGGCTCATCCTGAATTTCAAGTGAGTTGTTGTGGTTCAATTTACATTGCAGAGACCTACAGGATAAAAATATTGTTGATGTTCGTTTTGGATATTAATTCTCGATAAACTCTCAGGCTCTTTGAAGAATTGGCTACCAACAGGGCTGGAGAGCAAAAAATCACTATTTTCGACTTGAGAACACATTCTATCAATCAAATTTGCATCAACTTCTACATGAATCATTCAGTACCTGGCCTGATCCTGCTCATGCGCCAAGGTTTTATCCTTGAGTGGCTGGAGCAGCCAAGCTTTTTCAATCCTGCGGTTGACGTGAAAAATTTCCATGGGATCCATATTCCTCGTATTGACGCCGAAGACAGCTATACTACCGTCTGCCTTCTTTTCTTCGAGTGGCCACCAATAGCATCTATTTTCACTTTAGCCAACCTATTGAGATCCATAGACGATAAGCCGATTGAGACTTACACGCATCCGCAATTCTCACAGAAATTGAATGAGATCTCTCTATCCCCCCAAACGTACTGAGAGAGCTTGGCGCCTTCTTTTATGTCAATTTTGACTTCATTCACTTTGTAGTACGCCCAAGCGGCTGCGTAGCGCCGACAGATTGTACATTGGCATTCATTGATCTCCTCTGGTTGGTGAGGCATGACCACGGTGATGGCGCCGCAATGGCAGGTGGAGTTGAGGGCCTTGTCCGCCATCTTATCCGAAAGTTTAGACTAGAGTAGAGTGCAACAAGAAGGGGTTGGTTAACCACTGGGACCTGTTTTCTCGATGGAAACAACGAGATGTCTGTTGATGCTTATATCAGTATCAAGGATATGCTAAGTCGCGAAGCAAATTGGGCCTAAGTGTATGATAGTGTCGCGTTCCCCTTTGCTGACGTTGGCCGTGGATTGAGTCACGTGATTAAGTTGCGCCCGCTGATAGTGACCGGCACGAAATCTGCGGGATGAACGGACTAGCCGCTCGGTTGGCGACATGAAGCTCTTGACCAAAGCAGCAATCTGGCTGCGCCTGTACCTTAAGCTCTAGGTAAACATTTATAGATATTGCTGTGTTGATGTCTCATACCGAATTGTTCCATCGAAATGGCCACCCTCAGATGTTCAGCGGGCGGCGCCTAACTGAGCGTTTGCTACAAAATCACCTGTAACAACATTCCATAACTAGAGTCCCTAGTATTGGGGCCATTCGGAGGTACCACGCTTTCCTTCATGTATATGTCCATTCAATTACGAAGTAGAGTAAAATTGATTGACTGCTCGCTTCCACACCAATCCCTTGGCATCTCGGCTGAAATTGCCTCAGAAAGGTACGGGCGGCATTTAACTGGTTCATCGAGTCAGGAACATGGCGATTCACTCAGCTTCTACATGAGTTTTGATGCGTAAATTGAACATGCTATTCAAGATTACTACCGTCAAAGCGAGCTGTTACCCTTTGAGACAACATGAATTTTAGTTGGATCGAGTCCTGGCGTGGTTGCAACTTTCGATCGCAATTACTTGCCCAAGTAATGCTTACTGTGCTTACACTGCATAAGTAGTCTGCATTAGTTTAGTAACCCTGTTCCTTGGCATTGATTATTCCGTCTTCTACACTGACATAGCCTCATTTGCCATGAGATTATGGAGTTTCCACTCCGCTTTGTAAGAATAGCTATACCGCTTCGGCAAAGGCTAGATCCTCTTCACCGCATATGTTTATTCGGTTAATTTAAAAGGAGGTTTGCTGTCGTATGGAAAGGCTGGAGCGGGGTATAAATATGCCTAACGCACCCCCAGTCTCGTAACACGGAGTTCAAAACCGGGAACGATTGAAGTGGGTATTGACAGACAGATATCGCAAAGTCCTAAAATGTCATCATCGTGGATCCACACGCTGGCTTCCAGCCTTCTTTTGACTATGATGGTCATAAGGACTGCTATTGCCAAAGAGAATTTCAAGTTGCGGCCTTTCGAAATCGACCTCTCCGACAGAGTACCTCGAATGATCCGTCAGATTCAGGAATCTCACCTTCCCCAGACGCCTGTGTATACAGATACCGGGACATCTGCAGGCATCACCCTAAGTGACTTGAAGTCTTTCAAACAACAATGGTTGACAAGCTTTGATTGGAATCAAGAGCAAACCTCTTTGAACAAGTATGTTTGACCACATGCATATGCCTCGGCTTTGAATACTTTAACGCATACTAAAAGCTGTTGCTGGAGTAGGTTTAGCCACTATACAGCAGAGATCGAGGGTTTGACCGTGCATTTCATCCATGAAAAGTCCGGCGCAGCAGATGCTATCCCTCTGCTCCTGATTCATGGTTGGCCGGGTTCTTTCCTTGAATTCATTCCGTTGATCAACGATCTTACCAAGACTGCAAAGATCAAGTCTGGAAAGCTTGTTTCATTTGATGTTATTGTACCATCCCTGCCAGGCTTCGCTTTTTCTTCTCCCCTCCAATAGATTGGACAATCCAAGACACAGCTCGAGTTTTCAATACTCTGATGGCGCAGGTACTGGACTATGAGGAATACGCCACCTTCGGCACGGATTGGGGCAGTGGCGTTGCGTATAGCCTGTACGATCAGTGGAATACGACTGTCAGGGCAGCACATCTAGACTTCCTCCCATTCTACCCCTTGAGTTCGGCCGAGTTGGCCGCTGAGAACATCACTCTCACAGGGCTGGAGGATTTTGAAGAGGATGTGACTATTACATGGAGTAACGAAGGGACTGGATATTTCAGTGAGCAGACCACAAAGGTATCGGAAATCTTGCCCTCTTATTAAGGTCACATGGGAGGAAATGACTAACAAAGACGGATCCTCTTAGCCAAATACCATCGGTCTGGCTCTTTATGATAATCCCATTGGGCAGCTCGCGTGGATCGGGGAAAAATTCATGAACTGTATGTATTCATCCCAATATTGAATCCCCTATTCTAACTGAGAGATCAGGGTCCGATCCCGATGCTGGGCATGCACCTTCAGTTCTTACCAGGAACGAAATTCTACGCAGTGTTTCTCTATACTATTTGACGGAAAGCTTTGCATCCTCAGTGGTGATCTATGCACAGAATCCTAACGGATTCAGCACTGTGTATAGCAAGGCTTCGAATGATGCCCCGTTGCTTTTTAGCGCTTTTAAGTATAATCCCGGATTTTGGCCACCTGCGCTAGTGGCTAAGGTTGGAAACCTAGTTTATTACAAAAGTGAGTACTCTTCTATGTCTCATATTGTGGAGGATGTAGGCTGACTAAGAATTTATTCAGATCATGGATTTGGGGGCCACTTCCCGGGGCTGGATAATCCTCCTGCTTTGCTACAAGATTTGCGAGAAATTGGCAGCTACTGGGATGTCAATAATTGAGTCTCTGATTGCTAGGCATCGGAAAAACGCGCAGATTGGAAGGATACGGGACGCTTTCAACATTATTGTGGCGAAGCGCTTTGACTAATGAATTATTCGGAATATCCTCCTTCGGAGCTTGGAATACATGCGTATTTTATGAGGTTTTCTCTTTGATTCAAATCAGGGTGTCAAACACACGTCTGAAGGTTGCGCTGTATATATCAGCGCTATTCGCTCTTCTTTCATTATTTTCCTCGGAGACCATCTCACTATACAGCATATCGTTCTATCTTACCTCCCTCTCCGCGTATCGGTGTGCTTCTTTTCATTCGTCCGCTCGGATCGCTTTGACCAGGTTGTGAACATGTCGCGCAAGTTCAAGGATACCTGAAGGGGCTTCACGGGGATGAGATAGAAGTGGCATATCATACAGGAATCAGGAATGACGAATTTGTAGCTTCGGCAGGCAATTGATAATTGGTTGCAGCTGGGTGCCTTCTCGTGTGGGTCTCTTACGTGTAGTTCTGGGAGGGGTGAACTAGCATGAGCGGTTAGACTCTTCATAAGCAATTCAACGGTTTCAAACTCAGTACGGTATAATAGACACATTTCAAAACTAAGGATATATGTCTCATCCTATGGTTTTCTCAATTGAGATTAATAAATTTTGTCATTTGCCAGACACATGCCAAATGACCTCGGGAATTCATGCTGTCAAATGCATATCCCTAGTACGAGGGAACTTGCTTACAAGGACTAAGTCCCCACACAAATCACGACTCCAGATCCAGTAATTTTGCAAATTCACCACTCTTGCACACTAATTCTTGTGGATGTCCCACTTCTATAACCTGTCCACCGCTCAGGACAGCGACTTGATCGAAGTCGAGGAGAGTATGGATTCTATGTGCCACCATGATCACGGTGCAATCAGCAAAAGACTGCCGTATGACCTTTTGCACTTTGGCATCCGTTTCGGGATCCAGACTGTAGACACGGTCAGATACCAGAAAAACCAATGAGATGAGGCTGATAACTAATTAACATACCTGCTTGTTGGCTCATCTAAAATCAGAATCTTGCTTTTCTTCAGCAAAGCTCTTGCTAGACAGAATAGTTGTTTATGGCCCTGGGATAGAATGCTTTCATCTAAACTCGTATCCAGCAACACTTCATCCGTGCTATTGTGGCTTGTCACTAAGGAGTCCCAGACTCCGACGGAATTTAGTGCATCGATAATTTCCGTGCTCGATGCCACATCCAGTGGGTCGGCATTTTGCCTGACGGTACCAGGGAAAATGAATGGCTCTTGGCCGAGACAGCTGATGCGCTGTCTGACTGTTGATCTGGACAAAAGGGAAATATCTTGTCCATCGATGACGATCCTACCCGAGAAAACCTCATTGAGCCGGAGGAGCGATAGCGCCAATGTACTTTTGCCACTATTTTGTTCATTATTTATTAGCTTTGTTCTTTGGACAGGAAAGAACATGCTTTCAAATACCTTCCTGTTCTACCACAGAGGCCGAACTTATCCCCAGCACGGATGTGAAGGTTTATTTTGTTGAGTAAAGGCTTCGCGTCATTATTCCATGCAATAGTCGCATCCACAAATGAGATTTCTCCTTGAGTCGGCCATTCTGGGATTTCAATGTAAGTCTGGACAATGGCGTTGCTCTCTTCGTTCGGAGTCTCTTCGGCAAACTCCTTGATTCGTGAAATAGCTCCCAGTGAAGTTTCAAGCAACGTCCAGTTCTGTATCAATGCCGAGAGAACGAGTCCCAGTTCCATCATCATCACAAGAGCAATTCCCAAGAGACCTGGCTCAACACGAGTGCGGAGAGCGAGCGAGATGCCAACAAGAAGTACTGTTAAGGCAGCGACAATCAAATTTAGCACGAGACTCAGCCATCGTTGAATACACAAGAGGAGATAGTAAGGTTTCTGGGCCGTGTCTAGCATGGAAATCATTCGATTAGAGGTGGCGTGAGTCCAGGAAAATGCACGGATGGTGGTTACTCCTGCCAAAGATTCGATAAAGTGGGTATAAAGAGGACTCTTGAGCTCGATCCTGTAGGTGCATTGCATTAGTTTGGGATGGGTGGGATATAGAAACAATGACATACTCTAATAGCCGCAGTTGACGAGATGTCTTGAGATAGAACCGCTGAATTAGTACCAGAAGTCCAATCACAGGGGGCAAAGCTGCCGCTAAGTATGGAAGTGAAGCGATAGCAATTGCGCCTTGCGCAATGGCCGCAAAGAACTCTGGAACTCATGGTGATTAGGACACTGACATAGCATTTTAGCAATTTTATCACTGAACTTACGAAAACCCGTAGATATGAAGGCCCGGGGTAAAACCATGTCCACTAGTCTTATGTCTTGACTGAAGCGGGTTACTAGGGCTCCAGTCTCAACATTCGACAAAAACGACATTGGAGCGCTGGTTCTTGTCAGCCAACGATCTACGTACAATCTTAGATAAACTTACCTCATGCAAACGCGCAGCATGGTAGAATGAAGGTTCTGAGAAGCCGCTGGGACGATGACAACCCACGTCCAGCTAATGGCAGAGCAAAAATGATCAGCCAAGACATAAGGGTGGCGGACAATGTCAAAACATACAATACAGCAAGCGTCAGCGCAAAGAGTTGAATAACCGAGAATGCCCCATATAGCCCAAGCCAGTAGCCTAGGCGCGAGGGTGCGGTATTATCACTGCTGGAGGACCAGAGGTCAACCCAGATGTCTGCGAGAAAGTCAGCCAGGTGCCTTGCTCATGAACAAGCCAAGCAAATGAATATAGTCGTCATGACTTACAGCGAAATCCGCTCATGCCAGCCTCGGTTATTATGAAGAAAAGTAAAGCAGAAATTCGCAACCAGCCCAGCGCAGAGAAATAGTACTTGTATACAGCGAGGTCTGTCATCGGGCGCTTGACATCTACGGAGGAAGCGCGCATGGACTCCGCTGTTTGATTGAGAAGTTCTGGCAACTCATCAATTCTCTCTGCGTCATCATTTTGCCTGAGTTGCATCCCCTCGATGTGAACCAAGTCGTCAATTTCTTCTTGAAGCTCGGTAAACCTACCCTGCTTGGCAACTCGGCCATCTTCTCCCAGTACCAAGATCAGATCGGCTTGGGGCAAGTGATGAACTGGAATACAATTAGTGTAAGAGGGAGATTTCGGTCGGCCAAATGAGCTATGTGGTAGACGGGATGACACACCAGTGTGAGTTGCTAAGAAAACCATACAGCCAAGCCGACGTAATAGTCCAGTCGGACCAAAGACATTATGGAAGACATCTCGAGCGGTTGCATTGTCTAGGCCACTCAAAACATCATCGAAGCAAGCGATACGTTTACGAGCGTAAACGGCGCGTGCGATAGCCTGCACGGGTCAATGTTTTAGTGGATAACAAACCCAGTTTGAATAAATAACTTACAATCCTTTGTCTCTGTCCTCCACTGAGTCTAGATCCTTTACTACCCACGGATGTCTCGTCACCGGCTGGCATTTTCTCCAGATCCAGATCTAGCGCACATGCGCTAATAACGGTGCGATACCAGTCTGGATCGAAAGAGGATGGGTCGTCTCCAGCAATATTACTCCGTATTGATGTGTTGGATAGCCATGGTGTTTCGTCACAGAATGCCAAATCTGGGTACTTGATAAAAAGCTCACCCTCCAACACGGGCGTCTCACCTGCGAGACCCTTGAGGAATGTAGATTTACCACAGCCTACTGGGCCGACAAGGATAATGACAGTGCCAGTAGGAGAGGCTTCAAAACTGAGTGTAATGCCCTGTATGCTCCTCCGAGAGGAGGGTTTCCAGCCAAATTGAACATTGCGCAGTGATAGAACCACTTCTTTCTGTGTGGGTAGACTTTCTGGAAGTGAAGAAAGCTCGATAGCAGAGATGCTACTGGTCAAAATAGAGTGACTTGAAAGCGACTGGGCAAGATGCCTCTTCTCTGTGTATGACAATTATTTGTCAGCATTTGTTGAGGATACAAAGTATGATTCGGCATTCAGGAATACCAAATTATGGTATGGTAATGGTATGGTAATATAGAGAGAGGAATGAAATACATACCAAGTCGGCCCGGGTTTTTGAGGAAGTCTTGTATCCTGTTCAGGCAACCCATTGAAGCATATGCGTCGGGAATAGCCATCAAAAGGTAGCTAAGTGGCGTAATCATCAAGTTTATGAGAGACAAAGATGTGATGGCTTTGCTGACGGCAAGTCCGCCAGAGCCCTGCAGCAATGCTAATATCGCATAGGCAGCGAGTGTCACAAGCTGCCCAAAGGTCAAAGGGGAGTTAACTAGATTCTAGTGTCAGTGAATTGATTCCTTATTTTCATATATCTGACGCGGAATATGGAGTGAGATAGCACGCACCCATACATATCCGTATGGACTGGAGTTTGCGGAAGTTCTTGGAGACCTCAAGCTCTTCCATGCGCATTGCGTCAATCATATTGCTCATTGTCTCGGTAAGTCCAAGGTATTTGACATTTCGAATGGACCCTAGAATGGAAGTAGTGAAGTTGATACGCTTTTCGGTAGCCTTAAGCCAATCTTTCTGCCGAGTGGAAACAGCATTACCCATTGCAAATGATGCTGCTATGAAGACTAGTGTACCTCTGTCAGAATACTGCAAACAAATGGTTAGGAGAACACTAACTTATTGCAACCAAAATCGGACCGATGCAGACAGCACCGACTTGAGTTTGTAGCAACCATGTAGCTAGAGCTAATTGTAGCACATTCGCCCAGGTCTCACAAACTACTGAATAGAAATATTCTGCGAGCATCTCTATGTCAGAGCCCATCAGGGCCATCGCGCTGGATTCATCTGTGCCTCCCAGAGGCAGATCCATCATATGCTGGAAAACAAGAGTCATTAGACCACCACGAAGTATGGTTGTGGCACGATATCCCAAATGCTCGTAAGTAGCTCGGGAAACCTATGAGTGAATGTAAGTTTCTTTCTTGATAGCGCGAGTCAGCTGAACAGGCTTACAGCAACCCCAGTAAAGATAATTGCGGTCGCTGCAATTAAGCCGTAGCCCATATCCTGTGACAACGGGGTTGTCTCCTGTAGAACGGTAACAAATTTTCCAATCAGAAAGGGTTGCGCAATACTAAATCCCACGACACAGAGTCGTGGAAAGGCGATCGTCGCCATTTCCCAGCGCAGACATTTGATCACCGCCAAAAGCAGCGCATTTTGTCCACTTTGAGAGCACCCCATCCACGAATCTGTGAATCGAGTAGCTACTTCTGAAGACAAAATCTTCTCGTTCACATTAGGCAGACCTTCCTCAGTCAATAAGACGGAATGCCCTTTCCATAGCAGACTATTCAGCCAAGTAAATAAGCCTCGACTAAAAGGCCCGCTGACCCTCTCAATAGAGTGGTACTTTTCGCTTGGCATAAACCACTTCCGCTTCTCAATACTGTTGAGTGTCAAAAGAATTGCCTTGACAGCGAGAGACGCAGAGAGACAAGCAGAGTAAGTCAGATGGCCGGGTAGTAACCAAGCTGTGCGCACACGCGCAATGTCCAGAAGCAGTGTGGTGAACAAGTAAGCTGAGGCGAGAAAGGATGGTCGAAGAGACCGGAAATGCTCCAGGTCAACGAGAATCACGATGACCAGCCCCGACAAAAGATCGAGAATTGCGCCCGCAAGTGAAACGGGTCCACTAAGAGGATGCTGTATCGCAACAAGTACCAGGAGACCAATTTGAATAGCTGCAAAAGCTATGGAGACGACCTGTATGATGCCAAATTTTAGCCGTTTTATTTTGAGCAAATACCAACAGGAATTTAGTATACTAACCAGAGTCGCGACACGGAATGCGGAAGAGAGCACTTTTGGTGACCGTCTAGACAACTGAAACAGGCGAAAGATTGCCAGCAAGAGGAAACAAGCCGCAGGTAAGATGTTCAAAATGGAGGATTCAAAGAGTACTGTGAAGTCGAAGCCCCCGCGACAGTCTGTTGTAGCGACTATGGGCCCAAACTGGCTGTCGCCGCATGCGCCCATGGCTGGCGTTGATGCCATGGCAGAGGTGGTGTAAGGCCAGAGGGGATTCAAGGTGATGGGACTACGAAGTGAGGGTCTTCAAGAATTTCGTTTGAGATTAAGCAAAGAGGCTGGTTCTATGACTGACAGAGGCCGGCGGTCTTCTACGGGCAGCGAAAAGCCACTGGCACAAGGAATAATGCAGCCTTGTTTATCGGCCGTCAAATTGATGTGAACTGTCAAGGGTCTGAATGTACAAAATTGTAGCCTGGGGAAGATGATCGTTAGGCAAGATAAGACAGCACTAGACTAGATTAGCACCAAACGCCTTCCATTTCTCTAATCACTCCAGAATACGGTGGGTCAGCAGTGATTGGCGGGGCCACCCCGTACTTATCGGATTCGAGCGGCGTGTCGGATCCCCGACGGCGACGCTTTGTGCCAAGAATCATTGCGGGATCTTGACATGCGCATTGATAGAACAGTATGGAGGATAGCTTGCTTTATCATTCGACAAGAATGACCTCATCTCACCATTTCGGCGATTGTCTGAATTGCAAAGATGTAATTCTCGAGCGAACATAGTGTTGATTCAATACAAGCAAACGTGCCTTAATGTGCTGGGATACCCGTCAAGTGGATGGGATCGAGCTTACTCATCCCCCTCAGAAGCGCCTGTCATGGAGCCTCGACTAGCCACATTGGGTATCTTGCCAATTTTGCAGAAATCCTCATTTGGAGCGCCTTGCGGGACATATAGATGGCACATGTTGTCCTCGATAAAGTCGCGTGAGAGGTACGTTCAGCAAGACACCTGTGGCGGACAGGCAAAACACAACAGCGGATAATCAGTAGATTGATAACCAGTTCGTAATCTTGTGCTGTCTGCCAAGTAGCGAAGACTGGAGTCTTTTGAAGCATCGTCACCAATGCAATTATGGCAAATTAAGGTGAAAGAAGTGGGAAAAATTGATTTCTGATGCCCGGATTCACCTCTCATGTCTCGGTCATGCGGGCATTAACCTCTATCACCTCGCCAATCTAATCGCTTCTATTTCTGGTTCTGTTTTCTTGGCTGGGCAGGATTTAATAAAAAAAAATTTGGAACCATGCGTGTGCCGAGTGTAGAAACTTATTCACTCTGTGCATCTGACTTTTGCTACTCTGGTGGTCGCTGTAATAATTACAATTGACGATAGGGGGCTATGGTCGCATTGCCGCTATTCTCACCATAGCCGTGCCCGAGAAGGCCCAGAATCTCCGGTGAGTTTCCACCTGAGGCTGATACTCGGTTGACCCCGTCACCGGTCTAGCCGGTTTCAGTCTACTTGAAAGGCCTGATACCTATATCCTTGAACATGATCATTCGATGGAGGGCAATATAGGTGACCCAAAGCTGATGGAAATGCATAGGCTTTGTTTTGATTACCCGACTGCATGGCACTGGAGTCTTTACCCCGACTTTCTATTCTTATATCTCGATACCTGCGGATCCATCACTGAGGCCAACAGCCACTAGTTCAAGTTTGTATCCAAAAACCCATGGCAGAATGACCCAGCGGCCATAGTGGTATATGACGCCTAGTGCTAGAATGGCCAATGAAACCACAGGAGAAAGATAATAGGGGAGGCTGGTAGGGAAAGATAATAGGGGAGGCTGGTAGGGCTCGTAGGAGGAATGAAGGGCAGAACAAGCGAACACTCCAACATATCAGTAAGCGCGTTTCATGGGAGCAGACATAGGGAAACTTACAACATTTGCTACAAGGTAAAATTCAAGAGCAGGCCATGGCCCACTTAACGGGGAGTGAAAATTCTCTGTTTTCGAGTATCGCAATTTCAGCAACCCCATAGTGATAAGTGTCAAGAGAAAAACTGATGGGTAGGTGCCGAGGCCGACAACAAAGCTGAACGCATCACCTGCTTGGGGAGCTCAGACGAAGAAAATAGTGACACCCAGATGGTTAGCAAGGGAGAATATCAGGGTCTTGAATGGGCGGTTTTGCATGAGGAGATCTTGAAATGGTGTGGTCCCATCTTTGGCCAGCTCCTGGATCAAACGTGCTAAGCGATATTATACACTTTATAGAGAGTGCGAATATTATATTGATACTCACAGACAGAGAATGCCACACTGAAAAAGTGTCAAATTGCTGAAAGAGCCACCAAAGCCGGGAGGGCCTTCACTGCCGCTGACTGTCCGTAGATATTATGAAATAATGTAGCTGCAATGGTGATATTAATCGGAACACATGAAGTCTTCTTTTGAAACACCAACAGCCTACAATAGAAGAGTTAACAGTAGTTTTGCTTCTTGGTAAAAAAAACTCACGTATGCAACATTTGCCAGAATGTAGAGCACTCTGTACTACTGTGATAGATCACATAAATGCAGGAAATATGATTGATCTACGCTTTAATTGCTATGGTCAGCCTTCATTTCGCAGTGCATAGTGCATGCGTCATTGTGGAAAGCGGTCTCGGGTATTCCGTTTAAGATAACTTGTATACGTGTAGTATTTTGACACCTTACCCTAGTGATCAAATGCGCCCTATCAATGGAAACCATAACGCAGTCTTTTGTCATGATAACATCTCATCATAAGCAAATAGAGGGCACTCCTCTTAGGAAACGTAATGGAAGAGCTGGGAAGCTATGCATATGCATCTACTGGGCCACCTTGCAGCCGCACGGGGGCTCCTTGTGTTACGTTTGGGCGGAAATACCTGCATATGAAGGAATGACACAAGACTTTCTTGCAATGCCACCCTGTAGCAGCAGTTATTTCACCGCAACTCTTGGGAAGCTATAGCATAGTTTCAGTTGTTCTATTACCAAGTCTTGTGGGGCTTGCTAAAAGGCATATAAAGCTGATAATACCCCTAAGCAGGTTCCTCAACTTCCCCAGCTTCTGTCTATCTTTACCACGATCTTCAAATACATTTCGAACATTTATATACACAATCACCTAGAAAGATGGTTGTCCACCAATGGGAGCGAGGCACTTCTCGAGGAACTGCGTTTTCTCACTGTCTTGCGACTGAAGAAAATGTGCACGAGTTTCCATTTGTATCCAAGATTGAGGTGTGGACGAATAATAAAGTGGTACCTGCCCGCATTTGTGCCATTCGTGTTCAGTACACAAACAACAAAGCCTCTCCTACGTTCGGAAACAGTGAAGGGGCCACGAAGTCTGATTTCACGCTTCGCCTTGGTGAATACATTACGGAGCTTCGACAAGGGGAGTCTGAGATGCTAGCCACGCGGTGCATATCTTGTATCTACCTTGCAACAAACCAAGACCGAACTTGGAGCTCCATGTCAGGCTCAATTGGTGCAATTCCGACCTTTTATCCAGTCACTATTCACAGTGGTTTCCCCTTGGGGATTAGTGGCCGTGCCGAAGTCAACCAGACAGGGGCGGAAATCACGTCTCTAGGATACTACTTTCTCGAAGATATCGATCGCATCAGAATAGACTTTGAATTCTTAGAGGATCCAAACCCCGAGAATCTTTCCCTGATCTACTACGACACTTTGAAACTTGAAAATAACACCACCATCGAACAGCCAGGAGAGGTTGAAAGAGATAAATCGGTGACCAACTCAACCAGCAGCGAGGAGAGCTGGGCGGACGAGATGGGCGTGAATATGTCTGTGAAGACTGGCTTCTTCGGAATCGGAGAGACTGAAATGGGCGCTGAGTGGAAAGTCACGAGAACCGAGACCAACACCACAAGTTCTGAGAAGGGTGAAACTATTCGCTGGCGAGCCAGCCCAAGAGTGCCTCCACTCAAACGGCTTGACTGCGACTTGCTTCACTTTGAGGGATATTTCAATGTGAAATACCGCAGCGAGGTGCTGCTTTATGGAAAGTCGGGTGGCGAATACACGATCCATAAAGTGGGCTATATGCAAGGAGTGACATCGTCGGTGACCATTATCAGATATACGGAGAGAGAGCTGAACGCTCCAGCAGCCGGATTGGATCATCTTGTGGACCGGGATATTCCTCTCAATAAGTTGCCTCCGAACACGGAGGAATCCACTAATTGATTGTGAGAAGTATGTTAGGAGTTTCAGTTCCTGCTTAGTTTCGAATCTGCTTCGAAACCTGTAGGTGACGGTGCTGTTCCGTTCTTTGATATCATGAATTTAGTCTCGGGTTTTTTCTTCTAGTCTTTCTTTCGGGTTATAAATAAAAGAAAACATTGCACAACCTACTTTTAGATTACGGGTATGCAATGACAAAGCAGATCATATCTAGGGGCGGGCTATGGTGAAAAATTTATAATATAAATAAAGAATATTCTTAGAGCTTACTTTTATAGTGTTTTCTCTATACACTCTTCTTCTATCTTTATTCTTTTATCTTAACTATACTTTAATCTTATTTTAATTACTTTCTATTACTATTTCGCTATCCTTTTAGAGTATAATTACCTATATAGCTCCCTATACCCTTAGAGTAATCTCTATTATTACTACTAAGAACTAGTATATAACTTATTTTGATTCCTAGATAAAGAACTAAATTCATAAAAAAAAAGATAGTTATCTATTTTCTAAGATAAAAATAATAGAATATCTTAGATATTCTTAAATATTATTAAATTACTTTTAATTTAGTATCTAGATTAAAGAGTAAGCTCTAGACTTATCTAGAGCTAGTCTATAATAGAGAGATATTTAAAGTAAGATTATTATAAACTATTTATTTAGCTCTTACTTCCTCTATATTAAGGAAGAAGAAGAATCTCTCTTTTCAGCTAGTTAATGATGAATTATTACTTCCGCTTATATTCTATATACTAGCTTCAAGCGTTGTAAGTCTCTATATTATATAGTAATAGCCATCTTTTTAGCGCTAATAGATGTTATATTCAGACCCCATTGTTTCATCCCCATAGCGCCATCTAATAGTTCTAACTCTAAATATATCTATTCCAGCCCGTTTATTCGCGCTGTTTCCAACTTGAAGGGGTGGGGATCGAAACCCTGGAAAAGACACTACCGTTCAACCGTCATCAGGGACTGTTAAACCATCTTAAGAGGCGTTTTCGTTCTAGCGAAACGAATCCTGGCTTCACTCCAGCGCCGTTGAACGTATCAAGAAGAGAGTTAGAGGCTTCTAGCTGAGGGTTGTTGCTTTTCCTATACCTCAGTGACCGGCACGAGGTGTAAGATCCAGTATCTCGGCGTAGCAACGCCGGAATTTGGCGACGGGATTTGCGTCGGTTACTGCTGTCTCGTCGTCCCATATTACAGCGACAAAGCGGGCTGTAAGGTCTGACTTTGGTTGTTTTTCAGTAAGTACGCCCAATTCATCTGACGTACGCCGCAACGGTCTAGTGGCGGATGGCTCAGCGGTAGCAATGAGATGTATAGGTATCGCAAGCGCTTTTTCCATACCGCTGAGATACTTGCTACCAACCCGTAACGTAGTAACGGCTGAGTTGAGGGCGTGGCCAAGTGGATCTAGTCGGGAGTAAAGATCGCCCAGCGTTATATTCGAGGAAGTGTGTTTGGTAGGGGCAGAGGGGTATGCGCCCAATGTTGGTATTGTTGCAGTACCGGCTGGACCTTGCGCTGGAGAGTCTGCCAAGTCACGAAGGTTGCGAAGTAGATTCTCTGCAAGATAAGACATAATTCTCACGCTAGAGGCATAGCATTGGGCAGCTAATAAAGCGTGCTTCCCTTGCATGCACCTTTTTATAGGATCTTGGCCCTCCCTTCCACTGCATAAAGTAGCGTCTGAGTCCTTGGATAGCACCTTCAAGGCGGCGTCGAAGACGCCAAATACCTTCCCAATCGGACCTAAGCGTCGATGATCAGCCTAATTGAAAGTCATAATGGCTAGAGCCGGTACGCCACGTATTCCACATTGATACTTACAGCCGTTGATACCCTTATCAGTGTAACTGGTCTGAACAATATCAGCCAATGTGTCTTCCAGCAACTGGCAGATTTTGACCAGCTCGGTGTCATATCCTGAGGTGAGGCATGGCACCCTTTCACTTTCTTCAGCAGAGGCAAAATCTGTTAAGAAGTCGTAGGTACCTGAGCTCGAGTCTCCGCCCGAAGGCTGGAGGTCAGCACGCCCTGAGTCGGGGTTCGGTATCAAGTTATCGGCCAGGTCTGACCCAAAATCCACGGATTCGTCTGGAGGCCATGTTGGAGTAGATCTCGATAAGCCACCATCAATTTGAGCCAGATCGTCTGGTGGGAATGCCATCGAGTCTGCGATAGACTGCCAGTCAATCTGACTGTAGTCAATACTGTCGACAGGTATCTTTCTACTAGCTCGGGCACTGTATACGCAATTCAATCCGGCTTTGCGACATCGGGAGCATTGACTTAGAGGCTGTTTATTTCCAGAGCAGCGTAGCTTTTGCTGATAGCAGCGATCGCAAGTCTTTCGTAGAGACCCAGTTTCAGCGTGCCGAAGAGTGACATTGCCAGTGTCGGCAGAATGATGATGACGAAATGACAAGGCCGGCTCGGAGGGTGGTCGCAAATTGGCGTGATTGACACCACAGTTGTGGCTCATTGTGTTCAAATTTCGTTTGTTCGCTACAAATCGCCAGTGACAAGTTGTTATGCCGCACTGGGTGATTGTGGAGGTTAAGACGATGCAGGGTGAGCTGTGGCAGAAGTGTCGGGGGATGTTAGAGAGTGAACAGATGAGAGAACAGCGAGCAATGGTGATGGAGTTTGGCCATTGCGTCTCAATAGAAGAAGGAGGCCTGTCATTTCTCTCATTTCTCTCATTTCAGGTTAAATTTTTCATCTATTAATCTTTGAGGAGGGGCAAGGATTCGCGATATCTTACATGCAGACAGGCCTAGGCAGTGGGAGGGGGGGCCAGAATGGAAATGTAATGCAAGGCTGTTATCGTCCGCATACAGTATCTGGCCATATAAGCTACGAAAACAACAGTCGCCTGCATGGCTAGTCAGGCTGTTTTGGAATAACCCAATACTCCCTATGGCCAACCACAACACGTATCTTTGAATTTTACACTGTTAAAGATAGTTTATTTTACAGTTACTATGGTCATAAATTTTAGCGCGTGATGAAATGTTCGTAGCTTATTTGGCCAGATACTGTACACGAAAATCAACCCCAGGCAGGATGCAGTACGCGTCTCATCTCCACTATTTGCAGGATTCGGCAGGACTTTCGAAGGCTGTTGGGGCACATGGCTATTGGAGCGAGAAGTACGCGATATCATCCTACTAAGGTCAGAGACTCTCTGTGACCAATGAGCATCTATTCAACAGACATGGATTTTAGGTGGATGATAAGACCGTTTTTCTGTGGGATGGGCTTGGCAAGCCCGTACTGATCTCCAGTATTAGGAGGGCGCTGACCAACCCTAGAGTCACTCAAGGAGAAAACAGAAAGTATACCAGGAAAGACCGATTATCGACTCTATAAGTCGACTCCTATTGCACATATGAGGACTATCAATATGTAGGATATTTTTTACTATCTTATCCTTAGATCTTCATATTTAATCTAGTACAGTAAACCCCCGTCAAAATATACCTTTTTAATACCGAACCCCGTTAGTTTCGAAAATTCCGCTGTCACCATATCGTTCCGGTCCTCGGGGTTTTGTTTTTCGACCCGGAAAACCCCAGTTGGTGAGTATTACCCAGGTGGGTCCAGATGTCCGGGTTGAACCTAAAAACCCCAAACCCAGTATGTACTGGGACCTCTCCAAACCCCCAATTGGGCTGGGTTGGATCCCGAGTCCGGATTTTGTGGGGCTCTGCCGAAGTCTATCAGCAGACTAGACTCTAGAATGGGGCAAATTATAAGTAAGCAGATATCATATAGAAACCTGCTTTTCCTGAAGTGAGATGACGCTTAGGGTAAAAGTAATCATAATCTTCACGGATAAGGCGCACCTGTCGTAGAAAAATCAGGCGTATAGAGATCTTAGCGCAATTGACCGGCGGCCTGACTTTCTTAATGAAAATACTTGACTTAGGCTAAAGTCAGGGCGGGGGCGGGGGATGAAACCGATGGGTTAGCGTCGGGATCGGCGTTATAATCCGATCAGGCCTGCTGTGTCGCCACAGTGTCACCACAGTGATCGGGAATGGTCAAAAATCATCAATTGATGAAAGGACATTCCCGAGGGTTGCCCTCGGAACCTAAAGACGATACTACCAATTATTACTGGCGGAAAAAAAGCCTAGTCAATCGGGGGTTTATTCGTGAAAGGGATATACAGGGCTAGGTCACAGATTCACCCGCCTCCGGTCGGAGGGTAACAATTACGCCGAACACCATCACGCAATCAACAGGGGCGAATGTTGCTATCTAATATGCGCTTACTGGGACGAGATCGGGGTTTCCAAAGTTGTACTTATAGAGTGGAGATAAGGCGCCAGCCACCCCGGGAAAGTCCCCGAGGACCGAACTCTGGGCGTTACAGAATAATACACCGAACGACGATTCATCAGTGCTCCAGAAGTGCGGAATTCGTCGTGATTGCCTCATTGGGACGGGGATGGTGAACCTCACTTTAGCTTCAGGAGGCCCCGAGATGCCTACTGGTAATTATTTAAGTAAAACGTCCTTATTTCTCCTCGAAGCTTGTCTTCAACCAACTTCCTAGTGACCATGGCATTTGCGATCGTTCAGACGGGGGCTCTTGGCCCCCTATTCCTAGTTTATGCCGTTGCACTTGGGGTACGTATCTCCCTTCTGTTCCCAGCGAATTCAAAGTTACTAAAATGCAGATAGCTGCTTGGAAATGTTTTATGGACGGTTGTGTATAATCTGTTCCTAAGTCCTCTTTCCAAATTTCCCGGCCCCAAACTTGCAGCGATCTCTCATATCCCGTTTCTTTACTGGGGTTACACAGGCAACAATCACAAAAAAATGAAAGAATTTCATGATAAGTATGGAGATGTAGTGCGGATGGCACCGTCAACTTTGGTCTATCGAAGCCCACAAGCCTGGAAGGATATCTACGGCCATCGCAAGTCGTTAGATGGCCCCTTTGAGAAAGACCCTAGATTCTCGTATGAACAAACTGAAGCATTCTTTGTTTGTGACTTAAAAGCTAACTGACATGCAAATATGTAAAGCGTCAAAGGACCCTACGGAGCCAGTATGTTCAGTGCTGATGATGAAGGCCACTCGAGGACAAGAAAGTTGATGTCTCATGCCTTCTCGGAAAAAGCACTGCGGGACCAAGAGGATCTCATCCAGTCATACGTCGATTTGCTGGTGAATCGCCTGGAAGGAGAGACGTTCAAATCGCAGGAGCCTACCGACATGGTTCGATGGTATAACTTCACCACGTTCGATATTATTGGCGACCTGACGTTCGGTGAACCTTTCAATTGCCTACAGAACAACGTGTATCACCAATGGGTATCAATGACGTTTCAAGCCGCCAAGGGCATGGTCTTCATACGTCCCATTATGATTTACCCTTTGCTGGCACCCATCGTGAGAAAGTTACTTCCTAAACAAGTGATGAAAAATCGATTAGAGCATTACCGTATGACGGAAGAAAAGGTCCTACAGCGCATTAAAACTAAAACAGAAAGACCCGACTTTTTCACTTTTATCATGCGGCATTCCGATGATCGGGCCATTTCAGTACAGCAGATGAAAGCGAATGCTGCTCTTTTGATTCTTGCTGGGAGCGAGACAGCTGCTAGTGTGCTTTCTGGTTTCACTTACTATCTTCTTCAGAATGAAGCTGCGCACCAAAAGCTTCTGAAAGAGCTCAGGGAAACGTTCAAGTTTTATGACGAAATCAATTTTAAATGTGTCAGTGGATTAAAATACCTGAATGCAGCGCTTGAGGAGGCCCTTCGCATGTTTCCACCATTAACTGAAACCCTTCCGCGTGTTGTACCAAAAGGAGGAGCAATGATTGATGGAGAATATGTTCCAGAAGGAGTGCGTATTTCTCTCTGCTTCAAATGACGGAGTTTGAAGAATCATCCAGGCTAATTGAAACAGGTAAGTGTTGGTGGAGCTCATTATTCTACATATCGAGCCGAGTCTCTTTTTACCGATGCCGAATCCTTTATTCCAGAAAGATGGCTGGACAATAGAGATGAGCGCTTCGAGTCAGACAACCGCGCAGCTCTCACGGTGTGGTCGCTTGGTCCCCGAAATTGCCTCGGCAAAAAGTATGTGGTCGTAGCATTCGACTGATTCAAATGTTGTGGCTAATCATGAATTTTACATAGTCTTGCGTATGCGGAGATGAGGCTTATTATAGCTAAAGTCTTTTGGAGCTTCGACATGAAATTGGACGGCCGTGCAGCTGGGTGGGATAACCTGAAATCCTATAATCAATGGGAAAAGACGCCGCTCCCGATTCATCTGTCGAAAGCCCAGCACTAGGACCGAGAGGAATGAGAAGCTATTTCTACGGACGTACGTGTGGAAGTTGTACAGAACGTATGTGGTGGTAACATGTGGTATGAAGAAGGAAGAAGTCTAAGCTACTGAAAGTGAAGGGATATGGTAGATACAGGTCAAGCGACCCAACACTATTAATAGTCGAATTCTTTTCATGGATTGACCGAACTCAAATTGTATTGCTTCGGCAATCATGGTATTTGGCCCACAAAGATGAAGCAACCTTGGAATTATACATAAGAGTGGCTTCGACCCGCTTTGCCTTCGTGTTTCTCTCTCTCCCCTCTTCCCTTTGCGCACATCTTCTTGAGCAGTTTGAGCCCTTTTGGTAGCTCCTTTTGCAGTATTAAAACATCTGAAGGCTCAATCAATATCAAACATTAGAATGATTTACATGCGTGTAGAAAAATTCAAAGTCAAACCGCAAAAATTGTTTTCACAGACTTACATTTTCCGGTGTTGAAGGCGTCGAAGAGGTTATTCAAATGTTGAGAAGACTTCATCATTCAGAAGAAGCAATCTGCTCGCGGACCAATACCTTCGTCTTGGGGTAATCGGAAGGCCCAAGGAACGAGTGTGTGAAGTGACCCTCATCCCAAGTCTTGTCCGACTCCGAAATCCGGAGCAAATCCTTGATAGGCCGCTTGTGGTGAACTATTTTGACTCTAAGGTTGAGGTTGACTCGACGTTCATTGATATACCAATTTCCATCATAGCCAGGGTCGGCAGGCATGACGATGACTTTCATCATCTCGACCAGCTATGGGCTGAGATATTCTGATAATCTTCCATTCCCGAGAATACCAGTAATTGAATGATAACAAGCCCGTCTTTGGGTTTTCCCACTGCTTGGCCTCTTGGTTGTACTTTGGGTTCAAGTAGAACGTCTAGACCGCTGCGGCCGACTCGGGCGTGTCGAGGAATTTTCCCCTGCTGGCGCGCAAAGCAAACAAGCCAGTACGAGAGCCAGGAAAGGTCACTGTTCGAGTTCTCTGGTGAAATGGGTGTTTGGAAGTGGAGAACGGTGGGCTGGTCGAAAACCCAGTGGAAGACTAAATACTTACGGAGCAGCTCATCGCCGAGACTATCGACACTTGGGACCCATCTGAGAAGGCCGTCACAGAAACTGAGGTAGGTGTCGAGGTGCTCGACCTTATTTTGGCCCATTTCATCAGGGCAATTTTCAATGGCTGAATCAATGGCTGACTTGAAACCATCAGTTCGTGTCGGGCAACGACAGATGAAGTCCTTGAAATCAAGCACTAGTGCTTCTTTTGGAATGTATGTTGGGGCAGACATTATTTTTGTCCTTTGGAAAGATACTGATATAGCTGAGAATTTGTTTCAATTATTCTGATGAAGGTACTCGACTAGGCGGGATATCGCAGGGTATTTATGTCTGACCATGGCCACTGTATACTTGTCGCCAGAGTATTCTTCTCGTCTGATTATACGATGGGGTGATGCAAGGTGTATTTCTTTTAATTGCATGACGTCCATCAGCTAGTATAGTGACTCTTTGTATTGCTCATCGCCAGCATAGTGATTGATGGGATCCATGGTGATTCATATGGGGCGCGCTGAGACACAGGGGGCAAACTTTGAAATTTACTGGCTGTTAGGTTGTCAATCGCAACATATCGTTACACAATTCCTCCAGTTGAGTTGAATTGCCTCGTGTCTTCCAAGGTTGTAACTAGTGGATCTGTTCCATGGCACTGGTTCATTAGCTAGGGCAACAAATAGGCTTCACAGCACTGGAGTAAATTCAAATAAGGCTCATAATAAGCAATCTTCAGGTTTGAGCGGCCAGTGGCAATATGGAGCCAAAGTGGTGGGGCGGTTGATGAGCCTTCAAAGGACCCAGCATGTAGACGCCCACGAAATGGCAATCGGAGGCAGAAAGCGGTGAGTGGTGCGTGGTGCGATGTCGAAGGAGGCGGGAGCGTGCCGGAGGAAGGTTGCTGAAAGGCGGCCATTTTGGGCGTCACTTCCCGCCGAAAAAATCTATACTATATGAGTGCTATTTTATATTCCTTTTAGATCTCCTTCACTATCTTCTTACCTAACCCTTTTACTTCTTATACTAAGCTACCTAATATATTTAAGGTTTATCTATAATAGAATTATCTAATAGGAAAATCTTCTAGATTATTGATAGAAAAAATGATAATAAAGAAACTTATTCCGCTTAGGTAAAATTAAAGAGTAATTTAAAGAAAAACAAAGAAGAACCATAAAAAAGAACCACAAAAAACAATCACAACAGAATTACACCGCGTATGCAAAGGAAAGCTGAAGCTATCAGAAAAAGAGATATTCCTTGATGTGATCTTGAATGCCGTTGAGCTATTCGTTGCTCAGGCTTTCACCTTGGTTCCATGGTCCAGACGGCCGTCCTCGACCCTGAGTGCAGGGTTTCTGGAAAAAATACTCAAGATAGCAAGATAGGCATCCATGACAACTGCAGCATCGCTGGGGGCATATCGCTCGCTTTGGAGCTTGAGAATGATCAAGGGATCCTTGTTAGGATCGTCACTCATTTCGAGGGTAATATCATATGGAGATCCAGCCCGTGAAAGGTGAGACTCAACGATATTCGCTCGATCGATGCTTCCAGTTTCCGCTTGACCCTGCTTATAGTCGAAAACGGCTTGGAATAGCGGTGATTGAGAGTCTGGATCACTGGATGAAGGGTTTGACAGGCCTAAATGTTCGAGAATCGCGCCGTACGGGACAGCGCTGTGCAAAAGAGCCCCCCGCATTTCATCCTTGACGGCAATCAATGTTTCGGCAAATATGTCGTCTGGAGAGTATCTCAAACGCACAGGGAGAAAACTGGCGAAAAATCCCATTGTGGCTTGGTCTGTGAGAGTCGAACGATTAGTGTCGGCAACACCAATTGCAACATCCGTACTTGTTGTCAAACGAGCCAACAACACGTGGAAGGCAGCAAGATAGAAATGCATGGGTGTGGTCTTGTGCTTGCGACTCCGGTCCTTGATACGAACTGCGATCATCGGATTGACACGCGCGGTGGTCTCATGCTCTGACCAAGTTGGTGAGGCCGAGATTCGTTTACCCGGAACATCAAGCATAGGGAGCCTGACTGGCAGAGTCTCGAAAAGTGTCGACCAGTACGATAAGTCATTCTCTGCTGCCCCGGACCCAAGATCATTTCGCTGGCGAACTGCGAAGTCAGCATAGCTCGGCGGTGGATCTAACTGCACACCATTGTACAGCTGCCCGGCTTCCACAAAGAGATGCTCTGTAGTCCAGCCATCGCCAACAAGACGATGGTAGGCAAATACAAGGAGATGATCGGTAGATGACCAAGAGTAATTGACCAGTTTCAGAGTCGTTCCTTCGAACAAGTTGTATTCGTAGCTTTCAAGGTCTTTGCAGCATCTTTCGGCCGCTGCTCTGTCCGCCACCTTGATTGTCTCAAATCCCACTGCCGGGGACTTCATCACACTTTGTAACAACCGAGACTCGTCGGCCGGATCTGTAATGAAACTTGTTCGAAAGGCGTCATGGCGCTGTAGTGCTTGATTGAATGCCCAACCCAAGCGATTGAGGTCGAGTGTGCCCTGCATGAACATAGCGATCGTGGAGTTGAAGGTCGAGGGGTCTAGGCCAAGTTGTTGTTGTTTCCAACAGTACTCTTGGGCTATGGAAAGCGGAACAATGCGCTCCACGCCCTCGAACTTTTGATCGGATGTTGATGAAAAGAGCGATATGGGCGTCGGGGCGTTCATATAGTCGCTTGGAAGACTCAAGTCCTCGCTGCCAGAGTTTGATGCTAGCCCCTTTGCCTCCACGTCGACTGCGACTGGCGCCTCGTCTTTTAGAATCTCATTAGCAGATCTGTCATAGGCCAACGGAATTGCTGCAGGCAGTATACGGGAGATGGACTCCTCCACGAGATCTGAGACCGAGGCGCCACCTAGAATCTTAAGAAGGGGTACATCGACACCTAAATTTTTCGAAAACCAAGTACCGATGGTGACAGCACTCAGTGAATCGACGCCTTGATCCACCAAAGGCGAATCCAAGTTGATATCATCTGAAGCTGCGACCTGCAGCGCCCCACGAATCTTGGCAGATACGCCCTCCAGAATGATAGCGCGAACCTCGTCCATGGTCTCCGCTTTGAGGAGGCGCTCTTGTACGGATCCCTTATCACTGGCAAGCTCGTGGCCTTTATTCCGGCCATCAGCAAGCTTATAATATGCCAACCGAGGATCGTCAAAGTATGGTATCTGGTCGCGGTCCGCTGGGTCGACGTAGGGCATGCCTGTGACTAGCTCTACTTGGTCGGCGCCGGGAGCCCGACCGGCAACAACAGCTTCGGCGAAAAGCGCATGAAGCTCCCATTCGTTAACTTCGTCGAACATAAACCTGACGACGTCATACTCCTCTTCTCGACCAGCCCGAGCGATAAAACCGACACCATAAACTGCGCCGATGTCGATGGTGGACCCGGCCATACCCCGAGACCTTCGCTGTTGAGCAAGCGCATGTGTGAAAGCATTGGCAGCGCTGTAAGCAGCCTGTCCAGGGTTTCCAGAGACCATGACGAAGGAAGAGAACATGACGAAGAAGTCGAGAGGACTTGAAGGGTCAGAGAGCCGTTCATTGAGCAGGCGAGCACCAGTGACCTTGGGCGCCAAAACCATCTCCATAAGTGAGAGATCCATGTTATTGAACATAACATCCTGAAGAACGAGAGGACCAAATGCCACGCCGGCGATTGGTGGCATGGATGCACGAATCGTGGCCAGGCCATTATCAACTGAGCCCTCATTTGAAACATCCCTATACCAAAAATTAGCGGCGTTCCGATAGCGATCTAGAGTATGCTTACATAGGCAGAACCATGATACTACCCCCTGCTGCAGCCATGTCTTCAATCCATTGTGGGTCAATCTTAGGCGATCGACTTGAAAGCACAATATGGCGTGCGCCCCCTTCAATCATGAATCGAGCGATGGATCGACCAAGATCACCCGATAGACCAACGAGAAGGTAAGTCTTGTCGTCAACAAAGAGACGACCAGTCTCAATAGAGCGGACTCGGGCTGTGATTTTCGGCTCGGCTTGCCACTGGATGATTGAATCGAACCTGTAAGCGCCTTCCACCGAGAGTAGGTGGCTAGGCGTAATAGTAGACTTCGTGTCTTCCAATTGCACCTCACCTAGCCTTTTTACAGCGGCTTGGAGCGCGACTAATGCATCGCGGCTGCAACTTTCTGAAAGTGGCGCTGCAGAGTCATGGATTAGACTGGCCAAAAAGGCGACATGACAGCTCGAAGCAAGATTGGCAGATAGGCGTTGGCCTAGTTCCCTAATATGTTCTGTGGTGGCTAGATTATAGAACACGGCGACATTGGCGGGAATCTTGTTCAGTAGCTGACGTTGCGTCTCTCGCGGATGTAGTTGAATCCATTGGGTGTTATGTCCATCGACCGGGGGGTGACACTCGCAATCACAACTTTTACCTTAGCGGCAACACCTTGACGGACAAGAGAGTCGATAAAATAATTCGGGGGGTCAAAGACGAGAACGGTCGTTCCAGGAGCTGCATCAGCAAGCAGGGTCTGAGCCACAAGATCCGCCAATAAAGCTGGCAGAACACACGCAGCATCGGCCTGCTGACTTTCTAGGCGAATGAGGTGATCGTTGGAGGCATCAATGAATGAGGCCTGGCTCTCGCTCAGGGTAACAACGGCTTCGCCTGACGCTGTAATATAACCTTGGATCAGATTGAAAATGCCGAGCTTGCCTACCCGCACGGCTTTTGCAAGCGAGTGTGTCACTTGAACCTTGACGGTATGGTCCGAAATACTATCAGGAACATGACGCTCCTCGAGGCATCTGAAGAAGTCGACACCTTCTTCATTGACTAGAGCCAACTGGTCCTGGTAGGGGTCAAAGCTAGCTGTGACAGGTCGGCGATTGGAGTTAAGCCGATTGTTTTTGTCCACGTCAGGCTTGAGTCGCGCAACAACCAGCTGGTCTTTGCGAAGGTAGAGTTCTGGTTCTTGGGTCCAAAGAATTCCATTCTCTTGCCAATTCGAGCCGTCCTCAAGGCGCTGAACGGTCTCGATCAAGACTTCAGATGTAAGGCTCTCGGCATAGTCGACATCCAAGACCTGCAATTGAACATTGAGATACTCCAAACGTAAAGTGCGGAGCAGACCTATAGTCATTCCTTGTTGTGGGTGGTTGACCCACGCACTTTCTGTCACCCATAGAACGTGACTTGCGCGGTCAAAAATGGCCTGGAGGGACTTAAATTGGTCATTGTCAAGCCCTGTGAAGGTCTCTTCATCAAGCTCGGAGAGAACGATGAAAGTTGATTTCGGCTCAATACCAGCGTCGATGACATCTCGGATGCGATTGACTGTCAGCAAACTTCGGTGAGGTACGGTAGATCTCAACTTTTCCGGCAATAAGGCCGTCCTAGAGGACGCTCCTCCGATAACTACTAGTGGGGGGTAGCTCTCCTTGATTGGAGCAGTCAACGGCGAGTCCAGGCTCTTGATGAGATCATTGACAGCATGAGAACTGAAAACCCCGTTCGGGAATATCGTGCTGTCAGGATCAAGGGTGCGGCTATCTATCCCAGAGAATCCGGTTCTCTTTAGCAGCTCGTCCCATTTTTCGTAAGTCACAAAAGGCTCATGAACACGACCCTCATCATGGCCAGCCCACCAATCCGCGAACAGGCCGAAAATGAATCCAATACGAGCATGTTCGCGATGCGTCACCTCGATGATAACAAGTTGGCCACCTGGTTTGAGTAGCTTTCTGACATTCGCTAGCGTCTCCTCAAGCTTGGGTGTAGCATGGAGTACATTGGAGGCGATGATCAAGTCGTAAGAGTTGGGTTTGTGACCTTGTTCAACAGGATCGCGTCGAATATCAAGTGGAAGGAACTCCATTTTGTCCGCATGTTTCGCAAATTCTTTGGCCGCTTGCTCGAAGAATGCGTTCGAGATATCCGTGAATGTATAGTTATTGAAAGAGACTTGCTCAGAGTCTAAGAAATGTCTTGAAGCTCCTCCGGTTCCAGCACCAATTTCGAGCACATCCATATTCTGGTAGCGATGGTTGATTTGTGCGCAAAGCTTCTGAAAATAATTATAGGAGTGGCCATAGCTAATGGTGCTCCCGTAGAACTCAGTCAATAGACCATCATGGTCCATAAGGTCGAAGGGGTTCCTGTTGTCTCGAATCACATCGATCATGTTCTCGCCGACTCTTTGAATAAGTCGGATGAAAGGATGGTAGAACCAATCTCGAATAATTCTCTCAATATCCTCAGGAGTGTCTGCCTCCCATGCGATGTCGTACCAGATGTTGTGCCCGGATTTCGTTTCGGCCATGATATATTCGCACCACCGGATTTGCTTTGTCTGGTGAAAAGCTGCTCTCTCGCTATCTTCAGTGGTCAAGCTATTAAGAAATAGCTTGATGTACCAGTAAGTGATGCGCTCGATCATTTCAGTAGCGGCTTTATCTTTCTCACTTGCGTGGTATCTAATATCATCTAGGACGGTGTCGGGGCTCAATTGGCTCCAGGTCCATTTTGCGAACATTTGGTGGTCATCAGCTGCAGATGGTGGCGAGAACGGCTTGAAACTAAGCCCTTCGATCTGAAGTATAGTTGCTTGAGTAGCAGGATCAAACACTTCGATATCGCCGGCAACACCGTTACCAGCTCCCGTAGTACTAGTAGAGACGAAGCTCACATCTCTACTCAAGGAATGGATTTGGCCAATGGCCCAGGGGTTGAGCACAATTCTGTCGATGCCGGTGGGAACGAGGAGGTTGCGCAGACGTTTATCGCCAGGGGAAGTATAAGCACCAATGAACGTCTGAAAAGCAACATCCAGACTAGCCGGATGCATCACTAGCTGTCGATTATTATCCTCAAGGCGGTGGAAGTCGATTGTGCCGCTGAAAAGCATTAGCATCGGACTTGAACGTAACTTATTTCATGTCAAGATAGACTAACCAAGCTTTGCTGTCACCACGTCTGAGGCTACTGACACCCCGGAATTGTTTGGTGTAGCCGTAGCCAATCTCATGCAACATGTTGTAAAACCGATCGACGCTGACCTTGCTCATGTGAGGCGGCTCGGTCTGAGCTACCGGTAATGCTTCCAAGCTTCCTTGGCCGAAAATAACGATGATTGTACCTGTAGCTGAGCTTGATAGGCCGGTTTCTTTGGCGAGACAAGAATTGATGACGAACGTGTAAGAAATTGACGTGTCGGTGACTTCACTAGTATTAATCATCAAACTCGAATTGAGCTCAATCAGACTGTTCTCGTCTTCAAACGTGACTGCCTTGTCGATAACCAGGTCAAGTACCTCAAGTAGCTGAACCTCGCGGTCACCCGCTTCATGAAGAGCGGCTTCCATAGCCATAACAACGTAACCGGCGCCTGGAAACACAGTTTGACCCTGCAAGGAATGGCCATCTAACCATTCAATGTCACGTTGGCGTATGTGATTCTGCCACAGAATCATGGAAGGAGTACTATGAGGCAGTACCTTTCCAAGCAGGAGATGGGGTGTCTGTGTCCGAAGGAATGCCTTCAGTTTGCGAGACTCTTTCTTGTGATTTCTGGAGTGATCCCAGGGGTAGCACGGAAGGTCTTTGGATAGACTCTTGGTTCCTTTGTCGATAGATAGCTCGTTGTACAGACGGTCTATATCAAGAACAGGTGTGCCAAAACGAGACCAGAGAAATCCAAGCCCCTCTGAAAAGGCCTCGAGGTCATTCTTTTTCCTTCGCATGAATCCTGTGTATGGCAAGCTGAATCCACTGCAATTTTCAATCGTCTTAAGTGTGGGATCCTTGAGAGCTGGATGGGCACCAACTTCCAGACAGACGTCGATTTGATTGTGGATGATTGCTTCCTCGACGGCGTCCTGAAACAGTACAGATAAGAGGAGATTATCCTTCCAGTATTCAGCCCGTAGGTCGTCTGGTTTCATGACTCGCCCTTCGAACACAGAGGAAATCCAGGTGACAGATGGCTCTGTGTCCAATTCCGATGCATCACAACCACAGGCCTTCAATGCTGCAATATAGGGCTCGGCACATGGGGCCATATGATGTGAATGGTAAGCTTTGTCGACCTTGAGGAGACGATTAAACCGGGATTCTTCGTTGAGGATCTCTTGAGCCTCGAGAATCGCGTCTTTATCGCCCGAGAATGTGACGCTTTCTGGGCCGTTACTGGCAGCCACCTTGAGCCTTCCCTCAAAGACCTCAAGAGCACATAACTCCTGCGCGTCATCGAAGGTGGATCCAGCTGCCATCATTGCACCCTCCACACCAGTCGGGGATTTCGCGAGCTGTGAGGTAAGGCCACGAAGGTAAGCAATCCGGATCGCTTGACGTGATGAGATAAATCCTGCTGCATATGCACAAGCTATTTCACCTGAACTATGCCCAACCACAACATTGAACTTGATACCCGCAGCGAAGAGAAGCTTCGTGAGCAGAATCTGGATTGCACAACACATAGGTTGCGAGAACGTCGCATCATGCACCATAGAGTCATTGCCTTCCAATTGTAGCTGATCAATGAGTTTCCATGTTGGCCTGAAAGCTGGTGGCAAAGTCTGTAGGGAATGATCGAGCTCTAAGACGATCTCGCGGGCTTTCGCAGACTTTGATAAGAGGGCCTTGCCCATAGCCGGCCATTGCGCACCCTGCCCAGTAAATATGCCAAGTACTTGTGGCATGATTCTGGCTTCTGACTTGATTGCAATGCTCTGCTTCCCTTGGATCAACGCTGCGTCATGGATAAGGGCATCGCGCACAGCTGCGATAGAGCCACTTGGAGTAGTATAGCGAAATGAATGATCGGACCTGTGTCTCAACAATGTCCAGACTAGATCGTGCATCGGTGTATCCGGGTGTGTTTTGAGGTAATCAGCTAAGTCTTCGACGGCGGTTTTGAGAGAGGAATCCGAATTCGCAGATAGCACGATCGGGGCCAGGCATGGCGTGGCTCCAGTCATGGTTGTATCTCGTAATGTCGGCGAAGATTCAACGATAATGTGGGCATTTGTGCCGCCGAATCCGAACGAATTGACGCTCACACGTCGTGGCTGGTCGTACTGCAATTTTGGCCACGACTGGTTCTCTGTCACGACATGAAGATCTCCATAAAAGGGGGCGACTCCGTCGCTGAGCCTTTTGAAAAGCATATTAGGCGGTATGACGCCATGCTGAATCGCCAACGAAGCTTTCATCAAGCCGGCTATACCAGCGGTGCCTTCAGTGTGGCCGATGATGGTCTTGATACTACCAACATACAAAGGCTCCTCGTCGGTGCCGCGTTCTCTTTCGCCAAAGAAAGCGGAGGCGATTGCCTGAGCTTCCTGTGGATCTCCAGCTGCAGTCCCGGTACCGTGAGCTTCGAAGTACTGTGGTCGGTCCTCGGGTTTGGTTAAGTCAAGTCCCGCACGCGAGTAGACCTCGCGAATAAGAGCTTCTTGTGCTGTATGACTGGGCATGGTAATGCCGGGAGTTCTGCCATCTTGGTTGATACCACTTTCTCGGATGATACACTCGATGCTATCACCGTCCTCGATTGCTTGACTGAGTCTTTTCAGAACGACAGCAGCGACGCCTTCGCCTTTGGCATACCCGTCAGCGCCTGCGTCCCACATCCGACACCGGCCTGTTGGCGAGAGCATATTGAGTTTACTTGTCACAATGAGCGAAAACGGGCCCAGTACCAAGTTTGCCCCTGCTGCAATTGCGACCTTGCTTGAGCCGGTTCGAAGTTGCTGGATTGCGTGGTGCACGGCAACTAACGATGAGCTGCAAGCCGTGTCGATTGTCATACTTGGCCCACGCCAATCAAAGAAATATGACACCCTGTTTGACAGGATAGATGCCGCTGTTCCGGTAGCAGCGTACATATTCATGGCATCAAGATCGTAGTTTTGATTGTCGAGGAAGTCGCGATGCATCATACCCACGTAAACAGCAGTCGATGAGCCACGGAGATCTTCCATCTTGAGGCCAGCCGTGGTAATACCGTCGTAAACAGTTTCGAGCATCAGACGGTGTTGAGGATCGATCGTGCTGACTTCGTTGGCGGGCAAGTTGAAAAACGATGCATCAAATTCATAGGGGTCCTGATCCAAAAGGTACGCGTATCTCGCATTTGTGCGGCCATGGTGGGTGCCGTCAGGGTGATAAAATGTATCGACATCGAATCTCGCCTTTGGTATTTTGCTCAACAAATCCCTTGGTTGTTTCAACAGCTCCCATAGCTTCGAAGGAGTGGAGGCAGATCCGGGAAATCGACAGCCACTCCCGATAACCGCAATGGGTTCGTTCGCTTGTGCGTTGACCGGGACCATAGCGCTGTAGCTAGGGGGGAATCGTATAGAAACTGATGCTACTTGAAACTTGATTAGAGACCCGGTCCTGGGTTAGATCATTGGGATAGACTGACTCGAAAGAGATAGGCAGGTTGCAACAGTAACGGACTGAGTAACGATTTGAGCGTATAACAAGGCAATATTTTTCGTGAAGAACTAATTACTAGCTTTTGAGACCAGGACAGGTCGATCTGATGCGGGAAATCGTGGTTAAAGAGTCCCGACTCCCAGCGCCGTTGATCCTGGCAACGAAGGAGTCTGAGGCTGTCAGCTGAAGGCTGTTGCTTTTGCTGTAGCGTTATCGTACCGGATTGACCGGCAGGATTCGTAAGATTCAGCATCTCCACGCGACTTCGGGGATTCGCAAGTATATCGGGTCCATCATGTTAAATGGTAACGGGCCGAGTTGAGCGCATGGCCAATGGCAATCCCTTGGTCAAGATCGAGTTCGACAGTTGGTGAGCCTGGATCCTGCATACCGCCTCCGAAACGATAGCTTCGTGTTTTGATATTTGGCGGGATATTGGCAGTGGAACCGGCTGAATCATAGTGTGGGGTGTGCGAGTATTACCAGGATACGAGAAAAAAATGCACATGTGGCATACCCCTGTAGCTAGTACCGGCAGAATGGTAGTCGGTGGTTGGAATGTAATGTGTGACGCCGATGCTAAGTTTGAGTGCTGATTGTGTTGGTTCCCGAAACTATGCTAGCGAAACTATGCTAGCGTGGCAAATCTAGGCCTGCCGCCTGCATTCACCGAAACGACCGACACTTCGGGTTTATCTATTCGCACTCTGCCGCCTGACACTAGTGTAAACTCAGAAATAGCAGCATTTGCGGGGACATGAGAACACCATTGAGGCCTCGATGTAAAGTGAGGGTCTCGCCACGAGGTGTCGTTCAGCCCCAGCTACCTGCATGATAAGTTAGTGTATTGTCCACATGTCGGTAGTTCGGAGCTGCCTTGTTGATCACCGAAGTGTAACTCACAGATTTTCACAAATCTAGCTCAAGGTGTAAACAAATATTCCCCATCAATGATGTCACCAATTTTTCATATCGCGTTACAGACTGCATCCTTTCAAGTCCTTATCAAATAATATTGCATTTCTCTGAGTCCCGAATGGAAAAGCTGGCTTACGCCAAGTCGGAGAGCATGAATGAAATTATATTTACGAATCCCCGCGCTCCAGGGAGGAGCTTGGCTGAGCTTGTGCCCTAAACTGGCCGCCTAAAAAATGAGAAGTCATTTATCCTACGAGTATTAATCGCAGATCGCGATCGCATTCGTGCCCCTTGTCTCTCTAGCCAGATAGATTGTGAATCGAGGTGTTACTATGTGAAGCAGAAGAAGTGATAATAACTCTATTATTACTTGAACAAGGGATTTCTAAGTGCTGCACTACGGGCAGTCAGATTGCGTTCTGGGAGCATTCAAGACCGATGGGTGCTTCCCGAACCGAACCACGCATTTCTCGCCCGAAAGCTTGCCCGACCGTACGAGGTCCAAACCAGCGTGGATTCCATTTAGCCCGCCTTCCAAAACACGTACGGGATGGTGCTGCAGTTTTCCTTCGTCGACCAATTTCTGTGCGATATTCCATAGTCTTTCGCCGTAAGCCCGGATCTCCTCGCTGGGAGGTCGTCCATAAGGGGCGGGCCACGTTGAACCGTCGCCAAAAATCGAAGGACCAAGCACCCAATCAGTCTTCACCGTCGCCCGGCTGGCGGCATGCTCTGCGAATGGGTCGAGGGATACATATCGACCGCCGGCACGGCCGATGGCGGCAAAACAGCACATCGTCGACTCAACCGTCGTAATGCAGTCCAGAGCGTAGCGAAGATTGTTTTTGGTATAAGATCTCTGAAAGCACAATCAAGTCAGCATCAATGAAGACGGTAACTGAGCAGTGGCTAGAGATCACGTTGCTCGTGCCACTCATCTCTTTTCTTCGGATGCGGCATAACTCACGATCTTGCTTGCGCAATCTGGGTCATGGTAGTCGAAAGATTCCTCGGCACCTAATTCCTTCATTCGTGCAGTGTTTTTTGGAGAGCATGTAACAACTGGAGTCAGATTGGCCCTATATTTATCGGATTTGTTGTTAGCATTATGGTAAAATTTGCGTGGTCAATTCGGGCGGCGCTTGGGCTCACAATCGGAGAAGCTGAATAGCAATGGTTGCAGTTGCCGTGCTACCGCCATAGACCAACACATAGGCTGACTTGTCCACCGGGGCATCTGGCAGAGGAAGTTGTAGAAGCTTGATACCGAGACCAGCGGTGCTGATTCCTGCGCCCAGCGTTGCACCGCCCTCAGTGCTCAATGATGCATGTAGTTTCAACCAGACCTTACCCGCGGAGATGTTGTATTCCGCAAATGAGCCTCGAAGAGGCGATTTTGCATTCATGGCATTCTGGGCTCCGCAGACTCTGTCGCCAATGTGAACGGACTCGACCTGGGGCCCAAGAGCAACAACAGTACCAGCGTAATCGGTTCCAAGAATGCCCCCAACTGTCACGAAATCGCCACGCATCTTCGTGTCGCTGGGGTTCACTGCCACTGCATCGGTGCGAATGAGGAATTCTCCGGTTTGCAGCTGAGGGAGCTCGATGTTATCCTGAATATGCACTTTGTCGCCAGTGCCTATTATTATAGCACGCTGAGACGGCGGATATTTGAAAGAATCCATGTCCGTTCTCGTAAGTATTCCAAGGTGACAGAAAAGGGGAGGTGGTGTGTCGTATAATGGTTCTTTCCTAGAGACGAGAAAATGTACCTTTAAAAATAATTGAGACCCTTAAGTCTGGTCTTGTGATATCATAAAAATGTACGCAATCTATCAGTCTATTGTCGCGTTTCATATCCGCTTCATTCAGCACATTGAACGTTAATTTTACAAACGCCTTTGGGGTTGATTCATGGCTTGAACATAATGTTACTTGGTAGTGTTCAAGTTATTGTAGACCGGGGGTAGCAAACCCCGACCTTTGGCCCCTGGGGCTTTCGGTATTTCCGGTTTTTGGTACTAGTGATGAGGGTAACGTAGTGCTGTGCCGTCAAAGGGCACGGGTCGATCCAGCATGGACAACTTCGGGAACAACACCAACCAACATAAGCGTAAGCTCTAGGGACCACCTGAAGGGGTAAGATCAGAGCGGTGTAGGCTTAGTATAAATCGAGCCAATTTATTATCTTTGAGTCACTTTTTTCGAAGCTACTGATACCATGCTCGGACCTTTACTCTCTAAGGTAGCAGAAAGCCAGCCTTTGAGGCGATTTATGCCATAGTTTACCTAGAGTAAATAGCCTTTCCACCGAAGTTACCCGTGCGACCGCGTCATACAAACATTTGAACTTACTACCCCTTTATGTGTATTTTCATTAATACATTGACAGATGCTGCTAGCTTTCCAAGGTTGCAATGAACCGGAGGAGGAAACGCCGACTTCTAACTCCTATTTGTGCAGTTTTGTTTATGTATCAAGATATGCTGCTAGTGTTATCATGCACCGGTTTCCGGAAGTAGCAAACGCCGACTTTCGGGGGTTTCGGTGTTTCCGGTGTTTTTGGTATTTGCCGGCGTTTCTGAACGACGCCCAGCTTACTACAAGTCAAGCCCTGGAGCCTGATATGGTATCATAAGATAACTGGTATTGAAGCTAAGAAGTCTTGTGGCTAACTGTATGTCGCTTACGCCATGTGGCAAATTCCCAGCAATGCTTGCAGTATTTCAGCTGATAGAGATATGTGTAACTACTAACTACGCTTTTTATAAACTGGTTCTTGGTCCTGCATAAAGATCGTCGCGTTTATAGAAACTTGAACATAGAGCAACAGGATATCAACGTCGGTGCTTCCCTAAAAAAATACTCGTGACACATGCTAACCTAACGAAGTCGCCTTAGCATGTCCAACGCATTCGCGCCTTCGAAGGCTCTTCTCTGTTTCCATGGGACAGGCTCGAAGGCCCATATTTTCAATGTCCAGATGGCAAGGATTTGTTTCCTTCTGAAGGATGAGTTCCAGTTCATCTTCGTCGACGGCCCTTATGAGTGTTCTACTGCCGGACCAGGCGTTCTGCCAATGTTCAGTGGAAATGAGCCCTACTATTCCTGGTTTGGGCGTGAAAGCAAATCCATTGACGACAGCCTTCAAAAAATCAATCAGGCTGTCCATGAGGCGGTCACACAATGGGAAGCAGAGAAAAGCAATGTGGACGCGGAAATAATCGGGGCAATCGGATTCTCTGAGGGTGCACTTGCCGTCGCTTTTCTGCTCTGGCAGCAACAGCAAGGCGTGTTGCCCTGGCTCCCTGAATTGCGCTTTGCGGTTATGTCCTGCTGCTTTTTCCCCAATGAGGCCTCTTTGTGGTTGAACAACAATGCTCGGACGTATGGATTGAACAAGGCAGAGATACAAGTACCCACGCTTCATATCCATGGCAACAAAGATTTCTCGTTGGCTCGGGCGCGGAGGTTAGTAAAGAACCATTATCAAGCAGGAGCTTCTGTGATTTTCGAATGCGAGGCCGGTCACCATCTTCCAAAGAGGAAGGACGAAGTGGAGATGATTGTCATGCATATCTCAGAAATGTCAAAATTTTGATGTTATTCTCACTACAGAAGTTATAGCGAAATAGAAAACAGAGTAAAAATAGAATAAAAAAACAATTGTTAGTAATGGGAGCTATAAACTTATTGAAAAAAAAGGGAAAACGAACAACAAGGATATGTATTCAATCATTCAAGTTCGCGTTGCTGTATAATGCGCTACACTTCTCAATATTTGAATCACGGCCTCCCTTTCGAGTCAACTTGATCGTTTAGACTCGTCATAAAATACTATTAAACAGAGAACTATGAATCTTGTCTTAGCCATCTATTCGAAGACACGGCTACAATCAACCTTTCTGTTTGTCAGGTGAATACCTCATGTATTTTTCGATCAAGGATCATGAGAATACCCACGTTCCAATGCGTCATGGGTGTTCGGAGTTTATGCAGACATGACTAGTTAGCGCATAGTAACCGTAAAATAAACTGTCATTAACGGTATAAAACCTAATGATCGAGAGTGTGGTTGGCCAAAGGGGGTATTTGGTTATTTCCAAACAGCCTGACTAGCCATGCAGGAGCGCGTTGTTTTCGTAAGTTATGTGGCCAGATACTGCAGTAGTGCATCTCCAATTCTAGTAATAGGCCCTTGGGGACGGAGTTCGGATTCGTTCGAATCCGAACTCCATTCAAATATTTGAAGGCCTTACCTTACTGCAAGCCCCTTAATAACGCGCTTCTAATCGACTTGCTCTATTCTATACTGGCGACGTTTTCCTCTTGTCTTTGTCTAATTTTCGTCTGCTCTTCGTTGACTTCTTCGTTGACTTCCGAGCGGCACCGACTAACATCTCACATACCTCCCTCGAACTCGCTATCAATCAGTGCTGAGTCGAACCGTAAATATCGGGCGGTTCTCATATGTTTCGAATCATCGTCCAAGCACCTCGGGACGACAACTCTATTTGTGCACAGTTAAATTACCTTGATTGCTCTGTGCCATGCCACCAACACCTACGCACGAGGTCTCCCAATCTTCGCAGGAAAAGTCCATATCCTCGAGCCGAAGACCTTCGATGGATGACCACGGTGTCGTCCCCCGCTGGACCGACGCGGCATGCGACCCCCTCACACTTGACTCTACCAAAGCAGCTTCATTGCTTCGAGTTGCGTTCGACGATGTTCTATTGACGCCAGCAGTATTACGACACAGCTATTTGGGAAGTGGGACTGAGGACCATCCATACGTCTGCGAGTTTATACCTAACGATCCGCGGAATCCCTTGGACTGGTCGACCTCTCGAAAATGGGTGGTGGCTATTGGTGCGTCGATTGCGACTTTCGTCGTCACTTTCTGCTCATCGGCATATTCAAGCGTAACGGAGGAAATCATGGGAGACTTCGATCAAAGCACGATAGTCGTCACGCTGGGCCTCTCGCTGTTTGTTCTGGGATACGCAACGGGTCCAGTCCTCTGGGCTCCCATGTCAGAATTGTACGGCCGAAGGTGGTTAAACATTACCTTATTCGCGGCTTTAGCGGCTTTTAATGCTGGGGCAGCGGGTGCGAACAGCATCACTTCCCTTCTCGTTTGCCGTGCTCTAGGCGGAATTGCAGGCTCAGGGCCTATGACCAACGCTAGTGGCATCCTAGCCGATCTGTTTTCTGCCGAGCAGCGTGGCCTCGCCATAGCTGTTTTTTCCGGCGCAGTCTTTGTCGGACCTACTCTGGGGCCCGTCGTTGGGAGCTTCGTTGGTGAAAGTGTGGGATGGCGCTGGGTAATGGGCGTGATGACGATTGCCTCTGGCGTCGTCTGGATATGGAGCATTGTCGCCATTCCGGAAACATATTCCCCGGTCCTGCTGGAACGACGAGCCAAGGCCCTCGAGAAGAAGACGGGCAAAGTCTTCCGCACACGTTTGCAAATAGGAGGCCAGCGGCCGAGTCCCACGCAGGCGTTCAGTATCGCGCTTTCTCGTCCCTGGATTATGCTTTTCCGAGAGCCGATCGTCAGTCTCCTCTCCATTTATGTCGCTATCATCTATGGCACGCTTTACCTCCTCTTCGGGGCTATGCCAATCGTGTACTCGACCAATCGCGGTTGGAGTAGCGGTATTGGTAGTCTCTCGTTCCTTGGTGTAGCCATTGGTATGGTAGCAGCCGTTACATATACTGTATGGGACAATAGCCATCGATATATCAAGCTTAGCCGCGCCGCTGTCGAGCGTGGGGAAATTGGTGCGGCTCCCGAGGATCGCTTACCACCAGCTATTATTGGGAGCATTTGTCTCCCAGTAGGTCTCTTCTGGTTTGCATGGACAAACGGCGCTAATATTCCCTGGATCGTCAGTATTCTCGCCACTGTCCCTTTCGGATTCGGAATGACATTGGTTTTCCTAGCGGTGGCTAATTATCTGATCGACTCTTATGTGATATACGCCGCGAGCGTCATGGCTGCCAATAGCATTGCCCGCAGTCTATTCGGTGCGGCCTTTCCCCTATTTACAACGTATATGTACCAGAATCTGGGCATTCATTGGGCATCATCGGTGCCAGCATTCTTGGCGCTGGCTTGCGTGCCTCTGCCGCTGTTGTTCTATAGATACGGTGCGAGGATTCGAGCAAAGTGCGAGTATGCGCGAGAGGCCTCTGAGACTCTTGCTAAAATGATGGGGACGTCGGGCAATTGATGGCCAGCCTATGTAATGCATTCTACGCGCAGGGGGCGGGGGTCTGATCTGTATATACGAGTGTCTGGGTCAAATCCAATAGGACGAATGGTTCAAATTCTTGCCTTTTTTGTTTGTTCCATTCTCAGTGCAGATGCAGCTAGTACTTCGAAGGTTGTAGTACTAATTCTCTGTGTAAAAATGAAAGTTCCCTTTCGACCGCGCCGGGTCCTTTCTTCTCGATTTCGTAGTAGGTGTTTGAGACTTGACATCAATATACAAATGGATCAAATGTTCTATTGCGTGAATATGGATATGGCTCGGGGTACGGAGGCTGCAGCACCCGCAGCACTTGAAGATGTGGAGAAAGCGGCAACCTTCAACTGTCAACATTCCAATGAAACGTTTTGATGCTGAAGAGTCTCCACATCGCAAGCGGCACTGTTGAACGGCGGCACCCTCACTATCTACGTCGATCACGCTTGGCTCCCAGGAGATTGGTCGCCACACGCAATATGTGGATCTTTCCATCAATAACCTCAAGCTTCAGTCATATTCTCATACACTTCAAAATCTCATATTGTATCTTGGAATCGGATGAGGCGGATCTTCAAATGTTGGAATCGATATTCTGCAGCGGAGTCTTCACTATTAACGGAGCCAACGAACTTGGGAATGGGTTATTGAAAGAAGCCTCTGCACCCGTCAAGTGCTCTTATGCTCAAATTTCCCATCACCAATCTATTCACATCAATCCACACGATCAATTTTCAAGATTCTCAGGACATCCTGTGAATAGTTTCGTTATCCACCATGCGTTCCTTCGCCATCGTTGCCGCCGCGCTTGCAGGTCTCTCAAATGTCAGTGTGACGAAATCCCGGCGCCAGCTGCATCCCGCGGAGCCCGCCGCCTCTGTTGTGGCTAATACCGCTATGATGGCTTCCCTGAACCAGGGCACCGTGTCCACAGACACCGCAAGCCTGGAAAGCAACACCACCGAATACTACCTCGGATACCGCATAGAGGACTTCCAGAAGCCGTATGCCAAATATTGGGACCCCGTGATCGCTCCTCTGTCAAACGCTCTTGTCAATGGCCTGGCTGGTAGCCCCTGATCCAGCGCCATCACCTTTTCTGCCTGGGAGGCCCATAATTACTTCACCCGCTCAGGATACTTGGACTTTTAGAATGGCTACTTCATCGGCGACAATGGTACCCTGATGATTGCTGTACGCAGCGAAATTCCTCAAGTCACCGTTGAACGCTACGACTGGTGGTTCGGCTGGCACTCAGTTGAGACCGCCCGCTACAAGCTGTGGAATCCCGTTGCTCACCAGTACTCCTACTGCGCCCCCTACTCCGAGAACTGGGCGAACGAGACCTATGCTGAGAGTTACATCGGGGCTACTTCGTACATCGTTGAGTATGTTGGCCAGGACGCTGCTAAGCTTAGTATCGAGTGTGTTGAGTCTGAGTCGCTGGGTTTCAATACCACCGCTTGGCCGGAGCTGGGAATTGAGACAATTGCTCTGGCAAGGTCATGATTGGAAGTAAGCTTAGTCTCCTTTGGTCCTTCGAGAATTAGCGCCTGAAAGATATTCGATCTAGCCCGCTTGAGAATATTCGACCACCGAGTTTGATAACGTCTCCTACCTGATGCACCAGGTTCGCCGTATGCCCAATGGCTACCGTGAACTCCGCTCTCGCTTCTTCATTGCCGAGAACAATCACGGTACTGCCCAGCTTGGCCACGACCTTGCTTTTCCATGCAATATTGAGATGACCCGTAAGTGTTGCAAGTCACTTCCCTGATCTTTATGGATGATACTAACCTCCCTTTCTTTATCTAGATTTGGGCTCCTTCCTGCCTGCCATTTTCCATGGGTTCAAGTATACCCTGTAAAAGAGGATGCCTTGGGAATCTTGGAGAGACATTCCGGCTTGATGGGGAACCTACTTCCATTTCATATGGGGTCATTATGAATTCCGTATCCATATGTGCATTCACTGCCTTTGCACTCGAATACTCCATCGTGGCACATTCACGGTTCTGAGAGTATCTCTGGGAAGATCTGATAGGTCTCTCCAGTGACTCGGGGCCATTGTATCATACACTATTGTTTCATACAGCTCTACAGGTCCTTCGGTTCTCTGCTAAATCCACTCTCTCTCTACTCTCAGTACATACTAAGGTTTAATTTGAAGATGCATATAGACTTAAAATATCATGATTCCCGAGGTCCCACTTGCCCGAAATCACATACAAGGGTTGCTAACTTGAAGAAAGAGAAGCTGTGTTGAGATGCGGCTACTCCAATACTGGAACGTTTGAATATCTTATCAGTCCAATATTTATTGGCTCCCCCATATCTTGAATGTACTCAGGACTGGTCACGGATTGCACGACAATCAGTGGTTAGAAATACCATCAGGCAGCCAAGAGGACGGGACAAGCTCCAGTAACCTATCCTATTGAGCATATCGATAAGTGCCGACATAATTTTCGAAGCTTCAACCAATGGTCGAGACCGCTGAAAGTCGTGGATCTCCAGCATTAGCTCACCGGAATTGATCCCGAGGCATGTGATTTCTGGAAACTCCCCATGGCCGATTTGGATAAAACTGCGATCTGCCGGTGAGAAACGCAAGTAGCAATACACAGCCATCGCTGCGTGATAGAGGCTACTAGAGATGTGAATCGGAGTGACAGCCCTGATGGAGACAAATTCCAATTCACGAAGCAGCAAGGCCGCATGTAAAACAGCGCGCTGGGCATTAATCGAGGCCGCCCATCGCCGGACGTAGGCCTCAGAGCTTTCATTCAAAACAGCTGGCGACGGCTCATTATATTTTCCAGCCGCCAGCTCCAGTCGGTGGATATCTGTCAATGAAACAATAAAGGTAGAGTGCCAAAGTGAGCGAAGCATAAACTCATCTCGGTCGTGAGATGATAGATGCTGCTGAAATAAGGCCAAGAGAGATTTTTCAATAAACCCCTCAGTCTGTGGTAACGAGCCCAGTCTGTTGTTCTCTATCGCCAATACTGCAATATGCTCTAATTGCATACTCAGATTCAAGTCGTCCTGCCGAGCAATCTGTCCCCAGATAAGAGCTAGATCGGCTGTAGGGCTTGCAGGACCTTGTGATGATTTATATGAATCGAGACTTTGAGATGCGATATCTTTCCCCTGTTCAGCAGAAGGCGCATCCCAAAGCTCTGCCGGGGGAAGCCAACAAAAGGGCAACGGGGCTGATGGAGGGTGGGCTCATTGACGAACAATCGGGCCATCTCAAAGTCGTGCAGAAGTTACATGGCAGCTACCCTTGACGTGTGGGACACAGAGTTCAGCTTGCGTCATATTGACTTCAGTTGTGAAAGGTCACTATTTCACCTATTCTTTTGTTCCTTACGCACCCATACAGGATAGCTTGTTTCCGGATCCAAAGAACCGTGGTCTGGAACATCAGTGCCCTGACTCATATACTTTTCTTGCTTGCACCACTGATAGAAAAGAGGTTTAAATTCTGCGGAGTGCCAATAAAGATCCTGCTCAACATACTGCAAGAACGGTTCCGTGGAAGCTAGACAGCACAGCAAGGTTCCTAGGATCCTAGAAGAATATAAGTCTGTGTTCAGTTCCAGCGTTGCTGTAATCTAGAATGTCACTCACTCCGGATAATAAGGCATATGTCTGTCCAATCACAGCTGCTTGCATGGTAGCAAGTGCTCGATGCCCTTTTTGCTCGACATTTGAGACCCACTAGATCAAACATTTAGCTCGTCCATGGCACAGAGAGAAGAGTCTGTGTTTACAGAATTCAAGACTGCTTTATTCAACTGCTCTGAAATAGTCCGTCCACATTTCACAGCTTCCTTGTGGTGCTGTAATAGACACCCAATGCAGCTGATGGCGAGCAAAACCAGAGTTTTCTCATTCGCGGCCTGGAAAGTCGGGCGGTTTAAAATCGGAAATATTGGATGAATCTGCGATAAATATTTTTGGATACAGATATTCTGGACACTCGTAGATCAGAGACTGCGATTGAGGCCAGCTGGATGTTGATTGACTGGAAATGACACCCAGAGGGCATACCGAGAATTCAGTGGATGGTAGGGTAAGCTCAGACGGATATTGGTTTAGCTTGTCGCGGAGGAGTGTGCGATGCTCATCATTCAGGTGTAGCTGACTACCCATTGCAAGCTGCTTAGCTTTCCACTTTGCGTCTTCATCAACAGGGCGCTGATAGGTAAACCAATTCTCCCGAGCTATCCGCTTACGCACATACATTGGAGAGGGAGACTGGACTTCCTCCGCGGCGCCCAAGTAGCTTGGCAGCCACGGGCTTATGGGCGTTTCGCCTAAGACAGTATTCGTGAGGTATGAGGGTCGCAAAGCTTGTAACGGACTCGGGCCCATTAGATAGGCACTATTACAGGATGTTGTTGGGTATTCAACAACATTGCACTGACTTTATCATTGTTATTCATTTGTCATTTCTCAATGGTAATGGATCTCACCCGTCATATTCAACAATGTGGTGTCAGATCTTGCCCCTCATAGCGTGATCAGTCACCAAGCAAAAGTTATACATTTAGATTTTCAGGTAGTATAATAATGTTCGCCGCTGTACCTAGGTATTTGCAAAAGTAAAACGAGGCCAAATTCCGTTATTTAAAAGGATGCCTAGACTCGAGGTAGGACATGTCTGTAAAGGTTGTTTGCGTGAAGTTTCACACTTCCTCTTTGTAAAACTCATGTCTAAAATTTCTAAAGGTATGACTGATCAATACAATCATTCCTCATACAAAATTGGGAAAGCGTTGTATCAATTAATCAATGACACTTCTTTAGACCAGTATATTTCTGTGCTAACAAACTTGTCATGTTGGGATATATACATAAAAGTCTCACTGACTAATCATATAGGAGCGGTAGCTCAGTGGTAGAGCGATAGATTGCAATTACCTAGCGATCATCTATAGGTCCCGTGTTCGATCCACGGCCGTTCCTGCTTTTTTGCTTCATGATTGGAACTCATACTGCGGGACCCGCTTTCAGTAGTGGAGAAAAGGTTCCGCCGGTAGATCACATGACCTTTGTTTTTCGCGATCGAGTCCTTTTTGTTTTGTTTCTTGGCCTTTTCAAGGCCACTATCTCACTTCTGTGATCATCATTAGTACTCAAACTGCTTCAGATCTGTAATACCAGGCGGCATTCCAAAATGTGTCATGTTGGAATACCGGATTGTGCGTGGGAAGCTATGAATTGAGCCTCCTAGAATACATCGCTCAACTTTGGAGAGTCGGCATCTGCTTTTGGAAAGGAGAAGCTATCTAGATCTAGATCAGACTTGATTTCAAATTAAAATGTAATCCCTCTTTGGACATCATCTTTGGACCGCGTCATCCATCACGGATGTTACGTGATGGAGTACAGCGCAAACCCCGCTTTCGCAAAACAGACTGCCCTTATATCAATCATTGACCCGGCATAATAAATTGCTGCCTGCTTTTTAGTCTTCTCCTTTTTCTCGCCATGTCTGCAACTGAGACTATCACTCGCCCCAGTCAGCCTGATATTCAATATCATCCGGACTGGGTGAAGTATCAAGCACGCTCCCGCCAACGGAAGGAGACCGAATCACTTCAGACCAGCTTGCCAGCAGGGTTTCCTCAAAAGCTAGTCTCGCCACTTGTTTGGGATGGAAAAGACATTGAAAAGCGTGATGACTGGATCTACCAGCTCAGCGATGTTCAGCTTGATGAGATTGATGCAGCCTTGAAGAGCTTCAAAGGTAAGACCGTATTAGTCCCGGGCTGGATTATCATTCTGACAGCAATAGCTCTTGAAAAGCCCTTGGGATACATAAATGAGTTCACCTTCCCCCTTCCAAGCCTTCGACCGACCCTGAGAGACCTTTCAAAGGAGCTCCACAATGGTCGAGGCTTTTTTGTTCTCCGAGGTCTACGCATTGATAATTATCCTCGAGAGGATAATGTCATCATCTACACAGGTGTCTCATCTCATGTCGGCAGTATTAGAGGACGTCAACAAGACACAAGACTGCAAAATGGATCATCTCCAATAATCTCGCATATCAAGGATATCACCAGCATTACCGAGAAAGGAAAGATCGGGGCACCATCCAATACAGCGGATAAGCAGGTCTTTCATACAGATGCGGGGGATATCATCTCCCTTCTCTGCTTGAGTCCCGCAGCAGAGGCAGGTGAAAGTTATCTGTCAAGCAGTTGGAATGTGTACAATATTCTTGCAAAAGAACGTCCCGATCTTATTCACACTCTCTCGCAAAACTGGCCAGTTGACGGGTAAGTTCTCCACGACCAAGTGAAATTCTATACTAATCAAATATAGGTTCAACAACCCTCAAAAGCCATACACACTTCGCCCCCTTTTGTACCACCAGCCAGCTACAGAAACTACGCCCGAGCGTGTTTTGATTCAGTATGCGCGGAGGTACTTCACCGGATTCCTTGCCCAGCCCAGATCTGCGGATATCCCTCCCATCACCGAAGCCCAAGCGGAAGCATTAGATGCGTTGCATTTCTTGGCAGAGGAGCATTGCGCCGCCTTGGATTTTCAAAAGGGGGACGTTCAATATGTCAACAACCTCAGCATATTCCACGCACGCAATGGCTTCAAAGATGCACCAGGCAAAGGGTTAGTTTTCCTTGAATAATGCTCGAATTGTGGCTAATCATGACAGGCGACATCTTCTACGACTCTGGCTGCGTGACCCTGAGAATGCCTGGCAGACACCCCAGCCACTGCAGCACCGCTGGGATACAGTGTTCAAAAACGTCACCGAGGACGAACAGGCATTCCCTCTGAATCCTGGTAGTTTGCGAAAGACAGTGGGGTCTTAGTTCTCAAGGATATATTGCTTTTGAGTGGCAAATCTCGTCGCACCGCATGCCACGTCTTCAATCTGCAAATAAGCAATTATTGTATTAATTCAACATTCTAGGTTTCCCCATGGGATTGAAGCCAACAAAGAGATGATGTCGTTTGTGGGGTACCCTGCATGATCTTCATTGCCTATCTGTTGCGGTGAGCGACTGAGCAACATAATAAAGTCTCTGGAATATTTGAAATTCTGTTGATTGGCCTAATAATTCAGTTTGTGTAGCAGTTCGTCATCTCTATGATAATGGTCATTTGTTCTCACCATTATTAAAAACTTCGGCGTGCTTCTATAGTTGAACTGGCATGGGCTAGTTTAGACGGCGCTCGGATAACATGCCGGTTGACTAGACCAACGGGAAATTCAAGAAGGGCTAATCAGGACACCCGGCTTAAACATCTAGCGAGAGTCATGGTGGCGACTTTAGTACGGACAGTTAATTGGCCATTGTATAGTTGAATACTGACAAGTCAAGTTTCAAGCCTATACAATAAGAAACTCTCTCTGCTGCCCAACCAGACATAAACATGCACGGTTCCAATCAGTGAGATAAGGAAAAAGTCTTCTATTGTTCCATTTCACGAGGAAGATCCATGGATCGGCATTAGTTCAACAAATAATCGCCCGTGCTTGATCGGCATCTCCCTGCCGAGATGACGTAACTGGCTTAATGCAGGCCATCCACGACCACTCTATGAGCAGTTGACTTAGCGATCAAAGTTTGTCTTAGCCAAGAGCATACAGAATCCTTCCAAGGTTGAATTGCCTTTGCCCGCATGCCGCAACCCGGCAAGGTTGACCCGTGGGAAGCCCTGGCCACAATGTTCCAATAAGATTTGACCCCCGCGCGTCCCGCGGAGTTATTACAAGAGCTGGATCAGCGAGCCCCAATTTCAATTTCCTCCTGTATTTAATAATCCCTTCACCCCGGGTAAACTACACTCTTGACTCTGTTCAAAGAACAATCTGGGCCCAATTATAGCCTCAAGATGTCACGCACCCGTGAATCTCCCATACAATCTCCTACCACCTCTGATGGTGCATGGAAAGTCGACACACCCTTCGGCCCCCCAGAATTTCCACGCTCCTTCCCCGGTGGAATCCGACGCCTACGAAACACATTATCAAAACTTTCACCAGCTGCCATGGCCGAGAAAGAAATCCTCCGCAAAAAGAATCAATATAAAATCCCCCTGACGCACAGGAATGTGGACACCTTCGTTACCAACCAAGAATGCAATGATATAGCTCGACCCAATCAACACTCGCCAGAGGTCCAGGTGGTCGAATGGCTTGAACATGTTTCTTGATCGGGCGACGTGCATGTATCCACCTCTCACGCTTCGTCGACAGACTTCGACTAGGCTTGTTCTCGACTTTTCTCGATCAACCCCGCACGTCTGCGATCGGCGAGTTTCTCGGGGAACCCAATCCGGTCCTTTTTTATCCTTGTCGTTCGTGTTGCGGCCAACAGAAGGAACATATAGGGATATTGGCTTGGCAAGGCATAGTCCTTGGCATTCACGCAAGGCTGATTCAGTCAATTATGTATGCCGAGATGGGCCCGAGCACATCGTGGAACTTTGTCTCGGCATAATTGCTATGGATACGGTATACATATCAGGTGAGTCCGTCAGCTGCGTTCTTATCCTCATGCATGGGACTAATTAAGCAGTAGCCGATGTTCCCGCCGTTATACAGTAGTTCGCTGTGATCGACGTACAAGTGGATATGGATTGGCTTGGCAACATTCTCAACTCGAGAGTACCGATTGGACTCCCTTTTTAACATACAGTGGTCGCCTTTTAGAATAATAATCTTAATAATGGACTGTTCATTACTTAGACCCAACTTTGATACCTAATGAAATAAAATTGCATAATAATGCGCAGTATGATGAAAATGAGATGCGATTGGTGAAGGAATCGAGAACTGCGGTGGACGTCTGACAGCGCTTGGGAACAGCTAGGCCGGTCGACAAGCAAGTATCACTTTTATCATACTGAACGTCCTTATGACCGCATCACCGGAAAGCCTGGCCTATGCGTCGCAGAGACGGCTATTTTGGGATGAGTTCAAAATATCACTATGGTCATCTAGCATCTAACGCGCTCGTTCACGGGCTAGGTGGACAATACGAAAGCACAGTAAAAGCTAAATAACAGAGCCCTCCACCACAGGATTCGGTTCGCTCTTCATGCCATATCCTAGGATCTACAGTAATATTTTCTGAATTTGTGTATTGAAAGATCGCTACCTCGAAGTTCACTTCAAGAATAGGAAATGGGTCCAAGACACTTCAAGATTCTATTGCGGATAGTCATAAAAAATGTTGAAATAGGCAATTACCTAGTTGACAAACATCATCAGAGTTCCCAGTTACATCCCGTTCAAAAATGCCGTCGCGGCATATGCAAGCGCTCCTTGGACCCTAGCACCCTAGGGTCTTCTTCACATAACGCATCGTGAATGCTTTTTTCAATGAATGAAGCTGACTTGAGCATGGCGAACGGCGCGGTTCCCATCCACAGCGGCATAGCTAGAAGCGGCCCCACTCCTGTAAAGGTGCCGACAACGAGGCTCAGTCCGAGACATGCGCCGTTCACCCCCAGCCTACGGCTGGCAATGTGACGGCGACACCGGCACCCCCTGCAATTGCGTTCCAGTTGTTGGGGTCAAGAACATTTGAGACTCCGTGGAGAAGTCCAGAGGGTGCTGCTGGAAGATTCAACTCGACCTGGTTTTTGCCACCGTGCTTCAGCCCCTCAATTTGGAGAGGGTAGAGGTCCTCAGGGAAATGAAGCGGCTCCTTGATCTGGAGCTTAGACCACGATGGGATGACTAGGTGGAATGTAATGCCCTTTCCACGCTTTTCATCTTTCGCGAGGAGCTCCTGTCTTACTTCACGCATGAACAGGCAAACATGGTCGAGGTCGTCGCAGGGATTGTTGATGAATGCCGACGGCAGTGGGTTCTCGCTTGTCAATCTCTCGAATACGTGGTGCCAATTGTTAGAGTCATGGTAGATGAAGAAGCGATGATTTTCGCGATCCGCCACATTGACCTTGTTGATCTTCATTTTGATCAAGTCGTATATAGGTCGGGCAAAGCCTTCGGGGCCACCTGCGCCCATCACAGCGATGCAATTGCTATCTCCGAGATGGTCGGCGATAACATCCAGAGCTTTGATGATCCGCTGAGCCTGGGCAGTCTGGATCGTTCGCAAAGCTATATTCCAGCATTCAAGGTAATTGATGCGATCGAAGAGTGACTCCGCGGGGCCAGAGCTAGCAGAAGCTGCCGAAGTAGTATCTCCCGTGATCTCCTTCGGCATATTCTTCACGCTCTCACCGGAAACACTGGAGCCCACAGCCGCCGTGTCAACGCCATCAATAAGCGGGTTCGGTTGGCCCAGGGTACCCGCTTTACATCGCTTCCAGATTTCCGCGGTGAGCTGAGCTGAGATTTCTTTCTCGTCTGTCGTGAAATTGCTGAGCGTTGACTGCGAGGTTGCAGAAAGGCTTTGGATGTAAGTAAAAAGCCTCTCCCCAAACTCTTTACCAAGGCGAAGTCCCTGGACCTTGGAGACTATTGAGGTATGACCTGTCCAAAGAGAACAGACCTCGGCCATGGTAAGCAAGCCATTGATGGCTGGCCCCAACATAGGTGCCACGTAGTCGCGGTGAAAAGCGAGGTACGCCTCTATTGGAGGGAGGTCGGGATAGAGCTGTTGAGAAACTTGCCAGAGTTCCAGCTCCATATCATAGCTGTATCCTGTATCCATTTTGCCTGTACGATCTGGCTCTGCCGATTGACCGACGTCCGGTCGGTTTCTTCAGAGCATCTAAACTGAACGTTTGGAGATATAAGGAATGAAGGCTTGTTCAGCAGGGTGACCAAAGTTCATTAAAAAGAACTTTACTAGACAATCGAAGTAGTTGAGACTGCAGAAAATCGTATAGAAGTAGGTATATGAGAAGACGTGCATAATCTAGGTTGCTAGGCCCGCGATCTCAGGGAAATAAGAACGGTGGGGACTCGGCGGCTGGTGGAGCGGAAGGCACGTCTTTTGTACCCACTTGCCTCACTTTGCAGTGGTCGGGAGACCAACATGGTTAGTTCGTTGGAGGTGCATTTCGGCGCCGCTCATCCAGTCGTCAAGCGCCTTGTCTCAGCTATGCATACCGAATGGATATGCTGCGTCCACGCTTTGTAGCTTGCCTTTTAGTAGGCTACTAAACTCTGCTAAGGCCGGGAAGGGTACTTGCGTCATGACATTGTCGGCTTGATTGAACAGGCCTATCTCATTAATATAAGGTTACGGGTGATTTTTTTACATAACCACGAGTAATAGTATAATGCCAACTGTCTCCCCATAAGTCGGCCATCCGGAGTTGATCGGCATCGTCAGCAAAAGAGCCATGGGTCATCGCGAATGTCTCTAGAGGAGGGTAGGCCTGAGGCTATAAGGATATTCCCAGGAATGCCTGATGCCTAGTAGGGACCCGAAGCCGCCACATGGCGATAAGCGATAGTGATCACAAAACAACTCTTACTATCAAGCCTTGCGTGAAGACTTGACCCAAAATGGACACCCAGGACAGAGACCAAATCCTCTGCAGTCAAGCACCTGAAGGATGGAGGAGGAAAAGTGAAAGATCTCCAATGTTTTTGCTTGGTTTGCAATGAGCCTCCTTTTTAGCTGTATAGGCCTCTGGCCCTTGAGTCTTGTATTCATACAGATAAGTACAACATTTGGTAATATACCTGTGTATATACAAGATCGGTGGTTTACGCAAAACCTTTAGCTAGAATTAAAAGGAAATACCGGCAGCGGGGTTCCAGTTTCCCCGCGGTGGGGAACTTGGTTGAGACCAGCCCAATAAATCCACCATCTCACCTCCAAGGGCAGCAACAGCGATAGGAAAAGACTAAATGGGACTAAAAGTCGCAATTATCGGTAAGTGACAATCCTGGAAGCTTGAAACAACCTCCACTCATACCAGTGGTCGCAGGAGCGGGACCTTCCGGTCTTGTCACTGCAAAAACACTTTTGCACAACTTTCCTCATGGTACATTCTCTCCTATCATTTTTGATACTCGCCATGAGGTTGGTGGTCTTTGGATGGGGGCCTTGGATCCTTCCATGAGGACCAATCTGAGCATGTTCACGGTCGCTTTCTCTGATCTGTCATGGGAGTCAGTAATGGGAAATTCTGGGATCCCAATGTTCCCACAAGCGAGGCAAGTAGGGCAGTACTTGGCTGCATATAGAAAGCGATACATTCCGGATGATGTGCTGAGACTCGGGCATCGGGTTTTGAAGACTGAACGAACAGCCGAGTCTGCATCTCCATGGATGATACAGTGGAGGAGAGAGAGGTTCGCGCCCTTTTGAGGTAAAATCTGTGAAGCATTAATAACATGAGAACAGTTCCGATGGGAGTTCTCCACATGAAGGAATCGAATCAGAAGAATTCGATATGCTCGTTGTGGCAACCGGCTACTTCGCTCAAAAACATATCCCGTCGATCCCAGGATTGGAAGAACTTGCACTCGCTGGTCGGGTTGTCCACAGTTCGGATCTGCAGAACAGAAAGGGATTCCTTCGCGAAAACGACTTCTTAGCTCAAGGAAATATCGCTATTATCGGCGGAAGCATGTCCGGAGTGGAAGCTGCGTCTGCAGTGGCGCTCCACCAATCTTCATGGAAGTCTCACAACGAAGGTCAGGCTGACAAGCACGTCGTACACCATGTTCATTCGCGCCCTTTCTGGACCTTGCCGACTCATCTACCACACGAAACCTCAGAAACCGTTTCCTTCTTGCCATTGGACTTGGCAATGTATGATCTCGGCCGTCGACCTCCAGGCCCAATTGAGTATGCATTGGGAGTCATATCCGAAGAGAAAGTTGCGAAAACCAATGAATATTTCAGCTCGCTACTGGGAACCGAATACAAAAAATATGGACATATGTCAGGAAATTCAAGCCAAAGCATGAATTCTCGGCCCCCGTGGGTGGCGATAGGGAACAGCTACGCGGAGTTTGTTAGATCCGGAGCTATACAATCCACATTGGGACGCGCAATGTCTGTGGAGACGAATCAAGAAACACATCTGTCTACTATCGAGATAGCCTCGGATGGACAAACACATACATTGGACAACATTGCAGCTGTTGTACTGGCCACAGGATTTACTCCATTCGACTCACTATCCCTTCTACCCAAGGACGTCTTAGCTGCTCTAGAATACAGCGAAGACGATCCATTTCTGCCACTTGTGCTGGACAAGGGCGGTACAATTCGGTCTGAAATCCCAGACCTTGGCTTTGTCGGGTTCTACCGAGGTCCATATTGGGGAGTAATGGAGATGCAAGCCAGATTCCTCGGTGCGGAATGGGTCAAGAAAAACCGGCAAGTCTCGACAACAGAAGACCAGAGACAAAGCCTACGAGTCTTGAGATGTTCGGATACAAATTCCCAGCGCGGCCAGTTTCCGATGGGGGACTATGTAGGGTTGATGGAGTCATTTACCAAGGATCTGGGAATTGACCGTGCGGGGCTGTCAGAAGATGATAGTCGGTCTGGCCCAGCCATTCCTGCTCGCTATACTTATAGTCACCCATCCACTACTGCACAAGAAGACATGGACAATGAGAAAGAACGCACGCTGGGTGCGTTGAAGGCTCTGTCCGATCCAAAGCATCAAAAGCTGCAAGAAGCTGCTGCATTGGCCATCTTCCGAGCCCTGCATGGAGCCTGGATATTCTCCCGGGAATACATAACAGGAGAGAAAGAGTCTGGAACCACCACATTTTCTCCACGGTACCCATCGAGTCCGGCATATGACCGGGAATATGTTTGCGATGAACGTTTAAATTTAGACCCAAACAAATTACTATCGTCATCTTCTACGATCCGCTCAATCTTTCGGTTGTCGGAATCCGGAGCTCAGGATGAAAACACAGAGATCGAAGTTTTGGAAAATGATACTTTGGTCGCGGTTGGTGGAAATCCCAAGCGACTGCACCTCACACCTTTCTACCTCAAAAGGGTTGATGGACAATACATCCCGGGAGAATATGTGATTCGTGCCAAGCTCTCTGGAACTTCCCTGGGAATTGAGCGTGAAGCTAAAGATATTACTCTAAGCGAATACGAGTATATTTTCAATTTCAAAGGTGTCTCGATTGCCAGTTGGGAGCGGCTTGAGCCGACATATGACACCACGGGGGCCGAAGGCCAAGCATTTACACAAATTCGAACCATATACAAGAGATAGACTCATTTGTTGAGCAAATTAATCAGCCTTACGAATGTAGCTAATATATTACATTCTCGATTTGGAAGGTGTTAAGAGACTGGGTATGGCCCGAGTCGGGAACTCAGGTCCAGAACCTAAACTATAACCTCAAAATAGCTAGATATAGGCAATTTGGCTTCGATAAGAATTCAATTAGCTAGTCTATTACGTCTAGATCGAGCTCCAAGAGCCGTTTTCGATCCCAAATCTCTGTTCTGATGAGCCTCGGTAGTCGAGCTATTCGCCACTCGACGTTGCATCGAATATGACAACCTTGATAATCAACGACAAACACCACCGTAAGGTCTGAATAATCTCGATCTTATTTTTGATTACATGCAGATCAATAATTATGCTACTTCGCTTATCAACTGAATATTCATCGATAAAGCAATACGTCGGAAGTTCCGTATAATCGGCTCCGAGCGAGTGGCGCTGCTCCGAACCAAGGTTACAACAACGAAATAGATACCCAGCGAATGAAAGCACGCAAAAAGGAGAAGCAGGAAATCATAACCATGAGATTGATCCAATTAACGCCAATCTTCAAAGTTTTCTTCAGCCTTGGCCAATCGGTACCAGCAGAAAAGGGCTCCGGACGGGTGTACTGCAGTCCGGGGTCGAGTAGGGCCTGCGAACGGATCAACCGGCCCAATACCTTGAGCCTCAACATTATTTTGGTTTGACTTCGGCCGAAACTGTATTTTGCTTCCTCGGCCCCTGAACATATCTCATCTATATAAGAATGATCCCCAGGGCTGATCTGAGATGAAAAATGGAACCAAACACAAGTCCCTCCACCATCGGAGTCATCCGTACAACAGCTCCGGGCTGCAACTATAAAGCCCTCCCCCCTCCAACCCAACATTCCGATATCATATATCAACTTCAACTCAAGCCTCACGTCAAGCCTTGAGTTCAACACAATGGGAGCTACACCAGAACTACCCAACCTCAACCTAGACCCGGCATCTGAATACCGCGCCTGGCAAGCACTCTCAGTCTACTTCACCGTCCTCCTCAATCGTCAAATCCGTCGCCGCTGGCAACTTGAGCACGAATGCATGCAGGACAGGCCCGTCGCTCAATGGTTCAGACCAGTCATCTTCCTTGAGCCAGTTCCACAACTACACAGACCACAGCTACCAACCGTCTGCCCGTTGACGATGGCGAACCTCAAAACCAAAGTGCATCTTCTTCGCGGGCGGGTTGAGAAAGGGAAAGAACTTGCTTCTCAGATTGAGCGGAGGATGCTGGATTCTAAAGTCGATTTTCCGACACATTTCTGCCATACTTGTGTTGTTGGGTGTGAGTCGGAGTCGGAGATTTTGCTTACGAAGTGTGGGCATCGGGTCTGCAGGACTTGTCTTTCTTTTGGTGTTGATGAATGTGGAGTTTATGAGTGCAGTATCTGTTTTGTGCCGACTTCCTTTGTGGCTAAGTCTCCTTTGTCGATCCCACGCCGGGCTAAGTCGGAGGAGTTGGCTCCTGTTGGGCATAAAGATGGTCAGAAGAGGGTTTCTTTTGGGACATTTGACTGATTTGTTTTACTTCTACTTGAAATGTTGCATGTCTGGAGTTCTGGTTTCGTTATTATTTCAGCGGCATTGCATACGATATACACCTGGGCACCTAATGGTCTTTGCATATAAGATACACCTAATAAGATCACATTATAGTATTTGATTCCTTCGTGACTCCCAGAGGGAACTAGAGCTATACAAGACATGAGTCTCAACAATAATATGTACCGAATCTTCCAGGTCTGCTGACAACATCTAGGTTGGTAATAAAGAAGAACCCGGAAGAGAAAAAAAAGCAAAACAGGACATCAAATGTATCATGAGCCACGGCCTGTCCAACCAGACCACCACATCAATAAACGCCTTTGCCAAACAGCAAATACCAAGGAGAGTGAGAACAGTATAACGCTGGGACCAAGACATTATACAGGAAGAATATGCAACCCTGCCAGCTGATCATCAGCTATCCAATGCACTAGGCAGATCGTAGATATGAAAGACAAAAAACAAGACGAAGGTCTACGTGGGTATATGTAGGAAAGCAACAAGAAAGACCCCCGACATCCAAGTTTGTCAGGGTAGATGAAAAAGATGAGCCGACTGGGTCGTTCACCGATCCTCTGCATGTTCGCCATCGTCAATCACCATCTGTACATCCTTGACGGGATGTAAAAGCATGGGAGGAAGACACATGCGGCCTTCACCAGCTAATTCCTGTTGCTCACCGCCGTCATTGTCAATACGCATGCCGAGCCAGCGGCGCCAGAGGTTAGGAGAGAATCCGGCGGAGTAGAACCAGGTTGTACCCTTGAAATTGTGTTCCCTGTCTCCAAAGACAGAGGTACGAGCACCACCCGAGGCACCGTTGCGGCCGGCGTTGAAGACAGTCTCGAGGTACTTTGTCGGCCAGCGGCGGTCGATGTAGACAGCGTGAGGTACATAGACAGCCTTGAAGCCGTGGTGCAGCGCTGTGGTCGCAGGCCACATCTCCGAGAACATGCTGTGATGGCGAAGAGCGGTTTCCTTGTGCATAGTTGTGAGGAGCTTGCGAGACAGACGGGAGGCGGTGATGATTGCAGTTCGGCGGGGAGGCATGCCATTCTCCTTGTTGTAACCGGTCACGTCATCACGAAGAAGCCAAGTCGTGCCTTCGGGGTCGTACAGTGGGTTGAAGACAACCAAATCCGCATCTTCGCCCACACCCCATTGATACTGATCTTTTTCCATGGTTGTGGGTGGGATGCCTTCACCTTCCACCTCGAAGATATCTGGCTCGGAGGGGCGTACCGGACCCCAGACAAACTTGTCACCCTGCTGATGTAATCCGTTCATATCACGATCCTTTTCGGTTCCATCGGGCTTAACCACGGACCACATGTTATTAGGACTGTTCGTGCCACTTTCAGTCTGTACGCGAACCATCTGGCGGAAGTCATCCCACGAGCCGTGAACTGACGGAACGTAAAAGCGAGAGTTGCGCTCCCAGAGACCCTTTCGAGGCTGCGCTCTCGCCCAGTCGCCAACCTTGTCGAAGAGATGGTACCAGTGACCAGTGTAACGAGCATCCATCTCCCAATTCCAGAAGTAGTCGTATTCCGGGTGCTGGAAGGCGAAGTACTGCAGGGGCATGTAGGTACTGCGGTAGACGCCGTGGATGGGCAGACCACGCATGAAAGTTTCCTCCAGAGCAGGGTACATCAAAGCCATCTGCGCCTCTGACCAAAGGGTTCCCATTCCTCGGAATTCCTCCGGTAGCGCATCGTGAAGCACGCGCTGGTAGGTTTCATCATCAGACCAGATCTGGAGGTCGTTGTTTTTGACATGGATGAGGAAGTGAATGGTGTACTCGCCACCAGACATCAAAGAGAGCTCCGAGATCACGGATCGCATGTACATGATATCCTCTGGGGTGTAATTGAAGTCGTGCCAGGTCCGGATGACCACAGCGGTTCTCGGTAGACGATCGGAACCGACCTTGGGCTTCGATTTGTAAGTATCCTCCGACTCCTGCACGGTCACACCAGGATTTCCCACGGGCATGGAGACGAATCGGTTCAAACGCGGCTCGGGCAGCTCGTTGAAACGATGGCGATTTGCTGCGCGACACTGCTGTTGCGCATCGGCCCAATTCACCTGTCGGAAGTCTACTGGGGGAATGTCTTCCCAAACCCGCTCCGCACCATCGCGGTGGCCCTCCAGACCGGCGCCAATGCCTCCCCTCTTGGCCCCATATCCAAGTCCGTACGGTCCCAAACGTCCAAATCGATCAAAGCACACATCGTCGCGGATACCAAGCATGGCGTTCGAGCCCATCACCGGCTCCGGGAAACCCTTGGGAACTCCAGCGTAGCTCTGCAGAGGTGGAACTCTGACCGTACGATCCTTATCCAGGAAGCACTCGCGTTTCTCACCATATTTCTTGATGTATTCCGATGAGGCATATTCCGGATATGGGTTAAAAACCGAGCTGGACATGGAGGGCGTCATGTCCCGCTTGTTGAGTTGCTTGTCTTCCACTTTCTCTTCCATGGGGTCGGGCATTCCCTCCATACCGCTGCCAGGATACTCGGGTACATTATCTTGGCGAGAGACCAGGTTTGTAATTCCACCATTGTAGCGATTGAGGAACGGGAACCCCTCCCAAGTGGGCGGTTTGGGCGAGACGACCTTGGGTAGCTCAACCGCGACTTTTGACACGGAGGAGGAAATGGTGAATCGGAAGAGAGTGAGAATAAATATGACAAGCGATACAAAAAGCGTTAAGCAGAGCCATCGCATAATCCGTTGGGGGACACGAAAGCCCACAGCTGGGTGGCCGTGTCGGAGACTCCCGCCGCTTGCGGGTGGGTAAGAAGTTGAGGAGTGACCAGGGCCTTTGTCGGTGTCGGACTCGGACTCAGAGTCATCGCTGCGATTGAAATGGTGCAGTTGGGGGCGAGCGCTAAGATGTTGTTTTTCGATGTCGGTGTCGTGTGCTCTGTATGGTGACGGTTTGTTGTAGGCCGCGGAGGATCTCCTCGCCTGGACGGTCATAGTGGCGGGCAAAGCATTAACCTGAAACCAAAAAAGATAGAGAGAACCCAAGACCAAGATGGTCTAAGCACAGATTGAATCTCCAGAAGAATATTTAGAAAGGAATTGGTATGTGCAAGTTGTTGAAAAAGGGGGTCCAGGTCTAGCACGCGATGACGATGTTCGTTTGGTGTTTGGGGTTCGAGATCGTCGGCCAGGCAATCGGGCGCGGGCCACAGGACCACCTAGACTAAAGAGACTAATAACGCCCAGACTATAAGTCTGAGAAATTTAACCGAGTAAAAAAAAAGTAAGGAAATTAAACAATAGCCAGGTACAAAGCCAGGTACGAGGGGTGAAAGGAACAAATACGAACGTCAACTGCGGAAGATGGCCACAAACGTAAGTCTCGGCGCTGCCAAGCCTTCTGAACTGGGAAATGAGCGATTACGCATTAGGTGCTAAATTTGGAGAACAAACTCCTTTGTACTCCGTGCACTGCTTGATCATAGATCATAGATCATAGATTATATCATATCATTCTTTGCTATATCACTTTTTTTTTCTTTACTGATACCCAATTCCAGGATTGTTTACAATAGAAAGAAACGTAAAGGAACAGCAATTTTGACGTGGCGCCAGGAATAAAAAAAAAAAAGAACAAATGAGGCTAATAGCATAGCGAAGAGAAATAGAGTGGAGGGAACACACAACCGGTTGAATCGTCCTTCTAATTGAAGGTTCATTCATTGTTCCCATGGCCTCGCGAAAGAACTCCATAGTCATCATCCATCATTTGCAGATTTCCCGTGGTATTTCTCTTGCCCTGCTACATACACACACACACACACACTACTTCCCCTTGGTATTATACCCGCTTAATCGCGGTTGGTTTTCCGGAGAGTGTCGGCGAGCCACTCAAGACCCTCGTAGAGACCGTCACCGGTGGTGGCGCAGGTGGATTGAATGAACTAGGAATCGTCAGCAATAAGTTCGGGATGGTATTTGGTATAGAACTGGACAGGGGGCATACCCAAGCGCGGCGGGTCAAGCTCTGGAGACCAAGCTGCTGTGTGATCTCAGCGGGGCTCATGGCGTTCTAGATCGCAATCAGTAATCAGGTCGAAATAATATCAGGTTCATGTCCCTACAGGCAAATCTTGCTTGTTGGCGAAAACAAGCAGCAGAGCATCGCGAAGCTCATCCTCGTTCAACATGCGCTGCAACTCCTCACGGGCCTCGACAACACGGTCGCGATCGTTGCTATCCACCACGAAGATAATACCCTGGGTGTTCTGGTAGTAGTGGCGCCACAGAGGACGAATCTTGTCCTGACCACCGACATCCCACACGGTGAACTGAATGTTCTTGTATTCGACGGTCTCAACGTTGAAGCCTGGAGCCTAGTCAGCACCTCCCTGTTTTGCGTTTTGCGAGTTTCCGGCATATCAATTTTGCGACGAGTCGGATAGATGGACCGGGGCGAACTGACCGATGGTGGGGATGGTAGTGACGATTTCACCGAGCTTCAGCTTGTACAGGATGGTGGTCTTTCCGGCAGCGTCAAGACCGACCATCAGAATACGCATCTCCTTCTTCCCCCATAGTCGATCGAACAGCTTAGAAACAGTGAGACCCATATTGGCGGTACCTCGAAACCTTGAGTGGAATTAGTGGATGTTGTCGGAGGAAGAGTTGTAAGGAGGGGGAAGATGGGTGCGGATAGGGAAACGTGTTGTGGACGGATTGGGAATCTCAGGGGTGTGGGTTTGGCGAAAGCAATGCGGAAGGGGTGATCGACAAGGCAGTGCTTACCGGTAGAAAGGTATGGATGGGGTTTCGTAAAGTGGATTAAAGGGGAAACAGATGAAGAAGACAAAGTGACTCCGGGAGAGAAAGAAGAGGGAAGGAGAGGGAGTTGGTGTTTTTTTGTTTGGGATTACGAAAATACGCTGAACGGCGGCGGTGGGCGTAGTCTCGGTCACCCAAGATTCAGGAAATACCAGACAGGTCCTCGAATTATGATCTGATCACTATAGACTAAAACCTTGGTTGAGGTTTCTATAAATTCAATGTTACCTAGAAATCTAGAACCAACAGTGTGGCTTGATATCTCTAACGCACGAAAAGAAAGGACACGGTGTCGTACGTACTGAAAATACCGTCGGAGGCGAAAGGGGCCCCAGAACCAAGGGACCCAGATCAAAGCCCCGCTGATAGGTTGATGACTTATCGCCGCGCCCCAGTCTCGTGCCTTGCACACCTGGATTTCTGGGAAACGCCGTCCACTGGGGCAGAGCCCACTGCCGCGTCATGACATCGCGGCTCGTTTGCTATACTTCTGCAGATCTGTATAGTCTGTTCTATTTTGAAATTGCATTTTCACAAGCAAAACCTTTCTACCAGCGTCAATTGACCCTGAACCTCGCTTACCGCACATTGGGCGATAGCACGGCAATGGACTCAACCCCCTTCAACCGTGCCAAGTCCCCACTGGGGCTCCGCTCTGGACCAGGTAGAGATGGGCGATGGATCTGATCTATTTCAACGCCATCAATGGTATGGGCCCGTGCAGTGAAGACCTCCAGGGCTGCGGAATTAGGCCGATACGTAAACTTCCAGAGGTTCATGGCATAAAATAATCATTTTTATTCGTCATTCGTCGGAACATAAGTATATTTACCTGTAAGTCATACTAGGCGCATTGAGAATACTGCGAACATGACCAGATAACCTAAAATAAACATTGAACAAAGAACGTTCAGGGGACTGAGGTCTTCTTCGATGCTGTTTGGAAAGAGAAATCTAAGCTCCAAAACCACTATGTACAAGAACGGCCGAGAGAACACTTAATTGCTCCATCTATTGCTTCCGAATCGGCTAACAATTGAGATATAAATTTGGCGCTCACAGCTGCCGAGCTATAGGTTAATTAGAGCCGCTTGTGACACCATCCATGGATAAATAAAGTTGTGACCGGCCTTAACCTTAGGAAACCCGTAACAGGCGGGATCATTTCGAGGTACATTTACATGTGTTCTTTCCGCTACCCGCTTCCAAGGTTCCTAAAAAAAATGCACTATGACACAATATCCTCCTTTCAAAACCGAGGTCTTTCTGTTGAGTCATCCCTACTCGTGATCAACTTCAAAGTATCTTGTCTGCCTACGCCATGGATGCCACCTATCTTCTTTGACCACGTACGCATCGCTTCGGTTCAAGCTGACCACAGCTGAATCTTACCATATACAGCGGCCTGATATCTTACCCATTGATACACCTGGGCAGCCTCGTGACAGGTGGCATGGTCGCGCCTTTCACATACTTGACAGCAACCAATCAGACCTGACAGGTGCGCTTGACCAAATTAGGCAAAGCGTGGGTCGTTTCTACAAGAGGGTTGAGGCGAGTGTTCTTGACCTCGGCTTTTATTACTATGCTTCATATTCGAGTATGATTTAGACAACAAATAGCAACCTATTGTCGCCTATATAAATGTGCTCTGAATGATAATAGACGCTATGCCCAGGTAGTGACTGCCAGTTGGGAACTAGGGACTTTGGATGGAGATATATTTAGGGCCTTAGGACTGGATCCACGAATACAGTATCCAGGAACGTTATATTTGAGAGTACTTTTCCAACTTGTTTTTTTTTTTGAACCTTCAATTCTCTGTACCTCTGCTGTTTTTTATTAATTTGGTCAATGCGCTTTTTGTTCCTTTTCAAGACTAGCCTCATTACAGACTTCAGCATTGATAAGAACTTGGGGTACCAGCCGCGGGCGCAGTGAGTCACACGGACTTACACAGGAGTAGAATTGCACATGCATATCTTTTATACTTCTCCAACAAGTAAATTGAGGTCGTGTATAAACTAGAGAGGGATTAAGTCCCTATTATGGACCTTTGACGCTGGAGGAGTTCAGCTTTGAAATTTACATCCTGCTTCACTATGACGGCCCCACACACTATAGGGGAGGCCCTCCTCATCCCCAAGACCTTTCAGTCGCAACAGAGCCTGGACGAGATAGTGGAGAGGTACAAGAACCTTCGACTGCACGGTCTTCAAGTTGACCCGAGATCGTTCAGCTCAACATATGAGATAGAGTCCCAGTTTTCCCCTGCGATATGGCGATCTCGGCTTCAGAACCCGGCGGGCCAGACATTCGTCTCAGTCGCCGATTCTGACAAACAATATATCCACATCGATACTGCGATACCTACAGAGCTCGGAGACTCAGATACATCGCTCCAACGGCTACTCAGAAAAGACTGGGTCGGCATTGTCACACTGCTAGGCCCAGTCCTGTACAAGCCAGACGCTGATGGAGGGACACTCACCAAGCCATGGGATGTATTTATCAGGGATCGAAAATATGATATTCCTCAGTCTGCTCTGGATGGAAATACTAAAAAAGAGGACATTGCTTACTTGGTTGTTGCGATGTTTGTGTTGCCCGATGAACGGCGAAAGAGGCATGCTTCTCGGTTGCTTGAAACTCTGATCCAGACTGTCCGAGAAGATGCTCGTGCTCGTGAGGTATCCAAGGCGAGCATAACAATTCAGGTTGAACCAGATAATGGTGCTGCGCAGGGACTGTATGAAAAGTTGGGGTTTGAGGTGTGTGACAAGGCGCTTCCGCTGGAAAATAGGCGCGGAGAGACAAATCACGTGGTTTCACTGGTGATGGAGATTGATCTGACATGATTTACTTGCTTTCGCCTACATGATTATCTTTAGTGCAATAAGAAAATGTCATAGTTCATAAGGTTGTACTGTATCTCCAGGCTGACTCTTATTCGCTGTGCTGGTCAAGCACGTGATTTACGAAGACCGCTGAGTCATCAGCCTCGTTTGAGGGCAAGGCTAGTCCCAATAAAGTCTAGCGCCTCCTCGTGCCCACAAGCGGAGAAATTTGCGGTAACCTTTTTCTTCTCTCTCAAGACACTTGCGCTGAGCCACACCTTAAGTATTCTTTTGGAAGACTGTCGCCATCATGTCCAAGATCACAGTCGGTATGTCTTGGTCTCTAACACATCTTCACATTGACATTGAACATCTCTAACACCCTCTCAGCCGGAGTGCGCGAGAATGTCCAGTCTCTGCTCGACTACTCGCTCAACGAGAAGAAGCGTAACTTCCTCGAGACCGTTGAGCTTCAGATCGGCCTGAAGAACTACGACCCCCAGCGTGACAAGCGTTTCTCTGGTACCATCAAGCTGCCCGTTGTTCCCCGTCCCAACATGGCCATCTGGTGCGTTCCCGCCTGCGTCGAGCCTACATCCCCACGAAGGCCGGTGTAAGAAAAAAACTTTGAACAATGACTGACGGATTACAGTATCATCGGTGACCAGCACGATCTCGACCGTGCTAAGCACCACGGTATTGATGCTATGTCCACCGACGACTTGAAGAAGCTCAACAAGAACAAGAAGCTCATCAAGAAGCTTGCTCGCAAGTACGATGCCTTCCTTGCTTCCGAGGCTCTGATCAAGCAGATTCCCCGTCTGCTCGGTCCCGGTCTGTCCAAGGCCGGCAAGTTCCCCACCCCCATCTCCCACAACGAGGACATGGCCAACAAGGTCAACGACGTCAAGTCCACCATCAAGTTCCAGCTTAAGAAGGTTCTGTGTCTCGGTGTTGCCGTCGGCAACGTTGGCATGGGCACCGAGGAGCTCGTTGGTAACCTCATGTTGTCCATCAACTACCTTGTCTCCCTCCTCAAGAAGGGCTGGCAGAACGTTGGAAGTCTTGTCATCAAGGCTTCCATGTCTCCCCCCAAGCGCATCTACTAGATTCTCATCACTTCACTGTGCTGAGATCTGGATGCGTCCGAGAAGTGAGGGTGTCTTAGTTTAGACCCGAAAAATAAAATGAAGCTCACGACTTGGTCTCAATATTTTCAAAGATACTGTAGATGTAGAAATGTCTTGTGTGTATAAACTGATTGGACACTATAGTACATGTATATTGAACTCTTATTGCATGCCTGCCATCAACTCTGTCTTATCTAAAACCATACCGCGCATGCCAATGAACTCGCGAAGACTCTCCCACTCTTCACCAACCTCCTCGCCACGCATGTACGGGTCCTTAAAACCCCAAGCAACGGCAACTCTATCCATGGCCGCACGCTCTTCTTCCCGCAGCCATCGCTGTCTCAAAGGAATGCCAGACAACCAAACCACACGCTCCATCTGATCATTGGCTGTGGTGATAGCCATAATTCCGAGAGACGATGTACCACCAACATAAGCCAAGGAAGCAGCAAAGGCAATACCAGTCGCGGTGCTAGGATCCATGGTATTCTGGAAAGTGGCTGCCCATGTAGCAAGGGCATAGCATGCAGCAGGAGCCGCAGCCAATCCAATCAACGGAACACTGGCCTTCTTGAAGACCTTCGCACGGGGGAAAGCAGGTGCGCAGAAGGTGTTATCAATGATAGCCAGGACCAGGGAGAGGTTCTTTTGCGCAATAGCCACGTCCAACGCCATATTGGCCAGCTCAGCGGGGACAGCACTGTTAATGCTCTTGGGTTTCGCCTTGAGGAACTTGACTGGTGAGCTGCCTTCCTCCGGAACTGGTTTGTTGGCGTACATGTGGAAGATCTCGGGAAAGTGCTCTGCTCGCTCCAAGAGGGTCTGTGTTTTGGTGTAGCTTTCCAGGGCTTCCGGGGTAATGAAGACTTTCTCATCCTTCAGGAGATCGGTTATGATACTGGAGATCTTGTCGGCCAGTCGGGGATTCAGATTGAGTGTCGACTTGGCTTGCTGTGTGGGCTTGGTGCTTTTCTCCTCCATATCAAGTAGCGATGAAGTCGCATTTCCTTCATCATGCGCGGAACCTTCGGAATTGTCGTGTTCTTGCGATACTAAGGATTCGGCGATCTTCCGGCATTTCTCAAGTAGTCCCACCACGGCTTCGTTGGAGGGGACTTGGTCTGAATGTTGCAAAGCCGAGGCATCCTGTTCAATTTGTTTGATGGCTGACCCGAAATTGGCGGACTCCGATGCAAAGCTACGCGAGTTTAGAAGTGGGTAGGACAATGGAGATCGAGCATTTGCTCTTCGCAACTGTAGCGCAGGGATATTGTTCGAAGATCGGCTTTGGGTCGTTGTAGGAAGCCGAGGGAAGGGAAGGCGTTGCGGTGTCGCGGAAGAAAATTGACAGAACTGGCAGACAGGGCCTTGTGACCTTGAGCCGCGTTGGGCTCTCAAGGCTACTCTTTTCATGGTGAGTTGAATTGGGCGTTGGGATAAATTGGGCGGACGTGGACCGAGCTGCGGATTTTTAGGAGAGGCTCTCAAGGCGGAGGCGGCGCCCCAGCGCTCTGACGTCTACTTCTGCCTTACAACACCTTCTGGTCAAGGTCAAGGCAACCTCTTTCCCCCTCTTGAAAAGCGATTAAGAGTCCCATGCCGCATAACATTGACTCCTCTTGTCAAGTCTAACACTCTTTTTTGACATGCCTCCTCCCCCTCCACCCCCTCCGCCGCCGCCGCCTGGAGGACTTGGTGGCCCTCCCCCACCACCTCCTGCAGCTTTACCGACCAGGCCATCGAAAGGCGAAGTAAAAGGCAGAGTACGTACACTGATCCTGACATGACTTAGATCTACCATAATTTAGATACCAGTCCAGTCATCGGAAAAGCAGTCAACTAACGTTGTGAATAGGGCGCTCTACTATCTGATATTCACAAAGGCACTCGATTGAAGAAAGCCACCACCAATGACCGATCAGCGCCTATTATTGGAAATACTGGAGGCGGCTCAGCTGCGCCGCCCATGGGAGCTGCACCTCCAGTTCCAGGCATAAGACCCCCTCCCACAGGACTTGCACCCCCGGTCCCGTCTGGACCGGCCGCCAATAGATTACGAAGCAACAGTGAAGGAGTATCTGGCTCGGATGCAGCGGCCAGTGCTGCAGCGCCACAATTAGGTGGTCTCTTTGCGGGCGGGATGCCCAAGCTGCGCAGTCGCGGCGGTGTCAACACGGGTGCCAACCGGTCAGACTCTCCATATTTATCTGACTCTGAAGCGTCCCGCCCGGCGCCTGCTGCAGCACCTCCGAAACCTCCAGGAGCTCCTAGGCTGCCTGGTGCACGACCACCACCACCTCCATCTACAGAGTCGTCACCTGCGCCACCTATAAACCCTTTAGTCGCAAGCTTGAAGAAAGTCCCCCCTCGACCTGGTGCCAGGCCATCCTCTACTATCTCTTCAGCAAGTGCTCCCGAGATCCCTCCTCCACGTGCTCCTCCGCCACCTCCTGGTGTAGGCCGGGCACCACCACCTCCGGTGTCTAGAAAACCATCTGCACCCCCTCCACCTCCCCCTGCAGCTAGCCCAGCGGCACCACCTCCTCCGCCTCCAACAACAACACGAGCTCCGCCTCCCCCTCCCGCTGCTCCTGGGCGGTCATTTGCTCCTCCTCCTCCACCTGGAGCACCTCCATCAATCGCCGCCCAGGCCGCCCGCAGTGCTCTGGGACACCCACCACCGGCACCACCAGCTTCAGCCCCAGCAGCTCCCCCTCCACCTCCACCAGTTTCTCCTCCAAGCGCTCCTCCCCCGCCCCCTAGTGAGCCATCGCCATCACCATTCCGTCCATCGCCTGTCCCATCCCCCGCACCAATGAATCCCAGTGCTTATACTCTCACCAATGGCGGCTCATCCCATGCACCAGCCCAGACTCCATCTACCAATGGCCACATTAACATCGTGGATCCTCGCTTCAAGTTCCCCGGTGATGCGATGCTTCCGGCTCCTCGAAGGTTCACCAAGACCCTTCCTGTTAAGTATCGTGCCGGAAAAATTAGCAGCGTGCCGTACCATCTTAAGTGAAATACGGATTGATCTGAGTGCATGGGACATTGCGGGCGATAGATATGCACAGTAGTAAATGCTATTATATAACACTTTCTTCACTTTTTACCTCCACAAATTTGTACCCTACACATGTGATCTTGAAAGGCTCAAGTGACTTATTGCTTAGGTGGGCGGCTCCGGTGGAGCTTGATATGAAATGACCAATTATTGATTTTTCACTCCAATAAATTGGGTTACTTTGTGCCAATTGATCAGCTGGTTTTACTAATGCAAGACCATAATATTATAAGGTCTAAATTACCTATATGTCACTCTATTTCAATGGAGAATTAATATCCGGGCTAAGTATGTACTATGTGATCATCCTGGCTATGGATATGGCTACTAAATATCTATACAACTTTCACGCGTATAAAGACAATTCAGATACACATCTCACAAATATAAGATAAGAGTTTGAATCCTTCGGATTCGTACACTGACATCATTAAAGCCGAAGACTTAGTATACGAGTGAAGCTTACCGTTCATAGAGCACAAAGCTGTGTATCACGTGACCACATACAAACAATGCAAATGTTCAAAGGTTGCTCGTTCATCTCACGACGACTGCCTCTCGATTAGCAACTTCTGCGACTGCTTTCTTCAATTCTGTGTGGCCTCAATTAGCGCTCAAGACCTTCAGCTTTACTTCGTTTCCGAAAAATTGAAGAGGACCCGCGATACCAAGTTGCGCACTCGCCTTGAAGCCTCGACCAAAGCTTAGCTTCGCGAACACCATCTTGCGGCGAAAAGCTCCAATTACCCCACGACATCGGCAAGGCGTAGCATTACCTGCTGCCGGCTGATCATATCACATCCTAAATCCACCATGTCTCTCCAACCCTACATCAATAGTAAGCAACCCGTCAAAGCTGTCCCCGAAGCTGTCTGCAACCTGATCTTCGTGCTAATATACTGTTCCTCCTTTAGAGAAAGTCCTCATCCTGACTGTGGATGGTCGAACACTACTTGGAAATCTCCTCTCCACTGATCAACTTACGAACCTCGTTCTCACTGATACCGTCGAGCGCATTATTCGCACCCCCGAGGATGATGAGCCCTCATCACAAATCGAGCACGGCCTCTATTTGATTCGAGGCGATAATGTGGTAGCATGTGGTGAAGTGGACGAGAAGATTGATGCCGATATTGACTGGACTAAAGTGAAGGGCGAGGTGATTCGGGACACGAAAAATGCATGAATGGATCACGATGATCATTGATTTTTAACTTTACATACCGGGCGTTGGTGGCTATGGAATTTTGCATACAATCAGAGACTTGACTTCAGCAGATGTCACTAATAAATATTAGTCTCAACTATCCTGACTTGCCTATACTGTAAGCATGAACAAATGCGCATGTGGCTGTAGTCGATATGTCCTACATGAAATATCAACCCATAGTCTTGGGGGCCTACTGGCATTCATGATTACTGATGGCTTTGAGTGTTCCACTCTTGAATACGAATGGGTTTTCTAATGAGGAGTGGGGACCATTGACCCAATCACTACTAAGATGTCTCAAGGAACTACATATTTGGAAGTGTTTCTCGGCTGGGGTCACCGTCGTACATAGAGCATCTCGCCAATCGGGTCCCTTTCTGGGCCCCATTCCATCGCCTATAAATAGCGGACGTTCAAGGGTGACCTCTCTGAACGACGACGGTCGATTGCATCTGTAACAAGAAGTCATAGCCATTGAACCAGCTCATCTACTTCCCAGGCAAGCAGAGGAGATTGGTATTTGACACGAAGACAATCAATCACCAAGAGGCTCGTATTGGGTCGTTGCAAACGCATAGCATTGGCCACGCGTGGATTCGCCATAATGAACGATTTGTTTTTGGGAATTGAGAATGAAATCAGACGACTGCCTCAATCAAAGGATTAATCTACAGGAGATTGCGGCGCATATGAATCTATGAAGTCCCTCATTCTTCAGTCTTTGTGGGAGTATCCTTTTTGCTGTCCTGATGACCCATGAGTTTGTCGCTTCATGCGGTGATCAACGCGCTCGCAAACACAACTCGTTGACCCATGCGAACCGTGCGTCATGAAATAGGAGTCTAATACTTCTTATCTCCAGGTACGAGAGCCACAGGACAGAATGCTTCCGAAGTTCCGCCAGAGATGGGCTCGAGTATAACCACGATATACTGATCCACGTGTAGAAGTATGTCATGTAGTACTGGGATCCATTGATGACAGCATTGAAAATCAGCAGGTTAGTGAGGGTCCGTTTTTCCGCCCCAAACCAGTTAGCAGCAACACAACAAGCGCCCAGAAGATTGAAGTCTTCCTTGACTTTATCGGTCTTTCGGAGAAAAATGGTTGTCCGTCGAAGAAAATAGTATATTTTCTAATAGTCCAAGGGTCAAGATGGGGTGATTACATAATGACAGGTTCAGGGACTTTGTCGAAACTTCATGTAAGCGTAATGTGTCACCGCAATTCGGGCCAAAGTGGAGACTAGAGACCAACAAACTAGACATGCATATGATTCGTTTTATATGATTCTTATAGGCTCTAGATTACTTGGTATCATCTACACAGTTTGACATGATAACCCCCCTTTTCTAGCCGTTTGCAGCAGACCGCGCACTCCACAACGGGAGGTGCCAAGACCGCTTGGGTTTAGGAGAGATTAATCCCTGTCAGAGATCTTGCTGCCTGCCCCCGGTAAAAGGCTTTGCGTTGTCCGATCGCATGCATTCTAGGTGCAGATACGGATAGACGTGTAGTTGGAAATAGAAACGAACAAAGCGCCTAGGGCACGAATGAAACACGTCGAAAATATTTCAAGCCCAATACCAGGTAATGGAATTCCACAGGTAATTAATATAATTAATATACGAGAAAAGAGGCGACGAAGGTTGGGTACAGGTGCGGATACAAGCGTAACATGGTTGTAGGCCCCACCCAAATCCCCAAACCTCGTCCCCTGATTTCCGTTTCATCCCTTTCTTACACCTCACCCCGCCCCCAATCCGCTGGTCGTTTGGGCTACTCACTTTCTACGTTTCTCTCATTATCCACTCGCTGATCTTCCTCTTCCCCTTTTATCCTACTCCGCCCTTCATGTGGTCTCTATTATCTCTGAACATCATACCAGTACCGGGTCAAATCCACCAATTCTCCCGGGCACAAAGCCCGTCGTGAGCGTATCCTTGGGCAACGCCCTCTGAAATAGAAAACTTATCTGCAGAGATATCAGAAGAAACCATTGAAGTGAAAAGAGACCCCTCCCCCGCGTCATGTGGCTCTACCGGGGCGCGCAGAGTGCCGTCTTCTACTATGCCACTTGCACCCCTTGTGCTATGAGCATTGATCGCCGCAAACGCAAGAACGATGCCGTCCGAACACAACGCATGCAGCAAAGATACGAACTCGAAGTAGTCACCGATCAACCCCGTCCATTCCCTCAGCCGACTCCATTCAGCACCAATGAAGGGTGGCGGGAGGAAATTGCCCTGGGCCCAGGGCCTCCAACTCGTCGAGGTGGAAATCGGAATTTTCAACGGACAAACAGCTGGAACACCGATCAAAGTTCGCAAATGAAAGACAAGAGTGGGAGCCTGATGCATCCGCTCGGCGAACGGTGGAACCGGATGCGATACCAACGCGAGGATGAACCACTCTGGGGCCAGGAACAAGAAGTACGTGGATCGTCCATTGGATTTTCAGGGAGTGGCCGTGCCGACCCTGAGCCCAAGTATTACGCTGCTCGTGCCCCACCCGTGAACGATCTCCATCCCCCAATTGTGAGCGGTCCGATCAGCCGTGCCGAAACTCGATGGATGCTCCAACCACCACCAAGTGCGAGGGTCATGGAAGGCAAGACAAGTTTTGCCAATTCTCCTCGCGACAGTGTAGGCAATTTCCCTGGTGATCGTCTGTCTCGAGTCGTTCAAAGCAGCTCTCGCCGTAACGAAATAGTTGCGGAACAGTTCAGTAATGACGGAGCCCTCGACTTGAATCTTATTCAACAGAATATGCCGCGACGGCCATCTGTAAGCCGCGTGCGTGAACGCTCCGATAGTTTCTCACGTGAAGACTTCGAGTTCTCACGGCATTCTCGATCCGATTCTATGTTCTCTCTGGCCCATAGCGACGATCTATCTCCCAGTTCTTCCTGGAAATATCCAGACACCCCTGAGACACGGCGGGCTTCTAAATCCATCGACGAAAGCGACAAAGCCCCGCACCGTCCGCAGATATCTAAACACCTTTCGACCATGCAACGACCCGATAATAAACACAAGGTCCATCTCCTCCACCTCGAGATCAATGATGATCATGATGAGCTCGGCCTCGGTCAACTAGAACGCATTCGCCCGTGGCGCTGGAGCATGGATATTTAACGGCCTTTCATCTCATTCAACCCTTCAACATACCAACCCTCGAAATCCTCGAAAACTCACCCTCATCAAACCTCTATCAATCCCGATTTCTTCATCTTCACCTTTATCTTTTGGCTACCAGGCGTTCCGAGCAAAAAGAATAGCGAGCGTTTACTTTTGTCCATTTTCGCTTCAGCAAGCCCATTCCTACTCATCCTCCCTGGCTTGGAACAAATGCATGGCTGGCCCAGCACATGCCACAGAACGGAACGCTGAGGATCCAAATCCAATCACAGACCTCCCAGCACCGCATGATGACGCAGGGCGGCAGTCATTCTTTCCCTTCCCCCTTCTGTTCCCTCCTATCATTGAACCTGTCGATCATTGCCTATCACATTTCCTTTTTTTTTTTCAATCCAATCCCTAGATACTTTTAACCTCTTGTACCATAATCACTCTATCCGTTTAAGTTACATTGACGGCCTATACATAGCATGCTGGCCAATTTTATCGAAATTACTGTTTAATGTTAATAGCTGTGCCTGTAACTGATTTCGTAGTTTGTCATACTAAGATTCCCAGCTCTTCGGGCCGTGAGACATGTTTAAAGTAGACCATCTCATGTCACTGTCCAGATCGGTCTCGAACGGGACCCAATTGGACTCATTACCACATATTTCAACATTATTCATCCTAATATGCCTATTTAGCCGAACAGCAGTGGGCTAAGCATGAGAGCAGCTATATAATGCTCCTGCACCTAGATGGGAGGTCCAAGGCAAGAACGTCATATATATCACGCTAGCTTTTGGGCAAGAATAATCCATCATAGCGATAGCATCAAGCCGGCCGATCCACTCGACAACTAAGCCGATTGTTTCTAGGCTTATTCGAGCCAGCTAGATCAATCATTTCAGGAGCCAAGCTCGAGGGTGATTCATTTATTACTTTCAAAGGTTTTTGGGGAAAGGGTTGATTATATATTATAGCACTGACTTGAAACAAACTTGTGAAGGCCATTTACTCACTTGGAATATGGATAAACAATGCATAACTTTCTCATGATTATGCTTCAATAGTGTCCTTGCTCTTGGATTCCGGGACTAAATAGAAACTCAGTTGGTGATGGTACCTACCCAGCAATATATCCACGCCTGGCCCGTGTTAGTGTTTTGCAACGAGGCATCCAAGTCTTCAAGAAGAGCCACCTGTCTCAATGGATCCAACACTAGGCAAAAAGTATAATACGACTCATTCTTCCTGTTTGTTTCTTCTCCTCTTTCCATTCCTCTATACCCTTCTTTCTTCTTCATAACTCACTTCATCTCTCTCACACACACTCTCACTTCCTCAAATTGAGATGATCATCTGATTCCAATCTCACTCCCTAAATCAATCGTTTGCCATGGCAAAGCAACGCATGAAGACTGACCGGCGTTGACAATGAGTCATTACGACTGACTTGAGTGGTTGTTCTCTTCTCAATGAGGTTTCAAGACCGGGTAAGTATTGACTCATATTTCATCTTGGATGGGGCTAATTGAACGGAAGTTCTGCGGCCGCCGCTGTTCCCCTAGGACTCTTCGAATCAGATTGCCGGCACAGCCCACGGCCTCCGACCAGGGAAGAAGCAGAAGTGGTACTAGTTGAGGAAATGATGCTGGCGGCAAGAACACAAAAAGTCAGTTTCTTACATTCATAGAAGTGCTTTGACTAACAGGGTTGCAGCATGGGTGTCAGCTGTCTCAGCCACCAAGCTATGGTGGCATATATCTTGTGTATGGACTTTCTCTTCTTTCATTTTCCAAGTGGACCTTGACTTATTTTGGAGAGAACCCCAAGCGGTCGATACGCATAGCTGTCAGGATACTTGTTGTCTTGTACCGTTCTTTAAATGGTTCTGCTAAATATGCAGTATTCATAAGAAAGTTGAAATCATAAGTATTGATTTAAAGGCTACTACTCAAGCTGCGCAGTCCATTTACGATCTGACTTAATAGACCGCAGAGCGTGCTTTTTTCCACACCATCGAACTCATTCCAAGTATCTAAAAATGTCTATCCTTTGATAAGCCCTATATAGAGGAAAACATGGTCCGTTTCGTTGACATATCCTCTAAATTCTAGTAGACTGGAATCTCGTCACCAAATGTCTACTTGAGCATCCAGAGAGACTGTTTCGTCAATCTTGATATGAGGCCAAGCTGAACGAAGAGTCTTGAGATATCATTCCTTGTACAGTATTCAATTGGCACTCAGGATTCTGGATTTACAGTAAGCTTTCGACATTATGGCTCAAGCTTAAGGGCAAATGCTAAACTTAGAAGCCCTGGATGACTTCGAAGGATCTCTTATGTAATCTCACTCATTTACCCCAGACTTTTTATGAAGATACTATTTATAACCCCCGGGGCCAACCGTCAAGGATCTACAGGTATAATTCGAGAGATTCTACCAAGTACTCTTTCGAGATATAATACTACAAATCTCGAACGAAATACCCAGAATTTGGTCATAACTTCAATGCAACTTGTCATTCGTTAGATTTGACCACGATGAACTCGTGTATAATCATCTCATGCACATGATTTTCTGCTTCAAAGTTTTGCGCAAACCCAAAAATAGAACCAAAAAATATCAATCCCTTGAGGATGAATGCGGGAAAAAAACACAAGGTAGACGAGGGATGAGTGTTAAGAAGGGCTGATCTCAATGATGGATGATAGTCTCGAGCATTCAAATGACAAACAAATAGATCGCTATAGACCATCCAACCTAGGGATCAAAAACGGAATTTCAGGAAAGCCGATATAAGCTTTTCGGGAGTGCATGGGCATTTGCTCTTTTTGAACCAATGCTGGTCCACGGCGGATTTGTTTGTAGATAAGTGAGACAATGAGAAGGGTATATAGAGAGTAAAATTGTTTCCCTCTACTCCACTCTAGTAGACCTTCTTCTTCTCGTCCATGCTGAATTGGCCAGGGCCAGTGTTGACGAGCAGCAAGAGACCACCACTAACGGAGATTAGAATATGAATGGCAAATCAAGAATTGGGGAACTTACACAATGGAGAGAATCTGGAAGAAGTCGTACTTGGCAAAGTCCTTATGAGGGTGGTGGGGGTGGAGCTAGAATAGAGTTAGTGATTGCTAGACCAGACATGAAAGACAAAACTTACAGTCCAGAAGTTGTTCACCAACACGTTGAACACACTGAGAAGCACGACAAGGACAATGGCGCTCCACTTAGCCTTGAAGCCAACAATGACCATGACGCACGCGACCAGACCGAACAGGCTAACCAGAATGCGCCAGAAGCTCCACTGGCCGGAGAAGACGAATCCAACGAAGAGGAAGATCAGGAGAACACGGCCAGCAAGCTGGACGTACATCTTGCGGTCCTTCTCGTCAAGCTGGGGCAGACCAGCGGGGACAAACTTCTTGCGCACCCAGGAGTCCGAAAGCACCATGAGCAGACCACCAACGACACTCAAGTTACGCAGGAAGAAATTTAAATCGAAGATGAGACCGTATCCGATACCCTGTGTAATAACCACCACTAGCAATCCCGCGACGGCGAACTCGGTTTGCTTGCGGGCGATGACGAGAATTGAACAGACGGCCATGGCGATAACATTGACGATCAGGAAAAGGTGTGTGATTCCCCACGGAACTAATTGAAATCGAGTTAGACATTTGCCAAAAACAAAAAGCAATAATGGTATTTATTGTGGTACTGCCCGCCCTGGAGAGGCTCAATGCGGGCCGGGGCCGGGATCTTCAGGGTTCTTACTGTGACGGAAATCGTTGAGGTAGACCAGCTGGTCGTTCCATTGTGTGATAATGCGCAGGGAGTCTTCGAGGAAAGTGACAACAATGAGGAATCGGCCGATCGCAGGGAGGTATCTGTTTTCGAGTCAACACCGCGTCAAGTCAAGCTTTAAGACCCCTTGTTTGGGACAATTGGCGTGTTTGTGTGGATGCGACCAGCGACCGCAGGAGCACTGAAGAGCTTTCAAAGCACCGGGATAATCACGTACGGCTTCACAGGATCAGACATGGTGTCCAGCCAGTCCTCAATCTTGCTAGTTTGCTCGCGGATGGCGTCGAGCGGGCTGGGGTCGCTGGTAGCATCTGCGCTACCGGGCCCGCCGAACGGGTTCTGGTGGCCGAGGTTGTAGCCCGCTGTGCCACGGATTTGGGCCATGGCGGAAAGAGGTGAAGATGGTGTGTAGAAAAAAAGAAGAAAAGTGAAGAAGGAAAAAGGTGGTAGAGTTGCAAGGAGGGTTGAAGGGAGTAAATAACTGGTGGATCCGTTGTATACAAAGCCGTGCTCACTTCAGGCCACGATGACCGGAACTCGGCGCTAAACCGTAACGGGTAATGTGACGACACGGTACACATTCTTATTCTTTTTAGGTATTCTATGCATAGATGAAACAAACTGAAAAATTGGAATACCTCAATTGTAATACAGCTGAACTAGAAAAACAGATCGCCCCAATGGTGCTTTTTGGATCCCGAAGGGTCTTCACCGATTTTGCGCTGTGAGCAGTTTCCCCAGATTTTGATGGGAAAGTGCTGGTATTATGGGACAGTCCCGAACGCCAAAAGCCAAGTCAAAAAGGTAATAAATACATGTCAAGGTGAAGATGGAAGATGAAAATTGAAATGGCGTATGGAGGGATTTAGGCGGCCCAGTCAGAGTCCAGCGGGTGACCCTTCTCACGGGAGCGCAGGTTATCGGGAAGGTAGGTAGGAGTGACAGTCACTTTACGCTCAACGGGCAGAGGAGTAGGAGCAGGCTGGCTCTCAGAGGCGCTGGCATCACTGACCTCGTCCTTGCCGGTCTTCTTCTTGGGCTTCTTCGAGACGGTGGTCCACTCGTCAACGCCGTTGGCGGCGCCCAAAATGCGCATCTGCTCTTCCTCAGAGGGAAGTTCCTGGGTCCACTTCTTCTGGGTGGGGGCAGATTCGAAGGTATCCAGAAGCTGCACAGGGGCGGAGGTCGGCGCGGGGGCCGGAACTGCCTTGGTGCCGTTGGCCTTGGAAGCCTGCTGCCAAGCGTTGGTGGTGGGGGCTTGGGTCCGGGCAGCCTCGCGACGCTCATGTTCACGAGCGGTGTGCAGCTGCTTCTCGAGCAACTGCCGGCGCTGCTCTTCGGCCGCCTGAACCTCCTGCTTGCGGGCCTCGTTCTTCAGGCGCTGTTGGCGCTGCTTCTTGTTCTCAACCTGCTTGAAGGACTGCACCTTCTGCTTCTTGGGCTCCGACTCGACGCTGCCGGTGACGCGGAGGACCGAGGCGGCGGGGGCGGGGGACTCCAGCATGTCAGAGACATACCCAGCGGAGGGGACAGCGTTGACCTGCGGTGAGACGGCAGGGGACAGATCGTCATCGGCGTCGGCGCCGGTGGTGGATGAAGCATGGGAACCACTCTCCAGGTTGGCCTTCTTGGCCTTCTTCTTGTTCTTGGAGGGAGCAGTGACGGGCGAGGCGCCGTTCTTGATCGCAGCCAGGCGGCGAGCCATCTCCTTGCGGTCAACATCGTCCTCGGGCTGCTCATCCTCGGTGGTGGGAGGCGAGATCACAGTCTTCACCTCGGCCTTCTTGGCCGGCTGGGGGCAGGCTTGCGCTTTTGCTTCTTGGGTGCTACTGTGGCCTCGGCCTTTTCCACAACAGCTCGGACAGGAGTTTTGATGGCTTTCGGGGAGTTGCCATTGGTGTAGTACCAGCCAAGGCCGCCTGCTACAACGAGCAGGAGAGCCCAGCTAAGGTAAGGGTTCATAGTCATGATGCTTTGCCCAATCAGTCTCGTCGCTTCAAATTACCAGTCTTCTGCGCGCACATACCGTTTTGAATGAAGTCAGTAAAGAATAAAGGAGAATCACGCTACTTGGCCGTTGGTATCCGAGGGTAGGACAGTCGTGCACGCGCACAATCAATTTGGCACGCGCAACTGCAATTCGAATTGGTATCCACGGAGTCGAAAAAGGTAGGGGAGGGTGTTTTAGAGGTCCAGGCAGCACATCGATATGTTCGTAGCCTAGGCGCAATGAGATTGACCGTTAAGGGGCGTTGGTCAACGTAACTTCCAAGCAGTCCTTAACCCGAATGTCGACTCCGTTGTCGTTGTTGGGGTCAATGGGGGTGGAAGATGAGGTAGTTGAGAACCAAGATTCCGGGGGCGACGAGCGCTTCACGCTCAACTGCGCTCGGATAATGGCAAACCAACAAGACCAAAAGAAACACCAAAGCTCTTCGGCGTGAGTAATTGCGAAGGGGGAGGGAAGGGAAAGAAACGTCGTGAGGAAGAACAGGAGAAGGGGAGCCAGAAAAGGACACGCTGAGGATCCGAGGGGCGTCCGCCGGTACGGTAAACGGGGCGTATCACACGGTCTGGGCGAGACTACCCACAATGAACCGCGAGATATTGGTACACAGACTTCGGAATTTCAAGAGGCTTGACATTGGCCTTGGATCAATTGCACATAATAATACTGCTCAGTGATTTCTTGTCGGAATAACCATCCATTGACTTCCAAAATGGGCTCTATCAGCCTTACTACGATAAATACACAAGGTAATACACTGACGAGCACTTCCCCCTTGGGATATAAAGGCCACCAAACAACGCCCATGCGCTTCTCCAAGTGGAGAGCAGTACAAATGGGGGATCGCGAACAGGCCACGTCTCCAGTCTCTCCCCCCATAACAGTGTTAATTATCCATACTAGCGCATGATTGGTCTCCAAGGTCCCGTCCTTGTTTTATTTATCCTTTCTGATATGTCTCTGTATGGCCGAGAAGATTCGCGTCGATCCGGCAGGGGATCGGGCCATCTATCCCCTTACATGTAGGTACTTTTACGCCTTCTCACGCCACGAGGGGTCGGAAAGGGGGTACCGGTCACCGATGCATCTACGCGCGTTTCTGCAGGTACAATCCAACTGGTCAGTTATATTAGGGAAGGATCAGTAGTATATTTCACGATCTATCATAAATTGTGTGGTTTCTTTATTTTTGGAGACAATCCCTTCCCTTTCCAAAGTTTCATTTTGAACAACCGTGGTTTAGTCATATGTGAATCACATGACCGAGCACATAGTGCGGACGAGTGCGGATTGAAATCACGTGGATTGCATATCTAGTTCATGCCTTAAGGTGTCGAGATGGGGGGAAATGGTTCATCGGCGATAAACGTCAACTCTCTGTCCTATATCCCACTTACTCAATATACCGATTCAAAATGGCACCCAAGAAGATTATCATTGATACCGACCCAGTAAGTGTACCAAGTTGGACATGTCCTGCAGTATACTGACGCATATCAGGGCATCGATGACATCCTTGCACTACTGCTAGCTTTGTCCTCCAAGCCAGAGGAGCTCGAGGTTCTGTTGATTTCATTGACTTTTGGTAACATTGAAGTAAAGAAGTGAGTGCAAAGGTCCGAAAAGCATGCACATGGGCTAATCTTGTATAGCTGTCTTCGAAATGTGGTATCAATGTTCCACATCCTCGAGCGGGAGATGCAGTGGCGTCGTGATAACGGCAAGCCAGAGGGCTACGGTACTCTGCGTGCTTTCCGCCCAGTAGTCGCAGTGGGTGCAGAGGACCCACTGGAAGACCAGAAGATGCTCGCAGACTACTTTCGTGCGTATTTGTGGTTATCATGAGGGTCAAGGCACTGACATAACCCCGCAGATGGAACCGATGGCCTTGGCGGCATACACGCCAGCGTATGTACTGACTATTCTTCTGCTGAGAAAAGAAACTGACCTAGGGTATAGCACCCTCATCTCACAGCCAGCACTGCGTGGGAGCATCTTTTTGATCCGGCAGTGGATCCCGAGGGCATTCAACCAGTCCAAACAGGTGCTGCTGGTGACCATTCATTTATTCCCTCGAAACTTCCTGCTCACAAGGAAATTCTGAGGGCACTACGTGCCAATGAGCCCGATACCGTGACCCTAGTCGCTGTCGGTCCGCTTACCAACCTGGCTTTGGCTGCGGCAGAAGACCCAGAGACCTTCCTCCGCGTGAAGGAGGTTGTTGTCATGGGTGGTGCAATCAATGAGCCTGGAAACGTAAGACGCCTAAAATATACCGACAGTCAGTGTAACTAAACGCTACAGGTCACCCCGGTTGGCGAATTCAACGCTTACGCAGATGCTGTCGCCGCTGCACGAGTGTTCGCTCTTACGTCACCCAGCCCCAACTCAACCTTGCCAATTACAACAAGCCCCCTGCTACCGCCTTACCCAGAAAAACTCAGTCGGCAATTGACCCTGCGTCTTTTCCCACTGGATATCACTTTGCGCCACAACTTGTCCCGTGGCCAGTTCCGCGAAGCTGTCACCCCACTACTTGCTGCCGGTTCACCACTAGCCGAATGGGTTGACGCATTCATGGGGCACACGTTCCGCACATTGGAGCGACTGCACCCGGGTCACGTAGGCGATGCTGCCGAGTTGAGTATGCACGATCCGGTCTGCGTGTGGTACGCCATGACATCTGAGGATCCAAAATGGGCTCCTTCAGCCAACTCCCCCGAGGATATTCGTATCGAGACGCAAGGACAATGGTCTCGTGGAATGTGCGTTATTGATCGCAGAAGTCGCCACAAGATCGAGGGTGATGAGGAGAGCTCGAGCGACCATGGCCTCTGGTTGAGTTCTCGGGCTGGTAACCGTATCATGCGCATGGATGCATCGCCCGCGGAAGCCACTTTTGGCCAGATTATGATTGATCGCATGTTTGGTTAGACAGTTAAATAGAGGAAAGTAGATAGACTATGTCCATTTTGATACCGTTGTGAATGAATAGAACCACGTCTTCACGTGTATTCCGGCACCGCGTTCATTATCTGGCGTCAGAAAAGAGGATATGGAGAGATTGCAACGAAATTACCGACGAAAAATATTTGGCAGCTATAAATAGCTCCTAGGTATAGAGAAGGCAGAAATATCGTACAGAACTTGGTCATTGCTCCCTGTCATATCCAAGGAGTCCACACTTCACATCGCGTTGCTCGGCAGAAGCACGAACCAAATTTCCGTGATCAATTTCCGTCTGCTTTCATTGGCTTTCCTTAGTGTCGAAGCGGTTTGGAATGTATGAGCGATGGAGTCAATTGGTCAGTTTACAACAAAAGCATTACCACACCACTTCGGGCAATGAAGCACACTGAACAATGGAGTTTAAAGCGCCATTGAGACTGCTTCAGGTAATCTGTTTGGCTATCAATCCTCCGTGCGGTTGGGTATGTATGGCCTCCCGGCCCACGAGAGGAATGTGGAATGCTGTAACCCAGTGATCGGCTGATGTATACTTCTCCTACGCACCAATAGTAGAGTAGCATAGCAAAGAACCCCAGCCCCCAGAATTCCGACATATTTAGCAGGACGATCTATATAAACCGATTGCCCACGGTGGACGTCAGTCATCATCATAACCTTGGAAGCTCTCATATCCACTATCCTGTCATCAGATCAATCAAACCGCTTATCCTTGTCAAATCAAAGCTTATCTCCTACAATCCACCATGCACATCCAAAGTCTCATTGGTGTCTGCCTGGTTGCCCTAGCCAGCACCGCGGCCGCTATGCCCCGGCTCGCAGGTCCCTACACTGGCCACCGTCTCGCAGTCCCCATCCCTACCAATTCCACGAGCGCACACAATGCGACCACAACGGGAACTCGTGGCAGAGTACCTTTGGCGACTGGATTATCGACCCCGAGAAACCATACCGCCAGCCGTATCGCGCACGGGATGAACTCAGTTGACAAGCCCACTAAAGGTAGCAACCACTGCAATGAGCTGTGTTCCTTGGAAGCCCAGACTTGCACTATTGCTACACCTGAAGACGACAAGTACTGGTACGTTAATTATTTCAAACAATTTCATGACTTAGCTGACTGGTGATTGTAGTTGGCAAGTTTACACACGTTGCATGGGCAAGTGTCGGCCGGATAACTTCCAGTAGGGAAGAGAAAAATATGAAGGATTTGTGATATGTGAATAGGAGCGAGCGTTGAATTATTTGTTTTGAGCGAGGAAAAGGTATTTTATATAGCATTGAATACTAAGGAACTCATACTCTGCATACTACTATGAACTGTTGAAGTGTAGGTGCCGACTAGGCCTTCTCCGGTATTTCGGCACGCCGCATAAGGCTTATGCCGCGATATTTCAGCCAACCAGAATCACTTTAGATTCTAATTATAATTGCCGTACTAGTGTTCTTTCATTGTCTACGGAGAACACAGGCGGTACAGAAACTGAGCGCTAAAAATTAGTGCATCAAGGTGGCAAAAACGGAAAACTTTCAGCATGTAGATCCCTAAGATTATCCATGGATGAAAAGCACGAGATGAAATCGGAAGTCTCTTCGGATTGCAATTGCTTAGGCAAGAAATCGTCCCGGGATTCCCCTTACAAAAAAACCGATGAACTCAAATTTGGAGCGCAAGGACCGGGGGTCCAGAGTTTCGACATTTCCCCGCGTACGAGAGTATAGCACACGAGAACTGACTACGAGTCCAGGGCACACGTGCTGGGCTACCACTCTGGACGAGCGACAATCATTGACGGTTGTACTGGCTGAAGTACGGACTGGCAGTGATTGGTGTCACTGTGGAGAAGGAGGCCAACCCTGTACCTGCTGATAAGCTCGTCTGGCCCCACTTCCAGCCAGCAAATGCCCGTTGCTCCCTGGGGCACGAGCTCCGCTCCCCCGCCAATCAGCACCGTCTATTGCGGCTCGTGGGCAATCCAAGCACGCGACACTGCCGTTCTATACAAATCCGTTCGGTATATAATTCCCAGGCACTTGGTGCCCCCTTCTCCCCCCTCACTTCGTGCTTTGCTGGATTTCTCTCATTCTCCGGAGATCTGTGCATTTCTCTATTTCCTTATTAATTTTACATTCGCCATGTCTCGTACACGCTTCCCTCCTACCCCAGCCATGTCCGGCGAATTCATCATTAAGGATCAGCCGGCTGATGCCACCGACGCTTTTGCCCTTCCTCCAGCGGCTCTCGGTCCCTCCAAAATTGATGATCCGTACAGTCGACGATCGTCTCAATCAGATCCATCATACGTCCCTGCCTCGCCTACATCGCCAGATCTCATGGCCCGCAACAGATCGACACAGCAGTCCCGCTCAGGCAACGCTACTAAGCGTTCGCTAGAGGACTTCGATCTCCCACCACCTCCTACTCGCACACGCAAGATCATTCAGATGAAGCCTAAACCACAGTCTACCACTAAGTCTCCGTCGAAGCCCAAGGAGAGCGGGAAGGCACAGGCATCACCTGAATCAAACTCCAAAGATACTGCTCCGAAAAAGAAGCAACCCAGTGCTACAAGTGCTGCAGGACGCAAAATTGCCCGCAAGACAGCGCACAGTTTGATTGAACGGCGCCGACGATCCAAAATGAACGAGGAGTTTGGTACATTGAAGGATATGATCCCCGCCTGCACAGGGCAGGAGATGCACAAACTGGCAATTCTTCAGGTAATTTCCCATCGTTTTGTGTTCTCTCGATACAATGATACTCACACTTTCTAGGCAAGCATCGACTATGTGAACTACTTGGAACGATGCATTCGAGACCTTAAGACAGCTGGTGCCACGCACACAAACGCGCCACCCTCCCCTACATCACCGGAGTTCATCGCCGAAGGAGGTGAATCATCCCAACAACAACCTCAACGCCCCCCCCTCTTCGATATATTCCTACTCAGCCTCTGAATCACCGGAGATCATGCCGGGCAGCGGGATGATTTCCGATACATCTCCCTCCTTCTCACCCCGCACCCGCATGCCTTCCGTTCACACACTACCAGATATCTCATCTGTTCTCCCCAGTCCGGCACTGGGCCCTATCAATCCGGCCATGGACAAGATCCATGAGCTTCAGGGTATCGACCATGAGGCATCTGCTGCCTTGCTCATGCTCACCCAGGACCGGAGGGGCACTGCGGACTCGATCAGTGAGCACTTTGCTGGTAGCACAACTCTTTCTGCGCCATCCGACCAGAACAGGGGTGTTGATGTTCAACGGAGAAAGGGTATGAGTGTGCGCGATCTCCTTATTTCATGATAGACTTCTTAATTTTGGGTCGATTTGGTTTCCCTTCAGCCATCAAAGGTTTAAATACGGCGGAGTTTTTGTTTTCGGGTCGGTGGTGTCTTTTAGCGTGATAATTGGTGTGGCTTCTATCTTATGATTCGATATGAGTTAATTTTTATTCCATGGGGTTCATCCCTGTACATGATGTCTCGGGATAGACTGGTGTTTAGCATGGATTTGATATCCACATGAACGAAACAAAAGAGGATTTTCTTAAGACGAGATACACATATTTCATGAGTAGTAAATAGCATGAGTTCCTGATTCCAGGTTCGAAAATACTAGGTAGTATCATGTTTCATGACTTCTCCCATGACTTAGACTCTAAGGGCCGGACAGCTATCTCATAAAGAATCAATCATAGCTAGCCCAAATCACCACAGCCTGACTATTAATCTCAATTTTAAAGACAGAATGAGTGGTTCCCTAAATCGAAACATTGGGTGTCAAACATAGAACAATATAGTGGTGGAGAAACTCCTTCGTGAAATTAAATGAGGCAATTCACGACCTTGATTGTAGTAACTACAGCGTAATCGCATTTCATTTATTAGATGAGATGAGAAAAAGTTGAGTGGCCTCTATTCTGTTTCAGCTCTCATTAACATATTCCTTCTTGAAAATGTCCTTCTACCATGACTCTAAAAGTGTGCAGTTTAGTACTCCGTACTTACCCCAGTTTATCACGGACCCACTATATCACCATTGGCTCGGCCTCGGGCGTTCCAAAACCCGAAACGCCGACTTCATCACTTTAGTCTAAGCGATTATCGCCTCCACGCGACATCTCCACTGGTGGTATGTGTGACTTTGATCTATACCCGGTCTCCACCCCCAAGAATTTTGCAGCCGTATTGTGTATGCGAAAAGGACAATGGAACGCCGATACAATGTGAAGCGGTCTTGTATTCGATGTCACGAGCGCAAAGTCAAATGCGAGTCCGACAGAGGCTCCGAGGCCCCATGCAACAAATGTCGTCGCCTTAATGTTCCGTGCGAATACCCCGGCCTGAAACGGGTGAAACGCCGAGCTCCGAAGACGACAACCTCCACTGAATTAGTGGCGCGGCTGGAGCAACTTGAACGGTCTATTACTTCCATCACTGGGGAGTCAACTCAATCACTTCCCCTGTCAACTAATTACGCGCAATCGGGTCGCTCCGCCAATACTAGCCTTGAACCACAATCTTCAAGGGAATCTAGTGCGGTTGTGCAGAGTCGCCAAACCACGACTCAGCCTGGCTTCTTGGCGAAGAATGGTACCTATGTCGATGAGCCGTTCTTATCGCGGGTGTTGGAGAAAGAACATGAACTACAGTCTGCGATGGGATCGCCTAATATAAACAATAATGCCGCGAGAAGGCCTCCGCCGATGAAGGTGGATGGCATTATCACCAACCCGCAACTTATCCCGTTGGATATCAAGTCTCTGCTTCCGAATAGATGGCAGGCTACGATGCTTTGGGAGACCTTTTTGAGTCGAGTTGATCCAGTGGTCAAAGTTATTCATGTCCCAACGACTAAGCCTCGCATATTTGCTGCGATCAATAGGCCTGACTCTGTCTCGCTGGATGTTCACTGTTTACTTTTTGCAATCTTCTTCGGTGCTGCAACTGCCATGGCTTCCGACAGCCCAGATAATGATGGGATCCGCTCGGACATGAACCGGTACAGACAGGGGATCGAAATCGCTATGTACCAGTCTTCATTTCTTGATTCTCCAACCGTGACCTCGTTACAAGGACTGGCAATTTATTTGGTATGTTCAAATGGCAGTCTTAAGCCATGTTCTGCCGCTAACAGTATACCTTACATAGACATGTCTGCGCTACAGCAATAGCGGCCGGTCCGGGCTAATGTTACGCGGACTAGCGATCCGAGCTGCACAATCAATCGGTCTCCACCGCGATGGAAAGCACTTTAAATTATCACCCTTGGAGTGCGAGATCCGCCGCCGCCTATGGTGGATACTGTCTACGACCGACGCCCGCATGGCGGAGGATCACGGGTTGACTGTAACAGAGCACGAAAGTGACGGCGATTCGCAGTTACCTGCCAACATCGACGATCAAAGTCTCACCGATACATCCACAGAACCAGTCCATTCACAACCCCGCTGGACGGAAATGACATTTGTCCTGATAGTCTCCGAATTCAACAAAGTTTGGCGCCCGATGGCAAAGGCAAGAGTTCACTCCGAAGAAGGCACCCGTCCCGAGCAGTTAATCGCCGAATTTCGCAGCCGCCTACATGAGAAATACATCCAGTACGGCGACATGGACATTCCGATCCAGCGTTTGGGAGTTCTGCTCAGCCAGGTCTTAGCTTCCAAAGCAGAGGTCCATCTCCAACAGAAGTTGCTTCAAACCGCATCCCCATCCTCATCAGCAGTAGATATAGAAGCAGCCCAAGAACTCCTCGGAATGGCCTGCAATGCACTAAATCTTGGTCTGAGGATGTACCAAGACGAGCTCTTACGCGGCTTCCGCTGGTTAACGTCCACATATACTCAATTCCACCTCTTAACCTACATCTTGTGGCACCTGTGTATGTTTCCGACAGGCCAATTTGTGGAGGAAGCCTGGCGTGCAGTGACCACACATTTCGAGCTCACGGAGCGGGACCCATCATGGCCTGATCCAGGTCCTAAGTGGCCCATGATCGTGCAACTACGAGCAAAGGCAATGCGGATACGGAATGCGAATACGAGTGCGCATAGAAATACGAATCTTTCTGTTGCGCAGAGCGAGCAACAGCAGCAGCAACGAACACAGTACGCTGCGGACTCTCTTTCTTCGGTAGATGAAGCTGCGCTGAATGGCATTGAGGCGCCAGTTTTGGATTTGAACAATTTGGACTTTAATTGGTCGGAGTTTCCGGATTGGAATTATTTGGCGCAAGGTATTGCTATCATGAATCAGGATGGGGGCATTTAGTACACTACCTAATAGTAAAACTTGCGATGTATAATGAGCCCTACTTCTTATTATGAGTCTAAAAAAACCGACTAATTATCTTCAACAATAATGATTATGATCTTCCCTAGGTGGCTATCTATACTTCTATCATGTACATAATCCCATAGCTTAGCACGTTCCCGTACCCCTAGGGATGACTTGAGGCTAGGGGCTTTCTCTGTTCTCCTGAACATATATCATAACAACAAAAAACAATCCATACATCAACTAGACAATTTTTAACGATATAGCTCTCCCCATCTCATCGCTTTTGCCCATGCAACGCTATCATTCACTTGGTCTAGAGTGACGCGTTGCGAGATTCTCTAGTGCTCTGCATCCCATTTTTCGCAGCCCCTGTTTTAGCCTCCTCGATTATTTCATAAAATGCAAAAGTATTTTGGCCAATTTATCCTACTGTTATCCTTGCAGTTGACCTTGTGAGACACCTAATTCTTGAGGCACTAGAATTTTGGCGATCATGTGATTTATAACGACTTCTCACCTGCTTTGATTCTCCTCATCATTGCACATCAATCCATTGATTTGACCTTTTCATTACCTTTTCACCGTCGGTAGGTCTGTCTACTCACAAAAGTAGACTTGATGGTACGTCGGAAAATGAACATGAAAGATCGAATCTAACTAGGATAAGGACCCTGGCCCGGTCCCAGAGAAGTAAAGGCGCCAGGACATGCCTAGAATAGTAACTCCTAGGTTACTACCCGCAGTCCACATTCCAGAAGCAATGAAGAAATCGAAATCCGCGCCTGATTTTACCTGTTCGGGTTCGGCAAACCTGCCCTCGGTCGGTTTTACTCCGAGCATTTCCCCGCGTCGTGGAGAACGATAGTGGAGGTCGATCTGACGTCGAATACCCCACTGCCCCTCATGCTCCAACATCGGCTGAGTTTCCTTCTAACAAGTCTGGATGGACGGCTTACTGGATGGGAAAATGGGTGAAGGGGGGTTTAATAAGCAGACGAGCTCACGCTTTATAAATGGGAGACGGACGACCCTCTTGTCAGCGTGTTCAGTGCAATAAATTTATCCCTCGGTCTCCATATTTACTTCATAATGGCAACAACTTTAACGGGAGGAAACCCACATATCGTCCAGCTTCCTACGACGCCCCCAAGCTCTGGTGGCTGTGACCCCCGAGCTATCGTTCAGCAATGGTTCAATGCCCTACAAGCCCAGCTCTCGCAGCCCGACTCAATCGACCTCAAATACCTTTTCCATGCCGATTCATGGTGGCGTGACATGCTAGCCCTGGACTGGGATATGCGCACTCTCCACACAGCTGCTGAGATACAGCAATTCTTGCGCAAATGCCAGGCTCAGGTCCAGTTGTCTGGTTTCAAGCTTCAAGACCAAGGAAAATGGCAACCGAAAGTGGAGCAGGTTGTTGATGGATTGAGCTGGGTATCGAGTATGTTTTTCTTCGAGACGGCCGTTGGGAAAGGATCAGGTATGATTCGGTTGACCCAGAGTGCCGATGAGTGCTGGAGAGCGTACGCGGTGTATACATCGTTGCAGGAGATGACGGGAGCCGAAGAGCCGATCGGGAAGCGGAGAGCAGCGGGTACTACGGAGACTATGCCCGGAGGCTTGGCTGGTGGGACGTGGATTGAGCGGAGGGAGAGACAGAAGGAGTTTCTGGATTCAGAGCCAACTGTGTTGGTTGTGGGAGCTGGTCAAGCGGGGTTAAACATAGGTGCTCGTCTGCAGAACCTTGGGCTTTCGTGTCTGATTGTCGATAAGCACGAACGTGTGGGGGATAACTGGCGTAAGCGGTACAGGGTAAGTCTTATCTCAAGCTCTTAAACTGGACTGTGGCTAACAGTTCCGTTTTCAAAGACTCTAGTCACACACGATCCGGCCGAATTCACGCACATGGCATACCTCCCATTCCCGCAGAACTGGCCCCAGTTCACACCCAAAGACAAACTCGGCGATTGGTTCGAGGCCTACGCAAGCATTATGGAATTGAATGTCTGGGTTAAAACATCCGTGGCATCTGCCGAGTATAACGATGCCACTGCTGAATGGAAGGTAAATGTCACTCGCGGTGATGGGACCTCACGCACACTACGTCCACGCCATGTAGTGTGGTGTACAGGACATTCAGGTGAAGCCCGGATTCCAAGTTTCCCCAACCAAGAATCCTTCCAGGGAACTGTGTACCACGGTAGCCAACACACCGATGCCTCGGACTCAGACGTGCGAGGGAAGAAGGTTATCGTTGTCGGCACTGGAAACAGTGGACACGACATTGCCCAAAACTACTATGAAAATGGTGCCGATGTGACTATGCTACAGCGCAGCGGAACATATGTCATAACTGCCGACAAGGGCGTGTTTATGATGCACGAAGGCATGCACGAAGATGGCGGGTTCGTTTCATTTCCCCTCATGAATTCACATTTAGTCTCTATTGATGGTCGGATTCCGGCTAACGTTGAACATGAAGCCCTCCGACAGAAGAATGCGATATCGTCTCCGAGAGTCTCCCCTTCCCCGTTCAGTTCGCCCTAAGCGTGCATAACACAAAGCGCTTCGCAGCCGCCGAAAAAGAAACACTCGATGGCCTCCGTAAAGCAGGGTTCCAACTCGACTTTGGTGTGGATGGTGCCGGTATTGCGCGTGCGTATATGACACGTGGTGGCGGCTACTACATTGATGTTGGCTGTAGTCAACTTATCATCGATGGCAAGATCAAGGTCAAGCATAGTCCGCGCGGGATCACCGGCTTTGGGCCTCGTGAGCTATGTCTTGAGGATGGTAGCACTTTGCCAGCTGATATTGTTGTCTTGGCTACCGGCTATGATAATATGCGCACAACAGTTCGGAAAGTTCTTGGCGACAAAATTGCCGATCGTTGTCAGGATGTGTGGGATTTGGATAATGAGGGAGAGCTTCGAGGGATGTGGCGACCCAGTGGTCACCCTGGCTTCTATTACTTTGGTGGTAACCTTGCTCTATGCCGCGTCTACTCTAAATTCCTGGCTTTCCAGATCAAGGCTGTTGAGGCTGGGCTTTCGACCGGCAACCGCCAGTATTAGAGCTATACTGCATATAAGAATTAGACAAAGCACAAGATAGAATTAGACCAGCAGTGAATTTGCTGATTGTCAAATTTGAACTGAAGCACATCCACCAATTTTATCCAAAAACTGAAGCCTTACAGTGACAATCAATGCAAAAGAACCACTTAGAGTAGACGGCCATGCCCAGAGGATACCTGTAGTATCCACAATCCAAACAAGGGGGCTGTATGAGTAGATGTGGGGACTCCGGAGTTAACGGGGATTGGCGGCATACGATATGATTGGTTCCGAGGTTGTATATTTGTTGTTAAGCACTCGTCCGCCGCTATATCCGGACGTCCCTAATGATCAATACTGGCTTTAAAGCACATCATGTCCTGTGAAAGATCACAAAGCTCAATTGACTACCGCTCAAACAAAAAATCGAACTTCATTCAGAATCATGGCCGTTTTGAAAACACTACCAACCCGTCGCCTGGGAAATGGACCTCTGGTTCCTCGGCTGGGACTGGGCCTCATGGGCGCTAGTGGTACTTATGGTAACTCTCTATCGGATGAAGAAAGACTCGATTTCCTTGATGAGGCGTACAAAAGAGGCGAGCGATTTTGGGATACAGGTGAGTCTAAACACTACGCAGATGCAAACAAACAATACTGAAGCTGTCCTGAAGCCGACAAGTACGGCGATTCCGAAGACGTCCTAGGAAAATGGTTTGCTGCAAACCCTGACAAGCGCAAAGACATATTTCTTGCCACGAAATTTGGTATCGTGAACACTCCCACGCCACCCGGATTCACCATGAACTCGACGCCTGAGTATTGTCGTACCGCAATCGAGTGCTCCCTCAACCGTCTTGGACTCCCTTTCGTCGATCTGTACTATGTTCATCGCTTGGACAAAGTGACACCAATCGAAAAGACTTTGCAGGCGATGGTGGAACTCAAGGATGCCGGCAAGATCAAGTATATCGGACTGAGTGAGTGTAGCGCGGAATCTTTGCGTCGCGCGCATGCTGTTCATCCAATTACGTGTGTTCAGGTTGAGTACAGCCTTTTTTGCAGGGAGATCGAATCTCCGAAGCGGAAATTGCTTGAAACGGCGCGAGAGCTGGGCGTCGCGATTGTCTGCTACAGCCCACTTGGGAACGGGATCCTGACTGGGGGTATTCGCTCAAAGGAGGATGTCACTAAGGGTGGTGATAAACGAGGGTTATTCTTGCCTTGGCTTCAAGAAGGGAATATTGAGAAGAATATGGCTCTCGTTGATGAGATTGCTGAAGTTGCAAGGGCGAAAGGTGTCACGACACCGCAGATTTCTCTTGCTTGGCTGCTTGCCCAAGGAGATGATATATTCCCTATTCCTGGGAGCTCGAAGACCCTGCGCCTTGAGGAGAACTTGGAAAGTCTCTTCGTATATTTGTCTGAGGAAGAAGAGAAGAATATTCGCCAGCTTGGTGAGAGAGTTCTTGGTGGCCGCTTTCAGGCTACAACTGGGTATGACTTTGCAGACACACCAGCTTTGGAGTAATCTTCTGTTTCATTGATAATGCCCAGTGCATTAACTGTCGTCAATTTGCTCATCGTGTATCCAGTCATTGAAAAGATTTGTATCAGTTTCATAATTTGCAGATCCTAGCATTTCTTGCTCCATAGAGGTTCCTCGCAATGGGACATCTAGGGTAGGCAGCTGGCCCTCGAGATTTCCCACTTTATCTGTCGCTGTCTGATCTTAGATCTTGTCACCAAGCACTAATTAGAGGACTGACCTGAGATAAGAATAATACCAAAATATGGGATAGGAAGTTGAATAACAAATTGATCAGCACAGACTTGATCAGCACTTGTGCTAGTCTCAATTTTGCTCCATGTGCGATAGACAGAGCCATTTGCAGCATTCTCCTCAACTTGCATGAATTTTCTCAGTATTTGCGATCCGCAGAGGCCAGAAGCCTCGAGTGTGACAGAAAGGTCTTCAAAAAGATCAGTCACTTTCTCGATTGTACCAAGGTCACTCGATCGCTGGTGTTCAAAGAAGTAGGCAGTTGCATTTTCGTGCCCGAAGAAGTGAGAGAAAAGAAGTGTGACTGAAGCCATGAAAGCCTTTTCATCCAGGGCCCGATATGAAGGTGAGCGATGGTAGTTGCGAATTGTGAGATAGCGTGACAACACTTCACGGCTCGCAGACACCGCGGCAAATCTGCTGTATGAGTAATCCCTATCCAAATCCACGTTTTGATTATGAATTGTATAAGGCTGGTGCAAAAGAACAAGCAAATAATATTGGTGCATTTGCGTCAGAAGCTTGGCTGTTCTTTCCAACTCACCATCGAATACAGTGTCCAAGGATGGCGCCAACCACCAACTGTTTGGTAGAATTCGAGCGGCTCTCTTCAAATAGTCGTCGATGTTCTTCGTCTCGGCGTAGTGTTCGTAATGAAATGAGTCTTCTTCGAATCCAGTACTTTTTCGCATCCGTAAATTTCGCGCGATGATATATCCCGCTAGATGTGCGTGTATGCGCTCCAGCCTTTGCGCAGGAGCACTGGCCGCAAGGTTTGACGTACTTGCAAAGGTATCATCGGCAACATTGAACGGAAGGCCGAGCATGAGTGACAGAAAGCGGTCACTATAGGTGATATAGAACCACAGATGCTCTGATCGGCTACCGGGTTCTTTTGCCAAATTTGGCAGATCGATTGCCTGAGAAATATTTGCTGCGCGACGTTGAATAGCCCATGCAGCCCGAAAATCACCATTGGTGATATGATATCCCCCCTTGAAGCATCAGGGTTTCTAGTCCATCTAGAGACGCTATGAGATAATCCTGTGAAGTCACGTATTGAGATGCCGCGTCATAATATCGCTGCGCAGCATCGTCGATGGACTCATTCAGGTGTACTATGAGTTGCCCCGAGGATAAGGCATTGGATTGCTTTAGGCAAACGGCGAGTTGAACGAGTCTCCGAGCAAAAACAACAGGATGAGAATTCAGCGAAAGAGGATCTGCACTCGGTCTCTTATGAGATAGAGTATTGCCAGATTTTGACTGGGATATTTGTAGAGGCGAGGAGAATAGCTTGGTGCTATTTAAAATCACTGCAGCAGTAGACGGATCTGGGAGCATGGAATAAAGGTACCCTGTGAGGGACCAGCCTCGAGATAATCGTTCATGATTGACCGAGCTCAAAGTTGGCAAAGCCAGCTCAGGTTTTCCAGTCCTTTTTAATTCTTGGCGGTGGACGTTTCGTTGGCGAACTAATTGAGTCACCAACGCCTCCACTTGGTCAAGACGGCGGCCAAGGTCTTCATGAACATTGACAGGATCTTTGAGATCTTGACTGACGCATGGCAACCCAAGTCGTTGGCAGGTGTTACAAGTAGTGGATCCGGCTCCGAATTCGCACTTCTTCTTGCGGTGCTTGCATTCCCAGCAACTTGTTGTCCCTTGTCGCAATTTGCGTCGTTTTAAAATGAGGTTTGATGGGCCCGATAAACCTCCAAGCGCCCTGGTTTCCTCTAGGACCGGGTTTGCCATTATAGCATAGTTGGGCGAAGGAGATCGAGACGAGCCTCCATGTAAGCAAGGGTACACGTGACTTCTACGCCAACAAGTCTCCACTCAAATGCACCTATATAGACAGGAAAATGTCTGCCAGGTAGGGCCTTCCTACCGCGACCGCCGCTTTTATGAGAGCATTAAGGCTCAATTAGCATCACTAAATAACTAACTAAACGTTAGCACGGGCTCAGACTCAAGTAATCACGCTTGAATTAGTCACGTGCCACATGACTGATTCAATGTATACTCTGGTTGTTAGTTAAGTTAGTTACGTATAAAAGTATGACTCAGTAATATATACCCGAATCAGGAAATGGTCAAATTATGTTACGATAATACGGGCGGAAGATAATGGCTCTCGAAATACTATTCACGATGTCTAGTTATGTCCGTAATATCCAGTATCTAGGTGTTCTCCACTACATTAGATAGGAATCGGATATACGCTGGTTGTATTTCTACCAACCATTATTGTTGCCTTTAAGTAATTTACGTAGTTTATTTGAGCTCAATACAAAAGTGAATGTCCAGGTGAGCGTCATATTGCATCTTATCATCCCTGATTAGCTTATTCAAGAAGCAGAAGTCCTCTCTAATCCTTCATCCTGATCTTTGGCACTAAGGACTTTGGGAATCTTTGAAAGCTCATCCTGCCAGTGATCACAATCGACTTTTTTCTTAGCCGCTGGATCTTTATTGGGCCACACAGAGTCAAAGTCCAAGTCCGAGCTTAAAGTCAACACTCCTTTCCAAAATGGCTGCCCAATCGTTTTCAGCAGATCTGGGCCCTTGTCAGCATTCTTCTTTGGGTCCTTCCACACTGAAACGTCAAAACTCATATCTTTCCTGAAAAAGAAGTCGTGATATTCGTTTATGTCTGTCGCCGACACCATTTCTTGGAATGGCTGCATGGCTACTTCTGGGTAATCATTCAGGGCGAGGATCAATCCACTGGAAAGATGACCAGCATGGATGTGTTCTTCCGGCTTGGGCGAATATTCGTCCTTGGCGGATAAGGTGATGTTGGCGGCGGAGAGTGCAATGTTGGGAGCTCGAAGCAGCACGTGGGAAATATGCATCTGGTTTGGAGAGCCGTAAAGGTAAAATGGCATGTCGTGTTGCGGATACGCACGGTCTCTGTTGATCGAGTTCAAAGGCCGACTTTTGATAATGTCTTCCTTTGAGATCGTAACCTCTCCCTCAGCTAACGGATTCAGAGGCCTGCAGAGTTAAATTAGCGCTCATTCGGCTTTCCGCCCTTCAAGGAATGTCATACAAGTTGTTGTTATCCTGGTGCTTGAGATATTCTGCCTTTTTGAAAAGTTCCGCGGTGAACTTGAAGGACTCTTTAGGGAGTCTTTTAATACCATCTTCAAGATTTATGTTTTCTTTAGAAATTAAGAGGAGCGGTGTCTCTGGACTTTTGCCTTTGAACTCAAGATACTTCTGCTTGACCTTGTCTTCGAAGTCTGCGGAGACAATGAGCTGCTGTCGGAGAGTACCATTATGGAAAGAGGTTTGCAGCACTAGGAATGTCTTTCCGGTTGTTTCCGTGCCCTGCAGAAGGAATTGGGCTTTGTGTGCCGACGGATCGTTGCGAATCCTGACTTCTGCAACTTCTTCGTTGATGACCTTTTCGAACTCATCCCAAAGTTCGCCAATAAAGTAATGCTTGGTGGGGAATGGGCTCATGACCACGTTTCGCAGAACAAATAGGTCCTGTCTGACCTTGGCAAGGCCCAATCTCTTCATGAATGTCATTGCGCAGTTTTCGTACTGTTGGGGCTCAAACTTGGTGGAGGTCAGGAAGATGGGAATCTTCGTTGGGTCGGTGTTGGCAGTGGTGATCGAAAGTCTGTCTACAACTCTCTTCATCAGGTAGTTGGCTTCTTCCACGTCGGTGTTGAGTTCTGTGTTACGTTTGTCAAGATAGAAGTTGAGGGCAAAGCAATTGATGTTCGTGTCAGAACCCAACCGACGCAATATGGCCATTGCGTCGGGATCATTCATCAATTTCTCGTTTTCCTGTCCCAGGATGAGCTTCCTTATCTCGTCACGGTTCTTTTCAGCTTCTTTGGAATCGAAATCATATCCTTCTCTCTCTTTAGGCAGTCTGTTGAATGGGACGCAAATGAAATTCTTCCGGTTCTCTTCTCTGAAGTCGCTCAAGACAGCGTAGCGCACAGATAACTATTAGGGTTTCAGCGATAAAGTCAATTCTTCGAACAACAAGGAACCTACTCTAGAGCTGGTGAAAGATGCTTGACCAAGCAGCTTTCCATACCCATCTGGATCCAGGCCAATGGTCTGGTTAGAAAGCCATGTTGACATGGCGGCAGCTCCCGGTTTACTACAAAATCCGTGGTTAGAATTGAGAGCATCAGCTGAGGTAGTATCAAGACAACACACCTTCCCTCTACGCCATAGACACCAATGTTATCCTCAGATCCCTGGGAAAGATAAGGGCTGGACCATGTCACCAGGTGTCGCATACGGCCATCCTTGTATACGAGACTTCCAGCTGGGTATGGCACATAGCCAGCCTTGTGCGGGTCAACTGTGATTGAATCCACGAGGTGAAGTGCCAAAAGGCTTGTTTCAGTTTCCTTTCGCAGGGTCAAGGCCGGGACAGCACCTTTTTCGGCATCGCCACGTCTAGGTTTACCATTTTCCCCTCGATGCAGCATCGTGGCAAAGTAGCCTCCCCAGGCAGCGTCAGCATGAATGAGGAATGAGAGACCCTCCTTCTGCATTCTGTCTCTGATGCAAACAATCTTCTCCAGTGCGTCGACAGAGCCCTCTTCGGTGGAGCCAATAATTCCCACAACCGCATAGACTGGAATGTGCTCGTCAAGACACTTTCTCAGCTCTTCTTCCAATTGCGAAATGTCAATGTGTGCGTCTTCGTCAACATCGACTTCCAGGATATTTCCAGAGCCCAGCCCGGCAATTGCTGGAATTTTTAGCTTTGTGTTCTTTTCAAGTTATCTGATAGGGATGGAGAGTCACATACCAAGGCCTTTCGGCCATGAGTAGTGACGAGTTTTCGCCAGAAGATACTTCATCGGCTTGAGGCTCTTATAGAGCTGGTCAGTCTCTTTGGGAATTAGGCCTGCCGATTGGATGTTGTAATCATCCAGAGCATCTTTGAGATAGTCCCTCGAAATGCCGAAATCTTTGTACAGCTTGTCTGGCAGATCAAGCACCGTTTCGGGTTTCAGATTGAGCAAATCCCAAGTTTCCAGTTTTGCGAAATTCTTTTTTCCATCCTTACAGGTCTCGACCTCGAACCTATCCTCGATGAAATTGAGGTTTCCCTTCTTGATGGCTTGGGAGAGCGCCAAGGGGTAAAACTTTAGGTTTCGTGCTAGTCGCAGCTTCAGTATTATATTCGTACGACACCAGAAGTGAGGTACTTACCAACCCAAATGGATTCCAAATTTGCCACAGTTCCATCGCAGGTGACATGGCCCCATGAGTCTGGCTCATCTTTTCTCTCTCCATTAGGAGTGAGAGCAGTTTTATATCCAAACAACTCACAAAGTTGCTCTCCCACTTTCAGCTCCGCAACCGTGGTCAAAGGACTGGCTTCAAGAGCAACGTTGTTAGGGTTATACAGCATCGTCATGAAATACCCCAACAGAGAAGGCATGGTCATGTCGGTGCACATGTGGGCCTCATAACGGGGAGACCAGAAAGGCACTGAGTGCTCTCCCAGCAGCTGGGCAACCTTTCGGACGACATCACCAAAGTTGTCCCTGATCTTTTGGAACTTCTTTGACCTTCGCACTTCTTTTGGAATGAATTTTCGGTTCTTCAAGAGGTGAGCTGAGTCTGACACATCAGAAAGCGAGGGAAACAAGTACATTGTCCTGGGGAAAATAATCTTGCCTAGTTTCAAGCAATTCATCTAGGACAGTGTTGATGTTTGCTCTGAAGTCAGGCAAGTTAGAAGCCCGTGGGCCGATGAAATAATTGTTGATTACATTTTGGTCGGTGATTTGGTCCTCGCCGCACTCAGCATGAGCTGTGAGACAGGTATCAGATCCGGACATAATGGAGCGGTTTTGTTTTTCGGGATGTTCTATGTTCTGGAGAAAAGATGGAGATGAAAGATTGAAATTGAGAGATTTTATATAACATTATTCGAAGGTTATAACGTGCTATGTGCAGTTCATTTCACCTCGGGTCAATTTCTCTTTCAGGTCCTCACCCTTGGTTGGTGTGCATTGGTGCGTGTACGACTCGCCATCTCTTCAATTTCTCAACCTAGAAGCCAGTTCACCATGATATGAGAAGCTGCATGACCTCACCATTATAGCCTGATTTTCATCCACTGTTTAATGCTTGTCATGCACGTTACCGTCATACTTTGTCAGTTTTTATGGGATCTCGCAGGATAGAGTGGAGACCTGTGAGTGTTTCATAGCGCCCGTCTATCACAGGTATTGACTGCTTGCAGCTAATTGTGCGCTAGGTGATGATCTATTACGCGAATATTTTGCGTCGGCCTAAAGGAGTAGATCTCCATAATAGCCAGCACAGTATAGCACTGATCAAACCTACTGATTCAATAATCATGCCACCTTGACCAAAAGGACGGAACATCTCTACTCCGCTTACTGGAGGATCCGTTCTGGTGATTCTCAAATAACATATATCCCAGCACGAAGCCAGAGGAAAGTGGCGATCCGAAGAGAATATTGTTCCCTGAAAAGACTTCTCCATCTGGCTGTTCGTTTTCAGCAATGAGATGAGTTTAGCGTTTGTCACTACTTAGTCCTAAGCCGGACTTGAATGCTCTGACGGAAACCATGGTCGCGACATTCTGGAACTGGTTCGACGTAGCCATGCATTCGTTTCTCCTTATTTCCTTTGCGGTCATTTTCCACCAACACGTAACCCACCATTCTAAGCTTGTCGAACAGTCTGAACAGTAACCCACAGTACGGCTGTGTGGTAGCCGAAGAGCACAAGTGATGCCCAGTAGGCTAGATCCGGCTACCTCATCAGATGCCATGGAAGTACGAAATGGAACGCGTCAACACATTCTACCCCTCAAAAATGCTCTTCAGTCCCAGTTTTCTGCATGATATTGAGTATTTAGTCTTCACCCGGTTTGGGAGCTCTAATTTGTTCTTCAACAGAAAGTGTATTATGTTGAAACCCTGGAAATGAAATGCCAACCATGCCGAGTGAGAGCCAGAGTAGACCCGAACTTGGTTTTGAATATATTTGATTCATGTGCACCAAAATATGTTGTCTCTGAGGTCCGAGGTGGTGTGGAGACGCCGTTGTTCTGATGCGCCATAGTCTCACCACGTCATGGCGTACTTACGCTCGATCCCTTAAAGTCACATTACTCCAAAGTTCAAAGTCTGAAAGCAAAATGTTCATCAATTTTAGGTAGACAACCTTGGAATATTGTAACGCTGGCAAAATCGTCTTTACCATCTGTTGAATTGACCAGCCAATCCCTGACCTGAACATACATACAAAAACTGCAACATTTCCAGGTGTTCATTATGGAAAGAGCCACAGTTTATTTTGCAAGACTAAATTTGGGCTGAATGTTGTTATACCCAATTGGTGGCTTCGAGTTGTATACAGAAGTCCTAGTGTTCGATTCAGCGGGACCAAACACCGCTTAATTGGGTCGGACCTCCACGGAACGGGACGATCCTTTTCATTTGGTTGCGGTCCAGTTATTAAATCATCGCTTATCTCTCGCTGTTCATCGCGTCTGGTTAAAGTGTAAACCGATGCTACACAGATTAACAATTCAATGAGAAGCAGCAACTCAGAAAGCTCACCGTTCTAGACATCAAATCGATTCTTCGTATCCATATCACATGCGGTTTTCCATATTTTGTACATCGCCTCTTGATTAGCAGTGTATGGACCGTGTGCCTAGCTAATCCGGTGTGTTTAATTTATATTATAATGTCATGTCGTAACGCGGTAATGTGTATGACGTTTACTGTTTAAGACTAATTTGTAAATTCAACGTCGTGTCGTTCGTCTAGAACAAGCATGTCACTGAAATGATGCTGTAGGAGGCGACTTTCCATCCTCAGCACTGCTTCCACTTGCTTCATTCATAATGACAAAATTTGCACAGGAGGAAACAAGAAAAAGCCCATGGCAGCAAGCTGAAGTTGCATAGAAAAGATGGTCGCATGTTGCATACTCAAACTGAACCGTGCTAGGGATGACTTGGTCAATTATGCCAGTGGAACAGTGCTGATTCATAAAGATCTACTCCAGGCGCCCCTGGAGTTCTACGGGATTTTTGTACACTTCGTGCCCATTCTTCAAAGTTGTCAGGCGTAATACGCTGGTCAAGTATCAGAGGACAAAGAAAGACGAGAAGAAGTACAAGCGGCTACAGGCTGCTGCTACCAGAAAAAAAGAACAGACAAAAAAAATATGTGTATTGTGGTGGTATGGAGAAAAGAAGGAGAGAACAAGAGAAAGAAGCGCTGGTCTATCTACAGAACAGTGATCACCTGATCTCCAGGCTCTGACAAATACCATACAAGATTCACATCACAGTGTCCCTCAGTCAATGCGGCCAGACTAGGGTTCTGCGATCAAAAGAATTTGTAGCCCAAATTCACTCCTGACTCAATTATAAACACCCGCTTCAATATCTGCAAGTATAGTGCGCTCAGAAGCTGACCATCCTAGCTGCTCTTGCGTCTGCCTGCTTGAAGCAGGATTATCAGCCATGACAGGATGTACCAGAAAACCAGCAAAATGCTTTGAAGCAGCCTCAAAATTCTGGGAAACTGTCGGAAGGCCTGTGGCTTTGCCAATGGCTCCAGCAATATCCTTCATCAAAACACCCTCTTCGGCAACAGCATGATACCTTCTGCCCGCAACTCCTTTCTCAAGGGCTAGACGGAACAGGTGGGCTGCATCGCGGCGATGAACAGCAGGCCATCGGTTGAGCCCGTCGCCAACATAAACCGATTGACCGTTCGCGCGTGCGAACTCGGCAATCAGCCAGACGAAGCCCTTGTCTCCTTCGCCATGGGTTGTGGGAGACAGGCGAACGCAAGATACTCGCACTCCCTTCGATGAAAGATTGAGCGCCCCTTGCTCTGTATCACTGCGAGCACTAAATGGCGTGTTGGTCGCTGCACCTTTATCCTCAGTACCCACCTCGCCCTTCTCTAGAGTCATGGTGCCCGAGGTGAAAACCAGAGGCTTGTTGGATCCTGCCAGGGCATCAATCATGGCGAAAATGGCCGTACGCTCAGCCAGCGAGTTTGCGGCAAAATTGGTGAAATCATGATTGAAAGCGAGGTGAATGACACCGTCTGACTTGGATGCTGCGCTCTTTAGGCAATCGATATCTTCAAGAGAACCGCGAACAACGTCAACACCTTTATTCTGTAGAGCTTTAGCTGAAGCATCCGAGCGAGCAAGGCCGGTGACGGTATGGCCAGCATCAAGGAGCTCTTGTACGACAGCTTGGCCGACAAAGCCGGTGGCACCAGTAACAAAGACGTGCATATTGAGGTCGAGGTTTTTTAAACGGAGTGGTAATGGCTTCCAATTAGGATTGGTCAAAGGGACGAGTGGAAGAAAGCAGAGAGAAAACAAATGGGGAAGGCTGCTGATGTTCAAGATTGATGTCTTAATTTTGGAATGATTTTGTGTTGAAGTTCCAGGAATTCGAAGTATTTATATTTCTGATCGAGCAATTCAAGTCCGAGATTCGGACGGAGATATGGATTTATGTCCTTTTTAGTGCCTTTCACGATTGTGGAAATCCTATGAATTCGGGGCTCAGGAGGAAATGTTTGGATCAGATCTGACAGCTCTTACACCCCGGATACGACTGCGGGTTAGCGCGTTTTAGTCTCAACCAACGGCGATCCGCGGCTGGACTGTATGTGGGGTCATATATCCATCTATTGTGGCGAATCAGGGGGGCGGCATATGCCCGCTCTGCTGGGGCTCAGCCCGGAGTTAACAGAGTGGGGCAAGGCCATTTCAACGACGCAGAGAGACATCTCTTTCTCCCTCTTTGCCGTCCTCTTGCCCATTCAGCGTCTCTGTTAAGTTAAAATGCCGTCAAGCCAGCCAGGATCCAAGGACCAGACCCGCCACCGTCGGGCACATACTAAATCCCGTCGGGGCTGCCGAAACTGTAAACTCCGAAGAATCAAAGTGAGCCCCAGTTACCTAGCGTATTTGGACTTGATTAATGACATTTGTTACAGTGCGATGAAGCCCAACCGCAATGCCAGAAGTGCATTTCATTTGGTGTCACTTGCAATTATAGAATGGGTCATAATTCAGACTTGCAACTCGCGAAGAACAACACCAATGACAGTCCCTTTGGTCACCTGGTTTTTGATTCAAAACCTAGTCGAACCATATCTATGCCTGCAATCATAGTAGGACATGGCCCCGGCTCCTTCCAGATGGACTCCGATAGCCTGGCACGTCTATATCGCTTCAGAAACCGCACTGTTTTCTCTTTTCTAGGCCGATTGGCCTGTGAGATTTATCAAAATGATGTTGTAAGACTCGCGATGCAGGTAATAAGATACTATACTCGGCTTGCCATTCCAAGACCTGACTGAGACTCCTAGCACCCGTTTTTAATGCGAATCATTTTGGCTGTCACTACCACTCATGATCGCTATCTTGTGACAGGACCAGAAGACAACACACGATCAGTCGCTGAGGTTTATCATGAAACTCAATGCGCTGGACTTCTCAGAAAAAAGCTATCTAGTCCAATCTTAAATGAAGAACGCGATGCTCTTTGGTCCTCAGCAGCGATGTTGGGGATCGCTAGTTTATCTTCCATTGACGCATCAACTCCAGCAGAAGCATGGCCACTCAAACCCGACGATCCATCAGACTTTGACTGGTTGAACTTCTCAACGGGTAAGAAAGCAATCTGGCGAGCAACCGATCCACTTCGACCGGACAGCATCTTTCACCGTATGGCAGGCCACTATACCGAGATTATGAAAACACCACCTCTTCGTGAATTATCAGAAATGGCACCTGAATTCGTCCAGTTATGTTCACTGGACGAACCACTTGCTTGCAGTCAGAACCCGTATTACTCCGCTGTTTCCATGTTGTCTGATCTGTGGCAAGCCACACATACACGAGTGACCGGAAAATTCGTCTCATTTTTGAGCCTAATGAGACCTGATTTCAGATCGCTGTTGGTCCGTAAAGATGCACGGGCGCTACTGATATTTGCATATTGGTATGCGCTTATATCCGACTCCTCTGTCTGGTTTATAACAAGACGAGCGCGGTTGGAATGCCATTCAATATGCCTATACTTGGAGAAATACCATGCTGACGATGGTGATATTCAAAGAATGTTAAAGTTGCCCAAGGCAAAGTGTGAATGTGATAGCCAGATGCCACCAATGTTTCTATAGATGTCAAATCTCACCAAGTTATACCATAAAGGAATATCGAAATTTAACTATCATAGATTCTCTAGACTTTCATACATCGTTTTCGTCGGCCACGGGCGTGGCTGCGGTCACGTGACCGGCACCGGTGCTCCCCGACTTCGGAATTGTCGCCGAATCCGAGTAACAGAGGCGAGAGCGTCAAACAGGTGCCTGACTGTTGTTGTTCTAGAAAAATACCGCTCCCGGCTTTATTATCTCTTTCAGGTTTAAGATCGGACTTCGCCTGCAATCATGAGCGAGCGAGGTTCGGAGATTGTGTTTCGTGCGGAGAACGTGCCGATCCGGTTCTTCAAAGCATGCCGGTGGTGTCGCCGACAAAAGATGCGATGCGATGCACGTCATCAGGTACCATGTTTTCGCTGTCGCTCCACAGGCCGGGATTGTATCCTAGATCCGATCGAAGACAACCGGCGGCGTAGTGATCGCCGAAGAAAGACTACCCCTGCGCGGTGAGACCATGTTGTTGTTTACTCTGCTCAAGATTTAGCTGACTCCTTCAGGTATAGTGGCTCTTCTAGAGCTTCACCACTGGATCAAAGAAGTGGTTTTCATACTCCTGCCTCAAGAGAACAAGAATATTCTCCGATCACCAGGCAAGATGTTAATTTTGACGCTTCAATTGATTCCCTTCCAGATTCGTCGAGCTTAAGGGATCTGCGTAGATCTGTGACCGTTGATCATAATGGCCCTGAGTCGCAGCAGTTAAGCCCGAATGATATGATTGCACCGCAGTCGGCAGTTCATTCTATGTCTGTGAACTTACTTGGTTCCAACAACGTAAGTTAACTCGAATCAAGAACATTGTTACTTGTCCAAACTAAGATTTTCTGAAGATATTCATGGAACATTCAACAAATGGTGATCCAAGAGGTGACATTATCGCTCGGGGTATCGTGACAGAAGAGCGAGCCCGAGTCATGTATGAAAGGTATGCAACGCAAAACATTGGCCATAGCTAGTGAATGTGAAGTTAATCTCTGGCACAGATTTACCGGTGGGAGCAAAAATTTCTTGCCTCTGTTTGATCCTATCCGTGATACATTCGACTCCATCCGATCGCGCTCTTTGTTCTGCTTCACAGTCATCATATATCTCTCCAGTCGAGCAGTCATGGATTTACGCAGTGATACCCATATGCAATGCGTACTGCAGGACGAAGCACAACGACTAGCCGAAGACAGCTTTTTCGAACGCCCAACGAAACTTGAAACAGTTCAAGGAATGATTCTCCTTGCCGCTTACTCTGAGAAAACTTGGTTTTCAACCGCACTAATCCTGCGCACAGCATTAGATTCCGGTCTCGAAAAGTCACTGGATACATTACTCTCACAGGAAAACGTACCGCGCAGCTCGCTTGCCGCTACTATGGATGATCGTCAACTGGTTTGGCAGACACGGACCTGGCTCATTACTTTCACCTTGGAACTCGACGTAGCTTCTGGGACCGGCCGCAAATCGCGTATCGGGGAGGTGGATATCACGAAACTGCGCAAATTCTTGGACTACCCACTATCTTTGCCCTGTGATATGAGAACAGTCTGCATCATCGAAATACATCAACTCCGAGGTTCGTGGAATTTCCACCCTAAAGCGGCGCTGTTCGTGACTAATTTGAGCAGGTCACTCCCGTATCATCCTCGAGAATGCAGCAACGGTCCGTGATATAGTACTTAAAGAACTCCCTGCTATTATGGAACGGTTCTCCTATTGGTTCACTACTTGGGACGAAATTCATCAAAGTAAGTTGTTATCTTGAGGCCTGCGACCATTTTGAGATATAATCACTGACAACCCAAAGATAATGGCTTCCATGCTGGGGCATTCCAACGAAGTAGTCTCAAATTGATGCTTCTCTACGCCAGAATATTTGCATTATGTGCCTCTCTGGCAAGGATACAAAAACTGCAGCCCACTGACTCCAACTCTGAATCAGAGGTTATTGGGAATCTGTGGCAATCCCTGGTCACAAATATTATGGATCAGCTGGCATTTTTGATTAATGAGCCATCCTATCGGTGCCAGCTACCTTGGGCGCCGACCTACCCAGCTTTGACCATGGCCTTTGTCAGTAAGTAATGACATACACCCCAGGACTCTGCACTTGCGTATTAACTCGCAATTAGCAACTTTTGCACTTCGCATCGCGCGGTGGCAACCAAATCTTATTGATCAAGACCTTCTTCTTGAGAGAGCAGAGAAAATGTGCGACTTTTTGAAGCAGCCCCCCTATCCAGACATTCACCGCACGGTCTCGATATTCGTGAATTATGCCCGGGCCCTGATCGCAAGTCAACGCTCAGGAAGCCATGATAGTGACCCACCCAACTTGTCTAGCCAGGGGGATGCCACTTTGGCCCCCTACCAAGGCCCAGATAGCCCTACGGAGCATGCCCCGCATTTAGTATCTTTGGATGGTCCTCGGTACAGGCCTGGCACCGCTGGGCCGATTGATAAAGACCCAAACTTGATGCCGATGCCAAACAATGATGCTGCAGCTGCAGCTGCAGCTGCCAGACCCCCTCTTCCAAGGCTGCCCGACACGATGGAAGCTCCGAACTGGACCATGTCTAATTCCATCGCGGACTCATTTGGTCTCTTTGAAGAAGGCCAAAACGATATCTTTGACTTCTTACCAATGATGCCTTCTTTGCCTCAGTGAATCGACTCAAAACAAATACATAGTAATAAGAGGCAGTCTATTAGATAGACAAATGTCAAATTAAACAGTACCTTTATGGCCAGACCCGGCAGGTCTTCAATCTTTGCGATCTGCAAGACAGTTCCAGAATTGATAGATTCCATGCCCAAACTCACCAAGAAGAGAAGATATTGGGCCACGATGCCCGGGCCATTTCCACTTTTATAATCACATGAAAACATTCCAGGTCGAAAACGTAATTCTGGGCCTTAAAAACCGCAGTCAACAAAACTTGGACCACCCGGTTCCTGGCCGGGTCCGGGAGTCGAGACCCTAAAAACCGGGGCCGGGTCGGGGCCGACCCACCGATTCAGATAGCAGACATTTTACTGGTTTACTGCTATGTACGCAAACATAATAGTTTGGTAACGCTATGCATGGACACGGCCCAGAAGCTCTGAGTCAAGTTTTGCAAAGATTTACTCTCCACTAGTGGCAATGGGTGGTCCTTTTAAATGAGATGGATTTCGCATTGGGATCGTCTTGGATAGAGATATGGCCCATTGGTTTTTCTTCAGTTGTTATTTACTTTTTCGTTCTTTGGATCCACATTCAAAATGTCAAAGCTTATAGGTGACTCGGTCATAAGGCCAGCCTCTTCAATGGAGAAGGAAAAAGACGATGGCGATTACACACTAGTTGATCTGTCTCCCGATGAAACATTGGTTGAGTTCCAAGAGGACTCACAAGCAAATCCAACCAACTGGTCTTTTGTAAGCTTTCATTTACAGTGCAGAAGCAAACCCGATACTAACGCACATAGAATAAAAAATTGTATACTGCAGTCGTGGCGCAGCTCATTGTACTGAACAGCGGCATATCATCTTCCCTACCTAGCAATGCAGTCCCCGCCATCATGGAGGATTTCCACGTGTCCGGAGATGGACAAAAGGTCTTACCGACCGCCATCTTCCTAATAGGATATTGCGTCGGTCCGTTGGTATGGAGCCCACTTTCTGAGACCATCGGTCGTCAACCGGTTCTTTTCTGGACATTCTCTGTTTTCGTTCTGGGCACGCTTGCTTGTGCCTTTGCACCCAACTGGCCCGCACTATTAGTCTTCAGAATGATATGTGGCACTATGGCCGCAGCACCCCAAACAATTGTTGGAGGAGTCTTTGCAGACCTCTTTGATGACCTAAAAAGCCGAGGAAGGGCCATGGCGCTTTATATGGCGGTAAGTTGAGCTGTATTCCTCTGCTAGTTTGAAGAGCAAATCGCTAAATGTACCTGCAGGCTTCAAGTTTTGGGCCAATCATCGGTCCTATAATATCTGGCTGTTCTGTTCAATATGGTTGGCGCTGGACATTCCGCATTGATGTTATACTCTCTGGAGTTGTCTGGGTTGGTCTATGGGGTTTCAAAGAAACATTCGCTCCGGCTTTAATCAAAAAAGAAGCGGCAAGGTTGAGAAAAGAGTCCGGATCAAACCGATACTTTGCTCAACAGGAACTAAAGTCCGATGAGGCGTTTACTTTATGGCAGACTATCACGCGTCCTCTCACGATGCTGGTCTTTGAGCCCATCATTCTCTTTACATCAATTTACATCTCTCTCGCCTGGAGCATGGTGTTCTTCTACTTCCAGGCATATCCTATTATCTTTGAGGGTATGTTCACTTACCGAGTCTTGCCTAGACCCAGACTAACTTCCCAAAGGAACTTACAACTTCACTGTTGAGTATACATCTCTCACATACATTCCAAGTAAGTTTTCAAGAGCCACCATTGACAAAAGTTGAACATCAAGCTAACCATCATAGTCGGCCTCGGCGCTGCATCGTCCTGCGTCTTCGCCCTCTACTACGACAAAATTTACAACAAAGCCAAGAAGGTTGGGAAACGGTGGGCATCCGGTCCCGAAGCCCAACGGCTCCCAATGTCCTGCATATCCGCCCCCTGCCTGACAATCAGTCTCTTCTGGCTCGCCTGGTCCGCAAAATCCAGCGTCCCCTGGATTGTCCCGGTACTTTCAGGAATCGTGTTCGGGCTGGGATACCAAACGACTTTCATTTCACTACTGACATACGTCACCGACGCATATAAAATATACTCTGCTAGCGCATTGGCTGCTTCCGTTATTATGCGGAGTGTCGCCGGTGCACTCTTCCCTCTTGCTGCTGATCCACTTTATGCGAAGCTTGGCGTTGCATGGGCTACTTCAATTCTTGGGTTTGCTAGTCTGGCTTGCATCCCGATTCCGTTTGCTCTGTATTATTATGGGCCTTGGATTCGGAAACGCAGCCCTTTCTGTCAGCGGCTCTTGGAGATGGAGATGCGAAAATCCTCGAAGTTGTCGAGTGGAACACAGACTCCTCAAGAGCTTGAAGTCTAATCATTCCTTTCGGTGCTTTCCCCCTCGACTTGGCGGTGATGGCCTTTGCTCATTTCTTTTTTATTTCCCCCTAATTCTTGCTTTCCTTGTTCTCGCAATTGGTCACTTTGGTGCCTGCATTTACATGGCACGATGATAATGATTACTCAAAATAATAGCCTCGAACCATGATACCTTAGAATGAATAGAAGTCAGTCTTGCTTATCACATCACAAATTATAACTAGTCCACATTCATTATGTATTCGCCATTTCTTTCCCCCGGCTTATCCAGAGAAATTTTTCGAGATATCACGTCCCAATTATCTCTCGTGTTCGCTCGGTCTTTGACCTCGGAAATTCGTTCGGAGCGGTCGTTCGGCGGTCATTTACGCCGACGACGATCTTCAAATAATAAGCCCTTCTTTCCCTTCATCAGATAAATATCAATATTAGAATCTTGTTCTGTTGTCAAGGAAATCTATTGAAAATCCATTCGAAATGTCAACAGAAAATTCCAAATCTGCACATTTGTCCCCCGACTCCCAACATACCCTTGACGAAGCAAGTATAGAGAAAAAGTCCATTGATACAGAAACTCCTAAACAGTCTTGGAATCATGGCGCCGCACCTGATGGAGGTGCAAAAGCTTGGTTGGTTGTGCTAGGCGCTTGGTGCGCCTTATTCTGCACTTTCGGTCGGATCAACAGTACGTTCTCCAGCATCTCAGAAAGCTCCCTGGTTCTTGCTGATATGAAACAGGCGTGGGCACTTTTCAGAGCTATTATCAAACCTCTCTTCTGCGTCAGTACTCTTCCAGCACAATTTCCTGGATCCCTTCTCTACAGATTTTCTTCATGTTTGCCATGGTACGTTCTGTCAACAAGCCCCTCGAGAGACCCCCCTCAGTTATGGAGTTAATCATTTGATATAATAGGGACCCATCGTCGGACAGTTGTATGATCGATTCGGTCCCCGTTATATCATCCTCGGAGGCTCATTTCTTCACGTCTTCGGCCTGATGATGGCATCCATCTCCACGGAATACTACCAGCTTCTTCTTTCCCAAGGTGTCTGCAGCGCAATGGGAGTATGTGCAATCTTTCAACCCTCTATGAATGCGATCCCAAGCTGGTTCGACAAGAAGAGAGGCGCTGCCTACGGGATCGTCGCAACGGGCTCGAGTCTCGGGGGCGTAATATTCCCGATCATGGTTAGTCGATTGATTGATGAGATTGGATACGGCTGGGCAATGCGGGTCGCTGCATTCTTAATTCTCTTCCTTTTGGTAATCACTGTTCTTACTGTTCAGTCGAGAGTGCCCCCGAGACCGCGGGCAATGAGCAGAGAGACCCTTTTGCGGCCATTCAAAGAGGTCAAGATGGTGCTTGTTATTTTGGGTTTTGTATTTTTGACTTTTGGAATTTTTATTCCTATTGATTATTTGGTTGTTCAGGCTATGAGTGCTGGCATGAGCTCTTACCTGGCGCAGTATCTTGTTTCTATGCTAAATGCTGCAAGGTTGGTCCCAACTCAGCTTCTTGGTATTCAGCATCTTGCTAACCATTCTCGGCAGTCTGTTCGGTCGCATGTCCGCTGGTATTTTCTCGGATAAAATTGGTCACTACAATATCCTCGTCAGCGCGTGCTTTCTTGCTGGTATCCTCGTTTTGGCTCTTTGGATTCCTGCGACGAGCAATGCCGCTATTATCGTCTTTGCCTGCACCTTTGGATTCGCTTCGGGTGCTTATGTCTCCCTTGCCGCTGCCTTGGTGGTCAAGATCTCACCGTTCCCGGAGATCGGCTATAGGACTGGGTTGTTATTTTTGTGCTCCTCATTTTCTGGTCTGACAACTAATCCGATTGCGGGGGCTATCTTGCAGCATGATGGAGGCTCCTACACGGGGATGAAGATATTCTCTGGTGTGTTCTTGATGGTTGGAAGTGTGGCAGTGCTAGCTGCTCGACTTTCCCATACCGGGCTGGAGTGGAAGGCGAAGTTTTGATTTCGAGGTGACTGGCACTGATTCCGAGTACAGTCAATACTCTTGATACCGATCTCTTCCCTTGATATCCGTATCATCTCGTCCACACATAAAAAGCTCCGAATAGTTGATTGTAATAGAATTTCAAGTCACGGCAGCATTTTTGCATTCCACAGGCCTATCAAGTGAAGAAGTTTTTGTAGCGATAGCGAAATGATGGGATGCAAAGCACTAGAAACCCCCATGTTTCTCTAGACCAGGTGAGCGATAACCTTGGTACACGCAAAATTCTTGAACTAATATGTAATACTGTTAATCATGAGAAGTAACGATTCTTCTTCGCCGGCGCCGCCTCCCTATGCCAACCAGTTTTACAACCGTCAGGATTCTCCCGGTAATTGTCCCCACAGCATCCAAATATAAAGTATTCTGGATATTCCTCTTTATAGCCTGGGTCACTGTTCGCTTCTTCTGGCCCGAAGAAATCGTTGTCCTCGTATAATTCGGAGTCGTGGTCTGCATACGCTTCCTCTAGAAAGATATTAGGTACCTGATAAGCAAATATTATCCGTGTAACGTACCTGAGTGGTAGATGCAAGATGTCCGAGTATTTTGTGAATGATCAAACTCCTTGTTGCATCTTTGACACTGTGAATAGCGAGGTCTTTTGCCGCTTGGTTGTTGGGCCAATGCGGTTGTGGGTTTATCGGTATCCTCGTCCTCGTCTGACTCCTCGTCTGACTCCCCTTTTGAGTCCAAGTCTGGTAATGGTGGTACCTCGTTCTTTGCGACAAGTAAATGCTCAATGGTTTTCTCTTTTACTCCAGGTATTGTCTCGCAAAAGGATTTTAAAAGGTCCCGTAGCACTGTGCTGGAGACGGTGGCAATGGAGAGATCAAGAGCAGCATCATCAAATTTTGCTTCTGTATTTTGAACTTCATCAGCTTTACCAATCAATGCCGGGACGTCCATTTTGTCGCAGATGATTTTTGGATTTTTAAGGGGAAGAAGAATATTGTAAACATGACCGTCGCGGAAACGCGTTAAAACGCGGTCGTTATCACCACCGATAAGTTGATAGCGGGTATGGCGGGTAGCTATTAGCCTATAATTCAGCACCATAAGATGAGTTGGAGATTGTTAAAATGACACCTCAACTGAATATTATGACAGGTCATATGACTGGATTCCCGGTTTCTTGATACCCAAAAAAATCAGGCACTGTTTCATTGGATTAGTCTTCACACTAATTCTTATCTGGATGAGTGGGGTGTTGAAGTTCGATCTTTCATATTCCATGGGACAATCAAGGAAGAGTAGTGAAATACAGTAGTGAGATGCACAACAATGGAAAACCTCACAATAGGTTATTCCAGACTAGTTAAATGATAGCTGTTGCCACTGGTAGAACTGATGAATATTCAAAACTGCAGATACATTAGAGTATACGGGCCCTCTTCGCCACGTGTGCTTCCGGTGCCACGCGTGCCATGTGCTCACTCATGGCAATAACGTGCGACGCTGCCTCTTTATGCCAATCAGTCTCACACCCGTGGGGGTTGTCCCTCAAGTTACCCTCACAACACTCGAATACATAGCACTCTGGATATTGCTTTCTCAACTCGTCATCACAGTCCGCCTCATCAGGTCCGAAGAAATCGTTGTCCACGAACAAATGGGAGTCCTCATCCGCACACGCTTCCTCTAGATGGATTTTAGGTATTTATCCAGAAAAGTGGCTCTATAAAAACTTACCAGTGTGATAACGGCAGGCTGTTGGGGTGTTTTCGAGAGTATCAAACTCATTTTTGCAGTTCTCGCACTGTGAATACCTAGGCCTCCTGCGCCCAAGTTCTTGGTCCGAAATTTCGATGTCTTTGTTGGTATCCTGGTCCCATTTTGAGTTTGGCGGATTTGGAACTTTGGTCTTTGTGACAAGTAGATGCTCTATGGCCATATTTTTTGCTTTTGGGATAGTCTCGCAAATGGACCTTAAAAGTCCTTGCAGTACTGTGCTGGAGACTGTGCCGATGGAGAAATTGAGAGCAGCATCGTCGAATTTGGCTTCTTTAATTTCAACCTCGTCAGCCTCGTTGATTGGAGCTGACACATCCATTTTTTCGTGTTGCTGATACAATTTTTTATGGGAGAGAGAAAAGGTTGTAGATAAAATGTTAACATGCAAGTATCTAGGGATGGTTGTGGTTGTGCGATTTGGTTCGGTTAATTACCTCGTTATAACGGATCTAATCGTTGTAACGAAATTTAAAACCGTTATAACAAGATTTAACCAGTTGCCCAGGTGACAATCCACTTTTGGTGGATCTCGATCACGGAATAGCTATGGTCATAAAATTCAGGTATGCTCAGATTCAACGACGCAAAGAGCTGAAAAGCAGTAAAGAAGGAAGTTACAAGGTAGAACGGTCATATCCTGATATGGGCAGAATAGAGAAAGAGAAAACAACTGAGAGAGATCTCTATCTAGCACTTTAAGTTTCAGTGCATCAGTCTGATAGCTAAGTCTCCAAAGACTGATGAATAACGCTAGTTCGGTACATCTCACTCCGCTCAATCAACTCCTCATGAGTTCCTTGTTCCGTACAACGCCCCTCTTCAATAAGATAAATACAATCCGCCCGATGGATAGTATTAAGTCGATGCGCAATCGCCACAATAGTTGTCTGACCAGCAAGAGTCGCAAGTGCATCCTGAATTCGCTTTTCAGACTCCACGTCCAGCGCACTAGTGGACTCGTCCAGCAACAATAAACGCGGCCGACGCACCAACGCACGCGCAATCGATACTCGCTGCCGTTGCCCACCGGAAAACTGCCTGCCATCCCGGGTACACGGCGTCTGATATCCTTGTGGTAGTGCCATGATCACCTCGTGGACGTTGGCCATGCGACATGCTTCCTCGATTTCTGCTTGTGTTGGTTCGTGATTTGGTCGAGCGCCGAGGCCGATGTTGAATGCGACTGTGCCTTCGAAAAGAACATTTTCTTGTGGAACGAGGGCAATATCGTCGCGAAATCCTGTGCCTAGTTGCCGGGTAATGTTGACTCCGTCAATTATTACGGCGCCAGATTCGGGTCGGTAGAATCTTTCCAGCATGGCGAAGGTGGTTGATTTTCCAGACCCGCTTGGTCCGACTAAAGCACAAAATTGACCAGGTTTGATCTTCAGATTGATTCCGCGGAGCACAGGCTCTCCTGGTCTTGAGGGGTATTCGAAATGAACGTTCTGCAGTTCAGCTCCGATGCCTTTCATGGCTGGGAGTGGACCAGTTGAGTCCGCACTTTGTTGTTCGCGGTGAAATGCTTCGGGGTCAGTGATCTTTTCCCCGAGGAGATGCAAGCCGGAGCTGGTAATCTTTCCTGGGATTTCGGAGCTCAATTCCTCGTCAGATGAGTTGGTAGTGAGTAGCTCTGTGATGTTCGAGGCAGCCAGGCCGGCTTTTGAAATGTCCGGTGCAAGAGCGAACATCTGTCCGCAGGACTGTGTGCTGAACAGAATTGCAGGCATCACGATGAAGAACTGCGTCTGGGAGTACAGACCAGCAACTATCTGCTTAGTACCCCACCAGTATGCCAATGCATAGACGAGTGCACTGATGCTGAAAGAGAGCGCAAGGAATATATTGCCAAAGGCGATGGACTGTAACGTTTCTTGATATGGAGCTTTAAGTGCGCGCTCGTAAACAGAGTAGGATTGCTTCTCAAGGGAGAATGCTGAGATGGCTCGGATATTGTCAACAGCCTCTATTGTGATAGCAGTGGCTTGTGCAAATGCCTTCTGGTGTCGTTCTGCAAAATTGGCCTGGGTTCGAAGTTTCATAATACCTGCTATCAAAAGAACAGGAATTGTTGGAAGAAGCACAATTGTGATCTTCCAAGCAATGACAAATGAGACCACGAGGCCGGCTATCAGGTTCACTGCTGTGGCTAAGAGCAAGCCTATTGTAGTGCCAGTAATGCTACCTAGTGCTGCTGCATCACCGGTGATGTAGGTGATGAGGGTTCCTGGTGTACGATCTTCCATTCCATGCCACTGAAGGGTCTGACCCAGTAGAAATCGCAAAGAAAGGATTCGCATTCGGTATAGAATCTTGTCCGCAGCCCAGCCAAATGCACAGCCCGCAATTACATTGGCTGAGAACTCGATGATTGCAATGATGAAGAAGAGAAGTCCGTAGAGGTGGCCGCTATAGCGGATACTTTCAGCTCCAGTGCAGGGACTAAGAGCGCTAACAGTATGACCGAAGATTACTGCTTCTGCAGTATAGCTGCCGCCAATGACCACTGCGAACGCCAGGCCAAGAAGGACGTAGAGCAGATCAGGACGAATGATAGAGAAAGTGAATTTGGCAGTGAACCATCCTGATGGCTTGCGCTTCTTTTTCTCTTTCTTCTTCCGTTTCCTCTGCTCCTTTTCCGTCTCCTTTATGGCAGTGGTTGTATATGCAGGTAACATCTCGTCTGTAATATCAGCACTGCTCACCTCAAGGAATGCTTCTTTCGTATCGGTGAATGTCTGGCTCGTCTCTCGAACCTCATGAATAGGGTCATGGTTGGAGCTGGCTGTAGGACTCAGCTTCCCAAGGTTCTGGAGCCGCACCATCTCAGCATACGAGCCCCCTGCCGCAACTAGCTCTACATGAGAACCTTCCTCCACGACCCGGCCCTTCTGGATGACTACAATCTTGTGGGCATCCTTAGCAGTGGCCAAACGGTGCGCAATAGAGATTATTGTCACGCGTTCCGCTACTCTAGCTAACGCATCCTGAATCAACCTCTCACTGGTCGAGTCTAGAGCTGCTGTCGCTTCATCGAGAATCAGAACTGCCGGGTCACGCACCAACGCCCTCGCAAGTGCTATTCGCTGCTTCTGTCCACCACTCAGCTGGCCACCAGATGATCCCACCCCCGTCGCAAATCCAAATGGCAGGGCATCAATGAAGTATAGAGCATTTGAGCTGGCAGCAGCCTCTCGGACCAAGGCCACGATCTCAGCAATCCTAGGATCAAATTCCACAAGAGCAGCCTTTTCAGTCATTCCACTGCGCATTTTCGCGACCAGATTGGTCAAAGAGGGACCCGAAATGAATTCTCTTAAATGCTGATGCTTTTCGCTGGCCGAAGTCACTAGTCCGTATGCGATATTCTCCAAAATTGACCGATCCAACAAGGAAGGCTCTTGCTGCACGAATCCAATATTTCCCCGCAAATGCCGTACATTCACATCACAGAAGTTCTGTTCTCCTACACATATCTTCCCCGACACCGGATCATAGAATCTTTCCAGAAGGGCGACAATAGTAGATTTCCCGCCTCCAGATGGTCCCACAATGGCAGTATGTTTCCGGGGTGGAATGGAAAATGTCACACCCTGTAACACTGGCGCATCAGGTCGAGACGGATAAGTGAAATGCACGTCGTTTAAGGTGATATCTCTAGACTCGAATGGAGCAGATTTGTCCCCCGACTCTGAAGTCCCGTCGATCTGGGATTCCCGGTTGATAACCACCATCAGTCTTTCAGATGCGCCTGCTGCAGACGCAAAGACGTGCACATATGGGGCAACTTGACTGAGAATAAACGATGCATCGATCAACACAAAAATGACAGTGTATACTGCGCCGACGGACACGCCTGAGCCATTTGATTCCACCGAGTCGGCAATTAGACGAGATCCCTCCCAGAAAGCTAACGCGTTAGAGCTATAGGCAATGAAATACAGTAGCCCAAGCTGCATAGCGTGGGCTAAGGCCTTTTTCAAAGCGTCGAGGCGGTACCCAGATAGGTGTGCTGCAAACAATCTCTCGAGACGCTCGTGTGAATTGAAGGCGTGCACGAGAGTTAGATGTGATAAACTTGACGACGCGATCGAAGTAGCGGCATTGACATGTTCCGTTATTCGTCCTGCATATTTCTTGATATAATAGCCTCCACCATATGACATGATAAAGTAGCACGGTACCACAGAAACCAACATTCCCGCAATCTGAGGGACCTTGATGAATGCCACAATATATGAAGTGACGAAGTATGAGACAGTGGAAATGACGATGCCCACTTTTTCCGAAGTACCGGACTGTATCACCTCGATATCACTCACTAGCCGGGAGATCACATCGCCTGTGGGAAGGCTCTCAACATACCCCGTCTCTTGTCTGATGATACTCTCGAAATATCGGCGGCGGTAGCGGCGGGCAATGCGTTCGCTGACGTAGCTCCAGCAGCTGCAGTGGATGTATAGAAAGCAGAAATTGGCGATTGTGATGTATATCACGTATAGCACCTTCTGACGTACGGCGCCTGAGACATCGGTTGTCTGGCTGGGTGCCGAGGAACAACTGGTTGTGTTGAGGTCGTTGATCAGATCACCGAAGACGATACCGAGTAGTGGGAAGGGAAGACCGGAGGCGATGGAGAAGAAGAGGCCCGTGATGATGAGAAACACGTCCGTGGGTGTGTAGTCCAGAGAAAAGAGGAGTCGAACGTAGGAGAAGGGATTTCTAGTGCCATTCTTCGTGGCTATGCATTTCTTCACACAAGCGATCTGTTTCTGTAAGCCAACTGTTCAACAATCAGATAGTTGACTCTCATGAAGAACATACCATCTGGCTTGTTTTCTTCCCATCTTGTGCATTAGTCTCCATATTTCCTTCTATGGTTCCGCGGTCTGCTTTACAATCATAGCCTCGTCTCACAGCCAGTGTGAGTAACTTATCCTCAACATCCAACAGAACAGATTACCTCCACAACACTTTGGATCTGTCCATGGATAAGAAATGTTGTTGTGGGACATTAAGGTATGAAGTACAGAAGAGCCTAGAGCTAAGGACTGAAAAAGGCATAGGGACGCCAATATCCGGCCAAGAAAGTATACCCAAGAAAGAAAAAAGAAAGCAACACCCGAACTCCCTGTGAACTGACGACAGACCTAGGTAACAGACTCGAGCGCAATAGTCGCTATCTAGTGGATCGCACATGAGAACTGATGTAACCCAAGAAACCAGAGCCACACAATGCCCGAGGAAAGGTCAGGAAGGGGAAATTCCATAAACCCGACGATCCATACCAGTTCACGCAATGGCGGTGCTCAACACGAGCACACACGATTTCAAAGCCAAATGATTTACACAATCTCGAGGCCTAAGCGTAGACCCTGCATAAAGCGACTCCACCAGTGCATCTGATAATCCACGCAGAAAGAGCGAGAATCGCCTAACCAAACCTAAGAAAGTATTTCCCACCTCGTTTCATGGTTATATGCACTCGGCCTGCCTGTTTGGGTATTTGACTTTTGCTTCAAGTTTCAGTTGCCTCTAGGGCTCTGACGATCTTTCTTGGCCAGTAGTTGAAATGGCAGTTGAAGTGTGTTTCTTCGGAGAATATCCATGTTATCTGATCTTATCTTCATCAGATTTGATTGATTAGAGAAAGTTCCTGAAAACGCCACATTATTGAGACAAGCCATGAAGGTTTGTATTAGGGTTGCCCTGGTTTCAAAGTTTTCATTCTTGTGCACTGACCGTTTATGTCCCCGCAGTGACGCGACACCCGCTAGATCCCGCTTTCGCCGCGGTTTCCTCGGGATTTGTGCTATTTCAAATCACTGAATTCGTACAGGGTGAATGGAAGGTCATATGAGCTTTTCAAATGAACACAAAATTAGTTGAACAGCCGCACTAACAAGTAGCGCAGTATTCAAGATTTAGGGAGTAATATTATTGAGTACATACTCAGGTATCTACTTGCTCCCGTTACTTTGTAGACTACACTGGAATGTGATATCGATTGAAGAGTGATACCACTGAAACACCTTTACCGGTTATGAAATGGAGCGCGGTATTCGAACACCGGAAATTTAGTTGAATATTCTCCATAACCGCATTTGAAGTAGCGCAGTATTTGTAATTCAGAAAAGATGTTACGTCAAGTATAAAAGGAAGGTTCACCTCGCTCATTTCACATTAATATACGACATAACGCTTCATAAGAGCCATGATATAGGTAAGAGAAGCCATGCAATGCGGCCTAATCGATCATTTTCACGTGAAGTGTGGTTCGAGTTCCCAAATCTCCCTTTTAGTACTGCTTGCCGCTTTTCGCTTATTAACACCAAGTAGAACTAAGCATGCTATAGAATTGGCGCCTATGTTTCTCCATGTTCATGAAAGTTCTTTGATTCAAAATCTGGGGAAGCTCTCCGATAAACACCCTCTACTCCATGGGCTCCTTCTTAAATAACTTTAGAATAAGCTCGTTCTCACATGCAGCAGCAACATCAACACTAGTTCTCTGTCTCTTGTCCTCAAACATTGGATCCAACCCCATTTCCATCAGCCGCTTGAACCGCCCCACACACGCGCGTTTAACTCTCGGGCGCCAAAACATACGTCTTGCCTCGAGTTCAATTCCTGCAATGACATGGAGTAAAGTAGAGCCGTCGTTACTTCGGGAGAAAACATCTGCGCCTGATTCCAGGAAGAATTCGAAGCTGGAATCTTCGTCCGTCTGAGCTGTTCCCTGGCCCAGTCCTCCATCATTCTCCTTGACGAGACTGAAGAGTGGCGTTTCTCCACTTTTGTTTTGCGCGTTGATGTCGACCCCTGATATCATGAATCGTTCGAATAGGTCTTTATTTAATATGGGGGATGTAGAAAAGTGATGGAGAGCCGTGTCTCCATTCTTGTCTGGTTGAAGGGGATTTGCTCCATTGTCCAGGAGAAATTGAATTAGGTTATCTCGTTTCTCACGCAGGGCATGGTGGAGAGCAGTCTCGCCGGCTTCGTCGGTCTGGTCCACGAGACTCGGGTTGGCCGCCATGGCGGTCTTGAGTGCCTTTTTGACGGAATTTTCAGAGATCAAACGCCCGATGTGATGAAGGATCGTTCTCCCCTTGTTGTCCTGGGCCAAGACATTTGCCCCACGATTGATCAGTTCTTCAAAGCAGTTCATGGAGTTGTACTTTTCGTGTGATTTGTTGTCGTAAAACATTTCACTGCAATTTTTGGACGCAGCTAAGATCAGCGTGCACCCGTTCTCATCACGGCGCTCGGTATCCAAAAATGCAATCTTGAAGATTGGATCAAATATATGGCCATCACTCAAGAGCTCGTGGATTACAGTCGCGGTTGTGACTGGGAACTCCCTGCGCTCTTCAGCGCGCAAACCCCCATGCGGAATGTACTGAATTTTCTGCTTGGAAAAAGTGGCATATGGATCTGCTCCGTACTTCAAAAGCACATCTACTAATTGCATTTGAATTGCAGTGTTCGAATTCGGTTCCGCTGATTGACTGCGAGGGCGGCCCGCGGCTGCGTATAGCAGTGGTAAGGTCCCGGCACCGACGGTTTTGAAACGATCCGGAGAACTACCGTAGGAGAACTCCGTCGGAAGATCCTGCCTCAATATTGATTTTCCGCTATGGGAAAGAAGTGCCTCCAAAATTTCGACCTGCTTATGGTTTAGAGCAGAGAGTATGGCGGAAGGGCTGGCTTCAGCACCATGTGCAATCAAAAGTTTGATGAGATTCAGGTCGTCGCCAGCCTTTGAAAGACACGTTTTGCCAGTGTTGTCAGCCGCATTGACATCTGCACCTGCTTCTATGAGAACTTTAAAAGCTTCCTTGGAAAATGGGTGATGGGTATTCAGGGCAATGATAAGGGGTGTCTCTCCTTCCCTGTTCCGAATATTAATGTTTGCGCCCATTCGAATCAAGTACGGTAACGCTTTGTCCACATGCCACCAGAGCTTTCCGAGGGCAAGGTCATGCAAGACCCCCTTGGTAATTGATGGAAGGAAACCCCCGTCACGAAAAATACGTTCCGTGCATTTCGCATTTGTGTTAACTCCAAAGCCTTCAACAAGAAGTTTCACGACGTCCATATTGGGAAGCTGTCTTTCACAAGCAGATACGAGCAATGGTGTACTGCATTGGTGTAGGTTGCCTTCGTCTGGATCGAGGGCCCAGTCAATGCCGTCAAGCTGGGCCGCTATCTTCTGAGTACACATACGATCAAGAATTTCAGTAAATCCCCATCTCGCAAGCATATTCCACGCTTCGGATCCGTCAGAACCTGGATTCTGGAGGCTGTTGTCCCCTGATAGCTTTTCGAATAAGTCATAGTATCTCAAAGCCAGAGCATTCTCCACTGCGCGTTGTCGGGCATATTGGGCATCTGTCTGATCCCACGCGTCTTTCTCTTCGTCTTCGTCTTCTGGTGTCCAGCCCTCCTCTATGAATTCTCGCATTGCGCTCCGGCAATTAGTCGCAACTGATATTCTAAGCTCCCGGTCATATATCTCAGACCTGAGGTGTCTTGGAAGATATCCAGGGGGTGAGGTAGGTTGGATGAGAGGAGGTGGGAGACAAGAAATCGTATACCCAAATTCAGGCTTCGCGGCATTTCTCCAGGCATACTCTAGAGACTTGTAATCGCTCTTTAGGTCGATTCCATGTTTGACAAGCAGATTCATGATCTCATTCAATCTTGTTGTATCATGTTCCGAGTTGATTCTTCCGAAGATGGGCTCGCCATCATTGTGAGCTCGATCAGGGAATGGTCGCGTGTCATCCTTCAGCATCAAGCCTGCTGCATTAAGACCTTTAATTGGTGGCGCACGCGGCGGTTGCACTGATGGTATTCGATAATCCCACAGCGAAGCTTCTTTCTCGAACTCCCCACATAATGCAAATGGAGAATTCCCATGGGTGTCAAGAACAGAGCAGACTGCTCCAGCCTCAAGCAAGGATTTGACAGTCTCCGGTCGACCGGAGCGGCATGCGTAATGAAGGGCAGTTCGTTTGTCTTTATCTCGACTGTTGACTAATTCCAGGCGGATTTTCTCAGAAAGTGACATGGCCTGGGATAATATCATATCAATGATGCCGGACTGTCGTGCACGCGCAGCAAGATGAAGGACTGTCATATTATCATGTGTAGCTGCGCGAATGTCGGCTCCAGCGTTGAGAAGTCTATGAAAATATACTTCAGAGATCGTAGCAGCGATGTGTAGTGGCTGGATACCTTTATTATCACTAACTGTCAGACATTCGGCCTGTCCAAGGACGTAGCCAAGGACTGTGTAACCTGATTCGTTGTCTTGGTCATACTTGAAGTCATCTCTCGAACAGACAGCGTGCAGAACCGTTCGACCGTCGTTATTGCGTTGGCTGATGTCCATGCCAATGTCCATCAATCGCTCCAATACCTCTCGCTTATTCCTCAATGACTTATCAGTGACAACTTCATGAAGTGGTGTGTTGCCAGAGTAGTCTGACACAAGAAAATCAGCGCCTAAGGTTTGGAGACGAGATAAAGTGGCCAGGCTGTTGATGGCACAGTGCCATAGGGTACGGCCTTTGTGATCACGCGTATCAAGACGTGCGCCCTGTCTAACGAGGTGGTCCAGTATTTTTGAGCCGCCATGAAGACCTCTCCATGATGACAATTGAGCAAAAAGAACTGACTGGCCCTCATTGTTGCGTGCTTCAAGGTCCGATCCGGCTAGCACCAGGCTTTCAATTATTTCGGGACCAACGTCATCGCCCATTTGGTGCAATGGAGTGTTTCCCGCGTTATTTCTTAGATTCGAATCGGCACCTGCATCCAGCAAAGCTTGAATCACCTCTTGGTGGAGGTGGAAAAAAGGGCGCCGCTTCAACATCAGGTGCAATGGTCCGTCTCCTTCGAAATTGGTCGCATTTACATCAGGCTTGTAGGCTAAAAAATCCATAATCCTCTGGTTGTGGCCCATACTGTCTTTTATGCGACAAAGCAATGGAGTCATTCCATCGATTCCTCTGGATTTATTAATATCCACTTTCCCACTCTCTAAGAGCAGTGGTACAGCTTCATCCCTGAATAAAGATGAGAAATGCATAGCTGTCTGTCCAGCGTTGTCCTCGGTGTTAGCATCGGCGCCTGCATCCAGCAGAGGCTTAACCAATTCGATGGATGATTTGACTGCATAGTGCAAAGCTGTCGAGCCACTAGAGGTCATCGCATGGACATTGGCACCAGCTTTGATAAGAGCCTTCACACATTCAGCGGGCTGACTGCAAGCCTTTTGCATGATATCAGACATTATGCACAGAGCATGGAGCGCCGTGAACCCCCTTCCGGCTTCTGAATCAGAAGTTTCAATTCGTAAGTCGGGTCTTGAAGAACGATATTTGGATATAGCTCCTTCAATTTCTTTGGTACTTGCACAGAACACGTTGGGGTCCGCGCCAGCCTTTATCAGGACTTCGATTGTCTTGAGATCCGTACTCATGCAAGCCACGAACAGCGCGGTATCACCTTGCAACTTGGCGTTGACATCAACTCCGGGCTGTTGCAAAATCAGATCCGCAATGTTAGATCGGCCTTTCTCAGCGGCCCAATGTAGCGCTCGGTGCAAATCATCCAAAGTCTTTAATCTCGGAATCAACTCGACCACTGTCTCTAGATGACCGGCATAGCACGCATACATCAAAGGAGTGTGACCTTTGGTACTAGGTCCACGAGCGGGAGGTACACATCCCCAGCTGCCTATCGGGGGGTTTTCCCTTGTCTTCGGGGTCAAGGGACTGACCCCAGCAGCGAGTAGAACCTTGACTACATCCACGAAGTTCGATTTAGCGGCTATGTGCAATGGCTTTAGCCCTTCGCCCAATTCAGCATCGGGGTCAGCTCCATGATCAATGAGCAGCTGAAGCACATCGGCGTGGTTGTATGATGCTGCCCAGTATATGGGCAGACTCGCAGATTCTCGGTCCATGACTTCACCGCTGGATAAAGTTTGATTTGTGAATTGAGCTAGGCCAGTTAGAGCAGCGACGTGAAGGGGCGTAACGCCCTCAATTTCCCGATTTGGCCAGGCTATATTCAGCCAAGCATTGTATCGATGCTTCTCCGCAAAAAAGGTATCAAGATGTTCGTGCAAAGTTTCCAGGTTTTCGCCCGATTTCTCTGCCCGATAGGCATGCTTGTACCAGTTGTTCGAAGCGTACTCTGAGAATGGAAATTGCAATCGTAATTCGCGGTCTTTTGTCTCCTTGCCATTACTTAATCGGCTACGGCTTTTCCTCGGTATGACGTTCGTAATCTCCATTTTGTCAAGACATCCTGCCCGCAGATACCCCAAACAAGCTAAAGCAAGGCGCAGGTTGGTTGCACCAGGTTCAAAGATCGGATATTCAGACTCTTTCAAGACGCTCGATCTGGTATAACCTTTGAGAAACTCGGTAAAGGAGTGATGGATAACCGACACAGTTTCATCGGGCAAGATTTCCAGAAGGGGTCCGCAAGCAGCTCTGACCAGGTCTTTGGTTTCTTTGAGGGTTGAATTGCTACCAGAACTTGCGTTCAGCACTTCAGCAATCTCAAGAAGTCGCAGCGGGCGTGTCGCATGAGTAACAAACTGAAGGATAAGAAGTTGGAGCTCGGAAGGTACATTCGATCGCCGAGCATGCTCCCGTAGCAGTTCATTGAACATGGCGTTAAGATCCATCGGTAAAGCGTTCAAAACATCTTGCACATGTGCGCCTGGCTCAAGAAAGGCATTCATGGACATTTTTGCATACAAAAACATACCATTTGCCCGACCGGGAACCGCCTTTTGAATAGCATTCCAATCTTCTTTGTCGATGGATGAGTTGCGAAGCTTATACTGAACATATGCTGCGATATCAACATCTACTAGTTTTTCTTCTAGTCGAATTTGCTGGATAGAATATGATCTCAATGGCATCTCCAACCGGGCTATTGGGCGCGAGGTCATCAAAACCTTGATGTTTTCTGGGCGCCATTGACCTAGATCAACCAAAGCCCTAAGAAAGTCATCATTTCCTGGATCCATCTCATCCAAAGCATCCGTCACACAATATGCCTTCTGGAATCCACGTAATGCCATCTTAAGGTCATTCCACAGATCTATCGATGACAGGTTGTCAAGAGACCGATCTTCTTGAAGATAATTTTGAAGTTTGACTTGCAGTGGAGGGCTATAGTCTAGAACCTGACACAGCCAATCTCGCAACGCAACGATGGGCGTATGATTAGCGTCAATGATCTGTCGGAAGAAAAAGTAGATCACTGGGACATTCATCTCCTGCAGTTGCTTAATTATAGAAGCAGCCATGACGGACTTGCCAGAGCCTGGTATGCCTTTGATCCACAGCAGCCCATTATCACCAGAGTGCCACTGCTGATAAATTTGACTTGATGTAAGCCAAGTACCAGTCCCCAGTAGGTGCGAGGCGCGGTGCCTAGAGTATTCGCTTCTTTCCAAGTCGTATGGAGTTGGCTGAAGCCATTTGGTGATTTCGGCAAGTTCTTTTGCCGGCAGTGGGAGTATGTTATCAGAATTAAAATCCTGAACGTCTCCTGCTTGGATCAGGACGGTGTTGCTGTCGGAGTCTGATAGAGACATGATTACATGACCTTACTACTCCCGGGTGAGAGTGTGGACAAGAGGTCATTATATGACAGAAAGTGGAGGCCTAAATGTAAGCGCTTAGGCTAAGACACGGTCAATGCACATGCTTAGCCTCTGCCTATCACTCTGCTCCATCTTTCAACGTCCCGCACGTGGCCCACACCGTCACATTAGAGCGATTTTTCATACAAAGGAAATGAGGCGGAGCATCTGAGCAGGGATGTGTTCAATATAGCGATTGGCCTGAAATTGTCAGCCCATCGATCCGGGGTTCCGGATGGAGCTTCTTAAACACCACGGAATTAGTTGAACACCCTCACTAGCCGCATTTTGAACGAGCGCAGTATCCGAGGTTCAAGGAATAATGTTATTGAGTACATACTCAGGTACCTACTTGCTCACGCTACTCTATAGACTACGCTAGAATGGTAAGTTGATTAAAGAATACCTTTCTTAACCTATATCATGGCTCTTCTGAAGCTCTATCTCGTATAGTACATGTCTATCAATTTGATCACGTATTTGAACAGCGAAAAAAAACAATACTATCCGGTTCTTGTCCATAAAACTTTTATTATGTCCAATAATCAAATCGTCGAGCGCTACCTCGTAAATACAATCCACCACTAAAAGCATAAGAAGGCAAAATCAGGTAATGAGCTATGTACAACGAAGCGAATGGGAAAAGCATGGAAACAACTTATTGGGACCGCCGGGCCATAAAGTATGTAAGCAGATTCAGTGACCCCTCCCCAGCCGGGGGAGCAAGCTTCTGAACTCGATCCAGACCATATTTGAGATTTAAAAGCGTGCAAAGTTCAGTAGCCTGCTTGCGCACACCGGGCCAGGGGTGACCGAGTTGTCGGCTGACCACGTTACCAACGCTGGCGAGAACCTCATCAGAGATCTCGACAGGCCCTTGCTGAAGCGCTTGGTGGATTGTGGAAAGACCCAGGATGATCGATCGATACGAGTTGGCATTCTGTGCACCCTCTTCGGGCATTCCTTGCAGCACACCTTCGATGCAGGTTGCAGTGGGGACCAAAGCCGCCAGTTGTTCAGCCACTTCCTCCAAGCACGTTACGAAGTGTGAGTTCGATTCGTAGTGTTGGCGGGTCCGGACGATCGCCGCGATTACAGGAGCATCGTACCGATGGAATAGATCGCTAGTGCGGATGAGCATGGATCGGATGGTAGCCAGGATCTGGGTCTTCACGTCATGATCCTTGCGGCTCGTGGGGGCCAACTCCAACTCATTGAGCAAAGCCTCCAGTACTGCGTAGTAGTCTTGCTCGTGAGTTACAAGCTCTTCGCCATGGTATTGGAAAAGGCCTTGCAGCTTGCGATAGCCCGAGATATCCATGACCTTGATCGTGATTCGGGTGAGAGCCTTGGGTAGCATCTCCTTCGCGTTGGCGGGGTCCTTTGATCGGGGACTAGGGCTGCGATGCCGCTCAGCCCATTTACGGCTTCGGCGCAGAGTTTCCTCGCCTGTTGGTTGAGGTTCAACAGATTTGTATCTCATTTCTGATGTCCTCAGGGCCGATTCGTTCAATGGTACCTCCTCCAGAGCACCGGGCTTTGCAGCAGACCGCGGGGTTCCAGGATATTCTGTTGGTTTAGCAACACGTTCTGTTACATTCTCATTGGTAGGAGTCCTTTCGGGGCTACCCATGATAGATTCATGTATCCCCCCATTATCAGAGGGTGTCGCCTGGGGTCGGTTTCGTGACGGCGAAGGGCTGCCCCTGAGTGGCGTCCTTCGTACTGGGGACGGGAATTGGGGCTCGTTGGTTCCATCGGTAGAGAATCCCTGGTAAGGAGTCATTTGAGGAGGTGGATTCTTGATTGGAGTAGTGGATTCCGCGGGTGTGGCTGCCGCTATCTCGTGGTCAAGATCTGGCTGGTCTGGCTCAACACGGCGAGGTGATTTTGTAGGTGTTAAATGCTCAACAGGATCTATCCGCGGTGTTGCCTCGGCAGCAACAGGAGTGGCAGGATCCTCATATATGACCATCTCCTCGGGTTGTGCCTTGGCGAACTCAGGAACATAAAATGGGTCTGAGTTGCGTGAGGGCGTCGAAGGTTCACGACGAGGAGTAGCTGCAGTCGGGTGATCTTCTAGCGACATGGACTCTAGCTCTAATGCTGGCTCTGGCTCTCTTACGGGCTCCGGAGTAACAGTACGAGTATCACGGGTTTCCACCTCGTGATGATGTTGAGGGTGCGTCGCAGAAAGCGGAGGGCTTTCCAACACAATCTGAGCGGGAGAGTTCGGTTCTTCATAGTCATGGTCAGCTTGGCGGGCTTGCGAGGGCTGATTTATGCTCTCATTGGAATCACTACGACCATGATGGGCTGCTCCTGCCAGATCCCCATGCGACTTGGATTTCGAGAGGTCAAGCTTCTTAGGCTTGCCCCTAGTGGTACCAGATTGAGTCTCCTGCGGTCGAAGACGAGGTGCATTGAGGGGTTTCGACGAAGGAGTTGATGTCTTGGATCTGACCGATCGTGGGGACAGCGTTGCCTGTCTAGCCGTTTGGGTCCTGGATTCAGGTCGACGAGCATATGGGTCAGCGGTCGCAGGGCGGCTCAATTCAGGCCTCCGAGGTTTCATAGCAGGCCTCATGGGTGCAGAGGACATGGATGAAAGAGGTGCACCAGTAGGAACGGTCCGTACGGCCGGTCGGGGTGCAGGCTCTGATGACTGGCTGTCAGTAAATGCGGACTGAGCAGACTCCGGGCGAGAAGTCATCTGAGCCTTCTTACGAGCAGCAATAGCTTCCTTGAGGGCAGAACGCGGTGCTGGCTTGCTAGAAGGTTTAGCCTGTTGAGCCGCATTTGGGTTTGAAGAGTCTTTTTCCAAAAGACTTCGTGATTTCGCATCCAAGTCGGACAAAATTCTTCAGAATGTTAGCAAATGAATTGATGTTATATAAAAAGTCACATACCCATTGGCTCGATCAGGCCACACACCAAAAAAGGTCCAAAAGGTACCTCTAGTGGCCTCGCGTACTCCGGGGTTGGCATCAGCTAATCCTTTCTTAATGGACTTTTCGATTAGATCTAAACCACCACCATGTTCAACAGTGCTTTTATGATGAGCCTGTCGGCTGATTAATGTCCGCAGCCATCCAGCAGCAAAAAGCCGTAGCCCGACATTCTTCTCTTGTGATGCCCAATGAATATGCTGCAGAATACGAATGTTGAATGTCACACTTCCAATGACTGCATCAACTGTTGCGTTGCCGTTCTGTGCCGCGATCTTTTTCAAGGCGGAGCATAACTTGATTAAGTTCTGCATGATGATCTCAACCATGGGATCGATTCTTGGGCCGCAAGTCCGTGCGATGTCTTGAATCAAAAGACATCCGTTGGTACAAAGAGTAGTTCGCAGTGAGTGAACCACTTTGAAGAATCCATCCAGTAAAGTTTTGGTGGCCTGCAGAAAGCTTTGAGGAAAGTCATGAGGCGCATTACCCCTGGTAAGTCTTCGGAAAAGGATGACGCTCTTTTCACGTTTCAGCCAGTTATCTTCGGACTCTCTACCATCAAACCAAGGGAGCATATCGCGAACAAGGTCATCAATGTCTCTGCTCGAGCTAACAAGATGTGGCTCCACTCCTGCATCTTCCGAGGATGTCTGAACGGGCGGTTGTTCGGCGGGCGTTTTTGGTCTGGCAGGGGCATCAGAGCTAGAGGCAATTGGTCGATCAAGATGATTTCTTGAGGCTGGTCGGCTTTTCATAGGTTCCGGTTCTGGATTGTCGTTAGATTCATTGGTGAAAGTTGGTGATGGCGAGTAATTTAGTAACAGACCATCTTCATGCAGGTCTACTGCGTGTGAACGTGACGACATCACTGAAATGGGTCGCTCAGCACGAGAAATGGGGCGGGCTGAGCTCTCGGGCTCGGCAGATGTAAGTCCAATCCCGGACAAAATAGCACTAGCAATTGATTTCCTCACACCGCGAGCGCCTAGCTGTTTCTGTAAATCAGATTTGGCTCTGGAGGGAGCAGTCCTGGATTCACAGTTTAGTATCAAGATTGTAATGATTCTTGCAGTTTATCATACCGAAACAAATCAATGACAACCACTTTTGCTGTATCTCGAACGGAACTATCCGCGCTTTCTAAGCATGCGACTAGTGATGGTACATACTGGCGGAACAGCAGACCATGGTTTCTCGTCATCTAAATTGATTGTCAGGGCCTGTTTCTTTTCTCCAGTCGTCAAGAAAACGCACATTTGACAGCCAAAGAAGACTCGTTTCCTTGGCCCGGGGGTTTTTGCCCACCAGGGCAACCTCAAGAACATGATACTCGACCTCAGTGCCAGCCAAAGGCCACAATTCGGTAAATATCGATGCAGCCTGTGCTCTTATCCGTTCCTTGTGGTCACCAAGCTTCTCTGTAAGAATAGGATAGAAGTTGCGCGCTTGTGAAATAATCCACTGTTGTTGATCTTGGATTGTCAGGCGCTTCAGGAAATGACCCAATGTAGAAAAAGCCCCACTGGCAACTGAGTAGTGTTGGGAACTCAAAGCCAGCCGAATTGTTTCGAATATTGTTGCAATAGCACCCTCGGGTACATTCTTCTGTTTGATATCGGACTTGATGCCGGTGAGATGGGCAACTTTGGCGTCAACTGAGAGATTTGGATTTTTGAAGGCTGCTAGCAGCTCTGCGGCTTTGGCCTCCATTTTTGACTATGAAAAATAGATATTCTTCGTCAATCAGATCATAGGCAAGCACCAGCGATGGTGCGGGATGAAGTCGGAAACCTTCGATAGTTTGCGCCGGGAAGAAGAGGCTAAGGAGAAGCTCGAGTCGTGTATTCGGGACCGTCTGCTATTTGAAATTAGTTCCGTATATACCACAATGCTGATGCGCAACGTTCACGCGATCGAAGGGAAATGAGTCCCCGGAGAACAGATGACGTTAGGCAACCACAGCGCAAACGAGACCGAGGAATTTTCCAACCGGGTATAAGCGCAAACGAAGAGCGCATTGAGAAAAACATGGAATAATCACGTACCGAAGCGACTGTTGAGACTCAAGACGTGGACGTGGACGTGTGAAACCGTGGATGGTGGGATGTTGACAACCTTGCTCGGGAAAACAAGGGGCTTATCGCCGATAAGATAATCCCGTCTCCACTGATGCGCTTTCCGATGAACTCCAGGGGCTCTAATTGAGGTAATTGTGGATGTCAGCTCAATTTGATAGGATCATTGTGCAACTTATGATCAATTTAGTCTATGTCTATATCCAGAGGCTTCCAAAATTCCTGTTGATGTAGGTGGACTCAATCTCAGCCCAACGTCGCTTTGTTTACCTGGGGTTGCAAAGGGCAACCATCGACAAATCCAGTTACACAGATCATGGATAAGCATTCTACAAGATTCCGAGTATATTCTGTCTGACATCATCTAAACTGATGCGGGCGCATGCAGAATCTAGTTTGAACTAGCCTTCGAGGTCAAGTTCGAGTGTTGGATACTGCGCTCTAGATTGAGCTTCCAACCCGTCATTGAAATATATACAAGGCGTGTGATTAGGGATTGCCTTGAGCTTTTGAGAATTGGGTGACGAAAATTCATGATCTAATTGATTACACATCAATCTCAGCCCGTCTACTGATACTTAACAATTTCCTACCCATTGCGAGCCTCGGTGAAACTATGGATCATAGAAGCTAGGGAAGTGGGCGATATCCCTGGGTCAGCTCTCCCCGCTTTCCTCACTCTATGCTCAGTCTCACCTTATCTCCACTTTGAATTCACTAAAGAGAGCCTCAAATTCCAATCCCTGGCTGCCAATCAGAAATTCATCGATTTTTCACATCTATCAGTCATTGGCATTGAGGTTATCCCATGACCGAACTTACAATGGCACCAAACCCCGCCCCGACAGCGATCCCCAAACCCAATGGGCCGAGCTCCAACCCCAAAGGACAAGATAGTCAGAACCTCCACAAGAACAAAATCCCACAGCCCAAACTGCGTCTCCATGTCCAAGAGCTCCGGCACCCAGCTTCCGTATCATTCTTCACCCTCATCCCAGATGTATCCTCAGCCCTCGACACAGCCCTCTGCAACATCGTCCAATACCTCTACACAGAACCGCAGAGATCCAGCAAAGATACAACGAATGGAGAAGAAAAGAGAAAACTATCTTTCGAAGCTTCCATTCCCCCAACCCGATCCGTAACGCTCTTTCTCCGGAATTTCGGCGGCGTGGCTTACACAACGGGCACTGAGCTCGACGACGACCATAAGGAGATCCATCTATCACTGCAGTACATTCAATCATGCACATCTGGCCCATCTGCCAAGGCCGATCCACTTCATGAGCTACTTGGGGTGCTGACGCATGAGCTGGTGCATTGTTACCAGCATACCGCACCCAAAGCCGCTGGCAATATGCCTCGTCCGCCAGGCGGTTTGATTGAGGGGATTGCGGATTTCGTACGGCTAAAGGCGGGTCTGGAGCCGCCGCATTGGAAAAAACCGCAGTCTTCGGCAGACAGAGCGAAGGATTGGGATGCTGGGTATCAGCATACAGCGTACTTTTTGGCGTGGATTGAGGATGTTTTTGCCGGAGAGGGGGCTGTTGGCATGCTTAATGATCGGCTGCTTAGAGTCGGTTATCTGGGCGAGGGCAAAGATGAGGATAAAGTGAGCCCTGGATTTTGGGAAGGTCTTTTTGATGCACGAGTTGAGACTCTGTGGGAGAAGTATGGCTTGTGGTTGGATGGTCATTTTCAAGATGAGAAAGCTCGTGGAAATTGGGAAGAGGAGATCCTTAATCCCGAGTCATAGAATTTACGATTTAGATAGTCATTGGAAAAGGTACTTTTATAATATGATTTTATTGATGTAGTACATTTGGTGAGCACCTCTATACACCAGTGCCGAGACCAAGAGTGATGGCCTGGTCTCGTAGTTCGACCAATTTCTAGCTGGGAGTGAAGTGTAGCCAGATAAGCAAATGAAACATTGACAAAAGGAAATTCCAAAATAAATAAAAGACACCAGATGAATCGAAGGAATCAAATGTCCCATACTATACAGTATCCAGTCATGCAAAAGACAGGAGAAGACTCTTTTTTCCCAGACCTGCTTCCCATGCAAAACCACCGCACACCGGAAAAGGGAGGGAAATAAAGAACAATAAAAAAACATGGAAGAATATGCTACCGCGTCCCAAGGATTTGGGGACGCTATTTCTCAGATACTTAAGTGATCACCTCACCCAAATCAACGTGGGCAGGCTCCCAGGGCGAGGCACCTTCCTCTTCCATAGAGCTGGGCACCCGCACGTTGAGCGGGCTGTACAGATACCAGCCCTTCAGCGCAGAGAGGGCTGCGCGCTCCCGAGCCTCAAGCAAACTGGCGCCAGCGCCCTCACCCAGCTGGTCCTGGCCAGAAAAGATACCAACCACAAAGACAGGGTGTCTGCTGAGACGACCAGTCTCACTGGTGATCTTGGCGACGGGCTTCTCGAAGTTCTCACGCGCACACAGACGGGCCAGGTCACGGGCTGGCTGCGAGAAGTTGAACAGATCTGAGATGTTCAAGCTTCGGGAGAGGATGTGTTGTTCAAAGAATCGCTTGGCAGCGGGACGACCGGCGTGCAAGTAAACTGAGCCCATCAAAGCGCGCACGAAGGTAGCACTGGCCTGCTCGGCTGTAACACCCTCGCCTGGGGCAGAAGCCCCCTTGATCGGGTCACCGAATTCATCATCATAGAAGATCTTTGAGGTGACCGTCTTCCTCCACTTCGCGGCGTTGGCATATGGCCGTGGTGTCTTGACATCATCTGTGGCTGCATTCACGTCGGTTCCAGGCTCAACCCTCCGGAATTGCAGATAGCCAGGGTCGACTTCTCCACCCGGCGCCGCGGCGAGGTCAACACCCCATTCTTTGGCCATGGCGGCCAGGGTCTTGGGACCAACATAAGCGTACATGGCGGCGAAGATGACGGTCAAAGGCAGGCGGGGGTATTTGCAAAGGAGATATTCGGAGGTGTAGTAGGTGAGGAGATCATGACCAAGGGTGGCCAGCGATTCGTTGTTGAAATCGGCATTAGGATCCGCGGAGGCGTCCACCAAAGTCCGCGCAAGCGTCTGAACGGGTAGTCGGGAAGGGAGGTAAAGGCGAGCGTGAAGGGCGGCAAGTTTGGCGGAATTGGTTGCGGCTTCAACCGGAGGGGATGGATATTGCAGCTGAGACTTGCGCTTGTGAGCACTCCTGACTTGGCGCATCACCTCGGGATCCTCAAAGGTTGTTCCAATTGAGGCATCTTGTGGCTCGGTTTGAAGAGGCGCGGCAGTCGATTGATGCCGTAAACTGGCAGAGTAGAGATGTTGATGCAGTCTGTTAACAGTCCGAGCTCGCGGCGAAAGAACTGTACTGCTCCATCGTTGGAGCTGCAGCCGCTTCATCTGGGCGGATGTGGACAGAAACCGAAACACAAAATCAAATTAAAAACAATTGGGCCACGCTGCGTCAATGGGGGATGGGATTCGGAGGCGTGCGGCCAATTCACGGGGAGAGAAAAGAGAAATTGTTGCCAGTCACGGGATCTTGGTCTGGTCGTGTGAGTACACGCTAGTCTATATACGGTAACTAAGTCTTGGCATTCGACCTTCGAATTGAACGGCCCTCTCGGCTTCAACCGCAGAAGAGACCTTCCTCAACTCGTCCCTCTTTTTAATCCCCAACAATCTTCCAATTCAGTCCTCACAATGGGTGGTGGCGGAAAGATCGCGTATGTCTCAACTTCTGGAAATTTCAATGGTGGATGCTAACGAATTATTGCTGCGCAGGTACCCCAAGGAAGTCTGGTCCCCCGCTGGTGGCTGGTACTCCCGCCCGGCGAACTGGAAGGCCAACACTGCTGTCATGGGTGCCTTTGTGATTGGCATTGCTGCTATGGCTTTCAGCCTCAGTGCGGACCGCGAGTACCGCGACAAGATGCCCGAGCCTGGCCGATTCTTCCCTAGCCGATAGTCAGTCCACCCCCGACTTTATGCCTCTGGTCCGAAAGACATTCTGAATGCTGACCCTGGACTTCTTCCATTATAGCTGGAGCCGACAGATCAGAGAGCACGAGGCAGCACAGGCCGCGAAGAACGAGTCATAGAGAACGGTACCGATGCTACACAGCTATGGGAGGATTTCCAGCGTGACGGGACGTTTCTTTATTGTGTTATTTTTACTATCATTTCATCATTCCCTGGCTGTACGAAAATAGAAGGGCGTTCCCAATCAACCATTGATCAATCGGTCAACAGGTGTCTCTGGGGAGACTCTTGCAATGTCTTGAATAATCGCTGCGTGTATAGGCGGACCCGTTCCGCGAATTCAGTTTGATTCCACAGCTCTTTTCCATTGTCCACAGAGATCTGAGGCACTCCGATCTGCTCCACCACAAATCCGGCCGCGACAGTGGCGCAGATGAGTGCTCCCAGCACATCGCGACGCTGGCCCCAGGAGTCCATGGCTTGTTTCCAGCTCTCAGAGGGTGACAAGGTGGACTCGATGATATCGAACGGTTCCCGACCGGCAGTTACCATTCCCTGTGCTAATGCGCCAAGGAACGAATTGCCCGCACCTGTAGGGTCTAGCACGGCTGTAGCACCCGAAGTGTTGGGTTGGTGGTAAGCAGGGAGCCAGAGCTTCTGGTCTCTTGAATAGGCGTAGCTTCCCTCTTTACCCGCTCGAATGACCATGCATCCATCCCCATTTGGACCAATGCCGGCGTTAATAATCATCTGGACTAGAGCTTGGCTTTCTTCACTTTCCACGGTCCATCCGGGCTGATCAAACATCATACCCAGCTCCATATGGTTAGGGCTCACCACATCAACAACACGATTTGCCTCGAGAAATTTCCCCTGCTCTTCAGGTGTACAGAGATCAGGGACTGGTTCCCAGACAAAGATGGGGCGCTGTAAAGCATGCTCCGTAGAAGGTGCTTGGCCCGCTTCCCGCAGCTGCTCTCGTCGTTGGAGGATATCATGAACAATAGAAATGCAACGGGCTGGGGAGCAGACCATATGAAAAGTGCGGGACCACACCTGTGTGTCGGAAAGCATGTATGGCTCTAACCTCAGCTTGGGAGTAAGATACTTGAAATCTGCATCTGGTCAACGATCTGCATAGGTCCAAGTAAAGTGATCTGGCTTACCTCGCTTTTCATCCGGGTGGTATCCATTCCAAGCCCTTGTTGTGAGCCTGCTATGATCTTCTCTGATAACACAGTCTGTTCCCCATGATTTGATTACCGCGAGAGTCTCCGGTGGAAAGTCGGATCCCACATCCACAATCCAACTCACGGCGTGTCCATGCCTCGACCCCGCGACTAAACGGGCACCGACAACAGCATAAGAGGCAGCTCCTCCAAGTACATTCTTAACGTCAGGCCTGGACCCTCCAAATTCAATGTCATCTAAGATATTCATCAGTATCTGGCCTGCGGGGTGTCAAAATACCTTGGAAAAGACATACCTATTATGAACATTCCCAACGTGCAAAACTCAACCTCACCCTTCTGGGCATTAGGAAACTCTGTTTCGACCATATTTGTTACGATCTATGAGGGCAAGCTAACAGTAGAAGAAGAGAAACAAGTGTATCAGTGCTATCGGAGAGTGAGTTAAAGTGGGCCTGATTGTAGTGGAGCGTTAGTAATGTAATTACCAGTCATACGCTCATCCATAGTGAAAGTGGAGCAGCTTTGAAGTATGTAAGTTACCGTTGCTGGGTCAAGCTGCGGGAAACCTCAGGAGAGCTCGGAGGCCTCTACATCATTCGTGTTCCATAATTTCTCCCCCTGATACTTGGTGCGAGTGTTCGGTCTTGCATACTACAACTCCACAGAGTCTGTTGAGCTCTTATCTCATCCCAAATTTATAAACTACACTCTTTGCGCCCCAACTCGTTCCCCTTCATAGAGAACAACGTGTTGCCTAACATGGCGAGCGGCAACCATATGCACAATTTCACCACCCTCATCAAGCGGTATGTGTTCTCTTTGATGACAGCTTGAATATCAGTACTTGATTGGATTGGTGTTCCAATTCGGCCCAAGCCTTCTTCCGGCCCTAGTACATTCGACTGATCCGACCCAATAGGCTCGAGGCGGCGACCTCACGCTTGGAGGACATGGCCATGTCCTTGGATGATCCCAACGACCCAAAGAGCGCCGGAACCCCTACTGCTGCCACGCCTGCAGTCCCTGAGCCCCCGAAGCCCGCTCCTCCGCCACCGGCCGCCCCGGCCGCCGCTCCAATTCCGCCTCAGATCCAAGACTTCGACGCATTAATCAAAGGAGATGTACAGAACTTTGTGAACCTGGGTGAGAAGATCGGCGGTCTGGTTGCAGAGCAGGTAGGTTTATCTGGAAGGATAGTATACCAGGAAATTGGTTGCTGACTGTTCAATAGTCCAAAGCAGTTCTGCAGGCCTTCCAGGCTGAGCGTACCTATCTCTATGTCTCGACAAAGGCTAAGAAGCCCGAGCCCCAGCCCGTGGAGCTTATGACCGACCTTCACAAAGCCTCGGATAACATCAACAACATTCGCGAATCGAACCGCGCTTCCCCGCTGTTCAACCACTTGAGCGCTGTTGCAGAGGGTATTGTTACTCTGGGCTGGTTCTTCGAGAGCAAGCCTGCCGAGTTCGTGAAAGAGATGATTGGTGGTATTGAGTACTATGGTAATAAGGTCTTGAAGGAGTACAAAGACAAGTAGGTTTATCTTGAGCAACCATGAGGACCAACCAATTGACATACCTAGGGACCGTACACACATCGAGTACATCCAAGCCTACTACCAGAACTTTAAGGGTCTCGCCGCCTATCTTAACAAGCACTACCCCAAGGGTCTGACATGGAACGACGAGTCTGGAGTCGATGTGCTGGAGGCCTTGAAACAAATCAAGAGCGGGCCAGCCCCCAGCGCTGGTCCCGTCCCCCCCCCCCTCCTCCCCCCTCCCCCAGTCCCAACTCTTAACGTCCCTGGGGGTGCCGGCGGCCCCCCACCGCCGCCTCCTCCCCCTTCTGCCCCCGGCCCAGACATGTCCGCCGTCTTCGACCAGCTCAACCAGGGTGAAGAGATCACCTCCGGCCTGCGTAAGGTCGACAAGTCAGAGATGACCCACAAGAACCCCAACCTTCGCACAGGCTCCAGCGCCGTCCGGGGCAAGTCCCCCGCGCCCAGCAAGAAGCCCAAGCCGGAGAGCATGCGCACAAAGAAGCCTCCGCGCAAGGACCTGGAGGGTAACAAATGGTTGGTTGAGAACTTCGAGGCCCCAGAAGATATTGTCGAGATTTCTGCCGCGCAGAACCAGTCCATTCTCATCTCGCGCTGCAACAAGACTATCGTCAAAGTTAACGGCAAGGCCAATGCCATCGCTATCGACAACTGCAATGGTCTCTCGATCATTGTTGATTCCCTTGTCAGCTGCTTGGATATCATCAAGTCGCCCAAGTTTGCTTTGCAGATTGATGGTGTTGTTCCTACTGTCATGCTTGACCAGGTCGACGGTGCTACTATCTACCTTGGCCAGCAGAGTCTTGCCACTGAGGTCTTCACTAGCAAGTGCACTGCTGTTAACGTCACGCTCCCGCCCAAGGAGGGAACTGATGATGACACCAAGGAGTGCCCCGTGCCCGAGCAGCTAAAGAGCTACATCAAGGACGGTGTTCTGGTGACCGAGATTGTCGAGCATGCTGGTTAAGCCTGTACCTCGATGGAAAGTATATCATCTGTTCATGTAACTGTCTAAGAACAAAACCTTGTCCATAGAAATAATAGCGCTTTCTTGATATTCATCCTCCTGTTCAATCAATCAAGAACTTTCCCATACTCGATACTCTCGAAGGAAGACTTTAAGGCCATGACTATGAAATAACTGCCAGGGGTAGATCTGAAGCCCAAGGAAGCCTTATTTTATGTGGATGTTGCGCAGACGTACGGACGTGGAGAATGAGTTTTCAATGAGAAGAGATGTCGATGCCATTACTATTTCCAATTTATTCTCAAATTTCAAGAAAGAACGAAAAGCATGTGATTGCAACTCCAATGACACCATGCTATGCAAATGAATGAGTGAAAAAAGAGAAGGGTATATGCTTAACGACCCATGCGCCTGGTCTACCCTGGTTGGAAGAAATGAAGTAAGAGAAGATGAGAAACGACAGAAGGTATCGGAAATGAAACTTGGCGACAGCCAGTGTCGATCAAGCTGTAAATGTTCGTGGTTAGTATGCTCGAGTAGCTGCAAGTGACGCAGCCATGGATGATTTTTATATTTTGAGAATTCCTTTCTCTTTTCTTTTACCCGTGGCCTCAATGAGCCAGATGCTCTGGGCATACCTTGACGAGTTTTGGCTAAGAATCTCTCGCGAGTGGTGGCTGTGTAGTTGAGTTTCAACAGTCAAATGTCTCCTGTCTGTGGACATCTAGACCACGAAGTCGTTTGGCAAGTAAACTCTCACCGGTATCTGAGGTACCCTTGCCAGAGGGGTGGCCTCCATATCTAACATCGCCCTTGTTGAGCTTGTTGTAGAGAGTAGCATCCGCCTGCAAGGACTCTGGGAGACCCATATACTTTGACGTCCAATGCAACGCTTCGCTGGGAGCTTCACGCAAGAAAGGGACCATGCCTTGCCCGACGCTGCGTCTGCGAGCGGCTTTCTCGATTGCTAGCCTGGCATTGGCTGACGCTGATAGGGTGGGTTCTCGAGTGGGTTTGTATGGGCTGTAGCGAGGCTCTGGGAGTTGATTCTCATTACGCAGTTTCTCTTTGCCATCTGGGACTCGGTTTGCGAAGACAACTCGAATACTCGAGTGGAGGTAGAATCGACCTCTGGAGGGACAGCAGATATTGAGGTGGATGAGATATCGCAGAGTGGGCTTATCATGGGGGTTTTCCGTGGCGTTGAGAGAGGCCTCGGGACGATCAGTACCGTAATTCTTCCGGGCACTTAGCGGCATGTCGATAATCGGACCAGCAGAATAGCTCCTTTGCCGGATAAAGGTTTTAGTTCCCGGTTCCATATCACCAAGATCGTATGGTACAAGGAACAACTTTACTGCGGTCTTGTGGGGGTTCTTGATGATGATTTGCAGTTGTCCCTGCTGAGGGATCCGGTAGCACCCGCCTGGGGGGCATTTGGGCGACTCCGCTCTGCGGTTCTTCTTTTCCCGGCGACGTCTGGCATCTGCACTGGGGGCACGAGGAGCCCTGGGAGCGCCTTTCTCATTTCGAGGTCCATCTTCAACAGCTGCTGGGCTAAAATGGCGCCTACGACGCCGGGTGGTGCTTGGATCTTCCTTGGACAGCGAGTTCTCAAGATCAATTTGCCCCACGTAAGGACTCGGGCTATCATCCGAGATGGAACGACCACTACCTGAAGTGGGATAGCTATAGAAAACTGCCGGGAAGGGAACAGTGACATGCGGGGGACATTTCAAATGTCCTTTGCATTTGCCTTTCCCTAGGACACCGATTTGTGCAGTGAAGTCTAGAGGTTTGGAGGGGCTCATCGACATTCGACCTCGCAGGATTGATTCTTCATAGGATCCAACCATCGGCGCATGAGCTGTAGGACACAGATCAGAAGCAAGCGATGGCCGTCTTGCCCGATGAAGAGTGGCATTGCCCGTCGAGGCCAATTGAAGACTATATGCTGATGTCAATGTCCTTCGAGGGACGTGAGGCTGAAATTCATCATGGCCTCTGGGGGAATAAGGCGTGCGAATATCGACAGCTCGGATGTTAGGGGGAGAAGGTTGAAGATGTCGAAAAGACTCTGGTGGTAGGGTTCGTCGTCTGTTGGCTCTCTCCTCGGGCCCAATCTCTTTCGGATCAACCGGCGAAAAGTCAAGGTCGGTATTATTGGCTTGATACACGAGGGGACTTGTGGGGGCCTTCAGGACGTAACTTGACGAGAAAGACCCGAGTGACGGTGCTCTGGAACGGGTTTGTAGACCAAGCTCCGGCCGCTGTTCGCCAAAGACATTGGACTGCCCAGAAGCGGTCGAGAAGACGGACGGCCTAAACCATGGTGTAGTAGGGGATGTCCCTAGATGAGGAGAGAAGGGGCTAGGCTGTGTGAACCGAGGCCGAGGGGACGACGGAGGAACATTCACTGCCCCTTCACGGAAATCACCAGAGTGTAATGCAGACCGAGGTCTCTGGATATCAGCCGGCGATCCTAGTTCCTCTGTCTGGTGTGTCGAGTTTATATAGCTTTGAGGCCCCGCTAGATTCCCCTCGTCAATGTTCTCTGCATTTTGCTCAGAGTCATGGGACAGACAAAGCTCATCACTATGATCGCTATTCTGCGATTTTATATAGAGCGTCAATTCTCGAATCAAATGTGAATAGTGCAACAAAGTCCTTCTAGACATAAAATGAAAGCAATAAAAGATAACTTCAATTTAGCATACCTTATATTGGAGCCTCCAGGGCGATGATTCTTTGATTCGTTGTATAAGTTCCTGTCGTTCATCACTGCTCCACAGCCTCGTTGGAGAGTGCTCTGCAGACGACGGCCGCAAGTTTTCCATAGAGAATGGTTCGCTTTGAGGTTCACAAGGGTACTCTGTGCCTAAAGGATGTTCGGAGGACCCTTGGGCTGCCTGAAGCCCATGCTGGCTGGGGTCACCAGACCAGCCGGAGAAATACCGGCGGTCCGGGTCATGAAATAGGGGCATGATGACGTGGTTGGGAGGGCTACAGGGCCTGAAACAATGGACCGGGCATTTCAGGAGACTTCTATGTGGCAAGCACAAAGCCAGAGCCGACAGGCCGTGGTGGGGTGGTAGGGATGCGGTGTGCACTGGGGCGGGTATATGCCGTCAGAGTATCGGGTGATTGGCAGGGAAGAAAGCGGTCTTTGGTTCAGTCTATAGGGATTAGAATATTAAGAAGAGAGGATACCTGAAGGATGAAAAGGGTGTCGGAGGGAGAGTCCGGGAGGAAAGTACACAGGTTAAACGGAGATCATGTCATGTCGTGGGTCCATTTCGGTTTCGGGGATGAATCATCGTCATGGGGTCTCTTGCCCGATAAGATTAGAAAAGTTTCAGTTCAAATTTTGCTACTGTAAGTTCTATGAGAAATACAGGTAAATCAGAATGAACTAAACCAAGAACTTAGTCATGCTAAAGCATAGTAATCAATATAAATTTGTTACCTGGAACTATAGTATACTGTAGAGCGGAATCGAGACCGTTGGTCTTTAATCTCTGGGCGGAACCGCGATCGCCGTTTTTTTTTTTCTTTTCTCCAAACTGCCCGGCAGCACCACTCAAATTCCAGCAAGATCAACTTGCTTCGACATAAATCATGGCACCAACACGCGATCGCGATGCTGGCAAGGCATCCAAAGAACCCAAGACCGATTCCGCAATTAAGAAGCGCAAGGGTTTCAGCGTAGGCCCGGCCAATCTCCCCGATGGCACTTATCGGCGCAAGAGTGAGCGATTCTCAATTTCTGGACTTCGATACATAACACTAACCTCCTGCTCTTAATTAGCCCAAAAAATCAAATCCGACCTGATCCAAAAGGCCAAAGTGAAAAAAGCCTACGCTAAGATCAAAGCACAAGAAATCGCCGCCGCACCAAAGTCCGTTTACGCTCTTGCGGATGAGGAGAAGGAAACACAACCCCAAGAGACTGCAGAGCCGGCATCGACAGAACTCCACCCCGATCGTATGGCGAGGTTGAACGAGCCGGAGCCGGAGCCGGAGCCGGAGCCAGAGCGTGCGCCAAGGCCAGAACGGCGCCCACGGAAGGAAGGTGGACAGAGGGAGCGAAGGCCGAAACGATCGGCGTTTGCCAAGGAGATGGAGATTGCGGAACAGCGGAAAAAGGCCTTTGAGGCTCGACAGAGGGAAGTTGAGGCCAAGCAGAAGGAACGGGAGGCTATGAATCGTGCTAAGCGGCCGGATCAGTTTGGCAAGCGGAGATTGGGAAGGGAAAGCAATGCGCTGCTGAGTCGGGTGCAGCGCATGGTTGGGCAGTCATAAAAGCATTTTGTTTACAGGAGAACTACAGCATCTATTTATTCGTGATACCCGATGCAAACAAAAATTCATGAACGCTTGATTATGCTTGAAAGTTGCTAATACCACTATGCGGAGGGGTTCTTAGGTCCGCTGCGAGGCTTGCGGAAACAGGCAAACTCGCCCTTTGTCCGATCTCTCAATCGTTTCAATACATTTCGCATCTCGCCCAGGTCGGCCTGCAATTTGGTGCGAGCTTCGTTTGTCGTGCGACGATCCAGTTCCACGTAGATCTGACTTTGAATTCCAGATGCCTCATCGGTCGAGTACTGGGAAAGGGTCTGTGCGATGAACTCAGTATCCAGGGTGGCTTGCATGAGAGCAGCAAGCGAGAAGCTGGACCGAGAACGGAAGGAAGTGACCAAAGCCGTCGATATTTGCACCAATAGATGGGTGAGTACAGTGGTGAGTAATGACGACGGAGTATTTGGCGATGAACGGCTAGCACCTGCGGAAACCGTGGAGGGTACAGTAGTGGAAATCTCGGTGTGTACCAGGACCAGAGTCAACAGGGTATTGTAGACGTAAGGGCGAACTTGGTCAGGCCGATCGGTCTTAGGCACCCAGTCTGGAGACTCGATGCCGTTCGAGATGGTCTTCTTCAGCAAGGAGATGGTTGGACTGGTGTATGATACAAACAGCCGATCTTCAATTTGCTTTAAAACGTCCCGAACCGTCTTGCCCTCTTCCGTCAATTTAACGGAAAAGGAGGTCTCAAAGTTGGAGATCAACTGCGGCACATACTCGGACTGAAGAGCCTTGAGGTTGGAAAGGGTAAGAAGAATCCGCACATTCTGGCTATGTTTAGTAAATGATGTAATGTGATTTGGGAATAGTGGGACCTACCCTATTCTGTGAGTCCACAGAGTCGGCTGCGAGTACGGACAAAGCAGCATCGAGGGCCTGGCTTGCCATGACTGGCCGGCTAATAACCCATTCATTCTCTTCTTCCGAGGCGGTGACTCGCTCTGCGTTTTCCACTAATCCACTGAGCGCCTTATAGACACTGGAGACAAACTGTGTGCGAACCATCTGGAGCAGTTTTGCAGGTGGCTGGGTGACGACGTCAACAGTTCCAGATTTGCTCATGGCTTCAGAGATGTACAGAATCTTCTGCATACCACCCAGGATGGCACTCTCAAAGCCCACAAACAAGCCAGGCATCTTGGTCAAGTCTCGCTTTTCGGAATCTCTCGTCCAGTCCTCCAGCATCTTGCAAGACTCTGCATCCTTACTCCATGCGGCGCATGCAACACGGGCAGATCTGTCTCGGGCGACACTCACGAGATTTTTCAGAAGATCATGTGTTGATCCACTGTGGGTAACTGGGCGCAACGCCGCCATCTCACTCGCGGCGGTACCAATGATAATGAGAAATTTACTCAAGTAGTGGACACCACTGAGGGAGTTGGAAAAGGGTGGCCAGAAGGCACAGCCCTCCCAGTGCTCTCCCCGCTGAGGGGCAGGTATGGGAAGATTCTTCGGATCTAATTTGAAACGAGATTCAGTCGGCGTGACTCCATGGGATGCTGGACTTGTTGGACTCTGTGGAATAGGAGAAGATAAAAGGGATATATCCTCAGTCGGCGGGTCATTGAAGAGGGCAAGAACATTATCTCGTATCAAATTGACCAATTCCACAACACCCCTTTCGAGCTCCTCTACATTTCCAGGAGTAAGGCGGTGATGCTTCCGACTTTCGCCTTCAAAGCCAACTGGAAGTAGTCGCTGACGACTTCCGTCAATGAATGCGTGTGCAACTTCCCAGAAATCCAGGACTTCGCCCAATAAACCACCCTGCGATGAGAGAAGCCGCGTGAGGAATGCCTGAATGCAGTCCCAGAGCTCAATGACGTGGTCTGTGTCGAGGTTTGCAGGGCTGTCTGCGGCGCCGTCACGAGGGGCCAGGCGAAGGTAAGATGCTACGGCTTGGGGGGTGGGTTTCTCCCCACCTGCAAGCCGGCGTCTCAAAATCTCAATCTCCACCTTGCAGCGGTCACAGAATGAAGTGATTTTAGTTTTGAGAAACTCGTAGCGGCTGCGAAGCCATACCCAAATGGGATTATCATCAACGCCCAACTCCAATAGCGCCCCGATAAGCTCCATATGCTCCTCAACCGGGCCCGAAACAGTGCTCGTCGTGGAAGTGGTGGGAGCGTCGTTGAGTCGTCTCCACAGATCACGCTTGAAAGCATGAATTTGTTCATCTACATCCATCCACATCCGCCCCATTGCCAAGATTGTATGCGCTTCATGATCAGATAGCTGCCGACGCGAGCTGGAGGCCTGCTCCACAATGCTCTTCGCCCGATTTGCCAGAGTCCTTGCCTTGGTGTATTCTTCAAAAACAGAGTCGTAGTCACGTTGCTGGATTGATTTGGATAGGTGGCTTCCAATCTCGTATACGTCGCGCTGTTTCTCCATCGTTTCCACGACTGACTTCAGTATCTGTTCCCGGTCACGGCCACCAAGGGCAGGCCCCCAAACTTCCTCGGCCTTGACGGACGCCTCAACAAGAGGAGCTCGGATGCCTTTCAACCCGTAATCACTCTCCTTGACCAGGGCAGTCTTGCGAGGGGGAGCCTGGCCTACAGTTGCGGGCGAAGGAGATAATCCCCGTTGCCCCGATAAGCTTCGGAAGTGTCCTGACCTACGTGGAGCCAGGCTTGCTTCCTTTGTCACGCCTTGATCTCTCATTTCCGTGTATACACTATCGATGGTTGCCTTGGCGCGAACAAAACGCTCGAAGTTTGCTTCCACCAAAACTTTTAGGGACGCCGACTTCTGATCGATAGATTGAGAGAGATGATCTAAGCCCGCCATGAGCGATTCAATTGAGTCTGAGTGGTGGGCCTGGGACAGGAAGAGCGCGGGGGAGAAGGATGTTGACGATAGCAGAAACCGTGAACGTTTACCCCCCTCTTCCTCTAGACGCAAGCCCTTTTGCTTCAAGATACGCATGACGCTATCCCCTCCTCCCAGCGGATCTGGTTCATCATTTTGCGCATTCTCCCTGGTATCCTTTCCACGCCGTTGCGAGCCGTAGCCACTCCGCCAGTCGCTGGGGGTGCGTTCGAGAGCAAAGTAGCGCGACTTGCGGGGTCGGGACTTGGTTCGTTCCAGGGGCTCTTCATCGGACGCATCGTCCTCATCTAGCGCTGCTGGCCATTCTTCGGGGAATTCGGAGGGTATGTTATAGTGACGGGCAACATCAAGATCGGCCATGATGCCAGCTATGAGTTAATTGGAGGTGGAGACAAGTTGAATTAGTAACGTTCAAGAAACGTTCTGTGGAACGTTCAGTGGCTGAGCCCGACGTCAGAGACGTAAGCAGAAACTCCAAACAAATCCGGGGGCCTCTCCTGTAGAGGCTAGACAATAGAGTATGGATCAGATAGTGACAGCAGTGTTAGGAGCTCCAGATTGGAAGGGTTCACCGAAGACCAATGGAGAGAGAGATTGTGGACTCGGGTTACCGGGGGAGAATCAAACCACCAATACGGTCTGCGTCCCGGTCGGATCGGTGCGGCGCCGAGAAAGTCGATTCTTTCGCCGTTTCCCCTTCTTTCCTCCTCTCCCCACCATCCAATCCCAACTTTTTGCTTTTAAGCCGATTGAAGTTGTTCACGATGCTTGCCGCCAGAAACTTCTCTGCTGCTCGCCAGTGCTTGCGCTCCGTCCGCATCACTCCCAGCTTCGTGGCCCCCGTGTCGCAGGTATCCACGAGACCCTTTCCCTCTGGCAATCTCAAAGAAATACATTAACTAACCATTTGCGCCTTTCCTATTTAGATCCGCGGTTACGCTGCCTCCGCTGATGACGCCGTTGCCAAGTTCAAGGGTCAGAAGGGTTCTGATGTACGTTGGCATCCCAGTCGACCCTTTTTTTCTTTTTTCTTCGTCGATGCCGGCGCCAGCCGCGCAAACCCCGTCGCGCACCAATCTTCCGCCACGACAAAGAACAGATTACAAGAGTGCCAATGCTTACAATTTACCGTTCTTATAGGGCAAGTACACTGTTACCCTGATTGAGGGTGACGGTATTGGTCCTGAGATTTCTCAGTCCGTGAAGGATATCTTCGAGGCTGCCAAGGTACGGGCTGCCGAGCCTGAAACATCAAATTCGAGGTGCAATGGAATACTAAATATTTCTATAGGCCCCCATTAAGTGGGAGCCCGTTGATGTCGGTCCCATCCTGAAGGACGGCAAGACTGCCATCCCCGACGATGCCATCCGCAGCGTTGAGAAGAACTACGTTGCGCTTAAGGGTCCTCTCGCCGTATGTTTCATCTACGCCCACCGTCCTTATTGAATAGCGCGATACTAAACGAATCTCTCATAAAGACCCCCGTTGGTAAGGGTCACGTCTCCCTGAACCTGACTCTCCGCCGTACCTTCAACCTCTTCGCCAACGTCCGTCCCTGCCGCTCCATTGCCGGTTTCAAGACCCCCTACGATGGTGTCGACACTGTCCTCATCCGTGAGAACACCGAGGGTGAATACTCCGGTATTGAGCACGTTGTTGTTGATGGTGTTGTCCAGAGCATCAAGCTCATCACCAAGGAGGCCTCCGAGCGTGTCCTGCGTTTCGCCTTCCAGTACGCCGAGTCCATCAACAAGAAGAAGGTCCGCGTTGTGCACAAGGCCACCATCATGAAGATGTCCGACGGTCTTTTCCTCAACACTGCCCGTGACATCTCCAAGGACTTCCCTGACGTCGAGTTCGACGCTGAGCTGCTGGACAACTCGTGCCTGAAGATCGTCACCGACCCTACCCCCTACAACGACAAGGTCCTTGTCATGCCCAACCTGTACGGTGACATTCTGTCCGACATGTGTGCCGGTCTCATCGGTGGTCTTGGTCTCACCCCTCCGGTAACATTGGTGACGAGTGCTCCATCTTCGAGGCTGTCCACGGTTCCGCTCCCGATATTGCTGGCAAGGGTCTTGCCAACCCCACTGCTCTGCTTCTGAGCTCTATTATGATGCTGCAGCACATGGGTCTCCACGACCACGCTGCTCGCATCCAGAAGGCCACCTTCGACACCCTGGCTGAGGGCAAGGTTAGTGCATCTCAATTCTCGACCATGTATAGCTTGATACTGACAATTATCTTTTTTTAGTACCTCACTGGTGACCTTGGTGGTTCCGCCAAGACCCACGAGTACGCTGGTGCCATTATCAGCCGTCTGTAAACTCGTCGCCACTCGCATTTCTGTACTATGACCATTTGCCTTTTTCTATGTGCCCCTCGAACGACATTAGACTTCCTATAGCGATCGAAATATACCTACTTGAGTAGTTACGAGCTTATTTGCCGCGAATGTACCGGGGAGTGCTGTACGACTGTCTGATTTAGTCTCTTAACCACATTTTCATCTCGAAAGAACAGGACCGCAATTCCTATGTTCTCCCATAAGCTAATTTGCTTTGTGCCACGAGCCAGAGCAACTCTCATTCAAGAGCAAGAACAGCCCCGTGTTGATCTTAGCCCTAAACAGCAATGTATGTGCCTCAGGCGTGCCATAGGCACAGTCTTATACTTATGCTTTCACCATGGTCAAGAAGCATGGCAAAGCCACAATATGCATTGCGGGTCCGGTCTTTAGATCTACAGGATCTGGGCCCCTTGCCCGCACGGCCAATGTCATATGATCCACAGCAGGGATCCAGCTAGCTACTATTGTATTTACCCCTCACTACACAGTTAGTAAGAAAGCGTTGAAGATGTGCATGTGCGTAAACGAATGCGAGAAGCTTGGAGATTCCCAGCTAAACATGATGCAATGTTACACTGCCCAGGCTAGACCTTGATTAGGCACATCAATTTCCAGTTTGGCCATGGCTGTATCCAGAGCAATGTTGAGTTGGGCTTGGATGAGAGTATATTCAGTAGATTTTCAAACGCAGTAGCCTCTTTCTCACTCGGGGGCATATTATTGTGCACGAAGGAAACCATGTCCATGCTCCTAAGCTTTGCATGTCAAGGTACCGAGGCCCAAGTACCTGAATCAATCGAATGCGATCGCCCGGCCGAGAGCATGGGGCAAAGAAGACACGTTCAATGACATTGTAAGACGAAAGTAGACTACTGTACATTACGTATTACGTAGATGATTATCTAAAAGTGTCATTACTTCTAAAGCATTCTATGGTGTCGGCCGAGGTTGTTTGGTTGTGGGTCTAGAGACCACGGAAATGCTTCACAGCGGCGTGTCATTGGCGCCCAGGGAATCCTGTTTTACATAGCACGCCTCATACCTCACTTTAGTCAGAAGTCTTGGAAATATATTCGCGATCGGATGACTTTCCAGCCCGTCATGAACCAGGGAACCAGATCGAGTCAAGTTAGCATGACGCGCATGGCGGAGAAATAAGGTTTCACCAACAAAAAGCAGGAACTAAATCGATGACGTCTGATTCTCCCAAGGACAATAAATAGCACGTCAACGACCAGTCTTCTAGTTCTTCATCAAACACACTTCAATCCAATTCAAACAAACTACTCAATACTCTTTCAATAACCAATACTTTCTCACTCATTCAAAATGGAGACTGTCAAGGTTAGTTATCCCCTTGGTTACCTCCTTCAAGGTTTGGATCGGAACATACTGACTTCTTCACTAGAACGCCGCCAACTACGTCGCTGAGACTGTCCAGGGAACTGGTGCTACCGCTTCCAAGGAGGCCAACAAGAACGTCGCTAAGGACAACGATGCCAGCCTCGGCACCCGTGCCTCCGCTGCCAAGGACGCCGTCGGTGACAAGTTCGATGAGTCCAAGCACGACACCAAGGCCGATGTCCACAAGGGTATGTCACAATCATTTGCAATGTTATATGACCCATGCTTACATATTGTACAGAGGCCGCTAAGCACTAAATCAATCAATGTTTGATACGAATGTCGATACCTGTTAGGATATTTGCTTTGTTCTAGCTATGACGATGTCCATGATGATGTCTATCACTATACAATATAACTGAAACAATTATAACAATATTTACATACCTTCTTCTATGATCTTTAACAAATAGAATTTCAAGAAAAATCGTATAAGGACCTTAGATACCTTTTATAGGCGTATGCTGAGTATGACTACACGACTTGATGCTTGCAGACAAGAGGTTTTCCGTCCTGAGCTCCACTGTTAAGCATGAGCTCAATCTAAAAGAGGCCAGGTATTAGCACTGCATTTTTGAAGTTAGTTTCGATATTCAACTTACCAGCTCAAGATCAGCCAACGCAGCCTCAGGCTCCTGCTCAGGAACCACCTTTCCAGCCACAAGACTTGCGCCCCAGGCTCTAATCTCAGGAGGAACACCTGTGCGCTCATTGGCAACAGTAGTCGTCTGCTCCTTTCCATCCCTCGAAATAGTCACCTTCTCATTCTCAATCTTAACCCACCCATCCTCACACGCAACAGTCAATTCATCCCCCCGCAATGTTGTACCTCTAGAAACCTGAAAAGCTCCAGTTACCCCAGATCTCGTTCTCAGAATCATGTCAGCTGTATCGACCGGAGGCAGATAAGGCTGGAGTTGATTGGTAAATGCCGAGAGGGTAGCGATCTCGTTTCCAGGCTGTGCACCGAGCAGAAGCCGAAGACCTGCCATGTTGTGAACTCCTCCATCGAGAAGGTATCCGCCTTGGTGGGTGGGAACTTGTCGCCAGGGTGTGACTAATTCAATGTTAGCTTACGAATACAATCGTAAGAAGGTTGACGTACGATTGAACTTCATGTCTATGGGGATACAACTCTGTTGACGTCCCTGGAAATTTGTAATCTTGCCCATTCCCTTGATTTGCTCTGCTGCGTAGTTGTAGCAATTCAAGTATCGGAAGTTTTCGGCAACTGCCCACGTTGGGCCCTTGATATCAGCGCGGTACCATTTGATCAGATCCTCTGCATCCTGGATGTTCTCGGCTACGGGCTTTTCGGAGAGAACGTGCTTTCCGGCTAGTAGAGCCGCTTTGATGAAGCGGGGTTGGCTTTCGATGGACAGGCTGTGGATTCATTCAGTATATATTCACACTCATATTAATTCATCAACTTACGCGATGATGACAGCCCCAATATCTGGACGTTGTAAGAGCTCATCAAGGCTCTTGTCGCCATCTTCAGAGTAGAGATCTACAGGATAGGAAACGCTCTCGGCTAACGATTTAGCAGATGCTGCTGAGCGGGAGTAAACGGCTTTGAGAGTCAGTGTATCCTTGGCTGCTTCGACGGCGGGCTAAATTATCCAGGTCAGTCAAACGGAATTGACATTGTAGGGAGATAGTAATGCTCACAGCATGTTCCTCTCTAGCCCAAATGCCTGTGTGATGGAAAGTCAGCGGGCTCTTGTTCGAATGAATGTGCCGACTTACCTCCTCCAATGAGAGCAACTCCGATTGGTGTTGATTGCGCCATGGTATTTCCTAGTATGATATTTTTTTTCAGGGGTGACCTGGCAAGGGAAATTGAAATTGTCGTATTTAAGCCACTAGGGCCCTTTCCCCGCAAAAGACTTTGTAAGGTTGCGGGGTACATGCCGCAATCTTTTGGGATGTCTCTAGTCTCGTATAATGGGCTCCTGAATCTTTACGAACATCTAACGAAACGATTGGTTATGTCTGATGGTTCTGTCAGCCGGGTTGCTGAATTGTATGAGTCTCGACAGCTGGAGATATATAGAGACCCGTGGACCTCGGGAGTGGCCATTGCCTAATCCCCAACCGGTTGAAACTGGGAAAGTTCATCAAATTTCTTTAGAAATACATTGGTTCATAATATTACACATTCACAAAGCTCATCCCCAAACGCCGATATCGATGGTCGATAGGTATCAAAACAGAAAAATCAAAATCAAAATGAACTGGGTTCAGCGACGACGACCAGTCCTTCGAGTCCCCGTACTCGCGGAAGGCTTCTTATCCTTTTGCTTTGTTCGAGAAGTCTGCGCTCGCGTGCTTCTTGATCCTTCTTTCTCATCATCGCCTTCTTCCTCATCCTCGCTTTCCTTTCCATCGCTGCCCTCTTCTCCTTCTTCATCATCGTCGTCATTTCCGCCGGTGTCTTCGTCGGACTCTAGATCCTCGTCGGATGCTTTTTCCTGGCCGCCGGTACCAATTTCAACATGGAGCCTTGTTGATCGAGTTTCCCGACCAGTTTGACGAGTGCCACGGTTGGACTTTCGACCTCGAGATGGGGCAGGCGAGGAGCGCGGTTCTGTAAAGAGTTACTGTGGTTAGTCGTGCGGTGAAATGAATGGGTTCAGGCGTAGATAGATACCGTCGGTGTCAGCAACTGTGCTTCCTCGTCGGGAATCAGCCTGACGACTCATTACTGGGGATGAGGAGCCCTCCGTAGCCAGCCGCCTCTCGAACATCAGGTCGCCGTATTCGTCGTATGGAAGCTCAAACGGACAGTACCGTTCACTAACCCCGTCCTCGTCTTCATTGGTATCTGCAATCGCCGAATCCTCCTAATGCACGAGTCCGATTAGCAAGAGAAGGGAAGATCAGGTTCGGGGAAGGTAGTCTTACCCGTTCATTGAGAGCTTCCAGATTGTAGAGGGTACCCAACTTCTTCCATATCCCCGGAATACCCAAGTGCTCTCCAGAGGCAGGACCGTATCCATTTATCTTTAGGAATTCCGATATGGCGACCATTCGGAAGTGTTTGTGGACGCCTAGAGGAATGCGATCAAACGAATTAGCTCCACGGTCATCGCGTTGCGCAACACGCCGTATCCAACACTCACCAACGGGTTTCCATTTTATGATTGCCTTCAAAAGCGCAGTCTCTTGCTCATCGGTCCATGGGTCCGTGAGCATGTCATAATCTGCCTCGGACTTCTCAACGCTGTCGGTGGAACCGGGAGTGTCCGCGCTGGATTGCGCCGTCTCAGCTTGCGGTGTTGTGGAATGAGCGCGTTTCGTCTTCTTTCGTGGAGGCATTGCGATTGTTGGTAGCTTCGGACGACAAAAAAAGAAGAAGAAGAAGAGCAGAGTACTCAGTGCGGGGATGAGAGAGTGAGCTGTTCTTGAACATTAAAGGTCTCGCGAGTTTCTGTTATCGAGATGGTCCGTGCACGATAGCCATCTGCGCGGGACTTCAATCAATTGTGTTCAACGCGTCCGATCAACGATAGACTTGGTGTATGCCCTGACATGGGCCCATAATGGATTTCGAACAGGAGCATGATCCGTTTTCCAGTGCGAGTCTATGGAGATTGTCGAGGTTCACAACAGAGGCCTTGCGACCTTTGGACGAATTACCATGGAACGCGGGCTTGCCTGGTACGTCACGCCCAAATGTTATGCGCAAGTGGTAGATACTAATCGTTGATACATAGACTTTTCAGACTCTAGTTTCGCGACCTCGCTCCCCTCAATTGACAAGATCGACAACATATGGAAATTGAACTTCTCAGATGACATTGAACGCCCGGAATCATCCGCCGACTCTAGCCTCGATGCTTCCATAGACGCCCAATCCGATACATCAACGGCTTCCCTACAGATTAAAGAAGAAGAGAATGATATATGGGCATTGGACGCACTGCAAGTGGAACCTGGCTTTGTTGCTCCTCTCAAGTCATGGGAGAGATTCCAGGCCCGGTCATTCGAGGAGCCTGTATCAGGCTATTTCAGTGAGTCAGGGACAAGGGGATTCGATGCGGCACTGTCAATCCAAGATGGCAGGAAAGGACAGGGAAATGCGACCCGACCGGTACGAGAAGATGTTTTTATACGGTCACTGCTACGCCTAGGCCTTGGATGGAGCTCCTCTCTCTTTCGCTACAATACTCGAACGACAAAATTCGAGAAATCCTTGCCAAATCTACGTGTTTCTGGAGTAAGCCAACCAGTCACCGATGCTATCATTGAAGATGTGTTACGATGTGGTACAAACATGCAGTATGCTCGAACATTCGCACGAAACTTGCAGACCAAATCGGTGGATCTGGCGTCTGTATTTGCGTTACGCGGTACCATTGCTGTTAGCATGTATCATCTCGAGCGCCAAATCCTGGGCCATTCGGACACTGTTGTCTCGCTCTTACAAGCAAACACATTGTTCAACCGCTGTGGAGACTTGATCGAAGCCCTGGCAGATATTATAAGAGCTACCGAAAAGGCCAACTCAGACGCCCAGGTCATCTCTATTACTATGGACCATGCAGCCTTCTTTGCTCAAAAGTACGGCTGGATGGAGAATCTTGTACAGGAAATTCTTGTTCGAGTCACAGAACCTTGGCTAGAATTCATTGAGGCATGGATTGGGCTTCGACCCGAGGAACCATCTATGAATGAGTTAATTATTAACGGAAAGACATTCTTGGAGGTCGAGCAACATGATGATCCTATCAAATTTACAACCGGACGTTCAAGGATTGAATACTCTTATCGTGAAGAACATATGCCGTCATTTATCCCTGCTGATCAAGCGAAATTGATTTTCGAGAGTGGGCGAAGTCTGCGATTGCTCAAAAAGTCACACCCAAATCACCCTATCGCCCGACATGATGTTCTAATGCGATCCGGTCACCTTCGTCTGCACTGTGCAACTACCTGGTCTGAGATTGAACAAATCCAACGAAAGGCCCACGAGTACGAGGCAAAGCTTCGGGCTGAAATATTGAGATATCACAGAGGAGAATTGGCAACAACAGCTCCTGGGCCTGTTTCACAAAAAATTGAGATCAGTCAGGATGAAATTGTGGAAAATACGTTTGAATTATTCGATATCGATGACCAGAAGCATTTCTCGGGAGGTGCGATGGATCAAACAGCCCTGTCGACTGACAAAGTCAGTGACATGCTTCAGAAAGCTAGGGGGAAGCTTGGCGTCAGTGATTCAGGGACACGGTTTGGACCTGAATTGGCATCAGAGCTCTACCTGTCATTTGCCCCTGTGATCGCATCCCAAGCGCAACTCATTGACTTCTCATGTCTTCATCATATGTTCAAAGAACATAAAGTCCGGCACCATTTGAACTTGCAATGGCGCTTTCAACTACTAGGCGATGGTTCATTCACGTCACGCCTTTCACATTCTCTTTTTGATCCTGAGATGGACAGCGGAGAGCGCAAGGCCGGCGTAGTACGCGGTGGCGTACATACTGGCTTGCGGCTCGGAAGTCGTGATACCTGGCCACCTGCAAGCTCCGAGCTACGTCTCGTGCTTATTGGCCTGCTAGGAGATTGCTACTTCTCCGAAACAGACCCCGATGCATCTGAAAATGGACAGCCGCGGGATAACGAGCTTCCCGGCGGGCTTAATTTTGCGATTCGCGAACTATCAAGCGACGAGATCGATCGCTGCAAAGACCCAAATGCGATAGAAGCACTCGATTTCCTTCGACTCCAGTATAAAGCACCAGAAACTCTGGAGACTCTCATTACACCAAGATCACTGGGCAAATATGATCGCCTCTTCAAGCACTTGCTCCGTCTTCTTCGCATGGTATCCGTCGTCAAAGGACTCGTCCGCGACTCTACCGTTCGGGATTCGCTTTCAGGCGACACAAGGAATGTATTTCAAAAGTTTCGCATTGACGCTCAACACTTCGTCCTCGCCGTTAGCGACTACTTCTTCCACGTCGGAATCGGGTCGATCTGGAGTCGTTTCCAAAGCACGCTTGATAAGATCGAGCGTTGCCTTGACCGAGGCGACATAGATGGTACACTCGAGGCCGCACATTCCGTGCCTCGTCTCCGCGACTTACACGAAGACATCCTCGACCAAATGTTGTTCGCCTTCTTCCTAAGTAAACGACATGCCGCCGCTGCGAAATTGCTCGACAATATTTTCAGCACGATTCTTGCCTTTGGCCCATTGTCGCGGGCTGATGGGAGCAGTGGTCTCCGCCATGAAAACGAAGGCACTGTACGACATTTGTATTCTACTTTCCGAAAACAGGTGTCTGCCTTGGTCGGATATCTGCGTGGCTTGGACTCTGGGAAGGGCGCTTCGAAAATTATGGCAAAGTCGGCAGCTTTCTTCGGTTCTCGGACTGAGCCAACTAGTGTATTTGAACATCTTCGAGTGAGATTGGAGGTGAAGGACTATTATTAATGTATCTGTGACGATATTACTACGATTGATGAAATATGAATATTGCCCAATGAAGTTGCTCTTGATGGGAAATGTAAACACCGTTCATGCGCCCTGCTGTTATATGCACCATGTCTAATATGACTACAAATTGATTCAACATGAAGGGAACAACTATGAACGCAACCCAAGTCACTCAGAAGAAATGAAGATCCGACTCTGCCCAGCCCTGATCAAGGAGAATCTTTCGAGCAGACTTTTCCATTGCCTCAGGTCCGCAAATGATCACCATACTTTCTTCTTCAGGTGCCACAAATTCCTTGATCAAGTCTTCAGAAATACGTCCTCGACGACCAACCCACTTGTCTGAAGCCTGCGACAAAGTATGCACAACATGACATTTATGACTGTCAAGCGCCACATAAGCGTCAAGCTCAGACCGACAAAGAATATCTTCTTCCAGCCTGTTGCCATCGAGCACAACACAGGTAGTAGGATCTTGAGGATCCTGCATGACAGCACGCAGAACCTGGAAGATAGGCGTGAGACCAGTTCCACCGCAGATCATCTTGAATGAGCGGACCTTGCGCTCTTTACCGCTGATAGTAACGCGGCCGTTCCCAAGATACTCAAATCGACCTGTTGGTCCTTTGCAGTCTATCTCTGCTCCAATGGCCAGTGCATCGAGCGCCATGGTCATTTTTCCGCCTGGAACTTTGTCGGCTGGGAAATAGATCTTGACTAGTAGCTCCATTTTTCCTTCCATGTTTGTCTCGGAGATTGGGGTATAAGATCGGATTATTGCTTCTTTGTTTGTTGGATCTGGGACTTTGATCATGAGGTGCTGGCCAATTGGTAGACCTAGAGTTTGTTTGTCGTGTTCTAGGTCGAAGACGAAGACTCTGGTGTCCCAGGATACTGTCTTCACTTCGGACAGCTTCATCTTTGCCCACGAGCGTGATTGGAGGAAGATCGGACGTGGGTCGATTGAGACGGCGGTCGAGTCGCTGTTGAGGGCTTCGAGAGAAGCTTTGTCTAATGTGCCGATGTGATAATCGGGCATCATCGCCTTGGCCGTTTCACTGTCTATATCGGAGTCAGAACTAGATTTATCAACGGTCTCTTGAGAAGGTGTACTCACGAATTGCGAGAAAATCTTCCGAAACATCTAACCCAGCCGAGGAAGTGATACTGATTGCTCCACCGGGGTGACCCTCGAGGAATCCGGTACCATCATATACCTCCCCATTGACGACGAACCAAGGCTTCTCAGCACTGCTATTTGACTTGAGCTCTTGCAAATCAATCATACGAGCCAAGCCCTCCTTCTTCATATTGATTTCCTTTACGGGCTCCGGCTCAATGGGAGCTTCTCCCTCGATCTTCTCACCCCAGTTTCCATTAGTCAAATCACCACCGGCTTTCTTGGCCTTTTCCATCCAGCCTCCGGCCCTTGAAGGATGAGTTGGGTGCTCAAACTTGAGTGTATTTCCCTCCTTTGTGATTGTGATCCGGAACCAGGGGTTGTTCATCATACCCAGGACGGACCAGTACATATCACGGGGTTGCACCATCATGCCATCGTCCATGGCCCTGACGAGCAGTGCTTCGCTGTTCTTAAGGTCGGATACTGGGATCTTAAGAGACCAGAATGACCAGCAGAAACAGCTTTCTCTTTTCCACATGTCCACCTTTCCGCCAAAAAGATCTCCCTCAAAGTCTCTGTACTTGTCTTCTGCGTAATCGATTTCGGCAAGTCGCCATGCTAGAGGTAGAATTAGCATTGGAAAAGAAAAGTTCCAGCAAAAGCAATATTCAGCGGACCTACATTTGCCTTTGTCAAGAGAGGTTTCAACTCTTGTGATTCTTCGACCACCTCCTGCATAAGCGTATCCCTTCACCATATATGTCGGTCCAGCCGTTGCTAGATCCAATACTTCTTCATGCTCAGGGAAGGCTGCTACAGAGTTGACATTGAGATCATAAATGGCATAGCGCTCATCGGTCCACCACTCGGTACTGGTAGCCGACATCTCTGGCGAAATCATAGTCCTAATTCAGTCAGAACATGAAGTTTTAATCCTCAGGCGAAACTTACGGTAACACCCGGTTATCATTAATATGGTACCAGTTATCACTCGGTGCCTCAGTGACAATGAGTCTCTTAAGCCACTTGACACTTCGACCTCCAATTTGGCCCGGCACAACAGCTCTCAAGGGTCTTCCATGGTCCGGGCGCAAGTCTTCGCCATTCATCTTGTGTGCTAGCATGATTCCTCTGTTGAAATCCATAGCCCAGTTCAATTTAACGGATGTGCCATAATAACCATTTGGCTAGACTAATTAGTCATTTACTCTTGAATGATCTGAGATTGGGGAAAACTCACCAATTTATCAGCTCCCTCCATGCAGACATATTTGGCCTTTCGAAGTGGTTTCGCACTACGCAGGATATCGGCCATCATAGGTCCTGTCCATAGTGCCGTCGAGAGTCCGGCCGGCCCCCATGAGAACCCTTTGGATTTTCTCACTGTGTTCTGTTCTTTTCGTCTGTTTCCAGCACATACCAGGGTGATGGGTGCAGTTATTTGATCATATTTTTCAAGAATTTCCCGGAAGCTCAGCGTTATAGGGTTTTCCACTAATCTGTACTTTGTTAGCCTCTTTCGTTATGATATAGGTATCGAGGTAATGTATCCTACCCCTCTATGCTGAGCTCCCAGTCAGGGATATCCTCATCTCGAACTTGTGGTACAGGACCGTGATTTCGAACATAGAATAGTTCGGGTGATGTGAGGAAGCCTGAATGTGTTTTTGTTGGTTTTATCCTTGTTTATAAAATGTCCATTATGACACACCTTCTTTATATAATGCCGTGAGGGGTGGCTCAACATTAAACGGATGAACACCAGTCAATCGAATAAGTCTTGGATCTCGAGGAACATGGCTGTCGGGTGTTCCTTTATCCACTTCTAGGATTTCGGTCGGGTTCACTGATGGAGGAGGGAGAGGGATATCATACTCCTGAGGAGTAGGTAAATCATGAAATTTGATCTCCTTCGTCTTGAAAGAGATCTCATGGACCTCATCTCTATCGATGAGTGTCTGTGTAATCGTCGCCATTGAGATAGAGGGGGGACCTTTGATGGTATAATTTTTTCTTGTTGAAGCCCACTGTCCCACTGCCCCGTTCTGCTTATATAATTTGTATAGAAAAGTGGATGTCAAACTAGGAAAGAATCAAGAATCGATTGACTGGCTGTGCTCTTCAGCAATAATGTTTTCTAAAGTAAATTGGATCCGGGTTTTCGCGTTGGGGGATCAACACCGCACATTGTGTTTGTATCTCCGAGGCCCTTCACAGTCGGAACACAGATATCTCCGCGGGTTCCAAGGTTTGATCAGGGAGAAGTGGCAACCTAGTCGACTATGTTTAGTCACGAAGACAACACATCATCTTACATGAATTAATGTTGTGCAGATGCCGACCTTATCAAAAGGAAAACGGCGACCAATCATGTTGAGGCCATTATCGTGTTCATGATCTCCGCGGAAGTCCAGGCTTATCAAGATCGCCGCCCTACTGGTTCCGACAGTTGTTACTTTGTACTACAGTACATCTTCAACAGTCAATTTGTCTTAAAAGTACCCATAGCCGTAGCTCGTAACGTAGTATTCTGACGCCTCAATTTCATCTTGCCCCGTAAGCATGCCGGTGCTAGATGGGCTTCGATACGGCGAGCCGGTTGACGGCAGTCAGAGTTTCAATGAACGTCCAAGACAAAAGATCGTAATTGTCGGGTTAGGGATGGTGGCTATTTCTTTGATGTAGGAAAACTTCCAATCTATCCAGCAGTCCCTAGACTAACACCTTTAGTGAAAAATTGATCAAACAAGACACCGAGCGACGATACGACATCCTAGTAATTGGAGAAGAGGCGCACGTCGCGTACAACCGTGTTGGCCTTTCTTCATTTTTTGAACACCGCAAGATCGAAGATCTATACTTGAATCCGAAGGAATGGGTATGAGGCCCAACTCAAAATATGTTATTTGTTTGATGCTGTCTAACATCTATACAGTACGACTCAATCAAAGAGCGTGCCTTCGACCACCACCTCAACACCACAGTCACCTCAATAAACCCCACCAACAAGACAGTCCAAACATCCACCGGCGACACAGTTAGTTACGACATCCTCGTCCTGGCCACCGGCTCCGATGCAGTCCTCCCCACCCAGACCCCAGGCCACGATGCCAAAGGCGTCTTCGTCTACCGCACGATCTCCGATCTGGAGCGACTGATTGACTTCGCATCTGAACATAAAGGCGAGACAGCTGTGACCGTTGGAGGTGGCCTGTTGGGTCTCGAAGCTGCGAAGGCGATGACCGATCTGCAAGATTTCGGAAACGTGAAGTTGATTGACCGAAATAAGTGGGTGTTGGCGCGCCAATTAGATGGAGATGCGGGGAGTTTGGTTTCCCGTAAGATTCAGGAGCTGGGACTTGATGTGTTGCATCAGAAGCGGGTGTCGGTCGTTACTACTGATTCCGAGAATAATGTCACTGGCATCACATTTGAAGATGGGGAGCATATTGATTGCTGCTGTATTTGCTTTGCGGTACGTTGATTCAAAGCTTGTTTTCATGAGGATGCTAATGGGATTAATCTAGATCGGTGTCAGGCCCAGAGATGAACTAGGAGCTTCAGCTGGTATCCAGTCCGCCTCGCGAGGAGGTTTTGTTATCAATGAGAGGTGCGTTCGTTCCTCCAAATACACAAAACTTTTGTTCTAATTTGTCCAGCCTTGGAACTTCCGTGCCAGATATTTATGCGGTGGGGGAATGTGCCAGCTGGGAGAACCAAACCTTTGGAATCATCGCACCTGGCATTGAAATGGCCGACGTACTAGCCTACAACCTTACCAATGTTGACAAAGAGCCCAAGAGCTTTACTCGGCCAGACCTGAGCACAAAACTGAAGCTGCTCGGAGTGGACGTCGCCTCATTCGGAGACTTCTTTGCCGACAGAGATGGACCAAAGTTTCTCCCAGGCGACCGACCTCTTATCGGCAGCACAGTTGACGATGGGCCCGTGAAGGCATTGACATACAAGGACCCGTTTGGTGGTGTCTACAAGAAGTATCTGTTTACCATGGATGGTAAATACTTGCTTGGTGGTATGATGATCGGAGACACCCGGGATTACCTCAAGTTGAATCAGATGGTCAAAGCACAAAAAGAGCTTGAGGTTGCTCCCAGTCAATTCATTCTCGGAGCTCAGGCTGATGGAGAAGAGAATGCGGATGATCTGTTAGTATACCCGCGAGTGCTTTCGGAGTACATACTTACAAACTGTGTAGCGATGACAGCACTCAGATCTGCGCCTGTCACAATGTGACTAAGGGTGATGTTGTTGAGAATATCAAGAGTGGAACGTGTACGACAATCGGTGAAGTCAAGTCCTGTACGAAAGCAGGTACCGGATGTGGTGGATGCATGCCATTGGTGCAATCAATCTTCAACAAGACCATGCTTGGAATGGGACAGGAAGTTTCAAATCATCGTGAGTACTGAACGAATCGAAACACGACCATCAAGTGGCCACTGACACGGAAATAGTCTGCTCACACATCCCCTACTCTCGAGCCGATCTTTACAACGTTATCGCAGTTAAACAACTCAAGACATTCGTCGAGGTGATGCAAACAGCAGGAAATAAGCCAGATTCCCTCGGCTGTGAGACATGCAAGCCTGCCATCGGATCCATTCTGTCGAGTTTATTCAACCCACACGTCATGGATAAAGGATATAATGAACTGCAAGACACCAATGACAAATTTCTTGCCAACATCCAGAGGAACGGAACATTTTCCGTTGTGCCTCGAGTTCCGGGTGGAGAGATCACGGCTGACAAGCTAATTGCTATCGGTACGGTAGCTAAGAAATACGGTCTATATTGCAAGATTACGGGCGCACAACGAATTGACATGTTCGGTGCGAAGAAGCAGGATCTCCTGCCTATTTGGTCTGAGCTTGTTGATGCTGGTATGGAGAGTGGCCATGCTTATGCAAAGGCACTGCGTGCCATCAAGGTAAGTTTTGATACTCATGCCTGTTCAGTACAATTCTGATCTTTCATCTGCAGAGTTGTGTAGGCTCTACATGGTGTCGTTTCGGTATCGGAGACAGTGTCGGTATGGCAATCCGATTGGAAGAGCGCTATAAGAGTGTTCGAGCACCACATAAATTCAAGGGAGCAGTGTCCGGCTGTGTACGGGAATGTGCCGAGGCGCAAAACAAGGAGTGAGTTTGATCTATTATCTCGACTCCGAGTCCAAAACTGACTATTGAATGTTATTAGTTTCGGCCTCATCGCTACAGACAAGGGTTTCAACCTCTTTGTCGGAGGTAACGGAGGTGCAAACCCCCGTCACTCTGAACTACTAGCCAAGGACGTCCCAGCCGAGATGGTCATGCCGATAGTAGACCGATATCTAATTTTCTACATTCGCACTGCCGACAAGCTACAAAGAACAGCCCGGTGGATCGAAAACCTACCCGGAGGCATCAACTACCTACGAGAAGTGATCATCGACGACAAACTCGGCATCTGTGCCGACATGGAGCGACAGATGCAGGAGCTAGTCGATAGCTACTTTTGTGAATGGACAGAGACAGTCCGGGACCCCAAGCGGCGGAAAAAGTTCCAGCAGTTCGCAAACACGGACGAAACTGTGGATACAGTGGAAGTCATTCAAGAACGGTCGCAACAGCGTCCAACATACTGGCCCAAAGACTCTGTCACGGAGGACTTCAAGGGCCATCAATGGTCGAGTCTCTCCTGGCAACCTGTTGTCAAAGCAGATCACTTTTCCAATGAGCCGCCGCAGGTCTCATCGGCGAACGTGAAGCGCGGGGATACCCAGCTTGCTGTTTTCAAGATCAAGGGCAAGTTTTACGCGACGCAGCAGATGTGTCCGCATAAACGGGCGTTTGTGTTGTCTGATGGCTTGATCGGTGATGATGATGCGGGGAAATACTGGGTTTCATGCCCGTATCATAAGCGCAACTTTGACCTGAATGGTGAGCAGGCTGGCCGTTGTTCAAGTGATGAAAGTATGAATATTGCTACTTTCCCTGTGGAAGAGAGGGATGATGGCTGGATTTATATTAAGCTACCTCCGGTTGAAGAGCTGGACTCAGTTCTTGGGACGGAGAAGTGGAAGGTTAGGAAGGGAGAAGCTCCGGATCCGTTCCATAAAATTGATAAGAAGTATAAGGGGATGAGAGGGAAGAAGGTGGCTGATGGTGATGTGACCCGGCCAACTGTTAAGCCAGCTCAGGGAATTGACTGGTAAACTGCATTGAGACTTTGGACGATTGAAGCGATGGTGTTACGGTGCATCGATTCTGTTTATATTATTGATGCAATATCTATATGAACAATACAGATTCTGCAACAAAGACACTGCATTTAGAACTTTCGAGGACGTTCTAGCTGTTAGGTATAAAGAGGGGTACTGTAGGGGTCAAAGCGACGCTAATTGTACAATTCACAGCTAAACACCTACTCAAGTAAGCTGATCCAACAGCTTATAGGAAGCACATCTACTAGCGCATGAGTCACACTTATGTGGCCAATAGCTCCTAGAGCCAAACAGCTACCTCCCCTAGTTGATAGCAATGCAAAAACATGATGTTCGAATATTTAGTGGCTAGTAACGACAATGCACGTATAATATAATATTCTCTAATAAATTCAACCTAGCTTTCATTTCGCATACACTTTTATTCTATGCGAGCCGTTTTTTGAACTTCTCATCCACAGCAAGAATAGCAAAGCCTACGCTCTTCCGTATGTCAACATCATGATTGGACCATCGGGACATGGCATACAGGGCTGACTCTTACTATCAATGCAGATGCACCATGTCCCGACCGCCGACACCGCCTGACCTCAAAAACTTTCTCTCTAAGCTTGCAAAGTTTAACCGTGCACAAGCTGTTCTGCCGTCTGCAATGCGAGGTGTACTTCCTATGGCCATAGTGGCGGGCGGCGTTATTGCAAAGGTGACAAACGGGGACAATTTCATTGAGCGCCGGGTATTAGGCAAGCCATCCATCGGGGACGATTCTATCGCCTTACCTGAGCCTAGAAAGGAACCACCGGACCAGCAGACTATCGGAACTAAAGATGGACACGGGGTGAAGAACGACCCTGCACACAAGAAACTATAGTATCTTTCAAATGATACCAGCGACATGACAAATCACCACTCAGGCATTGCGCTTCATATGCCACACATTTGTACACTAAGAGATACATATCACTGTTTACGCCAACAGATAGCGGACCCATTGGCTATAATGCCTTATGACTTGAGACATGGTACTCTATGCTTCTGTTCAGACGAATTACGAAATCATGTACAATAGCGACAGGCCTCGGAAAAGACGACCGAGGGTTCTTGACTTCTCGCTGAACCTTGGCACTCCACTCTAGTTCGGTGAACGCTTTCGTCCATGTATCCTCACGAGTCTACCTCTAATGGAAGATGTATCGAGTCTTAGTACCTCCGTGCACAAATTATGCCTTGTTTCCTTTCTCTGCTTGCTTTCATAGATCCGGGTGTAGGGCATGGCTCTTGGCTCATATCTCCGCGGAGGTAAGCGGATAGACAAGACGACTTAGGCCCTGTAGATTATGTACCAAATCATTGAGCATCGTCGGGCAGCGCTCTAGAAGTGCTTGGCTGGTACGAACTTCATGCCAGATCGCCCGCGGAGAACATGGACACTACAGTGCCAAGCATGAAGAGACATTATGAGTGATGTCGCCGCGGAGAATGTACATACTAAGCCCCAAGAGAATGAATCACTGATAAGAAACGCCTCTAGAACAAGATGGACGAAGAAGTTAGGGCAAACGCTCGATTATGTCATCCTACATCATCATGGAACGGCTTCCAAGACGAAAATAATTCGAGATCTTCTCTTTTTAAGGTATTTCCGCGGAGCTCAGATCGACCCGATCAATCCCTTGGGGGGTCCACAACCCTGGGGCTGACTATCCAGTTCCTATCGTGGTCCATCGGACGTCCAATGAGAAGCGGCACATTTATCAATGACCTGGGGGAACCATGGGACGCCACAGGAGTGGAACTTCACCCCAGATATTTCATCAACAGAAGCTGATAAATGTTTATTTGAGCCCCGCGGAGTTGCAAAGTTCCTCTCTTATCACTCAATTCATTGTTGATACTTGCTGAACAATCCACTTTTCATAGGGTTTCCTTATCGCTATCAATGGCAAAACGTTTTAACGCTTGACACGCACAGATGCAAGCCCACAAATGCAAGAAAACAAATTTCTGTCGAATCAGATTCCGGGGATAATATAGGCTTGGGACTTTTGCTTGTTTATTTGACCAATACATCGCTTAGTTGCCTGCGCAATCTTGTGTATGCCACTGGCAGGCAACCGATAGCACCTTCGGGTTTCTGTGTCATGATAACTCTCTGATTATACGATGTCCATGTCCGTGTTTGTGTTTGTGAGTCGCTGGATATCTATATAGATCTCCTTGTTTTTCACTAACGAGGACGTCTCGGATTGAACAGATCTCATCTGCTACTACTGATCATAGCGATACAAGAGAGCGAAATTTTGCTTGATTGGCCCCCAATAACAGATCCGATCATATCATTCAGCTTCATACCCTCGCGGTCTTTGGGTCCGCTGGATTGCAGTAATGGCTACTACCTTCTTGAAGCTCCTCGTCGCTTCTCCTGAGATCAATCCTAGCACACGCAAAGCCAAGTCTATTCCAGTGTTGAACCCATTCAATCAGTATGGGCGTGTATTCTTTTTCTCATGGCTGGGTTTCATGGTCGCATTCCTCTCGTGGTATGCATTCCCACCACTGGTAAGTCTACTATGGATACTTTATAGAGGGAAGAAATCAATACTAATCCAATTCATAGTTGACCGACACAATTAAGAAAGACCTCAATATGACCACGACACAGGTGTCAAATTCCAATATTGTGGCATTGCTAGCGACGTAAGCCGCATAAGCTCGTATCCACATATGGATCTTGCAGCATCGCTAACAAAGTCTTAGCCTTCTTGTTCGCGTTGTTGCTGGCCCACTCTGCGACCGTTTCGGTCCACGCATAGTTTTTGTGGGACTACTATTAGCCGGCGCCATTCCAACCGCTATGGCCGGTCTAGTTACCACCCCGAACGGTCTAATCGCGTTGCGATTCTTCATCGGCATTCTCGGTGGCACATTCGTTCCATGCCAGGTATGGTGTACCGGGTTTTTTGACAAGACCATCGTTGGCACGGCCAATTCTCTGGCTGGAGGATGGGGAAATGCCGGTGGTGGTATCACCTAGTATGTTTCACAAGCTAAAGGATATTCATTCGTCCAAAGTCAGGCTACTAACATACTCTAGCTTCCTGATGCCAGCCATCTTTGACTCTCTTGTCACGTCCCGAGGCCTCACAGCTCACAAAGCATGGCGCGTCGCCTATATCGTCCCATTCATTATCATCACAGCCGTCGCGCTTGGAATGCTTTTCCTTTGCGAAGATACCCCAACAGGCAAATGGTCAGAGCGCCACCTATGGACCAAAGAAGCAAATGCAAACACCCATCTAACAGACGGCAACATCGTCGACCTAAGCTCTGGAAGTACCTCGGTCGGACCTTCAAGCCCTCCTTCAATCTATAACAAATCTATGACAGCCGACATGGAAAAGACAGACGGCACTCAATCCCCTCAACCATCTGACACAGAAGCTTTACCGATGGACCAAATGCCTGGCCTCAGACAAGAGATCATCGTCGCGCCCACACGCCGAGAAGCTCTAAGCGTCGCGTTCAGCCTCCCTACAATGGCCGTCGCAATTCCATACGCATGCTCCTTCGGCGCAGAACTAGCTCTGGACAGTTTCCTGGGAACGTACTATGCAGCGAACTTCCCAGGAATGGGACAGACGGAGTCAGGCCGGTGGGCCGCTATGTTTGGGCTGTTGAATATTGTCTTCCGTCCCGCTGGCGGGTTTCTGGCAGACATGGTCTTTAGTGCCACTGGTAGCCTTTGGTCCAAGAAACTTCTTATTGTCTTCTTGGGTGTTGTCATGGGTGCGTTTATGCTGGCTATTGGGTTGACGAATCCATCTGATCAGGCTACTATGTTTGGTCTTATTGCTGGTATGGCTTTCTTTTTGGAGGCGGCTAATGGGGCGAACTTTGGTCTTGTCCCTCATGTGCATCCTTATGCTAATGGTGAGTTTACGTTATAATCCCGGTATTTGGGAAGTTATGCTGATGTTCGTTTAGGTATCGTGTCTGGCCTTGTTGGCGGATTCGGAAATCTTGGCGGAATTATCTTTGCGATTATTTTCCGATATAATGAATCGCATTATGCTCGGTCGATCTGGATTATGGGTGTGCTTTCTTTGGTGGGAAATTTGGCTGTTAGCTGGATTCGTCCCGTTGCCAAGGCTTCTGTGATTCAACGATGATGTTACTTTATGATGTTAGATTTAATGGTTAATTAAGCTCAACGCTGGATTTATTTATTTCATTGTTCAAGGTACGTGGAGGCTAGGGCCTATGTCTCCTCCAGTAGTGGCACCGGCACAGGCAGGGTAACGGAATTCGGGTTAGTGCCTCCCGAGCATGGGGTAACGATGCGGCGAGGGGACGCGGGGCATGTCAACGGAGGTGGCGCACTTCTTATTTCTAATTCTTTCAAGTCCTCGAGGTTTTGGTTTCAATTTCAGCTATCATCTCACCATGTCTCCAGTTCGCCGCATTGCACAGATCGTTCACCTTAAGCCCTCCGCGGTGGCCGCATACAAGGAGTGCCACGCTAATGTCTGGCCGGAGGTTCTGCAGCAGATAAAGGACTGCAACATTGTTGACTGTAAGCTCCGTCTATAATTGTAAGGTCAATTTATTAAGCTAACGACTCCTTTGCATAATAAGACTCAATTTTCTTCGACAATGACCGCACCCTCTTCGCGACTTTCAAGTATGTCGGAACAGACTTTGAGGGCGATATGGAAGCCATGCGGGCCAACCCAAAGGTGAGAGAATGGTGGGCTATGACCGATGGAATGCAGGTAAGTTATACAATACTTGATTACACCACGACTCTGGAGACTCATGCGCTTGCAATTAGGAGAGCCCCATCCCTGGTGCCGTGGGTAGTGCCGATGGACCCGGCTGGTGGAAGGGGTTGGATGAAGTCTTCTATACCGAGTGATCCTACATATGGAGTAGGTGATCATCTAATATGTACATAGACCATCATAAAATAGAGTATTCATCAACCTGATCATAACGAACATTCGCGTTATCGCTTGAAAAACTGATCAATTCGCTTCTGGCGGGAATCATGTATAGCACTGCCAATGCCTCCGCGGGTCCGGTGTAGACCCGCTAGATGCTCTTTACTGTCAACGGCAACAATCTTCATAGTCCAACCGTTCAGGAGGGCATCCGTGCTGGGACGAGTATTACGCTCTTGCGGTGTCTGGCTGGGCTGGATCAATAGTGTCATGAATCCTGTATTGGACCAGCTTGGCGAGAAAAGAGCTGCTGGGCCATGATCTCGGGAGGCATCGCCTGTCGCCAGAGAAATGTCCATGGGACCAAAGAGGTCGACAAGTCGGTTCCATAGAACACGTAGAAAGACTCCATGGGAGACGATGGCGATATTTGAATCAATGCCCGAATAATCGAATAGTAACGGTAAAAAGTGCTCGTTTAGAAATGATGTTGCTCGTTCTCTCATTGAGATCTTTGTCTCGCTTTCGATATGTGTAGAGCCTTCAAACTGAGTATTCTTAGGACCTGCACTTCCTGGTACAGACTCCTTTGCAGGCTGGATACGGACGCCTTCTAATGAACCGAAGTCTCTTTCTCGCAAGTCGGACGTTAATATTGGTGTCATTGGTATATCATGATCCTGCGGCTGATGAAGGCAAATGCCTGTAGCTGTGAGACTGGCCCGGCTCAAATCCGATGCAAAGACTCGATCGAATTGAATTGATTTGGAAGCGAAATGCTTCGCAAGAGATTCTATCTGTAGTGTGCCGTGGTTTGTCAGGGCTGAGTCCGTGGTGCCCGCCCTGTTGCGATGTAAGTATGGCTGATATAGTCTTAAATGCTTAACTCTTACCATGCCTGGGCTACATTATGCACTGTTTCTGCATGCCGGATGAGAAAAAGCCTCATCGTTTGGGTAGCTTGACTCGCATGAAGGCAGCAAAAATATGTATGGTCTAAGTCGTCGCCACCGGGATCACGTGATGTAAAACTCGCACAATCAAGGACGTCTGATTTAGTTAGTGGGCGGTTTGGTTCACTCAAGGAAACGCAAGGCTACGCTTTACTGGTTCCCATCTACGTGATAGATCTAGACCAACACAAAATGGAAGTGGGTGAGGGAACGATGAGATTGCATGGACATTGGAGCAGTAGAACTGTGAACGAAAAATTGCCTTGAATGAAACACCGAACTAATTGCTCCCAAGATATCCCCTTAAAACGTAACAGTGGTATTTGCCATGATCAACATCACATCAGAAATAAACGCCGAGTGGCCGAAGCCAGTCCCCTCATTGAATGGTAGTGGAACTTTTTTAGAATTTTGAGCGAACCGAAGTACTCGTCAGGAACAGCCGACAAAGCGCTTAGTTGGAGGCAAGCTCGCGGATCTTCTCCTGGACGCGGGCCTTCTTCTGCTCGCGGGTCAGGCGCTCGACCTTGAACTTCTTGGACTCGGCCTTCCACTCCTCCTTGGTCTTCTTGGAACCCTCATCCTCGTCCTTCTTGAAGGGGTCCTCACGGATGGCGGAGTGAGCCTCAGTGTAGATCTCCTCAAGGTCACCGGCATCGACCTCCTCCTCGATGTACTTGGTGAACTGGGACTTGTAGCGCTCCTCATCCTCATCGGCGAGGGTCTCCATGTACTCGGAGACGTGGCCACCCATGATGTAGTTGCGGAGGAGGTCAGCATCGAGCTCCTCAGTCTCGATGTCGTAACCGGGGAAACGGCGGTCGGAGTGGGGGATGAAGACACCACCGTCGGAGGCACCCTTCATGGCAGCGAAGACACGGTTACCGGTGGAGGTGCGGACAAGACCAACATCGAGGAAGGCCTTGAAGGGACGGCGCTCACCGTCCTCGGTCTCAACGGCCTCGACGAGGGAGTGCTCGCCAGTGGCCTCATCGACACCCTTGAACTGCTCAGCAAGACCGAGCTTGGTAAGGGCACGGCGGGCAAGGAGCAGACCAGTGGCGTAGGCAGCGGCGTAGTTGGTCAGACCCTGGTTGATACCGTAGCGCTTGAGCTCGTGAGCGTAGGCAGCGCACAGAACCTTGTCACCGGAGACCTCAGAGTAGACGATCTGAGTAACGATGTCACGGTTGGTGAAGCGAACGACCATGCGGTACTTGGGGGCGTTGTACTTGTTCTTGGCCTGGGTGATCAGGCGCTTGCGAGCATAGTAGTCGGTCTTACCCTCACGGCGACGACGGTACTTGGTCTGGAAGCGACTGGAGGGGTAAAAATATCAGCACACGACCAAAATTGAACGAAAAAAAAAAAAAAAAAATTTTCTTTTCTGGAGTCAATGAGGAGAGGATAGCTTACGAGTAGTACGCATTGCTCTTGACAGTCTTGGTGAAAGGCTACAAGAAAAATCCGCGAGTCAGCAATTAGCGCTTCAGAATTTCGTCCGAAGCATCTTGCAAAGACCCTGCTCCGGTCGAAACGGAGGGAAAAGGAAAGTCGCAGAATGGTATTTTTCAACCATCTGCAATGGCAAAAACACTCACCATGTTGACGGTTGCCGGTGCTGATCCTGTGGTCGACGGTTGGAAAGAAAAAAGAGAAGTCGAAAGTGCGGCGGTTCTTTGTGGGGGATTTCGCTTAGCGTGGGCTGCATCCCGCAACCCAAAAGTGTGGTTGGCGACGAGCGTCGACGACCACCACAAAAGTCCCGACTTAAGGACTACCACCTTTTACAGTACACCAACGGAAGTTCCAGAAAATCCACAAATCTCAGAATATCTATTCTATTTGTTTAGTTATATGGACTTCGCCTGCTGAGTATTTAGACGTAAAGGAAACTAAATCAAAGAAAAGAAGCTGGAAGTATGGTGCTGTCTAATTCTATAGTCGAGCCTTGTCACCCTCCAGCAATGGAAGTCCAGTAATCTTCTCCAATTCCTTGACTGCATCTTCAATCTTTCCCAGGGTCACCTTGACCGTACGCATCCCAGCATTCTTTGCCGCCTTGCAATTTTCACCAATGTCGTCGAAGAAGACGATATCCGACGCCTGCACTGCAGGAAGTCCACGCTTCTGCGCCAAAGCCTTCATCTCCTGAATCGCAACCTCATAGATCCGGGGATCTGGTTTGCGAAGCCCCGTATGCGCAGATGAAACAAAAAAGTCGAACTGGGATCTCACGCCGGACACATCGTTGTTATATGGGTGGCCCTCGGGAAACTTGACAGTATTTGACAGGGCACCCATAAGATATTTGCCCGACTCCCGCAATTTTTGCAATGCTGGGAACATATATGGGTCAGGGGTGCGAGATACTCTCATCATCTCCCAGAAAAGCCATTCGGCGTCCACGGTCGGCAGTGGTGGGACTGCGGCCGGGCCACTCGCGCCTTTCTTCTTGTGAAGTTGTTCATGGAATTCCCTCCATAGCTTTGGATTGCGTAGATCCTCGTTGAAGCCGGCAAAGAATTTGGCATCCATGGAGATGTCACCACGTTCCAACTGATGCCAGCTCCCGTTGGGCTTGGTGCGCGATATGCTAAAATTCACCCATCCGGGAGGGATGTTTTGTGATAGTTCATAGTCAAGAATGGCCTGGAATGGCGACACGACCTGTGGAAATCTTAGCGATGGCGTTCGAGGTGATGGGGTTGATGCTAGTGTCCGAACTTACACACACTCCACCAATGTCGAAAAGGAGACACACGGGGCGCTGAGCTACTGCCATCCTGAATATCAAAAGCCGATTCGAACTTTAGTAAGAGATTGATTCACAGAGCAGCTAGCCGGGGGCTGGTGGATGTATACAGTGGTGATATTTGCGGAGAAGTAGTGACCCAATGCGGTCTGCCGAGGTACTACGTGCTCGGGGCCGAGGGCCTGCTCTTCATCCACCACTAGATATCTGGAACAAAATGATACGATTAGAATACGAGGGGTACACTCATATATATTATCTTGACGCTTCATCGAGTTTTCTCATCCACAAGTGCAGATATGATCATTGCTTCCTATGAGGGGAGACCGACAAGGAGCTAGAAGGAAGAAGGAAGACACTACCAGCGTATTGTAATTATGCTTTACAGAACAACTAATGATATAGAGCCCATTCTCGGAACCACACACAGCACTACAGGGAAAATAGTAATGAACGAAGCCAAAAAGGCCGTGGAGTGACCACCCATGGCGGGGTACACGTGATGTTATCGATAAGAGACGCGTTTAGTGATTTGGAGCGTAACGAGACACAATCTCACTCCAGATCTCTTCTCCCGCGATGAAGCGATGGATTCAACGCGGACAATATCCGAATTGAAATCTGCATTTATCTGGAGTCAGGTCCGCATCCTTTCTGAAAATCTTCAACCACCAGAAAATTGGAGGGACTATGCAGTGGAGCTTGAGGAAGAAGCGCTACCGGAGAAGGTGATTGAAGACGTACTACAGAAAGGTGAGAACGGTCTTTTACAATTCAATTCGCTCACTTTGATCTCTGGTATTCTGCGAGATTGCGTACTGACTGCTGTTAGTCAATGCGGCGGCAAAGCAACACAACCGCGTTGTTTACTCCTCCCAGGCGATCCACCATGTAGCCCACCAGATAACCAGTCTCTACTGGGCTTCTGTCAGTCAGGATATACAAAACCAAGCTGTACTCAGAAAAGGTGTGGAGAAGACGACAGATCTCTCTAAACACTTGTAAGACTCTCCCCACTTTGTCAAAACTTAGTTGTACCTAAAACGTACTAACTGGTCTTGAAGGAACATCCTTGGCTTGCCATTGGATCTGGAATCACAAGGCGCTAATGAGGAACAAAATGAGAGGTCAGTCTCCACACACATCAGAGATTTAACCGATTGAAGTTCCACCTGCTTAATCCCCGTTGTACAGATACCAGCGTCTCCGGGATCGACTGGCCAAACTAGATCAACAGCGCCAGCAGAAGCAGCGGCGAATCGATCAACTGCAGCATTTAAATCGCTTGCTCGAGCCTTTCAAGGAGCCTCAGGTGGCTATTCAGCCCAACCTGGTCACTCGTGATGGAGAGTTGGCCCAGGAGCTGGAGAAGATGCGCATGCTCATGGCACGAGTTAGTGGCAGGATTTCACAACAGAAACCCAGTCAGACACAAGGTGGAGAGGAATACCTTCTCCCAGGATCAGATCAACGACTTGAAGCCTTGATGGACACGGAGGAATGACTTACGATATAATCTCCAATGAAACGTTTTTTTTCCCTTGCATTCTCAAGAACCCTGGCCCATGCGGCATGAAATCTGTACCTAGCACTGCAGGTCCTGTAAAATCCTATGTACTACTTGGGTTACCTACCATAGGTACTGTAGCTGGAAGTAGGCAAACCCATTTCCTATAAGACCGAGCTAGTGTAAGTGGTCATAGTGGGGAAGGCGCTTTCAACATTACAACCGCAGGAATCCGGTTGTCATTGGGGTTTCAGCAGGCGCGATTGAAGAGAGTAAGTTCGCCGGTTCCTTGCTACCTTCTCCCCGTCATCGACTCTATTACACCCACATCCGTTCACGATCGTGGAAATGTCTTGCCAGCGCAGGAAGCATATCTTCAGACTATGACCAAGCAATCAGACATCCTTTCCCTCATATCTCCCACATGAATCGATGAGTACAATGGATCGAATGAAGCGCCTGGTCGGGTTGAACGGGCGGGGAACTAGCCCGATCGGGAATGGTCCGGCCAACCACATCAATTACAATCACGACAGCCGCAGCGCAGCACTCGAGCACGACGTGATTGAAGACCACCCCCAACTTATCGACTGCGCCGCCATCATCGAGGGCGACACTCCTACCTCCCCTTCCAAGGGACCTTCAGCACGTGGGCACCGCCGCCGTTCTACCCACGTCACTCGCCGTGACCTTGAGAAGTTTCAGAAGGAGGTTCTAGGCGTCGAAAACCACGCCTCCTTTTACGACGAGGAAAACGGCACCTCACACCCTATCGACCCCTACGATCCTCAGCTTGCAGAATTGAACCGTGCCTTTGACGATTCCCTGATGTCGATGAACAGCGGTACAGGAATGGCCGGCAATCCGGGGTCTGGCATGTTCTCCGGTTACGTGGACAACTCCCCTGGGACCCCTAACATGGGTAGCATCCCTCGGCAGTCCGTTTCGCCAGCACCCCTACACCCTGCAGCTCAAGTCAACGGAGGTGGTATGGCAGTGATGAATGGCAACGGTCCCATGAATGCGGGTCATCAGATGGATCTCCACCATCTCTATGACATGGTGCTGGAGCTGAGCGATGTCCTGAAGAACAACCGCGAGGTAACAAAGAATATTGTGTCGAGTGCGGAGGAAATTATGGTACGTTTGATCACCACTTCAATTGGCATTGAGACCGAGTTGACAGGGCCGAATAGAAGCATGGTCCCTCCGAGGGTGCTAGTGCCGCATTGCAACAAGTCAACGGCGATTTAACAGGTACGTCTCGAATAATCAAGCGATATACTTCTTCTTTGCTTGTTTGGACCCAATTCCGACCGATATACTGATGACGCGTTTAAGCTGCCCGAATCGCTGAACTCGAACGAGCCCTCGTCAAGGAGAAACGACTGGTCGAAGATCTCAAACGCGAGCAAACGGAAAACACAAAGTTGATCGGTGACTACGAAGCCAGCGTCGGCACTATGGTGGAGCAGATTCGCAACTATTGCCAAAACAACAACATGCACTTCCTATACCAGAAGAGTCACTATAACAACCTCCTGCAGGCTGAACGAGATGCTCATCTAGAGAGTCGGCTGGACCGAGATTACTGGCACGCCCAAACAATGCGATGCGCAGAGATGATCCGAAAGGCTCACCGGATGCGCTCGGAAGAGGATGAGTTACCCGTTCGAATCATCGCGGGGCTCCAGAACGAGGTTCGCGCATACCGTAATGCACTTGGAATGGAGCCCGAGAAGCCCGAAGAGGAGTACGGGTGGGAGATCCTCAAGGACGTCTCTGCGGAATAAAAGGGGCGGAATTGGGATGGATTCACGCCGTGATGACCTTTCTTTTTTAATTTCTCCTTTTATTTGCATAGAGATTGGCGGGCGCTTGCTTGTATTTTTCGTGTTTCATTTTTTTAGTCTCCCATTGGGGAGATCTGGCGTTTTTTGCATTACCGGGTTTTATACCATATTATTACCTTGCAAATAATAACCGCTATTGTGTGGCGCCTCTTCAGAATGGTCGGTGTGTATTTAGCTATGGGTCTACATGCTACGACCAAATTTGTGGGACTTGGCGTGAAGGGGGGTTATTTAAGCCCCTGGGAGCATTTCGCCGTTCGCAATTGGCCCAAACCACCCGTTGCAATCCCGATCTCCGGCTCTTCCCCACCTTTTCGCCTCTTTACCCACTTTAATGTACAAAGTTGTACTGTAGGATAACACAGCTTGCCGGTCACGGAGGCCCCAGTAATTCAGTTCTTGGTATGTTACCTCACGTGCCCAAGTTTAAGGTGGAGTTATCTCCTATAGTTTACACCAGACTGCTAAATAAGTGGACCACTACGGGGAAGCAGATTATGTCACCTTAATCGCTACTTGACCACTTCCGGTCGCTTCCAATACCTCATTTTCCTCATCATTTACTTTCCCATTACTCCTCGCTTTTCTTTCCCACCATGCTGTCTCTCTATATCCTGGTGAGATCTGTGTTCTGTCACCTGTAGTGAGATCTTATACCCGAACCCAATCCGACACGCCCCCTCTTCTTCGGTTAGATACCTGCCGAATTCCTGTACCGCTTCGACCTGATCGCCGGTGAGCGGATATCATTGCGGCATTGTCGAGGAGTGCATAGGGAAGTGGGGGGATCAGCCAACTATGCGTCATCCGAACTAAGGCCTACCCATATTCGAACATACTTCAGCGCCACACAACTGGCCACCCTCGACGAAGAACCCCAACCAGCCCAGGAACGAAACACTTTGCATCGCAAGTGATTTTGGGTAATTAGTTTCATAATGGAGGGTGTTCAGACTGTGGATGTGAGCTGGCTTCATCATTCGCAGAAAGGCAAGTTCCACTTTAGTGATGCGGCTGATCCGGGGTGCCGAGTCTGGGGCCAAAAAGAGGAGGGAGGAAGAGCGAGAGCGAGAATAGAAACCAAAGTCGTGTGCGACTGAGGCTAACTTCGGATCTTCTTTTCAGATCATCTTTCGCGCACGAAATCCGTAACTTCAGGGGGCAGCGACAAATCGAGCGCCGAGAAGGACTCCGCGACGAACCCATCCAAACCACACCGACGATCCCGATCGAATAGCAGCCCGGCTCGTCCACCGTCCTCAAACGGCTCAACAACAAAGCACGAGCCGCAGAATGAAGCAATTAAGGAAGAAGAACCGACCCCGGAACCAGAAAAACCCGCAGAGCAAAAACCATCTACTCCCTCGCCCGCAGCCCCGAAAACTGCTCCCAAACCACTCTCTGGGCGCAGAAATTCATGGATATCCAGTTTGAGCTCCAAGTTTTCCTCTGGATCCACTCCGCCATCGCAGTCTAGTCTGAAAGGGAGCCCGGCAAGTCCGAAGGCCACTGGACCTCTCGATCATAACCCATTCGGCGCCGCTTTCTCCCCGAAAGACAAGGAAGAGGAAAAGAAAGATGACTCCAACCCAAACCCATTCACCTCCTCGTCGCCTAAAGGGCCCTCCTTTATCCACAGTGCACTACGCAAGTTTTCGTCCAATTCCGGTGGTTTGCCCAAGCTACCGCCAGCTTCCGCAACATGCCCGCGCCGAGTGATGAACCTCGACCAGGGCCGCGATCGGTGCAAAATCGCAGAGCTCAACCAAGCAAAATTGCATAGGGTGGCGTTCTGTGTGGATGTTGAAATCGCCGGAGTGTCGCATCGAGATTCAGATGAAGATGCTCCTCCGACAAATCAACTTCGACAAGCCTTGCCGGAGTCGAATCGCCAGAAGGCGAAGAAGGCTGAAGCTAAGGTCGATACAAAGGCTGATACTAAGACAGAGGACAAGGAAAAGGGCAAGGAGGAGGCCGAAGCACTGAAGCACCCCCAAGCCGCAGTGGCCGAGAAGGAGGCAGCTCCAGCGACCTCAGCGACCCCGGCAGCTCCGGCAGCTTCAACAACTGCTCAAGCAGATAGCCCTCTGGATACTCAGACTGCGACCTCTACTACCGAATCCGCTACTCCAAACCCTACCGCCGATGGCGAAGCGGGCAGTGAAAAGAAAGACCCGACTCGCAAGCAAGAAAAGAAGAAGCGGTCAGAAGAAGAACGTAAGGAGCGTAAGGAGCGTAAGCGCAGACAAGCTGTCGCGAACGGCTCAATTCCGCTCCAAATAGATCCAGAGCACGACGAGGTCGATTGTCATGCATCAAAGTCTGGTATCTCCCGGTCTAAAACACAGAGCCACCCTACCACAGACCCCGCGCGCATCTATCGACGATGCTGCCAGCTGAGAGAAACGCCTGTTCTCAAACGGGTGATCGACGAAATTTCTTCGCCGTCCTCCACGCTGGCAGAATCGCCCGGTACTGTTGCCGCTCTGGATCTCAGTAACTTCCCCATGACGCCTCAAGATATCATGACGTTGAGTGACTGGCTTGCGGTGGTGCCTGTCCGTAAGCTCCTATTGGAAAATTGTGCACTCACCGACGTCTCCGTGCGGGCGATTCTTGCTGCTTTGCTTTCGACAAAGACTGTGGAACAGATGCGCTACCGGCGGAAGCGGAATCGCAGATGTGAATCACCCACTGTGAAGTATGAACGGTGGGGTGTTGTGGAGAAGCTATCCCTGAAGGACAACCCGAAAATTGGACGGGAGGGATGGCGCCACATTGGCCTCTTCGTTCATCTTTCCAAGTCCTTGAAGGCGATTGATCTTTCCGGCATTCCTTTTCCTAAAGCTCGGGCTCCAGGAGATAACTCTAGCCAGTGCGCTGCCACCGACGTTTGCAATACCTTTGCGTGCGCTCTGGCGGAGAGGTTCAGCGGCGATCACCTTGAGGAACTGCTCATGAGTGAATGCAAGCTTTCCGTCGAGCAGGTCAAGCGAATTTGCAAGGCATCCACCAAATTGGGGTTGCGACGGCTGGGATTTGCAAACAATGATCTGACAAGAGAAGGTTTGGAACACGTTGTTGAGTATCTCAAAGCTGGACAATGTGAAGGGCTGGACTTGGGAGGAAATCCTATTAAAGACGACCTTGATCTTATTACAGATGCTGTTGAACCCGAGCAGCCCCTATATGCCCTCAGCCTGGCAGATTGCTCCTTGGATCCTTCTGTGATCACTCCGTTGCTGCAATCCTTGACTCAGATCCATAACCTTCGCTTCATTGATTTCTCTCATAACCCTGGTTTGTTTTCTATGCAGGCCAATGCACTTGGAGCGTTCCGGCGCTTTTTGCCCAAGATGCCTTCGCTCAAGCGTATCCATCTTGCCGATGTCGATCTTTCCCCCGATCATGTTATCGGTCTTGCTGAGGTTCTGCCAGAATGTCCTAGCCTTTGCCATTTGAATATATTGGAGAACCCGCAAATTGTATCTTTGGCCTCTGCCGTGGACCCTGCTGTTCAGGAAGAGGCGTGTGCAGTCTATGCTTCTATGATGGCCGCAGTCCGAGTTTCGGGTACAATGATCGCAGTGGAAATTGACGTTCCCACCGCCGAAAACAACGAAGTTGTCAAGGCACTAGCGTCCCAGATTGTCGCTTATTCGCTTCGAAATCTGGAAGGTACTGCTATTGGAGAGGATCTGCCTGAAACACACGTACCGCATGATGTTCCAGTGCCAGAGATCCTGCAGCACATTGTTGGACACTCCTTTGGTATGGACGAGCCATACGACGAAGAAGATGATGTCGCTCCAGACGAGGATTATGTAATTGGTGGTACGGGCGTGGTCAAGGCACTTGGTGTCTGTCTCGGAAACCTTGATCATCATGGAAGCGATATTCCTGGAGATTCAGCACCTGCCAGTGGCACTACGACTCCTCGGCGTCGTAAGTCCAGAGGCGTGGTTACTAAGAGGCCTCGTGACATGTCAAAGAATTTGCTGGAGTCCGCTCGCAACATCCGAGCAAGGATTCAGTCAGCGCTTGTCCGCGAAGACCGGGCCGGTAACGATGCCAATTACCGTAAGTTTTTAAAAGTCTCATCGTTGCTACACTACCCCGCATACTAACTTCCATCACAGGACGTCTCCAGTTCTTGGACATTACATTGCATAGGATGATCCAGCGCTTTGAGGATGAGTACCCGGAAACTCGCTTGCCTCCTCCGCCCGTCCCTATTTCTGCCCTGCCAGAAACCAGCTCACAGCATTCCGGCGAGGAAGGAACCGGCTCGAGTGCCATCAACGGCAATCTTAGCAGCAGCTTTATGGACAATGAAAATGCCATTGATGATGAGGAAGGCGAGCAAGAAGGTTTCCATCTTTCCCGAAGCAGCTCAATGACATCGATGCATGCCCGCGCCATGACATCAGAAGAAGGCCACGTCCATCGCCTGGGCCAAAACCTCCGCCGGGACCTACTGAAAACACCCGATCGTCAAGGCGAAGACGATGAAGAAGACAACTCGCACCTTGCTGTGCTACGGGAGAGACTCGAGCGCCTACACGAGGAACAGTCTCGACCGTTCCACACCGAAGAAGCCTTTGAGAAACTTGGCAGTACGGTTGATGAGCTCTGGGCCTACCAGCATCAAGATGCCGAGGGCTTCGAGAAATTTAAACAATCTCAAATTGCGGCGCAGATCAACAGTGGTTTGCGTCGTGAATCTTCTTCCTCTGAAAGCAAGTCACCACCATCATGAGTTGCTGTGAATGAGGTGCTTTTTTTTTCGGATTTCAATCATATCCATCCATACGAACCAATTTTGGCACGCGCATTGTGTTTCTATGCTATTTTGAAAGCGCATATGTACATACTTTTATCCTTCGCTATCTCTGTTTGTCATTCATACCCAACCCCAGTACTGTCTATGCCTCCTTTCCTCCTTCTGTCTCTATACGTATATGTCATGATGTTTGGAATTCACATACGTAACTTGTGATTTTCATTTGCTGGGTTGATATGACCTGTAAAGAGGAGGAATCTGGATCAGAAATGTATATCAGAGCACAATGTCTTCTACGGTTCCAATGCATCACATTATCTAAGTAATCCCTATTTATATCTAATGCCTAGCTAATTTTCACTCCTAGTCCTTGGCCAGACTCAAGGTGAGAAGGATAGGAATAAGAAGAGATTTTTGCCTCCTAAATTCGAGGCGTCAACCCCCAGGAGTCACAACCACCCTAAAGAACCCAAGCGGAGAATCATATTTCCAGCTGGGTATATGCGGCAAAATGTCCAAGTGCTCATAGAGTCATCAGACTCACCACCTCAAGGTTTAGATTCTAGATTGTGTATATTCCATCGTTCGTTTTCTCTACTCCGATCGGTTTTTTGAACAATGCGCGCTGCATGCTGGACATGCCGCAGTCGTACCATCCAATGTGACCAAATCAGCTTCCTTGCGCCAAGTGCGAGAAGGCGGACCTAGAATGCTTCGACAAAAGACCCCTTCGATGGGTCAAAGGCGTGGCAATCCGGGGTAAAATGCGCGGTCAGGTTCTTGGAGTGGATTCCAAAGCCCCAAATGAATATGCAAGTCCGAACTCCAAGCGGAAACAACTCTCACACCCCAGCGCCACGTCTCTAGCCACCAATCCTACTCCTAAGTTCGCGTTGCAAGACCCTTGCGTCCACGATCACGATTGGTCTTCTAGGTTCTATCTTGACTATTGTATGCTCATGAGCGTAATTATATGAGCATGAGCATGCTAATCAGACGAAAGACAACGTGCGCATCGCCAAATTGTTCATTTTATACGATAGTGAGAGTAATCCGGTTCGAAATTTACTCACATATGCCACGGAGAGTTTAATTTTGCGAAAAAGCATTATTGCTGTGGCTGCACGACACTTCGCGAATGCAGGCCAGTCATTCGATCAAATAGAGGACGCTTTAAGCCCTCGATATGTCAATGCTAATTTGGATGCATTCCATTTCAAGAGGCAAACTATTCAGGCATTGTCATCGTCACTGTCTCACCCAGAGTATTCTCGGAAAGATGAGATCATGGCAACTATTCTCCTCTTGATTTCTCTCGATCTTCTCGAGTCTGGGATCGACGGTTGGAAGTATCATCTCTGTGGTGCAGAAGGACTTATTAACCTTTCTCATGTGCTGCTAGAGTCTGGTATCGGTGGAAATTACAGCACCGGTCCTTCGCAAGCAAAAGATGAGACAAGGTGCTTTGTCGCCCGTCAATTTGCGCTGTATGATTCCCATTTCTTTCACCCACCATCTTATCCATCAACCATTATCGTGATTTTGTCGCTAATCTTGTTAGTGTCTCAACTATGGGAGGCACACTTTCCGGTTCGACGTCAAGTCCTGAATTATGTGCCAATCTTGAAGAAAGCAAGCACCAAGAGTCTATTATAAGAAGTTTGCTGGGATGCCCTGGCTTTTTACTAGGAGCTATTCGTTATTTTTCGAATCAAAGACACGTCGGGAGGGATATGCGTGACGACATCTCGATTCACGAGCATGTCCAAGGAGTATCAAGCCCTGGTGCCACTCAACTCACCTTGTCAAGTTTGACGAGGAAATTGAGGCCAATACTCTCATGGAGCAGTGGGAGCAAAGCCCGTTGGGGAAGCTCAGTGTTTCATATATTGGGTGTTTTGGCAATCTAACACCCTTCAACAGATAAAAGGTATCAGCTTCAAGTACGGTGAAGTTGAATAGATTGAGAGGAGACGAAATTTGAACGGGTATTGAACGTGATTTTGAGACAGAATTTTACAAGCATTGAAGAAATTGTCTCAATTATCCACCTAGTTCTATAGAGAACTAATCAATTCCTTCCTTCATACTTCCAAACAGCGATTTATGTATGACTAGTATAGGGAAAGGGGGAAATGGCCAAGCTTGATGAAATTTGGCAAGCAAGTTCAAATAATGGCGAGTGGGTCTTGGGACCTACTATCAACCAATCAATCAATCTGACATGGCGCTCGGTCGCGCTCGCTCGTTCCCCTCGTTCCCGGAATCTCCACAGCGTATCATCATTGGTCTCATCGCGTTTCCGGGGGATTTGGAACTTATATGCGTATTTCTTGAGATTCTGCGTATTAACATAGCTCTGGGATGTCACAGTCTACTCGGGCCACAGGCAGTCGCCGTAAGTGGCACCCTAAATCCCGCACGGGCTGTCAAACATGCCGCTCTCGAAAGATCAAGGTGTGCTATACTCCAGCAATCTACCCATTACTACTTGGTCGAAGGCACTAAGTGATTCCCCAGTGCGACGAGCGACACCCATCATGCCTCAATTGCATCAAGAAAGGGCTACATTGTGACTTCATTCAAACAATCGAAAGCCCAATATCAACGGTTACACATCCCGAAACACTAAAGCTCGAGCTCCTTCACCACTTTACCATCTCCACTGCCATCACATTATCTCCCGATCTGCAGATCCGAGACCTTTGGCGGGTCGTTATCCCTCAAATGGCCTTTACCACCGATTATCTTCTAGATGGGATTCTTGCCCTTGCAGCTCTCCACATTGCACGCTATAACAGCGGCCGGAGACACTACCTCCTCGCTTACGCCATTGAACGCCAATCAGCATCTTTATCTAGGGCTTTGCCGCTAATACCCGGGGTGACGCCCCAAACCTGTAGCCCACTTTTTGTCTTCGGAGTATTAATGCTCTATTTCAGTCTAGCACGCCCCATCCAGGAGGATGATATGCTGGTACTAGGAAACGGGGTTATTCCCGAATGGCTGTACCTTCTTAGGGGCATCGATACAGTTGTCATGGCAGAAACTTCAATCTTCTCTTCGCCTGTCTCCTTGATCTTCAAGAGTACGTGGGGGAGTATGGATTACTGGAAGACCCATACACCTGAAAAATACCAGGTTCTTATGGAGCTAGAGGAACGGTTGTGTGCTGAAGTTCAGACTGATGAAGAACGACTGCCCACCTTGCAAAAAGCGATCGAGGCGCTGAAACGAAGTTATTCGTTCCTGTACAGTCCACACATGAAAGACCAGGATAAGTTAAGGGGGTTCTTTCAGTGGCTCTTTGAGATAGATGATGCGTATCTGGAATTATTGAGGAATGGTGATAATGGGGCTTTGTGTGTGCTTGCTTTTTATGCTGTGCTGGTGAAAAATCTGGAGCGGTACTGGTGGGTTGATGGCTGGGCGATTCATCTTATTCGAGGTATTTACATGCTTCTGGATGGAGAGCATCGTCTGTGGATTAGATGGGCTATAGAGGAGATTGGATGGGTCCCTGAGGCCTATGCCCATTAATGACTCGCTATCACCCACATGTGTAGTAATAGTCGGTGGCACAAATATATTCTGTTTTATCGTATAATGGTTTATTGAACTTTTTAAGCAGTCTTACTTCGTTTAATCGCTCAGCACCGGAAGTTCATTGGTTGAAATTTTTCCGGAGCGAGCTGAGCGAAGCGACCGAGTTAAAACGAGTCTTCGCTAACTTCATGAAAGTGGAGTACTTGCCGTCCTTCCGACAGCTTTATATTGATTTAATTTATCAAACAGCTCTTGGGTATTTCCTATAAATATACATTGAGGTCCCTTGCTGGGGTCTTTAAAAGAACGTGTTAGATGCAGCAACTTCGAGCTCAATCAACACCATGTCTGATCAAAGTATTCCTGAAATGATACGCCTTGCAAGTAAGTACCATTGGTGTTGAGTCGTTGATTATAGAACTGACATGTCAAAAGGTAACAATGAGAAACGTCATATTATGCGTCACGCACTTGGCTTCTACCGCGCATTGATCATAAGTGGCCTTTACACACTACACGACACAGACCCATTCGACGCAAGCAACCTCGGCAACTTCATCCCTGCTTTGAAATACTGCATCGCGACTCATCCTATCTTGAGTGCTGCCATCCACGGGGAGGACACCGAGAATCCGCATTTTGTTCGACCTGCATACATCAACCTCGAAAAACATATCCATCTCGTTGATAGCGCCTCTCCTACTGGATCATACCCACTCAAGGATGATCTGGAGTTCCTCACTCGACTTAATCGGGAGATACATGATCAGCCTTTTCCCAACGTGGACCTGTCTCCGCCATGGAAAATTGTCATTTGCCCCCTAGCCAATGAACCAAGCACGGGAGCCCAACAAATGTACATTATATTTGCATACTCCCACTCCCACGGCGATGGAAAGTCAGGTCTGGCTTTCCATAACACTTTCCTTCAAGGGCTCCAAACTGCGCATGAAATGTACGATCAAAGCCCTGTCTATCAGGCTCCTGTATCGCCCATTCCGCTGCCATTAGAGCAGGCATGCAACTTGAAAATCACCTGGTCATACCTATTTCTCAATCTTCTGGACAGCTACATGCCGACTTCTGCATGGAGATTACTTGGTTTTCCACCCCCGGCAACCACTCATACTTGGACTGGGAAAGAAATGTGCTACGATCCATCGAATTTCCACACTGGCTCCGAGGCTCTATTAGTCAATAAGTCTCTACTAGACGCCACCTTGAAGGCCTGCAGAAAGCACGAAGTGAGATTCACCGGGTTCTTCAACCAGGTCGTTTTGCGTGTTCTGGACACCGTTCTACCACCAGATGCCAACCAGACCTTCCTCGGTCAAATTGTCGTTGATCTCAGACCACTAATTCCTGCCTACACTGAGAACGAAATGGTCAACTGTGTTTCGGCGCTTTACGATTCCTCTTCTAGATCCCATCAGACCCCAGGGGAGAGGACTAGTCTGAAGCACGACGCCGCATTTTGGGGCGCTGCACAGAAGACCACGCTCCGATTGGCTGAATGCGCAGGTACCCTTGTTGATCAACCAATAGGGCTTCTACGGTACCTTAATCAGTTCCGACCCTGGTTTCATGGAAAATTGGGGAAGAATCGTGAATCATCTTACGAGATTAGCAATGCTGTTGTTTTTGATCCGCAGATTTCTGATGTGGATACGATTTCACCTGCCGCACGCAGGAACTGGGATATTGAGAGGGTCTTGTTTTCACAGCCGGCAAATGTCACAGGGAGTGCGTTGAATTTTCAGATTGTGACTAGGAAAGGTGGCGGTATGGTGATAACTTTGAATTGGCAACTTGGGGTCTTGGACGTTCCTGATGAGAATGAATTTGTTCGGGATTTCCTTGAGAGGATTCATGGTCTATTAACTATTACTTGCTGTGATTGTCCTGAGGATTGTGTTGACTGCAGCCAAAATGCTTGAAAGGGAGAGGTAGCAAATCAGCTAGGTATGTGAACATAGATTATCTTGAGGACCCCTTCAGTACCGACTAGTGGGTAGTTCTGATACAAAATGAGGTTTGTTCTCAGCCTCCGGTCCTAGCTCTGCCGGTAGCCCAGTATATCCCGAGGGCATTTCATGGGTCAATGTTTCTGCACCATCAAGCTCCCGTAGTTGTTGCCATTGTGGATCTGATTGAGGATCCACTTGGGCGTTTTTTCGTTCTTTCCTTCGTCGCATCCAGAGTAGAGCCACGACGGTGATTATTGCAATCACACCAACAACAACACCGACTGCAATACCAGCCTTTGCCCCTGTTGTAAGCCCGCTCGATTGTGTTACCTCGGAGTCGTCTGAAGCATTTGTTGACGTCGCGGTCGCAGGGACGTCAGTTGCGCTAGTTGTTTGCGCGTTGGTTGTTTGCGACGCAAAATCAGCCGATCGCCAGCGAATAGAGACCCCTTTCGCGTTAATTCCATCTGCTGTTGTCGTCAAGCTTGATGTAGTGCCCCCTTTGGTGAAATACCAAACTGATGAGTGGGTGTTTCGGGAAGTGCACATATTCGTCTTTTGCCAATCCAGCGTGGGGGACTCGGTCTGCACGGCATAATTACTAAAAGGGATTAACACCTTCCTAATCTGATGTAATTGCTTCTTGGAGGCTCACTTGGGACAGCAGGTGGCATGCGTTTCCTCTTCATTTGCATCGATGGTAGAGACCCCTTGGCCAGCAGCCCAGTATCCAGACGGACAAACGCCGGGAGAATAGTAGAATTCAGTGTTTGTCTCATAGCTCGTGGGAAAGCAACTGCTCCAATCGGTTGGTCCAAGGTTCAGCCACCAGCCGGTGTTACCCGTGGTGATGGTTGTGGTGTAGTAGTCTGTGCCAGACAAATTTTCGATGAACCATGTGTCAGTGGTGCATGCCGCTGGCGGAGAGAAAGTGGTCGTGAGCGCAGGGGGTGCAGTGGACGTCATGATGGTGTCGACCTGCTTCTCTACAGTTCCCCGCCTGTTTACACCGAGGTCCCTGAGGCTGAGCGATTTCTTGGCTCAAGCTAACCATCTTCGTAGATCAGGGGCCAAATGGGCAGCCCCCAAATTTGTAATGTAACACGAAACGCTTGGCGCGCACGTTTTCTGCAAGAAATTGACAGACTCGAATCATATTTCCATCTGCCAATCGCCGTCCCAAGCCTCGTCATCCACTTGCGAGAATTTCTGGCCAAGTATATCTTCATCGGCGAAGGAGAAATCTAGATTCAAGAAATCGGCAGGCATCATCTCTATAAACTAATTAGTATGGCTCATTATCTGCATAACCTCGGAAGTCAGGCTCACCTGGAGGACATTGACTGGTCATGATCAGCCCGTGATGCCCTATTTCATCCGGATCCCCAAGAACATAATGCAAAGCGGAAACTGCTTTCCGGACTTCTTGAGAAGCATCACTTTCTCGCAACCAAATAATCTGCGATAATCTCAAAAGGTGCTCAATCCGACCAATTCCAGTATGGCCATTTTCATCGGCACCAGGATGATCCACCGTTTCTCCTGTAGCGCGATCTTGAAGATAGAAGCAAAGCAAGCTAGTAGCCAACAGGAAATCATGGATTAATGATGCACTCACCCTCCACCGAATCTGATATAGTCGTCCATCCGGCTGAGTCTCTTCATCGATCAAGTGTTGCAGCTCCAGTATGTTTGTGGCTGCTTTCAAGCATGTAGAGTGGGAATAAGGATACTTCCCCTGTTGCTCCCTTGACTGAGATGCAACGAAGAACCTCTTGTGCAGGATAATCTTCAGTCGCTGAATACATACTTCAAGCCAAATACTCTTGATAATGACCTGCGCCGGAACAGAGAGAGAAGATTCAAGTCCACGCCACCTCATACTAGCCGGCAACGCAACCCGATATCCCTCAATCAACTCATCAACCTCCAAAACATGTTTATAAGAACAAATTCTCGGCTCTGTCGCCGCATCAGCAACTTCCGCACCAACAGCAACCAATCGAATCTTCGCCAATGTATACAACGTAGGCGTATTCTCAGATTCGGGTCTGGAGGGCGGTAAAACAGAAGAACTCTCATCGAAATCTGAATCGAGTAGGTTTCTTGGCTCGGCCACATCGCTTTGACTCGACTTGATTATCCGGGCTAGTCCCATCTGCATGGAAATGTTGAAATCCATTTGCACGATTAATGCCCACGTTCGGCGACGCATTTCAGCTGTGAATGCGGAGATGTTGGAGAAGTGTTTTGCGTCGAGGTGGTAGCCCATTTGGGTTGCTATTGTTATTATTGTGCTTACTAGAATGCGGATACCTGGTGCAGTGTCTTTTGAGGGGAAGATTTCGGTCATCAGGTAGAGGGATAAGGTTTCGAGGACGTGGGGTCCTCCTTCTGTGTAGTGGCCTAGGATAAGACATTGGGTTATCTTTTCGCGGAATATGTTTGCTTTGTTTGGGGTTTTCGCTGGTTGTTTGGGGGTTGCTGTGTCCAGAAAGAGATCCTGGACTTGTGTTGAGAGGCACATCATGCTCAAAAGGAGGCCGATCCACACGACTGGTGTTTCGTGGGGTGATTTCCAGAATTCTTCGTACTGTTCTGTGTTAAAATTGAGGTGATTATGGGCCAGGGCAGCTTACCTCTCGGAGAAATTTGCCAGTGTGAGGTACGCCTGGAATCAGGGTCAGTCATTGATACTTATACACTGGTTTAGAATTGACTTACCTGATGCCATATCCAAATCATTAAAGTAACGCGCAATCAACCTATCCACGACGGGTCGTGGTGGTATTGACTCAAGAATAGACTTGATGGTGACATGCGCACATCCACCACTATATAACAGCTGCGGGCTTGGAAAGAGGTGTGGATTGGGATCGTATGTGATTGTCTCACGCAGCTTAACATCTTGCTCGAGATGATCTCTTAGCTCTGCAATACTATCAAGTACTGCTGCCCAGTGTGAGCTGCTAACGTAGCTAACACCTGACTCCTGGATTCTGATGCTGCCATAATCAGACGGAGATGGTGCCACTTCTGGTAGATTGTCTTCGAGTGGCAACTCGGTTGCTGGAGAACCACCCGTGCTCCTTGCTGGAGTAGATGGCACCCTTTGGCTCGAGGTAGTCTCTTGCATTAACCCCAAGACAAGGCTTTCTAGGTGGTTGACTCGATCCTGAACATGATCTGGTCCCCGAGGTCCTGCAGGTTGGATAGTGTATGCACAAGATGAGCCCACTCCTCTGCTTGAACAATTACTACACGGATGTAGACGGTCGCAGCGAACTCTATGAACACTTTTAGCGAACGGTACATTTTAGAAGGTACCTTGGTCAAAATGTAGCTCTTGAAGGCCTGGAAGGAAGATACTATCATCCGGAGAAAGATACTGACTTTCGTCTGCGGCAGGCATTACAGCTCAGTTGAGGTTTGTCTCGACGCCTAGCAGGGGGCGGGCGTGATCGGTCCATATGGACGAGATGTTCAGTCGGTGATTGTTGGGACAGTGAGCTGGCATTGTGAGCACCACTAGCCTCCGACATGACGATTGCTATACTTTGTGGGTGGTAATGAGCGAGGAGTAAATACCCGGGCTAAGCAATGAACGGTGTTCGGGCTTGGCCCCCAAAAGAAACCCATGTCGGTCGGACATCCGCGGAGGGTGAAGCCTTGAAAAGGGTTCTATAACAGTAATCCCGGAAAATCAGGTTGAACATAATTATTTGATAATTTTCTGAGATTGCCAGGAATCTTAGGGATTTCACAAGACTGAATGTAATAGAGTTGAGCAAGTGGACCCGTTGTGATGGTTGGAAAAGATCAAAAAGTGAAAACGAAGGGGTAGTTCTATAACAGTATTTGGGAAAGAATCACGAAAAAGGGACGCGTAATTTAGTGGTAGAATGCGGCTCTTATGCGACTTTCCCTCACCGGAAGTGACATGAAATTTCCTGATTAGCCAGGACCTGATAGCCGTCGCCCGAGTTCGATTCTCGGCGTGTCCACATTCCGTTATATTTTTTTTCTCATTCTGACCTCTCCAGTGTCTAGGAGAGGTCTGTCCCTTCTGTTTTTTCCTGATTTTCTTTTTTAAACAGTTGAAACTGAGATGTGGATCGAAATATGTTGTGGTGGACTTGTCTATGGTCAAATTGTTCAGCCATATTGGCGGACATCCAACCACTTCAGCTAGTGCACATATAGTATAATAGAATTAAATCTTCAAAAATCACTGAATGTCTTAGACATAATCCCACTTCTCCTTGTCAGATCCGTACCTTCGTAGGTAATTAAAGACCGGGTTCAACACTTTAAAAGGAGAGTACCAAAACCCGAAGTGCATCTACGACCTGAGCCTCCAGTTCACTTCAAATGTTGATGAAGTCCACATACGATATGGTATCAACGGATCGATTGTTTGATCGCGATTGTAAGAAGATGCCTATATTTTGAGTCATTCATCGACTGTTAGATTCCAGAGTTGACTTTCCCCCTGATATATATAATGAGACTATCCAGCAATTCTAACAGCTGCGCAGTATGAACATTAAGAAGTTCCGAGGTCACCTCTGCTCTTCAAATGGGATAGATTTAGATCCCCAGGACTAAAAAAGAGCACACTGCATCTTTACTTTATTATGGTCATTATTCCACAATGATGATGATGATGGATCTTGTATAGATACTGTTTGAGTGTAAAGTGGAGCACCTCGGTTCAACTTCCCCACGAGTCCGGGGTTATCACATGTTAAGGGATTCCGTCATCTTCATCCCCCCAAACACTCCTCCACTCTACAACCACCTTTGCTCAAGGCCATGCTTGTGTTCGCTGGCTAATTTGTCGATAAGTCGCCATGGCGGTCCAGTCTAAACTGCTGCCGCCCGACCGCTCCGTCAAACAGATCCTCTCCAGCCTCACCTCCCTCTACCTCCGAAACCGCACGCGTATCTCCCGCGGTGTATACCTCGCTCTCTTTGCAGCCCTTGCCAAACGAATCCATAATGCCATTTCCGAGCAAAAGGCTGCCTCTCAGCAGGTGGAGCTGCGAAGACGTCCCGGCACAAGCAGCCTAGGCGACGAGGAACAACCACGTAAGAAACGAGTGGAGATCAACCGCGAGTTCTTCAAGAGCTTGCTCCGTCTGCTGAAAATTGTGATACCGGGATGGCGCAGCAAGGAGCTGCGGCTTCTCGTGAGCCACAGCGTCTTCCTCGTGCTGAGGACGCTCCTCAGTCTGTACGTCGCGGAGCTAGACGGCAGGCTGGTGAGCAACCTCGTGCGGGGAAGGGGCAAGGATTTCCTGCTTGGGCTCTTCTGGTGGATGATTGTGGCTGTTCCGGCAACATTTACAAACTCGATGGTGAGTCTATTCGCCCCCTGATGATATTGCACGTTACTGCTGGGAACTCTCTACGCGACCGTTGGAAGTCCGCTAATCCGCTTGCTTTCTTAGCTCTCATACCACCAATGCAGGCTCGCCCTCTGCTACCGGAAACGCTTGACCGACTACATCCATGATAAATACTTGTCAAATATGACCTTCTATGCCATTTCCGCCCTAGATGATCGGATTAAAAACCCCGACCAGCTGGTCACAGTCGATGTGTCTCGTTTCTCCGACAGCCTAGCAGAGCTGTACTCTAACTTGGCCAAACCAATTCTGGACATGGCCATCTATAACTATTCCCTCTCGAAGAATGTCGGAGGAGAAGGCCTGTTTATCATGAGCTTACTGGTACAGCTCTCGGCCAACGTCATGCGCATGCTAACGCCGCCGTTTGGCAAGTATGTTGCTGACGAGGCCCGACTCGAAGGAGAGTTCCGTTTCCTCCACTCTAGGCTTATTGACTATAGCGAAGAGGTGGCCCTCTACCATGGCCACGAGGCCGAGAAAGATACTCTCGACAAGGGCTATTTCACCTTGATTAAGCATGTGAATCGCATTTTGCGCCGGCGCTTGTACCATGGATTCATGGAAGATTTTGTGATCAAATACTTCTGGGGTGCTCTTGGCTTGATTCTTTGCAGTGTGCCCGTTTTCTTCAAGATCCCCGGTCAGATCACTCAGACTATGGGAGACCGGACTGAAAGTAAGTTCGACTCTTCCCCGGTCGCATACCTGATCTAACGTTTGACAGACTTTGTCACTAACCGACGGATGCTGTTATCATCGTCTGATGCCTTCGGCCGTCTCATGTTCTCATACAAGGAGATCTCGGAACTGGCAGGTTTCACAGCCCGAGTGTCATCCTTGCTAGAAGTGATGGATGACCTGGTCGCGGGTCGATTTGAGAAGAAGCTGGTGTCATCGGCATCGACCGAGGAGAATGCAGCAGTGCTGTCCGGTCGTGGTAAGATCATGGAAAGTGATTCTATCGAGTTCACCGATGTACCGATCGTCTCACCCAACGGAGATGTTTTGATCCGCAAGTTGTCCTTTACTGTTCACCCAGGCGACCACCTCTTGATTGTTGGACCCAACGGGTGCGGTAAGTCCTCCTTGTTCCGTATTCTGGGTGGACTTTGGCCAGTCTACGGCGGTTCCGTCAAGAAACCTCCATTCCAAGACATTTTCTACATCCCGCAGCGTCCGTACCTGTCTCGCGGAACGCTTCGACAACAGGTCACTTACCCCGATGGTGTACGTGAGATGCGCGCCAAGGGTGTCACCGATGCGGACCTCCATGAGGTTCTATCAGTGGTCGAGATCGCGTCTGTCGTCGATCGTCCTGGCGGCTGGGACGCTGAGGAAGAATGGCGCGATGTATTGTCGGGTGGTCTGCAACAGCGCATTGCGATGGCCAGATTGTTCTACCACCGGCCCAAGTTCGCCATTCTAGATGAATGCACGTCCTCCGTCACTTTGGAAATTGAGAAGGTCATGTACGAGACGGCCAAGAAGCTTGGCATCACTCTGATGACGGTGTCGCACCGCCGCAGCCTGTGGAAGTACCACAAGAAGATTTTGCAGTTTGATGGCCAAGGCAGTTACATCTTTACTGGATTGGACTGGGAACGGAGACTGAAATTGGAAGAGTAAGTGAACTCCCTCTGTACAACGACATCATCGCTAACCCATCCCAGTGAGAAAGAAGAACTCGATCTGCAGCTGCGCACCGTCCCCGAATTACAGCGACGAGTCGCAGAATTAACAGCAAATTAGATAGAGCGTTCTCTGTATTTTAGCATTTACCCATGACTGTGACCAATCTGATATAACTGAAAGTTCCGACCCCGCCAACCGCATAAAGTCTCAAGAAAGTTCTAGACCCCTAGCCGAGAATGTTCCTGTTTTTTGACCACATTCTCCACCAGTGGCTTGGAATGACCCAATCACATCTAAATGTCGGCTTCGGAAGTCCATTTTGTCGGCTCTTCGGGCCAGGAGTGATCAATTAACCAATTACAATTCACACCATCGGCATCTGTTCATCCGTCAGTGCGATTCCCCACAGCCCACAGCCCCACTATGATATCGTTTCATCCTCTACGTCATACAATGTCCTATCTTGTTCTGATTTGCCACGAAAACCAGATCCGTGAAAACATCGTGGCTTTGCGCCGAACTCTTTTTCCGAATCCATATATATTTGCCCTAATCCTCGTAGACCGGTTTTTTTCAATTCCTTATCTTTCGTCCTTTCCAAAAAGTACATTCAAAATGACCAACGCCAACTTTAATCCTACTCAGGCTCCGGCCAACCACAAGAGAAAGATCATTATCTTCTCTGGTACGTTCATACCTTTCCGGTCATAGTCCGAAAAATCTTTCAATTACGAAAACTAACGAATTCAGACTTCGATGGCACAATTTGCATGCAAGATACAGGCCACATCCTCGTCGACAACCATGGCTGCGGAACAGAGGCTCGCGCCAAACTCGAAGAAGAAATCAAGATGGGCACACGGTCCTTCCGCGAAGTCTCAGAGGACATGTGGGCATCCCTCCACGTCCCCTTCGACGACGGTTTCATCGTAATGGAAAAGACAATTGAAATGGACTCTGGATTCCGTGAATTCCACCAATACTGCGTTGACAACGGGTTCCCGTTCAATGTTATCAGTGCTGGCCTGAAGCCTGTTTTGAGGAGAGTTCTTGATACCTATCTTGGTGCGGAGGAGGTACGTACCATACACCATTTGAAAATGGGAAAAAAGAATAATCAAGCTAACATCCGAACCAGGCATCAAGAATTGACATCGTCGCAAACGATGCAGTCATCAAGCCTGACGGCTCAGAATGGAAGCCTATCTGGCGCCACGACACAGACCTCGGACACGACAAGGCATTGTCCGTAAACGAAGCCCGGGCTGCCGCACAAGCTCAATGTGAACCTGACGAGATGCCTCTGATCGTTTTCATCGGCGACGGTGTCTCGGATCTCCCCGCTGCCCGTGAAGCGGATGTTCTCTTCGCCCGCCGTGGATTGCGCCTCGAAGAGTACTGTATCGAGCACGGAATCACCTACACACCGTTCGATACTTTTGCCGATATCAAGCGAGAGATCGAGAAGTTGAGTGCGGAGGACCAGGCTAAGACTGGTGGTGTGGGCAAGCCTGTTCGTTACAACCCGCGGGCCAACCTTTGGAGACGGATTTCCAGTAAGGAGGCTGTGCCTACTCTTATGGCCGCTGCTACGCCTTCTCAAGAGGAGAAGATGTTCCTTTGGCCTGAGACCTTCTCGGAGGCTAAGCCTAGCACTATTGAGGAGGGAGTGGAGCCTGTTGCTGTTTAGGCTTTCTGGGGTATATTGATGGTTGGATGATTTAATGCTGTGGTTTAGCTCTTTTACCCTTCTTCTACTTTAGATTAAAGTTGATTTAATAGAATATATAAATTCAATACAAATTATGAACAGATTACGAACAGAAATGAAGGGAAAATTGCTTTAATACCATTGAACTAATGACTAATTAAGGATGTTACTCGACTGAAAATGCACGAACGCGACAACGCATGAAAACACGCATGAACCATGATTACCCAAAAGGCGCAATCAATCCTTGACAACGAGAGGCTCAACGTTCCAGATACTATCTGCGTATTCGTTGATAACGCGATCCGTTGAGAAGAATCCCATGCGTGCAACACTGGTGATGGACTTAGCAAGCCACTCGTCCTGCTTCTGGAATGCCTCATCGACCATCTCATGAGTGGTGATGTAAGAGTTGAAATCATCGGACACAAGATAGTAATCACCATGTTCTTCAATGGATGAGCAAAGTGCCTGGAAGTCCTTTGCGTCGCCGAACATGCCGCCCTTGACGGCCTCGAAGACCTTCGCGAGCTGTGGGTCAACCTTGAAATCGCCATAAAGGTGACGGTGGCGAAGTTCCTCCACGTCCTCTGCAAGATTTCCGAAAAGGAAAATGTTCTGTTCCCCGATTTCGCGAGTAATTTCGATCTAGATAAGTTTACATTAGTTCATTTTTCTTAACGTGACGTATCAAAAAGCGACTCACGTTGGCTCCATCGCAAGTCCCGATGATCAGGCCACCATTCATCACAAACTTCATGTTGCTCGTGCCACTGCCTTCCGTGCCGGCAGTGGAGATATGCTCACTGAGATCGGAGGCTGGGCAAATGATCTCTGCTTTGCTAACATTGTAGTCCTCAATGAAGATAACCTTCAAGAGGTCTCCGACATCTGGATCCTGATTGACCACAGAAGAAACCTTGTTGACAAGGTGAATGATGGTCTTAGCCATCCAGTAGCCTGGAGCGGCCTTGCCACCAATGATGGAAACACGAGGCACGACCTTTTTCTTTTGTTCGGGTGTCATAGCCTTGATGGTCAAGTACCGGTGAATAATCCCGAAGATGTTGAGCTGTTGACGCTTGTACTCGTGGATACGCTTAACTTGCACATCAAATAGAGACTTAGGGTTCACCTTAAACCCAGTGGTCTCCTGGATAAACTTAGCGAGTCGCAGCTTGTTCTGAGTCTTGATCTCAGACCACTCCGCTCGGAACTGCTTGTCATCCACGAAGGCTTCCAGTTTGTCAAGCAGAGTCAGGTCGGTCAAGAACTCGTGACCACCAAGCTTCTTCGCAATCAGCGCAGAAAGTGCTGGGTTGGCCTGATGCAGCCAGCGCCGAGGGGTGACACCATTCGTGACGTTTGTGAAACGATCGGGTCCGTAGATATTCACAAAGTCTTTGAACAACGTCGACTTGAGGAGATCTGAGTGCAGCTCAGCAACACCATTGACCTTGTGGGATCCGATAATAGCCAAATAAGCCATGCGCACCATCTGCGGGTGCGATTCCTCGATGATAGAGACCCGCGATAGAAGCTCACGATCATTGGGGAATTTCTTCTCAACCTGCTGCAGGAAGAAGAGATTCACGTCGTAGATGATCTGGAGATGTCTTGGAAGCAAGTTCTGAAGCAAAGGTACAGACCACTTCTCCAAAGCCTCCGGCAGGACAGTGTGGTTGGTGTATCCGAAAGTCTTAGTCACAATGTTCCAGCCTTCATCCCAGCTCAGACCCTCAAGATCAATCAAAATGCGCTGTAGCTCAACAATCGCAAGAGTGGGATGGGTGTCATTGAGCTGGATGGCTATCTGATCGGGGAACTCGTTCCAAGCACGGTTGGTCTTCTTGAAACGACGCACAATATCATGCAGAGATGCAGCACACCAGAAGTACTGCTGCTTCAGACGGAGCTCTTTGCCCCGCTCCAAATTATCATTGGGGTAGAGAACAGCGGAGATAGTCTCAGCACGCTGCTGATCCGCAACTGCACTCTCGTAATCACCAGCGTTGAATTTCTGGAAATCAAATTCTCCAGTGCTGGCCTTGCTGGACCACAGCCGAAGATTGTTGGTTGTTTTCGTTCCATATCCGGGAATGGGCACGTCGTAAGCGACTGCCTGGACAATCTCTCCATTTTCCCAAGAACTTGCTGTCTTTCCATTCGCATCCTGGTACTTGCGTACATTACCGTAGAACTGGATATCGACCGTAATCTCGTGTCGCGGGAACTCCCAAGGGTTGTTATCGAGCCAGTAGTCAGGAATCTCAACCTGGTACCCATCCACAATTTCTTGTTTGAAGATTCCATAGCGGTAGCGCAATCCGTATCCCCAAGCCGGATAATTCAGCGTGGCCATACTATCCAAAAAGCAAGCTGCCAAGCGTCCGAGGCCGCCATTGCCCAGAGCCGCATCGTGTTCCTGACTGATGACGTCTTCGACCCGGAAACCGAGATCTTTCAATCCCTCTGTCAAGGTGTCAGTGGCTTTACCTTCGCAAATTCTCGGATTCACTAACCTGAGGCATTCTCTTTCTGGCCCACGTTAAGCATAGCATTATCCAAAGCACGGCCCATCAAAAACTCAAGAGAGAGATCTACAAATCGTCAGCCTCCGATCACAAGATTCCGACCATAATCAATGCTCCGAACTTACAGTAGACTCTCTTCTGATCACTCAGCGTCTGACGCTGCTGCGTTCGGTTCCATTCAATAATGAGTCGGTCCCGAAACGCAAGGGCTGTTCCCGAGTACGCCGCACTACCAATGATAAGCCATCTCGATCCAATAAGCTTTCACAGTAACCAGAAATATACGCACTGTTCATCACAGTTGTACAGCGAGCGAGCCAGCGTCGTCTCAATATGGCGCACGAGTTCTTTCTATAAAATATGTATGGTCAGTTTGGAATGCACCCGGCTCCTCTCCGGGGACCCACCTCGAATTCCTCCTTGGTCGTGAACTCAGAAGCCGACTGTTCAGTAATGTGAGCTTCGATCCATGATATCATCACAAAGTACTGTGAAATCTTACGTGTTTGAGCCACCTTCACATACGCTCTGAAGTCAGCTTCGGATACCCAATCACCACAAGAAAGAGAAACGACTCACGCCTCTCGTAGCGGCTCAGGGATGCTGGCTTCAACGCTCTTAATATCTGCTGCACCGAACCCCGTAGGAGTACGCTTGTGCTTTGGGCGGCTAAACCCCGGTCCAACAGGACCTTGGAGGTCTGCAATGGGGGCGCCAACAGAAGGGCGACGTTCATGGCGTGCTTCCGACATGTCGAGAAGGGAAATCACAGATTATGAAAGAATCAAGTGGAGCAAGTTGAGGGGAAAGAATAAAAAAGAGAAAGAGGGGAGGGAGTACATGGTGACACCCTGGTTTTGAGAGGGGTCTCGGAAGTGCAGGATACGAAAAGTCGTCCGAGCGAACATTGCCCAATCCGGGCATACACCAGTTACCAGGTACACTGTTCTGAGGAAGGAACATGCACTCCGCAGTCGTATGTTCTTTCCCCGCCGTGGGCTGTAGAGCTCATACGTCAGGTGGATAGCTCTGGTGGGGAAGCAATGGTCTGGGCTCGAGCCCTTGCCCGTTCCTCGCGGCCCGTGCTACTTTTTTGCCTTGCTTTGACTTTTCGTCGTGATATTCGTATGGCCTTTTTACGTATACATCATGCCACCATTGCATGAGATCCTATATTTTACAGATTGGCGTGTTCTGAATCCTGCAAGTGGCGTTTGATTAGCCGTTGACGTGCTATCGCTGGTGGAGCCTCCGCTTATGGATTGCAGGGTTGTATTCTAGGTTTCTTGATTTCTGGGTTCTGCCCTACCAAATGCTTGCTAAAAGTACCTCCTATTATCCGTGCCTAGAATTGATACACGAGCTTTGCGCCTTACCAATCCAGCTTTCACCCAAACAGTGCTCATCTGAAGGGTGCGGTCATATAGCTACCATCGATCGCAGAAACGGTAGAAAGAGCTAAACGTTACACTCTCTACCAGAACCATAAAAGCCCATGAGAAAAACTACCAGGCCAGGATATAAAGATATAAATCGGTCCTTAATTAGGTTCAATCGGCTTGCCGCTGAATAGACCAAAAGTACATATAGTTCAAGGTAGGTAAACATCATGCATCAAATCGCTCGAGGGCGCTGCTGCAACACATTGGAAAATCAGCTCAAAAAACACAGCCAGTAAAAAAAAACACAATAAATAGAATGTCAATCCGCCATAAGATGCATCAGACAGGCTGAAAAACAGATGTGGCAAGATCCAAATAGCGGATCACAGTATATCAAAGACCCATTCCACTTCCCAAGGACAATAGAAATAAAGACAAAGGGTCAGAAGTATGGCAGTGGCACTTCCAGGGGAAGAACCATCGACTTTTAGGGGTTGAAACAAGACCCTTATTCGGGAGGTTGAAGCTGTAGCAGATAGAAATCAAGTCACAAATAGAAAAGAAAAGAGAGGCAACAAAGCCTGTTCCCAGCCACGTGCGAGATCATATAACACATAGATACTCTCGAAGGATAACCGGGAACCTCCTTATAGATACCATATGGGGGTATCACTTAATCAGCGCCTGGAAGATTATCCAAGGTCGAAATGGCACCATAAACGCCTGTAACTGAACCGAAGCCAAGAGCGAGAAAATGAAAGGTCGAATGTAGGGGTATGGATGATCGTAAAGTAGGAGATGAACTGGGGTAACCAGTGGAGTAGTGATCCCTAGTGGAAGAATTGTAGGGAGGAATGAAGATGATAGGGCGAACGTAATGATGTAGATGGCCTAGCAATTATAGGATACCGGAGTCCTTTAGAGCATTCTGTAGGATGGTTTCCTTGACGGCCGCAAAAACAAGTCGGATGTTGGTGGTATCGGTTGCTTGAGTAAGGCTGGGGCTGATGTTAGGGCGTGATTTCAGTTTCGAATGTTCGTGGGAACTTACTGTGGATAGAGGTTGAGGTGTGCTCGATTCACTTGGTTGAATCGCCAAAGGAGATACTTGGCGGCACGATTCACATCATTTCCACCAGAGTAGTCTGGGAAATAATTGCTCAAGGGAGACCGAGGGAGCTTCTGCCGGAATAGATCGACTTTATTCAGGAACAGGATAATACTTGTTCGCATGAACCATCGGGAATTGACCACGGAATCAAAGAGAACCAAGCTCTCCATCATACGATTCTATCAAGATTGTTAGCGTCATCGCCTATAAAAGCCGGATTGACTTATCATACTTGATTGCTTTCTTCTAGCAACATCTGATCGTATTCACTCAATGCGACACAGAAGATGATGGACGTTACGTTCTCAAAGCAGTGAATCCACTTCTTTCGCTCACTTCGTTGGCCACCCACATCGAACATGCTGCGCAACCTGTTAGCTGGTGTGCAGGGGTATGGAGGGAAGCCACATACTGTATGCTTAATTGGCCCATAGTAAAGCGTGTCTCGTAGATACCAGTGGTCTTGGTTCTTGCTCGAAGCACGTCTGAAACATTTGGTATGTAGTCTGGTGACGTTATTCGCTTGGCTTCATCAAAAAAGCTGGATCTGTCAGTAACTGCCTTCTTGACACCTAGGCCAAACCGAAGCTTACTATGGTGCCGAATCCATCAGATAAAACTCATTCTGACGTTCCAAAACCGTCGATGTGCACGGATCATTCCATAAATATGCCACGGCATCTCCAACTTTAGCATCCAACGGCATATTGGGATCCGCATCGACATGATATTCGTCGAGAAAGGTGAGATAATCTTGAACTTTTTGGCTCGACGGTTCGAGGTTAAAAAGGCGGTATCCCTCGATGAGCGCCTTGGCGCAATCGAGAAGGTTCTTGTAGACGGTCAAGCGATAAAGGGCCAATTCTTCAACGGTGTAGCCATTTTGGTGAATAATTTTCATCTGCTTAACAATGGTAGACTTTCCACTTTCGCCAGAGCCTGCGATTTGAGTATCAGCCAATCAGCACTGCTAGCACAGTATCCCATGAGGGGTCACCTACCCAGCAGGAGAATCTTGCATTCCCTGCGTAACCGCCTGGAGTCCTCCTCGAGCTTCCGATCAATCAACTGACTTCTCTTCTTCTGCTCCGCATCCCCATCGGATTCGCTGCTAAAACATGCACCCATGGTTACGAGTGGTGCTCACAATCCCAGACCAGCAGGGATAAGCAAGACCCCGTCCACCGCGCGCGGGAGCGATCGGTGTCAGCCGGGATGGCCGAAGCCTTGGGATGGTTGGGAGGAGTCCCACACACGGAAGGGGAGATTTTACGCAGTCCGGAACCCAATATGAAGGATCAGTTGCGATGACAGGAATTCGTAATAGGCGGACTTCAGTAAATGGAGGAAAGGCGGGGGTTTGAACGTTCAAAGGGTTTGGGCGGACTTGCGACAGGCGAAAGTTTCGTGATGAGCCAGCGAGTCCGGGGTGTTGGTCCTCCTTTCTGTGTAAGGCGAGGGTTGTAATTGTAGATGGTGTTATCTGGTGGGGGTGGCGTTGAATCGGTATGAAGTTATGAGTAAGAGGAGGTTCAAGGGAAAGATGTCAAGTCAGTGCGACCATCGTCATGCTGGGGTGAGTGGAGATGCCAGGAGGGAATTATGGGGGTAAGAAACGTGAGTCTTACGCCGTTTTGCCCGTAATTACACCCTCTTTTTTTGAGTTTTCTTACCACTAAAATTACTTCTAATTACTTTTTCCCGCCATTAGCTGTACGCATAGAGTTTACGGTGCTTGGGGCCAATGTAATTTTGCAAAAAGGAGCGAAAAAAGGCCTCACTATTTCAAAGCCTTGGGGGCTGTGCCAAGCAAAAAGTCCCCTAAACACTAGACGGGGCAAGACATTGAGACAATACTTGAGGCTGAGTTTCATGCATCATGCAACGCTAGCCTACACCTGATAATTGAGGTTACTGTAACGTAGACATGGATGGAAATCGGTGAAAAATTGATGGGAAGATTGAGGCTCCCCGTAATGGCGTGTATAACTGCCTCGTGGGCAGCTCGTATCGAAAACCCACCGGAGCTCGGCTTGAGTGGAGAGTCGTGACGCACATGGGGGGACTCGGTATTAAGGTATTGGTTACGTTGAGTAATTATGGCCTCAGGTGTGCATCACGTGCACTCCCCACGTTCTGACATGACAAGCATACAATGGATGGAAATCATGCAGGTAAGATATCCTGAGATGATCTTGAATCAGGGGGAATTATATTCTCTGGATCTCCGTACCGTGTCCTGTAGATATCACTTAAGGGGAGGAGTCCTCTACGCTGTTCATGCCAGGTGGTCCATGAATAGCGTTCCCTAGATTGCGGTGTAGGCGTGGTACCTACAGTAAAGTTTGATATATCTGTCCGAGATCTGACTCGCTCGCTTCCCCCTCTTTTTGGGCATGAAACATTCCCCGAGGACAGCCCCATAAGGAATGCCTTTGTTCGTTTGTTTCACATGTCGCCCTGCTACGTTTTCTTGGCTTCCCCTTGATTCTTTGATTCTTTGTCTCGCTCCTAGCCTTGCTTTTTCAAGATAAGGAAACCTATACGTTAATCTATATATATACCCAGGTACCCGTGGCCCGTGCTTTGGACGAACTACCTTCGGAATATCCAGGTGTCAGCACTACGCGCTCGAGATTATTGCAACTTGTCGCCGAGCCTGCCCAGATCAAATTGTCCCGCCCAGCTCCGTGGCCGTGACAGCTAATGAGGGGAAGCTGGCCCAAGTTCGGAGGCCCAAGCCTTACCAACGAGATACCAATTGAGACCGCGAATGACAGCCGCACAACGCAGCAGGTGATAGTGGCGGGCTAAGCGCGGCAATTCTAGAATATTGGTCTGCTAACTTTGGAAGGTGTGAAGAATCCAGCTTCCATCCTTGCAAGGATTCTGGAATTTTTCTCTTTCCGTTTCATATTTACTACATCTCCCGTGGTGTATAGACACATAGATATATATTCCTATGAATACAAGCGGTGACTATGGGCGAGCAAATCACATCCGGGTCATTGGACCGGTCTGGCCCTGGCCGCGTGGTTGGTGGAGGTCAAAACTGGGAACTGGAAACCAGGGCACACAACTTCAATCTTCCAACGAGAGTTGAAAAATCAACCTCTAGATATAGTATTGATAGACAAAAGACCGAAACCGGCGAAAGAAGTTTCCTTGAAAAAGAATCGATATCGATAACACTAGTTCGTAGTGTAAGAGCAAATCGGTTGGCACTCGGTACGCCCCCAGCTGAGTCAGCCACCAAGAAACCTGCCTGCCACCGTCACGAACGTCATCGGCCTTGTTTTCTGCTGCGCTGAAGGGCCCTTTCCCCACACCACTTTCTACCAGCCCACCAGCGCCCCTTTCCCTTCTCGATCGCTCTTTGCTTTTTGGTCTACCTTTAACTTCATATTTTTTGCTTGTACTTTGAATCCCCTGACAAAATGGCGGAATTCGTGCGATCCCAGATCTTTGGCACCACGTTCGAGATCACCAGCCGGTGCGCAATACCTAGGCCACAGAGCCCAGATGCATTCGATCGCGAAAACTAAATTTCTATAGGTACACGGACTTGCAGCCGGTGGGCATGGGAGCGTTCGGCCTGGTCTGGTAGGCTCATCTTCCGTATCCCCCGCCTTGCGCTGATCGCGCTGCTAATTCGGCATGCCCACAAACAGCTCGGCGCGAGACCAATTGACCGATCAGCCTGTGGCGGTCAAGAAAATCATGAAGCCATTCAGTACTCCGGTCTTGTCCAAGCGTACTTACCGCGAGCTGAAGCTGCTCAAACATCTCCGCCATGAGAATGTAAGCCTACCCCTCCCTCGCGGGGCTCCCGGGGAGCGCGCGCGTGCGTACTGACAATTCGTCATAGATTATCAGCCTGAGCGATATTTTTATCTCCCCTCTCGAGGACATGTGCGTCTCCCAATTCTGACCGGGTTACACCGGTTTATCAAAAGAAGACCCATACTAACAATCCACAGTTATTTCGTCACCGAGCTTCTGGGTACTGATCTCCACCGCCTTCTGACTTCTCGACCCCTCGAGAAGCAGTTCATTCAGTACTTCCTTTACCAGATTCTGGTAAGTTGATTTTAAAAGAAATTTTGGAAATTTGCGCACAGCCACTGACGGCTTGACAGCGTGGCTTGAAATATGTTCACTCCGCTGGTGTGGTTCACCGAGACCTCAAGCCCAGCAACATTCTCATCAATGAAAATTGCGATTTGAAGATCTGCGATTTCGGTCTGGCGCGAATCCAGGATCCCCAGATGACGGGCTATGTCTCCACACGTTACTACCGAGCCCCCGAGATCATGCTCACTTGGCAGAAGTACGACGTGGAGGTTGATATCTGGAGTGCAGGCTGCATCTTCGCCGAAATGCTGGAAGGCAAGCCGCTCTTCCCTGGAAAGGACCATGTGAACCAATTCTCCATCATCACCGAGCTTCTGGGTACTCCCCCAGATGATGTGATTCAGACCATTTGCAGTGAAAACGTGAGTTTGAAATTCCTACAAGCAACGAAAAAGCGGGCCTTATGCTAATGGCTAATGAATGTAGACTCTGCGCTTCGTCAAGTCCCTCCCGAAACGCGAGCGCCAAAACCTGGCCCATAAGTTCCGGAATGCCGATTCCGATGGTTCGTCTCCTTTTACCCCTTCGCATCCCGAATAAGGCTAATATACAATGAATAGCTGTGGACTTGCTTGAGCGGATGCTGGTCTTCGACCCGAAGACGCGAATCCGAGCCGGAGAAGCACTTGCGCACGAATACCTTGCCCCTTACCACGACCCCACAGACGAGCCCGTCGCTCAAGAGAAGTTCGACTGGTCATTTAACGATGCGGATCTGCCTGTGGATACCTGGAAGATCATGATGTAGGTTGCGCTTGGACTCGTTCGCCATATATTTGCTAACAGCTGGAAAAACAGGTACTCGGAAATTCTCGACTTCCACAACATTGAGCAAGGCACCGAGGCCGGCCAGGCTCTAGTCCCTGGTCAAGCGCCACCAGGTGGCCCAGCACCTCAGGGTTTCGCATAAAGGCCAGGGGTTTTCGTTTCTATACCTGTTTTTCTGTTTTTGGTTCTCGCTCGCGGCCAGATCCATATACTTGAGGATTTCTATGCAAATTTGGCGTGGTTCTATTTCTAATTTTTTTGCTTTCCTTTTCCTTTTCCTCATTTGATCTGGGTTTGGAAGCCATTGTCCATACCTACTTCGGCGTCGTCAAGAACGGGTTGGTGATAAGGGGGCGAATCATGGATTGAGCGTTGTCCGACTGATTGACTTAAAATATCCATTCCCGAGTCAATTGATCAAGCAATAATAAAGTATTATGTGTCTATGTAAAACGTTTCTAAATCAGGAGAACTGTAGAACATTCTACAGTAAGGAGATAGACCTTGTTGATTGCCGACAATCAACACGTGAGCGATAAACCGTATCGCACCTTGAATTCCCCTGTTGAAGAGCGCGCTTCCAGAAAGCTTCCTCATTGCGCGGTAAATGGCGACACCTGGAATTCCTGTTGGAGAAAATCTGTGACCCTTGCATTTCCCGCTCCCCGATCCTGCACCCCAACCCCCGCATCATCGCCCAGATGGCCGTCTCGCATAAACAAGACCCGATTGTGCTGGTGATTGATTTCCACCATGCACGGTGAGTCCTCCCAGCCTATCTAATTGCCTAGCTTGCCCCAGACAACTGTATAATGAAAAAAGGACTTGACTGATACTAATATATGTCTGCGCGATCTTTAGGGGCCCGGAAATCGAACACTGCATCGCCGATGAGGGGACGAACCCGGCTACCGACAATGACTGGTCATTACTACCCTTCATGGCACTTTCCGATGGTGCGCATCTGTATGGAACCCCTATTAAAAGTTGCTTCTAGCACAAGACCTGGATTCAGCCTTTCCCCAGGAATTCAAATCCTTTCCTTTCCTCCCCCGAGGCAGCCCCGCAATTCTACTTTGCGTCATCGGACAGATAGAACTGACGATTTGGCTTGATGACTACTTTAGATCGACCGAGGAATTTTCATATTTCACGTTGCGCCGCAAAGAAACACCTGAAATACCGGCGACGTCCCTCTTCGGCATTGCTTGCTCGCGCCAGCTCGATGCTAAGCTCCTGATCAATCGCCATCCTGATGTGACGCGCTCGACGGTACAGAAGGCTGTTGTGGTGGTAACGGATAGCCCGCAGAGAGTTGGACAATTGCGGGAAAAGCTCTCTGTGGTGACCTCGGCATGGTTTGCGCAGCGGTATGTTGGATGTCCCCGTGAGGACCGACCTTTCTTGATCGAAAGGGGATTTTTGAGGGCGAACATTTGCTGATATTTGTCTGAATGTATAGGGACTTCTCAGATGTTGATATTTTGAAGGTAGAACAACCTGATATCCTGAAATATCGAATCACGTACTCACAAAGACGATATAGAAATTCCGGGAAGGCTTGGTTATTAGCTTATCCAATGATTCGTCGAAAGATCAAAACTTAGGTGAATATTTCCAACTATCATCTGTCTTAAAATGCGCTGACTTGATTGAAGGTCTTTCTCTGCGGGAAATGATTCATGAATTCAAATATCAGACCCTAGTGCTCTTCAAGGGGCTGTTATTGCAGCCGAAGGTAGGCATGCTTTTATTACATTTTATATTACAAGATATGTGCTGACTTCTGCAGATGCTCTTTTTTGGTACTCGATGTGAACGTCTATGCATGATCCAATTTTCGCTTATCTCCTTAATACCTGGCTTGATCGATAATCTGCAAGATTGTGCGGACCCGGCATTTGACGACTATACGCAAAGTGTTGAGAAGCCAACCTCGCTCAAGACAAGTGATCGAGGCTCTTGTAGGTTGAGACTTCAGTATTGCTGTGGACAATGCACTGACTATACTAGTATTGGCCTATATGGGTTTGCCGCTGCAGATTTTTGGCAAGGTAGTTATCTACACATCTCCTCTTATGTCAGATCCATTCTTCTAACTCCCTCCAGGGAAGTATGTTTGGGCCCTATACCCCTCTACAGCAACTGGATTTGCTGGCCGATGATGGTACAAAGTCATATGTTGTGGGATCGACGAATTCCTTACTTCTTCAACAAAAAGATCGCTATAGCGACATTCTAATCAACGTAAGCATGCGCACCGACTAAAACCAAAACCAGTGGATGAAAAGACTAACCAAAAATTCCTATCAGCTTGATGAGGATAGCATCAACATCTCGTCACTGGCCCTCCAAAGGGCCTTAGCCCTATCTGCGGCCGACAGACGTTGGATTGACGTTCTTACTCAGATCGTTAATGAAACTTGGGATGATGCCTGTCCATCCCGTCCAAAGACGCTAGGCTTCATGGGATCGGAGGAATTCATTCGACTCCAGTTTGAAGAGTACCTGCTTGCCTTGCTATCCAGCATGAAATATCACGAAGAGCTCGTATCACACTCTTCGGGTGACTCGCCACACCGAAGCAGATCCCAGCTGCAAAACTACAATATTGAAGGCGACCCTGCCCTCGACTTTAATGCAGAGTTTTTGGCACAATGGCAGAAAACTTCCAACTATGCCCTCTTCTCAAAACTCACCTCTGACGCACTCCTATTCTCAATTACCGAGCCGCGACACCCGAGCGCTGGTGGGCTGACTATGGAAGACATTCAGCGCCGTCTGTCTCAGCAGGTGGCCGATCTTCATCTAGATGAACGGGTGCGCGAGGGCCGCGAGGCGCTCGGCCGCCAACTCGCTACAGGACAAAAGAAGGTTAGCGCCGCATTTAATACCTTCTGGTCGGATCTCGAGTCTATGCGTGAAGCTCAAAGAAAGCGCAACGAGGAGAAAGCTGCTCAATCGCAGCGCACCTCAATTGATACCTCGCTTCCCCCACCGTCAACTTCACAAGCGTCTCCATCAGAGCCCTCTGGAGGCTGGGCCCGCCAAAGACCTTCCATCGACGTCTCTCAAGCACAAGCTACAGTCAGCGTCGCCAGCCAAAAAGCCAGTGCATACTTCAGCTCGTGGGGCTCATGGGCCAGCGAAAAGCGTAAAGAGTGGCAGGACAAGCGCAGCTCATCCCCCAGTCCAACTCCGAACACAAGTACTGCACCCGCAACGACCGCAACGACCGCAGCGACCTCTCAATCGCCCCCGACCCCGGTGCTCTCAGTCGTGACTGAAACAACCGAGTCGGACCGCGGTCGTCGCCGCTCCATGCAGCAACATCGCTCCACCCCCAGCGAAGATACCTCAGATGGCCTCAGCCGCAGCAACAGCCGCCGAAAGCGTTGGAGTAACATCCTCCTCCGCCGCGAGAGCGGAGAATTCAAGCGCGACGACGTCTCCGAAGCAAATGACGCGCCCTATCCCAAATCCCCCTTGTCCCAAGGCTTCCCGGCCTATGAGCCCCCAGCCGCCCAGAACCCAGAGGTCCTCTTCCAGCATGAGAACAAGAAACCTGCCGAGACTGCGTCTGCCGATGAAGATGGATTCACCGCCGTGTCTCTTACGCCCGAAGAGGGACTCCGAGTAAATCTGAACCCGGATGAGAACATGCAGAAACCCGATGCAAAGGAAGATCATGTTACCGCTCTACCTTCCAAGGAAGAGAAGTGATTGATCAATCTCACCATTGCGATGACGGAGCTTTGATTATCTCAGTCTCGTTTTTGTTCTGTTTTGTCTAACTATTGCATCCCTTTCCCAATCCCAGAACTTGGCATTACATTCTAGCGGCATACCCATCTCATTGGATCCTGTCTTGATCTACCTTTGTCTATATTGTTTCACTTCTTCTTACCCTTCTTCTCTCAATCTGTAAATTATACCCCGTCGGGAATTGCTGGATTCCGTTCAGGTTGGTACTTCGGATCATGTGTGCATGTTAGAACGAAATACATATATAATAGCATGTCTGCATTGCATTTTGCATTTATATTCTTTACTCCCATGCTTTTAATAGTATCTGAAACTAGATACAAGTAGATGAAAATATTCATTTTGGAAATTCAATTATCATTGATCTGTCGTCTCAACGCTATGATGAAAGATGGACCATAAAATAAGATAAAACAGACTTGTGCTCCATAGCTCCCAAAAATATCTTAAGCAAAACTCAAGCCCATTCCGGATTTGCCTAGCCTTACGCTCTAGAATCCGTGTGGAAACCAAGAACGAAAACAGCAGAAGAGGGTCATGAGCTAGACAAGCGAGAAGAAATGAGGGAAAGCTAGGGTAAATGCAAGGGAATTTGTCAAGAGGGAATGGTAGGGCGTGATTAAGCAATGTAGGAAACTTCGTCTCCCTCTAAACGTTCGATGTAGTCCTTTTCCATTAGGGCCTCGATGTTTTTCTTGATGTCGGGGACCTTGGGCGGGAAACGCGATTTGACCTGCTGGATGACCTCCTGTACAAGCTGGACGTGCTTCATCTTCTTCCGGGATTTCATGACACGGACGATGGCAGACTGGTGGAGGGTTAGAGTAGAACAATATATATAGAGGAGGAAATGACATACCTGGAGCAACAGCTTCCGATCCTCCTCAATCGTCTTGTGTGTGTCGTCGGATTCTACCTTTTGCTCCGACTTAATTTGGATATTGAGGTTGACCTTGACCTTTTTGTTTTTGAAATTGTAGTTCAGATTGTATGTGGTTGTAGGCTCGGGTTTGGCACCATCGGGGCCAGCCAGAAGCACCTTCGCCTTCAGGAAAATAGCAAGGTTAGGGTCGAGAACCTCCGGAGCCAGAGTAGTGGCCTTCTGGATGTCGGAGTACGACAGTGTGTCGGTCTCGTTAAATAGCAACAGAATACCCATCTGGAAAGTGGATACCTGGAATGTGTAAGGGACCTTGGCGTTTTTGATGTAGTTGGCCTTGACCTCGCCCTTGCACAATTGCCAGAGCCATGTCAACTTGCGACCATTGTGCTTATCAAAGTAGAACTTCTGGAACCGCTCAGCAGACTTAGTAACCTCTGGAGGCGCGGAGAAGGCGGTATTCGGAGGGTTAAGAGGCCACATGCCAGTTCCAAGAACCTGGAAATGTGCGTCCACCATTCTCCTGCGGTCGTCATCATCCAAGACCTTTTCTTGGTAGACTTTGTAATTGGCATTAAGATCCTTGGAAATCTGGATGTCCTGGAACATGCGCTGCAACTTATTGGTATATTCAAATCCACATGCTTCCTTCAGCTTACTGATCATGCTGGTTTCCGCATCATCAGATACCGAGCTGACATGCACGAGACGCTTTGCCAACATTTTCGAGTAAAACTTTTGGAAGACATCTTTGTCCTCGATGTACTTGAAGACAGTCATGATTTGGACAAGCATCTCTTCGAGCTCGGACTCCTCGGCAGCCTTGGAGCCCTTCTTGAGCAACGAATCGGTGTACTTGGCAAGCAATTCGGGTGATTTGGTGGTAGTCGACTTGCAAATACGATTACGGTTAACAAATTCCCGACAAGCGTTATCCAGCGAACGAACGAACTCGGACTCGCCATTGAAGGCTTCGTCAACGAGGTTTTGATAGCGCGTGTGAACTTGTAGTAGAGCATCAACGTATAGCTTAGGCTCAAAGTTCTCGCCCTCCGAAGCTACCTTCTCGATCGCAGCCAAACCAGCCTTTCTCACGTGGTTTTCAAAAGTGGAACGCAATGGATCCAATCCCTCCTTGATGCGCGACAGGAGGCGGTACATGCGTGCAAGATCGTCCTGGCGTTCATTATCAAGCAAAATCTGGAACTCGTCGCGGAGAAGAGTAGAATGGGCAGTAACAAGGACATCCAGACAAGTTTCGGTGAGACTCTTGGTCACATCGGAGTGTAGATAAAGACCAACTCGGGCCTTCTCCTCCTCAAGTCGGGCCTCAGCCTTCTTCATGTATTCCACAACACTGTTCTCTGCCACAAACTGCCGTGACTCGTTTTCATAGTACTTTCTTGTCGCGTCAATGAACGGCCGTTGGAAGTAGTGTCGGTAGACCTCGAGGGTAGACTTCTTGCTATCGTTTTCGTCAAGACCCAACGACACAAACGAATCGACGATGCTCTTGATCTGTGATTGTTCGATTGTTTCGCCGTTCCGCTGCTTCTCAATTAAATTCAACACCGCGTCCATCACCTTCGCATGCAGGTTCTCGAAGAAGTCGTCTTTCCACTTGACCAGGTGTAAGGTGTACACATCGTACACATTCTTCTTTCCCTCATCAATCTCTCGCTTGACCCAGTGTCGGTTGAGGTAGCTGAACAGGTGGTTAACATATTTGGCGGCGGTGGTGTACCGAGTCCATTCGCGGATGTAAAATGCCAAGAGGGCTTCTTCGGAATGAGCTAGCGATTTTTCGTGTACCTCGCTGAGATGGCGTGAAAGGTATTCGCCCAGTAATTTGTAGAGTTCTTCGCCCAATAGGTGAGCTGATCGTATCGATTGAGGCATTAGCAACTGTTGAAAGATTTCCTGGGGCAGGGTGTCCTGTGAGCTTGTGGGGGAGAGTGACGTACCTCCACGGTGAGCTTGTAGACCCTGGTTGCTGGCAACGGCTTTTTGTGATGTGCAAAAGTTGTGGACGGCCCTAAGCGACGGGTAAGTAGGTGTTAGGACACGAAGAATTTGGAAATGTAGACAAACGTGTAAAGAGCCATGTACTATCAGGTGGTCAGCATATGCTATTTGAGGATCTAGTAGCAAACAAGAGAGCTCGGCTCCACTCACATGTTTCATGTCAACGCCTTCCTCCAACTTGTGCATCACGCTGTTGATGCCCGACTCCAAGAACGACCAGCTGAACCATCGTTAGCGCTGCAAAGCTTGAGCATGTTGCTTGCATATGGTCCACCACTCACGTTTCATCGAGGTCATCCTTGTGAGGCGCCTGTGGCATTGTCGGCGGCATGGTGTCAAGGGGCGGAATCGAGCAAGGAATTTGAAAAGAGCGGGCTTATTCTGATCTTAGGATTTTGACGGTTAGCATGGAGCTCCAAAATTCCTACGCACCCAGAGAGCTATAACCAAGGGCACATACAGGACGGTCACCCCTCAAAGACCAGAGATAGCGCCACGAGCGACGAGTGACGTCGTGAGATTCTGGGGCACAATATGGGTTTGTTGGGTGGGGAGGGGTACCCAACTCCTGTCAAGTAGAGATAAAGGCGGGAAAAAGGGGTCACTCAAGGCTCAAAAGCAAGCAAGAGAGAAAGAGGGTTTAGACGATCAGGCAGTAGGTGTGGCGGCGAGAGTGGATGAGGCTGAGAGGACGAGCATCCCCACGGTTGTTTGAGGAAGGCGGTCAGGGGTGGGCGCGTGTTGATGTATACGCTTTTTTAATCTGGATCTTCGTATTTCCACTATCAAAATACGACCTATTCAGATTCCGTTGCAAAGATCTTAAACTTGTTTATCGTGTTATTTCATCGAGTAATAGGAAGATTAGCTTAAAGAGCCGGAAAAAAATTATTTGCAAGTCTGCACGCCTTGATAGGGGAGTGGGCTATACAGTTCCGTCTTGTGCACGGCGTCATGATTTGTCTGATCGATCTCATCTGGTAAGTAGCAAAGTAAACAAGCTTTCTATTTAACGTACGACCGAGCGTACTGCCACCATTAAAAGGTTGGTATCAACTGCCAATTCTGCCAACGTTGAAAATGATCAGAACACCGTGACGTCATGTGGCAGATTTGAGCTCCTCTTTCGTCCCATCCATATTTACTTTGATTCACTCAAAGACAATCATGACCTTCAATCCAGCCACCGGAATACAAATCACCAACCGCCAGATTGCACCATGGAATCGTATACCCAATACATCTATCCAGCATAAACCGCTGATGATATACCATGGTGCCTTCAACGCCACACCCGCTGAGTTTGAGCGGCGTCTCCAGGCGGTAGGCGTCGTAAAGCCTCAGTGGACGTATACGATGTACAGTGAAACCCATTTTCACTCCACTACCCACGAGGTCCTGGGCGTCGTGGCTGGACGCGCACGACTGTGCTTCGGAGGCGAGGAAAACCCGGAGCGGTTTGAGCCAATTGTGCAGCGCGGGGATTTGATCATTGTGCCAGCGGGAGTCGGACATCGATTATTGGTTGACGATGGAGAGGAGCCATTCCAAATGATTGGCTCATACCCATATGGCAAGCAGTGGGATATGTGTTACGGGCGAGCGGGCGAAGAGAGCAAAGTCCAGGGCATTCAAAAGGTGGCATGGTTTAATCGAGATCCGCTCTATGGAGATGATGGCCCTGCCGTGGACATATAGCTCAAGCTCTGCACCGAAGATCATTGCTCGTGGAGCATGACTAAGATATAATCCGTCTGGTTACGTGCCTGAATATGTACCTAATAACTCAAGTAGGTACTGAGCGTATGTTCGTTGGGCATTGAACAACATTGTCCCGCTGCGATTGACAGCGATATCAATGTTTCACTCTCTCAACAAGTCTGTGGAAATTGTCAGCTAGTTCTAAAGGGCCTAACTCTGTATGCGGTACTTACCTTAGAACACTGATCGCAAACGTCATCAGCCAGGCGACCAGCGCAACCAACAGGACGGACGCAAGGGCCTTTTGCCGGACACAGATTTGATCATTACGAGGCTCAACTTGTTGGTTGATCTCTGCTTCCCTGCAAGCACCAGTCAACTCGGACAGAGAATTGAATGCCAAACCGAGATTGGCCGAATCAAATACAATGAAAAACAGATCCAGCAGGATAAGACGTGCTTTAGCCGTGGCCGATCGTAGGCCCAGCGGTTTCGCAGTATACTCATCGAAGGTGATATATATCAGATATACCAGAGCGACCGCATCAACAATGATTGCCATCAGCGCGGACGCGCCTTGATGTTCATGAGTCTTGTCGGCCAAATGCTGGATTGTTCCACCCAATGCCAAAGCAGCAAGCGAGAAGCACCAGACAGTCAATCGCAAAATCAGCGGCGCGATCGGGCTCCTTAAGAAGAAGTTGTGGCAGCGCTTGAACCAGATTTCTCGACGGTGGGTGTGGTTGTGCAAGGGGTACTCTGGGCTATCTCCTTCCAGCAGATTGCCTCGCCATGGCTCCATGTAATTTCCCAAGTTATCATTCATCCATTCTGGAGAGACCTCTTTGTACTCGTCGCCATATTCTCGGGGATACTGGATGCTGCGAGAGAATGTCTTCCAGCGAGATTCACGACGAGGGGAAATCGGTTTGCCGTCTTCCAGTTGGCCCTCCTTAGAATATTCCGGTCTGGAGGTAGGATGCGGAGCATGATTATGCTGGGCGACGAGCGCATCATTGGGTTGAGAGGGTAGCAGGTGATCTGTCGCGGTAGCTTCTTCGTCATCCTCCCGGCTGACTTCCTCGACCGACCGAATCCAGGCTAGAATGGAAGACTTGTCAGTGATCAAGCAGAGATGTTCTTAAGGACCATGATAGATTATCGTACGAGGTAGAGTACGCATATCAGCATTCTGAAATCGAGCGAGTTCCTCGGCTGTTTGGTTATTGGGAGTATGTGTCGCTGTGGCTGGGGAGTTCGAAGTACTGCTGCGGGGATGACTGCCATGCGTATCTATAGTTAGATGCGTTGAATCCATATTTGACGTGCCATTCGGTGCAGGCATTGTCTCGGACATCTTTTCATTGAAGATATGGCCTGGGGCCTCGGCTTTGGAGCTATGCACATCCATGACTGACGACAAAAGGCTGGGCACTCGGAGATGGACGGAAGATGATCACTTCAAGGTCCACATAACCTCCTTAGAGGCTATCCAAGGCAAGTGCTTGCCAATTGTCTTTAATCAATAAAGCAGCAAATAAAGCGAGGGGCCGGGGGCTCAGGAACAATAAAAACGAGGTTGGAAGGCAGATTGTTGATCAGGGCCAAGATTCGACCGAGGAAAACGAGTTCGCGCGCGTAATGACGTCTCCCCCTGCTTTAATTTCCTCCGTGAGATCCTGTCCCACATCAGCTCACTCTTACAAGCTTCAACCGATCGCATACATCCTCCAAAAAGGAATGCGCTTGTTTCCTTACATTACCTCCCCTTTGTCTCTCTCTTTGCGATAAACCGCTATTTCTTTGAAGCTACACAATCTCCCCCTTTCGCTGCCATGCGTCTCTTTTTGATCCCCATCTCGACACGCCGGGCGTTAATATACTCTCGCCCGTTACGCAAAGATATCCCAAAGGAGCTTTCCATACTCGATCGCGTGACCACCAAGGCAGCTCAAACGTGGGCAAAATGGGAAGAAGCTGATGGGGGCTGGAAGAAGAGCCTGGTGACTTGGGGTAATAAGGTTCAGCAACGAATTCCTTTCGAAGAATGGGGACTCAAGAGTATCCCATCACTCAACTCCCAGAAACGAATCGATGAGGCACACGGAACCAAGAAAATCGACGTATTATACCCGGGAAACTCGTTGCGTTTGGAGAAAATACCCACCCTGTTGCGGACCATAGCCACAGAACGGCAGGAGTTCCACCGGAAGAAGATGCGATGGAGTTTGGGAATCGCTCCATTAACAGCGCCCTTGGGCCTGATTCCAGTGTATGCTGCGCCAGAGTCGCTTTCTAATTGTCGTCCAGCTCGTTGACTGATTCCTGCAGGGTCCCAAATATTCCATTCTTCTATCTAGCATACAGGGGCTGGTCCCACTGGCGAGGTGAGCACTTATTTACTCTGTCCTATATTCTGTGAAATGCTGACCTATCGCCCCGTAACAGCATTGAATGGTTCGCGGCACCTGGAATTCCTCGTGGAGAAGAATCTCCTAAATCCCATCTCCCTTCCCGAATTGGAGCGTCTATATGCCAAGCGTGCATCATACGCCCTTGATGATACCCCGGTTGATACCCCTGCAATTGAGATGGTCGAGGATATCGAGCAGAGTGACGAGAGAGTTCTCCTGAAAATGTCTGATGCCAAGAAGCTCGCAACAATCTTGGATGCACCGGATCTTGCTCTGGAGGCCGAGCGTGCCATCGTCCAAGTGAGCGCACATCTGCAGGCGCGCGCAGAAGAAGCGAAACGTGCAGAGGAAGCGAAAGCGAAAGCAAAAGAAGCCAGCTCCGAAGAGAAAAAGAACTTATAATCTGGGGACGCAATGAGCGCATGCTTTGCTCAGAATTAGATAGAAACCCCACTTTGTCTGGTCGATTTAATACTCAATGTATCATAGTTTATACAAATTCAAAATTACAATAGATTGTTCCTGCTTACAGCCCCCGTTACTCAAATTCAGGACATTTCTAAATTAGCTATGGTTCGTGGAGCCTAGACCCTGTGCTTATCTAATCTTCTCGAAGACCCCTAAGCGTTCGGCCTAAAATCCATTGACGCCCCGGATTGACGCTGCATTTCACTATCTCTAAGCCCCGCTCAGAATATGCACCTAAATATATACAAATTTGATCATCCCCAGTACCCAGTATGAGGTCTACTCCCATTGGACGTCGCTCGCACCGAAAGTCAAGAGCAGGCTGCCTTGCCTGCAAAAGAAGAAAGGTCAAGGTAAAGCCCACATGCAACCCATTGTATGTTAGGAAGGCACTAAATTTATGTCAAGTGCGATGAAGGCAAGCCTAGTTGTGCGAATTGTGAAAGACATGGTGTCCCATGCTCCTTCGTAGGTACAGTCGAACCTGTTCGATTAGAGCATGAAGCTGCAAGCCCGGCCATTTCAGCAAGGCATGATGGTGCAGCAGAAACTGTCAGCCCAAGCATTGGGCCTTCACAAGCACCATCAACCTCAAGTCTTCCAGTATTTGACATGGAGCTATTGCACCATTATATGACCTCAACCTGCTACACATTGAGTCGAATCCCCTCCATCCAGGCAATCTATCGCGACGAAGTGCCTCGGGTAGGCTTCACCATGCCGGCCGTCTTGCACGCTATGTTAGCCGTAGCCGCCTTACACCTTGCACGAACCGATCCTTCTCGGCGGGACAACTGCATTGCCCAAGCACACATGCATCACCAAACAGCCGTCCAATCTGTGACGCCGAATATACCCACTCTAGCCTCCGACAACGGAGTCGCACTGTTTCTCTTCTCCTCGCTTACCTGCATCTCTGCTTGTGCCAGTATTCCCTCTGAGAGAAGTTTCCTTGTCTTATTCGAGCAAGGCCGCCTTGCTAATTGGGTTCTTCTTTTTCGGGGCACGAAAACTGTTATTGAATACAGTAGCCATGATTTCAACAAGGGGAAACTGGGCCCGATCTTTATGAATGGTGCTCAGTCCGCCGCTGCAAGGGATCCACAGACTTTTGAAAAGGGCCTGATGTATACTTGGGAATTGAAACAGATGATTGGCAATGAGTTCGTGCAGGATCTACCGTTACGTCGAATTTACGAGGAGACGTTGGATGCGCTCAGCAGGACTCTGGGCGTTGTTATGAAACCGGGGGAGGGACCAAGGCTTCAGACTGCAGATGTATTTGCGTGGTTGTTGGAAGCTTCAGATGAGTACTTGGAATTACTTGCAAAAGAGGAACCTATTGCGCTCATTATTTTTGGGTACTTCTGTGTCGCATTGCGTCAAATTGAGTGGATGTGGTGGATGGAAGGACTGAGTGGTCGACTCATGTCACAGTTGTATTCTGTGATGGATGAGAAATATCGAGGTTGGTTACGATGGCCGCAAGAGCAAATATGCTGGGTTCCTGGAACTATATGAATGTACTGGATATAGTGATGTGGATATATGTAATATAATATTAATCTTTGATATCATGGGGCTCACATCGGGACTATTTTATGGGCTTAGATCGAGCTCTCAGCTGCGCTCCAAACGATTGGAACAATAGAGGAATCGGGGATAGGCCCAACGCAACGAATGCCAGCAGACTATTTCCCCATCCATAGCCCAACTTTTCATATAGCTTCAATCCACAAAGAGGGAGAAGACCACCCGCCAAGCTTCGTAGAACGGTACAAGCTGCAATAGCACTGGCCGCATGCTGCGTGAACGCATCGACCAAGTAAGTCTGAATACCCATCAATGTAAGAATCATCCCATACCCCGTCACAGCGGTTCCGATCTCGGGAACAATCCAGTGGACATGCTTATCGACTGACCAACCGTAGATAAATAGCCCAACAGGAATACTCAGTGACCCAGGAAGAGCAATATACCAAGGGAGCCGGTCTTCTGGCTGTGGCTCTTCCTTCCGTTGAATCCTCAGTTTGATCTTGCGATCACTAAGAATACCAGAATACAACAGTCCGAGTAACATGCCGACTCCACTGCCTAGGAAGGAAAGGCCACTTGACCCAGACGAGAAATCGTATTGTCCTTGGAATACCTCGGTAAACGTGGTAAAAAGGATGTATAAGAGGCCATAGAGAACAGCAATGTAGATACACATTGATGACACGATTGGCGAGAGCAGTAGCATTCTCGATGGACGAATGAGGCTCTGCATGAATCTCTGTTTTGCGGGAATCCCATCGTCCAAACGAGATATATAGCCCGGGTTCCCAGTCTCTTTTCGTAGCCGTGCTGCCTTGCGCTCGAGCAGCGTTGGGCCATGTGTTTCAGGGACGATGAAAAAGAAGGCGATTGACGCGACGCCACCCTAGGGACAAGATAAAATTAGAGACTAGACAGAGAATTACGAAATGCACGAGATACTTACCGCAATAGCCAGAACCCAGAATACCCACCGCCAGCTCGTAGCCTCAACCAGGTATCCACCAACAACAGGACCAATAATAGGACCAAAAAGCGGTCCTAAAGACCAAAGAGCCATGGCTTTGCCTCGACTCTCCCTCGGCATAATGTCGGCAATCGTTCCACTTCCAATAGTTGTCGGCGTAACACCAGCAACACCATCCAGGAACCGGAAAACTATCAGGGATGCCAGATTCGGAGCCAATGCACTGGCGATGTTGAAGATCATGAAGAGCACATTGCATACGTTATAGACGACGAGACGGCCACTATACTCGCTCCACGGAGCGACGATAAGAGGCCCAAATGCGAAACCGAGGATATAGACGGAGACAACGAAGGTCGCTAATATAGTCGAGCTGGTATTGAAATCGGCCATTACCTCGGGTACGCCAGGTGCAAACATGGATGACGCGAGGGGACTGAAAACGTGATGATTAGTTTGTGAATTTCGTTTCTTGTATAGGACAGGCTCTGCGTGGACTTACGTCAAAAAGGTGATGAAGGATACTGCTCCAACAATTGTCCATCGGCGCGCTAAACTCCAGTTCATGGGATTTGCTGGATCTTGGTCGACAGGCTCGTCCCAAAATACGTCCAGCGCTTCCTCTGCTTCTGGATTTCCCTCCATCTGTTCGCTTTTATCGGAAATATCTTGGTCGGCCATAGTTTGCGGGGGCTGCGACTCTTGAGAAAGTTTATCAGGCGACATTATTCTGGAGCTTCACTTCAATGTGTGTGAGAGAGGCAGACAGAGGCATGCTATTTGAAGGCATGAAGGCTTGTTGACAACTTGTCTGTGTTTTATAGCATCGGCCAGCACTGCTGTGCTCGGAGTTTCGCGTCTCCGAAGGGATAATTTTATGCTTTATGAATTGAGAGGCGTCAAGTGTCAACTTTTTTTAGATTAGCTTGTAGCGTCATCGCAATATTTACCGACTATGTGAACAGATCGTATTCGGATTGGGGGCCCTCTCATTGGTTTTGGTGTAAGTGGGTCAAGGGGTCTATGCCGATGTGGGGGATGAGGGTTAACCAATCATCTGCATACTTGCTTACCGATTCGCGCTAAGCCTCACCACCCTGTACCCGTCGAAATGGTTAGTATGTATAATCCGCCAGGGCACTATTGCCTGTCTTAGGCCCGAAATTAGGTTTCTTGGCGTGCGGAAAACCCTGAGATCTGCGCTCTTTCTATCGCCATGAAACGGCCTGGGGTGAAATAAAGGAGATATTTGTCGATCAAGTACAGCAAAACCGATATCCTCAAATATATCCCCACCAATCGATATCGATTATACATTACCTAGGTAGTTACTCCTTGAGAGAATAAGATTTGATCGGCAGCAATTTTCAGTCATGAAGTCTTTAGATTAAGCGGACATGATAGTCTGTAGAGAATATGGCATTGGAACGCGGACTAAATACAAGTAATATTCTTTATGTAGGGCTGCGACGAATCTCCTCAAGTCTGGTAAGGCTCCTGTAGGTCCCTTTATCCGCGACAGCGTCACACTTCTCAGGAAGATAAAAAATCGCCCAGGCTCCCAGGACCACAATCATTTGGTAGCCGTCAAACGCATAAGCTGGCCATTCATTCTCAATGAGAAAGGCGATCCCACCTGCCATAGTCAAGCGCATAATATTGCGCCCAAACCCAATAATGCTAGTCGTAAGGCCAAAAAGCTGATTCCAAGATTTCCATTTCTTCAATGGTCCCATGCTGGTCTCTGTTTGTTGGCGACCAAGTCGAATAGTCATGCAGACATTTTCAGCGAACGTAAAGCCCCAGAACACCGTTTGGATAACATAGATGGCAATTGTCATCCTGCCTCCTATGGTGAGAGCCGTGATGGATGTGGATGCGACGGACATGATGCCTCCTACAGCTTGCAGGATAATCAAAACTGTGTTGAGGCTCAAGTAAAGGGGCTTCTGCCATCGAATTGGGACCAAGCAGAATTGTTCAGCCTCCAAAGCTCGAGCAAAATTCGTTTGGGTTAAATTGACGGATAGCATGATTAGAGTCGGTCCCAGTAGCAAAAGAATCGACTGAATGCCATATGCAACGCGATTACAAGGATTCTGCGTTGAGAAGACACGAGCTGTGTAGCCAGATAGCTGGGCTAGATGATCGTTAGCAATTTGTTATCAAAAAGATGCTGCGAGCTCCTTACCGAAGGCGCCAAGGACGAAAAATATGCTGGACCAAGTCTTCGTCTTAATCATGCGAAAGCAAAGAACAGCTGCCAGGCCAGAGAAGGCGATCACTGCAACAACAGCAAGAGCTAGGCTTGGAGTGTACAGATACAACTCGCATTCTGTTGAAGCCATTTTGAGATGAAATCGTCGCAATTGAGGATTGGATATAGGGTGAATGGGAAGCGGAATGAATGCTCATGGATGTCTCCATGAAGATACTTTATAGGAGGTAGGTCTAGGCTGCTAGAATAAGGCTCAATGATCTGCATGGATTTACTATCTGTTGGCGTGCTAAACTAAAGTTTCTGGTCAGCAAATTTTTCGAACGTCGCCAAGTCTATGAAACTGTATGGGTGCCTATTGTATCAGAATAGGTCAGCCATGCAGTGAATACCATGGAAACCACACTTAGCTTAATTTTAAGATAACCTAAAAGCTTTTTACTATCTTTAATTGGGTTTGCTTGGCCAGGATAGTATGTAGAGTGGATCCGGTTAGGGCACTCGGCATCGGCTTCGTACTCGGGTTCGGGTTCGCCATCGGATTCGGCTTTATCACATATATCAAATTAGAACTTTAATTTAAGCATCTTTGACTTCAAAATATGATCCGAAAAGCGGGGCTGTGTCCCTGAATTATTGCCGCCTCCTTATCTTAATACTGTTTAACTTCGCCAGGATGGCTGCTGCCTTGGTCTCCACTTTGGGATCTTAAAATAAGACTATATCATCAATGGAGTAGGGGTATATAAAACCCCGCATCAAGAACGATCTCTCATTAACTAAACATCCTGAGCTCACCGACACAATGCTCCAAAATATGAGCGTCTTCCTCGACGCAAAGTTCTGCTTAGCAGCCGCAGTCAGCACGGTATTGTCTCCTCGAGTCAAGAAAGCAAAGTTCCTTCTAACAGTGACAGACAATCATCTACTTTCTCACCAAAGTTATCTACAATATCTACTTTCATCCACTGAGCCGGTTCCCCGGCCCAAAGTCTCATGCGATCTCTCGCATCCCATACTTTCGCCGCGCGACCAACGGTACTCTCCCCTTTGACATGCTTGATTTACATAAGCGCTACGGAGACATCGTGCGCATTGCGCCAGACGAGCTTGCCTTCTCCCATCCAGATGCATGGAAAGACATAATGGGCCACAAGAACGGCCAACCAGAAATGGCAAAAGCCAATTGGTTCTATCGTCCTCTTGACGAGCCGCTGCATATCGTCAACGAGGACATTGGTGAACATAAACGATTACGCCGACAGATGGCTCATGGATTCTCCGAGAAGAGCATGCGGGACCAAGAACCAATGATCCGAAAATACGTTGATATGCTAGTCGAAAGACTGCGTGAAAACTGTGAAAAGGGCAGTGTGGTCATTTCTGATTGGTATAACTTCACCACGTTTGATATCATTGGTGACCTCGCTTTTGGAGAGTCTTTCGGTTGCCTTGAGGGCTGCAACTATGATGACTGGATAAAGGGTATCTTCGAAGGCGCACACTTGGGCTCTATACTGCAGGCTTTGTCCTTTGTCCCATCGCTGAAAAAGATTCTTTTGTCTCTGGTTCCGAAGAAAATGCAGGAGGCTCATCAGAAGCATAAAGTCATGACAAAAGAAAAGATGCTTCGTCGGATTGCTATCACTGAAGAACGTCCTGATCTTATTGAGGGACTCCTGAAAAAGAAAGATGAGCTGGTGAGTCAATTCAAAGTCGTATATCGTGAGGCTTTGGTCTAACTGGTTCAGAATCTTGATGTGGATAAATTGGTTTCAAATGCGGAGATCCTGATCATCGGAGGCTCAGAGACAACTGCATCCTTACTGAGTGGAGTCACATATCTACTACTACAAAATCCCGAGGCTCATCAAACCTTGAAAGATGAAGTCCGATCAACATTCAACAGCGAGGAAGAAATCAACTTGATTAGTGTCAACCAGCTTTCCTACATGCTAGCCTGCCTTGACGAAGCAATGCGCATGTATCCTCCCATCGCCAACGGACTACCCCGAGTTTGCCCAAAAGGTGGATCTCAGGTTTTGGGAGAATTCATCCCAGAGAACGTATGTCTATCATTATTCGGGGATTTGATTACTTGGATTATGCTAATCAGCGGGCTCGCAGACTAATCTCTCTATACACCAATGGGCACTTTACCGTCGTGAAGAGTATTTCAAGGATCCTAACACCTTCCACCCGGAACGTTTCCTTGGGGATACCGAGTTCATGAATGACCGACGAGATGTCTTTCAGCCATTCCATCTTGGCCCAAGAAACTGCCTTGGAAGAAAGTAAGTCATCTTTGTTATCTACCTGTGAGATGCTTACTAACTTGAAACTAGCCTTGCTTACAGTGAAATGCGGTTGATCCTCGCTTTGATCATTTTCAACTTTGATATGAAAATCGCAGATGAAAGTCGAAACTGGATTGAGCAACGCAATTTCCTCATGTGGGAGAAAGGTCCTTTGAAAGTCCACTTGACCCCGAGAACAAGTGATACTTAAGGATCATTCGTTTGGTGTGATTTTTATTTTACAATCAGAGAGATTGCCCATTTATTCAACTTCTTCTTGTATTATTGTCACCTTCTGTGCCAGCATCTGCCCTGCACCAAGTGACTGGCGCCTTCGCCTGCTCAGCGAAACATCACAATTGAGGTCTTTTCACGCGCGAAATGTCAAAGATTAATAATAGTCAACCACTGGTGGAGATTTGTACCGACTAAACATACCCTCCGAGTGTACTTAATTTTACTAAATCTAACCTTTCGGGCTTCGGTGTTAGTTATACAGTAGGGGCCCGCGTAGAAGTGTTACGACGGCACCGAGTTTAGCATTGTGGACTAATTCATATGAGTAGCTCAAAAGTCATGGATGTCAACCAATGCCTCTGATGGTGAAGAACAGGTTCTTCTGGGAAAAGCTTCTCGATGTTTTCCCCGGTTATATACTATCCTTAGCCCTTGAGTGCCCTTTGGAAGCCCGGTAGACTTGTTTGTGCTATTTCCGTCTGGAATGGGAGCTGCACTGTTTAATGCCATAGAGTGTTCCATTTTCCCTCTCTCGGCAGCACTTTGGAAAGTGCGTCAAGGCATAGGTCCACTCATATTCTGCTGTACGTACTTGTATAGTGATCACCACGGGCACGATAATTTCCAACTTTTAAAATACAGCTATTGAGAAGCTTGCAAAATTGAAGACTTAAGTCCTCGATGTAGGCGCTTGAATGCCGTAGTAAAACTAAGTAAAGAGTAAACACGATGACCTCAGGGGAAGGCGGACAACGATGCGGGATCCACCCAAACCAACCCACCTGCGCCCCAAACTCCCCCATTCCTCCTAACCAACAGACACAATGTCAACCAAAAAGATCGAGCAATGGGAGATCGAGCGATACTGGGAGATCTTCGCCTCCCTCTCCAACGGCCATCCCCGCCTAAACAGCACCCAGGCCGCCTCAGTGCTGCGCAACAGTCATCTGCGCGATGATCAACTCGAGAAGGTCTGGGACATTGCAGACGTCGACGGTGACGGCGAGCTAGACTTCGAGGAGTTCTGTGTAGCCATGCGCCTAGTCTTCGATCTTGTCAATGGCGTATGTACACCCCGACCACCCTATCAGGAGAATCTTGGGAAAACATGCTAACGGCTTTACAGGAGCTCCAAGAGGTCCCGCCCGTGCTACCCGACTGGCTAGTCCCCGAATCCAAATCACACCTTGTCCACGCCACGAGGGCATTAAGCACTCGCCCAGAACAGTTCGAGCGGATAGAAGACGAGGACGACAACCTCGGTCTGAAGGATGGCTTCGATTGGTACATGAAGCCGGCCGATCGGTCCAAATACGAGGATATCTACAATGCTAGCCGGAACCCGCGCGGCCAGCTTACCTGTCAGTTCCTCAATCATGCCACAATTGATTAGTGCTAATATTTGTTTGTCTGCAGTCGATTCCCTTAGCGGCCTATATGACTCCCTCGATGTTCCGGACACTGATGTCCGCTCTGCCTGGAACCTCGTTAACCCCTCCGCTGGCCAGGCTATCAACAAAGACGCCGCGCTCGCTTTCCTCCATATTCTTAACTACCGACACGAAGGATTCCGTATCCCCCGCACTATCCCCGCATCCCTCCGCGCCTCGTTCGAGAGTAACCAGATCGATTACCAGATCGATAACAACGCAAAGCCAGCGCAACGGTGGACCGGAGAGGGAAATACAGAGACGGCGAGTGGCCGGAAGGCTAAGTTCGGTGATACCTACCTGAGCCGACTGGGCGTTGGTGGTAAGGGTGCCTACCAGCCCAAGGGAACAGACTTCAGCGATACGATCCAAGATGAGGAGTGGGAGAAGGTGCGACTGCGTCGCGAGCTGGCGGAAATGGAGGAGAAGTTGAAGGCGGCTACTCAGGCCAGTGACAGCCGACGGGATCAGCCACGGAACGACGGGCGGCCCAACTGGGTACTTATTAAGAAGGAGGCGCTACAGCTTTTGGAGTACAAGGAGCGTGAATTGAGGGAGTTGAGGGAGGGAGTTGGGCGGTCGAAGGATGGACAGGATTTGGAGCGCTTAAGAGAAGACGTTAAGACTGTTGCTGATCAGGTTGATGGGCTGAAGAATCATTTGGCGCAGCGGAAGGGAGTTCTTGCAGATTTGCGGAGTGAGATTGAAGATGAGAGGGCTCGGCGATGAGGGCTAAATATCTCTTCTGTTATGGTCTCTTTACTTGTCTGTCGCATCTTTGGCCTCTTTTGCTATGTGATTATTTTGTACAGCTATAACCTTAGGAGCTGCAGGCGCTCAATGGATTTATTCGAAGGATTGATATTGTAATTCAAACGTATGCTTGATTGCAAGGCCAATTAACCATTAAAGTCTTTGCCAGCTAATGGACTTGTGAAGTATTCCAGTCCAGCCAAGTCCAGCAACGAGGGTCCCACAAGAAAATGAATCAATACCCCCATGAAATACATACACATCCAGGCCTCACGTCACACGCAAGCCTGATGGGAGCAAACAAGATATCCACATCAACGCCTAACACGTTGAAAACTCCAACCATTTCAGATCGCTCACATCGCCATGCCTATGAAATCGATCTAACAACACCGGAGAAAATAAACGAAACAACCACTTTAAGCAAAAATCGCTCAGCAGAGCAATTGGTCAACCCAAAAGTGTCTCACCCGCATCCCGCTTGGTCTCAACAGCAACGAAAGCCGGACCACTTTGATCGAGACCCTTCTCGGCACGAACATAAGCTTCCTCACTGCGATCAGTAAGGATTTCCAAGTCTTTATCGGAAAGAATTGAGGCAGGATCAGCTCCAGCCTCAAATCGCTCAAATTCATCCTCACCAAGAACTTTCCGAAGCTCCTCAATATCTTCTGATTTGGCATTATTATCCAGAAGAGACTTGAACTTACCCTTCTGAATAACCAGCCGCTCAAGACGACGCTTGGAATCTGCTTTCTCCAGCAGAGTCTGCTCGACAGTTCCCTTGGTCGCAAGCCTGTAGACAATAACCGGCTTCTTTTGACCGATGCGATGGGCTCGGTCTTGAGCCTGCAGATCTTGCTGCGGGTTCCAGTCGGAGTCAAAGAGGATGACTGTATCGGCTGCGACGAGGTTGATACCCTGGCCACCAGCTCGAGTACTTAGCAGGAAAATTTTAACGTTCTTATCTGTATTGAAAGCTTTAATTTGAGCCTGGCGATCGGCCTGCGCGATTGCGCCGTCAATACGGCAGCACTCCCAGGAGCGAAGGGTAGTAGCCCAATCCTGGATGATATCCAGCTGCACCTTGAATTGGGAGAAGATTAAGATCTTGTGGCCCCTTTTCAAAAGGTCAGGGACGAGACGGTCCAGAAGCTGCATCTTGCCAGAGGCAGATACCAGGGACTCGTCAACCTCTCCATCCCAAGGCCAGTAGAAGTTGTGTGGAGAATTGCAGGCCATGCGAGCTTGCATAACTGGGTTCTGCATCTTCTTCTGGCTAATTTCCTTCTCTGTGGACGTGTTAGTGTGGTTACAGTATCGCACACGAGATAAGAATACGTACTCGCGAGCTGCAGGTTCTTCAAATGCTCCTTGTGCTCCAATTCCCCCTCACTTTCCTCTTCCTCTTCCTCTTCTTCGTCGTCCACCCCCATCTCCATATTTCGCAGCTTTGAGTCAAATTCCTCATCGCTGATGTCCTTATATGTGCGAACAGAGCGTCGGCGACCAGAGGCAATATGCCTGGTCGGTGTTTTCTTTCCATTTGTCTTTGCGCTTTTATTAGGAGCACTTTCCGGGGAGCTTTCACGGCGACGCTTCTTTCCTTGAGACTGGTTTTGAGTCGCGCTCTTGGCATTCAGACGCTCCAAAGCCTTTGCCTCCAAATATTGGCGGCCAGTACCACTAATGATCTCTCTGTACAGCTCCTTCTGCTCTGAAGTCAATGGGGCATACAAAATGTACTCCCGTTTCTTTGGGAGAGAATGCTCAACATCAGTCTTGACACGGCGAAGCAGGAACGGCTTAAGAATTGCGTGCATGCTGGAGACCAAATTGCGCTTTCGCTTCTCAATGAGATCCGCTTGGCTGTTTTTGTCCAGAACAGACGAGAAATCGAACCAACTTTCGAAGCTGTCCAGGTCATTAAAAACATCAGGCAATAAGAAATGCAACAATGACCAGAGCTCAGAAATGTTGTTTTGAAGGGGGGTGCCGGTAATTAAGAGACGGTTCGCAGAAGGATAAGTCAATAGCTCCTTGATCAGTCGGCAATTCATGTTCTTTAATCGATGACCTTCGTCCTACACAATCGATTAGTATAATTATTCTTACCAAGGTCGGCAAAGAACATACCACGACGATGTACCGCCACTGATACTGCCCGAGAAATTTGCGGTCGTTGATACACATCTCATACGAAGTGCAAACAACAGGGAAGTCCATATCGGCCTGTTTTTTGGGATTCATAAACTTCCTCCGAATGGCCTCACGTCCCGCCTTGCCATTGCTACTGTGGTACATGACGGTTTCGATGTCGGGAGTCCACCTCTTGAACTCATCGACCCAATTGCTGACCGTGCTGAGGGGCCCAACGACTAAGAAAGGACCAGAAACACCATTCTCTTTCATGAAAGCAATCATGGAGATTGCCTGTACCGTCTTTCCAAGACCCATTTCGTCCGCGAGGATACCACACAGCCCATTCATCCAAAGAGTCTTCAGCCATTCCAGGCCTTCTAATTGATAAGTCCGCATCTGGCCACCTGAGACGAGCTTGGGCTGTTGTGTGGCCACAAGCTCTTGCTCTCCAAGGACAGTGGGCTTATCCTCAAACTCTTCAGCCGCCTGCTTCAGTGCCTCAGGCACCGTGGGATTATCATTCGGCACCTCAACTTTGGCCTTCTGGAAGTAATTCGCAATACCTCCTTTACCGGCGTTTTTCTTGGGGCGACCTCGTCCTCTCTTAGAGAAAGGCTCGCCCTCTGGAGGCACATCTGCCGGTGTATCTGTGGATTTATCCTCTGGGGAGTTATCTTGCGTCTTGCTGTGTCGCGTCTGGCGGCGTTGGGAGGCCTGTCGCTGAGGTGCTTGCTTCTCCGGAGTCTCCACTTTTCGCGCTGCGGCTTGCTGACGTGCTTCCTCTTGCTGCTTTTTCATCTTTTCGGACATGATTGCAACAAACACCTACAATAAAATTTGGATTAGGGTGCGTCCTCAAGGGGCCCAATCAATTGCTATAACTTACTGAGCTTGTGCGCAATAAAGCCATCAGCTGCTTAGTGTTATGGTCGAGGTCCTCGATATTCGAGGCAGGATCGACATCCCCATCTTGTACAGTTCCTTCGTTTACTCCATTGGCGGGCTTGGTGTCGTCAAGTGCAATGTCACTTGCGGCTGAAGAGGGGGCCGTAGACTCGGGAGGCATGGTACCAAGCCGTGAGTCTGTGCCAGTCAAAGGTGAAGCGGTATCAGACATGATGAATTTGAAAGAGAGCGTATGACGGATTGGAGGGGAGGGGGGCGTATTAAGGAACGAGTGCTAGATCTTGATCTGGTTGTGGGAGAACGTCATTCCCAAGGGGAGAAAGAATCCTAGACCAAATGAGCGTAACGTCTGGAAAAGCACCAAAACGTCCCAAATGAAACCCAAAGCGTCCACAATGCATTCACAAAAAAGAAAATTAACAATGAGAATCCACCCGTTGACCTTGGAATGAAAGTGATGAAATGCAGATCGGGACTCGATCGCGCCACACGAGTGAACGCGGTTTTTCGCGTTGGTGCACGGACCAGGCTTTAATGGTGGCGATCTTAGTGCAAACTATCCGTACATGTCAAACTATAGAATACATTTCCTAATTAGAAATACAAACATCATAATACATACTGCCACAGGGCGGAGAGTCTCGAGTAAGATATCGACTCCATGGACTTCGACTTCAACCTTGGACCATGACCATTTCATCTCCTGAATCAACCATCGGATCATCGATCGTCTCCGCGGTCTCGTCATCTCCATCGAATTCCTCCGACTTATTCACAACAGATACATCCTCAGGCACCATGAAATCTTTCATCACATCATCCACACAACACATCTCCATCCCCCCAGGACTACCACACGAACTTCCGAGATCGGAGTCACCCATGAGGTTTTCATCGGAAGGCGGCACACGCTGATCGAGATACTTACAAAACATGTCATCCGGCACTCTGCCGCGAATTGGCGAAAAAGGAGCCATCGTGACTCTTTCTTCCTGCTCCTCACGACGTGCCCGCTCAGCATCAACGTCTTGGTTAAATTCGACTTGGAACTTTGAAATCTGGGCTTCGTACTTAGCCTCCTGGATTTGTTGCGTGTATCGATTTTGTCCGATGGCTGGGTCAACATAACGAATAGAGCTCATGGACCAGCAGCCGCCCATCGAGCGCTTCAAGGGCATTTCTTCAAGGAGTTTGGATTGATGCGCAAACCCAACAGAGAACATTCCCAGCTTGGGTGGACTGTACATACGCTTCTTGCCTGTTCCTGACCCCCTCGGATGGGTCAAAGATAATGCCCTGTGGATCTCCTTGCCCACACGGAACTCCTCACAAGGCTGGCCCGGAAGCGCCGCCAGCTGATCAGCTAGCATCCTAGGATTGATGGACATCTTCATCGGAGTATCATCAGGTGCCACGACCGGCGGCCACTCTGGATTGGGGGTACGCACCTGTCGCGGTGGGGTCCATGGCGACGATTCAAAGTTTACCATAGGATTAGCTTGCTTTGTCTCTTCATCATCCCACTGGATCTGCGCTGCTCCCCCCGGGCCAATGGCCAGACGGACTAGCCCATCGCTTTGACCGTAGAGTTCCAAGTCCTGAACTTGATCATCAGGAATCGGCTTGCAGTATGGAAAGTATTTGCGCCAGTCCACGGTAGGCTGCTCATCACCGGGCTTGAGATCCAGATCGCGAATGTAAACTGTGCCCTTACCAGGAACGCATTGGATGTATCCTCGTTTGGTTCTAAGAATGGGATTATCTCCATTTCTTAGCATCTCGATCTCATCTGAGAGTTCAGGCGCTAAGGTGAGATCCTCTTTCCACTCAAATTGTTCCGGCTCGAAGCTGGCCTCGTCATCCAGTTTTCGCAGCGCCACAAGACTATGATCCCAGGCCCCCGCCAGGCTTCGTGGGAGTGATCGGCGGGCCAGATACTGTCTTCCAGCCAGGACATCAGCAGCCTGGCAGAGGAAAAAATCGGGAATTCGATCTGACATGCTTTCTTGGGTAGCTTTCCCGAAGGATCTGCGAAGAACCAGCTGGTGTGGTACATCGTTCGTCTTGATGTCACTGTTATCAATGCGCATCAAAGCACGTAACTGGTTCTCACGCATCTTGGCTAGGTTCCTATCCTCTCTTCTCATCTGCTGGTTGCGAGTTTCCAGGAATACCTTGAACTTGTTTCGACCCTTTCTCGGAATCTCAAGTCTGGTATAGATGTGCTTCCAGCTCATCCCGTCTTTAAACATGTTTTCGACGATTTCGACCTGCATGTGGGGCACGATATCAGCCCAGGTGGGATCGGAGATCTGTCGAGAAGAGTTCATAGGGTTAGTTGGTTTCCGTAGCGCGAAGCTATCGTCACTGGACAGGGATCTCAAATTTACCTTCTCCCCCAGAACCACCGATGCGTCCTTCGGCTCGTCCAGGTCACTATCCTCAAAATCAAGGCCAGCATTCTTGTATTGAACACTATCATGGACCTGACCAGCCATGATTGCCATATTCTTCAGGTAGACAGGGTTCAACTCATTGTTGCTCGCGACATGATTCTCAATATCATTCAAAGTCGCCTGATCCACATCATCGTCATCTTGATTTGGTCTCTGCGAAAAGGACAGACTCCCAGCAGAGTACTCGCAAATCGCCATAGTCGTTTTCGTCGACAAGGTTGCTTTGGTGATTTCTACTGTTGGAAACGCGGCGGGAGGTAAATTTGGATCAAAATCGATAATGGACTTTCTCTCGAACTCAACATTCAGTTTTCTCTGGAACGGATGCGACTCATGTGGGTTATCGGAGTCTTGAATCCCCTCGGTAGTTTCTGCTCGGGAGCGACGCATCGACTCAAGCAGAGCAGCAGTTGGTGACTCTTCACTGGATTCGCCATACCGCATCGGAGCACGAATCTTGGTACGAAGATTCATGCCGCCCATCTTGATGTTGAAGGTGGGTATTCTTTTTCAAAGCTTGATGACTTGGCCCAGGATCACCTTCGACCGCGGAATGAGAACGATTCTCAATCCCGGGAAGGGCTCTCCTAGCCCTTGGTGAGAAATAAAATCAAATCAGATAACTTTGATGACAAGGACGAATAGGTTCAATGCTTTGATTGGGAAAACAACTCAAGTGTGGGGGGCGTAGAGGGATTCTCAAGAAGAGCAACAATTAAACAGGGCTGGCATCGAATACTCGGAAGGAGATGGGGATGCACCAACAGCAAAGGATCAGAATCAAGGATGTATGATGGAAGACGCGGTGATGTGCTGGGGTAATTCGATACCATCGATGCTATGCTCCCAAATCTGCAAATATCACTTTACTCGCATTTGACTTCCCAGGACACAATGTTGATTCCTATCTGATCCGACTGGTGAGGCATATTCACGCTGGGAATCTACATCATCTATGGGAGCTTCATTGAGCGCGACTGACAAAAGACCAAGTAGTTGAAAATTCTGATGATTATTTTTGAGGAAACGGGATCTATAGCCAGGCCACGCATTACAAAAAAAATCAGAACCTGAGACACATCATATGATTGAGTCATTTCTGTAATCCACATTTGCATCGTTAGAGCAAGATCACAACCTAGACTACCCGGTCTTGAAACGGAGCAACGGGCTTCCGGTCTGGCATGAAATCATCTGCATCCATATCCATATCATCATCATCCATCGCCGTATCCTGAAATAGACAATCATGAAAACTGCGCTTTCTAGCCAACACGATAGGCGTAACAGGCGGGGGAGCAAGCGTCGAAGCACCCATTTGAACGGCATTGCGCTTAGCACGCTCCACATCCCGCTTAGCAGCAAGAATAGAGTCAAAGGCATGAAGAATCCGTTTCAAGGGTTCCTCAATAGACACACAGAACCGATGCTGCTGAATCAAATGAGTCGCTGACATGTAATCATGGTTTAGCATGGCCATGACATACGCAATGACCACACCGGCAGAACGCTCATTGCCCGTTTCACAAAAGACAAGAACCTTCTTCTTGATGGTAGAGTCTGTAGACGAATTTATCGAAGCCGGCATATCCAGACCGGCAAGATGATCATTGATGCGACGAATCGCGCGCGGAAACGCAGATATCAGCTCCTGATTATCGAGGACATCAATAGTACCAGCCAGGATCCCGAGTTCAGCAGCGGCCTTGTCACCAGAGACTAATCGCGCTTGAGCCGAGAGCGTGTTTCTAATTCCGAGAAGAAGTGTGAATCCTTGGTTGCGGAGGTATTCACGGGGTCGGAGACAAGAACTGGGGCCCAGATAAAGGAATGGGAGTATAGGCTGTGCCTCGCGACGCATTTCATAGTTCCATTGAGAGTAGCTGAAGCGACGCGTGAATCCATCTAGTTGTGCGTGATTGAAGAAGCCTGGTGGGATGAAGTCGCCCTCGGCGAAGTGGTGGGTGGCGGGGCGGAGGAGCTTGTTATCGACGACAACAGTGTCGTTCTTATCATCAAGGCCCTCGTGGTTCAGGAATGCTAGAGTCCCATTTGCGCTTGACTCTGATGGATATTTGGGGGTTGAGGCGTATTCTTGTGTGCGCATATATGGAGTATTGGCATTTTGAGACATTGGAATTTCTTTTGAGTTGAAGCCGGCCATGATGACAGCTTGACGGACCACAAATCAATCACGTCTTTGGCTCCACTTCGGGATAGATTGAGCGATTTGATAATGTGTAGATAATGAAAGGTGGTGTTGAGAAAGAAGATTGATTCTTTCTAGATTTCAAAGAGCATTGGTCGCATGCTCACACTGTTGGCGACTGCAATGGTGTATGCATGGGAAGTGAAGTTGGATTAGAAGTTGCGGGAACGTTGAGAATCAACGATCGACCATCTCTCACTTTCTGAAGCTCGTGCCGCTCTGCGAAGAAGTACAGTCAGTGCAAAGCGGTCACGCACCCCTGCATTGAAATAAGCAGTGGTCAATGCCTTTCTTTTCACCAGCTGGCGCATGGAGGGGTGGATTAGGTAAGCCATCTATCGCGGTCATCGACTCGGATGCCCCGGTGCCTAATCTGATTACCGCCTCTAACGTTGAATATAGTTATCGTGTTATCGTGAGAACCAACCTTCATAACAAGGCAGACTTTATTTGCCACAACACACGTGCTCGGTTACCAAGTGTGGCGCATTCCAACAATCCACGATGCCTATCGATCTAAGGCCCGGACCATCGTGACTCACTTTGTTTTGTCAGCATTGTTGCACCGTCGTTTAACAATTAGCGCCAACACCAACGCCAACAAGGGTGACAGCCTTGATCCATAAAGATCTAGCCCTGTTAGCTCGTGAAAATATGACTCGCAGGGGCTTGACCACATGGCACAGCGGCAACGGCCTTTGGAGCCTGGACAGCGGAGAATTGCTTAACGCCGAGACTATGCCTCATTTACGGTATGCTGAAGAGCTAAGGCTGTCAGCAGGGACCACCAGGAGCGCTTTTACGCAGCCCGTGCAACAGCTTTCGTATCCTTGATCCGTGCCCTTCCGGCAGCCTTGCGAGGTCGTGCTAGCATCTTATTTACTAACCAATACGAACTTGATGCCGAGCGGGGACCGTTTTGGGAATAGGCAACCTCATCTATGGAATAGGGGCTAAAGGAATTAGCAGGATATTGGTAAGGTGAGCGTAGTACCCGTATGAGCATGGTAGCCCGGGCATATGACTTGGATAGCAGTTGAACAGCCTTCTAGATCCGTCTTTGCGTAGGCGACCTCTCAAAGGAGAGCACTGGTTTTTCCTTGGGCTTCTTAACCTCACGATGGTCTAATAATCTAGGTAAAGGGGGTCAAATGTCGGTTCATCGGAGTCTTTATGATAGCGCTCCCATAGGTCTTATATCAATCTTCTAATATTACGCATATGATGCTCCGTTCTACTACATGTTAAAGTCTCCTTGTTATACCTCCTTCCTCCATTATCACGTTCCTTTCGCGTTGAATTTCTGACACTGGTAATTCATGTTCATTTCCTCACACTCCAAGAGCCTCGTTCCTTCTCTTCCTACCTTCTCCTCCACCCTCACATGTCCTTTTGTGCTAAATTCTGATACTAATTTCACATACGTTTCAGTTGTCGTTCAGATCATCATCCTCACATCAATCAGTCACCAAGCCGGATGCCAAAAACGTTCAACCTCACTTAAGCCTCACTTAAGTGCGGTGATGCAAGCAACACAGAGCCCCGATGGCCTGGCATGGATCAGACAGGCCACATCAACATGAACTACTTTATAGCCGATTCGCCATTGCCTTTCACCGAAACCCCACCTCCGGCCCGAACCAAACTGTTCGGGTAGATCAGAAGATTTGCGACGGCGTGTTCCGGCACAAAGTCTTGTGTGGCAAGAAGAGGACTACTACGATCAGATTAGGCTCCGGCACTGACCTACTCTGCCTAGCTGGGGAGGTCAGTTGGTGCAACGACCATGACTGTTTGTTACGAGTGAAGTCATACGAGACTGTTGAAAAGTATATTGCCCTCAATGGTCCGTTGTACATAGATTACTTTATCATTCCATGCTATGAAGCTCGTATGGGTCCATCCAAATCTGCTTTTTTTGCGATTTTTTGGGTGACCATCAGGCTACGGACTATGGGCATTAGTCGCCTGATGCCATGCCAATATTTCCGATATAAGCCGCATAGTATGACTTAGTACGTGACTGGGGCAGTAAAGCACCACCTAAGAAGTTGATAAAATTTCAGAAATGCATTTACGTTTCTTGTAAGGAAGATCGAAAGAGGTAGATGGCAACGGAAAAATTCGACAGACTATTGCTACTACTGCAGGAGTTGACTCGTAATACAAATACAAATTGTATGAGATATCGAAAGATAATAAACTGACATTGAGGAGAAAAATAGCACGACATCCTCGAAACCGGGGTATATGAGGTGACACAGCACGAGCTTACATCCTCTGGAAGAAAAACACCACTACCCCATCAATGTCAAGCAAGAACGCCATACCAGATGGCTAGGAAAATCCTCGCCAGAGGTATTGAGCACAACCGGACCCAAGATGCTAAACAGAAACAAAGACAAGCGAATTTCCAAGCCTTTGGAAGATTTGGTGAACGCCCACAGAATGCACGGAAAAACGGAACATAACAAATATAAGAAGAAGCCGTAAGGAACGTGTAGACATGAATGGAGATTATTAAACTTGGGGCACAGCAACCTGAGGAACGGCAGGAAGAGACTGTGCCACGGAGGTATCAGGATCGGTCTGGGTAGACTGGGGGATCGCCTGTCGGATATCCGCCACAATGCGCTCCAGCTCCTCAAGGCGACGGTCCTTCTCTTGAACCTCGCGGCGCAGTCGCTTCACTTCGTTATGGAGGTCACCATTTTCCTCTTCGGGTAGTTGCTGCTCCTCGTTGGGTGAGTCAAACCGGCGCTTGACTCCGGTGGCGGGAAGTGAGTTGGCACGGACACCCTCGAGCTCATTGGCGCGATCCCAAGGCATTTCCACCATAAGCCCCTGGGAGTTGTCGTCAGTGTGCATGTGGCGACGGCGCAAATGTTCCCGAAGATTCTCCTGACGCGTAAACCCGTTTCCTGTACTCCGGTTGCAGTCGGCATAGGGACACATGAGGGGCTTCTTGGCGTCGGTATTCTTCTTGTGTACTTCGCGTTGGTGGCGAAGGAGGCCGCCTGAGTAGGTAAATCCTTGAATCTTGTCGCAGCCTGGCTCGTAGCATTTGTAAGGGCGATCATGTTTATCCATGTGTTTACTAGTGGCAAGATATTAGCGGGTCTGCGTTTAATGATGAAGGGTGGGAAAGAGATACTCACTTCCATTCGCAAGGACGGCGGAAGGTTGGAGGTTGAGCCTGACATTCTGGGTGATCACAGTAGATCTGACCCTCAGTGTTCTTGGGAGGATCCCGGGCGCGCCGAACTGAAAGGCGCGGGCGCGTGCCCTCTATGTTGTAGTTCATGGGAGGTTGCTGCTCGTTCATTCTGGCAATTGAAAGGGATTCAGCTGTAGAGGCGAGTACTGAGGCAGCAGCAGCTCCGTGCGGAGCTTCACTTCGAGGACTAGGATAGTCAGATCCGTCGCCCATATCGCGTTCGACCCCACACTAGTTGAGGGGATTGTGATGGAAATTGAGGATACCGACAAGAACGCGTCGATCAGTCAATACCACTTGTGGTAAAGGGGGGTTGAGGGGGATAGTAAGATAAATAGAGCTCAGACGATGAGTCTGACAAAGAAGTAATAGAAAAAAAAAGTGTGTGAATCCTGGAGACTCCAAATAAGGCGCGTCTGTAGTTGAAGAAGTTGGAAGTTGCCAGACTTTTCAGGTTGAAATCCCAGGCATCTCCTTCCCGGGGACTATATATACGCCCGGGCTGAGCGGTACACGGGATTTACCGCCACTGTGGCGCAGTCGCGCTTCTCTCGGATTCGCTCTGTCGCTTTTTGCTTTGCTGTACTTTCAGGATTTTCTGGTACTTACGGTGACGCCGATAAGCTGAACAGTATAATTTATGCAGGAAAATTCTTCGGCCTAGCCTTGCTTCTATATACTTTGTATCCTTGTAGAACGGGGATAATCGTTGGTTTATAATCCTGCTGAAAGCAGCCAAGTGTGGATTGCCACACTCAAAATGACTCATAGATTATCAGGTGGTACCAAGTCCTCGGAAAACCTACAGCCTTTCAGGTACCAATGAGCCCTGGCAGCCTTGAAGCCCAGTCATACATAAATCCATACTATACAGCCGACGTGCCAGATCAGGCAGCTGTTGCGGCCTGACACCAGTGGCGGTGTTTCCGTGGGGAAGGTTATCTAAGCGCAGTGATTGCCAGGCCCCTAGGCTGCACTTTTCTTGATGCATTCTTGATGCATTCTAAGAAAAGAAAGCTTCAGGATTTAAGCATATTGATTGCGAATCTCGATGGCTATGCACTTAATCTATTCATAGCGAACAACAAATCCTTCTTGGCTATGGCTATGTTAAAGCAGTGTAGATCATAGCCTAGATTCATAACTGAACATAGTCCACAAGAGTCATTAGTGTTTTTTTATTTAATAGGCTCCAGGAATCTCAAGGATCTGTCTGGCTGCAAAATTGGGCTCTCAAAGCAAACCCACTACCACTAGTCTGGTCTGGCAAAACTCGGTGAAACAAATTTGACAGAAACGTCACAGCTCCTGCACAAGCCCCAGCTGCTCTATCACCCAATGGATTTCTGCCGCCACCATATCTGGCTGCAATAGGTGGACATTGTGTCCACACTCCGATAAATGCACAAGGCGGGTAGTGGAGGAAAGCCTCAGCTGCTCCTCTTGTAGATCTCGATCAATACCTGGCCAACGATCAAGCAGGTCCCTAAATTCCTTCTGCTGCTGTAAAGACCCATAGCCCATTTCCACGCCTCGTTGGTAGATACGCTCATAGTCCCTGGCACCATTACAGCGAATCACACTAACGGGTCTCGAGCCCATCGCCTGATTGTCTAACTGCTTTTTCTCCGCCAACGTATGACAGACTGCCACGAGGGAATTTGCCTCCGCCTGTGCCGCCTCAGCTCCGCGGGCAATATCAATTGCACGCGTCCGCCACTCATCTCGAGATAGGACGGTGTCCGCACGAAGCCCTGTTACCTGGGCGAATTTGAGATCGCCTTGTACGGCGCTGATGCTAGGATCTGGGATCCGAAAATAGTCGCCTTGTCGCTCTGTGGAACTGTCGGCTAGAACTAGCCCAGCCACGTCGCTGGGGTATAAGTGGAGATATTCTCGGGCCACAATCCCGCCATAGGAGTGGGCTGCTAGTATTAAAGGTGGGGATAGTTGCATTTTGTGGAGCAATTTGTGTAGTTCTTCCGCTGCCGTGACGGCTGATCCTTTGGGGCCGGGCTCGCTACGCCCGAGACCCGAACGGTCGTATACGAGTATACGAGCAAATTGGGCTACAAGAGGGGCCAGGGCTGTGTATGATGATGCGACATCGCCGGCGCCGGTGAGAATAACCACTAGTGGATCCGACGGTGTGCAGGGAGGACCGCTGACCGAGGCAAAGAGACAATGTTCGCCGATACGAACCATCGTAGACCCTGTCATGGTTGACCAGTCCGATCGAGGTTGTTCCATGATTTGTTTATTTTAGGAATCTTTTAAGGTTGGTGAAGGGTTTATCGATGTACGGAGTATATTTGATGAGGATCTTTCCTAATGTGATAAGCGAGTCACCGGCCAATTATTCTGTAAACTCCTACCGGCCAACCAGATAGCATGAAGACTAGACCAGCCCAGTCTTCACGATAAACATGAAATTATGTTCGCCTTAAATTGTTTATCTATCAAGCGACCTCACATAAACATTCCGAATCAATGTCTAAATTTAAAATGTCTTTTGTGAGGTAAGCCCTAAGCAAGTTCTTGCAGCCAATTAAAATCTAAGGTTAACAGTTTACAGTCCTGGCCAAGAAATGTATAATTATCACATCCTAGATGCAATAGCCTATCCGGTTGGGATATCAGGCAGTACCTGTAACTACCAAGTATTATTTCCGCCTACTGAACCAATTCAAGATAGCAAAATTACAATACAGAAAGTCAGTCACCATAGGCTTGTACTTTCATTGCTCTTTTGTCATATTCCAGTAATCTGAACGCTAGAAAGGACTCGTAAAGAGCCCAAAGCCAATAATGGATCTGATGAACACATTAAGAGCAGGATGAATCTCGGGGGCGAGATGTCCGTGGCGAGGCCGATCTTACAATGTCTGGTGGACGAGTGGTGGGTACCAGTACATGGTAAGTGGATTGAGGACGCCCCAGTGATGTCGAAGAACCACAGAAAGCAGCCGGCATGTGCTTGAAGCCACCCATCCTCAATTTGGCGATCGAGGGCGAAAGTGAACTCCTTGGCCCAATTTCTGTGCGTGTAATTTTCGCTGTTGGATATCATGAAATGAGCAAACACAGCCTTGTCATGCAATTAGCAAGCTCCGAGAGGGAGTAATACTATAGGTAACAGATGAATTATGAGAGAACCGAAGGCTCCAAGCATGGTGAAGTGCAATAAGCGAGTGGTATTGGCAGCTTTGAACTCCATTGTGGCGCTGCGACGTTGGCGGAATGTTGTTTGGTGAGACATATGATGCAAACTCACTGCAGTGAGGTGGTAGTCAAGGATTGGGTGCATGTCTAGGGGGTGGTGGACAAAGTATGAGAAAGGAAATACGAGGTGAAAGTGAGGTTATTATCAAGAATCGAGCGCATATCTGGGAACATGTAGATGAAAGGGAACGCTTTAAGGGGGAACTCCCAAGATAGACAGAAACGGCTAGATTAATATGTGACCTGTTTGTGCTAAATGGCACCCTCAAAGTACTTCCTAAGAAGTAGAGGAAACATTGAGAAGTCAAGTTCAAATTCGATAAAATATTTGAAATCTAAGACCTCGGAAATGCTTTTATATTCACATATTAAGAAATATTATATTATTCCGGCAGAACACAAGCGATGTTGCTTGTTTTTTCAAGCTCCGTCAAGACCTATGATGATACATCAGCTTAATCATTCCTCAAGGGAGAAAAGATAATTGAACTTACCGGGTCGCAGCATGCCGCATGCTGGTCTGCATCGCACGAGCTATAAGTCGTTTCTCCATCTTCAGCCGTGTTCAAAAGGTTGGCATGTGTACCTTTAGAAATTATTAGCTCAATTGCATACATACAGAACCATCACATAGCAAGGCTCAATCGGAGGTCATACAATCATTTCCTGCATAGACAAATGATAGCACAGGATACTCATTCAGCTTTTGGCAGCATAGACCAGGAGGTCCTGCATGGATCGGGTTGACAGGCTTGATACATGTGAATTCGCAAGTCGCAGTAGCGACCAGTCCGAGCAATGCAATTACCCTCATTTTCGATTTTGGTATTTTGATTGAGTAAAATTAGCGTTTGGGCAGAAGAATTTTGGTTCTCCTGTTCATCGCGAACGGGTGTTCGCGATCCGAGATTAAAGTGGATCTGGATCGAATCTTGAAAGCTTATGTAACGGACAGCGACGTCATTGAGTCTGACATTATGCAAGGTTATTGCTGAAGATGCGGTGAAGCGGCTACCGATGCGGTACTTGCAGAAGATCGATCGGACGAGTCAGATATGCAAGGGGCGAGACCCCTGGGAAACGTACGTCAGAGGCGCTGTGTAGGGTCAATCAAGTGACGCTTATTGCTTAGAGGGTAGATGCAAATGAGAAAAAAATACAAATTACCAGGGGATCACTGTTGTACAAACGAAGGTTCATTCGCATCATAGTAGGCCCCATTATGAGCCAGGTATATCTAGACTCTTACAAATCAACTGCGCTGCATCATCAATACCGGCACCTGGAGTTATTAGAGACTGCACAGAAATGCTTTGGAGGGAGTGTTGGAAAGGAAGGCAATTTTTAGTAAGAAAAATGCCTGCCCAGTCCACATTTAGTGCATCTAGTTGTAGGGAATCGAACTGGTCCTGGGCTTTTTTTTTTATTCTGATTGAAATGAGAATAGAATAAAAAATTGATACGAGTCCCATGAATTTGTGTTGCCAGTTCATCCCAGTCTCAGAAATATACCCAGTACTTCCAGGGCTTTCTTATGTTCATTACTGCGTTCAATTTAATAGGAGCTACGGTACGAGTTGGAAAAAGAAAAACATGTATGGTCTCGATTGCTCAAAGCAATAAGATAAGAGCTAGAAGTTCTAAGACAAAACTGCTAAGAAGAATCGAGCCCAAGCGGGCAGGGGAAACTCTCAAAGCTGCCCGAGAGTTCTTACCGGCTCAGCTGGGGGAGAAAATAACAACCGGCGATTGCCCGTTCAGGATGGTACCTGGGCGAATGGAGGCCTGGGGAGCATCGCTAAGTTGTTTCAGTCCAGTGATAACTGTGCAAGAGGTAAGAACGTCACGGGGGACAAACATCCTATCTGAGCCCAAGGGGAACCGGTCCATCAAGACCGAACGAGGAGTCGACATCGCCAGGTAGGTTCGGTGAAACCGAAGTGCCCGAGTAGCGGACTCACCTTAGCCTCGGTAATCGAATATTTCGATCAACTTCGAAGAAACGGACGGGCAAGGCTCTGTTGGAAGAAACCCTGACATTTCGTGCGAAAATCTGCTTCCCCGGGTTTGTACAAGAGAGAGAGGGCTGGCCTGTTGGAGGCTAGCTCTGACATGCAGTAGCTGTGGTACCCTCTGATCAATCGTAGTTGCCGCCAACCTGGCTAGCGAACGCAGTGGAAACACTGCGGGCGTCATCATCATCCTGCAGATGCTGACCTGGGACACCACGAGTCACGCGAATGCTGGCGGAGCTTCCTCCGAAGATGCTGCCGCTGTCGGGAACACCAGTGCGGTAAGGCTCACGGCCACCAGACTCCACGTAGCGCTTCAGACGATCGGACTGGCTGAGACTAGTCTGCTTGCTCATGTCGTTGATGCTGAGGCCAGCGAGACTCACACCACCTTGGTCAACACTTCGACCATCAATGATACTTCCAGTGACATCCGACTCGGTAGCGGCGACGGATTCCCCAGCAACGCTTGGCGCGCCCTTTGCCCGAGTACCATTAGCACGGCGACCACCGGGAATAGAGGGCCAGGTATCCTGGAAGTTTTGGAACATAGACGGGTATCCAGAAGGGATGCCAACTCCTCCACCAAGAGCAGAAGAGTGAACCGAAGAAACGTCATCGGGGATATAGCCTACGACAGAGCCCGAGTCATAATCATTGCGGTGACCATTGCGGCCGTTTACAGAGCCATTGTTCGCATTGGCCGCCTGGTTGAACGACATCTGGAAACGCTGCGGGCCGCGGTAAGCCTGCTTGGGCCGGCTGAACTGGATCAGAGACTCCTGCAGGTTGGACAAAGGTCCCTCCACAAGACAGTGCTTTTCTTTGAAGTGCTGGAGGAGACAGTTCCACAGAGGGTGCTTCGAAAGTACCTTCGGGTTACCGAGAATGACAAGACCGTATCGAGCTCGGGTAAGGGCGACGTTGAGACGACGTGGATCACTCAAGAAACCAATACCTTGGTGGTCATTTGAACGGACACAGGAGAGAATGATGTAATCCTTTTCACGACCCTGGAAAGCATCCACGGACGCCACTTCAATCTCCTTATAGTGCTCCTTCTTGAACGTTCCATTGGCCTGCATAGAGCTAACAATGTAGCTTCGTTGACCCTCGTAAGGCGTAATGATACCAATACCTCCGGGCTGCACACCTGCCTTGAAGAAGCGAGTAACGATCTTCTCAACGTTGGTGGCCTCAGTGCGGTTCAGGTACGAGGTACCAGAAGCCGAAATCTCCTCATTACCCAAGTTGGACCAGAACATCATGGGGTCGTCAATCATGGGCCATGGGAAGTCGACGTCGCGGCGAAGGCGGTCCGCAATGGTGATACCGTTCTGCAACGATCCCTCATAAAACATGTTCGACGGGAATTCAGAAAGACAGGGGTGCATACGGTACTGGACGTTAAGACGAATTGGCGAACAGCCCAGGATGACCAAACGTTCGAAAAGTGACTGGTTCAAGCCAGCCTTGGCGGCCTTCTTGTTCATGATGACGGGACCAAGCTGCTGGTGGTCACCAACCAGAACGACCTGTTTGCAGCCAAGAACCAAAGGAATCATGCACTCCGGCTCAGCAGATTGAGTGGACTCATCAATGAGAACTGTTCGGAATTTGAACTTGGCGAGACGCGGATCACCTGCACCAACACAAGTGCAGCAGATGACATCCGCATTACCCAAGATCTCGCGCTCAGCCGCACGAGTCAGCTGCTTCAGGCGCTTCTCATCCTGGCTGGACAGTTCGCCAAGCTCTGCCTTCAGCTGGTTGAGCTTAACCAGTTCAATGTTACTGTCGTTCATGCGAACTTGCTCGTGCAAAGACAGGAATCCAACGGGGGACTCAACATCCTCTCGAGACTTGGCAGTCACTCGCACGGTCTTGAGGCCAGTTCGGTGGATACGCTCACAGAGCTGATCAACCGCAACGTTAGATGGAGCACAAACCAGGACCTGGCCACCATTGAGCTTGGCAAGATGGTAGATAATCGTGGCTGAGGTCACAGTCTTACCAGTTCCGGGGGTCCCTGGATCAGACTCAAGGGTCTTTGTAGCACGCTCTTCACGGCGTTGATCTGACTACCGTTCAGATCGGGGAGTCCAGGAACACTGAATTTTTTGGGAATCTGCGTCTTCATGGGAGCAGCTGCAACCTCATGACCGAGAAGGCGGTGGAAAATGTAACCAGAAACACTCATTTCATCGACGGCAAAGGTCTTCATGGCAAGTTGCATACGGTCAAAGGATGTAGATTTCCAGACGTAGTCGGCAGTGAAGTTGTGAGTGCACTCCGTGGGCACGGATTTATGGTCACCCTTGGAACGCAATTCAATCGTCACCTCGTCAGACTGGTTGTTCGGGATTTTAATGACATAGCCAACTCCCTCCCACTTGGACCGAAGTTCACCGGTGTATTTCAATCGCATCTCGTCGCCAACAGCTAGCTTAACATCGCCGAGTTCAAGCTTAGGCAGGACGAAGCTTGCAAGGTGCTTGTTGTTAAGACCCAGATCCCAGCGCACAATAAGACCGTCCTGCGACTGCGACTCCTTGAGTTTCCGGTCGTAGTCGGCCTCGATTTTCACAAGGGGACCAAAGATATTTTGGTACTGGTAAGCATCATCGTAGCGCAAAAGGACAGGGGCGGGTTCGTCATCAACAGCGGTAGATTTCTCCAGATCCTCCAAGGTTGCCTGGGAGTTCTCTTTCCACATCTCCTCCAGCTTGGCGATCAACTGAGGGCTGAGATGGCGAGCGCGAAGCTGCTCCTGATCAGTGGGAACCCCAACAAGCCATGGCAGAAACGAGCGGTCCTCAATAAGTGGTTGCCAGCGAGAGGTATCCCAGTTCATGTCCTTGGAAGATGGCATGGCCGCACATGGCTGTCGGCACAAAAGGACGACAACGGTATCGGATTTCGCAGGGATAAAGCCAAGCAGGAATACATTCTTTGTACCGCAGTTGTAGCACTCCAAAATGGTATCACCGAGAGACGAGGCTGGGTGCAGCTGAACCTCCTTATGACGAGCTCTGACAAGGTGATTGACGATGTGCGATGAAGAGGTATTACCACGGGCACTGCAGAACCATTTATTGCAGGAAAGGCACTTCACCACACTGCTAGGGTTATGGATACCACAGTAGGCACAGGCATGAGCAGGAAGCTCTTTCTCTTCATCCGCGTGTCCCTGGCCCTTTCGGTTTCCATTGGCAGGGCCACCGACCGTGCTTTCCAAGTCGTCATCTTCGAGGATATCGGACCCCTCATCTTCGTCATCATGTCGGCGCGGTCTAGCCCGACCTAGCGCATCTGTCGTGTGATCGTCCAGCTCTACCACCGAAGCATCATCAGCCAGTCCTGGGGGATAGTTCTCCATTATGCGGGTTCTTGAAAGCGGCCGAGAATAAAGAGTTGTTGCGTTCAATCAAAAGGCAAAAAGGGTGTGAGAATGTCTCAAAGTAACAAGTCGAATCCGAATAGCAGGAAGAAATTCTGAAGGCGTAAATCAAATGAGCGTAGAGGACAATCGGTCATCCAGGGCGGTTTCTCAAGAGCCCGTCTGAATGTGTGCCTGAGGGGCAAACGAACGGGGAAGATCTATGCAAGGGAAAGGTAAGCTGGGGCAAAAACCGAGAAAAAAGACATTCACTTACAAGCCCAGCTCTCTCTGTTACAAAGACGACCGACAAAAAGAGAGTGGAAGAGGTAAGAATAGACGAAAAGCCTCTCCGCAATCTGCGATCCGGATTCTCTATCAGTGGGATCCCACTACGGTGGCGGAAGGGAACCAAAGATGCAGCCCCGGAGTTTAGAAAAAAAAAGTTGCCCGCTTCCTGTCAACTAGAACAGGTCATTTCAAGCCTCTTCCACACCTTCACAAAATGCTGGTACGTGCCGATCGAGAAATGGTCGAATAATACAGAATATGCTAACTATTTACATAGCGCCGTCAAGCCCGTGAGCGCCGAGATTACCTCTACCGGAGAGCATTGCTCCTCCGCGATGCTTCTATCGCCGAAAAACGAGCCCAGCTCAAGGCTTCCTTGGCATCTGGAAAGCCTTTAGACCCCTCAATCGCCAATGATAAGACTCTCCGTGAGGATTTCAAATACGACGAGTCAAAAGAGGACGGTGTGGATATCGACGATGAATATGCTTTAACCTCCGGCGTTATTGATCCTCGCCCGCTGGTCACCACCTCTCGCTCACCCTCCGCTCGTCTTGGTGCCTTCGCCAAAGAAATTCGCTTGCTCCTCCCCACCGCCATCCGTCTCAACCGTGGTAATCTCGTTCTGCCCGATCTCGTCTCCAGCGCAACCTCTGCGGCTCTGACCGATATGATCCTGCTGCACGAGCACCGTGGTACCCCCACCGCCCTCACCATTTCTCATCTCCCTCACGGTCCCACAGCCAGCTTCTCCTTGCACAATGTTGTCCTCCGTGCCGATATCCCGAACTCTGCCCGCGGTACCGTCTCTGAGAGCTACCCTCACCTGATTTTCGAGGGCTTCAAGTCCAAGCTGGGTCTTCGTGTCGTCCAAATTCTTAAGCATATGTTCCCTCCCCGTGAGCCTGGCAAGGTCGGAAACCGCGTTGTCAGCTTCGTCAACAAGGAGGACAGCATTGAGGTGCGCCACCACGTCTTCGTGAAGACCGGATACCGGGACGTGGAGCTCGCCGAAGTTGGTCCTCGAATGACTATGCGCTGCTTCGAGATCCGTGGTGGTACCCTTGAGAAGGGCAACAGTGGTGATGTCGAGTGGGCTCTTACTCAGTACACAAGAACCAGCCGAAAGAAGGATTACCTTTAAATGGGTTCTTTGTATCATGGTGTCGGCTGCGGGCGTGAAGATTTTATGGTATACGGACTTCGTTTTACTAGACTTTGATTTGTCGATGGGCGTATTGGTGTTTTTACGGTCAACTAAAAGGCATGCACCGCCGTTTCATGTATCATTTTTGTTGCTATGTTAATACCCTTCAAATGAAATGGGCTCTCAATCATGAGATACAATCACTGGATAATGTATCTAGGCCATAGTAGTCAAATAGAGTAGCTACTTACATCAGGCAGTACGCATCAAGGTAGGTTGCATAAAAATAGGTAAGGTGCTATTTGACTCGAACCTTGGAAGCCACGGAGTATTTCAAAATGCTAGCATTCGTATAGGGTTGGGGAGGTCAAAGGGTGTGCCACCACATAAAAATTCTCTCTCGATATCAATCAAAAGGAAATTCAAAAACGCCAAACTAAAGAGATAAAAAACGCAATGCGAACCAAAGAACTCCTCCAAATAAATGCAAACTCCATGTCTACTGTATCGATGTACCCCGCCTCGATATTTTTCATTTTCGTATTTACCATGTTTCATATCGTCAGCCCTAGCATCACCGTCAATGGTGGATCCAAAGTCTCTGGTCAGGCCTCATGTTCCGTTAGACGATATTGACATTTAGTCCTCAGATTCATTAAGAATGTTCACATCGACCGAGTCGACATCATCACCTTGTTCACTCGAGGAAGAAAAAAGAGTCGTGGTGCTACTCCTCAAAGACACGATATCTCCATCGCCCATTGGTTCACTGGAAGTAAACTCATGTAGAGACACGGAGCTGTGATTAGAGAAATCAACGCCATCATCGGTCTGTGAGCCTGACGCGGACTCAAGCATAGACGAAGCTTTTCGTTTCCTGGACGCAACATGGTCATCACCGAAGTGTTCACTCGGTAGAGACTTGAGCAGAGCTAGAGCGTCCTTTTTGATAGTTGCAACATCACGATCGTCAATATGTTCGCCTGGCACATGATCAAGCGCAGACAAATTGCTGTCACTCTGCAGAGACTCAACATCACCATCATTGCCGCTATCATGACCAGCGGCGGTATAGTCTTGCTCATCAACAAGAGTAAATCCATCAGACCTCATTGCATCCCCATTCTGAGTAGTAGCATGAGCTACCTCTGGGGAAACGTGTGGCTTGGAGGGCCGCTTCATGTAGGCAGTCATGATACTTCCGGCTTCGAATGTATACCATCCTTCATGGGACGGCAATACATCCCCTTTGTCGTTCGTTTTTGGGGATCGGAGTGTTAGGTCCATCCTTTTCTCCCATTCTACTCCCGTCTGCAACAAGAAGAAACTCTCAAAGCCTGCCTTGGCGAGGGTGAAAGCGCTCTGGGGAGGAGCCAAAATGGAGACATTGGACATGCCAACACGGCTGTACTTGACAAAGGCTGAATAGGTGGGTGGCGTTTCATTGGATTGAAATATCTGGCAATTGTGAGTGACAGTTGACTAAAAAGGTATGTAACACTTACGGCCAACCGAAATTTCTCGCGTTTCAGCGATGGCAATACCCGCGATAGAGTGGCGTCCCAAGCTTGGTTCGTGTCTTCGTCGACACAAATCATGTCATTTGCTATATTTCAGTCAGTAGGCCCGTTTGTAACGCTTTATCCGAACGAGTGAATACATACGTAGAGCAACAGCCTTCTTGGTGATACGGGCAGGCTTTTTTTTAACAACCTTTGCTTGGACGAAAGGGTCTTCTGTGTATAAAATGCAAAATCAGCAATCCGATCAAGTATAGCCGTAAGAAAGTTAATTGCAATCATACTGATGGGTGGCGTTTTGCGTTGAGATTTGGAGGTGGTAGCCAGCTTCTGCTTCTTTCGTGGCTTCAGCTCAGCTTCCAAAATCCTCTTCCAGAGATATGGTTTGGCATCTTTGGGACGATGGGATTTTTGTTGCAGCGAGTCATATAGCCAGTCGGAATTCACGATCAGAACTGTACCAAGTTCCTTGGCAATTTGAACTGAAAATGAAGGCAAATGGGATTAAAGTCAATTCAATGGCAGACTCGGTTCGCAATGAGTAGAGAGTAAAAGAATGTGTCATACCTGCTTCGACATTATTCTTGTATGATTCTTCAGTTGCAACGAGATGGGTAGTATGCGAGTCTACTTTCCTGGAGAAAGTACCGCCATGGTGGCGTATCCATTCAGGGATTTTGGTCGCATCATCAAACTTGCCGACAGTGCACACATTGACCTTGGAAAAAGTGTTCGGCATTTTGCACGTTGGTGAAGGTATAGTGTCTCAATAAAAGGGTCAGCTATGAGAGTAGAGTGGTTGCGAAGTCGAGAAGTGAAGCCTCAAAGTATGAGCTAAGGGATCAAAAAGGCTTGGAGATATGGATCGAGAAGAAGGGCCAGTGGGATGAAGTAGGTTTCTAACCTCTTTCAATGGTGGAACTGTGCTTTTTTTACCAGCTCGAGTTGGAAGAGAGGACGAGGAAAGACAATCCTCCAGTTTCCCTTTGGACGAAAGACTCAGTACATACTGAAGTTTGCAATGCTACAGTAGGTTGTGTTGTTTGGTCAGAAGTGCGTGGAAGAAGAAAAAGCCGGAAGAATTAAAGGTCTCATCTAAAAGGTCGTATTGCTAGAAAATGATCATGCAAGATGTAATGAGAAAGGGTGAGAAAAGAAGTCATCCCGAAAACCCGAAAACCGAAATATCTACTAAGAAGTAACCATAAATCACATAATTACTGGCGAACACTTTTGGCAGCCGCAACAAATGCACGAATTTTGTCCAAATCCTGAGCTCCATCTGTCTCCACTCCAGAGCTGGTATCCAAGCCTACCACCTTTGATCCTGACTCGCCAAGCTTCTTGACAACGTCAACAACATTCTCCGGGGTCAATCCACCGGCGAGGATAACCCGCAATCCTTCGTCGCTGTCGAGAGATTTCTGGACATTGGCCTCTTCCAGAAGTTGTCCGGATCCTCCTGAGCCAGAATCAAGCAAAGGAAGAGAATGGTAGGCACGGCGGGCAATGCCAATATCGCCCGGTGCAAACTTGCGGATGACTGGTACAGGAATCAAACTAGCCCACTCCAATGGTTCAGAGCCGTGGAGCTGCACGACGTCAAGACCCAACTTTTCTTGTTGAGCAAGGACATATGACAATGGCTGGTTCATGAACACACCCACAAGCAATGCTCGCGAGGAATGCCGCAGAACAGCGGCAGAGTGGTCAAACCACTCTGAGGCAGTTGCCTTCGATATTTGCTGGGAGGCGTCGGATGACTGAATATTGGGTCGTGGTGTCGACTTGACCACCTGAGAGATACGAAGCGCAACATCGTCAGAGACCGTCCTTGATCGGCCGGGGACTTGGATAATGCCAATTAAATCAGCGCCAGCCTGAACAGCGGCCTGTGCGGCCTCCGGAGACCTAGTACCGCAAATCTTGACTAGGGGAGAGCTCAACGATGAAGCCTGGGCAGAAGAGGCTCCCAAGAGCTGTGCAACAAAGGCAGAGGTGTCCGCTGCCCGCATCAATGCCTCTCCTACAAGAATAGCCTTAACACCGTCCTTCTTGTAAGCCTGAACATCCTTGGGGCCTGTGATTCCACTCAAAGCGCAGACGATGGTTGTCTCTGGGACTTGGTCCATAAGACGGCTAGTGGTGGCAAGATCAACCTCGAAGCTTGTCAAATCCCTGTTGTTGACCCCAATAACCTCGGATCCCAGATCGACCGCAATCTTCATCTCCTCCGGAGTGTTAACCTCAACTAGAGGCTCCATTCCAAGGCTTTTAGAGTAATGGAACAGCCTTGTAAGAAGCTCCACGCTAAGCATCTTCACAATCAGCAGGACGGTATCAGCACCAGCCAGACGAGCCTCCAATATTTGGTATTCGTCAAAAACAAACTCCTTTCGCAGGATAGCCGGTCGGTTAGTAAGACCCTCCAGACTTTGGCGCACAGCCCGCAGGTCGTCAATGGTGCCCTTGAACCACTCAGGCTCTGTCAGCACCGAGATGACACTAGCACCAGCCTTGGCATACTCGCGAGCCTGAGCAGGTGCGCATACATCAGCCGAGATAATACCCTTTGAAGGAGAGGCACGCTTGATCTCTGCCATCAATGACAGAGGGTAGTCGGATTGTCTTAAGCGGGCAGGGAATGAGATCTGAGGAGGGGCGATGTTCAGATCATAGGCAGCCTGAAGGGCCTCTGGCCGCAGAGCAGGAACCTTCTTCTGCTCAGCGACAGCATTTTTGCGGTGGGCGTAGATCTTATCCAAAATCGACACCTTCTTATCAACCGGGGCAGCAGGCTTGCTGGGGGCTGCGCCTTGCTTAGTGCTATCCCAGGTACCTGCAGTGAGCCTGAGGAAGTTTCCGAACATGGCCCGGCCGTATTCAGTCAAGATACTTTCAGGGTGGAACTGCACTCCCTCAACTGTGAACTCCTTGTGGCGAACTCCCATAATGACGGTACCGGTACCGTTCTCGAGTTCTGCCCACGATGTCACTTCCAGTGCATCCGGAACGGTGGAGTTGGTACCGGCAAGGGAGTGGTATCGAGTAATTGAGAAGGCCGTAGGTAGCCCTTGGTAAACGCCCTTTCCGTCGTGCTTCAGGACCGAGGTCTTGCCATGCAGAATCTCTCCTGTGACATCCACCTTGCCACCGAAGGAATTGATAATGCATTGCTGACCCATGCAGACACCAAAGATTGGGATCTTGCCTTTGAAGTATTGAATGGCATCGTTACTGATCCCAGCATCAGATTCGGGGTGACCGGGACCAGGACTGACAACCAGTTGCGTGGGTTTCTTAGCAGCCAGCTCCTCTACCGTAATCTCGTCGTTGCGAATAACTGTGACCGTAGCACCCTCAAGCACAAGGTACTGGTAGACGTTCCAGGTGAATGAATCATAGTTGTCGATCAAGATAACATTGGTGGCAGTGTCCAGGCGGGCCGCTCTGGTGGGATGGTGGGGGGAATGAATAACGATGTCCGCCATGATGGCTTGGATTCTGAAGGAAAATAGAGTGTGAGTACCAAGCCAATGCTAGATTTTAGAACACAACAAAATCACGAACCTCTTTCACCAAACCAAAGACTAGGCCTGTTAATTGTAGAATATGAGTAAGAGGTAGTCTATGCGATGTGACACAAAAGTGAATCACAGCTCACCGCCTGACACTAGTCCCGGATAGGTAATGGTGGATTGTTGACCGCAGGCGCGCCTTTTGAGTCTGAATAATTTGTTAAAAGCTCCCAAGCTCTGTCCAACCTTTCAAAGCTTTTTTTTTGCCCGAACATACCCCCGGTCCCTCTTTTAAACTCTTGAACCCTCCATCTTGGGGCATACTTTTTGTCTAGTGCAATCTTATGATGATCTAATTGCCTGGCCAAATGGCTCCCGTCCCGGAGGCCTATTTTCCGTCCCTGGACAAGTGCTTCGCCGGGGACGCTCAACTTTTGTATGTTTGTCCCTATCTGACCAGTTTTAGACAAATAACTGATTTTTTTTATTGTGTCGCAGGTCCTGGAGAAGAGCATTCCTCTATACCAATGATCCCGAAGGCCACGCCGACGATGGCAGCCATATCGAGGCTTTTCTTTCACATCCCGAAAGTATCCAATTGCTGTCGCAAAGCCTAAACTCCTTCGCTCGCCCTTCCGCCAAATCGAAATCGGAATTTGAATCCAAGACCGCGGCAATTCATGTGGAAACCAATTCTAAGAGCTCCTTCGATCTGAAGGAGATCAAGGCGGACGCGCAATGGCTCAGCCAGAAAGCGGAAGTCGACGAGATCACTGCTCTGCGACTTACTGTGCTAGAATGGCAAAATCGACCCGCAACACGCCTGACCGCGAACTTCTCTAGTGAGGAAGTGACTAGTGTACAGAGCGCAGCAGGAGCCGACAAACTTAGCGCCTCTGTAGCTGGTCCAAACCTGGCAAACATTCTCAGACAGGTGGCAGGTGACAACAACAGCGCGTCATACGACTCGGAGACAAACCGACGCTTGAGATTGCGCTACACCTACCTCTCAGAACGAAGCCATGTAGTCAAAACATACCGCAAGCTACTCGCTATGTCCCTACACAACATCCCCAGCAAGACCCCTGCAAGCCCTGCCACAGAGAGAAAGCTTGCCTTGTGCAAATTAGGAGCTTCTCTATTCAAAGACAAATCGACAGGGAGCTCCCTGAGTAAATTTCTTGAAGAATGCATGGCCGCCATCCGCAGTCGTCTGACCGCTCTGTCTGGGAGTGGTGGTTGGTTGAACACAGATGAGAGCAGTGAAGAGACAGAGATTCTCTGGAGGAGTTTCATGGCGGAGGAAGTTGGCCACATTCTTCAAATCATGTTCCATCAGCTTCATGCATCTGCAGAAGTTCCGTCTGGCGATCTCCTACTGTCCTGGCTCAAACTAATGAATGAGTATCAATTCCTGGAAGGGTTGAGTGTGCCCTGCCAAGATCCAGTGGAAGTGGTGTTCCCAATCCAAGCTTTTGTCTCTCTGACAACCTTGGCTTTCTTGAAACTTCCTCTTGCCTTTTCCTCAATCACCAACAGGGCACAGCCTCAGACATTCCCGTCGGGACAAACTGCTTACTTCCTTTCCAAAGAAAAAGTTTCTGAGATCAACGAGATTTTCCTTCTTGCCTGCCACAATGACATGGCCACAGTGAGACCTGCAGCATTCTCATGGGGCATCATCTTACATGCCATTCAGGAATTGGCTTTGAGCGACAAAGAAACCCGGGAGATGGAGCAACTCCATAATGCTGTGGACTCGTTCCAATCAAACAATCAAAATAGACGCTTCTCTCGAGGCTCGGAACCAACTCTTTACGAAGAACTCCTTGACTGTGCTCGGACGCCACAACACTCTGTGGATGATACTATTTCTATCTTGACATCCCACGACGTCAAAGATTGGGCCTTGACTACAATGATCACTTTATCTCAGAAAGCCGGGTCACTCTCGGCCATCGACGATATTCTAACATATCAATGGATGCGTCTGGCGCTACTAGATCTCCTCAAGGTCGCTGTGGTCTTTTGGGACTATTCTCCAGAGCTTGTCGAGTCGGTGTTGGCAATACTTACCGACAACTCCGCTGGGACCTGGCTAAAATTAGCGGACTCGCTCGGGGCTGTCAACGACCCTAAGTCTGTCTTCATTCAAGACAGTGCCTTAATGGATAATGTTTTCCGTCTCGCGAGGTCCAGGTTCCCCTACGAGACCATTCCATTTTTGAAGCTCTGTCGCGCTCTGGTGGGCGAGTATGCAGTAAATGAAGACGGCTTGCCTCTGATTTTTGAGGAACTAGATGGTATGGATACCTTCACTCAGATTGTCCCTCAAGAATTCCAGGGATACGAGACGATTCGCGAAGACGAAAATGCCAACTTCGTGTCACTCATTCATGCTTTGCCTATGTTCGACGCTCCCACGCGCAATCGCCTTCCCGGTATCGAAGCAAGCAATGCTTTGATCGTGAGAGGGTCGTCCGAAATTCCAACAGCTACAGTCGGTCAAGTTATTTCCGAAAACAAGCCAGCGGTCATTATGTGGCAACACCAATACTCATGCTTGAGCTTTTTGGGAAGCTGGCTCGAAGAATGGAGTGAGAGTGGCGGGTATTCCGGTTGGGACATCGAATCCAGCACAGAGATTATCAGTTTGCTGGCCGATCTTGTGGCTAGTGCTAAAGATCTTCGTGCAAACGACGCCCCCGGTACCAATGCGAAAAGAATCCTCGAAATGGCAAGCGATGGACTCTCTCGGCAGGGTGATATCATCACTGTTATCTTTGACATATTTGAGCGAAACTTGCAGAGTGTTGGATCCCAAGGCGCGGCAAATGCACTACAATTGATTATGGCTTGTCTTCAATTCATCCAGCAAATTGTTAAGGTTCTTCCGTGTCGCGTGTGGCCGTTCTTCAGCCGCAGCAGCCTTGTTGGATCGGATGGTAAGGGCGGGATGATGACCGCGATCATTTCAGCAACCGAAATTCCTTCTGGTGAATACCCATTCCTCCTTAGCTGTGTGAACCTTCTCAAGGCCACAGTCGAAGATGCAGGGTCTCGGGCGGTATTAAGAAAGAGCCCCGGCAGCGTGCTGGGCAAATCAACAATTGCTACTGACTGGAGTGCTAGTATCCCATCCCATGTGATGAGAAACATTCTGCTGAATTTCACTCGTACAATGGTGGATATTTTTAATGGCAACGGAAACTGGCGATTTAATTTCCCAGAACAGCGACTCCAGGTGAACGCAACGTTGGCTAGCACTTTTGATCGAATCCTGTACTACGCTTATGGGATCAACGACAATGCCAAGCTAGAATCCAAAATCACTGGTGTCTTTTCGTCCTCTGCGACCTACATCTTGGATATGCTGCGACCTCGGTCCACTGCAGACCTGCCTTTCAACCCTCTCCTTCGTCTAGTTTCAGAGGGGCTCCAAACACCATCTACCCTCCATTTCCGCCACCTCGCAATGGTTGAGAGCCAGGTTACTTCCATTTTAAGCCTATGTGTAAAGCTTGTACAAGCATCTCGACTGGCAGAACTTCCTGGATCGCTTCTGGAAGAGCAGCTTTTCAAGGCTTCCCCTGTTCTGGTCAAGCTTTACGCATCTCATGATTCATACAGGCTACCGGTTGTGAAGCTTCTCGACATTCTTATATCGAGTGCCGCCTCGAATTCCGAGAGTGAACCTCCATCTCTTGTTGGTCATCTGGGGGCGGAATCATCATGCCTGTTCCTTGATGTTCTCTCACAGCTTGACAAGCCCCTGGGTGACAAGACTCTGTTGCTGTCGGTTTGGCGATTGCTGTCAACTTTTGTCAGCAAGCGTCAGCAGTGGCTAGCTGTTTTTATCCTTACTGGCGCGTCTCCCCGTCAGACCTTGAAAAAGTCCGACAAGGCTGGCGATCCGAGTATGAGGGGCGTACCGTTCCTGCAAATGGCTCTCGATAAGCTTGCCCATATTGATCAGGAAGAGCCCGAGGTAGCCTTGGAATTGCTCGAGTTTGTCTCTCGTGCTCAAGAACACTGGCCATGGGCCACCCCGCAGTTGAAGACCCATTCTCAGTTCCTCACAAGCATCGTGAACCACGTCTCCAAACTGAAGATCTCGTCTCTGCCAGTGAAAGACCAAATCTTCGCAACGCGCATTGCGGCTGTCGTCGCTGACATTTGCGCTGTGTACTTGCACTCTGCGAAAGAATCAAACGACCGGTCCTTTGTCAAGACTCTCATTCCATTGGTGCAATGGTATGCTAAAGATGCTGTGGATGTCGCTGCCTACAATGCTTCCTTGCATGCCAATTTGAAGAAGAACTTTGAAGCCCGCTACCAGGGATGTAAGATCACCGATTTCAAGCGAACCCCGTTGGAGGCTCGTACACTTGGTCGTGATTATTATTATGACTTAGATATGGGACACAAATTATTGTCCTACGACTTTGCTTGGGCCGGAACACGGGGTCAAGGGTTCTCGGAGGAGTTCGAGCGAGCTAACATCAACCTGTCACTTGTTGAAGCACAAGTCAGCCTCCTCAACAGCTGGAAATTCTTTGCCATTGAACATTGCGCGGACTTCCTTCCGGACCGCGAAATTCAGAAGTCAATGGCTTTGGTAGCACAGCATTGTCTTGAAGCAAACAGCCGAGGCGTGCCCCCAGAGTCGATCTTTGAGCGGATTCAACAAACGCGCGTTGACTTCTCTCAGGCTCTCCTCCAGCGATTGGTACAAGTAGAAGCCCGAGGATCCGAGGTATTCGCCATGCTTGAGGTGACCTGGAAGGCTTTGCTTGCTCGACACTCAACCTATGAAGAAGCCCTGATCAACGACGACACCGAGTACTACCGATGCCTCCTCAATGTACTATTCCTGGCCCTTCAATTCCATTTGAAGGGGTCCTCCCGCACTGCTCCTGCGGCACAGAGCAAGGTCGCTGTCTCTTCGGACCTTACCGTTGTTGTCGAGATTGTGAAGACCATCGTCGCTCAAGGCTTCCGGTCACTCACGACTTACCTACACGAAGAACCAGAAAAGTGCACGCCCAAAGATTTCGCCATTCTGATCGCCATTCTGCAAAGTGCTCTAAATGTCAAGGATGCCGATCGACTCTTCGAGCATATTACATACCACATTGAGGACAATGACACCGCTCGACATGCTACCACGCTGTTCTCTTGGGCTGACCAGCTCACCGTGGCTGGAGACCCGGTATATGGCGAGTTGAGTCTGTCCATGCTTGTCAAAATGTCGACCATTCCCATGCTGGCTGAGCACATCGCTGTGGAGGCTGTCCTAATGAAATTGTCGACATGTCGTCTAACAAACATTCTCCGCCAACCCAAGGGATTTGGACCTTTTGACCCCGTACCCCGAATGTACACCATCTGGACCACCGGTTTCCTACCTCTATGTTTGAATCTTCTATTCAACGTTGTCCGTGCGGCGCCCGAAGTAGCCGCGTTCCTCAATCAGTTCGAGGGACAGCTCGCCCGTGCGGCCGAAGTCTTCTCTACTCCTCATGTCGGCACCTCCTCAAGCCCCTCATCACAATGGATCAGTCTAGGCATGGCATCCGAGGCATACTCCCTATCCCTCATCTCTTTCATCCTCGCTCAATTCCGCGAGGCAGGCCCCAGTGCCGGCTTAGATCCCCAGTCGATTCAGGAACTGAAGTGGGACTCCGCCCAGGTCAAAGAGGACATTGAGTCTCTGCTTGCCCGTCGACAATCCTTGCGCTCACGCATTGTCGCTACGAATGAGAAGGAGGCAGAGTGGTCGCGCCAGAAGCCTATTTCTGCGGATTCCGGCTGTACAAACCGGTTGGAAGAGAAGGTTTTGACGGAGTTGAAGGCAGCGTTGACCTGTCTGGCGGATGAGGAGGATTCATGATACATGTCGTTTTTATAGCCTTTTCATCTTTTTTTTTTATCTGTTGTATTTGGGCTGGGTTGGGGAATGTGAGTTGTGGGCTGAATTAAGATTATTTTTGCATCGTATGCATCTTCCGTTTGCTTTTCTTTGAGCGGTAGCTAAATTTAGTCTTAATGGCATAGATTTGGTTGATGTCATCTAGATTCCACATGTGCAAGATCGGGTCTTATCGATAAGCCCAAAGCTTACATCAGTCTACGAGCCCAATACATTCAACTTAGCACATGAGCATATAGGCCCGGGTAATAGTTTGATGTGTTAGGTGGGATTCATGAGCTGATCAGTATGTAAATCAGATGTATACCTGCCCTGGTTTAGAGCTTACTAAGTGCGACTCGGAGAGGGATTGAGGTCGGACAGATTCATTCCCAAGGTAATGGGACCATACTATATATACTTTCAGATATATATACTGTAACAAGCACTACACAAGCGAATTATTGTAATAACACCAGCCTGCCTAGTCTGGTTCAGGACCTTGAACAAGATAAAGAAAACAACTCATGCATAAGAATAAGTAACCAAATAATGAAGCTCAATTCATAAAATTATGACATCAATGCGCATTTACCCGAGGCGGTTTCAACCTCGGACCCCCCGCATTTCTTGCCGATTTATGCGGGGAAATGATCCATCTTACTCAGGGCTTGGACCGCATTCAACAAGGCTATATGCCAGTAAGCGGGGAAATCATAATAACCCGTATTCATTTTGAATCTTATTGTACTCCATTTATCCAATTCATCTTCTCTACAATCAATTATTCACCTTTTACCATTTACCATTTACCATTCCCTTGAACCTTCATCCTTAAGCCCTACAAGTAAATCTCAAAATGCCCTACAAATCCCGTTGGACAATCGACATCCCAAATACGCACCTAGCCAGCATACTCTTCAAATCGCCAACAGCCCCCCTATCCCAAACCCACAAATGCTTCCTCGAAGCCGCCCGTCCAGAAACTCACTACCTGACACCGCATACCTACCGACTATGGAGCCAGCGGCTCGCAGCCGGACTCATAAAATCCGGTCTGCAAACTGGTGACCGGGTCCTCCTATTCTCAGGAAATGACTTGTTCTTCCCAGTCGTTTTGATGGGTATAGTAATGGCAGGCGGGATCTTCTCCGGTGCCAACCCGACGTACGTTGCGCGTGAACTTGCCTTCCAGCTTCAGGATAGCGGTGCGAAGTACCTCATCTGTGCAGCGGGCAGCCTGGATACAGGTCTCGAAGCGGCAAAACTGGCTGGATTACCGCGTGAAAGCGTGTATGTGTTTGACAGTGGTGTGTATGATAACACCGGCTCTGCAAAGGATGGATGTCCGTATTGGGGCGATCTGATTGCGTCACCGGAGGAGGGCGCGAAGTTCGTTTGGGATGAGCTTTCAACGCCTGAACTTGCGGATCGGACGCTTGTTCTCAATTACTCCAGTGGAACGACGGGTCGTCCTAAAGGAGTGGAGATCACGCATAAGAATTACACGGCCAATATGCTTCAGTATACGCATCTGTTGACGTTGTACCCGGATTATGAGTCTCGCAAGGCACGGATGCGTTGGCTGTGCTTTTTGCCTATGTATCATGCCATGGCGCAGACTATCTTTATTGCTGCTGCGATATATCACGAGGCGCCGGTGTATATCATGCCGAAATTCGATTTCGTGAAGATGTTGGAGTATACGCAGGAATTTAAGATCACAGCGCTGATTCTTGTGCCGCCGGTTATCGTTATGTTGGCTAAGCATCCGATTGTGAAGAACTATGATCTTAGTAGTGTGGAGAATGTTGCTAGTGGTGCCGCACCTTTGGGGAGGGAGGTTTGTGCTGATGTGGAGAAGCTTTGGCCAGCTGGGGTGATCAATGTTAAGCAGGGGTGGGGTATGACAGAGTAAGTTTCTTTTCTTTTTCTATTTTCTCTTTTTCTTTTTCTGGGGTACTTGGTACTTTTGGTTTGCTCTTTTTCATTGGGAAACTGACACGTTCCAGGGCTACGTGTTCCGTCCTAGGATGGAATCCGACAGAAACAAGCGACTCTGCATCTGTCGGGGAACCTAATGCCAACTGCGAAGCGAAGATCATGGCGGATGAAAATACCGAGATCATGGCACGCAATCAGCGTGGTGAGCTGTGGGTCCGCGGTCAGAATATCATGAAGGGTTACTGGCGGAACCCAAAGGCGACTAAAGAGACCAAGACGGCCGATGGTTGGTTGCGAACGGGAGACATCGCTTATGTGGATGATCGGGGCAAGTTCCATGTAGTGGACCGGATGAAGGTAGGTACATTAAGTGGGGTAAATAAGATTGACAGCATTGACAAATTCTGCAGGAATTGATCAAAGTCAAGGGAAACCAAGTGGCTCCTGCCGAACTAGAAGCGCTGCTGTTGGAGCATCCTGCTATTGCGGATGTTGCGGTGATCGGTGTGACGATGTGCGTATTACCATTATTCATATGTTTGAGTTTTTGTTTTTGTTTTGTTTTTCTCGTGGTTCATGGGCTATGGAGATCACTGACCTTTTTATAGTAACCATGACGAACGTCCTCGGGCATATGTAGTCTTGAATTCGGGACAATCAGCCACCAGTGAGGAGATTACTAGTTTCATGGACGGGAAGGTATCCGCGACGAAGCGAATCACAGGCGGCGTAGTTTTTTTGGAGACGATCCCTAAGAATCCATCGGGAAAGATCCTGCGGACAGTACTACGCGAGCAAGCGCAGGCGGAGCTGAAGGGTGTCACAGCTAAGCTCTAGACTTGTTATTGACCTATGTTATCTCTATCGTATTCCATATTCGTATTCCATCATTTCGCATATATTGGTATATATTGTGGCTTTCCAACAAAGAAGTCATTTGAAATTACAAGCATGCCCCTCTTTGATGCCGGCGGCGATCCCTCGCGGCGATCCGAGGTGCTGGGGCGTAATCAAAGTCAAAAGAAAAGCACGATAGCCGACCGCGGCAGGATCCACGCTGATTGGTCCACTGGGCAGGGTTAGCGCGAGGCCCTAAACCCAGCAGCTGAACGATCGCGATCGAGAAAACAAGAATGACCCAAGAGACAAGCCTCTATCATCTATTGGCAGAAATGACACGATCGTCCCTTTTTTCTTCCGCCACGGTAAATCTTGGGAATGGGATGATAGAGAAAGGTGTAGATCTTGGCAAGATCTCTGCTAGTGGCGCCTGGAGGCGGCAGCTGAATCGTGTCGTGGCTGGCTCGTGCTTAGCTGGAACATTGATTTAGTGTGATCTAATTGTGGTTCGATTTGGGGCTTTTTTTTTCTTCTCTGGCTATTTTATCCACTTCGTTTCCCTCCTAAACCTGTTTATCGGGAATGTGGAAATGTGAATGAGCTGCATGTTCTCCGTAGTGTCTTTTTTTCCCTTTTACTTTTCTGATCTAGCGGAGTACAAGAGCATCACCGGTCCGAGCATTGTTTAAAGTACGTCGTACATTGAATCATCTTGACTTTGACTTTGTGATCGATCAGATGAACTCTGTATGATGTACAAAAAAAATTTAAATCTTAAGATTTGAAATGTGAATTCAAAATCAAATTTTATATGCGAACCATTGTATCACCGGAATGAAGCGAAGTGTATAGATCCGGCGCCTCACAAAACTAAAAAAAAAGAAAAAACATAGAGCCCCGCCATGATTTTAGACGTACATGCCGTCGATCATGGTTTTTCTCTTAGTCTCCAGATCCTCAAGGCAACCCATGAGAAACATCTTATATTACGCCTAGATCCCCCCGGTAAAGTACCCTAATTCTTCTCTGCCCTACGGTACCAGCATCCCGGTTGACGACGGTACTTCCAATCACCTCTATACTGGAATACCTATAGGTCTACACTTACAAATACAATATCTCACTCAAGGCATCACAACAGTGATAGCCCACCAACCAAACCGGGTGGAAAGTCCACCCAACAGCAATGCACACAGCGACTACAAACCCACTCAAAGGTTGCAACTTCCAACTCAATCTCCCATTCTCGTGGTGGTGGGCCGGAATCGCTTTACTCTGCCTTACCCTGCTGGCAATCACGTTCGCCCGTCCGCAGGGATATCCCAACCAAACCCATCCCGTGTGGTCCGCACTCTCCGACATGGAAAAGGCTAAGGCGAACTCTGACTCGCCACCCCCTGCTTCGGCCCTGGATGTCTTAAAGCCATTATCGCTAGGTGGGAACTTTCCTAGTAGCGGGGCAGTGGCTGCTAGAGCGCGTGAACAGATGCAGATGCAGAGGACTGCGTCACATCCTGCATCTGGGACGCCTAAAGAGGCTCAGCAGGCTAGTGATGGGGGCGGGAATTTAAAGCGGAGTGAGACCGTGCAAACAATTTATGAAAAAGATGCTGATGGAGGGAGAACCTTTCGCCGGTTAGTTGTTGAGTACAATTAGTACAGATTCGTGCTGAGTACTTTTGAGCTTTTTTTTTGGTTTTTCTTTGTGCGATTTGGAATTGGGAGGTTTTCTGATTTCTGTTTTTTTCTTTCTTTTTCTTGGATTTGGATCTGTGTTTCGAGTTTCTGATCAATGATTGATATGATTATTCTTTTTATCATTTGGGGGTTTGGTAAGAATTCCCGATTTCATGAATTTCAATGATTTTGCATCATTTGCATAGTTTATTTACTCGATTGTAGATCCAGTCCCGTGATCCACTGACTCAGCAATGACATCGAACTGGCCTCTTGAATTGATCTTAGTTCCTTAACTCCACAATATACAAACGATAACACTACTCTTCCAACATGGCTGTAACCGCCTTTCCTTCTCTCGGAGATTCTCCCGATCTCACCCTCCTCAATGCAGCCCGCCTCTTCACACGCCTCGAACACAATCTCCTATCACCAGGCACAGAGCTCCGCACCCTACGCGGGTCCGAGTTTCAGCGCATGCGCGTAACTAAGGTAAGCTACTTTAGAGCGGGGTTTTCATGATAGCATGGATCCCTAAATCTGCTACCCTACCTGGTTCTTGAACATGAAATCTAATTCACCTGACAGAATATCGAATACGCACGCACCCTCCTCTCACAACTAGAACGATCTCTCCCCCAATTGAAATCGCCAGACCGGCGCCATGAGGCACAGGAAGAGCTCGTGCGCGACAGACAACTTCTAAAGCGCATGCAAGCCGTGCTAGACGAAGAAGAAACACGGGCCAACGAGAACAACGAAAGCGAGGATGTCGACGCAGAATGGGACGAATTATTCGCAAAGCCGCTTGCTGAAACAAGCACAAAAGGCGAATCACAAGACGAACCCATATATATCAAATCCGAAGAGAAAATTATCGAACCCGCAACCACATCCGTACCTTTATCCACAGCCGCACCGCCTACAGCGACAGCACCACCAGCCCTCCGAAACAGATTAAATCAAAAACCACTATCAACAACCGACTCTGCCAAAGCATCTGGAAGCAGTACACACAAGAACGAAAAGGAGCAAGCGCTAAGTACCCACCGTCTCGAACAGGAGGATCTGACTAGCTCGCTCGTTTCGCTTGCTAGTCAGCTGAAGGCTTCCTCGCAGTCTTTCCAGGCTACGTTGGAAAATGAGAAGTCTGTGCTCGATCGGGCGGTGACCGGGATGGATAAGACTAGTGCGACTATGGAGGCTGCGGGGAAGAGGATGGGCATGTTGAGGAAAATGTCTGAGGGGAAGGGCTGGTGGGGGGAGAATGATGCTTTATGCGTGGATTTTTGGGTTATGGGTTGTTGCGATTTTGATTGTTTATGTTTTGCCCAAGTTTAGGTTCTAAATGATTGGATATTGGTATCTTGATCAATGTTGATGGCATGCATGGTTTGTTTATTTGAGATACCCGGAATTTCATTCCCATTAATTATTGCATTGGACTTTTATATACCATTCCAACCACATGATGAAGCATATGCTGATCTACACAACCTGAGTAATGGAGGTCGGGAACCCGTGATTCAATTCCTAACTGACAATAACCCAACGACCGACCTGGCATGACACATGAGAAGAGACATGAGAATCCGCTGTCAGTTCCCCGTGTTCATCACGGATGAAAGCCTTAGCTTCCGACGGACGCGAGACCAAGGAACATGAAGGGATGAGACGGTATGGTTACATACAAGATCAACACAAGATGGAATAAAAAAACAAAAAAAATGGAGGGGGCAACCAAGGAGGATATCCAGCGTTCAAAGACAAGGGGAAAAAGAAAAGCGTGAAAGAGGGAGAAAGGGTAAAGGTCCTGCTCCGCGTCTTCGAGAGCAGGAGGAAAGAACCGGCTAAAGATCGTGTCAAGGACCGCAATTAGAAGACACACAAGAAAGGAAATAAGAAAATATGAAAGACATGTTTAACGCCGGAATTCTTGGACACGAGGGCTTTTGGATCATATCTCGGGAGACTTGATGGTAAGCCAAAAGAAACAAAACACATGCGATCTACTTTGACACCCGAGGAATGGCAATTCATTAGATCAAACCACAGAGACGCAGGTTCTCTTGGATGATGATATCTAGAAAGAATTAGTCTGGATTCAATATCCAAAAAACCATCGACAATGGGGGGAAAAGCTTACCGTTGACAGCGGCCATGACGAATCGGATCTGGGTGGTGTCAGTGGCACATGTGAAGTGGGTGTAGATCTGCTTCTGCTCGGCCTGGTTCAAAGACACGAAGCGGTTGAGAATGTAGTCACAGGCGGCGGCGTAGTCGGCACCACCCTCGTAGTCGGGGAAGTAGTTCTTCATCGGGCTGACGGGCAGCTTCTCCTTGAAGCGATCGATCTTGTTGAGGAAGAGAATGATGGAGGTCTTGACGAACCACCGGGAATTGCAGATGGAGTCGAACAGGGTCAGGGCTTCTTGCATACGGTTCACGGTCTCGTCCTCGAATAGCAGCTGGTCGTACTCAGAGATGGCGACCAGGAAAAGAATGGTGGTGACGTTCTCGAAGCAGTGAATCCACTTCTTTCGCTCTGATCTTTGACCACCCACGTCGAACATGCGGTAGGTCAGATCGCCAATAATGAAAGTGGTCTCGGTGATACCGGTGGTCTTGACACGGGAGCGGAGGACATCCTGGTCGGTAGGGAGGTAATCGGGCTGGCCAATGCGGTCAATGGCATCGAAGTAGCTATAGAACCTGTTAGACAATTGCAATGTTTTCGTTTCCGGGCTGAATGTGAACGCACTATTTGGCCGAGTCGTTCAGCTGGTATTCACGCGAGCGCTTGAAGCACTCCTGAACACCGGTGTCGCGCCAAAGCGCACCAATGGCGTTGCCGACCTCTGGGGGAATGCTGTCACCCTCGATCTGAGCGGGCTGCATGAAGATGGTCTGGACATGGTACTCGTTGCGGGCGTCCTCCAGGGGAAGCTCCAGGGACTCCATCGCCTCGAGAATAACGCGCATAGACTGGACTGTGTTGCTGTAAATGATTTCACGGAAAGATTCCCGTTCGTCGCGCGAGTAACCGCCCTCGTGGATGAGCTTCATCTGCTTCAGAATTGTCGACTTGCCCGACTCTCCGGCACCTATACCCCTTTTAGTCAGTCTCATTGCCCTGAATCACCTGCACGCCGGCATTGGGGTTGAATCCTACCAAGAAGGAGCATCTTGATCTCGTTCCGTTGCATCATCTTGTCGCGCTTAAGCTGGTTCTCGATCTCCTCGTTCCGGGCCTTTCCCTCCTTATCCTCAGTGCTCATTCCGCAACCCATTTTGGCGGTATTGTTTGATGTGTTGGCTTAAAACGATCGCGATAAATGTACGAGCCGATCGACTCGATGGGTGTCGTTGTTCAACCACAAGGGACTGTTGAAGGGACGGATGGGTCAGCAAACTTTTTTCCGGCTGATTTTTTCTTCTCGGATCGCGTTTTAGGAAGGACGGGTGGCGAGCAGGTGGTACAAGTCGCCGAGGACCGACGTTTCAGGATGCAATCGAGTGAATGCAAGGGTGAAACAGAATAGTTGACCACGCAGGTGTAGTTGGAGCTGCAGAAACGGGAAGGGGGCAGGAACTCTGGGTAGGTAATGCGCACCTTAAGGAATCACAGGTCCCGGTAAGTGAATGGAAGAAAGAGTGAAGATATTCCAGCTGGAAGGAGTGAAAGGTTTAAGGTAAGGGGGAGGGGAAATTGGAAGTTTCAGCAGGGAAAGGGGAACGGTACGGTACTTACACTAATACACAGACGCCCGGCTTTTCCACAGATTGACCAGACGGTTACCATGAGCCTGAGGCTGTGATTGGTCAACAGCGATCAACACTCCACTTACACCAGCACGAGCCCCATCCAATCACTTGAGGATCAACTTTTCTGCCCCCTATTTCTTCACCTTCTTTCGTCTTGGTTTCCTGTCCCTTTGGGGCCAAATCTTGCAGACTGTTTGGCATATCGTTTCTTCAGACAAAGACATCTCCTACAAGGTCCTTCTTTTTTCCATCTTCTTTATATGGGGGAAAAGCACACCCTTTTCCCCAAATCCCTAATGTAGATCCTCTGTGGAGACTTAAGCTAATATTGTCCGACAATGACTATGTCCGGAGTTAAGATGACACTATGTACAATGATACGGGGGGCCATTTTTAATATACACTTTCCTGCATGTAAAGATATGCCGATCTTCTGCACAAGATAGACCGGTATCTCCTGCTGACCGTCGTGCTTTCCCTCTGCCTCAGCCTGGAACATCACTGAGAAGATCTCACTGTGACACCGGCCGGGTCGCGACTGTTAGGCCGTCTTTTTACTTGATTCTTTCTCATGCATAATCAGCGTCAGCCCCATCACTAAAATAGCCCTCAGTTGCGACGTTGAAACTTGGGTGATACATGGGATGCATGTCCATGAGCACTACTACGCTACACTCTACCTTGGAGGTCCACTGTCGATCTGACCGGGGGGCGCACCGCCCCCACGAGTATTTGGTATTTTCCATACAGATATATTAATAATGGCCCCCTTGTAGATACCCTAACTCACGGACTAAAGCAAAGGGTGTACATTGATGACATAGGAAAGTAATTTGTAGCGGGTCAGCTTCCGGAAAATCAGAACCCCTTCCACTTCCACATGGCAAAAGAAAGAAAAACTGGGCTAAATCCACATGGGTGGCCCCTGAGATGGAATTTCTGGAATTATTTCGCGCCTTGGTCTCGCGCTATTTATTCCCAGACCCACCAGCTAGTGCTTCTAGCCGTTCTTTGCCGCGCATACCACTAGACTCCCTGGAAATTGAGAAGTCCTGGATAACCTTGGTAATTAGTGTGAAGTTTATGGAAAGGGGATTATACAGTAGTCAACAGTGGAGGTTGAATTAGAATCAGTCACGGTCCTACTCGTAGACTTTTACCCCAATACGGAGGCTTTACAGCATGACACCCAGCCTCGCCGTGGAAATCAGCATCTGCCAAGCTTCAGACTTCACGGGCTCAGTAGATCTATCGTGCAACTAAGACATGTTTGTCAGAGCCAAAGAACGATACTTCTAGGCTGTCATTTCCGGTATCCCAGAACTCCCAAAAATGGTTCGTTGTACTCTATATTTCCCCTAACGCCGGTTTGTCTCCGCCTCAACAAGTTTACACTATACTGGCCACGCACTCACCACTTCAACCTGCTCTACAGCAAAAGGCCTATCGCAACATCCGTATCTATCACATCCCCAAATTTGAGCTCCACCAGCATCAAAATGATAGCCACATTCACGGCGCATTTACCCGCTCAACCGGTCGACCCTAACTTTCAACAACTCCACAGCTGAACACCGGACTGAAGCCCGAAATGTTGGTACGCACACCTCACCGTTTACCGTAAATGGTCAAACGTAGATCTAAGTATTTTGCAATGAATAATAACAACACACATTGTTTAAATCCTTCCTTATCCTTATCGGGCTCTAAGTACTCCACGTGGCGGGTTTAATGCTCCAGATTTGGAGCATGTAATGTCTAGCTTTGTCTAAAGACGCTGGCGCTTACATAGTGGATGTTGACCAGCATTGGGTCCACCGAGCTGGCAATAGCGTCGAGACCATTTACAGCCGCACCAAGGCCATGGCCCTGGATCGGTCAATAGCGGACTGTGGCAATTGAACCCGGGGAATAGTTCGCCACGAATCCCAAGCATTTTGATTGCTTTTTGCCCGTTTACTATTTATCGAATGGGGACGACAAAAATACAGGATACAGACCATACTGTTTTTAAAGCTAAATTCCAATTTAGGCTCTAAAGAAATGATAGTAGGTGAGACGCATGCATTCAGGGGTTAAACTCAACTTAGAATGTATTAACGTAGTAAAAGGGGCTTTTTAACCGAGTAAATAACAAAACAATGTTACCAGCAAAACCCTAAACCATGGAACGAACGATCGCAAATCGAAAGGATCGATCTGATTTGATTTTTCGGGGTCCCAGTTAATGGCTCCACTTTAAATTGGATGCGACCCCTGCCAAACCAAATGAACTGTTCAATCCACCATTCCATCTCCAAACACAATGTCGCATGAAATGTCCCACCTGGGCCCTCGGGGTATGTCCAATACACTCAAAATGGCCATACCAAGATCACCAGCTAAATCAATTCCCAGCCTTCAACCACGACCAAAGCAGCGACGCCGAGGCTGAGTACGACCGACTCCGCGACCTGGCCCGCCAGGAAGCGTCGAAACGCGGTGCCTGTTTCCAAAAGGTACGCCCTCCCGTTCCGCATCGTCGCGAAACCGGCTAACACCTTTCTCCAGTCTCAGGACGCGTACTCGAGCGGTGATGGCGCCGGCGCCAAGCAGTACTCTGAGGAGGGAAAGGCGCACGGGCGCAAGATGGAGGATTATAATAGACAGGCGTCGGAGTTCATCTTCAAGGAGAACAATGCCAGCGGACGTGTACCGGCCGACACGATTGATTTGCATGGACAGTTTGTTGAGGAGGCGGAGGAGATTTTGGAGGAGCGCATTAAATATGCGAAGGCGCATGGTCAGACTCATTTGCATGTGTATGATGCCCTATTCCTCTTGTCGCATTTCATCGGTTTCGAGAGGCAGAGATCGGTGCAATTGGAGGGAAATGATCGCGTTCGGGAAAGGAACCTTGCTAACTTCTTCGCAGCATCGTTGGTAAGGGTAACCACTCTGTAGGCCACATCCAAAAGATCAAGCCCCGTGTCGAGAAAGTCTGTGATGAGTTGGGTTTGCAGCATGTTATTGAGGAAAACTCTGGTCGCATTTACGTGAACTTGACTGGTGGTGAGGCTATCATGCCTGAGTACCCGCAACACCAACAGTACCCCCAGCAACACCAACAGCACCAACAGCACCAGCAGCAGGGTTACCCTAGTGGTCAGCACCAGCAACAACACCAGCAACAGCAACAACAGCAGCCGGATGAGTTTGAGCAGGCCGTCAATGCTGTGTTGCCGAAGATTATGCGGAAGTTGGAGAAGGCCTGTTGTGTGGTTATGTAAACATTTGAAGCGTTTCGAGCAAATAAAGTCCGAAGGACATAATGATACAACATTGAACACAGACCTGGTTTACACGAATTCCGCAGCTGTGAGAGACAGATGTCAATGAGACTTGTTTGATTGATACCGATTTCATCGGCTGATCCTCGAATACAGATTATCCAAAGCTACTGGATTCTTATTCACATTCTTCAAGATTATACTCTTCCGGCATTGCGAGGGTATCGCTCAAGGTGATTTGAGCTTCTGGTTCCGCCTTGGTCAAGTCACACCCGATAGCTCGCAGCTTTGCGCCTACACCCCCAATACCAATTTCCTGAGCAATGATCGACAGTAGTTGCCCATAAGACCAACAGTCCGCAGCGACTCGTGTATCGAACAGCGCGTCGGCAGGATGTCCTTCAGACTTCTCTTCAACGAACACTTCTCCGAAGTGTAACCTCCAGTCCTGCTGATATCGATGAGGAAAACATTTTCCTGCACGTCTAGAACAATACTTGAGGTCTTTAAAATTCTTCGGGCCTTCTATACTTAAACAAAACTTAGCCACACTACCTCTACCCGACAAACAGGATAGTTGATGTGCGAGAAATCGGCTATCAAGTTCAATTAAGACTACGTGACCGAAATCTTCAGAAGTGTCACACTAGATACATTCAACTTATGACTTGATAAAATCAAGAAGGTCTTTGTTGACCTCATCAACATTAATGTTATGAATTGCATGAGATCCCCCCTTATAGATCTTCAGCTTGCCTTGAGGCAGGAGTTCCGCTGACTTCAATCCAGATGCCTCAATGGGAACAACTTGGTCGTCATCTCCATGGAGGACCAGGACGGGAATATCAATCTTCTTTAGATCTTCCGTGAAATCTGTCTCGGAGAAGTCTTTGATCGAATCATAAGCTGACTTGCAACTGGTATTCATTCCCTGCCGCCACCAGTTACGAATCTGCCCTTCGCTTTTCTGCGCCCCGGATCGGTTGAAACCAAAGAATGGTCCGCTAGGGACATCCAAGAAGAATTGTGCGCGGTCTTTCAGTATTGCTTCTCGAAAAGAATCGAAAACTGACTTTTCCGTACCCTTGGTGTTGACACTAGTCTTCAACATCAAAGGAGGCACTGCTCCAATAAGAACGGCTTTCTTAAAACGACTTGTGCCGTGCTTTCCGAGATAACGGGTGACTTCGCCTCCTCCGTGGGAATGACCGACCATCACTGCGTCACTAACCTTCAAGTGTGCGAAAAGCTCCTCGAGATCGTCAACAAAGGTCTCCATGTTGTTTCCATCCCAGGTCTGACTTGATCGCCCATGGCCACGCCGATCGTGTGCGATGACACGGTAACCGTGATCACCCAGATACATCATTTGGCTTTCCCAATTATCACTGCTCAAGGGCCAGCCGTGGGAGAAGGTAACGATAGCGCCGTCGGGGTTGCCCCAATCTTTGTAGAAGAGCTCGGCTCCATCCCGAAGCGTGAGATAGGGCATGGTTGATATGGAGGAAAGGTGCTTGGTGAAAATTCTAATATTGAATTTCTTTTATGAGCTTTCATGAGCTCGGATCAATCACGGTTATATAGGTTAACTCTTATATAGACTTTGGTGAGATAAATAGCGGGGTTCATTTGGATGACGTGAGATAGCAACAGTTAGCCATCTTGGCTCCCATACTTGGAGCAATTCAGAGTCCAGCCGTTATAGATCTCCTCTCTTATATATTGTCTACCCACATAATATCAATTTTTTCGCAGACAGGTGTGTTATCCTTGACAATAATAAGTAGAAGTTCGCATTAACAAGCTAGATTTAAACTAAAATTGTACACTATATTGACTTCATGCTTATATTTTTCGCCCTATTGCGAGGGCCTGGGCCTAGTTTACCGTCAGCATTACAGCTTTGGCTGCAGATTGCTCACAACTGATACACCGTACGTGGCTATCGGGTCTACTGCTCACCTTGGCGCGGTGCTGACCCCTTGATGAATATGGAGACGGTCAGAGGGTCTGACCACCCAAATGGCTCGCGATAACCAATTTGGAGATGAAAGATTAGACAACTAGAGCCGCGACACCGCAGCCGACGGGGCGATTGTAAAGTAAATCCCTGGATGAAAAAGACGTTCTCAATGATGCACAGGTAGGTTACAACATGACTACGCCCTTGAGCTTTTTCTTAAGATCATCATATGCGCTCTTCAAGCAGCGAGGTTGTTATTTTTTACTAAATACATACAGGTATTAAGATTGATCAGCTCTCCCTCTCATTCCAATCTTCCTCTCCATCTCTGGTGAGCTGTAACACCGTTAAAAATATCGTGCAAAACGGCTGCCGGATCGGTGTCCATAGACTTCCATTCAAGGGAGCCTACTAATCAAGCATTCGATGAATCTTTCTGTGGCCTAGGATACTGCTCTCCATTTTTAAACAAACTTCATCTTCTATAGAGGGCACATATAGGTATTCCCGATGCCAGTCTTTCACTACTGGGCTATGCCTGCATGAACGCTCCAAAGAAAAGCACTGCATATATTTTATTACTGGTGATTCCAGTACATATGACCATAGGGTGTGGAGGACACGGCTTCCCGTCCGCTTAGCCGTATCTAAGCCACACTATATCCGCATGGCCAATTCTCTCTAAAGCCCTATTGCACTAGAGCGGCGACAGGTTTACGCTAGGTGAGTATGGGTGATATAGGTGAGCACTTTGCAGACTGGGCGATAGAGGTGAGAACGGGGTGAGAATTCTCACCTAGGGGTGATCGGCCCCACCTGGGATACTGACCTTGCCTGGCAATTTGTAATAAATGTATAACAGCTTAGGGTGCTTTAATTAAGTTACTACCTAGTAATTTTCTTACCGCTTTAGATATACTACTAAAGAAGAACCCCAAGGACGAGCTTAAGGAGTGCATGACACGTGCTAAGTCATATAGATGCCGCCGCTAACGACTTCGGAAGAAGTCCAGAAGAAGACTTAGCTATCATAGCCGGGGTCAAGCTAGGCACGCTTCGCCCTGATCCGAGTATAATAGTAAGGCCTCTCTCTCTGTCTTTCTATATTGATCCTGCCGCAGCTTTTAGCACTGGCATAAAGAGTAAGAAGGGCAAGAAGGACCGGAATGACTTGTAGCTAACACAGAGAACAATTGACCTATGAGTCTTCGGACAACTATTTCCATCTTCCAATCGACAGTTTCTTTGATAAATTTGCCCGATTTGTTTTTCATCAATGCATGCGCAAGACTATACGACCACATAGGCCGAGAATGGGTTGAGAAAGGCCACAGAAAGTCCTAATGTCCATGACTATTACATTTTACCTAGTCCTCGTCATTGAATATATCACACCTATACATGGAAACTTCCGACTACTTAGACAGTAATCTATGCCTTAGCTAACCAACCTTATCAGAATAGCTATCATTTTACTACATGCAAAGAGTTCTTTCCCTAGCCTAATTAAGAGCAAATGTAGTGAATTCAGACACTATACGATGTATATTATAAAGGTTGTGGCTCGCTCCCTTCATGACGCAAGAATGTATTCCAAAGAAGCTCATCCTTTTCTGTAGAATCACAAATCGGGGTAAATTTTACGACGAACTTGTCACGAAGCTGGTCAAATACTGCTTCAATGATGCGGACACGGCGCCAATAATACTCTGAGATAAGCAGAATCTATGCAGCCACACTTCAGCCATTGAAATTTCCTCTAGGATCTTTAAAAAAGACTCACTGGAAACACTGAATGGCCTTCATAACCTGGTTCGTACACTCGGCTGTAGAATGAATTCATAATAATACACATTTCACCTCGGTTGAGTATGGTATCTGCTCCGTTACATGTAGTGGTCATGTATATCTTCAAATGAGGCGGATTGAGATTCCCTTCTTCGAATGTTGGATTAATCCACTCGAAAATAGAAGCCATTTCACATGTTGGGTCTGGTCCCAGATACATGCCGCAAGGTATCCCGAAAAAGTTATGGGTGCACTGTGGACCGGAAATAACCTCGTTAGTACGCCTTGGAGGGTAATGGATGCTGTTCGTAAGGGCCATACAAGATTGGATTCCAATACCCATTCTTCTGGATGACTTCCGGAAGGGGACGTTCGGGAAGTCCACTGAATAACACATATCTACTCTTGTGTAGAACCTTGATAATTGATTTCTGCCTATTCAAATGATCGGGAGAAGGTTTCATGACCTTGTAGTGAGTATCCTCTGAAGGGTAGGCTGCAGTGGTAGAGCCAAGAGAATCGAGAGTTCTAAAGTGGCGCCCCTCGGATGATAAGGAATTGATATCTCGAAGAGCTTTCACATCCACGCCAAGAAAGCGAATTTCGTGACATCTGAAAAAAGGCTGCTCTGAATCTATAAAGTAAGTAAAAAGGTCGCTTAGTTTGGCGCTGCGCTTCGTCTCTAGTTCCACAACGTCGTCTGCAAATGGATCGTCCTCCGTCGCAGGGGATAAGGTCATAAACTTCCTGGCCATATCGAGAATATTGTTTGTTGATGACTGAATTTTGGCATATCTTTCCGACCGTTCTTTCTTTCTTTATGATACTTATACCGGTGTAATAGTAATAATGACGTATGGCCAATGACTATATGGCGGTTCACATCCGTTCCCGACAAATTAAAGCATAGTACCATGATACCAAACAAGACGCCCAAGTCCAATGTCATCTAAGAATATGATTCATGTACAAGAATCGTGTGTTGACCGGCGTTCTAGTTTTGGTCAGCGCACTGCGTATTGATAGGCGGTAAGCTTTACATAGTACAGTGCCTCCTCGAAAGTTTGAACACACCTAGCCCCACCCACACTATATTATGTAATTTTCTGCCGGAAGAATTCAAGAATTCGATTATATAATCTATGGATCAATAGCTGGTATACCAGCCCTGTGCTTCAATAATAGCTTGCACGCGATGAGGCATACTATCTGACAAGCTCTTCAAGATCTCTGGATCAAGCTCCTGCCACGCTGTCTGGGCACAAGATATCATATAATCACGCGTGTGGTTGTTATTCGGCATATCATATAATTCTGGAAATAGCTTTAATACTTTATCCTTTAATAACGCCCATAGATTCTCGATTGGATTTAGATCTGGAGAATAAGGGGGCCAATCCATCACAATAAAGCCCTCTTCGTATAGCCAATCCCGAACAATATGAGCTGTATGGGTAGAGGCACCATCTTGCATAAAGATCGATTTAGATCGATTAGATATTAACGTTGGAAGCCATAGTCGATATGTCTCGAGGATTCGAATCGCATTAACCCCTCCTCGTCGTGCTTCTGGATGACCAAAAAGAGGGACGAGCGCTGTTCGACGTGGAGAACCAGAGAATGAGGCCCAGAACATCTGCCGAAGTTGCTTTCCATAAGGAATAGGTTTAACCTCGCCCGCTAAAGCTTAATATTTTGGTCGACAAAATGTCCATTCCGCGGCTTCGCCAGAGCCTCGCTCAATCGAAGTCTCGTCCGACCAGTAGACTCTTACCCATTCTTCAGGTGTATAATGAGCGTATCTCATTGCCCACGCAAGACGTTGACGTGCGTGATCCACGGTTAACATTGGTCGCTCGATCTTTCGCCATTTTCGAAGGCCAAGCTCTTTAAGAAGCCTCCGAAGGGTTTCACGCGTGATCTTGTGGTCAACGAGATCAAGTAAAGCTTCGTGTGTAATGCTAGGGGTCTCTTGAATAGCGTCATAGATCATATCTCGCTCTATTTCTGTCAATTTCCGAGGTCTTCCAGACCGATTTAACGTCTGGTTTTCGCTTCCACGGGCTGCCTCTCTACGGCAGGTTGTAATAATTGTTGAACGTGGAATTGATGGGTATTTTGCTTGAATTTGACCATAAGTCCAATTCGCTGCCGTTCGGAGGCTACATATACGCGAGCGTGTAGATGGAGAGAGCTCCACACGTGGGACTGGCATATTGAAAACGTGGTATAATTCATGTTGGATTTGATTAGAATTTTCGATATAATAGCGTTGAGAAATAGGGGTTTGTTGTTGTTTTGATGTTATTGTTTTGAATTGATCTATCATATATATATATATTGCTTCTGGAGTTGTCTAGGCAAGCTAATTATGGTAGGCGGTAGAACGGGCGGTGACCAGGTGTGTTCAAACTTTCGAGGAGGCACTGTAGGCGGTCTGAAAGGCTGGTTTCAAACCCATGCAATACCACCAGAGGTGAGAAGGATAGAGGACTAGCTGAAAGATCCATGTAAAGTTGGTCAGGAATAAAAATCCAAGATACTATAGTAATTCACTCCAAATTTTGGTGATCTCTTACCCGCACCCTGCTTCTCGCCCTACCTATTCCGCACTCACTATTCTCCCCGGTCGCGCGGCGCTAAAGCGGCTCTCACCCATTTCTCACCATGGCGACACTCACCCCTATATACCCACTTATATTCCCAGGGTCTCACAGTCTTTTTTCCACCACAGAATGAATCTTCAAATCATCTACTATGTACTCCTCTTACTGATTTTCGGATATTTCATGGTCTTTCACTTCCAGCGCATCACTACTATACCGTCGTCTTCTCCGCCGAGTCTCGACCCAGCTCAGATAAACGAAGTGGTTAACGAGATTGACATCGACTCTTTCTATCACCACCCTTCCTGGCCCCAGAGATGGTCGCATCCGGAGTTTACCGGCAATTATAAAAAGCGTTGGATAAAGGAGCCCTGGTTCAAAGATAATAACCGTCAACCCAAAAGATTCATTACCAAATTACTACCTTTTCAATTACCCTGGGGTTATGTCATATACCGAACGGTTTATACAACTGAGTCAGACAAACTGTGGCCTATCGCTTTAGACAAACTTGCCAAGATGAGAAACTATTGTATCGACGCAGATCTGCATGCAACAATTCGCCATAAAAATCCGAAGGATCCAGAGCCTGACTCGAACGCAGAGCGATTAGTGAAGGAGACTTACAAGGATGTTATCTTCTCAAACAAGAAGTACTGGGATGGGGCTGGAACTGAGAAGATTCGCCAACATTTTGCCGAGTATCTAGATGCAAGCAAGGGTCGAGGCTATCGTTTTGAAGGGTGCCTTATGATAGATGAGCCGTCGCTGAAATCGATTGTTGCAACCGTCATTCCTGAGCCCTGGCTCGGCGGAAGGGGCAGTCAAACACCTGATCCACCTCAGGGCTATGTTAATATGATTGACGGGCGCTATACTGGAAATGAGTCGAGATATAGCGGCTTTATGCGTGTGGAAATTGGTCCTCTATGGTGGCTGTATCTGAATTTGAAATGGAGTACCATGTCACAAGTATGTCCCACTGTTCCCGAGGGCTTAATCCCTGTTTATGATGGTGGAGATGGCAAAGCACAGGATGAAGAGGGAAATTTTCACCAAATGCCGATAGATCGAGACGTGCGGTGATTCTACTGATTCTTTATGTGATATATGGTCTCTACCAACCTCTTCCTCACATCCATTGTTTCTTCTCCATTATCAAATCGAAGTGATAACATTCACTACCACACTATGTTAGATAGACAGGGGGAATATATTAGAGAAATTTTATGAACTAAATTAGATAACAGCCATATGAGATTAGATGATAGGAGGGGGAAAAAATCAACGCTCGCTAAATCAGAAGGTTAATAAAGTCGCACATAGACCCTGATGCTTGGTACCCAAGTTTCCTTCCATCAGATTAGAGATCTAGATAATTTCGGAGTGCGTAGTCGATCTATATTCCTCCAAACCAAAGATTCTTAGCTATCAGGATCTATATTTAGTTACCGTGCCGTCACTAACTAACTTAACTATATAGACCTACTAGCCTCTACTAAATATCCAAGATATATAAGTTAATATAAAATAGTGTCGGGTTCTAGAAGCTATAAAGATTAGAAATAGTGTGCTTTACTCTTTTAATTACCTTCATCGCGGTAAAAAAGGCCAGAGTTAGAACGCCCTCTGGAAAATGGATTTCAAAGCATTCCGACGACTTAGTATACCTCTTTAGGACATGTGGCGATTGTATTAAATAAGACTTATGCACCAATCTCGTAGTATGCTGTCACCACGAGGCGACATGGTTGGCGGAGAGTCAGAACAAGCTGAATGGTCCTAGTGCATTGAAGCCTACGTATGGTTTAGTCTAGTAGAGGAGGGTGATATGATTGCATGGCCTAGAAAGTGAGTCCCGAAGTCCTGCGGTCTGGGAGGGGTATTTATCAGCGCGATAGATCAACAGACAGCATATGGACATAGTACGGATTGAGGCTGTGACGAGATTCACGCGGCATTACGCAGTTTCACGCGATATGACCACATGGCTTCACGTACTTTCTCGCGGCATCACGCGATGAATATGAGGAATAAGAACATACTTAAAGTAACTGTGAAATATCTTGAATCAAGAACAGGATCCCGATAGACCTCAACGGGATCTCGGTTAATTTGAGGGGCTGCACCGCCGGGCTATTACTATATCAGTTGACCCCTCGTTTGGTCTGTGAATGTGAACTCGGTCAAGTATTCATTTAGTCAAAAATCATGACTTGGGAGCTCAGGAGTCGGGCCTAGGGAAATAAAAATACAGGAATGTTCTCGACATTGAGTCCAACGAGACGGTCTTGTAGGAATTGATTTACTCCTAGTAAGAATCGTGAAAGCTTGTCACATGCCCAGTAACTGAACTTAAGCTGAAACATGGTCCATCAAATCACGGTGCTATTAATATTCTCGAAATCAGACTCAACTCCTGCTTAGAACGCAATAATTTGTGATTTAAAAACGAAATGCGATCATTCACCAGAAGCCCACGGTCCAATAGATAGAGATCATTGGTCACAATCTCCTCAATATGTGATATGATCTGGGCGATCATCTGGGCGGTCAATGCCCGCTGCGATCGCAAAATATTATCACACAAAAATGGCTGGTATTCGTCGGTAAGATCAACTCTCCGATGGACTGAGAAATTATCGCAATGCCGAGGGTTCATTTCGGCAACCTTTGCGGATGCGAGTCGCGCTTCTCGTATAATCAGTCGAAAAGGTTCTTTTTCCCTTTCAGGACTCTTCGCGCCTGACACATGCCTTTCAGTTCCTGGCAAGCTCTGTCATGCTTCTCTTTCCCTGGTTTCTCAAGATCTGCTCTGGGCGCCGTTGGGGAAGCTGGCTGACGGCGGCGAGCAGAACGAGGAGGCGACCGTCCAGAGTCGGACGCGTCATCGAACGAACAACCCTTCATTTCTCCATTCCCTTGACAATTGCTACAGGCAGCGAATCCTGGAGTCCTCAGGCAGTATGCTGACTACCTAACTAACCTTGTCTGAGGTTATGTCTCTACAATTCTTTGACTCGTATTGGACAGAGCGAATTTTTACAGGCTAGCAGACTGGAAACTATGATATTATCATATATCTCAGCAACTCAGCAATGGGAAGGTAATACTCGTTACTTCGGATAACAGAGCACAGGGGCTACTCGAAAGGGCATTCCGTATCGCATGACCTGAAATTAGGCGAACCCTCTTAGGAGCTCGACGAGAGGTTTGAGATAAAAGCATATACCTATTTCTACACCGTATAAATTCAACACAGCCACTGGTCGACGACTCAGGAAGACAGACAGAAAGCCACAGAACACACGAGAATCGATCAAAAAATTTGTCATATGTTCCTCAATTCCTCCTCCATCTTTGCCCATGCCCGTGGAAGGAGACTCCCACTGAGCCAATAGTTCCCACCATAGTCTTTACCAAGCACAGAGAAAAAGTTCATCACAAGCACAGGCATATTGATGTCTCGGACAAAGAATGCTTTCATAGTCCCTGGAGGATTGGTCCTCGAATTTCCTGCCTCGCCTTGGCGTAAGACTGTTGGGCTAAAATTGGCAGCTTTGATTATTTCGGCCTTGGTCAAGTTATTGAATACAATCATGCAAGCATTTGACTCTCCAAATTCGAGTCTCGGTTTTCCATGAGACTCTATATCTCGGCGCATGGTCTTCAATAAATTAAGGGTCTGTTCCTCGGTAATCTGTTCAGCGAGATGACGTCGATGGCTGAGAGCAATCGGTCCAGCAGGCCCTCTAGCGAGCTGAGAGGATATGAATGCGAATGCCAGAAGTAACATATTCTGGACGTATACGCCTCCTGATTCAATCAGTAGTGGAAGCCGGAACCGGGCGTTCGAGATGATCGCTATAGTTATCGGACGTGGATGTGGCTCAGATGATGCCACCGCGCGAGTGACAAATGCTGTGAGAATGTCACCTTCGCTGACAAAAGGAATTTGGGCACCGCTTTGAGCGGCGTCAGCGACTTCCTCTCGGATCCGCCTTTGCAGTCGTTCAAAAGCATTTCTGGGAAGAAATATCAACCGATATTCCCTGGGAGGGTTCCAGAATTTGTCCCACAAAAATCGGAATATGAACATGACCTTACTCATCCCCGTCAGACGTTTCCGTTCGAGCACAAACTCTCCCTGATCTCTATAGTTGGTTGAACTTTGTGCCTCCCAAAGAATGTCCTTTCGCGCGCCGAGAAATGGTGGGACCTTTCCTTCCTCGCCAGCTAGCACCAACGACCAACTATGTAATAAAGCCTGTTGGCCTAAAGCGTCCATCATTGTGTGAGGCCATGTCAGAGCAACAAGCGTTGCATCACTGAACGAAGTAATGTGCAATGATATTTGAGGTACATCTTGCCGTATCATTTCTTCAATCGTAACCGGAAAGTCCTGCCGTGCCATGAAGGGCCGGAAGTCCTGAGAAACATGTTGAATAGACGGGCGATCCGTCGGCTTAGATAAACGACAAGCCACCGGGTGCTCCTCAATTTTCATACTGAAAGCAGCATGAGTGAATGCCACGGCTTGCTGCTCAGCTGTGAACGGACGTGGGACATAGACCTCGAGCTTTCCATTCTCCTACACGTTGTCAGTAGGCTGTTCTGTTTATTTTAGAAAAAGTGGAGTGTTTTCTCCATACCTTGACCCTTAGCCGGCCCCCAAGTTTTCTCCAATCCCCAATGTTGAGTAGTCTCGACAAAGAATGGTGTAATTTTTCGGGGTCAAGAACATCGTTAAAGCACATTGTCCAATTCACGAAATAACGGAACGTTTTAGTGTCGTCAAGAGTATGCAAGGGATAAATGTCCTCTGAGATGCTAGAGGGCGCATGGCTTCGATATTCCGACGTGCCGGAATATGTCGATTTCGACTCCTCAGCAGTCATGGCTGACTCTTGTAGGACTTGTCTTGGGGTGTGATATATGTTTCCAGGCAGCGAATCCTTATTGAAGAGGGATCTGAATAAGTAGGATCGAGCCAATACTCTAGAATATGAACCAATAATTTAGCTGTCGATAGCTCACTTGGAGCAGGATGTTCATTGATCGTCGCCCCAACTAACCATTTGAATTTGGCGTCCACGGTCTGTTCAGAATACAATTTCTCGCCCCACCCCCTTCACTGGTGTCACCACCAAATTAATTCACCACCTTGTCACCCCGGAGATCTTATGCCATATTGAAGCATTAATTACAGAGAGAGAAAATTTCTATGCTTCTTCCACCGACCTATACAACCGTGGCCATAACTCATGGAGCAAAGGATCTAATCCCCCAGTGCCGTTCTAGGATCTGTGAACTATACAAGAGCCAGTTGACTGAGTCCCTTCTCGCATTCAAAAGTAGCACCCTACTATCAAACACGATGATATTAAGAATACTTACAAAATGAAGCTATTCGCGATGATACTCAATCTCTCCCCCCGTACCGGCCAACTCCCGATTCCCACTTCTCGATGAACTCGATCGCCAATTTCTTATTGAAACCACACAAAAACGACCGCATATCTCGTGTTGGGTTCTGAGGGTCTAGCGATGTCAAAGATTGCAAACGTGGTATCTGTCAATCTAGAACTTACTTTTGCGCTGCAGAAAGTTCCATGTAAACAGAGAATTTTCATGATCAGTTTAAATGTGAGATCGAATGGATAAGGGGTCAACGATATTGAGCTGAACATGCCCGCTGAAAATTGGGAATCCTTCATGGCCTATAGTCGTATTGATCGGCAATCTGGGTAACGTAATTGTGATGTGATCATCATGCTGTAGATGCGAATTAGATCCATAAGTTTTCAGCTCCAGTCTCGTGCTACCGCTATGTAATACATAGATGTGGTGTAACTGTGCCCTTTTTGAGTCGCCCCACACCTGGCGGTATAGTTGCTCCCTACCGTAATGATCAAGTAATTGATAATTAGCTATAATAAAAGTATATTCTATGGAAGTAATAGATACTTTCTTCACAAACGGCCAAGATCCATTTTTCCTCACCTGGTTGAGCATGAAAATCAGCAAAATAGACCTGGGGACTTGGCACGATGGCTATTGTAACGTCGCATGTCGCAGGATCGAGGATCCAAACTCCGTGAGTATTTGCATCTGAAAATACTAATGTTTTGTTATTCGCTAGAGGGCAGATTGCGCCTCCACCATACCCATGAACTGCCGTTCGCGCGCTGTAACCTGGAGGTAGCACATCTCTAGCCTGCCCGTCGATCCATTGAACAATACAGCACCGTCCAGCATCAGCTGGGCGGGCTTCAACCACGTAAAATATACCATCTTTCTGCTCGGTTATTAGTTAAGGTTAATCTACCAATCCTTGAGACGTACAGCAGCGTAGATCTCAGTAAATACGATACTTTTAGAAATGATCATGTCGTCTGTAATGAGACTATCCCATTTTCCGAATGGCGTTGTCTGGATCTCGCCGTAGGCAGTCATTTTATTATCCATGAAGCAGGCAGTAAGCTAGGTAATGTGTCTCGAAAGCGAAGATGGTGGGTCACCACGGAGAAAAGAAATGAAGGAAGGAGGGGATACTCAGGGCGCTAGGGGTGCTGGGAGCCGGGAGCCGGCTAAGCCTAGTCTGGCGTAAACTCATTATTAACTAGCGTACTAGACACTGATTCCGCTTCATTTTGGTTTTTATTGAGCAGGATTTGAGAGATCTTTATTTGGTTATGTAGAGAGCTTGATAGATGGTTTCCCATCACATTCTAGAGTGTATCTTATCATGTATCCCATCTCCATCGTCAAGGCGCGGAGGCAAATGATTTAATGTATGATTTTTTGGGTTTCTAGACTCTGGTCATGCATTCGGCATTCGTGTCAGCTATCAGGGCGGTCGCTCACTTTATGCTTCTCTTTGTCTTGAAAGATGCCATTCACTGTGTCGTCCATTTTCCACCCCCATGGATCTACCGGAATTGACTCGAAGTTCGCTGCAGTGCTCCATAGCAAACTTGAATTGTGACATTTATATCTAAACCCCTCTCCATCTGCACCAGCATCGATAAGCAGGGGCAGCAACAGAAGAAGACTCGACAGGGCTGGCTAGCACCAGAAGACCCAAACCAGCGGTCAATAGTGTGCCATCATACGCCAGGTGTCTATGACCGGGGGATCTGAATTCAACCATGATTGAAAGATGTCACCGTATATGTCGACAAGATGATCGGGTGAAGTGAAGGTGATACTATCTTCGGTTCGCTCTGTCTCGATGAGGTCGGTATTTATCTTCTGAAGGGCTTCAGTGACGAGAGCGATCGAATCCTCGGAGACTGGGCTTTGAGAAAACTCTAAATAGATGATGGTCATGACGAGTGATGTTCTTCGATGCTTTATAGATTCTCGGAAGATAGGATCAAGCTTTCGAAGTTGGAAGCACAGGGACTTAGGGAGAAGGATCTATGTGAATTAGGTGCACGTTCAATGTCAGCCACGCCAAGAATTTGTTATGCATTAGTCTGGGGACGAGGCAGATACTTAGCTTGAGAAAACCTGTTTTGCAATGGTCGGCGAGGCAATGAATCGAATCTAGCTGATAATGTGGACAACAAGGTGTATGCCGCGGCTGGAAATCATGTGTTTGACCAGAACCCGACCAATCGAATGGTAGGGCCAACGTACATCAATGAACTTTAGTGTAGGACTTCGGAATCCGGAAATGGATCCACATCAACTTTCTACTGCAATGTAACCGTCTGATAGCAAGTCATTTGTAAGGCCCCAAAATAAACGTAAGAGAAAAAAAGTACACATTCCAGCACCCGTCGCTCTAATCATTTTGTCTTTCAAACCTCACAACTACCTGTCCGGTCATCATGGTTGCAGCATTTGAGCCCGAGTCAGCACGGCCGGTCTCAGTCTCGACACAACCACATGTAGAGAATAATCTAATCTCGAGGGTAGACTTTAGATAGCATAAAGAATACGTTTCTATAGGGATGATCTAAGAAGTTTCATGGTTCTTGAGATTAGATTAATTTATCGCATTTACTATATGTCCAGTAGTGTCCCGGCTGACCGGGTGTTCTGCTCGCTTGTGAAATACGTTAACGGGATCTAACCTGGACTTTCTTTTGTAATTTGCCATTTATACCACTTATAAGTAAAGCGGAGTTTGGATGCAGAATATATCACCACCGCTTTCATAATCTATGGAAAGTCCATCTGAAACAGTCTCATTTTTCTTCTATTGTTGTCCACGCGCACCAAGACCTGGACATCCTTTGGAAATAATCACCTTCAATGCCATCTGCACCACACTAAGCCATGGAAACTGTTCCCGAATCTCAGGATCACGAAGCGATTACTGAAATCCCCTTGCTACAATGAATATCATAATGCGATGATGAAGAGCCAACGACGATACCTCCTTAGCTGTACTTAAGTCGTGTGGTAGCGATTACTATTATCTTAGGCTATCATTAACTTTTTAGCGTAAAGAGGTTACACCCCCTTAAATAGCCATAAGTCTATCTCTGAATATCCTATTAAGAAATATTATACTCATATACCTATCGGTCTATTATTACTGGTCTAGCGAGTGGCAAGATATTCTAGTTTCTTAGCAAAACCAGTAGTCACAGTATGATCCAGCTTCCCAGCGCCACTTGTGACCGAAATATCTACGGATCTACAGATAACTGTTGGCTCTGACCGTCGATACCGAGCTTGCTCGAGTATGAGGTCTTATTTCCTCAAATGACTCGCGAGAATCAATTTGGAGATGGAACATCAGACAACTAGGGTTTCTGCTAAACGACATTAAGAAAGACAGACTTCTGCATCCCAGATCTTTGCTTGAGGGCTGCATTCTGCACCTGGGAAAAACTTTCTCACTGCCTCCTTTCTGATGACCTTGTCCGAGATTGTCTTCGGGATTTCTTCACCTTCTTGGAGAACATGCATAGCTGTTGGAAGCATAGGGAACGGCAGCTCGGTTGATAGATCTTCTCTCAGCTTCTCTAGCGTAAATTTGTGCTCACAGCAGTGCCCGTGTACTTGTCCATCCAGAGCCTTAAGGCGGACAAGAACCCCGACTCTCTCTGAAGTGAAGGCACTGTTGCTTACGGGAACAGCAAGCGCACATACTTCAGAAATGTAAGGAAGCTTCCAAATATAGGCCTCGACGTCGTGCATTGGGACTTTATGCCCGTTGTATCGCACAACTAACTGGTCAGTGCTTTCTTGTCCTCATCCTCGGCAATGCGTTAGACGCTTATACTCACATTCGGAGGTACGACCCATCAATATATATTCATCATTCTCCCAACGGGCTAGGTCGCCTGTCTTGTAGAAGCCATTCTCATCAAAGGCAGCCTTTGTTGCTTCCGGATTATCAAGGTATCTACCACAGTCAACTTCAAATAGTCTTCCTCATACTCAAAGGAGAATTAAACATACCTCAAGAACATGGATGGGCTTTTGACCAGGATTTCTCCCTGATTCCCCTGAGAAAGTTTGACTGTAACATTCTTGATCGCTTCCCCAATGCGACGCTGCTTGACATATTAGCGCAGGTCGCAAAAATGGTTCAGGCCGTTCGTCTTACTAACCTCATCATCTGGGTAGATTAAGGACTTTCTGACGGTCACCGGCCCTCCCATCTCCGTTCCAGCATATACCATAAGCATCGGTAGACCCATTTCATCCATCCAAAATCGCCGGACATGAGGTAGTAGATACCCCGAACCGGTACTGGCTGAACGGAGGTTTCGCACGCCACGTGTGTATTCCTCTATAACTTCTGGGGCTAGCTTGCAGATTACCTCTTGGTAATATTCCATCAGGTTCAACCACACTACTGGAGCTGATCGAAGAACAGTGAGTCTCCCGTGCCGTAGTCGCTCCCAGATCTGGCATGGATCACGCTCCACAATTTCCAATTGTGTTCCGCGGCATAAGCCGGTGACTAATGGCAACAAACCGCCCATCCAGGCTGCAGAGCGATGACACAGGTATACATCTTCACTAGTCAGCTTCGGGTGTGCGAGAGCGAAGAGTTTTCGGGCGTGTATGACTCCTTTGCTAGGTCCTGTTGTCCCTGAAGTCATCATTAATACCCCTGGTCGGTCAGGGTCTAGCTGCCAATCTGGATCAATGAGAATGTTCAGATCGGATACTGTCGGTGGGCTAGGGCTTTGGCAGGAAATTGGAATGATAGTGATGTTTCTTCCTTGCGAAGCGGCGTACTCTTGAATGCCTAAGGCATGCTTCATATGCATGGAGTCGGCGACAACGATTGATGAATTTGCCTTCTGCAGCGAGCGCAGAGCTTCCGCTTCTTTTGTATTTGGTGCTTATGAGCCCAAATAGTATCAGCCATGAACAGTATAGTGCAAATATCCCTCTTATCTTACACATCGGACATATCGCAGCTCCTACGGACAGGACCGCAAAGGCTGCAACGGGCACAAGGTAGCTTGCGGAGCTAAGAATGAAAATGAATGGCGAATCAAGCGTGATGATGCCTTTATCATCGAACATAGATCTGGGCGCTTCGGCCCATATTCTCTCACGTGTTTTGAGCACGTCTGTCAAAAGTTGGGCATAGCTAGCCGTAATACCGCGAGGAACGTCCACTATGGCATCGCGCTTGCTAGCAAACGCCATTTCCATCAATTGACAGAGAACCACATCATTTGGAAACACTGTGTTCTTGTAGTTGATCGTCATACTGGGGAGGATATTCAAGGGGGTGGAATTGTAGAGATGTAAATTGACGGGACGATTTGGAAGTAGAGGTCAGTGACAGCTATCTATATATACCATTGTTACACCGTATTCACCCAGCTGTGCTCCTGTATGACCTAAAGATTCTTCACTCTTTGCACCAATCAAGCAACCTAATCACACTACGGCTAGGCACTCCTTGCGTTGTATGTAAATGTCATAACCAAAATTAGGCCACTTTGTCCAGATCGGGCTACTGGCAGGGCCCTTACTTTAGATCAACGTCAAATATCGAGACGCAAAAACCTTAAGCATGCCTTATGAAGGACACGATTGAGGGGGAGATTTCATGGATGTCTCTGAACCTGAACCCCGCCTAGGCTTACAGCCGTGACGTAGCCCTGTAAGATAAAGTCCAGACTAATCGATAGGATATCCCGGCTAAAAGTCCCTACAACCTTGGAATTCGAGATACGGAAAAAGTTAGTTGACCTCGTGCAGCCGCTTTGGCCACGTGATTGAAGCACTATCATGCATGCGTGCATGAGGCGAGGCTATCGTTGCTAATTCGTGACGCATCTCGAAATTCAAACTTCTTCTTTCAAGACAAATGTGAATTCAAATCAACAATTCACGCTATAGACATTCTCAGTAGAATAACAGATAACTACATATCCCAGGTGATCAAATAGAACGAATGGAGAATAATCCCGATGTAGTGTACATAATGTATATATAGTGAAACCCACTTTGTAACGAATGCTTTTCCTTTCTCGGGTCCACATGCCATGGCCTTGGCACAAACCTTTGTTGACCGCTCCATAGTTACTAGGAAGAGGGCTGCTAGATGATGCGCTAGGTACTGTATCTCCTCTGTAACCAGTCCCAAGATCTTCAGCGGAGCGTCCGATCTGATGTGTGGGACCGTCAATGTGGACCCACAATCTCGATTCCGTAAATAAATCATGCACGTCTCGGCGCGACATGGAATGGCCATACTTTGCCCGGGAGATGTTAGTGTTCTCGCTATGAATTACCCTGATTTCGTGGAGCGCATTCAATATTGCAGTCACAGTGCGTTAAGCATCGTGACTATCCCTTCAGATCACCCTTCAGTGGCAACGGTCAATTACCCTGCACTTGTGCCCATTTGACACCTGTATGAGAGATACCGTCGCCAGAACGGCTGATATGGCTACGTTCTAAGTATTTCTTTTTCCATGATCCACACAGTGCCGCGGCATTCTATGGCGCTCTTGATGTCTGCAAAGGGGTTAGCATTGGCGCATGTTTCACTCTCGCAGTTCCATACGCACAATTAGCCCCCTTCCGGAATTTGGACTTGGCCGAGGCAAATGGAGTCCCGCGACACATCGTGCACATCAGGGTCGGTGTGGGTTACGCGGAGAAACTACTGGATGGAGTAAGAAAAGCTCTCACTGCGGTTGAAGAAGTTTCTCATTGAGTAGAGAATGGCATCTCTCAACAGCATCTAGCCATTCTTTGTCTATGTGAAGATGGATCCTGGCCGATTCCACTTATATACTCGAGGTGAGGAATAGAAGGGAGGGTTCATACACGGTACGTATAGTGATCTACCGTGGAGAAACTGAAGAAACCCTGCATGTTCCTGCCCGTTCCCATACCACCTTTCAAACCTGCCGGAATTCAATCGCTTTGAAATTATGCTCATGCACAGCTACTTCCCCCATGATCCATCTAATCTATTCATAGGCACCGTATACATAGAACCTCGTCCAGATTACTGCTTGAGATGGTGTAGATAGAACAAGTCAACGAAATAGGCTCATGCAATACGACTTTGAACTATCCATTCAAGTACATCAATTCAATGCTATGTCTCGAAGGAGACAGTTCTGGTATTATCATAACATCGTAGATTCTTCAACATTGCTAAGGGATCCAAAGCAAAAAGACCACTCACCAAGTAGATCATGTGCTCTCCAGAGTAGAATTCACAATCTTATTCAGAACCGCCCGCACCAGACTTCCATCACCAGCCCCATTGGTATTCGGGGTAGCATCAATTTCATCAATCAACAGCAACGCCTGTTCCCGATATCCCTTAACAACATTGCGACAATGATCAAAACTGCCCGTACTCTCCATGTACTGAACAGCATATCGCTTAACCTCTTCGTCAGTGGTCTTCTGCTTCAAAATACTAATAAGCTGGTGACTCCCCGGATTCGAACGAATACTGTGGATAATTGGGAACGAGAATTTGCCCTCCGTCAGATCTTCGCACATGCCCTTATTTTGCGTGTACGTTGTGTTGCGGAGATTCAAATAGTCATCACAGATCTGAAAGATAAGGCCTAAGACATTCACGAGGCTGACACAGTCCTTACCCGTCGCGCTCTCCGCTTGCATCAACTTCACCGCAAGTCGGAACAGTCCGCCCGTCTTGTTGCCCACCATCTCAAGGTACTCGTCCTCCGTCGGGCAATTCAGCGTATCACGCCAGAAGAGGTCCATCCCCTGACCGCGGTGAAGATTCAAGAGCTCGTTCACGAAGATGTTGATCGCGGCGGGGTTATTGAGTTTTTGGACCTCTTGCAGCGCGAGGAAGTAGACGTAGTTTGCGCTGTTGATGGTCTGCGCTGTGCCGAAGATGTTGTGTGCAACGGGGATGCCGCGGCGGAGGACTGAGTTGTCTTCGACGTCGTCGATCCTGGGGTAGTACATGTCAGTCAGATGCTTGAGGTAAGTTGCCAGTGCGATTTGGGTTTCCGGGTCCCGGGGTCGAACTAACAGCAGTGAGGCCGTGTGTAACATGGCTACGACGCGGGTGATGATCGCTAGGCTGGCTGGTGGGACCTGGAGCCAGGAGTTAAAAGCTTCGATCATGGCGCGGCGAACGTCCTTGCCTGGGTGAGCTTGGAGGTAGTCGTAGGGACCCATGAGGATCTCCTCGTTTTTCGGGGACCAGGTGCCATGCTTGTATTTGGTGCCATCCACGCTGGACTTGTTGCGGCGGTGCTTCGACTTGCCCGATGGGCTTGTCGGGCCATTTGTAGCGTTTGCAGAGCTGGTCCGCGGTGGGATGGAGGATGGGGGTTCGAAATTCATGTTGGAGGCCATCTCGGACGATTTGGAGTCACTGACGTAGTGAGGGGAAGAGGTTGGAGGGGTTAGATAAGTAAAAATGAGGGGTGCAGATGGACAGTGAATTCAACAAAAGTAGCAGCCTATTTAGGCACAGACGAAAAGATAACTCATGTCACTCTCGCCTTCTTATGTCTCGAGTTGTTCTTTGATACATTCATTCTTTGACTCTCAGAGTTAAAGCTATCGAGGAAATCTAGAATATCGCCAGAGTCCAGGTGGGATCGGGCGACTACGCTAAACCTAATCGGGCCGCACCCGGCGGCTGCTCGACGAAAATCCATGGATGCTTATCACTAGGACAAAGAGACATGTCACAAGTGTGATGAGTCGACATATCACATTGCCAGTCCCCGCGCAGCAAGTGGGGAGAACAATAGTTAAACCAGTGCCCTGGCGTTAAACAATACTAAGCTCAACATATTGTTGTCCTGCAAGGACCGTTGAACCTCGTGCTATGGCAACGATTTTTTTTTTCTTTTTCCATATAGGTCAATGAGATCAGAGTAGGGGCTAGACGAAGGGAGGTTAGGGTGAAAAACAAGAATAGCCAACCCCAGATCTCAAAACCGGTTTTAGAGTGTCAGAGAAATAACCTTCAACTGATGATGGAAGATCAGGAACCAATATATAGTGGGTCGTCCGGGGCAACGGCTCCCAACCACCCTTTATTTACCTGCCGTGCCGACTGACCTCATCGACACGGGCCACTTGCAAATCTAATTTTCTAGATGTTCTCAGCTGAGCTGACTTTTGTTTTTGTTAAGAGCTGAGCCTCTTTCTTTCTTTTTTATTTTTTTTTCCACTTCTCTCTGCACCTTCACATCATCTATCCTCACACTCATGGAGAATCTACTGGCTCACTCATTCGATTACCTCTCCTCATACGAGCCCAGCAAGATCCGCAAGGGCTTGCGTCAGGTTGAGGGCCTCTTGGCCCAAATCTGCCTCTCAAAGCCGAAATCCACATCCGATCGGAGAAGATCTTACTTGGCCACGGAATCACAACCGGTACCAAAGGCACTATCCGAACTACACGATGACCCAGCCTTTCGCGAATTTTTTAAAATTCAAGATGGCTTTCAATGGAATGGTGCGTTTTTAAAGTTTTGATGCAAATTTTGATCCCATGGGTCCATCCCCATGGTGTTATGAAAATTCATGCCTCAATATCAAATATCAACAACTAACAACCCGCTACAGTCGCAATGCGCCTAGTTTCCTGCCTCGAACACCTCCTCGGCCGCGGAAGCAACGGCACAAATGATATGCTCATTGTGTGCACCTTAGACCTAATCCAAGGCGCTCTTCTCCTCCACCCACCATCCCGCACACTCTTCGCCCGCGAAATCTACATGAACCTCCTCCTAGACCTCCTCGACCCAATCAACTGCCCAGCCATTCAGTCCGCAACACTACTCACCCTCGTCACCGCCTTACTGGACTGTCCGGCTAATACGCGCACTTTCGAAGACCTTGATGGCCTTCTCACCGTGACATCCCTGTTTAAACAGCGCGCTACCTCGCGCGAAGTCAAGCTCAAGCTGGTCGAGTTCTTGTACTTCTACCTTATGCCCGAGACTCCGATTCTGGGACGTGGCGCGAGCGTCAGTCCCCCGCCCGGCCTGCAGCGCAGTCCGAGTAAGATCTCGAATCGCCCTATGTCGCAAAGCTCACATACCTCTGCGGGCGGAGCTAAGATGTTACGGGATACACGGACAACGGATGAAAAACAGGCGCTGCTGGGTCGTTATTTGAACAATGTTGAGGACCTGGTGGAGGACCTCAAGGAGACGGCTCCATTCGGAGCTACGGTTTACTAGACCGCTGGCGATGACGAACACCAATGCGATCTTCCCTCTATCTTTCCTCTTCTTTTATTGCCTTCTTCATTCTTGAGCCCTCTTCTTTCTTCTTCAAGCCTGCTTTTCTCGATTCTTCACGAGCTTTACGTTCCGTCCGGTACGGCGTGGTTATGTGGACAAGACTTGATGTTATATCCCGAACCCTGGATATTTGATTTGACTCGACAGATGTTGCCCCACAGTGTTCTTTCAACTTTTGATACTTTTTTACCTCTTTCGTCTCGTCTTCTTTTCATCCTTCTCCAATTCTGGAATTGTGTCAATCCCCCAGACCTTTGTGTCTCGTTTTCCTTACCCTGTCTATGATGGCGGCATGATCGTGTACGAATTTTTTTGTTTCTATTTCCAATCAGCTAGAACTTCACCAATTTTATGAAACAAATAATCAGACCTTTATCTTGTGTATTATTCTGTAATTATTTTGTAAATATCAAAGGAAATCAGTGGCTTAGGCCTTGTTTACAAGGGGACTATGTATTCGTTTCCAAGGAGACATATTTTCAAGGGTTAAGTTTGTTGCTTTGCCAACATCCCTGCGATGGTAACTAGCGATGTAAGGAATTTTAATAGACGCTGTGCGTAAACGAAGGTTCTGAGATCAGAACTAGGTACTAGGTAGGTACTAGGTAGAAACCTTAATTGAGTCATCTCTGATTTGTGGTGACTCGAAATGACTCAACGTCGGGATCTTCTCTATCTGAACCGAGGTGCGGGGCGGAGCTCGTAGTATATGCATCCGCTTTTCCCCAATGCGCAAAACAAGAACGTTTGATTAGAGCATTGGAACATCAAAACACTGCACAATATGTCAAAGACTATTCAAGAAATGCTAGCTGAGAAGCTCAACACTGAGAAAAATCAGCCAGTCGAGTATATCGGTACCGTAGAGGCATACGATAAATGGGCAGAGGTAAGTCTTCACCCACGCAGGTAGCTACATTCTAATAAGCATAGGTCTAATGTTTCTTATAGGTGTACGATACAGATGGAAACTTCCTTCAAAAGCTCGATACGATCGAAATGCACGGGCTTCTCCCCCGGTTCCTAGAGCATGTGAATACACAATTCCAAACACAGGCATCGGATCAGCAGCTCAAGATAGTAGATCTGGGATGTGGAACAGGCAGAAACACCATCCAGCTATTGAAAGCTATATCTACACAAAGAATCAGCCCGGCGGCCTTCGCTGCGCAAGCTGAAGTTGTAGGAGTCGATGCTTCGCCGGGAATGCTGGAGGTTGCGAGAACTGCGATTCAATCTGCTACTGGTTCTGACGGACCGGATATACCAGTTTCACTGGATGTTTTCGATCTTCTCAACCCGGTTCCAAATGCGATGCTGCCTACTTCCCTACAAGGGTCTGGCGCAGACGGAATCATTTCTACACTTGTACTGGAACATCTTCCTTTGAAAGAGTTCTTTGAAAATGCGTCAGCGGTTATGAAATCTGGGGCGTATTTTCTCGTGACGAATATGCATGCGGAGATGGGGGCGATCAGTCAGGCTGGGTTTACGGATCCGCAGACTGGGGTTAAGATCCGGCCTACGAGCTATTGTCACTCTATTCCGGAGGTGCTAGACGCAGCCAAAGCGGCAGGATTCCAAGTAGCAAATTTGGTCGAAGGTGGAGACGCTGGTATTTTAGAGAGAGCGGTGGATGAGAACCTGGGAGAAGTGCTGGGCGCGCGGGCGAAGAAGTGGGTTGGGGTCAAAGTATGGTTTGGAGTATGCTTTAAGAAGGTATAGCATAGCGGGACATATCAAAAATGAACATAGATGGCGGTGATCAGAGGAGATATTATTTCAGACACTTTTGGTCGCCGGATCCTGGGTAGTAGATAATAAAACAAGTCTAGAAAAAGCGCAAAAGTCTTTCACGGTGTTGTACAAGGTTGGTGTGCTCTCGGAGCAGCGTTGCCAGTCGATTCCGCTTCCAACCCATTCCCTCGTCGAGAATCAAATGTGTGTAGGCGAATACGCTGGCGTCAAATAGGCCGGGATTCGGCCGGGCAAAGAAGTGGTCATCTTCGCCGAGTAGGGCAGATAGGGCCTGGAATGCGCTGGCTGCATCAGCTTCCAGCTCTGCAGCATCAACGTATGATGATGACTTGAGGAGTTCATCGCGGGCGGCTGTCTGGAGCTGGAATCCGAGGGTGGTGCGGACGAGGGTGTTTGTGCTTGCCGGAATCACGTAGAGCCGGCGGGCGACGGCATTGAAGTTCTCACTATCGAGGTAAAGCGTGTACAGCTGTTGGGAATATGATGTTAGCAGCTGCATTATCGATAGGACTAGGGTGGTTGGGGTGCAATGATCGCAAAGGAAAATGCCAGTACGTACCCATGCATTTCGTATCCGGTGGTCCAGGAGAGAGGCATAGACTTCAAAGCGGAGGTTTAATTGCTGCTCCTCTTCGCAGTGGACTTGCTCAATGGCCCATTTCTGGAGTTTGTGTGAAGGGATGGCTTCCGGTGCATTGGTGGGAAGAGATGGAAGGAGGAAAGGCAATGATCCAGTTGGTGATGCATGGTTGTTGGACGGCGTAATCTCGAAATCAACTCCGAGAAATTTCAGGTACGCCTATAACCAGACCAGAGATCAGTATAAAGTGGAAGCCTTAGGGGCAAGGATCGCAACACACCTGCCATTTGAGACATTGGGGATTAAAGGACGGGCGACCATGGCGCGCATTGGCAGGCTCACTGAAGACAAACAACTGGTTCTCTTGCCGGCGGAACGGAGAACGTTGCGGAATGTCATTTGCAGGATAAGTAGCCAAGGGGAACTTGTCAAAAAGAGCTTTGATGGGAGTAGGAACGGTAAAGAAGGATGGAGTTTTGTTTTCAGGCTGTACAGCCTCAGTAGCCGGAGGCATTGTGTAGTTGGTGTCTGAAACCAATCATAATACTGTAGCTTCAAATCCAAGGCCGCGGCGAATCCAAGGGGGATTAGTAATCCCCCCGCAACGAATCACGTTACGCATCACGTTTTTTGTCGAGCCCTTTCTTCAGGTACCTGTCACTTGCGACGATCTTGACCTCGGACACTCTTTCCTTCCGATTTTCGGTCCCATCTGTACTTGCGCGTCAATTTGCATATTGTTACTTGCTTACAATTTTACAAGTCTTGTCGAGGTATCGTCACCGATGACCTCGACCCCCCGGTCTGTTCCGCCCGAAAGATCTCCCGCCGCATTTTAACCCCGCTCAATCTCCAAAAACCGTTTCGACCCCATCGCATATGGGATCAATACCAGGTCGCCACGAATAAACGTACTGTAACGGAAGCCATCAACCTCTCCACCTATACCGAAAGCGCAGAATTCCACATCGATAACGCGGCGCCTGCGTCGCTTTGCGCGATATCGATCCGTCATCACAGGCTCATACGGTCAGATCCCAACTTTTTGAACCATACACCCGCCTTCGAAAATGCCGCTCGACGAAGAAGGAAACAAGTGGTCCTGGTAGGAAAAGAAGAATTGGGAATAAAAATGGATCTGTGTTAATTTGATTCGAATTATAGTGAACCTTGCGTTCGTGGCCATCGATCCTCCAAATGTATGCATTTCGAGCGGGTGATGGCAAGAGTGCCTAAGGCTGGGCGACCCTTATCAAAGTGTCCGCATCCCCAAGGTAATTGCGGCTGTGTAAAGACATGGTTCGTAGTGGTGCGGATTCCCAGAGGTAAGAAATTTCAACTCTTAGCATGGGACCACATTGACACTGTCACTAGGTTCTGGCTGTGTGTGCCGACCGGTCTATACAGTACCTGCTACTCCAAACGATTCAGATGAATCTACTCCCGCCGTACCGCAAGCTACATCGCCGGCACCGGGCAAAATTCAGAAGTCTACAAGGAGGCAGAGCCATATCCAAGCGGCACCGGAGAACATAGCAAAGGCCCTAGAAGCCATGCCGGACAAGTTAAAGTTGGAGGATGGGGCCCCTAAATACCTTGCTGGCCTTCCTCAGCACCAGCATGGTCTGAATGACAAACGTTCTCCAAACCTCAATGAAACACCCTCGCCTCCACCTGTTGCCCCGAGCAGTGGAAGGTCATGTTGCGGTGGAAAGACAAATGCTCCCTCAGCACCGAATCCCTCGACTCCGCAAATGTCTAGCCAAACCCAGCATCCTGTTTTGGATGAGAACAACTTGCCTTATATGGGTTACCCGTGGCAAAGTTCAATGCCCCCAACGCAGGCATCGCCTATGCAGCCTTTCGGCATGCAACCGACCCCAGTCCAACAGTACGTGAATGGTTTCACGCCAAATATCCCTTCTGCGTCATATTTGCACTCCATGAATCGCCTTCATATTTCCGAAAGCTCCATGTCTCCGTTTGCCGCTCAGAATGCCTATGCTCCGGCACCGGCAGCAACTCCTGGCAGCTGTCTCGAGTGCGAATGTGGAGATGAATGTCAGTGTCTAGGCTGTGCCACTCACCCCTACAATAATACAACTCGCCGGCATGTTCAAGAGATGAGTGCCATGCTGTCCTTTGACAGGGATGAAATATCAACCGAACCCATGACGGAACCCTGGAGAACTCCCCATCCATTGCACAGCACTCCGATGACTTTTGAACAATTTATGCATCCCATGGACCATCACATCCACCAAAGCATAAATCAACATGAGTACTCAGATCTCAACTCGGCTGTACCTAGCGGATACGCGTCTCCTCTACCGGCAGGCAATCAGCTGATGCAAACATCAGACTATCTGACTCTGCAATACCCCGTTGGAATACCCTCAGCCTGCTCTGACGTTACAGGGAGCTGTCAATGCGGCAACGACTGCACCTGCTTTGGGTGCGTCACGCACAGCGGTCACAACGGTATTTCTCTGGATGCGCCCTTGCCCGAAACATCTAGCGCCAATACTACAGGGTCCCAGACACAATGTCATGGAATGGCTGTCCCAACCTCTGATGGCTCCACAGGCTCCCGATTTCCAGTCTTGGAAAACGTCTCAGTGCCCTGCTTGAGTCCGCGCAATTTTCACACCCAATGATCTGATCTAGAAATATCTGGGTGTATAGTTTCCGTCTAATATGGATGGCAAGCTATGCACCCATTTTCACGATTTCACGGATTTACGACCAATTAGCTATTGATACCCACCTATTTAGACCAATCTCCTAACGATGCTTAAATGTGTTCATGCTTATCTGACACATCTACCGTTACAATTTAGCTTTTATGCATTTATTTTATTCTTACATTTATTTTCCTTCCAAACCAATTCGCGTGCGAATGTTTGCACATCTAATACCAGTACATATCAGTCGGGGGCTATTATGGTGTGGTAGCACATCCTATAATAATTGATCTGTACAAGTACCCAGTAAGCTTAATGGTGTTTGACGTGACTCTACTTGTATATAAACTTCAGAACAATCATATGCATTCGGGGATATCATAAGTCTGGGTAGAAAAATGTTGTACAGAAGAGAAATGTGAAAACCCTCTTCAAGTAGAAAAAAGTCGATACACCGGATAATGCAGAACCAAAGAAAACAAAAATACAATTATGCCTTATTCCACTTTCCAAATCTAACATAGTCGTCATAGAGAGACTTGAAGATAGCCCGTCCGGAAACATCAAGTCCAGCATTGAGCGCACGCAACGACTCCTTAGACATCACGTCCAGAGCCGCATACATACCCGGCATCAAAGCAGCCTTGACATCCGGCAACAGAGATCCACGAAGCGAGCACTGCGCATACTCCATCACGACATATTGCAAGTGCTGGCCAGCAATACGCTTTGCCTTTTTGGTCTCATCATTGAGAGCGTCACGCGAAGCACCAGCTTGGGATCTGAGCACAGCGGACGTAGTGGGGTCGCTGAGGGTTGTGAGGAGACGGGTGTAGGAGGATGTGTGCGAGGCTTCGAGGGGAGCGAGCCAGAAGGGTTGAGAGAGGGAGGATGGGAAGTGGGCTGAGCGAGAGCGTTTCCGGGAGCGCGCGAATAGGCAGGATAGTAGACGCTGCATGGCCGGGACGACTAGATGGAAACGACCGCCAACCTTGAGACGCTGGAGACCCAGGACGATACCCATCAGCCGGCAGAGACGGGTGAAGATTGTAGGCGCGTATTGCGGAGAGATGCGCGGACCGACCTTTGAGGCAGACGAAGCGATTGCGGCTAGGATTGCGTCGATGTTACATTGGGCAAGAGCGCGGGTGTGCACGCGGAGGAGGAGGGCGAGACTCTCGACTGCGAAGCAGAACTGCTCAATTGAGGTGCTGTGCGTCATGGCTTCCGCTAGATCTGCGGAAAGAAGAGACAGTTCGCGTGCGACGTCGCTATCCTTGTCGTCCACTGATGGGAGTGAGATGACAGCGAGGTAGATCACGAGGATGCGGTACCCGGCATTGTTGCCAGTCAAACCAAGCTCGCGGACTTCACGGATCGATTGAGTGACTCTAGCAGTGGTCATGGAACGGAAACGCTCGGTGGTAGCTCGGATGAACAGCTGTTGGTCTTCGGCATAGAGAGACTGGAGTGTGATGGTCTCGGCGCACTGCAGGACCGGCTCGGTGATGCTTCTCTCGGGGCCCTTGGTGGCTAGAAGACGACGGCGGATCAACCGAGACGGTTCTGAGTCAACCGACATCTCCATGTAATGCTCGATCTTGGACAGGAACTTTTCCACTTCAATGTGGTTTGTTGCAAGGTCCTCGAAGTCCTCTAGAGCATCAATGGTTTTGATAAGGGTGATGGTTTCTTCTAACTTTTGCTTTCTGCATCGATCCTTGACAGACTTCATATCCGCCAGCACCAGACCGAAGACACGCTCGCGACAAGAAGCAAGCTCGTTTTCAGAGATGGCTTTTTGCAACTTCGCGCGGTGAACCCAGAGCTCCGACAAAGTCAGACGCAAGAGGAAGCAGGGCATGGAGTCACGATCAATCTGTCGCAATTTAGAGGCCTGTTTGGAGACTCTGGCAAACAACTTCTTAAAAGTCTCAGACTGATCTTCCTTGGCGAGAACGAGCAGCTTGGCAAGGATTGCACGGTACAGGCTTCGGAATGACTTCATGATCTGAAGATCCAGCTCAGTGCCTTCAAGGGAGATGGACCGGGCAGCAGTCCAGATTGGTTCCCATTCGCCAGTGACGTTGGCATCGCACTTCGGCATGGCGGCCAACTTCGCCATCATAGTTAATATCCCAAGAGTAACCTCGGGGATGCTGTCCTGCTGGACCAACACATCGTTGAGCTTGTCCAGGATAGCAGTTCTCAAACCGCGAGTGATCAAGGCAGTTGGAATCCTTTGCAAACTATCGACATAGATACGACGATCAGAAGAATCTTTCTCGATGCGTTCGTTAAGGAGAAGTGCCAGATCAGGCACAAGGCATGGTACGCTGAGCAGATACTCGTGGCATACGATGCTCGCCCATGCCTGTAGGAACCGAGCATCATCAGCCACAGCCTCAAGCGGCAACGAGGTAGAATGGTACTGGGCTGCAGCCAGAGCAAGAAGTTGCTGGAAAAGACGCGATCGGTGATCGGTTGAGATGCGTTCCCAGACCTCGGGAACCCTGACAAGAGCAAGAATATAAGCCAAAGCCAAAGTAGTGGCAGTGTTGAGGGTGTCTATCCGGCCGTTCCAGGGTGCCTTCATCGATTCCTGAGCATCCTCACGTGAAACAGAGGTGACGAGGCTTGTGATATCCTGGGAGATGGTGTTGAAAGCCTCCAGCTGCTCTTCCTTGAGTTTGCCTTTCACGGAAACCAAGGCAAATCTGTACGCTTCCCAAGATTCCAGTGGGGCAAGAGGCGCCTTGGTCAGGTTTCTATGGTTACGATGCACGGTCTTCGAAGCAGCAACCACAAGGGACTGTGCCGCTTGTGCTAGGGCATTATCGGGCGAATGAATGTTGTTCTGCAGAATATTGCGCATAAACCGCCACAAGCGCCAGCGCCAGTGCAAGCTTTGCTTTGAAGAGAGAGTGGACGTCAATGTTTCCAAAATGTGGGACATTGTCTTCTCTGAGTCGGTGAACTGAAGTGCCTTTCCGCGCGAGCTAGCCTCCATGACGACAATCTTTGCATATGACTGAGGAGAGCTGGAGACCTTGCCATCTTCAGCCCTAGTCTCCACCGCAGCGGTTTGCATAAGAGTTGTCAGAATTGAACCACTGAGAGTCGTTCGGATCACTTCACTGAACGTATTGCACAAATCATCGTCCTCCCAGACTGAGAACAAGGGTAAACTCTTATCTTGAGCACGAGCTTCCTCGATAACGACTAGTTGATTGTGCCACACCTCCAAGAAAAATGGCAGATCTCTTGCAGCTGCGAAACCACGCAGCAACGGGAGCGCAATATCATTTTTAATGATATCGTAGCTCTCAGGCTTGCTGGGAACATCACTGCGCCATTCGAGAAGGATCTTGCCAAGTAAAGCGTCCAGGAACTTGCGGGAATCGCGAAGTCCGGAATTTGGTAAAAAGACATCGACACCAAGGCTGATTACCAGAGCGGTGACAGTCCACTGGACCTTCTCTAAGCCCTCTTCAAGCAAACCGGTGTAGCTCGCGTGCGTGAGAATAGTGTGAAGAGATAGGCCAACATTGCGTTCGAGAGCCACCCGAAGGAGCTGCTCTAGTACGGAGACAAAGCGGGAAGAAAAGTTGTCGGGATCATCTTCCTGAGATGTAGAATATGCCAGCTCTGCCACGGCCACAAACAAAGTCTCCAACCACGGAGCCTCATGGGTTTGGCGTCTGAAATCGTCTCTTGGAACGGCTCGTACAGCATTATCAAACAGCTCTGGAAGAAGCTCAATTGACTGCCAAAGGGCGTGGAAGGATCCATTCTCGGATGTCTCGGTACCCTGAAGGCTCGATTGCTCGCGGATGATTGGCCGTAACGCGGCAGTCACTGGCTGAACCGCACTCCAGTCTGGTTCTTCCTGCGAGTAATCGATGCCAGAACCCCCTCGCTCAAAGAACGCTGCCCGCGCTGGGAGTAGCACATGAAGGGCAGTGATTCTTTCAACAGCATGCAGGAGGTATGCTCTCTCATCCGTATCGAGGTTCACCTTTCTCAAGCTGAACTGAAGCCTGAGAGCATGGGAGAAACTGGATTTCGCAAAGCAGTCATTGCTTATTTTGTTATCATTATCATCGTGGTGAAGAGACCTCGACTCCCATAGCTCGAGCATTGCTGGGAACACGTAAAGCAAGTGTTGAAGATCGGTTGTTTTGGCTGCTTGAGTAAATTGGGCAATGGCTACAGAAGCCAGCTGGAATGCCCTACCCAGCAATAAAGCAACCACATCGGGGTCACCTCGCAAAGCTAGCTTAAGATGGGAGTTGGCAATCTCATCGGTGCCAATTGTTCGCTGAGCGAGGGCCACCACTCCGTGCAAGCAGTCCAGTGCGCGGATGAATGCAAGGAAGCACGAGGCGGGGTTCTGCGGAGGGCTGTCGATATCCATAGCATCCGGGTCATTGTCTGCACTGCCCCTCTTCCGTTTCATGCCCTGAGTCCCATGTGGCTCATCTGCGGAGGAAGGGCCGGACAGCGTCGAGTCCGAATCCAAGCTCGATAAGCCACTTCCCACTGTCGCATGAATGTCGGTCTCCAAGTCCGCAATCGTCTCGCAAATGATCGACAAAAATTTCTGTTCCTTCATAATTGTCGCCATGTTTTTTGGTGAGATCAAGTCGATCAGCTGTCGTAGTAGCAGGAATGACGCAGGATCGACGCGATAGTTCTTTCCCGTTCTCAGTCTCTTCAGCAACCATCGCAACACCCACTCCTCCTTTGGAGTAGCCTTGATTAGGATTTTGTCATTTCGGTGTGTCTCTGGGTGACTTTCGCACAACGAAAGATCCAATCCTAAGATCTGTGCCGCTTCGTGTAATTGGGTGCTCGGAGAAGCGCTGCCTTTTTCGAGGCGGAGGAGCGCCTCTTGCGACGATCGCGGGCGCTAAAACACCATGTGTTAGTACCAAGGAGCGTTGAATCATATGTTGAAAGACGGTAGAGCTTACCTCCACGAGTGAAGGCATCGTGAAACCGAACCGATGGACTGGAGGGGTTGGTATACTCGAGAAACAAAAAAGAATGTCCAACGGAAAAAAAACCGCGGCGAAATTCCCCACCGCCTTCGACCCGATCTTCCTCGTGAACTCCCGACTCCTTGCACTCTTCTCTTTCGACCCCATCTACTCTCTTCAATTGCCCTTCTCAATTCTACGTACGTACTTATGCTGGTCGAAGCGAGAAATTTGGTTCGAAACTAACGTATCGTTTTTCAGATTTTTCACAATGGCCGATTCCAGCGAGTCCCGGTCGGTCGCGCGGGCCACCAAGCCCGTCAGTGAGGCTTTGCTTAACGAGAAGGTATCTACACTTCTGGAACCTGCTACCTCCATGCAGTCTTATTGCACGCTGGAGACATAGACAATAAATGCTCTTGGAAGCTTTAATTCGGAAACATGGGCTAATTCTTGAACTGCAAATGTATAGTGGGACCGTGCCATCTCTTCAATGATCATCAAGTCTTCCCTCGGCCTCTCCTTCGGTGTTGTCTTCTCAGTGCTCCTGTTCAAGCGGAGAGCTTGGCCCGCTTGGGTTGGTCTTGGTTTCGGTGCCGGTCGTGCCTGGGAGGAGTCTGATGGTATGTTTACCTCTACAATTGCTTTGGTTTAGTTGCGCGAGGTTGTCCATCCAAGGACTGGTACTGTCAGATCTTGTGGGAGGTGGTTATGGCTTCTACAAGCTTCAGCTGGGATGCCGCTGCCAAGTCGATTCCTAGCTTTAAAAGCTGCACGCAGGATCCACCCGACTGCTTGAAGAGTGACAGTGCTATTTCTGGGGAGCTTTGGAAGCTTGGCAAAACGTCTTTAACGTCCAGATCAGCTAACTCACCATATAGCTTCTTTCCGCCGCGGTGGCTCGTCCATCACTGACGCTCTGCGCCGGTAAACGGTTGCCAATGTGTTCCCCATCGTGTACGATACTGTACAGAAGACGGGAGATCGGTGCCGGGGTTCTTTAGAGATAACAAAAATCCTAGACCGATATCCAGTATTGTGACCAGTCGGTCAGCGTCCACTGCTTCGGCATTGAAGGCGTTTTTTTCTTTGTCGTTTGGCCGTTTGAGCTTTTATATGTGTTAGTTCAATGGATCCTGTTTTCCGAATTCTGAGATTGTGCTCGAGTGTTGCACGTGTTAGAACGTAAAGCGCATATGGAACGATGAAGCAAAATCCGTAATACTTCGGTCATAGGTGGGATGATGGTGGGACAATATCAAAATGAACCACTCCGTTCCTTCTCTATCGAAGACCACGTGACCAAAGCTATTACTCGATGGCATCGAGTCAATGAAGAATCCACTTTTTAACTAATCTTTCATTCCCCATGATTAGATAGGCCATCGACCAATCAGCAACGGGCGTGGTGGCTTGCGGAGAAAGTGGATCCCCCGTTTGCACCCGCTTATCATTGATAACGTTGGTCTTTTAGACAATCGGCGTAATTGAAAATGATAGGCACACACGCCTCGGTGCTCAAACCCCGGCCCCAGGCCGATTCTGGGGAATCATATCGTTTGTGGCGGGTCCGCGTGTCGATGATTATCCCGATGGGACCATTCGCAGCCCACCCTTATCATACAAGGATGCAACATCTTGGATGTTGGAACTCATTATATCATAGGCCTCCTGCCACATGGTTTCTAGGTCATCACTTTTTTCTCTCTCCTTAATCCTACCCCAGGTCATACACCGGGTTCATTCTTTTTGCATATTTGCAGATAATCTGGCATTATGGACAAGATTAGATGGGGTCTCGATAAACTTTCTGTGGCTCATGAGCCAGGGCTCACTAATGCCCAGTTGATGTTAACCAATGATGATTTACGACCAGGTAAGATCGCCTTACTATCAATGCCCTCTATGTTTCTTTTTTTCTGTCCTCGGGCGTTTTAAAAAAAGGTGAACTAACCTGGATCTTTATTTTTTTGCTATAGTTGAACCCGAACGCCGCCAATGGACTTGGTTAAACTATATCGCATTTTGGATTGCGGACTCGCTGAACATCGTGAGTCCTCGATCCCTCGATCCAATATCGAAATATCTCTAACAGGACATATCCAGAACACATGGATGATTTCGTCCTCAATGATCATCGCAGGTCTTTCGTGGTGGCAGGCATGGATTTGTGTCTGGGTTGGATATTTTTTCGCCGCGGGTTTTGTCTGTTTGACCGGTCGCATTGGTGCTGTCTATCATACATCATTTCCAGTCACCGTCCGAGCATCCTTTGGAATTTGGGGTTCTTTCTGGCCGGTGATCAATCGAGTGGTGATGGCGATTATCTGGTATGGTGTGCAGGGTTACATTGGAGGTATGCGATTTTTTTCTCCCATATCCGCCACATTATCTAACAATATATGCAGGCGAGTGTGTGACTGTGATGATTACGGCTATTTGGCCTAGCTATAAGAATCTGCCCAACTCAATCCCTGCCAGCGCCGGCGTCACAACCCAGGGCTTCGTCAGCTTCTTCCTCTTCTGGCTGTGTTCTCTTCCGGCTCTGTGGTTCCCTGTGCACCAGGTGCGCCACTTGTTCACCGTCAAGGCAATTTACTCGCCAATTGCTGCTATCGCATTCTTTGCCTGGGCCATTTCAAGGGCAAACGGCATTGGTCCTATTATCCACCAGCCCAACACGGTCCACGGAAGTACCCTGGCATGGCAAGTCGTCACGGGTATTATGACCTGCATTGGAAACTTTGCAGCCCTCATTATGAACGATCCTGATTTCTCCCGATTCGCTCGTACGCCGAAAGATGCGTTGTGGTCTCAGCTTTTGACTATTCCCATCGGTTTTGGAATCACATCATTCATTGGTATCATCGTATCTTCATCCGCGACGGTGATCTACGGCACCCAAGTTTGGAACCCTCTTACTCTTCTAGGCATGTTCCTGGAAGGAGCAAGCTCTGGACAGCGCTTCGGTATTTTCATCATCGCCCTGGGATTCACCCTGGCCCAGTTGGGAACCAACATCTCCGCCAATTCCGTTTCCGCCGGAACCGATCTGACAGCATTGATGCCTCGGTACCTGAACATTCGACGAGGCAGTTATATCTGTGCAGGTATCAGTTTGGCAATGTGCCCGGTATGTCTTTATTAGAAACCAAATCCATCATAAAGAAAACATCTAACAATCATTTACAGTGGAAACTTGTCACCGGCTCTAGCGAGTTCACTACCTATCTATCCGCCTACTCTCTCTTCCTGTCTGCCATTGCGGGACCTATGATCTGCGATTACTACTTTGTTCGCCGTGGTTTCCTAGACATCAAAGGCCTCTACAGCGCCCGCAAGACAGACCCATACTACTACACCTATGGCTTCTCCTGGCGCGCCTACGCCGCTTACTTCAGCGGCATCCTAATCAACATCGTCGGATTCGTTGGCCAAGTCGGTCCTAAAGTCCCCGTTGGTGCTCAGTACATCTACAATATCAACTACTTCTCTGGCGTCATTGTTTCTGGTGGCATGTACTGGATCCTCTGTTATTTCTTCCCTATCCCTGCAACCAGTGATAAGTGGCATGAAGTTGACATCGATTACGAGGATGTGTCCGTTGCCTACGGACAGGAGGTGATGGATGGAGACCGCACATCCAACTACGGGGAGAGGAGATCTATCTCAGATTCGCTCCCGTCTGATGACCAGAAGGGGCTGAGTTCTGCTTCGAAGAAAATCTAATATGTAGATATTTTGGGATATTGGGAGCGTTTATTTTGGATTTGTGTATTTATCATGATTGATTCCCCACTTTACATCACCGGCGAGAGCTGGATTTTGATGTATAATATCGAAGCTCACTGCTTCGAACATTATGATGAGACGATATTTGAATGCGATTCAGGACTTGAGGCTGACTGCCCCGGTGCAAGCCTGTCCTTTGCAACATCAGTTGAAATTCCTTCACTTGTAGTATGTATGTGTACCCACTGACGTATAATCTAGCTGCAGTAGTGGATTTCTTCTCACAACATCGGTGGATCCTCAAACCCCAACCCAATTTTCGAATGCGGGAATTTTGTGGCATCATTAATGGGGCCCATGTCATGTGTGTCCAACTTTTCATAAAATCTCCCAGGGCACTAGAGATACCATGAGAGGCTCGGGTCATGACTGAACGATCCGAGCTAGCACGAACCAGACGAGTTGGGGGTGGGGGTTTTGGGTACCCTAATATCAACCTGATGGTGTTTCCCATTGAGGCAAGCGTCAACCTGTGTGTGGATATCCTGGAAGTGGGAACCAGGAATCAGTATTCTACTCCAACCCTTCAAGTCTCTCTATTTTTCTAGTAAGCCCAAGTCTTTTGATCCAAAAGCTCAAGAATGGCCCGGTCTTATTGTAACAGAATTCTTCACAAAAAGCTTTCTTGCAATCAGGCGATAAAATTGACTAGACAATTATACTAGAAGTAGCACGGAGAGAACCTGGCTCACCCTATGATTGTCGCTTGAACCCCACCACGCCAATAGGCCCGTTGTTCATACCAATCTGAAGACCACTGTTCTGACCTCCAAATGTAATATAGACAGAGTCTATCGCAGCTCTATATGCAGCGTCTTCTGGAGCTTTTGCAAACCGAGAGGCGCTCTCCCCGCCAGTTCCGTTTTTTCGTATTGCGACTCCCTGCTCGAGCAGCTCACCCGCCTTCATCATATGACAATCCACTTCATATGCTGCGGCGAGGACATGCTGCGATGCTAAATGATCAGGATGCCCTTCGGCAAGCGTTCTCTCGCGTACCGCGACCACATGCTCGAGTAGTCCCACTGCTTTCTTGATCTGGCCGTCCGCTTGATATGCTATTGCGAGGACATGTTGCGATGCTAGTCGATCAGGATGCCCTTCGGCAAGCGTTCTCTCGCGTACTGCGACCACATGCTCGAGTAGTTCCACTGCTTTCTTGAGCTGGCCGTCCGCTTGATATGCCCTTGCGAGGACATGCTGCGATGCCAGTCGCGAGGGATGACTCTCAGCAAGTGTTCTCTCTCGCACTGTAACGACGTATTCTAGCAGTCCTAGAGCTTTTTGGATTTGGCCATCCGCTTGATAAACTCCCGCGAGTTGATGCTGGGATGCCAATTGGGAGGGATGTTCTTTATCGTATGTGTTCTGTCGTACTGCGACCACATGCTCAAGAAGCTTTACTGCCATCTTGTTTTGGCCGTCCGAATGATATACAGTCGCGAGTACTTGCTGAGAAAGTAGTAGATCAGGATGGTCTTCAGCGATTGTTCTCTTGCGGACTGTGACTACATACTCCAGCAGCTTCACTGCTCTCTTGATCTGGCCGTCCACGTGATACGCCCGTGCGAGTTCATGCTGAGATGAAAGTCGATATTTATGGTTTTCGGCCAGTATTCTCTCGCGAACTGCGACTACGTACTCCAGTAGCTCCATTGCTCTCTTCATCTGACCGTCCGCTTGATATGCTCGTGCAAGCTCATGCTGGGAATTCAGTCGAGAGATGTTCTCTTCAGCTAGAACTTCCTGTCGTATCGCAACCACATGCTCGAGTAGATCCACTGCACTCTTGATCTGGCCGTCCGCTTGATATGCTCGTGCTAATTCATGCTGTGCTCTCAGTCGCAGTGGGTGCTCATTATCACAACATCTTTCCTTCCAGCTTAAGTCTTCTTTGAAACAGCGAATGGCGTCTTTCGTCCGCCCATCTTCTAGGAGACACATGCCTACCTTGTAGCATAGCTCATACCTCTCCTCTATGTCGTGTACCTCATTCTTCCAGAGAAGCGTAAGAGCGTGCGGTAGGTATGCTCTCCATGAATCACGATTTGACCAATCATTTAGTGGGAAAGCCACTGCAATATGGTGTGTCGTGTTCTTCAGTATTCGTTGCGTATCTCCTTCTTGATTTACCCATAATCGCGTCGCTAACTGCACTAGACTGTGCATGTCAAACACTTTGCCATCATCTCGTTTGGTCATGAATGCATAACCGCATAAAGTGCCAATTGCGAATTCCATTTGCTCTTCAGAATCCAAAGGCGGGAAGAGCGTTCTCGGAATTGCTTTCGGTTCAATGAATGATATAAACGCTAGTAATTCAGCAGCAGCGGCGTCAGATTCTCTTATCCTGTTGAAGGAGATCAGCCACGTCGTGGCAACAGCATCGGGGTATCGAGTGTGGTCGTGAAAATGCCTGCTCATCAAGCCTATCCTATCATGTTCGGTACCATGCATTAATTCAAGGTATCGTGAAGTCGAGATGTCGTTCCTGTTCATATAGGCAGCCGCCTGCGTGATAGCCAAGGGTAGCATATTGAGTTCCTCGAGTAATTGTGTTGTTGTCTGTCGATCGCAGAGCAAACCTTTATCCACTACTTTCTCGACAAAAGCCGTAGCCTCCGCTGGCATCATTTTCTGGATTTCGATTATGTTCCGTTCCGCGAATGACACAGCAACCTCTCGCGAGCGAGTGGTCAGCAGCATCACGCCGCTTCGGCTGACGGGCAAATACGCGTAGAGCCCACCTGAATTATCGGCACTACCAAAAAGTAGGTCCAGATCGTCCGCATTATCCACAATCAAAAGCCATGGTCCAGCCGCCTCCGAGCTCAGGTACCGCTGCACCAACTCCAGGACTGTTTCGTCATCTGTAGCTTTATGAATGCCAAGCTGTCTGACGATTTCAGAGTAGGCCTGCTTGAAGCTTCCTTCGCTCAGCGCGGCAACCCAAAAGATAGAATGTCCTCGCACATGTTTTTTGGCCCAGTACGCAAGCTGCAGAGCGACTTGGGTTTTGCCAACACCCCCAAGTCCAAACAGCGCCATTTTATGGTTTTCTTTTTGGATAAAGATTCGATTTTTGAGCGAGTTCAGTGTGTCCACACGTCCAGTAAAGTGGTGATTCGCTATAAGAGGGATGACATAGTGGCCCTGGGAACGGCTGTCTAGTGACATATATCAGCAAGTGGTAACCCCGAAGCGATCATTATCATCACACTAACAGCTATGTAATTCACTATAATCACCCGCGGGTGCTATCGTACGGATCCGAGATTGGGCCCAACTTACTTGCTGGCTGAATTTTGGATATGTCAGCTTTGGCCGGTTCGATGCCAGACCTATCTGCCGACAAAGCACTCGCCCGCGTAGAAACATCAACAAACTTCTCGATCGCTCTAGTCCGCTCAGAAAGATAGTTGCGGGTATGCGCGGATATTGTGCTTGCTTTCTCCCAATCTGACAATGTGATATCCTCGAGGCCACGATCCACATTAAACCGAAAGTACTGGCCACTATCACCGAATCGGTCGTCCAGGCTGGTGGCAACCTTCTTTGATGATGTGGCCATCTTCTTCAGAGCATCTATGATTGATATTCGGGTATCCTTGATATTGACAACATCTCCAAGGCCGGTACCAAGACTCAAAACCTGTAGCTCTTGGTGACCAGGAAACACCCGCCGAGCTTCCTTGATGAGCTCATCACAGGGATTATTATACCCGAAACCAGCATCAATGAACTCGACTGCATCCCGACCAACTTTAATCGGCTTGAAGAACGTAGTTGCAGCTGAAGTTGCACGCGCTACCTGCCATATGGTGCATTCATCCAAGTCAGCCGATGTATCGTATGTCTCGAAGAGCGTCGGTTTCGCGTCGACGTTGGACTTTGTGATTGCAAGAGCCACCCTATAATCTATCAGCTGCTAATATTCTGTATCCTGCATTAAATCTTCATCGATAGGCCTACGTTTTCGTGCAAGCCTGGTCACGGAAGGCCAAATTAGAATGTGGACATGTTTCAGTTGTCGGGGAGCCTTGGCGCCGACGGGCCACGCATTCCCCATCTGTACAGAATTCTCGAACTGTCTGTTTAATGGCTTCCTCTAGCGCCTGGGCGGAGAAAGCTCCACGGGGCGACGCTGGGAGAATAGAGGTCCGTTTAGGAGTAAACGCCTGTTGCGCAACCTTCCGGTAGGCCCGTATCATCCACAGTCATTCCTAGCCGACCGAGCATGATGGCGATGATTCTTTTATGTCATTAGAAAGTGATTTCGGTATGTGGGGCCATCGTATTCACCCTCCAGTGCTTGTGCCTCCGATCAAGTCAAAGTGGTCACACGGTCGTGGGACGCGGTCAAGGTGCTTAACGTCACGGATTTTCTCCATTATCTTCTCCAAAATGAGCAGACTTGAGATTCCGCGAATCCCGCCCCCATCTATAAGTATGTTAGCGGATCTTCGTGTTTGGACAGAAGTCTTACCAAGAGAAAGGATTCTCAGTGGCTCAGAATGGCCGCTCAAGGACACTGTAGACTCCATATCTCCCTATGCTCTTGCTTAATGAATGCCGTTTATTCAGCCGCGATGCCTCGAGTGACATAAGCAAAAATGAAGGTTTTGGAAGCGATCATATAGCAGAGTGCTGAGTGTTGCTTGAAGATGTCAGCGCCAGTCGTGTCGGGCCGCCCCCTCCCCCGCATGTCGCCCGTACGGGCTAGCTTGACGATAACGAATCATACTGCTATAATTTTCCAAGGTCGTCATGCGCTTGTTGCGTCACGTGTTGAAGGCGGAATGTTTGGGGTCCAAATATTCGGTCTTGTCATGGCATGATAGGTGGAAAAACAACGTATGAGTATAGTAACGAGGTGGGTTGGAAGGGACTGCATCTTAGAGAACCCCTTGGCTGGAAGATGGCACGTTCGGAATTCGATATCATATTGTGCTATGTGCTTTATGCTTTTGCCGCATGGCGGACGTTTTTTCGATGCATCATGTATTCAAAGTGAATGGACTTAATATCATATTGATGACGCATATAGAAAATGGGTGGTGCTGGTGAAGACACTCACTGCTCTGCATTGGCTTAATTGAACGTCTCAATTCTATGTTTCCAAACAAAGGGCGATGGATACCATTGTCCTAAAGCCCCATTTTCGCTTTCTCGTTTCCAGAAGTATACTGGTGTATGTTCCATTAGTGCGATGGTTGTTTGAAGAATCGTGTGGGGCCTGAGTTCAGGTTCGTAATATGAACAGCACTTGAAAATGGTCATCGACTTGTTTATTTTCAAATGTACTTGTACTTCACACCTATTGATTAATTCTCTGTAGCCAGTTTGAAGCTTTTCTCGTGGCTTAGCTCAAATATGTGGGCTTGACGTCGTATGTTAGTCATGTTCGTGATGTGACTCAAGGAAATGCGGTTTGCGGGGAGTAATTCAGGTTTAGCTCGGTCACACGAGGTCTCCGCCTCACAGGTTCTCGATACACCTGAAGGCTAAGGCCTACAATCTTCATGAAACAATAAAATCTATGTCATTGCAAAAGGACCCTTTTCAAGGTAGCTGGCTAATAGTACATAAAATACAATATGGCTTGAAATCAATATCAATCATTTGTCCCTCACCCATATCTTAGGACTTTCCCAAAGCATCCCAGTCCATCAGGATAGCTCAGTACCAGTAGTTGGCTTTAATGAGATCCGATGTTCCATCAGAGTTAGTCTGCCACCCATTAGGGCGCATCACACTGCGATCAAACCTGCCAAGGACGTTGCCTAATTTGCATTAGCATATATAAATCCATCATATACACTTAATTATAGAATGGCTTACCAGGGGGAAAATAGTTGCAAACAGTATACCACATTCCAAGAGCAGAGCCCCGGCAGTCAACTGTAGCACATCCCACTTTTGTAGTATCCTTCCAAACAACCTGCGTGAAGTGACCATATGTCGAGAAATCTCCACCAGGAGTCCCTTGTCCATAGTAAGGATCAAAGCTCCTGAGCTCGTCATTGTACCAGAATTCGGAAATGTGTTGTGCGACACTGGCTGTGGGGGCACTGCCGGCTAGGTTCTGTCCATATCCGCCCGGGAGCATGGCACTAAAACAGAGACAGGAAACGTTAGCGGGATGAGAGAGAAAAGTTTAGTACGAAACATGAAATCAAATTACTGACGTATTGTGTCGGAACTGGCATGTAATTGCCCATGCATGTGCGGCATTCGCCAGGCTTTGATTCCAGCCCAGGTTAGGCACGCTGTGATTCGCTCGATGTACGTTGTGCGTGTACAGGACTTTGTCGGAGTAGCTGCCTCCGTACGGGTATCCTGCAGGTGCAGACACATATGGTTCGGCAGTAGCTGAAGTCTTCGTTCTCGAGGATGGAGCTGAGCTTGCCGATGCCTGTGTCTCACCGGGAACGGAGGATGAGACGGATGTTCCAACATGAGTAGCCGAAGAAGTCGAAATCGAAGAAATAGAATGGCCCACCTTGGTCGAAGCAGACCTTTGGTGAGTGACAAAAGTAGTCAAGGGGCTGCCCACACCCGAAGCCGAGGAAGTCGAAGTCGAAGTCGAAGATGTGCCATGACCCACATTTATCGGAGCAGATACCTCGTGAGTGATAAACGTGGTCAAGTGGCTACCAACTTTTGAACCAGAGGCCTCAGACTCCGAAGCCGAAGACGCGACTCCAGTCATTGGCATCATTTGGGTGGTAGTAGAATTTGGATAGTGGCCCAAGTCAGCAGTATGGCCACATTGGTGAGAAATGCCATGAACAGTACAGTGGCCGGCTGGATCTCCATTTTCATTGAGCGGAATCGCCAACGTATTGGTGGGCTCAACGTGCAGGCTGGTGGCTTCAGTTGGATTATGGATGAGCTCTGTGACGATGAGCTCGGTGACGGTGACATGAGCAACTCCACAGGCCTCTACATTCGCGAAGCTCATGCCGAGTAGCAGGAAGAAGGTAAAGAGTACAGTCAGAAGGAACAGAGGAGGCATCTTGAGACACATCTTCGCGAGATGGATAGCTAAAGGAGCGCGTTGAAGTGAATGAATGTCAAGAATTGGTTTGTTCGAGTGAATAGAAAAGAACGAACAAAAAGAGAGAAGGGGAATGGGATCAGGCTCAAGCATAAATGTTATCTTTTACTTCGACGCGTGATACGAAATTTAAAGAGAAAAGATGGTGGGTAGGGAGGGTGGAGTTCTTAAAGAAAACCGTTCGTACTAAGAATTCGGAGATCTGAGATATAGACCATATAATCTGTCACTGGGAACGAATGTGCATCAAAACATGCATTACTATAGACCTGTTCTTTCTTTATCGCTCGTCGTTTTATTTAAGACGTGGGCCAGCTAGACGTGGGCTGCACCATAAACCTGCATTTCCTCAGCATTATTTCGTCCTCACAGAATATGGAAAGTCTAGGTATTTGGCATTTAAACAGAGTGAGACCAATCTAGTAGCATCGGAGCTTTCACATAGATCTAAGGTGTTGCTGAAGACCACAGTCTATAACCCATTGGATCAAGTCGGAAGCTACAGAGTGCAGGGAGCCTCTCCATCTTCACTGCCAAGGTAAAGATACTTTGGAGATAGGTAGCCATTCCCACCATGGGACATAAATCAACAAGAGCAGGGAACAAACTGCCGTGGTGCTCATACATTTTGAGAAAAGTAAGCAAGAGTCGAAAGTAGAGAACAAGTTCATAAATTATGAGTGATGAGATTGATCTATCAATGAAGTGGCCTTTGAATGCAAATATTGAAAAAGAGACCGGAATATAAGGCAAAGTAATCCATGCGACCCAGCGCGTCATCTATTAAAACAATCAAGGTAAAATCCGGAAAGACCCAAAAGAATGCAAGTGGATATAAATACCACACCCACAGTCTTTACGAAATTGTCGAAAGAACGACAAATATAAGACGGAGGTAATCTCTTCCATTTGGAAAGATAGGATATAAAGCACAAGCGAAAAACCCAAAAAGCAAAAAGCAAGGCTAGCCACATATCGGCGCCTCCAGGATCCAACCGAAATGCGAATGGGGACCGACTCCTGTCGTGTCCTTTCCTGTTCCTATCCCGCTGAATGCTGCAAGATGCCCGAATATGAAAATGTGATGATGCGCCGGTGATCCAGCCACGATGAATTTCCCAGTATGTGTTGTGTGTGACTCCCGCAGATGCGATGGTGGGCTGTGTCCGCCGAAACCGATGAATTCCAGATATGATTCCCATGTCCGTAAAATGAGACGCAAAAACGAGATGAAATGAAATGAAATACCCTGCCAGTTACAAATGGCCATCCGAGAGCTAGTACAAAGAAAACGACAATGATACACGGCAGATAAAACAGGGGGTATCGATGCGACAGGGTATAGCAATAGCAACAAAAATTCCGTGATAATGGTAACAGGCAGAGATGGAATGAATGTCATCAGATGCAAGAGAGTGTTAGGGCTTTGAGCCGAGAAGGTAGGTGAGTGGTGAGGGAGGTGTTGACTTGGAATAAGAGGTTCAAGTCTAGGTTGGGAGAGGGATGTAGAGGGGGTGGAGAGGCCTTTCAAGGCACGAATGATGAGGTAGATGTAGTGGAAACGGTTGGAGTGAGGCTTGGAGAGCTATCCTTTTCTTCAGGACTGACTGGTTCACTCCGGTCCTGAGCTTGATCTTTCTCTCGGTCGGTAGATGAGGAACGCTTGAACACCGTCTGTCCAATCTGGCGCAAGATACCCATGCGTTCGGCACGTAGTTCTTCCAGGTCTAGTCGTTGGACAGGTACAGGTTCCTCCTTAGAGATCCGGCAGAACAATGTTGAGAAAAGATACTGGTCACCCTTGCCGTCGTACAAAGGCAGGTAGCGATAACCTTGAGACAAGCTGGTGAGCTTGGCAGTGAATGTGGCCAATTGCACGCTATTGTTGTTGCCGGCGCTGCGACCATCCAAGGAACTCCAGACGGTCCAACGCACAAACACCAGGTCGGGGTACTTGGTCTCAAGAGACAGCTTGAACCGATCGTTAAAGACAGGGCTATAGCCATTGCTCTGCTCGATCTTTGTACGGCGACGATGCGGGTATCCAATACCGGACATTCCGCTGCGAGCAGAGGCATCCATGCCGCCTTCGCCAAACGCAAGACTCTGGCCACGGTCATCAGCGCTGAAGATCTCAATCTCGACGTAAGGGTTGATGTTGTCTTCTGGACCAATCGTACGAGGGCGAGGGAGCTGCTGCGCCGAGATTACGTCGACGGAGAATCGGACCAATCGTCTTTCCGTCTTGCGCTTCTGGTTCTCATTATCCCGGACTGGCAATCGGAGGCTCTCAGGCTTGAGAATATAACCGGTGCGATCAGTACCAGCCGCGAACATGGCTTGGTTCATCTGCATTCCAATATCGTAAGTCTGCCAATTCAAAGCAGCCATCTGAACGCCACGACGCCAGAACTTGTTGGGGTCAAAGTTGGAGGAGCGAAGTCGGAAACCTGAAGGGTATACGCGGGTGAGATATTTGCGGTTGTGGGTTTCCAGTGCAACCTTGTTATCATGAGTCTGACAGATGCTTTCGAATGATCGCTCAGCAAAGGAGTATATGTGGTTGTATTTCCTGCTTTCCACAGACGAGAAGCTGTGCCACTTGTAGCCACGAGTGTAGACACCAAGGTCCGAGAGAGGCTTGGTGATCTTGCTCTTTTGGCGCCGTCGCTTTTTCTTTTCGCTGTGTGCAGAGATCAAAGCTCCATCACTGTCCTCGGTGGCACTGCTGAAACTGGTTGCTGTGAGTGAGCGTCTGTCTTGGGAGATGAGAGGGCCAATTCCATCGATAGCACCTATCATTGTAGGAGGGCTTGAAAGTGACTGAACCGGTCCATTAAGGGACTCAGGTGGAGGGGTCGGGCGAACGAATGGCGAACTAGAGCTGCGCTTCCGGCCATGGGTGCCAACAGTGCTTACAGTGGCCATAGTGCCCATACTGCTGATAGAGTCGATGCGGGAGTCAGTTTGCAACTCGTCGCAAGTTTTGACCTTGACCAAGATACGTCCTTTGAGCTCCTCTGGAGATGGAAGAATGAAGTAATTGGTCATAATAGGCTCAAGGACCAGTTGTTCCTTGAAAGTCTCCTTCATGATCTTGACCATAGCCAATTGCTGCTCCGGGTTGCAGTGCACCTCCAAAGAAAGGATAAGGGGGAAATCGGTCGAGATAAAAGCGTATCGGTTGATGACTGTGATGCAGTCGGCAAACAAGACACTGGTGGTCATGGTTCGTCCATGGGACACGATTGGGCGGCCATCGGCGCCATCCCAGCAGTCAATTTCGACACAACGACAACCTTGCTGAAGGGCGCTGATGTATGCCTCGGTACTAGAAGCTCCAGCAACTTGACGGCCAAGCAGGTAGGTATTATGAGAGCTTGAGATGAAATACTCGTTCAATGGGCGGTCGAATCGGGACTGGGGAGCACGTGACGCGTAGATACCGTTGCTTGAAGAGGCCAAATAAGAGGAGAACATGTCAAGGGTCATTAAAGTCGGCGTAGGGGTCACTTCAGACGCATCAGAGCCACGAGACCTAGATCGGCGAAGGAACTTGTCAAACAGAGCGACCCAGTAATCACGATCAGAGTCGACGTCCTCCTTCTGCACATCGCGAAGAAAGCCGAAGAACTCATCCTGAGTCATGCCGATCTTCGGCTCCTTCGAGCGACTCTTGTAAACCTCCTTGACGTCTCTGCGTTCCTTCAGTCGGCAAAGGAAATCCTTGAACTCATCGTAGTTCAGTTTGCCGTTGAGAGTAGCATCTGCTTTGGCGAATTGTGCCCGAAGCATGTTCTTGGAGCAATTGATGTGAAGACCGCGGCACACGCTCTCGACGGCGGAGAAGTCAAGACCTTGCTCCTCTCCAGGGCGAGGTCCCTGAGGGAATAGTCGTGTCATCTCACGCTGCCAATGAGCTTGAATCACAGCCTCACTTTGACCCGAGCCGGCCAGACCGGCCATCATACCGACCCGGTACCGAGCAATGTGCTCCAAAGTAGTAGTCCACAACTCGAAGACACGGTCAGTCGGAGCAATCAGATGGAGGGTCTTCACTGTCCGGCCCTTGAAGCTTCCCGAGTCCGCGATCACAATGGTGAACCATCGACGCTCGGCATCTTCAGGAATTTGATGTTCTTCGCGGTAATTGCGGGCGTCAGCACCCACGCGAATCTCTTTGATATCGTCGATATAAAAGCGTTTCGCGGGGTTCGAAAGATCCCAAAAGACCTTTCCAGCATCCAAGTCCAAGAAGAAGCGGACTTGCTTGCGGCGCTTCTTAGTGAGCTTTGTTAAGATAGTTCCACGCTGCAGCGCGGAGTCCACTTTAGGTGCGACGACGGAAGCGGCGGCGGCGGCAGCAGCGGCAGCACCAACTTCACGAGCGGATGCCATTCGACTTTCACTGCGGAGGCTAGAGGGCTCAGAACCAGCGAACGGACCCAGGCCGTCCAAAGCTTCGCTAGCATCATCCTCATTGCTCGAGTCCAATGCGGATTCACGGACGGGCTGGGGACCAGTCTTGCTGTCACTACGCCGGCGCATGATAACGGGACCGGAGCTTCGGTCTCGTTTGTCATTTTGAGTAGCAGACTGTCTCCGTCGGGTCAGCTTGTTAGCCGCACCCCGAGAGATTCTCCGCATCAGACCAGGTCCCTTGGAGCTCGGAGCCATCCAATCGCTAGAATTTGTGGAGCCAGGTACCCCCATCATGGATTCGCCAAGCTCAAGTGGAGCAGGTATCTGCAGGGGGTATTCGAAGTTACGGCCTCGGGGTCCCTCACTCGGCGGTTGTAGAGGAGTGCCGGCGGGTGTGAAGCCATTTGGTGTGCCAGGTGCGAAGTATGCGGAGGCGGGAGTAGACGTAGGAGAGGAGGTGAAGGAGGGCGTTGAAGAAGGATTCTGCCCAGTGGGCAGAGATGAAAAAACATGAGGTAGAGTAGTAGATCGAGGGAAGGAGGTAGCTAGTGTTAAGCTGGGGTGAGTGTCGGCATCCAGAGCCGGTGGTGAGGTTGCCGTGGTGTATGCCATGGCGGCTAATGTGTTATCAGGGCGACAGCTCAGCTGTCGATAAGGACAAAATCTTTTGATGGGTCGTAAACCGTGCCAATTTCCGAGTCACCCGGACTCTTATAAATGGCTAATCGGTAGCAGGGCAGGAAACCAGCCGGCCGTTCAAGGGTTGATAGAAGCTAGGGTTGGAAAGCGATCCGAGACCAGAGTAGAAACGGAATAGCCTGACACAGTCAGAAAAGCAGAGATGATGATTCAGCCACGTTCCTCAGCAGAGATTACTCGTTTTTGAACTCTGCATCTTGGCCTGACTGGGATTTAAAGCGGAGAGCTCTACCGGAGAGCACCTCACGGATAAAGCCGAGAGAATCAGGAGACTTGGATAAGAGTTTCAGGATCAGGACAAAGTCCCAGATAACAATTGCAAAGGGCACTGGCCCCGTTGCAATAGCTGATCTCTCAGGAGAGAAAGAGTCTCCCGATGCTAGCCACAGTAGACGTCACCTTGGGCAAAAAAGGGATCAGACCGGAGGGGGGATGATCTCCAAGTCCAAGGTTCCGGTCCGCAAGTATGTAGCTTTCTTCTTTGGGGAACCCAGCTGAAACTTCCCAATGATAGCCAGTACTGTGACCCCTCTTTTTTCGTCGATCTGCCGATTGCGTGGGGAAAGCTGTACTGCAGGCGAGAGGGGGAGGTTTGAACGGTTGCGATATGGACCAATTGATCGCGGTACGACTGGGCGAACCAGGGAGGGGCAATGCGCCGTGTGCTCAGTGGAGACGAGGTTGACAACACAGGTCAGAGGCCGGCGATGCGCGCATATGCGGGTTCAATCCCGGCGATCAGGAAGAGCCCCAAAAAATTGCAGTCGCGTGTTCGGAAGGCGGCGCCAGCAAGCTGTAGTCAGAAAAAAAAAAGTCCAGGGATTATGACCTTAGTTCCACGCCCTCCGATCCTTCGATTGGCTGACGAGTATGAACGATCCAACGAGCTATGGGAGTACCCGTGCTAGGGCGCAGGGAACTTTGCGGCGCAAAGTTGAAGGCGGCGAATGCGATGAGGAAAAAACGGGAATTGCGACACTGCCAACGCAGTGGATGCAGGCCGTCCAAAGAGGAAAAACCAGTAATCGGCGAATTGGCCAAGCTGAGGAGTCGCTGATGTTGGATTTGGGGGATTTTGGTTTTTTTTTTTTAGTGTCGGTTGAATTTAATATTCCTTTTTTGAAGAATAATTTCACAACTTTTTTGGGTAGTGAGCTGATCCGTTGCTGCACGGTTACGTGGTAGCCACTAGGTATGCGCGGTGCAGGCGGTAATGGTAATGGTAACGGTGATGGTGAAAGGATCAAAGAAATCGAACAGGACAAGACCGGCGTTGTCCTTTGTTTTCTTGTTAGGAATGAGAGATGAAGATGAGAGTTCAGGGAAGGGGGAAAAAGGGAAAATAAATGCAAATGAATCAATCCCAGCGATTCCGCCGTGGAATTGAAGCTGGAGTGGGTACTGGTACTTACGCTGTGTGCTCTCCGTACTCAGTACCTGTACCGCATTGGTATCGGATCTCAGTGGGTCGGCGGTATTACAGGTGGAAACTCCCCGTAATTTTGACTTTGGATGCTGTTTCCGGTCATTCAGTCGTCAAGATGATTTGTGAACCTTGCTCGAGTCCCGTTTGGAATCGGAGTCGAATATAGGGTGATAAAAGTGTATTTGTGGTTTCGATATACCTCGAGATAGTTTCACAGAGAGTATTGGTGGCAAGAACACAAATACAGCGGCGTATTGTGTCTATCTATAGCCAGGATGAGGCTTAAGAGTGCGTTAAAAAAAAGAAATATATTGGAGACAATAAAGATCTTTCTTCTTTTGGCAAGGGTCAATTGGGGCGAAATAAAAAAGAAACGCACGAGGGCAACGCTCTCGATTAAATAATTTAGAGACAAGGACAACGCATAGCAACGGCCTAAAGTTGGATTAAAGAAAGCAATTTCGCTTTAGGTATTCAGGTACAAACGGTGTGACTCTATCAGCTACAGACATCCCTGAATTATCCTATCATCGTGTCCAACCAGCTTGGGTAGGAGATGGGATGACGATGTGGAATGACTGGCACGCCAACCATAACCATCACCCCGGTAGATCTCAATGCATGAGTGTTATTGGCCGATCCCTCTGCATTCTGGGGAATGCTATCGGCCAAACGGGGGCCGATCAGTGTTTCAGATGCGTGTAAATTGAAAACAAAAATAAAAATACCATGACGATTTCTAAAGGAGACAAGGGGCAACGGGAAGAGAGAAAAAGGGATGTCGGAGGATTTCTGAGTGGAGCTCTAGGGCATTCTATTCCATTCAGACTTCCATAGTGTGAACATTCTACTCCATACTGTATTTCCCGGGCTCCAATTCCCCCACACTCGCCATGTTTTTGAGTCGCCTTGTGCTTTGTGCTCCGGTAGCTATTTTCCAATTACATGAGGCCCCACTTCGTCATTCCAGTACCTTTATGTCATGTATTTCTTTGCCCCGACACTCTGGTCCCTGGGGGAAAGACGATGCGGATCCCTCGGATTCCTACGTCTGCGTTTTGATCGCGTAGACCTTCATAACTTGATTGAACCTTGTCATCCCTGTAATCTTATCATGACGATAGGATATGTTTCTGTTCAACAGTCAGGCCCCTATCTCTGCCCAACAGGGTACCACGGACAGTAGAAAGAAGAATCGCGAGGGTGTGTGCCACAAACGGTCGATCACGATGCACATCTTCATTCCCTCCTATTCGACCAGGACGACTAGTAAGTGGGGTACAGAGAAGGGGGGTGGTCCAACGAGTCCTACCCTGCAGAAAGATTTACGTAGACAAAAGGCGATAAGGATAGCGGCACACCGTCATTTTCGCGGGACCGAAACCAAGAAAAAACAAGACACCAACCAGGTTGTCCTTGCGAACCCTGTGAGGCTGGAGAGTGGCAGTGAAACGTTTTGGGCGGTGCAGATGGAGCTCAGTGGATCCCCGCATTGCGCCGGTTCAAGATCGTCGGGATGTTTGGGAGCCCGTTCTTTGACGAACCGTCTTAGTGGAGGAGCATCATGATTTTAGTTTCTTTTCATTTCCCTTTTTTCTGCTTCCTTTTTCTATTTGTGCTCTACGGTCTTTAATGTGGAGATTGTCATTTCCTTTTCCCCCTCGCTTCAGCTTCTTGACCGCATCTACAAATGAGCGGTCTGTAGGGTTTTCAATATCATAGCCTAGGTCTACCAGTAATCATCCCCAATCGTAGTTATCATACCATTGAGGGGTACTCGTCAGCTCCCGTATCTGTAGCCTTTCGTGATACAGAATAGGCCCCCGAAATGCGACAAGCCGCGCTATGCACTTTCTGATAGCGGTCAAGTACACTGCGGGGGTTGAGCCCCGCGTTACTTGATGCGCTGGCCAGCTGTGCTTTCCTTGGTTCTTGCTTTTCTTTGGTCTTGCTCTGTTTTTCCGGTTGAGTCGCATCCCGCTCTATCCGGGTAGGAAGGTCGCCCCGTTGAGTCTTGACGACCCCTCATTGATCTGATCCTCGCTGCATGCCTGCATTACCCGTTGCAGGGCGAAACAGTTAGCGCGACCAGGTAACAGGTAACGACTGTGTGCCAATCGATGTCCCTCACCCCGGCACACTTTGACAATATGACACCCGGGAACCGCCCGAAGTACGCGGTCCTCGGATAACGACGCGCCCCGGGATCACGTTTCCCAATTAAGATCAACGTGTCGACATACCCGCTTGCAGAGCTGCACCTCTCTCGTAAGGCTATTCACGTGGTGATGACTCACTTTTGAGAACGGAAACTTTCCTGTCACTGATCTTCTTATTTCGGGGTTTCTCACGTATCCGTGCGCGCTATCATAGACTGTCGAGCGGTTGTGGCGGCTTGACCACCTCGGCTGGTCGATAAGATTAGAACATAACTAGCTGACAACGTATGCGGGCGACGCCACGTTATCAGTGAAGCATCATGACATTTTCGTCATCTCTAAATTTCCAAATTAGTCGACCAGTCAGATGGAGAGCTTGAAGCAGGGATCTAAAAGGTCCGTAAATATACTCCATAGGCGTTAACAGTCAATGAATGAAAGTCTCACGTGCTCGAGCTGAGGTCAGAGCTTCATCAGACCGCTTCCCCGTATCGCTGTCTGTTCTCAGCATCTCAATGACCAGTCAGCGGCCAAGAGTGAGGCATAATGGAGTGACCGACCGACAATCGTGATGATCGCGGGCGGGAAAAGAGGGGACTATCGTGGCTACCGTGGCGGAATATTCCTCATTAGCTCGCCCTGGAAAAGAAGACTATGCGTTTCACTATATTATTTCCTCGTTTAATGTAGTATGTACCTCGTTGCCTTAATATTGCCTTGGATTTCGATATCTGTTCTCGTGACCTGCAATTTAGAGAGGATCCAATCATGATCCTAAAATAGTCGCTTCCAAGGTGGGAACCGGGAAACTGGGTACATCAAGAAAAAGAAAAAAAAACTTTTCCATACTAGGCGTCTCACTAACCTAATTGGGGATTAATTGGGGCCTGTCTGAGGATGATTCCTTCCAAGATTCTTGGTTTCTTCCATTGGCTTGAAGAGGGGCTTAACGTTGCGCTTTTCGTGAACTGGACCCACTACTTGACAGGGTCGTTCTTGGTATTGAATGGTATTAATTCGTCATCACTTAAGATACGGTAGCTGTATCCATGGAGCCCCAGAAAAATGTCTACGTATTCACACCCCAATCGAGTTTAGTAAGGAGTCATGCATGCTCAACATCCTAGGACTTAGGGGGACTATTCGATTCTCCTTTGACGAGTTTTTCCAGTTTATTAGATTCAGGGGTTCTCGGTGGCAAATGAACTCGAACGTCGAAGGGACAAAGAATTAGTCTCCACATCCGAATAGACAATCTAAATAAATAATCACGAGCGTGACCAGGAGTGAAATGAAAGAGTCCCTGCACAAGTGATGCGCATGTAAGTAATACCAGTCAATCTCGCAGCCGCTCCTTGCTACGATCAACAGCCCTAGATAAACCCCGCTTTATTTGCCGTCCCTGCCCTATGGGACGGAACCGTCGGTGGGAAAAAAAGATTTAAATTTAACATTTGTTTCCCCCTTTGTCCTTGTGATTCTGCGGGGACTAGATGTAATTATCGGAGGATTTAGTCTAATGTTACAATAAGGCCCAATTTTAGCTACTGATCATACGACACCTCGAAGCACAAGAATGGGTTCCCGCAAATAAGATTACCATCCATCTTATCTTCATCTCTCCAATGCCTTGGTGACGGGATGATGAATTGCCAATGACATCATGAAGGCGTGCGTCAAAAAGCCCACTCTGGTCGTCAGTAATTACATGGTATGGCAAGCGGTAATATTACACATGGCGCTCGGATTTCAGATGTATTACGGTTTTTGACCGGTATTGACCTCAATCAAATGGTATCTCATACTGCGGGAACTTGACGTTCATTAACGGTACACAGCTATCAGCTAATAGGAACCAGGGGACCTAAAGTCCGCCATTCACCGTGAAAGCTTCAGGGGTTACAGGGATTAAAGTAGTTTTATTGTGATTTCTTCAAACACAAAATTTTGAGAATTAAATCAAATTTGCTAGAAATCTAAAATCATGGGTCGGATCTTCAGGAGAGAAGGGGCATTCCAGGAAGTTTGACTCATCTCCCTTACCCCGATCTCCAGGCGGATCCGAGCATTGATCCGGTCTTAGCAGCTTACACCCCCATTGTACACCAAGACTAACTACATTCAGGAAGACCCAGCGGGATGGAACCGTTGCGCCTCATTTTGGGTTTATTCTCTACTTTGGACCTATCTATCGGCATCTAAGCTCAGGTTACACGCAAACCAGTCGGATACTTTACTTTGATTTACGTGCAATTCTTGGGTTTTGTTCAAGTGTCACATCTTGAGCAACTCTATTCTCTACTGTCGGTAAATTATTGGTGTAAGAGTGGATTGATACCTCCACAGAATACACAACCTCGTTGCCACTTGACCTGTGGACGTGTTGCTGCACGATCCTCGTACGGACATTGACCTCCCAGCAATTTGAAGAAAAAGCAATCAAAACCCAAATCCTGGAAAGAATCGGTGAACAGGTCAGCTTTCCCTCAACTTGTCTCTACACGGCACATTCAGTCCCGACATTGTCTCATCCTGCAGCCACCCCTCCGCACAGCCCCATTTAGATTCTTCGATGCGTCTTCGATGCTGAATAAACTCCTGTACTTTGATCTTACCTATTCCCCACTTATCAGCCTTCTCCTGCAAGAGGGTCATTCTGTCATCCTCGGGCCCTCCACGAATGCAGTGGCCCGTCTTTTCGCTGAGAAATCCAGTTAATGATCGAATAGCGTCGCGTGGCTGGATAGCCCGGCCCGAATCACAATTCTCCCAAGGTGCGAGCCTCGCGCCTACAATTTAACTGGCTGTGCCCATGTGACTCACCAGAACTGATCCTGCTCCTGTTCCCCGGTCCCGGCCTGATAACAGTTGTGCTACACTGCAGTGGCAGGAGGGGAGATGGTTCGCACCGACAAATGGCGTGTTACCGTCCAGGATCGACGATGCTTCCCAGTCCGGTTTAAAATGACGATTTTTCAAATGGGAAAAGGCTATCCAGGCACCAATGAAATGAACCTTCGTGCCCGTCACCTCATATCTCACCGCTCGATCCGATCTGCACGAGGGCATTGATGTGAGCTCTCCGAAATTCACTCCGAGAGATTCCGGCACCTTTCGTCGGTGATCAGAGACAATCTTCTACGTGCGAAAAGTCTATCGGATGGTTTTCTAAGTCACGATACTTTTTTTGAGGTCATGCGACCTCGAGATATGCCAATTCTGCTGCGATGGTGCAGTAGACCCCGGAGATTGAGTGGGTAAATGGTCCGTTGACCCGTTGAGTGTTGAAGCTCAAAACCGCGTGACCTTGATGAGCAAGCAATATATCGGATATTCATCATACTCCTGTCTAGGAAGGTCGTCTGATGCCATCCATCATTTCCGAGCTGCCGAATTGGCGGCTAGAGATGTGGCGCAGATATGCGAGCTGAAATGCCAAAACCAATGATATAACGGCACTAATGATTCGAATCGGACCCAGTAGCAGCCCAGGATCAGCCTACTTTAGCCCACTTTTAACTTCCGCAGCTCTTTCCGTACGGCATCACTTACCGGTAATAGTGTGGATTCAGGGCTGAACTATAGCAAGCCGCTACTCCTTATACGAGTGTCTGGAACCCGCCACGCTCCATATGTTGCTACCGAGATCTCGTTTCAAGATCCGTCGAGGTTTGAAGGATCAAAAAGGCCCTTCTAGTCCACGACGCGTGACCTTCTTTTACGACTTCGTTGATTCACTTTTGAGAAGTTTGAGGTTGTCTGTTTCACCATACGATCTGCACGGCATATCGCGGGCGCGCGAACCTGTTATATTTGGAGCACAGCCTTAGATGATACGCAATCCCCGGCACTATCTACTCTGCCGGGCAGTGGGACACTTAAATTGTTTACTTCAAACAACCTAGAGGCTGGGGAAACGACATCACTCTAAATTCGGCTGGCTTTTCGACCCATCATGTGGATCTGGGGCTGAATGAAAAAAAAAACAAAAGTATCCACTATTTCTGAGCCAATCTAACATCCACTAGGAAATCTGCTGTGGTCAACGTGGCTTCGAGAAATCGGGTGGAATCTGGCACTTACTCCGCCTTTTTCCTTTTTCCGACATGATTACGTGCAGGAACTCAGGCAGATGGATTTCCATCGCCCCAGTTGGTCTCTGATCTATACAAATACTGTTACCTTGGCACTCATCCACGCATTCCTTATGTACTCGCAAGGCAAAATTTCCTGAAACGGTGTGCTAACCGGCACGGCACGGTCGGCCCTCAGACCGTTATCGCTCACTGCTCGAGCGCGGTCTTGGCAGCCCTCAGGACTTGGACGGTATCAATCCGGGGCGACGTATCAATACCTGTTGTGGATCTTCGTGCGCGAAGGAAGTGAGGAAGGCTGACGGTAGTCATGATGGGTGGTTGCTTGGCTCCAGTTTACAGGGATGTGGACGGCAATTCAAACCCGATCGTAACCTATTATTAGTCTTTCTTCCCCAAGTACCGTTATTGCATGCATTTTGACCATGTCGTGTTGGCATATCTTGAAACGCGGCGAATCCAGTACTTCGGATCATCGGTAGGAACACTAATCCGGCGTGACAACACATCTACACAGCCTTGCATTATCCGGTTTTGCCTTGCGCTACTCATCCTTGTGGGTAGATTAGTTCGCTTTAGTTCATATATTCAGGATTTCCATTATACAATTGAAATTGAATTGAATCAAATGGGAAGAAAACACGTAAAAAGATGTAATCTCGTGTTTTTGCCCCGCGCTCCACTTTTCATATCGTTATCTGGAACAACCCGAGGCTCAATTTATGCGAAACTGAACCCGAACACACAAATTACAGCAAAAGGGGTCTGGTTAGGATACTCCGGATGCGAAACAAGGAATTAAGATTTGAATCAAGGACAAGTCATAGAGTCATTGAAAATACACCTGCCCAGGTGGGCTTCTCAGTTCCAGTAATTATGATAATTACCGGAACCCCTGGGTCGAGTGTCCCTTGATTGAGCAATTTCTGGGGACATTTCTATTCGATGTGAGACCTGTTTCCAGACGGAATGCCCTCGCTACCAAACATATAGTGTGTGAGCTCAAAATATACGAGCGGAGTCGGCCGGTGCGGATTGACGTCCCTTTCGGAGCTGGAACCATGGTTGTGGGTGTTCAGCAGTGTGGGGTTGATCGCCTAATGATGATATAATATAGCAACGTACATAGAGATGATCGATGTTGAGGCTCTGTAGGTCGATAATGAAGGGGATATGCTGCAAATGTTGATGGCGGTCGTTTGTCGGTTAAGGCAGTAAGGCGGGCAATATCTTTCACACTTGCCCCTCTTCTGCGCATACTGTCTTCTAGCGGACAAGGAGCCTAGCCACAATGGATTCAGCAAAACAAGTTAGCGAAAGCTTCACTAAAGGTCTACCAAAGGTTGAGGTGAGGCATATTGCTATCTCTATGTATCCTAGTCATTCAGATAAGCAGAATTATTGAACTGATAGCTTCTCCAGCTTCATGCCCATCTCAGCGGAAGTATCAGTCGCCAGTGCCTGCACGAGATATGGAAGAACAAGAAATCAAAAGATCCGAATTTGCCAGTCGAGGATCCGCTAGTGTTAATGCCTGCAGGCAAAGTCGACTACACTCTACAGACGTAGGCAATAAATCTCAAGCGCAAAATATGCATCCAACTCAACCACGCCACTAACACCCAACAGCTTCTTCCAAGTATTCTCCAAACTCATATATCAACTATGCAACGACCTAGAAAGTCTAGCCTACGCCACCAACTCCGTCCTCGAAGATTTCCACAAAGACGGAGTCCGCTATCTAGAGCTCCGAACGATCCCCCGCGCATCCCCAAACACAAATATAACCCGAGAAGAATACCTAAACACAGTCCTGGACACAATCTCAACCTTCAAATCCCGCACCAAAAACCAAATGTCAGTCTTCCTGATTCTAGCTCTCGACCGCGGAAACACGACAGCCACTGAAGCACAGGAAATAATCGACCTTGCCATCTCGAACAAGCCGCGCGGGGTTGTCGGCGTCGATCTCTGCGGGAACCCGACGCAGGGCGACGTCACTATATACCGTGATGCGTTTGCAAGGGCGAAGGCCCATGGATTGGGTCTTACGCTGCACTTTGCCGAGACACCGGCCTCGGGCGCGCGGGATGAATTGGCGATGTTGCTTTCGTTCCAGCCTGACCGGCTGGGTCATGTTATTCATGTGCCTGATGATGTCAAGGCGGAAATTGTGAAGAGGGGGCTTGGGCTTGAGTTATGCATGTCTTGTAATGTGCATGCGAAATTGATTGATGGGGGGTTTCTGGATCACCATTTTGGGTCTTGGAGGCATGAGGAATGCCCAATTGCCTTGTGTGTAAGTTTTTGCCCAGTCTTCCTTTTGTTCCTCTTTTATCCTATTGGGTTGGTGGTCTCAGACTAATGCTGGGTTCCGTTCTCTAGACAGATGATGTGGGCTTCTTTTGTAGCCCTGTCTCGAATGAGTATCTGCTTGCTGCCCAGCATTTCGGGCTTGATCGTGCTCAGCTGGTGAAGATGTGCCGGAAGTCAGTCGACATGATTTTCGGTGGGGAGGAAGAGAAACAGAGGTTACGTGGTATTCTTGATAAGCTTGCAGGATCTATGTTAATCATGAATTAAGGGATCCCAACGTTTTAGCCAGAAGTGACATCAAGTCTAAATCTTAGATTACTGTGCCATGACAGTATTCAAGCCTTTGTGTGTAGATCAAGCGAACAAAAGTATGTATACGGTAGACAATAGACACGAGTGAGCGAGCGCAAAGGAAAAAGGAGATACCTGCGCGCTTCAATGTTGTGTTCTAAGGCCAATGCGTGGTTACAGATTAGGATCTGATGGGATATTCCGTTGGACTTCACCATACAAGTAAGTCTTGGCAACCCATGAGGCATCAGCACTCCAATAAGGATAGCCTCATTCCATCTTCTCCCCTTCTTCTTTTCCATCACCTACAATCCTGTTGATGACCAACCTCAGAGACGTGCAGCTCGCTGCATTCGGTAAGCAAGTCAACCTCGAGGACCTCGCCAACAAATCTTATCATATGGTCAAATTACCTACCCAAATCCAGGATTTCTTCGGAGAAGTTGAATAGCCCGTGTCAATACCAGCATTTGAATCGACACCTGCATCTATACATATATAGGTATGCACAAACACTTGCTCAACTCCCTCAAGGTACCTCCAACACTCATTTTAACACACTTCAGAAAACGCATCGCAGCATAAGCTCGAGCACAATACCCTTTCTCCTCGAACCCCCATCTTCTACCCTTCTTCATCCATCTTTCATATCTACCTCACATACACAACTACCTTAACGGACATCCACCATAAGTCGTGGGTCGCCATCATGTTACATATCACATCCACAACGTTCACGGGCCCAGCCATGATCTTGACAGAGCCTATTAGGACAGGCTCTTGGGTGAAATTCAAGGTGTTCGTTGTGGGTGATAACGCGCCGTTCTAGAGGGCTTGGACGGCCAGTTTCTACAGGCTACAGTGGCGTTCTTGGATCTTCAACACCAATTCTAGGCATCGAAGCGACCGTTACGTATACGTTTGGGAGCATCCAAGAGGCCGAATCAGTATTCCAAGGTCTGTGGTTCCTAGAAGAGACTAAGAGACATATAATAACCAGCTTCCTCTTAGTGAAACGCTTCCCACCAATCCTCTGCCCTCTAACATGTTTGCCGATGTCGACGACTTTAATAAAACGGAGATCCTGCCTGATATGCCTGATACTATGGAGAAAAACCGGAAGATACACTTTACCTACACAATTGAAAAATCAGGGTAGAATTCCAAGACAAAGTGGGTGAAGTGGAGTATCTCAGAGCCTTCTGACACGGTCGGCGACGTTCTCGACAAGGTCAAGGAGACCACTTTCACGTGGCTGCATGCACGCAATGACCGGTGGAGCTCGACAACATCGAAGAGACACGAGATCTGTTAGGGCCAAAATGATACTGAGGCTGCTTTATGGCGACTTACAGCTTACGAGGCAACGAGAAAAGTGGCAGGAGAACAAGGGAGGCAGAAAGAGTTGATCGCCAGTTATTACATAACTTATTCTACGATCTGCATGGGCCACAGCTGCGTCCTCGCTGACAACAAAGCCGATAAAGCCCAGGGGGCAGCGATAGCGAGATATCGCGTTTCAAAGCGAGCAAGTCCCGCCTCGCCAGCACCAGCTCTCCGCAGTCAGTAGAGATGGGTCACAGACCGTCAAACTGCCTATTTTGGTGGCAATATCACTTTATGTATCCATGTGAATGGTTTTAGTTGAATTCCGTTTGTGTTGTCTGGGTCAGTCCTGGGATGAATTTTAGCATTCTATATTGATCTGTCATTGTTTTGCATGATTAGAATTTTCGAAATCATCAATTCAACAAACAACTCTACTCTATCATCCTTGACTTGCTTGTAGGTTATGTGCTTGATCTAGCTTGATATCCCAAAGGTTTATGCTCTACATTGATGCCAATTGAAAAAGCTGCGTTCATTTATTGAATAATTGGCGTGATTATGGATGACGCATTTCAAGTACACATGAATGCATAAAGTCCTGGCATAAAGTGTTGATTCAAGATCTTCGCCTTGATTACTCATTGTGATCATCGTGTCTATATCCCTGCGTCGGGATGTGGAGAGACCCGACTACACTGTACACATTGTCCACCTTTCCCGATCAAGTAATTGATAGGTGTCAGGGCGAAACCTTATTTAAATGTTGTTTCAATCGCTGAAATATGCCAACAGCAAATTCTGGCTCATCGTGTGACGCTCGAGTATTGATCCTGGTATCGATGGGCGGTTGGCAATGTAATCAACTACTCATTCCGAGTTATGGCTTGCGGGTCAATGACGACTGTTAATGATCGCCCTAGCTGACGAGTTTCCCCGCATTTGCAGCTTCGGAACATGTGGGCCATAACAGGGGGGTCCCAACGAGGATCGTCCCTTATATAGACTGGAGATATGGAGAGTCATTTTTGCATATTATTCCACAGCACAAGACTTCTACCCCCGATGAGCGACATTGAAATTGAGAGCCGTGGCAGTACTGTTGATAATGACAGCTGCGCGGACTCAATCGACTTGAAAGCAAAACATACGAACACACTCGGAAGCGTTCAGCTTCGGAATCCAATTACAAATGATATTATACTTGTGCCGACTCCTTCAAAGGATCCCAATGACCCTTTGAACTGGTACGATTATCACAAAATACCAACCTCTCACGATCAGGACCTAATTGTTGCAGGTCGAGAGGCTACCGAATCTACATCGCCATAATTTCCTGCGCAGCCATTTTCCTGGCCCAGTTCTTAGCGGCTGGACCTAGCGTGGACATGATTGGCATTATACAAGATTTATTTGGCATTTCGTCAACAGATCCGGGATATTCATCTGCATTGTCCAAAATGTCATACGCATTTAGTGGCACCTCGTTCGCGCAAGGAATGTCAAATCTTGTCTACATGCCACTCATCATCAAATATGGACGTCGACCGGTCTACATAATCTCGTTCCTAATATACGGGGCATGCGCTCTTTGGGCTGGTTTGGCAAGGGATTATAACGAAGAACTGGCGGCACGAATAATCATGGGGTTTGCAGGTGGCTCTGCTGAATGTCTTGCGCCTCTCACCATCGCCGACATTTTCTTCCTCCATGAACGTGGCCGAATCATGAGGTGTGTTTCAGATGCCAAATACAGCATGATGTTAAGTTTTCAGACTAACAAGATACAGTTATTACTCTGCTGCCTTGTCTTGCGGTGTCTCTGGCGGCATTATTCTCTCAGGTTTGATCACAATCCACCAAAGCTGGCGAGTTATATATTACGTCGCAGCCGGGATGATCTGGGCCTTGGTCATTCTCATTACGTTCACCATGCCCGAGACAGCATATCAGCGTACCTACGCCGACATCACAGATGAAACCGAAACAGATTCAAACAAAGTCCAAGTAGCCCATGCGGAATCTGTCATCCCAGAGAAGAAGACATATGCCCAACAAATGCGTCTTTTCAACTCACCCTACACCGACGAATCTTTGCTGACCCTCTTCTGGCGTCCTTTCCCTGTCTTGTTCCTCCCGTCCGTACTATGGGGAACACTATGCATGTCCGTCTGCATCGGCACATTTGTTGCCATCTGTTCCAACTTCGCGACCGCATTCACAAACACATATGGGTGGTCAACCTGGCAATGTGGATTGGCATATGTCGCTGCTCTCATCGGTGCCTTTGTCGGTGTTTACGGTGGTGGCTGGCTGTCCGATGAGATTGCAGACTGGATGACCCAACGTCAAGGTGGAATCCGGGAGCCAGAAATGCGTCTGCCGACTATAACCATCTCATTAATTCTATGCCCAGTATCTTTGCTACTTTATGCTGTCGGAATTCAGAATTCTTTGCACTGGATAGTTCCGGTTTTGGGCCTGGGAATGCGTGAGTAACGCTCGTTGTTCTCATGGTGTGTCTTACTGACCGTTCTAGTTGGCTTTGTGATCACACAAGTGTCTAATATCGCCATTGTGTACGCGGTTGATGCCCACAGACCTATCGCGGGTGAAGTAGTCGTATCACAGTTAAGCTTTAAAGGTATGCACCCTCAACTAACAGAGAAGTATCGATCTAATATCATTTAGCGGCATTCGGCTTTCTTCTTTCATTCTATACAAATCCTTGGATTGATTCAGCTGGATACCTTAACGCACTTGGGGCGTTGGCTGGTATCTGCGCAGCTATTCTGATTCTGTGGATTCCACTATTCCTATGGGGCAAACAAATTCGAGTCTGGAGCTTGGGATTGAGAGTCATGAAAGGGGTTCGCTGGGGCGAAGATCGGGAGGTTGGCGAATAACGTATTGATAGAAACTGCATGATGGGCATGCCTAGAGTCATTTTGGTCTCGCTAGGTTGGTAGAATTGTATATACGTGCAGTGTTGTAGGTTACACATAGAATGATTAGGCTCTTAGGTTTTGCATATTGATCGGTAATTGAATCCACATATGCACTGCAGTATACCTGGCTCCTGCAGAATGGGTCTCTGATTCGTATGTGTGCTCATTACTTGCCGCCTTTTGGCAATTGAATAATATCGAGTACGTCTCTGTTCATCCACGGAGTACCGATTATTGTACGTAGAAGCATTCTCCTTCAACGGAATTTTTACTTTATCCTTTCCTGAGACAAGTTCACGAATGGTCGTAACAGCTCTTAAAGATCATTTTCTTACCTTCTCATAGTGAAGAACAAATAGAATTAGAATAGCAATCAAAATAGAAATTAAAATAGAAATAAATGACAAAATGTTCGTCGATTAAATCTTCATCGCCAATCGCCGATATTAACAGTATACATGTCGAGGTCTAGCTAGTGGCAAACGTACTCAAAGTCAATATCATGTCTACATTGTCCGTTACCTCAAGGTATTTGTAGCTTGGTTACCATTTGTTAAAAATAAGATCATAGTGTCGAGTATCACCAGTGGAATCTTGCCAGTATGATCGGATGGTTCAGCGGAATACCTTCTTCATCATATGTTTTTGTATGGAACCCGGTTCCCTTCGGAACAGGGATCATCATGCGGCAATGCTAGTGTTTTAGGATAAACCCCCCCTCTAGGAGGCTGCTCCTGCAGGGATCCACCAACTGTACCATGCTTCCGGGGTGCTGGTTTCCTTGATACTAGCCGAATCGCATCGCCGTGAAGTCGACACATAGCAATAGGTGAAAGCATCTGTTAGGCTTTCTAATCGCGTTGGACGTCATGAAGAATGGGGCAATTCTTGTAAAAACCTCCCTCCTCGTTGGTATGGGAGAGTGGGGGGAGTGGTAGTTGCCTGAGCCTTTTCTTAGGTTTAATCTATTTGTAATCAGAGCTACTATGTAAGCGGATATGGAAAGTAAACGGTCTAATTGTGAGATAGTTGGCGTCCTTGCATACATAGTTGCATGTTCCATGACACGCGGCAACATTGAGATCCTCGTGATGATACACTTCGTGCTCCATCACACTAGACTATAGTGTTAAGCTCTGTGTTTTATATCCATTGTCAAATAGTATTCATCATCAGGAAAATATTACAGTTTCGGGCTTGCTTTGTTGGCTTCCTGCAGGTATTTGTGGGTCTTCTTCCTTGTTAGCGATTTCGTATTTATTTATTGTCGTTGCATTCTCTTCTCACTCGGATCAGGGAATGCACATGAGCCAAGCGGGACACAGACTCACTTGTTCAACCGCATCATAGTCGTGGGCCCACTTGAAAAATGCAGGGCTTGTGAAATCGGCAGCAGAATTGGGCTCCATATCTTTGATAGAATCCCAGTCGGCATCAAGATATTTTGGATGCGAAGCCGCACGGTCTTTGTTACCGATGAACATTTGCGTGTTCCAAGCAGCATAGGACTTTATGCGTTCAACCCGAGGTTTTCGGATATTTTCCCAGGATCTAGTAATTATTGAGATATCCAAATAAGGAGATGACAAAATCAATGTTTGCAATACTCCAATATCCTCAATAATCTGTGATAATCCCTGTCTAGAGAATTAGCATATCACTCTAGTTGTGTATCTTTAATTAATCCTGAATCTCGACGTTAAGACAAACCTGTGCTGCGTTGGGTTCCATTGCATGCGCGGAATCTCCCAGTAGGATGGCTCTGCCAGACCTGCTCGTCCAACGAGGAAGATTTGGCATTTGGGCAATTTTCCATCTATCGCACTTGGTCGCCAATTTGAGAACCGCAGAAAGAGGTGGGCAGATCCCCTCAAAACGCTGCCTCAAAAAGACTATATCACCGTCCTTGGGTATTTAGCTTACCAGATGGCTTGCAGGAGTTAAAAAGCATACCTCGTTCCACATACTAGCTTGGCCATCATCATGATTGAGCCCGAACAATCCGCTCCAGAATTCACTTTTTCTAGGCTTGCGACCGACAACAAAACGTTCGTTACCGGCCCAAACACATGGTTCAACTTGCTGTAGCAATAAAGAGGCATCCTTGTCTAATTCTAGGTCTCGCTGTGGCACTGTTACGCCATAGAATACTGAATCGCTGATTTTGGGGTCCACTGACCACCCCGCAGATGTGTCGAACAAGGCTTTGGCGCGTAAGCGTGATCGAATTCCGTCGGCAATAACGATAAGGTCGCCAAAGGTTGTTTTGCCCCCTCGAAGTTGTAAATTTGGCCTTCTGTCTGGTTCGTCCGAAAAGTCTTCCACGATACTGCCGAAGATAATTTCGGCCCCAGCCTGGATGGCATGTTGGTAGAAAATATCTTGTAGAATAGGCCGATGAATTCCCCAATCCGGGTATCTGGAGAGGGATGCTGGCAAAGCACGTATCTTATCCTTACCGGTCTTCAGGTCTCGGATGGAGAACGGGAGACAATTGTCCGCGACTTGTTCAATGGCGTCTCCAAGGCCCCAGGATTGAAGAATGCGAGACGCACCAGGGCGAATCATTAGTTCACTTCCCTTTGGCGATAATTCATCTCGCTTCTCAAAGACCTGTTCAAAATTATTATGAGATGCAATCAAATCTCAGCAGGTAGTCTACTTTCCTGGACATGATGACCATCCTTGGCAAAGCAGCACGCAGCTGCGAGGCCGCCAAGACCTGCACCTACAATGAGGATTTTCATATTTCCCTTGGTTCCGAAATACTTTGGCTTTGAGTCCAAAACCCAATACACTAAAAAGCAGAGCAAATGGAAGCGTGCGAATTTTATGGTGAAGATAGCGATTGATGATTCCCGGGATGACGTCCATCACCTCCGCACAAACGAGCATTGGACGCCTGATCGCACCCAACTGATCCAAAAAGGCTTAGTGGGCACGCCTCACGAATCATTTAGGCTTTTCATCTTAGAAGCTGATTCAAGGTCGCTGTAAGCTTCGCTCTTCTGCTTGTACTCAAAACAACGCAGCGCACTATATACACTAGCCAATCTGGGACGCTGGAGATGTGGAGCTTATCCTTTACCATCTCACCCACATATAAACCATGGATCCATGGCAACAAGATCGCGAGAAGCTCTGTACTAGGACCCTTGATGTGGATCCCATAAAGGATTTTGAATCTGTATCTCTGGGCTGCATGAAAAGCGGCTCCTACGTAGGATTCACAGTCGCTCACACTGTTCACAAAGAAGACCTATCTTGATCTGGAACATTGTCGCTCATCATTGAATAGATTAAAGGTGCAGTCCACTCGCAAGCTAGAGGGCCTATCGATCATGTGAGAAAGAAAAAACAACGAAGGCCAATTCTGGCAAGACTGATTTTCGAGGAATCAACAAGAAACACCCTTGATAAACCATCCAATACATCATGTATATTAGTCTTCAATCAAATCTCAACTTGAATCAATGCTTCCACGCTCTCGCCTCATTGCGGGAAAACATCAAAAACCAAATTCTTTTTGATTTTGAGAAGAAAGAAACTTCAGGGTCAAGGACCCAAGGAAGAGCTGAACTTGTTCTCTTTTCATAAAACACGGGGAGGGAGAGCGGTTTTTGATGGACTTAGTGGTGTACGTTAGTCTTCAATCAAATCTTAACATGAATCAATGCTTACCCGCTCTTGAAACCTCATTGAGATAAGGAAATCATCACTGAAGGAGTTCGCAATGAGTCATTGCAAAAGCCGATCTCTGGTCGCATGTTTTTTGCCATGGTGAATGACTTGGTTTTGAAATTGGAATTGAGTTTGAAAACAGGTAATGGCCTTGATCAGATGAAAATGAAGTATAAGTGCGAGAAAGTGAGAGAGAAAGTTTGAGAAACAGTCAAGGAGAATATGAGAGAGTAGGGTATGAAGGAATAGAAAGAAAAGAGAAGAAGAAATAGAAAGGAAGAAAAAATCCAATTTATAATCTTCGCAAGAAGGTCATCAATTGAGCCAGGTAGCTTTTCATCTTTGAATATACAATGCTAATAGTGCTTTGCTTATCAGGCAGCGAGCTTGGCTCTTCCACTCCTCCACACTTAGTCGGCCATCTCCAGCTTGTTCAAACAGGGCATTGAAGAGGCACTTTGATCTTGAAAATCAATAAATATATTATCTGATCAACTTAGGATAACTTCTCCATGGATGTACTAGATGCTGGTCGACGCATTCTAAGATTCGTATATATACTTTAAACACTTCTGTGCTAATTAACGTATAGATAGGTAGCCTATTGCATAATAAAGCCAAAAGTCATCGAGAAAATTATCTATAAAATAGCTCTGAACTTTTATAGTTCAAGGTGAAGGGCAAAAAGGCCGGCAGGGCAAAAAAAGAAATGTGCTCCCACGCCGGGAATTGAACCCGGGCCGACCCGGTGAAAGCGGGCAATCCTAACCACTAGACCACATGGGATTGTATAGATGAGTAATCTCATATTGGAATCTTATTCATCCGACAAGAAACATTCAATCGCTGTAGACTTCTCAGCTACGGTAACTTCTATGCAAATTAATTCGTTAGCTTTGTGGACACGCACGTACAGCGACTGGATCTCAAATTATTGCGCCATAATGCGGTCCAATTATAATATCGCTGAAAAGTCAGAAAACCATGGAAACGACCTGTGGAGCTCATTGGGGAAAAGGCGCGGAGCCTCGCTGCTACGGTTTTGAGGAATATTCGACTCCCGAGTACCTGGAAGATATTGAATAGAACATTGTATATTGGGATTCGAACTGTTGCCCTTAGATATAATTTATAATGAGCCTGCATCTCCTGTACTGTAGTGATATAAAGGTGCAGGCTAAACAGGGAATATAAGATGTTTGCTAGGGGATCAAAGTTCTGAGGCTTCATCCCTACACTGCCAGATAGCAAAACGACGCACAGGAACTTTCTGCTCGAACATCTCATCTAGAACCTCATAAGATTGACCTTTAGTCTCTGGGTAATCAAAGTACACAACAACAAGATTGATCAAGCTAGTAGCCAGAACTTCCAGCCCATCTTACCACCGAGGTTACCCTCATGCAGAAGGCAGCAGATGTTTGCGAATATTTTGGCAGGCATGATACCACTACAGAGTATCGTCAGTGCGCGGAACGTCTGAACCAAGCTGTGATGACACACTGTTTCCAAAAAGACTTACTAGTCGATGGTCCGGATAGTCCTCTTAAAGAGCGAAATCAGCACTCCCAAGTTTTCGCCATCTTGTCTGGCGCTCTGACTGGGAATCGGGCACAAGAAGTGCTTCTGCGAGCTTTGACTGACCCAAGTTTCGTTCGGTGCTCTTATTCTATGTCCTTCTATCTTATTGAGGCTACGCGCATAACAGGTCTGTATGATCAGCTCCGGAGTGAGTTATTAAAGCCCTGATCAGCTATGATCCGTCAAAATCTGACTACGTGGACCGAGCCAACCGCAATGCCTAGAAGTGACTGTCATGGCTGGAGTGCTGTGCCTATCCGTGACCTCGTGGCTAATGTTGCTGGTCTAACACCCGGGGCCCTAGGGTACTCCGCTATCCGTTTCGAGCCCCGGCGAGAATACTGGGAAAATATGTCAGGAACATTCGCCGTCGGCGCAGGGACTGTAATTCTTGCGTGGCGCCCCGAAGGTCCAGTGGAATTTATTTCCAGCTTCAGTTGTCGTGTGGAACTTTGTGGAACTGACGGGTCAACGGCTTGGCACGAAGTCATCAAGGGCAAAACCGTCACATTCTTCGTATCATAATTGGCTATAATGGATGGCGACACAATCTAACATTGACATGGTGTGTATATAGTCCAGGCTCAAGGCGACCTACTCTTCGATGCCTTGATAATAGAACTTTTATTTCGTGCCAAATCAACAATAGATTCTAAAGAGATATTAACAATCGGTTTCTATATTTAAATTTATTGGAATGAAATGATTCCATGGCATGGGTAGTATTATAAGGTCACTGTGACGTCTGATTATACGAGCCGACAGACTGGAGTATGCAAAATCTCTAATTTACATTGGATATTCATATTCGGCTATAAACTTTGTCTTGGTGATTGTTGTCAACGGTCTGGCAAGAAGTTCCTATTGATGAGACGCATCTTGCCAATACCCCCTTTCTTTCACTTTTGCACCTTCTCTGCTGTCACTTTACTGTCATATTTATGTCACTCTACGGACGATAGAATCATAAATTTAGATTTAGGCGGCGGAGCGGCGGCCTTCAAGGTCACCGTAGAGGTCATTAACTAGCCTAATCCAACCAATTCAATCTGTATTCCGCATCGGCAACCATGGAGATAAGCTTACTATTCCTTTTCAAGAAAGTCCGACGTTTCAAATAGGCTTGGTATATCATGACTTCCCGGGACATATAAGTGCCCTTGAGCTGCGAGTTTCTCCTTCTTCAACCACATCCTCTATCTTCGGAATATACTCACTTTCAGGATATATTCACTTCTCTCTCATTCAGCTCTCTTCGAAGCTTCAACTAAGATTCATAATTCAGTGTACGCATAGACTGTATTATATCATATTTCACCCTCACATACAGCCAACCATCGAAGCAAGTGCTGATATCAAATCGCACAGATGCCTCTCAAAGAGCCTGAGTACTTCGCATCCCCGGAATCATATAACTGGCTCGATGCCATGTCTGGGGATAAATCTTTCATTGATCCAAGGACTTACGAAGTCCATGAAACTGCCTGGATGCAGTATCCGGCTCGCTGGAGCTCCAGGCTTGCCCGTTGCAACCTTGCAAAATTAGAAGGTCGAAGCAACAACAATTTTGTTCAAAAATGGGTGCAGAAAACTGTATCCATCAAGGAAACAGTGGGATACGACCCGGTCCCAGATTTCGAAAGCGAAATAGAAGACGCTTACTCCGACTTGGAGGACTTGGCGGAACTGAAACGCATGTTCCCGATCCAACTGGAGGCTGTTCCTCCTTTCCCCAAACAAAGTCAGTGGGGCAATAGTCTGTTCGCGACACATATGCAGATACATGACAACCAGCTTTTACATGGCTGCAGCTCGCTTCAGACCTCTGACAGTGAGCCTCATACGGCCAGTCAGCCGTACTCCGAGACGACCAGCGTGGTTGTATCTTCTCTCTCAAAATCCCAGGTTATTCATGATGAGCTTAACATTGGAAAGCTCATCATGGACAAGCTGCGACATAGTGTTGTCCGTGGCAGAGAGGCTTACCGATCACTTCATGGTTTAATGAGTTAAGGTGTCTCTCGTGACATATATTTGTTTCGTTTGCATTTGTCTGGTTTTCAATGTTTATACGTGGAGTTTTCCAAAGTGATCTTGAAGTCGACTGTAACATTCTTGTGAGCTTGTGGGCAATACAGAGAAGACAAATGATGTACTTCATCAGGGCTTTATTCCGTTGGCATGTTCTTATCATTAATTGACTTTGACCTTTCTGTATGTATGCAAGGGGTCTCTCATCTCTCATGCATGTCCTTGTACCACTGATGTCTTTTATTATCAGTCTTGTATCCGCATATGTTCATCGCAACGTTGTTATCATGCAGCTGGACGACGAAGTCATATAAATTTGATCCAGAAATATAGGAATTTAATTTATTTATTCCAATGAACAATTTCATGTGTAGAAGGCGGGCCTCTAGGGCTGAGAATTTCCTTGTTGGTTAGTCTTGCCTTGTTAGGCTTAGCATCCAGCGCTCTGATACGTCGTCACGTAACCTCGACAATGGCAGATAGAGTGCTAAGATAGCTAGTGAAGGCTCATTCGAGGAGGCAATATAACTCTGCTCACGTCATCCGAGTTATCGCGATAGGCATCAGCACCGGTCAGCCGCCATCAACTGCCCACCTCGCGCCCTCTAAATTCCTTGAAAATTATTATTTAACGGATCGCACTCTAAGACTTGACTCACCCCGTAGATATTCTATAAATCAACCATGTCGACTCCAGACTACTTCACCAGTGATCCAGACTGGGAAGCATTCGCCACTAAAAATGACATTCCACTGCCTTCGACCACTCCCGGACCACCGTCGGGCCCAATCGACTTCACTCAATTTGATTTCGCATCCATGCGAGCAGAGGAAGCGACATCTAACGCCAAATGGGCCGAAAATCACCCCATAGAAGGGGTCGGCTATACTGCAAAATCGGCCACAGTCCGAGCCCGTGATGGTGCCGATATCGACGTGAAGGTGTCCTTTCCACTATTGGACCGTCTCCAACCTATACGGCAAGACGGAATATCTCTACCAGTTCTGTTCGTCACCCATGGTGGGGGCTGGATTCAAGGCAATCATAACTTGGAAGAATTGTGGTTCTTGTACCCCTTGTATACGCGTTTCGACTTCGTGATTGTCAGTGTTGAATACCGACTAGCACCGGAAAACCGCTTCCCGACCTGGATCGAGGATTCCGAGGATGTCCTAGAAGCCCTACTCGATTCCCCAGAGGGATTTGTCGGTTCAAACGCAAACATCAAAGTGAATCTCAATCAACTTATTCTGGCAGGTTCCTCCTCGGGAGCAGGAATCAGTGCCGTTCTCTCTCAGATCTGTCGTGATAAAGGTATCCCCATCAATGGTGTCATCCTCAACGTACCCATGCTCTGCGACCCTCGTAATTTCCCAGTCTCCGAATATGGTCCCTCTGAAGAGTCCCTCCGCTCGTACACCCAGTGCATGGATATTTTCATGGGCTCAAATGGGTTGCTCGGCATTTGGAACCTGATTCATCCGGATCCCGCCTCGAGCTTGAACATTAAAGCTTCCCCATTGCTTGGGAGCCTGAAAGGCCTTCCACGACATTTGATCTTTGTTGCAGGACAGGATCCATTACGGGACGAGGGGATCGCGTATGTTAGAAAGCTAGAAGAGGGAAATGTATCAGTTACGCTTCATGTCTATAAGGGTGTCCCGCACAATTTCGGACACTATTGGGAGCTAAAAGCGACAAAGATGTTTTGGGAGGATATGAAAGCTACTCTGCAGAAATGGGTGGTTTAATGGTGATATCACGTCTTTAATGTTTGAATGGCTACTTCGTACGAAAGGATCGATTGATGCAAAATCGCTGCAAATGACTATATGGATATGATGGACGATGTGACCAGATATAGTCTCGATGAACCTGTGACTTAATATGGTCCCAATCTTTGACGTACATATGACCCGTCTTCATAACATAATGTCGTAAAATCCACCAGCTTCATAGATATAGAAGTACAATAGAGAAGGCGGTCGGCCGACTTTCCCTCGGCTGACCTTCCCGTCCCGCAATAAACGCCAGCATGCAATCGCAGCCCAGGAACATCAACACCGCATCCTCCGCATTAACCCCCCATTGCCAATCCCCAATCACCCTACAAAATGGATCCCTTTTCAGCAGAGGGCGGTAAGCATCGAACGGCTCCCATGCTATAATTACAACTTACTCACATCCTTTCTAGAGCTTCTCAACATCCACAATGCCTTCCACTCCGGCCAGTACCAAGAGGTGATCGACTTCGAGACCGCCGCACTCTCCCCAGAGAACCAGCTCCCGGCTCGCGTGCTCAAGCTCCGCGCTCAGATTGCCACCGGCCAGGCTGCTGAGGTGCTCGCCACCGTCTCCAGCGAAGAAGATACCCCCGACCTGGCCGCTGTCAAGGCCCTGGCCCAACAGGTCTTGGGCAAGACCGACGCCGCCCTTCAGCTTGCTCAGGATCTTGCTGAGAACTACCCGGATAATGCGACCGTGGAGGTTCTCGCTGCTACAGTCCTGCAGGCACAGGACCTCAGTGAGGAGGCTCTGGCCCTTCTTGCCAAGCACCAGGGTAACCTCGAGGCGTGAGTTATCCTGTCGCATGCTTCACACCCCTAGCCAATATTCTGACACCGTCTGGCTTAGTGTCTCCTTGATTGTTCAGATCCACCTTCAACAGAACCGAGCCGATCTCGCGCTCAAGGAGGTTCAGGCCGCCAAGCGCTGGGCACAGGACTCGCTGCTGGTCAACCTGGCCGAGTCATGGGTGGGCCTCAGAGTTGTACGTGACCACAAACAAGACCACCTGACAGCCTTCCCCTTGCAATGCTAATATAACAATTTCTACGAACAGGGTGGTGAGAAGTACCAGTCCGCTTTCTACGTCTACGAGGAACTCGCCTCCGCCCCTAGCACCTCCGCCCCGCTCTCCATTGTCGGCCAGGCTGTCGCAGAGCTCCACCTCGGCCGTCTCCCCGAAGCCGAAGCCGCGCTCAACTCCGCACTGGAGAAATACCCCGAAGACTCTGAGCTTATTGCCAACTCTATTGTGCTGAACGTGCTGTCAGGGAAGCCAAGCACCGATCTGGAGGCGTATGTCACACCCTTGTCCCCATGGTATTTTGGTATCATGCTAACTGAAGTGTAGCCGTCTCTCGCAGGTCCAGCCATCACACGCCTTGCTCGCAGATATCCAGGAGAAGAGTGACTTCTTCGACGCCGCTGCGTCGAAGTACGCACCCAAGGTGTCTTCTTAATAATGGGTGGTATTGGATTTTAGGAGCATTGTTGAAATCTTGCAAAAATACACCGTTTGTTTTGTGGAGCCTATTCTTTGAAGCCAGGGTGTTGATATCCTGCTTTGTTTATGAGTTGATACGACCTCTGCTTAGTGCTATTGCTGGAAACATTCGTTTTCACTTTATATTTGACTGAACCAATCAATAAGATTTTGAGATAATATCACTTTAATACGTACTTATCCCAGCAGCTGTTATCCTATATTATAGAACCAAGTATAATTTCACAATGCTGTCCAGATGCGTATGTCCAATGCTGTCCAAAATACTGCACAATCAAAGACGAGCAGCAACCCATCGTCGCAGCTCATTTCCAGTGTGCGTCCCCTCCTTGACACCAGCATCAATATAAAGATGCAAGTCATGGGACTCATCATTACCAACAATAAAAGTTGTATTGGGAAAGACAGACTAAAGCCACGGATTAGCCTCAAAACACACATCAACCAGTTCAAAGAAGAGCAACATACCTTGATATTCTTCGCAAAAGCCTCAATAGGCGAAAGCAGAATCTCATCTCCACCCGCCAAAATCAATATCCTCTCCGTCATAGAATCAGCCCACCACTCCACAGGCGCCCTACTAGGCTCACTCCAATTATCACCCTCCTTCCCAGCCAAATAACTATCTGACTGCTTCTTCAACCACGGACTGGTACAAATATCCTTATACGCATTCTCGGTCATAGAAGGCCAATCGAAACTAAAGTTGATCCAAGGCGCGAACCCGAAAACACCCGCCAACGGCGTAGAGAGCTTGAGAGGCTCGATCTCCGGGTGTGGGTGTGAGATGTGTAGCAGTGTTGCCATTGCTAGGTTACCGCCTGCGGAGTCGCCGCCTAGGATGACGTCTGACGGGGATCGACCTGTTTCGTTGAGGATGTAGCGGAGTCCGCCGACTACTTGGCGGAGTTGGGTTGGATATGTTCCGTGGGGGGTTAGTGTGTAGCGTAGGAAGAAGACTGCGATGTCATGGCCGTTGTCGTTTAGGAGTTTGATGAGATCGATCCAGAATGCGATGTGAGAAGTTCGGGCGGCCATGCTGAAGCCGCCGCCTGTTTTTGGATTCATGTAAGCTAGTTTCTTTTGGGGTTCTGTTTGGTCTTTGATCTAATATAGGAGATTGTGTATTGAGTGCAGACGCGCCAATGGCTTACCGTGGTAGTAGACAAGTACGTTCTTTGCAGATTTGTTGCCGATCCAGTAGCCCTCTGTGTTATGAGGAAGAGATACTTGTTCTGGGACAAGACCTCTTTTCTTCATGATTATTTCGTATGCTTCTGGAGTCGACATGTCTAAGTATCTGATTAACAGATGTTAGCATTAGCGCCTGGTCTCGTTGCTTCTTCTGTTGAGTGCAAGTAAAACACATACTGCTTTTGGCGAGTGGAGTAGGGATCATTTCGTATAATTAAACTCAGCAAGTGGTGCTTGAACTTCTTTGGATAGCTTTGGCCGCGAAAAGGGCCTATCAAAGTCGCATAGAGCGCACTGGCGATGATGGAAAGCTTGGAAACATGCAGATCGGCCTTCTCCCACAAGCCCAGCTCAGGGACATCGACTTTTTTGAATGTGGACATTATAGGTAAAGTATGTGTGACCAGATTGGAATATTGGAAAACTAGAAAACTGGGGCCTTGTAGTACAAGTAATGGCCATTCCCCGCACTTGCCCTGGACCCGCCTTGAGTCCGTGAAGAACAACTATAGCCTCGGCAGTTCCCGGTGGATCCGCGGCTGCAGAATGGCGGAGATTTGCAGGGATTATTTACCAGCGATATTGTGAACTTTACATAAGAATCCAACTTCGGTATCCGATCATCACGCATTACTTTCAATTTCCATAGTACTAGTGTTTTCTTCACAAATTGGCACGGCCAGGAGCTATTGATAATTAGAAGTGATAACCTGTTATTGATCGGCGGTGCTCTCACCATCCAGCTCACAAAATGCCTTGTATGTAGTGAAGACATCCTCCTCGCCGTCGCCACTTCCAGTGTTCTGGATAATGCACTCGGCATCAGCTCCCACGAAGAAGACGTTGCCTTCACGAACTTCCTCGGTCTTGTGGCCAATGCTGATGGTGCCCTGACCACCGGTACAGATCAAAATGCTGGGTCCAACAATCGGATCAAATGTCGCCTTGGCACCCTTGCGCTTCAAATCGGTCTTGACTACGCTGAACTCTTCGATCGGAGGATCATACAGTAGCGATGACGAGGCGCTCGAGTATGCCGTCGCATTGAGTACCGTATACGGGTAATCCGTTGGGCGGAGCTTCTGCTCCTCGATGGGCGCGTACGAGTAGGTCAGCATCTTGGTAAGGGTATCCACATCCTTGAACTTAGGGGTGAAACCCGCGCGCACGACGTTATCGGATGAAGCCATGCACTCGATGATATCACCAGACACGTAGGCGTGGATGTCATCGGCCTTCAAGAACATTGCCTCGCCAGGCTCGAGCTTGATGAAGTTCAGGAAGAAGAAAACAAACAGACCAATATCGTGGGGGAATTGTCCGTTGAGTCGCTGAATGATGGCAGCCAGCTCAGCTGGGTCACTCGGGTTGGTCTCGACCTCCTCGGGCAAGGTGCCGAAGCTCGCCGGCGAGCTCTCTGCCAATTCAATCAAGGCCTTTGAAGCAGCCTCGATCTTCTCTGAAGGCGACTCCATCAGTGAGGTAAACACGGAGCGCAACGCGTCCTTGTTTCGCTGCACTACAGCCTCATCTTCGGACTCTTCATTCCCTTTCACGGTTTTCTCAAACTCGCTGGTGGCTTGTTCGCCAATCAAGGTGCGGAGGGGTTCAATTGCTTTCAGGGCATGAACGATCTCGGCGAGGGGGCGGAAGCCACACAGTCCCTCGAAGGGTGTGATGGCAATGGTCATCTCGGGCTTATGGTTGTCATCTGTCAAAATTTCCACGTTAATCTCCAAATGCATCACAGCTCTCAGTATCATCGCTTACCGGGGTAGTTCTTAGAGTCCCGCGCATGAAGCTGCTCTGCCAGCTTCTTGTTGGGGTGGGCCTGGATGCTGAGCGCTTTGCCAATAGAAAGCACCTTGAAGAGGAAAGGAAGCCGATTAGCATAGCGCTCGCTAACCTCCGTCGAAAGCAAAGCCTGGTTATCTTGGACGAGATCGAGGAGGGTGCGCTGGGTTTCGACATCTTTCGAGGGCAGGGAGGGGTGAGTGCCCATCCACAACTAGAATAACGAGTCAGTATTTCGAATTCACCAAGGAAAATCGCCAAATCCACTCACCTCCGCATAGGGCTTCTCAGACTCGATCGAAAAATCCTGGCCCGCCGTTGTGGCCGCATATCGAGCTGCAGCGGACGACTCGCCGACCTTGCCTATGACGGAGTTAGTGCGGGGCATTCGTGGGTGCTGTATTTGAGCTCACCCCAGTCGTAGCTGTTGACGCCTGCGAGAAAATGTCAGCGGAGTTGGCAACTGAATATGGACTTGGACATACCGCATTGTAGTCTAAGCAATGGAATCTGCATCGTGAAGAGTGTGAATGAGTAGATTGGAAGGGACGTCTCAGTGATTTTCTATTACGCAGAATCTCCACGCCAAGACTCTCGGTGAGCTGCCACTCAGGGTCCGGGGGTTCCTTTTATTAATGAAACCAAGTGGACACCGGGAAGTCATCCGACAATATTCCTGTTTGTGGTAGTTGCCACTAAACAATGACAATGTTACCTAGGGTACTTGGGTACCTGATATTGTCCGCAAGCGTCATGTTGAGGTAGTAACTATACTTCCGCTTTAAGGTGGTGGAACAGCTCAAACACGGTTTCGACAACAGAGAACAAAATGACACTTCTAGAAAACCAAAGTTTATTTATTACATGACCAATAAAGCTCACATGTTACGCTGAGATAGTAAATATATAGGTATTTACCATCCTGAACACCAGGCAGCGTCATCGCTAATCCGAGGCTTTCGAAGCCTTGTACCTCACCCGTAGATTGTCATCATAAGATCTTTCGGGCATTTACTGCCTTCTTCCAGATCTTTTCCTCTCTATCTATTTAATCTATTAGCTCATACTTCATATTAGATAGTATTTATATTAATTCTGGATGGTATAGTTCGAGTACAAATGCCAAGAACAGGCGCGCGGTTGAGCCGACCGCCTTGCTTATCGGAATCGAATCTCCCGAACCCCAGCTCTCCAACACTGACCTCCGCTTTCGCATCTCCCCTCTTTACTCTCTTTACCCCGGGCACGCATTCTCCCCGCTCGGCACCCGATATACCAATTTCATAATGTCTCGTAATCGACCCCGGCCTAGAGACAATGGGCTCGGCAACAATGAGGAGATGGAGCTGTGGACGCGCATATGTCAGGACATCCGCAAGTCCAAAGACAAGTTCGATCAGCAAGCTGCTCTATCCGCGCAAATCAAGACTCTGGTAGAGAAAATTACCCTGAATGGCAACAGTGAGTTCCGCATTTCCCTCCCGCGTCGCGCAAATACCTCCGCAACGGACGACCCACTAGGTCTCCCCCGCGTTGAGCGACGCGTGCTGATCGCGGGATACCCACATGTGCGATATGGACTAAAAGTAAGACTTTGAACCCCAAGAACCGACGATGACCGAGCATGACCAGCTTGATACATGGCTACGGCAGAGCCAGAAGCTCAGCGAGGAGGAACGCTCCATCATGATGGATGAGCCATGCGATGTGATCAAGAATTTGGAGCTCCTTACTGCACTGAGGAAAGCTTCCGAAGCTGAAGCGCCCCCGAATCGATCATCTGCACTATCTAAATCTCGGAAAAAACGGTCGGATATGGAGAGCTCGGCGACTGATTCTCCTGGTGCCTCGGGTGTTGACAAGTCGAGTCGCTCCAAGGGTATCGTCCCGCGCAGCGCCAGCGTGTCAAGCACCCAGGCGCGCGAGGGCCGTAGTGAAGGGGTTGCTGTGAAGATTGAGGAAGGGTCCGAGGGGACCAAGGGGACTGTCGCTGAGCGCAGTGGTCTCCTCGTCGTGGGAGCTCAGGTGGTCTTCAAGCACAACAAGAACAAGCAAGGGGTGGAAGGCGAGGGAATACAATGCATCATTAAGAACATCTCCGGTGATGGACACAAAAAACGGTATGTCTATATGGATGCATCGCCCGATCGCATGCTGACGGCTCCCCCTGCAGGTGGTATGATGTCCAGGATCCTGAGCCAAATGAGAATGGCGAGCAGGGCGCTGTTTACAAAACTACAGCCTCATCTCTCATCCCCATCCCACAAATGAGCGGCTCTTTGCCTTCGTTCCCGACGGGCAAGCAGGTGCTTGCGCGATACCCGGATACAACTACCTTTTACAGGGCCGAGGTAATGGGCGCAAAGAAAGATGTCTATCGTCTGAAGTTCGAAGGCGAGGAAGATGACAAGGAGATGGAGGTCGACCGACGCTATGTTTTGGATATTCCTAACAAGTAGTTCGGTTGACTCAGAGATTATTCTATGATATGATGATGATACCCGTTAGCGAGGCGCAACTTCGGAGTTTGGCAGATCCCCGTGGATACCGGGCAATCATTTGTCTTGGCTTCCATTCAGGATTAGCAATAAAATGTCTTTTTATATTGAAATCGTCACACTGTAAGATATAGCTTTGTATACCCGCATGAAGAACTCGTGCTATGGAATGAATGATGAGTTTCTAGGCAATTGCAATGAGCACAAGTGTTGGCAAAGCATGAAATTGTGTACAGCTCACAGGGACGATGTCATCGCAGAAAAAGAAGGCAGTTTGACCAGTAGAAGGGAAAAAGAGCCGTGAAAATAAGTATCAACAAAAGGTATTTGTGGATTTTCCGTCAGGATTTCTGATATTGCACAGTGAAGTTATGCACTACGGCCGCAGCCATCATCAAGATCTTAATACACATCAACCTCTTCTTTATCATATGTACTAAGATAAGTATATTAACTAGTCAATGAACAAGAGATGAACTTATATTCAGTAGGTAGTAGTAGTAGTAGTAGTAGTAGTAGTAGTAGTACTGTACCCTAATATAACTTACCTACATTTAGCTTTGACTCAGGAGGAATCCAGTATTATATATTACACCCCAACGCTAGTTGACGGTAAATTGGGCGCTGAAAATGGCTACCTAGGACGCCGTTTTTAGCGCCCTTTTTACCAGAGGCTGAGTCATCGCTCAGGCACGTGATACCGATTAGCCCACTTCTCCGGTCTGCTCAGGGAGCACTCAGGGTCTACTCAGGGAGCGCTCAGGGACTACTCAGGGACACTCAGGGAGTACTTAGGGACTGCTCAGGGAGTACTCAGGGAGTACTCAGGGACGCTCAGGGAGTACTCAGGGACTGCTTAGGGACTGCTTAGGGACTACTCAGGGACTACTCATGGACTGCTTAGGGACTACTCATGGACACTTAGGGTAAACGATCAGAAATAACGTGAGAGGTTATCCTATGTGCTCTCCGCTTGTAGCCGCTTAATGTAATTTCAGGATACGCTCTTACTAAGGGCGTAGTCCATAGTATAACCGATTCTCAAATATTTAAGGGACTCACTCCCCTGCTAAGTCTTGTCTTCATCCAATCTTCTCTATATAAAGAGAAACTTTGCGCCTGGCTACATTCTAACCTCTTCGGAGTGACGGTCTATACCATCACTTTTTTTTGCTATACCTGGTCGTTTTCGCTTCTCCCTTTATGTCCGTCTCTACTGGCCATTTTGGCATCTAGGATCATGTCTATTGCCAGCGATTCGAGGAAGAGAAAGAAGTAGATATATGGCCCTGAATACTATCACCAACGTCGACGCTATCTGGAGGAAGGCGTCGTTTAAAAGCGGTATGCTATTTCTACAAAAAACAATATTGACCATATCAAGAGAAAATGGAAAAGGTAAACGTGGACGAAAACTCTTCCTATTGGAACTACAGCTAAAAAGTTAGGCATTGTGCCTTTTTAGGAGAAGACCCCCTCCAATTTCTTGTTACGGCAAAAAAAGGCGATGTTATGATATTCTTGGAGTGGATACTAGACAACTACAATATCAAGAAGTTCAGCAGCCTGCACGAAAACTGGCGTTTATGGTGTTAGCTCTACCGCAAATCCGTGGGACGTAGTCTTTATGCAAAATGCTACCAGGAGATAAATAATATGAGCTACTCTCCCTCACACTCCTTTAGAGTCTAACCAAACGATCTTAGTTCATAAAGGAGAACCTGGTACCATCTTATAATATCGATATGTCTATTAGTGAGAAACCAGTCATAAACGTCGACGACTTATACGTGGTCCTTCATCACCACTAGACCAAAGACGCGACCCCCTACCCTAATGGTCGCCAAATTATTCAACTAGCCTTTCTCCTGCTAGTATCAGCTTACACCGCAAGCCAACCAGGGGCGCTTGTATACGTTAAGAAAAACGAGCGAACCAATATTCAGCACTTCTTCAGCAATTCTTCTAATAGCGAAGGCATGCATAACACAGAGAACTAGGACCTTAGGTCTAAAGATCTCAAAACTCTTTGTTACAGTTAGATAAGCTTGATTTTACTACCAAACCCTAGCGGTGCCCAAGACCACCTTATCATAGAGGTAGACTTAAAACATACCAAGGGCCATCATAGCAACCCAAAAAGGTAAGTTAACTCGTGGCTTAGGTCGTGTTTATCTAACTGATCAAATCTTAAAGAAAAATATTCTTGATGTCGGAAGTAAAGCAACCCATCTTCGATATCATAATCCTTGTCCTTACGATGGCCATTCTTAATGACGCGTTCGAATCCAATATCAATTCTGTTAAGGATATTTTTAAAACCAGAGTACTCTCGCCTCGTCGCTCTCTAAAAGTAAAATTCAAACCAGAGAAACTAAATATGCCGATCTACCGTCAGCCCGTTTCAACCATTTCAGGAATAAAGACCCATAGCATCAAGCCTCTTAAGTACCACACCTACCTTTATTATCTTCAACGGTTAAGTTTAGCTATCGGGATGATTCGGGCTATAAGACCTTACGATCTTCGGCGCGGCACTAGAGAAGCCGTCGATAGTAAGTTATGCTATTTTGCTTAAGGTGGTACATCAAGACTAACATTAAGGTATTATTCAGAAACGATATCCCTCCCCTTACTCCAGCAGGTAATAGGCCACGCTTATGCCAGCACCTTTCAGAAATACATAAACCAACGCGTCTAGACACATATTTAAGCCGCCTTCCTTAGCGTACCCTCGCAAGATACGTTAATAAACATTATCAGTCACTAAAGTCGCTATATTAACCCCCGAGCCCTATCTCACTATAAGGATCTATTAACGACCGCGAAACAAACATAGCGAGACTACCCTAAGATCGTATAGTTAAAGTAAATGCGCGATGCTCTTGCTACGGAAGCTAAAGAACTCTACGGATCTTTAAGCAAAGCTACTAGCACAAAGCTCGGGGAGCTTAAAGACAAGACGGATGCTCTACTATGGACAAAGAAGGCAAAATTAAAGAATAGAACTTTCATTACCGCCCATAAGGTTTATTTTACCACAATTAATACCCTAGAAATCAATAAGCAACTCGACCCCTCGCCACTAGACCTAGACTAGGGTACATACGAGCCGAAAGCAATTATTCACTATCTTAAAGAACGTCGTCAGGTTACGGAACTAATACACTTATCGTTTTAGGATGCTACTAAAAACGAAACGGAGCCTAAGGATCTCAATGAAAGTCAGTCGCTTACTAAGAGGCAATTGGCTTTCTTAAGACTTTCTAAGAAAGACGATATGGGGCAGCGTATTATCCTAATTAATGCATTAATCGACCTCGGTCGAGTCGAAAAGGTGCCATCCAAAAGGACTATATCTAAAACCGAGTCCTAGTATACGGCCAACGACAATCAGACCTTATCATATAAAGTAACGTCTTACTCAAAACAGGATTAATCTTCGTCGCCCGAGCCGCGCGATAGTCCGATCTATCTAACAAATCGACACTGTCTATTTTGCGTCTTCGAACCTAATTTCCAGTGCTATTTTACCACGCCATAGAAAGCCAGAGAATATTTTAAGAAACACCTCCGCGCATTAGAACGGAACGGACGCATACCGTGTCCAGATCGATTCTGCAACCTTATCTTACATGGGCACCAAGCCCTTAAAAACCACGCTAAACGTGTCCACTCGGTAACTTACTTTACTAAGGCGCAGCGCATTCACGCTGGTTTCTAGGTGGCTAGAATTCTAGGAGATTGCTTTAGTCTTAAACCTAAAATTCATTAAGCCAAGGCATGCGCTTTACTATAAACCAAGGAAGCTTTAGTTCCCTATTCTTCACTTTAGTCCTAACTAGCGAAAGATATAACTTAAGCTTAACCCATACTTACAAAAACGGTATGTTATAAAACGCGTATATAACCATACGCAGCCATACCGCCATAATTTATCATGCCAGTATTATATGGAAGTAACGAGATGTTTCTATAACGTATCATCGAAACCGGCCGCAAGAGATAACGTATTCGATCATTTAGAGCAGCTTCAAGTATAAGCGGCTGCTTAATGCAGTGACGGACACGAACAGCATTCACCAACATTAGTTCCCAAAATTGGTGAATTCGGCAACTACTCTCACGATTCGCCTCGATTAAACAACTTCATTTTACTACCATCGGCTAATTACACCTACATCAGAGGCAGCGTTATCAGGATAGTGCAAAGTCAATTTACAATTTTCTTAGAGGCGATACACTAAAAATGAAGTATATCACTTATATCTATCCTTTAGTTACTATTCATATCCAGCCGCTAGTAAGTTAATGCCATGCCTATCGCTCAGGGAAAGGGCCTAGTCATACCAATTAAGGGCACAATTTCATTCGTTTTCAATTCTACAGGCCATCATATTTTAAGTAGCTTGTGTTTCTAATTCCAGGATTCTTTAATACATCAACGGTGGAGTCATAGGAGAGAAGTAGCGGTGGGCCTAGGCACTTCGGTGAAAGTTCGCTTCCCGTAATTTAGGAAAAAAAGAAAGCAAGTATTACTACAATTAAAGTAAATCAACCCTCATCAGAAATACATCAATCGAAGTATACAAAAGAAGTCATCCCGCTCGCTAGGCCGATAAGAAATCAGTTAAAGGCAAGATTTTCTTTTTACCAGCTGCCCTAAAGGCTTTAAAATTTATTATTCGGCCACTTAACGGCACGTGTCAGTTTAGAATAAGTACGTGGCCAAACATCTAGTATATATCAAGCGCCTAATAGCTAATCTAGTGACCTACCCTAAATTTAGGAACAGTGTTCTTCGCAGCACGCCGGGAGATATTGCGAGATGGAATATGCCTTCCAGCTCCACAAATTCAGTCACCAACGGAAAGTAAGGATTTGAGTCCTTTTCGCAGACTTTTATCTTCATATTCTAACATCAAACAGCATTACAACAGGTTCATATAACCATCACAGTCTCTATTCAGGATACCAAGCTATTTCTATTCAAGCGTCTTATACATCAAAAATCAATTTCATAGACGTTCCCGCTATAGAGACCATAATCCTCCCAAGGTCTTCTTCCATAGCATTTGCCACTTACAATAGTATCACCGCAGTAAGCCATCCAGTACCCATCCCATCCATCCCATCTTACACATCGCGAGGGACCGCGAAAACAGCGTTTTCAATCCGGAAACTCAGTGTTTTTTTGGTGTCATTCTATATCTCGATTTTTCTTCTTTAATGTTTCCCTTCGGACCATCATCTGCCTTAAATGAGTTTGGGATCCGGACATTAAGCTTTTTTCATGCAGAATACAGTATACACTGCCTAGAGCTAAAACAAGGTCTTCCAGCTTTAGTCATGCAAAGTATGACCTAGGCGGTGCTTATATCTTATTTCGCTGGCGACACAATACAATGGCTTGCTTAAACTTACATCTTAGCGCATAAATTCCATATTAACCAGAGCATTGTGAAAATCGAGTACAGTGTAGTAGTAGTAGTAGTATTCATTTACACCGACCCCTCGCCGAAGTTGATTATAAACCTCATCCGAACGGATTCGTTTTTGGTCTAGTTGGATAAACCAACTGGTTATGAGCCCGGATTGCGCGACCTCTGAGCGCACAGGTTCGATTCTCACAGATTGCGTCCTTAAAGCAACCAGAGCCTTCAGAATACGGCCTATGATTGGCCACACAGCCAGGCAGCAGCAGAGCTTCAAGTGCACGTCCCCAGCCTTGTGTCTAAGGTTTACGGGGGAGAGTTGATTATAAACCTCATCCACTAGGCTGAGAACGGATTCGTTTTTGGTCTAGTTGGATAAACCAACTGCCGAAGCGATATGCAGTATACAGCAACTATATATCCGAGTATGTACATGTAGAGTGATCCACTTCCTGACAGGAACTTAGAGCCTCGTCACGGCCTATCGTGGCCCATTGCCGCTTCCATCGTTAGGCTGCCCTTATGGCGCACGACTGCGAAACCGCTGTGACGCCTCGGCGAAGTCCAATACAGCTTGAACTGTTTTGGTTCGCGAGACGATGTCTGGTTTACCTTTCTCACCTTCATTTGAGCCTCCCAGCAGACTCGACACGCTATGAAACGCATCCCCGGTATTTCTTCTCAATTCTACCCGCAGTTCTCGTAGATTGGGACACTCCAATAATACATGGCTGACTGTCTCCCGCGCTCCGCATTCACATTGATCATCGTCGCGGAAGCCAAATTTCTTGGCGTAGGTGGACAACCAGTTATGGCCCGTGCGTAGCTGAGTGAGCAAATACGCTCGATTCCTGGGCAAGTTCCCGTACAGCTTTCTTGTGTGTCTCGCCGGTAGGGTACTGTCAATTTTCCGTAGGTGAGCGCCTTTGGTGCTTGATTTCCACTCTTGCTCCCACTGGGCATGAATCTTGTCGCGAATGAATGCATTTTCCCTCGTCAGCAGCGGCCGGAAAGAATGGGATTTGCCCGGCTGCGCGGCTTCCTTGGCCAGTCGATCCGCGGCGTCGTTCCCGGCGTTTTCACAATGTCCTGGCATCCATTGGAGGCGGAGCCTGACATTCTGTGCTTGAACCTCGGTCGCTGTCTGGAGGATCGCGTGGACAATTCGTTGTCCCGACCTATTCCTCGCGTTTTGGATTGCTTGCAACGCCGATCGGCTATCGCAAAGGATGGTTGCTGTTATGTGCGCGCTGCTTCTAACGATTGAATGTTGGTGGGCCAGCCTGAACACCATATCGACCGCGTAGAAGATGCCGATGAGCTCTGCTACGTGGACGGACCAACGTTCCATCGGCCCTACCTGGACCTGTTGAGATTCGATCACCTCTTCATGGTCGTTGAGCGCGACCATGGCAGCTCCCAGATGACCCTCACGCCCGGAGGCGTCCGAGTAGACGACAATTTCTGACGTTTCCCTTACAGAATCCGCTCTTTCTCTCGCTATCTCTCGGTCGGGTTCAAGCTCGATCTCCGTGAAGGCGTCGGTTCGCCACGGCGGCAGCGGACGTCGGTCGATCGTTTCCAGCTCATTGAGCCTGTCAACGTCCATGGTTTTTAATGCTTCCGCCAGGGGAAAACGCGCGTACGATCCTACATTGTTTCTACGATTCTGAGCCCGTGATAATGCGCTCCAAATGGGGTGGTCACGCGGTAGAGTATATAACCTCGCAATGGTGCGCTGCGCGCGTTGGCGGAGGCGGAGGTGCGTAGGAAGTATGTGAGCTTCGACTTCTAACGTTGCGGTGGCCACTGTCCGGAATGCCGATAGAATCCGGATCAACGCAGTTCTCTGTACTGTGTTCAAGTGTCGCAGGTGAGTCTTGTCCCGGAGCGGATCATGCCAGACTGTCGAGGCATAATCTACGACGGGCGTGACACATGCTTGGTAGAGCTGTCGCATTTGTTCTGGACGCAAGTGTCGTAGTCCACTTAGAGCGATAGTGATCTTGGTGGCGCGTTTGATAGCTTGCTGAACGTGTTCCTTCCAGCGAAGTCCTTGGTCGAACACCACCCCTAGCAATTTGGCTCTGAGTGACGGTTTGATGACAGCTCCATCGAAGGTTAGACCTTCTAGGTGTTCTCCTTTCTTTCGGGTGAGGTGTATGAGCTCGGTTTTCTCCGCCGCGAAGCAGGATCCAGTTCGTCGCGCCCACTCTTCGATACGAGGAATATCCTCAGCCTGTATTTTGGCTACATTTTCCTCGGCTGAGCGGCCTACTCGCCATCGGAAGTAGTCGTCAATGAACGCCGACGCGCCTCCGTGGGAGTCAACGGGCTGGTCGACCAGATCGGCGTTAAAGAAAGCAAACAGGATGGGAGACAGCGGCGAGCCTTGCGCTAGACCTGCATTCACTAGCAGCTCTGTTTCCGTACGAAAATCGTCGAATCCAATGTTGGCGTGTCGGTCACTCATGAAGCTCGCGATCCATTTTCTTGCCACCACTGGGATCCCTCTCGCCTGTAAAGAGGCATCTAGGCTCAGCCTATTTACCCCGTTGAAGGCGCCCTTGAGGTCGAATGCGATTAAAGTCACCACCTTGTGTTTATACCATGCTTGGTCGATCGCATTCGACAGCACCAGCAATGCTTGCTCGGTGGTTCGGCCCGGGCGTCCGCCGAACTGGCTGTTTGGTAGCAAGCCATGCTTCTCTGCCAGATGAGATAACCGTCGGGCCATCACGGCCTCGAGGAGCTTCCCGAGCGTGTTCAAAAGTGAGATTGGGCGGTAAGCGCCGGGCATCGCGTAATCTGGCTTGCCCGGTTTCCGTAAAACAATGATTTTCGCGCTCCGCCATGGCTTTGGGTGGTGTCCTAAGTCTATACACGCTCTGAAGATGCTAATGATGAAGGGCTTCAAATATACCCATAGTTTCTTCCAGACCAGCATCGGTAGATTATCTTCCCCTGGCGCAGTGGTCCCTTTCGCTGTTTTCAGTGATCGCTCAATCTCCAGTTCGGTGATCGGGTGCCACGGAAGCTCTGGTTGTGGCGACGCTGGTGGGCTGGGATCGGGTGTGTTCATTGCGGGAAAGAACGCTTCAAGGAAGGCCCTCGCTTTCTCTTCGTTCTGGGTGAGCTCTTGTGAGCCCACCTTCAGGGCCGGGGTGCACCCCCACGTTTCTCGAGGCTTCATGTAGGTCGCAGCTTTCCAGAGCTTCCCTTCACCCGCCTCGTCCAAGAACTGTCTCCAATGCGATGCTTTGGCCTTCTCTATGGTCCGGGTCCACGCTCGGCGCTTCTGTTGCATAAGCTGAAATGCTGTAATAGTGCTAGCGTGGCCTCGTCCAAGCTCCGCACAGCTCGCCTGCCATCTTCGGCGCAGTTGATTGACTTCGGCTTGTTGGACCTTGAGATCTGGTGTGAACCACCGTTTGGAGTATGGTGTTGGGCGAGTGTCGGGCGTGAACTGGTCGACTGCCTGGGCTGTCACTGCTGTGAGCTTCTCCACAACCCGGTCGAGTGTTGGCCGGGTCCTGATATCCTTCCAGGGGCTCATCTTCCGAGCTACCTCCTCGCCTATTCTGGCCCAGTCCGCGCGCTCATACGCCTTTCTCACTTTGTCGTTTGGCTTGCTCTGGGGTTGAATATTCCACTCTGAGTACGTGGCACGGTGGTCGGATCCGTAGTTCTCGTGATATAGATGGCACTTGACAAGCCGTTCTGGTTGGTCTGTCACTGTTAGATCGATGGTCGAGTTTTGGCCTGGGTTGTTCAAGGCCCAGTAAGTCGCTGTTCCTCGGGGGAGGCAGCTGTGGAGGTTGTGGCTTTGGAGAAACTCGATCAGGTCCCTGGCATGCTCGATGAATCTGGGTGGGATGTGGTTGCCGCCCCACAGTGGGTGATGTCGGTTGAAGTCTCCGGATAGAATGATGTTTGTCGGCCGCTGCTCGTTTTGCAGCGCGGCCGTGATGGTGTTTTGTATTGCTGTAAGGGCTGGTAGTGCTGACTCGTCGTCGCCCATGAAAAGCGGTGCTGGAGGTATGTAGACCGAAAAGAGAAGGATTTGGGAGTCGGCTGACCAGATCTTGATGGCTGCGATATCTGGGTGGTCGCAAGGTATCTGGCGGTGTGAGGAGGTAGAGATTCGTCTATTTACGTAGACTAGGCTGCGGAAGCGAACTGCGTCGGTCTGCGTGGTAGGTCGATAAAGTCGCCAGGCGCTGTGGTTGACATGCGTGCGATATGTGGTAATGGATGGCTCCTGGATCAAAAGTACATCCAGATCTTGGCTCTGAGGATCGTTGATCAGTGCCTCCATTCTCGGTCCTGATTTCATTATGTTCAACTGTAGGACGCGGAGGTTTCTCTCTAGCATCTAGCGGGGTTAAACGCCGCTGGAGCTGAGCACTGTCGATCACCAGTAGGGTGTTCACCACTACAGTCGAGGCATCGGGCCCTTACTCCGGGTGGGCAGCGTTCCCGTTCGTGCTGGCCCGCACAGTGTCCGCATCGTGGCGTTTCCTTGCACGTCCATGCTAGATGGCCAAACCGTTGGCATCGGAAGCATCTCTTCTTCTTGATCTCGCGTCGCTCCACCTGGTGAATATAGTTCCCGCTGACAAGGAACCCTTGCCGAAGCATATGTTCCGCTCCGTCTGCGGAGTCGAACCAAATTCCCAGAGATGCGAACTTCCCTAGGGTCTTATCTTTTGATTTCATCCAGGCCAGCTCTTCGATGCGAAAGCCGTGTTCAGCTAGGTCGTTATCTTCGATAATTTTCTGTGCCGCCTGAGTGGCCCTGGTTTCCAGGTCAAATTCTTCGGTGGGGGTTCGGTGTACGACGACACCAAACCGTGGCTTTACCAGCTTGGTGTGGTTGCCCAAGTTATGTAGCCACTTAGTGTTGTTGCGGGCCGCCTCAGTCGACTCCGCGTTCTTGAATCGAATGATATAGCCGGTTTTGGTAGTGCCGATTCCAGCCACTTGGACGTCTTGCGTTGCGGCTTCGCTCTGCAATGCGGTGCGAATGTGGTTGTTGGCGGCGTCGATGGGGAGGTATCGCCCGAAGGCGTTTCCATCATCGTCATTACTGTCTCTTGGGTCCACAAAGGTTCTCTGAGTGCTGATTCGAATGCAATTTTGCTCCTTTTCGGGTTTTTGGCGGTTTAGCGGGGAGGTGTCATTGCGGCCGCTAGCTGCAACTGTGGCCCAGGTCCTGGTAGGCGTCGCTGGTGGGGCGTTTTCCACTTGTGCTCGCAACGCTTTCACCTCCTCGTGCAGCTTTTCGTTCTGTTCCTGGAGAACATTCTGATTGTGTTTGATCTCCTGCAGTTCATCTTGGGCAGCTACGATGGCCGCGGTTTGGCGGCGGATGACGTCTTTCAGCGTGCCGATGAGTTTCCACACCTCCTTGGTGGTGATTCGAGCAGCGGGGTCCGCAGGTGCGAAGACATCGCCGCTCCGGGTTCGCTTCCGATTCTCAGAGAGCAAGCTGGAGCTGTCAGCCGCTGTCGTAGCCTGCAGTTCTTCCCCTAATATGCTGGCGATCGTTTCTTGGGTGTTTGTGGGAAAGGGCTCGGGCCCTCCCGTCGGTGGGTCCGACATCGCTTTGGGGATGGTTCCCGCTCGGTACACAACGTTAAAGTTTATATCGCTGTATTATCGACACCAACTTTCCGAGTCGTTCCTCGTCCGGCGTGCGTCGAACTATATGATGTACAGTAGTCGAGGTGTACAGGATCGAGGAGTACAGTGGCGACCGCTATCGCCTTCCATGTAGGACAACATAAAGAAGTTCTTTCAAACCCTAATCACATGCGGCGCCAGTCCCGATTTGGTTAGATTGGTATTGGAGGCCCGTTCTAAAGCTGAATTGTGAATTGCTAAATAAGGAAACACTAGTGTAAGTAATTAGTGAGCGTAATCTTACACTTCCAAATATACAGTCTAGCATGCCCGCGATGGTGTGGTAAGTGTACCAACTTGGACAGCAACCTCCCAACATGCCGCCGAATTGCACGAAACCTCGATGCGTAACTAGCAGAGCAAAACCCTATGATTATAGCAAAAAGGGACCTACGATTTAGCAAATAGCTTACGTAGCCAAGTGTAGTGAGCGTTCAGTCACTAATATACGTAGGAATATGCGGTTCTTTAGCAGCCCCAAATCCCCCATCCCCACCAGCCAGCTATCAATGGCCACCCGTATTATGCCAGATGCCCTTTGTGATCACCACGCTATGAAGCCCAGCCTATACGTTGAAGAGATGATCGTATTTCATCGGAAGAAGTTCAATGTACTGTCATCGTCGTCGAGCGTCAAACGTGCTCTTACACGGCCGGGCAGGACCAATATGATAAACCAACAAGAATTAAAGGAACAAAACTCGCAACTAAGTGATCCCTACTAACATAAATACTCAAAGTATACTTCGTACCATCTGGTCTCTGTTGATGAGTCGGGATGTGACAAACGGGTGGGAGACCGGCGGACTGGTTGGCCAACACTATGCATGACATTGATCCACGTATTTAGATGTCACCGGGATTGGCGCTGTGAAATTTGCTAAATTTGATTATCTACGCCAAAGAAGTCGGACAAACGAAAAGCTTCACAAAATTCCTGTCAAATTCAGGTTGATATCCGCAGTATGCCTTCCCACGGGGACCCATATGGCTAAAGGTTGTCGTAGCATTGAAGTGAATCCATACGATCTTGTCTCATAATGCGTGAAATGAAATCAGGATTCAGATACTGTCCAATTGTTACTACCAAGCAAGGGGTTGCGTAGGTGGTAACGGTTTAATGTCTCCGCCGAGTTTCTCCAATATATCCTTTTTCAATGTAAGATCCAACAAGGAAGAACGGCTCCATTCAGTTCCCTTATATCTTGCGAGAACCCGATCAACTTCTTCCTATTGTATCATAAGCTTCAGGAGCACCATAAACTGGACAGAAACATACAAGCGGTCGTGAAATGGTTTGCAAGCGCTCCATAGATTGTAAGCATTTCAACAGTTTGCCTGACGCGACGTCCTGCTGATTTACCCACTGATAGGAAATATAGACTCCTTCAGGTGCAACGATGAAAGCAGGCCCATCTTGCGCACATCTTCTAAGATTCTTGACCCCCATGCCAGATATCCGATCCCCAGCTAGCGCATTTAACGCGATGATGAAGGTGGTATCGAATAAATACTCACGCATGACCCTCTTAAGGGCACAGTCTTCCGACCTTCCATAGTACATAGGATGAAAGCTTTGCACAAAGAGACATTCGTGGTCGTTTGGGAACTTCTGGATATATATATCTCCGGCTTCTTCGACAGACGAACAAATACCTCGCACAAACATGTTGTTCACTTTTTCTGTCGCGCATTGGCACACAATAACGACACGAGGACGTAAAATATTCATGATTTGCTCGAATTTGCTGTACGCTAACTCGTCGTCACGGATCTGATCATTCAGACTTTGATTGGTTCGGACAGAGTTACTTCGAAAAGCCCGAACATCTAAGACAATAGTATTATCGATGTCTCTCTGATCACCGGACGCAAATTGCAAAGTTTCATTCACGTAGAGCAGCGTTGGCGAGGCAGCTAACATCTCTGTATAAGGCACTTCTGCAGCCTTATCGGTGGGCTCGATAAGCACAACCACGAGGTCTTCGTAGCCCTTAGCCAACTTCCGTGCATTTAGTAAACCATTCGTGTTCACTTTCAAGTCTCGCGCTAGGTCATCCAGAATTTTAAGATGACTAGTCGCCATTCTCGGATAGACGGGCCTCAGAGGGCAACGAAGCCTCAAAAGGGAAGGCCGTATATCCTCGAGGTCGATAAAATTAAACGAGTTCATTATCAAATTTGTTTAATTTAATTTCAAGTTGGAGAAAATTATTCAGAAGCATAGTAGCAACTTTTGAGAAATTTCCGTATCTATTATTTAGCCATCAAACCCCACCTAGTGATGACGTGGCACTTTTGGGGCTAGCCAGATCTCTGCCTAATAGTGGCCTGACTCTCAAGCCTTGCCTCTGAGGTTCTACCCTTGTCCTTGGATGGGCTTCTAGAAAAGCACTAGGCTCTCTACAGTGAAATAATGAAGTAAGTGCAAGATGCAGCGGGAAGTTGTTGACAGATTGCCTAGTCAAAGAACACTTTTTCTGCTGGGTTTGCATCGAATCTTTCACATAGGTCCCTGTATCTTACGTACTGGTAATTTAAACACTAGTATTTAACATCTGGTTAGCTACAAAACGGAAGGTTTTCGCGCTATCCATATTTGGAATGCCCTGTCATGTGATTAGGGTTTGAAAGAGCCTCTCTATGGGCACTGTAACGTTCATTCTATAGAAGCAGGCCGTGTTTGAAGATCGTGAGAAATATAAGATGCTAGCACTCAGCAATTGAAGGCACTAGTTTCAGAGATTTTCGTTTGCCCTCCAGTTTCCGATGCTCTTCGTAGGTTGGAATGTTTTGCGGCTTTCTGAGAGCTCCTAGGAACCTACGCAATAAAATGGTACCCTTGAGACTAGTGAAGTGTGGCATAATCTTTGCAGTTATCTACTCTTATGATCTCACCATATTGCTATCTATTTATAGTAGCCTAAAAGCATATATAAGGGCCACCCTTCTCTTATTCCTTGCCTTTACTATACCCCCTCTTTAAACTTGAAACAGTTCCTTTCTTTCGGCGCCTCTCCCTTTCCTTCGGCACCTAGAAAGAGTTCTATTAGGGAAAAGTTCACTGGTCTTCCCATACTTCCTAAATTACCGATTTTTAGAGTCGAAAAGTTCATTCTTTGTTAAGTTAACTCATATGACATGGACTCTTCTTTAACACCTATTTATAGAATATTGGCCGAGACCTTAGCCGAGGCCAGAGTGAAGCGTCGGGGTGATCGAACTGCGTGCATAGTCAGCCTATTTGAAGACTTTAAACGTCTTTCGGAATTAGATTAAATGATCTACTTCTAAAAAAGTTTCAAAACCTTAAGATCATTCCCTTGGATCAATCTTATGGTGCTTCAGAATTACCACGAGGGTGACCGGTTAGTCGAGAATGAGTTAGACGCTACCGCTAAGTAATAAGAAAAGTTGAAAAACAAATAGAGCTTCGTGAGGCCCGATCGAATAGAATTGGCTCGAAGACGGTAGGCGGAGTGTGTGAAATAGGGAGACGAAAATCTTTAGTGGAACCCATCTATGTAAGAGTTTGAATTGGAGTATGCTTAAGAATCCGACCAGCGCTATTTACTAGAATATTTTGGAAGCTCATTACGAGAATATGGCTTTTTATACTATATAACGTCCTCGCTTCTTCTCTATCGCCTAACGCTTTTTATGGGTAGCTCTTAGTCTATCGAGACTAATAGATATAAATCTTGCTGGGAAGTGCGGTTTTACCATATAGACGGGTGCACTTTCCTACGACTCCGCGATAATAAAGGAAGGCCGATGGTGTTATTCTATGGTTTAAAGGAGCCGCAAAGTGATGCTCTGGAATTTCTCAATCTCCTTACAACATACAATCTCCCCTATACCTATGACGGAATAATAGCTGGGGTGGTAGCGTGATTTATAGTTAGTAGTCCCCCTTAAATGGTATGTATGCTGGATGTTTCCAGTCAATACGTTGAGTTTCTTGTCAAATAGAATATTTTATGCGGTTAGAATAATCCATCTACCTTCTGAGCTGCTACATTCCCTCTATCGCTTAAACTTGATATTTGGATAAACTTCGAAGTCTAACTACGGAACCCTACGAAACGAATCGAGATCTGTTTCACTAAGTGTTCTCTAAAGTCTCTCAAACCTTTTTTTTGACTCTATTCGCTAACATGGTTCCTCCATATACGCATTTCACGGTAATAAGGATTCCAGATATTCGACCAAAAGTGTGGCAATCAATGAAGCTCATGTTAGAATACGGGGGCAAAGGCTTAACCGTGGAATAATAAGGTGTCCCGTAGTTATATAGTGAAGAGAGTGATCTATAAGACCTAAGTAGATCGCGCCGCCTAATGATAAGCCTTTTTAGGTCCTTATAGTCGGACTCTGCAGCAACCTGGGGCTTTAATAACTAGACTCGGCCCTGAAGACGGTAGGACTCGTCTAGCGCGAAAAAATTAGTCTTAGTCTCATAGGCTTAGTGTGGCAATAATACTTAGTGCACTAAGTATACCTACATTGTCTATATTTCACGTTGATATGGTGATGAGGTCCTGAATAAATCATGACATATAAACATATATAATAGATGTACGGCAAAATAAGATCGCCCACTTAATACCCATAGATGAATGCGTTAGCGTTACACTTAGTCCATCAACCCCAAAAATATGGCAGAGCGTGAAGGATCTATGGGAAAGTGTAGAGACGTATATTAAATGATGTCCTATTTTAAGGGTTGAATTGGAGGTAGAATTCCGACTATATATCCCTCACTGGTTAATAATCATAGCCAACTAAGCTACGATAGAAAATATTAAGTAGGAGATATTAAGTCGCGTTGTATTATTGACTTGATTCAAGTGGCTATCGCTCTATGATATGTGGGATTTCTCATCTTGATCGCAACCAGTTAGGCAAAGGTCTCTTATGTGTCATTATTGAAAGCGGTGTCCTGGTATGTGTCTGTAACATTTGCATTACCTCCACCATGCCTATTCTCGCCCGGACCAGCTCCCTTTTCCAATGGTCAGACTAAGATACCATAGTCTCCATTATAGTCTGAAGTGCGTAGATTTGGGCACGAAGACTGCGCCCTTTACTTTCGGATTCTTCCAAACGAGTGCGCGTGCGATTTAGCGCAAGGCTTAAGTTGTGATTAGCATATTCAAGATTATGCAGCTTGGCGGTAAAGGACCTATCTAACTCGCCATCACGGTTTGTCCGCTACTTTCAAATACCTTTAGCGTTAGATAAATAGATGGATTTCGAAAGGGGCCACGTAGCTTACCTTTGCTATAACTCTTCCTTCAATTTTAGGACCAGACTGAAGCCCCTATAGGACCTACGGCGAGATAGCCTCAAGCGAGCGACCGAGCTCTTTGCAGATAGTCTGTAACAGAGGTCTATAACAGACCCACCGCCCCGCTGCTCAGGTTCGAATTCAATAAGGAAGCCCTCAATTCCATAAAGGACCAGGCATATCCGTCCTTAGGGGGCGGTTAGAGGCGGACCTGACCGGGAGCGAGGAGGCCAAGTCAATCGTCTACGGAGATTAGCGTCGGATGAGCATAGGTAGGCTACACATCATAATCCCGACCACAATAGCGTAAATTGAGGCGCTGCATTCTGGCCACACTGGTGTCCTCAAGTAATTAAAACAAGTAGAATCCTAGTAGGTGCTTCCACAGTGGTTGGTGGTTGTCCACCACACCTACTCTTTTCTAAGGTCAGTTAAGTCGATAAATTCATGCGGGGCTTAGTGGGTCACTAGTTAGACCCACTAGGCGCCGACCTCAACTACATTACTTCAACGCTGGAGGTAGAGACTAAGGTTAGATGATTTGTGAGGGCCATTTATAAACCATGGTCCTTTCATCTTAAGTGAGTTCATAGGCGAATTTAAGTGACATGAATGAAGAGGTATTAATATTTTCCAAAGGAAGTAAAGTAAACGCAGTGGAGAGCGGTGGAGAGCGGGGTGGAGGGTGGTGGAGGGTAGTAAAGAGGGTTTTTCTAGGGTTTTTCTAGGGTTTTTGCCTTTTACTCGCTTTTAGTTGGCATAGGCTTTAACGGTCAATGTGATGACCAGTTCCTAGTCTATAGCCAACCTAGCCTATAGTCAAAGAACATCGAAGAACTAGTGCCCGTGGGCGGGACTCAGTGGAATAGACTCAAGAATCCAGCTTTAGGTATGCTACGACCGACCGCTGACCTTTGCTAAGGGCATTTCTTTCTATTATGCTATAGCAGTCCCTCTGATGTTTGCGGTGACACCAGACTTTAGAGAGGAAGCCGCCTTACATGGCCTAGAAACCAATCCCTGATAGATAGACAGCTTAAGCGAACCAGACTAGAGACGAAGGAATTTTGACCGCCCCCAATCCAACCGATTAAGCAGAACGCGACGCACAGTTCCTCCGTCCCATCACTGGCGATGTGACCGTGAAGTCTTATTGCACTATGAATTAGACCGTAAGCAACCAATAGGAAAATCTAGTAGGCTAGTCTAGTATTTTGATTTCTGCCATCCTCTATGCTAAAAGCGCGGGATTACTATATAGGCCCGGATTTATGACCCGGCGTTCTCAGTATCCAAAAAATCTCCATAATCATTGGATCATACATCCGTAGTTAATCAATCTTATCTAAACAGTGTGTGCTTCGGCCAAAATGCCCTCTCCGCGTACTGGTGCCGATAGAGTGTTACGCTTACAGTCTAATTCGCGGTCAGTGTCTACTCGGCCCGTTAGCCCACCACTATCTCCCCAGCTAGTTAACGGTCATCTGATAGTCTTAATGAACGGCGTTAAGGACCTAATGGTTAGGATATAGCGGAAGTACCCAAGCGTTTTTTAGCAAAGTATATAGGACCACCACAGCGGCTCTAGACTCGAAGGGTAGAAGCTAGAAAACGAACCAGTAGTTCACACTAGTGAGTCAGCAGATGCCAGTTCTCCCTAACCTAATTTTACACAAAGCTCACCGTATTTCTTCTCTTCTTAAAGTTCCTAGGAGATAGTTTAACGTAAAGTACTATATGACTAATAGTCAGTTTAACCAGTCACCTCTAGAGGCGAACTAGAAGTAATCTTTTAA